CTGCCTTGTGGGATATCTCTGGGAGAAGAAAAGGCTAAGGAGTAAACCCTACTCAGATCCAGAGTGGAGTACCTAAGACAGTTGAATGGCGTCTTGTGCGCCTCCTTCTGGCATCTCCTGCAGCCAAGCTGGTGCCAAACATATTGCTCTGCTTTCCTTTGGACCACATCCATGAGGTGGAGAGGGGTATTGTCCAGGGTTATGAAAAGTATGAGAGAAGACTCCTACGCTCATATCTCCAATAGGATTTTCATCTTTTCAACTGGCCACAACACTTGTGTCTTTAAGACAGGTAGTTTTTATTTGCGCAGACATTAGTTGATGATAATGTTTGTTAGCGGTGCCATACGGAGAAAAACATCACCTGCTGATTTCTGCAGACCATCCATCATTTGGCAATCCTGCTCTCTAGTGAGGCAGTCAGGTGCTTAAGAGACACTGTAGAAATAATTGTTGCCTTGTTTCTTCTCTCTGGGGGACTGGCAAAGCTGCCAGATACCTGGACAAGAGCAATAGCCTAGAAATAAAGAGGTGGGAGAAGTATCATCTTCTCTGGCTGTCCCCGTTACGCCTGCAATTTCCCCCCAAAGGATGCACTTTGGGGAATAAGTGAAGTCCCATAATGTGGGAAAGTGCAAAAGAAAAATGGCCAACTGCCTAAATTCAAAAAGCATTTGGAACTTAGACACATTCACAGAACTGTTGAATTGCAAGGGACCCTGAGGGAATTTATTGCCCAACATGGGGCTCAAACCCACAACCCTGAGATTAACAGTCTCATGCGCTACAGGCTGATTTGAGTCACTCTTTAGCCAAAAGAGCCCCCAGAAGAGTTTAAAACAGAAATATGTGCAGATGATATCCCAACGCCATAAAGTTCCATACATACACGCATAAACGCGCACACAGCTAAAAATGGTCCTGTGGGCTTGTCACCTCTCACTTCTTATTTTGCAAAATGAAATTAAAAATTAAGAATGGACCTCCAGAATGAATTAAGTTCTTAACCTGAGGCACCACTGTACGCTGTTTTAATTGAAGTCAGCAATTTAACACAATACAATGTATTTTGTTATATTCAGGAATATATAACTGTGGCGGCACAATTGCTGCTCGCACCGCTGCACCCGGACCAGGGCGGCAGGGTGAGCACCCCACGGGGTGGCGCCTTGTCACCCTCCCAGATGTGGAGCCCGGGGCGATCCACCCCCCCACACCCCCGTTGCGACGCCACTGACTTGGGGACTTGGGGAGAGGAGAGGACTCAGTGGTGATGAATGAGCACCCCTTGTGACTGCTTTCTGGATTAGATTGCCTAAGGGTACAATCCTATATGCATTTGCCTGGAATAATTCCCACTGCACACAGTGGGATTTAGTTTCACATCAGGACGGGGGAGAAATTTTGATTCTGTTCTCATTTAAATCCAAGCCTGTAAAATTTGCACTTTCTAAAACAATGTGAGAACCAATCTTTGAAATTCACACTCAACCAAAGTGGTTTGTGATGTGGTTCTCCAACCAACCAAAGTTTACAAAAATGCACGAAGGCAAAGTGTGCACCAAAAGGAAATATATTCCTGAATACAGTGGTGCCTCGCAAGACGAAATTAATCCGTTCCGCGAGTCTCTTCGTCTTGCGGTTTTTTCGTCTTGCGAAGCACGGCTATTAGCGGCTTAGCGGCTTTAAGAAAAAGGAAACAAACTCGCAAGAACTCGCAAGACGTTTCGTCTTGCGAAGCAAGCCCATAGGGAAATTCGTCTTGCAGAACGACTCAAAAAATGGAAAACTCTTTCGCCTTGCGCGTTTTTCGTCTCGCGAGGCATTCGTCTTGCGAGGTACCACTGTATAACAAAATACATTGTATTGTGTTAAATTGCTGACTTCAATTAAAACAGCGTACAGTGGTGCCTCAGATTAAGAACTTAATTCATTCTGGAGGTCCTTTCTTACCCTGAAACTGTTCTTAACCTGAAGCACCACTTTAGCTAATGGGGCCTCCTGCTGCCGCCGCGTCACCGGAGCATGATTTCTGTTCTCATCCTGAAGCAAAGTTCTTAACCCGAGGTAATATTTCTGGGTTAGCGGAGTCTGTAACCTGAAGCATATGTAACCTGAAGCGTATGTAATCCGAGGTACCACTGTACAACAAAATGTGAAATTTGCACTAAAGAATAGTAATCACAAATTGCTGTAGAAATCTAGGGAGCTGAATTTACTACTGGAAAAAATGAGGAATTGAGAGAACTGCAACTGGCAGATCTTTCCATCTCTGCTTCCAGGTAAGCATGCACAGAATTGTGGTTGTTTGTCCTGTGCAAATCGGGAACTCAGATGCTTTTGCACGGGGGACGGGTGAAAATTGCACAGGGTTGCACCTGTAGAAATTACCACTTCTTTCCCACTATTAAAGATACAGACACCCGGTTCTCTTTTCCATCTAGCCCACTTCCCCACTGCTTCTCTGCCTTGTGTGGTGATGTTGGCTTCCTGTCTGAGGGCAGGAAGTGGAGTCAGGCTCTTGTCAAATGCAAACATTTCCACCCTGTTTGACTAGATCCCGATTGATTTCCATGTCACTCTGCCCTGCTGAAAACCCTGATAAAGTGTCGCTACCCACGTTGGTTAAACTGGCAAAGACTTTATATGGAGGCGTGGTGATTTAGTACATTTTCGAAAGATTGAAATAATCTGGAAAAAGAGAAAGAAAATATTGTTATGAGTTTGCAGAGGGGGACAGACCCCTTGTAATCTCTACATTCAATCGTTAGAATTTGAGCAAACTCATAAATTCAAGGATCTAGCAAGGGCTGGAAATAATACTGGCTCGCTTCCTCTTTAGGCCAGTGTGGGGTGAGTTTTTGAAGAAATAAAAGGCTGATGATGGCCTGTTTTGTTTGATAACAGTAAAGGTAAAGGTAAAGGGACCCCTGACCAGGTCCAGTCGTGACCGACTCTGGGGTTGCGGTGCTCATCTCACTTTATTGACCAAGGGAGCCGGTGTACAGCTTCCGGGTCATGTGGCCAGCATGACTAAGCCGCTTCTGGCGAACCAGAGCAGCGCACAGAAATGCCATTTACCTTCCCGCCAGAGTGGTACCTATTTATCTACTTGCAGTTTGACATGCTTTCGAACTGCTAGGTTGGCAGGAGCAGGGCCTGAGCAACGGGAGCTCACTCGGTCGCGGGGATTCAAACCGCTGACCTTCTGATCGGCAAGTCCTAGGCTCTGTGGTTTAACCCACAGCGCCACCCGCATCCCTTGATAATAGTAAGCCACTCGCAAAACATAAGACCTGCTGCCCTGTAGCTTCTGGGATAGGTTTACCATTGGCCTGATGTAAGCAACAGGAAAAAGTGCCTTTGTAGTGGGCTGTTCCACCTCTGGTGGGGGACAGTTGTGCACCTCTGGATAATTTGCTCACCTTTGGTCCCCATCCTGCCCTCAGCCCTCACCTGTGGCTCCTAGAAGCTGTTGGCGTGCAAGACGTTGGGAGGCAGAGACATGAAATGGCATCAGAGGAGGGAGGAAAGGAAAGAGGGACAGAGGCCAGTGTTGTCCGCTGCACCCCTGACCAACATTCAAGGTACCTTTGCCACAGCACACTGGTTGAAAACCACTGCCCTACACAAATCCAGAGTGAAGTTCCTAAGGACTTGTATGCCTCCTTCCAGCAACTGCTGCAGCCAAGCTGGTGCCAAATGTATTACTTTGCTTTCCTTTGGACCACATCAGTGAGGGGGGTCTTGTCATCTGGGCAGTCCCAGGCTTGCACCCTTGCGCTTTGGTGCTGCAAATGCAACAAAAATAATATGGGAGGCAGCAGTTATGAGTTATAAGTTAAACCTGATTGGCATGAAGTACAAGCACTACTAAAAGGGACGTGGGTGGCGCTGTGGGTTAAACCAGAGCCTAGGGCTTGCCGATCAGAAGGTTGGCGGTTCGAATCCCCGCGACGGGGTGAGCTCCCGTTGCTCGGGCCCTGCTCCTGCCAACCTAGCAGTTCAAAAGCACGTCAAATTGCAAGTAGATAAATAGGTACCGCTCCAGCGGGAAGGTACGGTAAACAGCGTTTCTGTGCGCTGCTCTGGTTCGCCAGAAGCGGCTTAGTCATGCTGGCCACATGACCCGGAAGCTGTACGCCGGCTCCCTCGGCCAATAAAGCGAGATGATCGCCACAACCCCAGAGTCGGTCACGACTAGACCTAATGGTCAGGGGTCCCTTTACCTTTTTAAGCTCTAGGCTATGGTTTTCCCAGTAGTGATGTATGGAAGTGAGAGCTGGACCATAAAGAAGGCTGATCGCCGAAGAATTGATGCTTTTGAATTATGGTGCTGGAGGAGACTCTTGAGAGTCCCATGGACTGCAAGAAGATCAAACCTCTCCATTCTGAAGGAAATCAGCCCTGAGTGCTCACTGGAAGGACAGATCCTGAAGCTGAGGCTCCAAGACTTTGGCCACCTCATGAGAAGAGAAGACTCCCTGGAAAAGAGCCTGATGTTGGGAAAGATGGAGGGCACAAGGAGAAGGGGACGACAGAGGACGAGATGGTTGGACAGTGTTCTCGAGGCTACCAGCATTAGTTTGACCCAACTGCGGGAGACAGTGGAAGACAGGAGTGCCTGGCGTGCTCTGGTCCAGGGGGTCACGGACATGACTAAACGACTAATGACAAGTTGTTATTCTATAGTCGATTACTTCTCCTTTCAGGGATCTTCACGGTCATTTCTTTTGTTCTGTGTAATTTCTTGGCTCCGTGACGGTCTTTTTTTTCACCGGCCCTCTTCCTCCGGCTGCCCTTACAGAGGCAGCGGCGATTACCCAAGACGCCCTGCCCAGCCCGCCGCCGCCGCCGCCCCACCCCGCGGCCGCCCTCCCCGCCCTCCCTTGCCTCGCGGAGCCCGCGCTTGGCAGGAGGCTGCTGGCAAGAGAAGGAGCAGAGCCGCGGCGGGAAGCGAAAGCGACGTCTCCCCTTTCCGACCGGGGCGCCGCGCTGCCATGGAGTCGTCCAGCAACGCCGAAGGGTGCATGGGCCAATGCACCGGCTTCATGCGCACCCACAAGGGAATGATCCTGCTGGCCGAAATAGTAAGAGGGCGCGCACGGCGGGAGGGATGGCGCGATCTGCAAAGGAGGCGGGGGGCGCCCAGGGCAGGAGACTGGGGGGTCCCTAACTTCGCGGGGCGGCGGACGCTGCGCTTTGCCCAGAAAACTTCTTTCTCGCGTTTCCATAACCCAGTTCCCTCCGGGCCCCACGTCCAGCAAATCGACGAAGTTCAGGTTTTCCAAAGTGGTTCGGAGGGATAAGTTGCAGCTGGGGTGCTCCAACATGATTGTGTGGGTCAGGCGGAGTCTGCCCCCCACCTCCCACTTTATAAATGGCTGGGCAAGAACAGGCGGTCACGTCCGTTAGTGGCGCCCGCCGAAAGTTGTTGGCATGTGTGGCACCGGGCGGAGGGGCTTCCTTCGCCACCCAAACCTTCCCCAGTATCCTCGATGCCCGTGCCAGCCCGCTTCCCCGCGCTGGGGATGGAACCCAGGCGTCCGGGGTGGCTTCACCGGCCCCGCTGGAGATTGTGCCGGGCGGGGAAACGCCCTGACGGGGCAGACAGCTAAGCGCTGCCTCGGCCGAGGAAGAGTTAAGGAGGAGGGGCGGCGGACGTGTCTCCCGCGCGTCGTCGGGCCGCGGGTGGAGGGGAGGAGGGTCACGGGACGGCTGCTGTCCAGGGGGAGAGAGGGAGGGCGGTGTTGGGAGACCGAGCGGGGCCCCCCGCAAGCCCAAAGGGGATGGATGAGCGAAGGACAGTTGTCCCTTAAGTTTCTTCCAACGGCAGTGAGCCCTGGACGCCTGAAGCGCCTCGGTTTCCATTCGCTGAGCGCCGCTTTTCTCTTCCTGCTCGCTGCCGCTTGCTGCGCTTTCCCTTCCTGTTCCTTATTGCAACTCGATCTCGCCCCGGCGCTTTGCTTTGCGCGAGTTCGGCATCGTTAAGCTCCGCGGGGCAGAGACCCATCGCTTGCTGCGTCCCCTGGGCATGGCGAGCATAGGGAGCCAGACTTCAGTAAGCCGGGCTTCCCGGGTCCTCCCCTCCCCTTGATGCCTGCAGGTTTGGAAAAGCGGCGAGGCAGAGGAGGAAAAGGCGCTTTGCAGTCCCAGGCAGGCTCCTGTCCCCGCGGCTGGCGGTTGTTCGACGGCCTTGGGGTGCCCGAAGCCTGGCTGCTTGCCTCTCCCTGCCCGCGCAGGGCCTTGGTTTTGGGTGCGGCTGAGCGTGTGCCTCGCTGGTCGCCTCCCCGGAGCGCGGGGTGCGCGCATCACGGGTGACTCACCGTTCCCCGTCTCTGGGCACAGTGTGTGTGTGTCTGGCACGGTAATTGGGAGTGTCTCTTTGCGGTTTGAATTTACAGCAGTAGTTGCTAAACAGTTGCAAGCTTGTAGGACCATGTGGCCCTGCTCCACCTCCCTATGACATATACGGGAAAGGATAGGTTCTCCCCACCCTTCTGAATAGCTGTATATTTATCCTCACTAGTTGTCCTGGGACTTAGTACAGCTTTTATTTTTCTGAAAATAGAGCTGAACTTGCACCACCCATCACACGGCCTCTTGCTTTCAGAGGGGTTCTTCTCGCTGAATTCTTGCTTCTCATGCGGTTGTTCAAGGGGTACAAGTTTCTCCAGAAAAATAAAAGCAACAACCCTCTTGCTCTCTCATAAGTTGCCCACAAGAACTGCTTCCAAGTAAACCTGTTTTGGCAATGTAAGCCAGACCAAAGAAGCTACGCAGCCTATTTCAATACCAGGGTTCAGCACTGGAGTATGTGGAAGGGATGAGAGTGTTTCTGAGCATGAAGCGGGTAATGGAGTCACACCCACACACCTGGGATTAGGGGGGTGGGCACAAGGTCTTTCAGACCAGAGGTTGGCACTACCAGGCAGCTTTGCTCTGTAGCCCTTGGGGGTCTTAAATTCCCCCCCTCAAAAAAAATGCTTATTAAAAAGCCTCTAGACAAATCATTGGGAGAATAGGTCTATTAACAGCAAGACAAGGAAGTAGAGCATCCACCTTCAGTGGCAGTAATGTCAGTGAATACCAGGAGCTAGCTGGCAGGAACCCTGAGCAACATACAGGGTAACGTTTTGCATTGGGGAAAGGCTGTCACTCCGTGGTGGAGCATCTGATTTGCACGCAGAAGGCCCGAGTTCAACCCCTGGCATCTACAGACACAGCAGGGAGAGATCCTGAAGCCCTGGAGAGCTGCTGCCAGCCAGTGCAGGTGGTCAGAGGTCTGATTCAGTTGAAAGCACCTTGCTACGTTTCTGTGCAAATCCCACTTGTCTGTTCTTTACCTACCCCTGGAGAGTGACTTCTAAGAGTGGAGCAGGATCCTCCCTTAGTCTTTTCAAAGAGGGATAGGACAATATGGCTTCTGTCTCCATTATGGGTGTAGCCCTTTCTCTGCCATCTGTGGCAGAGAAGTTGTTGCTCTCCCCCCTCCCTCTTTCACAAATCTTTGCCACCTCCATTAATAATTAACAGAAACCGTTTTTTCTCATTCAGTTTTTCAGCCCTGAGAATTGGAAGCAGAACCTGGACATCTTGAGTCCTAATACGAGTATTTTACCTTCACAAACTGGAGGATCTTAGGAATGTAGAAAACTGCCTCATGCAAAGTTTTGGTTGGTTCAAAAAGGATGTGCTTTAGCCAGTTTTTTAGACGTCTTTGTTCTAAGGGCTTAAAGCACAGCTGCAACTTCCCTCCTTTTGCATGATTCCTTGTTTGCCTTGTTATCCTCACAGCAACCGTGTGAGGTAGGGCTGAGGAGAGTGACTGGGCCAACTACTCTCACGGAGCTTCATGGCTGAGTTGGGTTTATAACTTGGGATTTTGCAGTCTTAATCCAACCCTCTGTAACCACAGCGCCACATGAATCCTGGAAACCAAACAGGAGATTGCTATTACTCAAACTCTGCAGGACCGATAATCTATCTTTTAATCTTAGAAGAGAGCATGTTCTTTAAGGCTGCAGGGCTGGGTGTTGTATCTGCGTGGGAATGACAGAGGGTTTTCCTTTTTTCAAAAAAGCGGGGCCTAGGAATAAATAGCAGGTCCCAACAAGGCCCACAAGGAAGGTGAAGAGAACAAGGGAAGGATTTATGCTTGCCTGTGCTGTGCTACGCCCTGTGACTCCCAAGGGCTCTGGGTGCAGGTGCGAGTGCTGCCTTGCCTTGTTTTTAAAATAGCAAGCAAAGACCACATGTTCATTGAGTCAGTTTCTCTTTATCCATTGGAAGCCACAGTGGCTCCCATCTTTGTGGGATAAACAAAACAACACTCTCTGTGTCTGCCCCATTAAGGCCCAAATACAGAAGAGAATGTGGATTTGTTCCATATCAATTGAGGTGAAGTAAGTCCTACTGCTTAGTCTCCGTACAGTTGCTGTGTCAGATTAGAACATGGGTAGGCAAACTAAGGTCTGGGGGCCAGATGCCCCCAATCACCTTCTAAATCCTGCCTGTGCATGGTCTGGGAATCAGCATGTTTTTACTTGAGTAGAATGTGTCCTTTTATTTAACATGCATCTCTGGGTTATTTGTGGGGCAAAGGAATTTGTTCATTTCCCCCCCCCAAAAAAATATATATAGTCTGGGCCCCCACAAGGTCTGAGGGACAGTGGACCGGCCCCCTGCTGAAAAAGTTTGCTGACCCCTGGATTAGAATCACGCTTTGCCTGTATTAAGCCAGTGTAGTGTTTGGGGATGAGGAACCTGGTGTGCTCTAGATGTTGCAGGACTGCATCTCCCATCATGTCTGAAGGTGGCCCCTGTTGGCTGGGGCTGATGGGAGTCAGAGTCCAGCACTGCTTGGAGGGCTAGTTGAGAAGTTGGAATAATGTAGCAGCCTAATGTCACCTAAAACCTGCTCCTGTTTCACTGGAGATGCCAGGCATTCAACAGGGGAGATTTGCATGCCAAACAGATACTCTACCATTGACCGGTCCTATGGCCAATCATAGCATTGTAGAATTGTAGAGTTGGAAAGGGACCATGAGGGTCATCTAGTTCAACCTCCAATCTTTGGCCCAACTTGGGGCTTAAACCCAGGGCCCTGGTCTCCCAACTGAGCTACCCCTTCTTATATATCAGGTTCCCCATCTCTGATATAGCCTGGCAAAGGAAAACTATTATTTTAGGCCGCTCAACCCATTCTTTACTTTTACCCAGTCTTTTGTCGACAGTGTCTTCTGAGTGTATTCCTTGCCATGCTATATAGGTGACACACATTCAAGGATGGTTCTGAGACAGTGTGCAAGGCTGTCATTTGGGAATCAAGGGGAAATTGCTCCTGCTCAAGGTTGCAGGTAGGCGATTTCTGACTCCGGTCTTAGAGTTCCTCCAGACTTCCTTTTGCTCTGTGCTTTCCAGACACAAGTCCATACTTTAAAGCTCTGCAGCCAAGCAAGGTTTTGTTTTTGTTTTTTTGTTTGTCCGAGCGCTTTCCCCAGGAAAACCTATGTTTTACTGCTGAATTGGAGCAAATGGCAAGGTGCGGAAAACACACATCTCTCCAACATCTTTCAGTCATGTTTTGGGAGTGGGGGGGAAATTCCAACCAGCTTTACTAAGGACCAGTGAAACAGCAAAACAGTGAATGAAAGATAGTTCACTGTTCCATAGAAATATCGCTCAGGTCTTATGTTAAAAGGGGAGGGGGGAGGGAAAGAGTGAAGGAAAATACATTGCTGGTAGAATAAATGTGAGAACCCCTGTCTGCAAATATCCACCAACTAATGTGGATCAGCAGTAGCTATTATTATACGTTACAGGAAAGTAGATTCTGTTATTAACAGAAGTTACATTATACATTACACTGTATTTTTCATCGTTTTGAGACTTGTGGGTTGAATTAGGTTAGTTAGTTAGAACAAGACACACTCTCCCTTTTGGAAAATGTACAAGCATGTAGTTAATTCAGTTAGCATTCATTGGAACTAATGGGTTCCTTGTAATGCTGAGAGCAAGTATGAAGATATTTGGCTGGTTCTTGGCCTACGAAAGCTGAATTAAAAATCACAGTAGGGATGGAATCCACAGAAGCCAAATTGGGTAGTATAGCTTAGTAGTTGGAGGGCCTGTAGTCTCCCCCCACCCACTGACACATTTCTATTGTTTAAGCTAAATGCCCAGTCCTGTGATTCCCCTCCTCCTGTCAGGTAACTAAATTCAGAATTACCCAAAGTAGATAAATAAATGCAGGCAGCAGCATTGATTCACTAGGGGTGGGTGGGGAGAACACTTTTAAATATCACAAAACTTCTGTTAGGACTAACTAAAAACCACACTAGTGTTTGAATGTCACAGTCTCTGATAGGGTTTGGGTTTGCTTTGGGGTTTTTTAAACCAGCCCACGCATCAGTATTTGAAAGCAGCTCAATGCACAGGAGATAATGGCGACTGCCACTCGTTCACAAGCTTCACTTGCTTATATCTATGCAACAAGCAGTGGTTGGTTGGCCTCATCTGCTCAAGAGCTTATATCCGTTTCTGCACAGTTGGCAAGATAAATTCAGTTATCTGTTCCAAGCCCTTTTAAAAACCCATTTCCCTCTCAACTTTGCCCATGTAACAGCTCTGTATCCCATGCCTGGGGTGGAGGACGTATGCTTAATTCCTTTCCATGTGTTATGGGAAAATTCAACATATCCCACCTTTTTGCTGTAATTACAATGATTTGGCACATACAGGGGTTCCCTGGTGCTCATAGTACCTCCCATACATTAGCTTGATAGTAATCCAACTGCTCCTGCAAGGTAGGGCACCCCCGCTATGCTCATCTTGCGGGTGAGAGCGGTTTGGTGCCCTAAGGCAACCTGGTGAGTTCATGGCTCAGGGGGTGTTTTTAAACTGGGGACGGTCCCAGCTTGCATTCTTGGTTCAGCTGTCAGCATGTTTTCTGCCCTTGGCTGCTATCTGCTTATTTCCCGCTTGGACTACTGCAATGCGCTTTACGTGGGGCTACCTTTGAAGATGACGCGGAAACTACAACTAATCCAGAATGCGGCAGCTAGACTGGTGACTGGGAGCAGCCGCTGAGACCACATAACGTAGGTCTTGAAAGACCTACATTGGCTCCCAGTACGTTTCCAGGCACAATTCAAAGTGTTGGTGCTGACCTTTAAAGCCCTAAACAGCCTCGGTCCAGTATATCTGAAGGAGCGTCTCCACCCCCATCGCTCTACCTGGACACTGAGGTCCAGCACTGAGGGCCTTCTGGCGGTTCCCTCACTGTGAGAAGCCAAGTTACAGAGAACCAGGCAGAGGGCCTTCTTGGTAGTGGCACCCGCCCTGTGGAACGCCCTCCCACCAGATGTCAAAGAGAAAAACAACTACCAGACTTTTAGAAGACATCTGAAGGCAGCCCTGTTTAGGGAAGCTTTTAATGTTTGATGCATTACTGTATTTTAATATTTTGTTGAAAGCCACCCAGAGTGGCTGGGGAAGCCCAGCCAGATGGGCGGGGTATAAATAATAAATTACTGTAGTATTATTAGTATTAGTATTAGTATTATCCTTCTCCAGCTCTATCTTGTGCCTTTCCTTTGATTCTGCCACCCCCTATATTAGAAGTTCTTTCTGTGCTTCTGCTTTTAACTCTTTGGCATTCCTCTTGGGCTCTTCCCGTGGCAATTCTCTCCCCGCTCTTTATTTCTGGCCTGCGAAAGTGGAGGCCTGTTCCTTTATGTTTTTATTCTGGACCTTGGCATACTTGGCAGGAGGCTCCTAGTTTGTTTAGCTGTTGCCCCAGTGATTCCCTTCTCTCTCTCTCTCACACACACACACACACACACACACACACACAGCTTCCGCCTGGCGCACTGGCAACCCCAGTGTGCTGACGAACAGATTGGCCCTTTGTTTCCAAGGTCCACAACTGGAATGTCTAGCTGTAATTGTGTCTACCGGTTGCCACAGCTGGAACATCTCCTGCAAGCGCTCTTCCTTCGTTGGAGGAGAAGCCCTGTGCCTTCAGACATCTCTGGAGAATGCATTCCTAGGAAACCCATGTTAAATCCCTGGCATATTTAGCTTAAAAACGTATTAGGTAGCAAGGCTGGGTGGTGGGTGGCGGGCAGGGAGACCCATGCTTGAGAACTGGGGAGGTAGAGACTCTGCCATCTATATATAGAGAGCACAAGTGAGTGAGACTCGAGGCCAAGGCATGCTTATTTTTCTCTCCAAGATCTGCCCGTAAATAGAATTCGAGTCCTTCAGGCTCTGGCAGGTTAATTTGCCACAAAGCAGAAGGAAAACCCCTTGCCCCAACAGTCCCCACCACACCCAGATATCCTTTGGGGTGGCCCCCTTTTAAAATATATATATATATATTAGCAATTTCAACATAACAAAGTATCAAAACATATCATATTCTTTATTTTTCCCCTTTCCCCCCACCTCCATCAAACCCTCCCTCCCTCCCCCAGAGACTTCCCTCAGCTCCTCTCTCTGATTTCTCAGCACATATTACTCTCTGCATGTTAAAAAATTATACATATCCTTACATTATCTATCTGCCATGTTATCAACCAATAAATCTGTGTATGTTTATTCAAAACCTGCCAAGGAGTTCAATTCATTCTGTTGTGTTTTTAGATAATTTGTAAAAAGCTCCCATTCTTCCTTAAAGTCACAGTTGTCCTTGTCCCGCAGTTTGTATGTCAGTTTAGCCAACTCTGCAAAGCTCATCAATTTTTCTTGCCACGGGGTGTCCCTCTTGATACATTGACGTATGAAAATAAATGGCTGCTAGATTATGTTACCAAGCTAGAAAACTTTTTCATCTTACATGCAGCATAATGTCACTTTGTAGCTTGCATTTGATATGTGTGTATGTTTGTGTGTACACACAGACATACTGCCAGCTACTTGGAATGGAAGCAAATACAAATCTCTGGTTTTTGGTTTTGGGGCTGGAAATCCACTAAGCTGTTAATTTATCCTGGCGCCCAACATGCTGGTTTTGCGCAGAGAAGCAAGGCCAGGTAGGGCCTGAGAGTGAGAAATCTAGTGTGCGTCCAAGCCACGCTTTTGAAAGTCAGCCTTCAGCAATCTCTAAAGGCCCTCATCCCTTTCATGGGCTGTGAAAGTAGCTTCATGAATCAAATTCTTGGCAAGGAAAACAGGCCCTGATGCCATCGTGCACAACTCACTGACTCAGAGTTTCCCACCAATTTCCTTGGTTCGTCCACCTTCCTTCCAAGATTGGTTCAGTTCCACCAAAGCCAATCTAAGTGAAATTGTGGGGAAATTCTTTCTGAAAGGCTGGAACATCTGGTCAATGGAGCATGGTCGCTTTCGGAGACAGAAGTTTGGCAGACTGGACCAAACATCTCCCATGTAGGGAAACCTGAGGTTAGGCTAAACTAGTTTAAAACGCAGGTGAGGATTATAGCTGAATGCTTCTTTGTCAAAAGCATCTAGGTTGTGCAGTGCTAGCATACTGGGGCAGGCGGAGATGTACCCAATGTGCTGGAGTATTTACAAAGAAAAGATCTGAGCATATCAGACCACCCTGATCAGTAGGGCAAGCCCAAGACATTTTGGCACCTGAGGCGAACTGTAAAATGGCGCCCTCCACAGGGAAGAAGGGGTGAGTGAAGATCTATATCGGGAACAAGGATGGAAGGAGACCAGCAGCACCTCCAATTTGCCAAGAGGCCACTACAGTGGTACCTCGGGTTACAGACGCTTCAGGTTACAGACTCCGCTAACCCAGAAATAGTACCTTGGGTTAAGAACTTTGCTTCAGGACCTGCCAAGGAAACTGAAGAACATTTTCATGTATGTGACAACAGCAGCAAGAGTCTTAATAGCACAAGGATGGAAGAATGAAGAAATCCCGACCAAAGAACTGTGACAAGAGAAACTGATGGATTATGTGGAACTGGCGAAATTGACACACAAATTGCATGATAAGGACAACTGTGACTTTAAAGAAGAATGGGAACCTTTTACAAAGTATTTAAAGAAACAACAAAATGAACTGGACTCCTTGGCAGGTTTTGAATAAATATACACAAATTTATTATTGATAACATATAGACAGATAAATTAAGGATCTTTACAATTTTATAATATGCAGAGAATAACATGTGCTGAAAAAAACAGAGAGGAGCTGAGGGAAGTCTGGGGGTGGTGGGTTTTTCTTTTGGGGAGGGGAGAAGGAAAATTGGGGGGAATGATGATGACATGGTTTTGATAAATTGTTATGTTGAAATTTCTAATAAAAATATTTTTTTAAAAAGAAAGAACTTTGCTTCAGGATGAGAACACAAATCGTGCTCCGGCGGTGCAGCAGTAGCAGCGGGAGGCCCCATTAGCTAAAGTGGTACCTCAGGTTAATAACAGTTTCAGGTTAAGAACGGACCTCCAGAACGAATTAAGTTCTTAACCCGAGGTACCACTGTATAGAGGTGGCAGCCAAGGAGCGGGCAGATCCAGCCTTGCAGAAGTATGCTGCAGCCATTGCTGCCACTGCAAGAGCATCAGTGGGCGGGGCATTCCTTGGAGGCTGGATCTGCTGTCCCTGTCGATTCTGCTGCCTGCGGCGGCTGCCTCACCTTGCCTCATGGGTGGAGCAGCCCTGTTGCCCAGGCATTCCAAGTGGCACAGTCCCAAGAAGGCTGCTAAGCATTTTTCATTTCTTTGTTTTCACACCAGAATTATTAACAGTTTTATACTGAGTCTCAGCTAATCCTGCAACAATCCTGGTAATACCTGACCAGATATCAGAGAAATAAATTGTCTACTGCAACTATATACCAATATATTATTATTGTTATTGTTGTTGTGGTGGTGGTGGTGGTGGTTATTAATACCCTGTCCATCTGGCTGGTTGCCCCAGCCACTCTGAGCAACTTCCAACACATACAAAAGCATCAAACATTAATTGTAACAATCTGATCCAATATAAAAAGTCACAATAACTTTAAATTATATCAAACAAAGCAACATTCAACAATCCATCAGAATCTAACAGAAAACAGTAAAATTAAACATCAGCAAATAATAATTACAGTGGTACCTTTGCATGCGAACAAGATCTGTTCCGGAGCCCCGTTCACATCCTGAAGCGAACGCAATCTGCGTTTGTGCATCTGCACGTGTACGGGTCGTGATTCACTGCTTCCGCGCATGCACATGATGCCATTTTGAGTGTCTGTGCATGCGCAAGCGGCGAAACACGGAAGTAATGTGCTCCGTTAGTTCCGGGTTGCCGCAGAGCGCAACCCGAAAACACTCAACCCGAAGCTACTTCAACCCGAGGTATGACTGTAAACAGTTTACACTTATCAACCACAAGAAGGAATTACCAATCTATAATCAATAAAAACAATAGCAAATCGCAGTGCATAAAATACCATGAAACATACAAAACCATGTAAAAAAATCAAATTGAGAAACAAGGACACACAACTTATAAAACTATTTTTTTAAAAAAATACCCCTGAACTCCTCTCTTCCCAGCGGCTGGTCTGGGAAAGGCTTCCAGGGCTGGAATATGTGGCAAGGCAGGTGGAAATGGCATTGCCTGATGAGGAGGAAGAAAGTCTTTCTCCCCTCATAAAATGATATGCCATTATATTACCCGTTTACAACAACTAACTAGGGCTGGGCGATATCCGGTTTTCAACATTGTGATATATCACCATCTTAACATTATGATATATTGATCTATGCCACTGCGCAAGCAGAAATGCTCATGCTGAGAGAACAATCTCCTGAGCACGATGTTGAATTCCACCCACAGGCTCCATCGGTGGAGGGAGAATATAGCCGTTGTGGCTGCTAGCTGAGAAGTAATAGCACTAGGGCTACGGCAAAGGGAAATATCTGCCTGCCTAGCTAACAAGGGCTGTTGATATGTTTTTAGGCACCAGGCAAAATTATTTCTCTTTAATCAGGCCTTTGGCTGATTCTATGTCCTTTTAAAAGGAGGGAACATTACTGGTTTGGCTTTGTTCTTGCTTTTATTATGTATTTTGTGTTCTCATTTTGTATTTTTATGTTGTGAACCACACTGCGATCTTCAACGGGCAGTATATATTATAATTTAATAATAATAATAATAATAGTAGTAGTAGTAGTAGTAGTAGTAGTAGTAATGTGTGCTCTACTGAGCAGGCCATGAGATCATTTGGAGTTCCTGTTCCTAAAGTGCCCTGAACCTCTTGCTGTAACAGATAATTTTCAGTCCCAGGGTTTCACTTCTGAACCCCAACCTACAGTATTAGCTCTTTGAAAAATGCTTCATTTATGATTACTATTAAGTCTATTATTTGTAGCCCACCCACCTGACTGCCAGTTCTTCTCTCGGAGCTTGTCTTCCCCGCTCCTTTTCATGAGTTCTGCCCTTTGACAGATCTTTTTCTCCTTTCTCTGCCAGATTGCGTGCATCCTCATCCTGATCTGTTATGGGGCCTCCGTGACACCAGGCTACTCGGGTTTAGCCTGCTTCATGCTCATTTATGGCATTGTCATCTTCATCTTCTTCATGTGTAACTTGCACCACCAGATCACTTTCATCCACTGGGGATGGACGGTAAGGCTTCTCTTCTGCCCCTGGCACTGGGGTGGGGCAGGGCATTCGCACAGCATGCCCAAAGGGCCTGGGAATGTGGGGCCCACATCACTTTACAGGAGCCTTCCCCACCTGGAACTACAACTTCCATCACCCCCAGTCAGCAGGCCCAAATCATCTGGATTGCAGGCAAGAGGGGGACAGATTAGATTGTGGTTCAGTGGGGGAGAGCAGCTTGCATGCGTCTGTTGCTTAAAAGTATAGGCCAGGCATAGGTAAACTCGGCCCTCCAGATGTTTTGGGACTACAACTCCCATCATCCCTGACCATTGGTCTTGTTAGCTAGGGATGATGGGAGTTGTAGTCCCAAAACATCTGGAGGGCCGAGTTTGCCTATGCCTGGTATAGGCTTTGTCCCTGCCCTGCTCCTTCCTCCAGTGTGCTGGGGAGGAAACAAACCAGAGGCTGTCTTCAGGTTGCTTGTCAACCAGCACTCACGGGCTGTCCCCCCAAACTCAAGAACAACACTTTGCACACCAATATGAAATCATTCTGCAGTTTGTCCCCCACCCCACGCAGACTGGCTGAGGACAGGGAGTGACCATGATCCGAGCACTGCGCGCTGAAACTGCTTAAACCATGGGTAGGCAAACTAAGGCCCAGGGACCGAATCCGGCCCAATCGCCTTCTAAATCTGGCCCGCAGACGGTCCGGGAATCAGCGTGTTTTCACAGCAGTAGAATGTGTCCTTTTATTTAAAATGCATCTCTGTGTTATTTGTGGAGCATAGGAATTCGTTCATTTCGCCCCCAAAAATATAGTCCAGCCCCCCACAAGGTCTGAGGGGCAGTGGACTGGCCCCCTGCTGAAAAGGTTTGCTGACCCCTGGCTTAAAGCGTGGGGTGGGGAGGTTTTCCTTGCGGACAACCATGGGCATAGCCAGGATTTTTGTTGAGGGGGAGGACCTCGTTAGGGGGGCAGAACCAATGTGATTGGTCAATTAGTTAAGTATTTCTATTGTTTTACTTGATCTGGGGGAGGGCAGCTGGGCTACGCCCATGTGGACAACCCTTCTGGGTGTAGCTTGGCTAGTGGCAGTCAGGGCGAAAGAGGTGACTTGTAGAGTCGGCTTCGTTCCAGCCATGCAAGCTTCTGAGGTTTCTACGCACCAGCTCCCCATCTCCACCCAGGCAAGCAACAGATGTTGTTGTGGTTCACGGACACTTCCCAATGCCGGACTAAGCCCTGTGGAGGCCCCTAGGAAAGCAAAATCCTGCCCTCGTGCAGGCACTCTGGTGGGATGACACTGAACTAAGAAAGATTGGTTGTACATTTCCTTCAAGATCAAATCAATATTATTTTCACCCATTGTCACGGTGCCCCTAAAAGGCATGGGACCCATAGAGTGGTGCCTAATCAACCTATTTAGTAATCTGGTACTGACACTTTCCTACTAGCTGAGGAGAGTGTGGAGCAGGACCAGTGAGGGAGGTGGTCTGGGCATGGACTGGAACGTTGATCGAGGGACAGGCAAAGTCCTGGAGAACGGCATTGAGCCCCCAGACCTGAGGATTCCCACCCCGGTTTAAAGCAATGAGCAAACTGGGGCACTGTGTCTATCTGTGCTAAGGGTTCTCCACTGAAACAAACCAAATTCTGCATTTTAAAATATCCTGCCTACATTGTGCTGAGTAGAACAGGGGATGGCGACGTCCTGGCAACCCGTACAATGTGTTTGTATGTTCTTTACTTAGCTATTAGGGATGTGGGTGGTGCTGTGGTCTAAACCACTGAGCCCCTTGGGCTTGCCAATCGGAAGGTTGGCAGTTTGAATCCACGCAACAGGGTGAGCTCCCATTGCTCTGTCTCAGCTTCTGCCAACCTAGCAGTTCAAAAGCATACCAGTGCTAGTAAATAAATAGGTACCACTGCAGCAGGAAGTTAAACGGCGTTTCCGTGCGCTCTGGTTTCTGTCACGGTGTCCCATTGCGCCAGAAGCAGTTTAGTCATGCTGGCCAAGGAAAGCTGTATGCGGACAAACGCCGGCTCCCTTGGCCTGAAAGCGAGATGAGCGCCACAACTCCATAGTCTCCTTTGACTGGACTTAACCATCCAGGGGTCCTTTACCCTTTTACCTTTATAATTCACTATTTAAAAAAAGCAAGGACCCTGTCCTCGTTTCTGTCGGACCACCTTAAGTCTCAAAAAACACACCATCTACGTTGAAGTTATGGTGGTATTAAAAATATGTGTCAATGATTAGCTCAGAGGTAGGTGGTTGGCTCAGCTAATCCTGCTTTAACTTCTTTGACAACCCTAGTTCCAGTATTAACTTTTTTCTCCCTTTCTGTTGCCTCCTTTTAGGATTTCATAAGGGCTCTCATTGGGGCTGTTGCTTTCCTCATCACGTCCCTTATCGTTCTCATAGGACACAGAGATGGAGCTGGCATTGCAGCTGCGGTACATAAAAGCTAACAAAAATTCATGGAGGGCAGGGAAAGGACGCTGGAGTGCTGATTTGGCCAGCAGCGGGAATATGTAGGAATGTTGCTGTGAACGGGGAGACACGTGGCACATTTAGGCTTTGCTAGTTGGAGAACTGGACCTAATGGTCAGGGGTCCCTTTACCTTAGAGGAACGTGGGTGGCGCTGTGGGTTAAACCACAGAGCCTAGGACTTGCCGATCAGAAGGTTGGTGGTTTGAATCCCCGTGACGGGGTGAGCTCCCATTGCTCGGTCCCTGCTCCTGCCAACTTAGCAGTTTGAAAGCACGTCAAAGTGCAAGTAGATAAATAGGTACTGCTCCAGCGGGAAGGTAAACGGTATTTCCATGCGCTGCTCTGGTTCGCCAGAAGCAGCTTAGTCATGCTGGCCACATGACCCGGAAGCTGTACGCCGGCTCCCTTGGCCAATAAAGCTAGATGAGCGTCGCAACCCCGGAGTCGGCCACGACTGGACCTAATGGTCAGGGGTCCCTTTACCTTTACCTTTACTTTCAAGCCATGCTGATTTTTTGGTGAGAATGCGCTTTAAATCACTCCCACTTGAACTCAGTGGGACTTCAGAGAGCTTAACTTTGTCCAGCTCATGCCCCAAATAAATGCACAGTCAGTGCAACCGAATCAAAATTGCCATGCCTCTCGGCGCAAGTAGCTACTTTAATTTAGAAGAGGCAAAATGAAGCTTGACAACCCAAATAGAGGAATAAATGGGACTATTCTACCAAAAGCAACTACCAATAATAATATAAAAAGCCCACTTCCTACCTCGAGTACAACTGCAGAAATGTACTCTTAAAAGCAGATGGAGGCCCATACTAAACTTCCACTTCCTTCCGACAGGTGATTGGAATGCTGACAGGAATCCTTTTTGGCTACGATGCCTACACCATCTTACCAACCCTCAGGAAATCACATGCAGCAGCTCCCACTGGTAGGTCTTCTCTGTGCAAGGAAGAGTGTGATCCTGTGGCAATTGGCGGCTCTTAGATGGCTTTTGCTTGGTGCATCAGTAATCAGCCAGACAGACAGACAGACATAAGAGAACTTGCTAGCTAGTACACACACACGGTTGAAGGGTTTGCATGCTGAACAAGCCCAACTCTGTTTCGTTTCATTTGCAAGCCTCAGCCTTCCTCACTCAAGGCCCCGGCTGAGTTACCATTCAAGTTCTAACTGCTCAGAAGCTGGGTGTCCTTTCGTGTTTACTCTGCATCCAATTCATTCCCATTGCCAGCGTGGTTGGTTGTGAGTACCATAAACACTGTGCTTTGATATGTTTCCCTAGCAGGGGCACCATGTAGAAGGGGCTGAGGGGGCCTCAAATTTTCAAGGAGGTGACCAGGTCCCCTCAATATTACACAGCCTACCCATGGCAGGTATGGGCCCATCAGGCCTCCCCACAGCTGGAGCTTCCCTTTTAAAATGCAGTGGTACTTTGGGTTACAGATGCTTCAGGTTATAGACTCCACTAACCCAGAAATAGTACCTCGGGTTAAGAACTTTGCTTCAGGATGAGAACAGAAATCGCGCGGCGGCAGTGGGAGGCCCCATTAGCTAAAGTGGTACCTCAGGTTAAGAACAGACCTCTGGAACGAATTAAGTTCTGTAGCAGTTTGACACCAGAGCAAATTTCTCTCCACTTTTACTGTGTGAGGTGATGTCCATGCTTGCAGACCTTCAAATTGTAGTTGTGATGGATTTGGGATTAGAACATGCAGTGAAACCAGATGATGGAGAAGCAGGATGGACAAGTCAGGCAAGGAAGAGAAGCGGGAACATTGTGAAACAGCAGCCAGGTCCTATTCAACAGTCCAGGAAAAAGGGAAGCTTTGCAAGTTGATCTTGTGATTTTGCAAGTCACACTGACTAATGTTTTTGCTGCGTACACCACTTGTCTAATCTCCAATGTTGAAGGTTCACGGTTCCACTTGGGGGGCAGGAGCTATGTTTTGTATGGTATTACAGACATAGTGACTAAGCCCCTCTTCTGCACTGCAAGGTGCAGTCATTTGTAGGTCGATTAATGCACCACTCACTTGACGGTGCCTTGTCTGTGTTTCTGCGACGGTTGTTCGTTTGTTGTTGTTGTCTCGCCCAGTCTACCAGATGTTTATATACAGCCTTAGAAATTAGCACATTTTGCACCTGGCTTTCGACCAAGTGAAGATGCCTGGATTCCAGGATGGTGTCTGACATTTCCACCACCTGGAGATGCATGCCTGGAGATCCTTGGATCTGGACTGTTTTCACACACTAATACCCCATCCTGTCATATTCTATCCATTATATTTTATCTGCCCAATTGGAATGAATTTCTGGAACCAAAATGCTTTTTCAATGCAATCTGAGCAGGAGCAGTCACAGAGGTCAGAATAGGCCAATATCAATGTGGACTGTCGCTGGATCAAGTGACTTTTCTTCTTTAAGTTCTCAAAACTCTTAACTGAGCTCAAGGTTGTCCTCTGAACTACTCAGATGTTTAACTGTGAACCAATCCCAGTCAGTCCCACCATTTGAAAAATAAGACTTTAAAGCTGTCTTGCCCCAAAATGGCAACTAGACATTCCGTTTTGACGATTGTAACCTTGGTTTAGGGCAGGCACCCCCAAACTCGGCCCTCCATATGTTTTCGGACTACAATTCCCATCATCCCTGACCACTGGTCCTGTTAGCTAGGGATGATGGGAGTTTAGTCCCAAAACATCTGGAGGGTTGAGTTTGGGGGTGCCTGGTTTAGGGAGACATTTGGCCCCTAGCTTATATATCTGAGTTTCTAACACTGGCTTATATACTAAAGCCATTCCCAGAAGACCCCCATCTCCTTAAGTGTAACTAGATATACTCAAAGCACTTGACCAAATTGAATGGTCATTTGTGTTAAAGATACTGGAGGTACTGAGTGCGAAGAATCACTTTCTTCATGTAGCAAGCATGTAAGTCAGTGGTATGGTGTCTGCCTCTTATGCCCTCCAGAGAGGACTGCCATCTCACTTCTTCTCAGTATTAGTGATAGAGCTATTTTATCTTATATTATTTTCTGCCGATTTTGTTGTTCCTTGTTCTTTGTCATTACTTGTTACATTGAAAACATGATGATTTTGGCATTTCTCTGCTCCTTTACAGGTCCTTCAGATGGGATCTGAAGACACGCCGTTCTCTTGCTTCCACATCATGACTAGGCCCCAATCCTGGACCCATCACCTTTAGCTTCCTGCTGGATCTCCTGGTAGAAAACTACCCCAGTCTATAAATTTGACAATGTCATCCCTCTCTTCTGGACATCTCAGTGAGGTTCACCAATTCTTGAGAAAGATAATTCCACTCTTATTTCCGCCAACACTCTCTCCTATTTCTGACTTACCGTAATTGTGGAAAACAAAGGTAGCTTCTGCCAACTTGACAAAAGAATTATTGGCCCCCATTAAATGGGATTATTGAGGAAGGACAGAGAGGGGAAGCTTCAAATCAGTTTAGGGGCTCAAGCAGTTTACACAGTGGGCTGAGGGGAAGGGGAAATCTCCAGTTCTAGGAAATGTGGGGTGGAGAATGGAGTGGAAGAGAAGTCCACACACTCATTTTAAGTGCCTTCCTTTTTCTGTGCCTCAGTTTCTCCTGATTTAAAATGGGGAGAGCGGACCAGAGGCTGGTGCTTGCATCTAGTTAGCTTATGCTCACTCTGGGGTCTCCAGCCTAAGAGATCACCATTTTTAAGAAACATAATAAAAAAAGCTTAGGGAGCGTGTGTTTTGATGACTCTAGAAGACAATGGACCTAGTTTCTTTGAATGTTGTTGAGAATTTATTAAACCACCTTGACTGCCAATTATAATGGAAGTGATTGCCTTTTTTGTTGTTGAACTAACACTCAAACTTCATCTCTCCCAGGCAGCCTTCAGCCAGCCTGCCCAATATGGATCTTTTCTCTCCTCCTTCTTCCCAGCACATTTTGCTAAAGATATTCTTTACCTTTCACCTCACACCCAGTTACCCTGGCAACTTTCTGTCTGCCCTGACCCAAGATCCCTCTTAAATGGGTCATCAACACATTTCTGTCATGTTAGCGCCTCTATCCCAGGTGAGGCCCTGGCTTGGAAAAAGATTAGCCCGAATTTTTCTGCTGGACTGCAGTTTTCCCTTCAATATTCCAAACGATCAAAATCCTACCATTTATTAATTTCTAGGATTTAGGGGGTCCTCCCCAAAACTCACAACAATATAAATATATAAAGTCACTTCCCCACCACTCCTTGCACATCTGTGCGTCATGTGCTGCAACTTCTGGCCACATGTGCTGCAATTCTGCATAAACAAAAATGTGGTTGCAAAGATGTTTTGGAGTTGGGTGGGTGACACCTGCTGAAATTTTATATCGGGGGGTCTGAGTCATATCTTGGGGGCTCAGAGTGTGGGGCTCCAGTTCTCTGCTTAGTTTTATTTCTCTTAGTTTATTGCTTCCACTCTAATGAAAAATGAGCAAACATTTCAGAATGGGGAAATATAATATGCCCACTTTATACCGGTCACAGAATCCAGTTTCCTTGGAATAAAACTTGGGTTGCTTTGGTGTAGACCTTCTGCTTTTTATCTTGGTGTCATGCAAAGTGGTCATAGCCTTGGTTATGGGCTCTGGGTGATGTAGATATATATAGATATAAATGCAAACAGGCAAAAGGCTACAGGTGCTTTTTGCTTCTAGGGGAACGACGAGCTGTTGCATCACATTATCCTTAAGATTATATCTTTCTCCCCTATGGATTGTGGGCAGAGAGGAGGGAGGAAGGGGGAGGTATGTTTTCCCTATCCCACCCTCACTTCTCTATTGCTCTTTCTTCCCTTTCCTATCTGTCCCTCAGGCAGCTTGATTTTGTGTGTGTGTGCGCGTGCTTGTTCAGTGAAACAAATGTTTTAAAGCGCAAATAAAACGTGGCTGAATTAGTACTAACATCTGCTTGCTCTTTTGAGTGCCTTTATAAACACTTCTGGCCACATACAGATTTTTCTGTACAGCCCACTGTAAGACTTTCCTTGCTGCCCTTTGAAAGAAATTCCATTTTAAAGCACACGGTATCTAGCCCTCGTGTAGAGATAAAATTCTGATTATACAGACAAGGCACCATTCTGCAGGGGCCAAAATCACTGCACTCTGTGACTTATTTATCCTTCTCTTCCTTCTCCCACCCACCGACCTTCTTTCCCTCAGTCTAGTTTCTCTGCTGCCATGAGGGCCAGATGGAACAGCCAAATGTGGCCCCTGGAGCAGCTTGGCGGGACTTCTGTTTTTTAAATCTCTAATTGCATTGGATTTTGTGCATGTGGTGGAAGGAGAAGTCTCCTAAAAGACCCCCTTCAGAAGGACAATCATGAGTTCTTTGCTTGCTCCCATCCCACTGAAGACCTTCTTTAAGTTGTTGCCATCTCAGAGGGGCTAGATTGATGTGGCCATTGCCGTTCTACACTCATAAATGCTTGGGGCTAGGAAGCGATCCAAAGGTACTTTGCTGAAGTGAAGCAGACTCTACAGAATGCCTGAGACCACCTAAAAAACCAGATACAGTGGTACCTCTGGTTACGTACTTAATTCGTTCCGGAGGTCTGCTCTTAACCTGAAACTGTTCTTAACCTGAAGCACCACTTTAGCTAATGGGGCCTCCTGCTGCCGCTGTGCCACCACCGCACAATTTCTGTTCTCATCCTGAAGCAAAGTTCTCAACCCGAGGTACTATTTCTGGGTTAGCGGAGTCTGTAACCTGAAGCATATGTAACCTGAAGTGTATGTAACCCGAGGTACCACTGTACATGCTGCACAGAGCACCCCAAAGGAAAAGTGGGAAGTGAAAGCATTAACGAAGGCCAGGCCAGCTCTCCAACCCCCGAACTACCTACACAGGGGCTATCGTCAAGCTCTATGTTCTTTGATGACACGGTACAGTGGTACCTTGGGTTACAAACGCTTCAGGTTACATACGCTTCAGGGTACAGACTCCGCTAACCCAGAAATAGTACCTCGGGTTAAGAACTTTGCTTCAGGATGAGAACAGAAATTGTGCAGCAGCGAGAGGCCCCATTAGCTAAAGTGGTACCTCGGGTTAAGAACAGTTTCAGGTTAAGAACAGACCTCCAGAACAATTTAAGTTCTTAACCTGAGGTACCACTGTACATGCAGAGAATCATAAAAAAGAAGGCAAATCACGGGGTGCGGGAAACAGCAGCTACAGCACTGGAGTTTGGGCTGGATCCGTGTTCCACCATGAAGTTGGCAGAATAGCCTTGGTCATTCTTTGGGTTGTTTACTGGAAGATTAAATTGGCGTAATATCCTCATGTGTGCTCCTTTAGCAAACAGGAGACAAATGAAGATGATAAAATGTGCTCAAATAGAATGTGGGGCAGAGGGAACTCCAGAACGGCAACAACCTGGCTGCGAATTCAGCCCTAATATGCCAGGGATGTTGGTTATAGCTGGGGCTATGAATCTGGCACAGGAGCATAAATAATAAACAAGGGGCTGCCTCCCTGGAAGGAGGGAAATTCTCCCTAGAGGACTAACTTAGCAGCACACTGTGGCTATATTGAGCTTAACTCTGCTGCGTGAATGACTGTGCTTTATTTTTATCCTTAGACGCGAATGCTTTGAGGGCTCACACACCCAAGTGCTGTGTACACAAAATCTCCACTAAATAAATGAGTACAAGCCTCCATTGAGTTGTTTGGAACTTTCTCATTACTTAGTGTCCTTAGTCTACGGCAGGGGTGTCCAAACTTTTTTCAAAGAGGGCCAGATTTGATGAAGTGACCATGCGTGAGGGCTGAGCTTTTTTAGGATTGAAGTTGCTGAGGGTTTTTTTGGAATTTTATCTCACAACATATACTGCCACGGGGGCCCGTTTAAATCAACCGGCGGGCCAGATTAGGTCCCTGAAATGGACTTTGGACATGCCTGGTCTACGGTAATTAAAGCTGAGTGTAAAACAGAAGAGGTGACTATAAAGGAAGGATTTACTCCGCAGTAGCCTGCCGTACAGTTTTGGGGGACAGAGAAAATTGCCTTGTACAGTTTTACCTCTGGATGCGAATGGGATCCGTTGCAGAGCCCCGTTCGCATCCTGAAGTGAACACAACTCACGTCTGTGCGTGCGCGGGTTGCAATTTGCCGCTTCCGCGCATGCTTGTGGCGTCATTTTGAGCGTCTGCGTCTGCGCATGCGCGAGCAGCGAAACCCGGAAGTAACGCACGCCGTTGCTTCTGGGTCGCTGCGGAGCACAACCCGAAAAGGCTTAACCTGAAGCGACTTCAGCTGGAGGTATGACTGTATGTTTAGGTTAGCTTCCAGGGGCTTCGTTATGAAACTAGTGAAGAGTGCACTGAAGTGTTTTGTTTTTTCCTCCTTGGTTCAAGACGGGGATGCAAGAAGTCACCATATTCCCTCCTGCACAGAGGACCATTCTGCATGTTCGCTGCACAGCATCCTGCTTTCCTTGATTAAGGCCCAACATCCTGTGACGATCCACTGCAGCACACAAGTGTTTTCATATATTTTTATTTAAATTTCAATTAAATTAAATCCTCAATTAGAAAAAAAAACCCACCCAATTTTTAAAAATTGCAAACTCAAGAGATGCACAAAGTGCAAGAAGACAGGACAGAGAAGAGTAGTTTGAGGTGGATCAAGAAGATCTGTTGCAGGCTTTGCCCTATAGAGGACGCCTGGTGTCCATCTTTATTGGGTGCAAACCTGTACCAGATGTAGAAAGGAGTTCATCCCCCACAACATATACACACACCAAACACCTGATCTATAGAGAAAAAAGCACCCAGAGCTTGAAAGCAGGCAATTAATAATGGCAACTTGAAAGTCAATGATCAACAAGGGTCAACCCAGGAGAGGTGAGATAAGTTGAGAGGTCACAGTGGAAAGGTCAAAACCAAAGTTCAAGGGTTCCCAGGTAAGAGACTGCAGTTGGAAGTTCATAGGGCACAGTGCAGAGGTTCAAAAGACCATCACTCCGAAGGTTCAAGACAGAAGGGTTAATTCATGTTCAAAAGGTCACAGTTGAGAGGTCAAAAGGCCACAATGGAAAAGAAACACAACCAAAGTTCAAAGACCACCAGAGAAAGGAGTTAAGGTTCTTCACAGAAGGGTCACATCTAAAGATCAAAGGTCACCATGGAAAAGAGAGCGCTCAAGGGTCCCTGAGGAAAGGTGAGGGGATTTCAACGGTTGCGATGGAGAGGTCACTTGAAGAGGATCCCTGGCGAGGGGTCGCGAGTCAAAGCAGTCATGGCGGACGGAGCAAAGGTCCGTGGTTCCAAGCCTAAATCCCGATTTCATACTTGGATTCTTGTGGCCAAAGTCCAGAAGGTGGAAGTCAGGTCTAGGCAACAACGCAATTCTTGTCCCGGACCACACGCAGCCTTCGGCGCTGCCGCTTACGTATCGAGTCAGTGGGTGGCGTGGACTCTGTGGGGCTAGCCCCGCCTCGTAAATGGGGGGGCAGGGGTATCGGCTCCCCCAGAAAATACCCTTCCTCCTCCGAGGAGGAATCGGAGGAATCGGAAGAGCTGAAGTCCCATCCCCGGGGCGGGTAACGCCGGTGCCAGGCAGGAAAAGCCCCCTCAGAAGCGGAGTAGGAGAGGCTCGCTCCTCTGCCCTCCGCTGCGCCTTTCCTTGGCGGCCGCCAGCCCTGGCTCCCCAGGTTGAGAGAGTTGTCCGAGGTGGAGCGAGGGTGTCCCCGGCTAACGCTTCCGTTCTGAAGCAGCTGGGCGTCGACGGAGGTCTGCTCAAGACCAGGAGCACTGGGCTCCCCTGAGACCAGGGGCTCCCGGAAGCTAACTCGGGGTGCCCCTCCCCGGGAAAAGCTCGCCATCCCCAGCTCAGGCCCCTCGATGGGTCGCAGCTGGGCAGATGCTTGGAGTTTGGAAGCTGAGCTGCTGCTCCAGTCTGGGATCTTGGAGGGGTGGATGCCCAGTTCTGGCATAGAATGGCGCAAGGGGGATGTGCGTTGGAAGCACGGTCGCTTCTCAGTCCCTGGGGGAGGGGAGAAACAAGACTGTTAGAGAAAGAGGGCCGGACTCCAAATAATAATAATAATACAGTGGTACCTCTGGATGTGAACAGGATCCGTTCCAGAGCCCTGTTCGCACCCTGAAGCGAACGCAACCCGCGTCTGTGCGCCTGCACAGGTCGCGATTCGCCACTTCTGCACATGCGTGTGACGTCATTTTGAGCGCCTGCGCATGCGGGAGCAGTGAAACCCGGAAGTAACGCGTTCCATTACTTCCGGGTTGCCACAGAGCGCAACCCAAAAACGCTCAACCCGAAGCTACTTCAACCCGAGGTATGACTGTAATAATAATAATAATAATAATAATAATATATTTATATCCCGCCCTTCCCAGCCTAAGCCAGGCTCAGAGCGGCTAACAACAGTAAAAATAACACAGTTTACAAAAAATCATAATCATTTAATTGAAATACATTCTAAAATCAATTCAGAGTCAAATTAATGGCAATCATTGGGCTAGAGTTCTGTGAGGATTACAAAAGGAGGGGGGTCAGACTGTGCCTTGGCCAAAGGCCTGGTGGAACAGCTCTGTCTTGCAGGCCCTGCGGAAAGATATCAAGTCCCGCAGGGCCCTAGTCTCTTGTGACAGAGCATTCCACCAGACTGGGGCCACAGCCGAAAAAGCCCTGGCTCTGGTTGAGGCCAGCCTAACCTCCCTGTGGCCCGGGACCTCCAAGATGTTTTTATTTGAAGATCATAAGGTCCTCCGTGGGACATACCAGGAGAGGCGGCCCCGTAGGTACGAGGGTCCTAGGCCGTATAGGGCTTTAAAGGTTAAAACCAGCACCTTAAACCTGACTCTGTACTCCACCGGGAGCCAGTGCAACTGGTATAGCACCGGGTGAATGTGATCCCACGGCGAGGACCCCATAAGGAGTCTCACCGCAGCATTCTGCATCTGCTGGAGTTTCTGGGGCAGCCTCAAGGGAAGGCCTTCCCAAATAACATCCAGAAGTTTGTGGTGGTGATAGGATGCCACATTCCCTCCCAAAAATCCACCAACACACTTGGTTCTGCCTCACCTGTTCCTGGCTCCTGCTCCATGGCTGGTGGTGGGCAAGTGGAAGTACCCCGAGATGTACATTTGACTGGCTCCTCGCAACTCTGGCTGCAGCCCGAGCCGTTGCTGTCTGGATCCGAGAGCTCCTCTGTTTCCGTCGGCACCTCTTCCCCGGCTCCAGATAAGCCACTCCAGCTCCTTCGGATCCTCGGGGCCGAATTAGTGGGTGCTGGCTGCCCTCCAAAGGAAATGGAGCGGGCGACGTGGGAGGAGGAGGGCGAGCGCTGGGCCTGAACCCGCCGTTGCTGCCAGCTGGCTCGCCGGGAGTCTTGGGAGCGGGCACTCTGGAAGGCCGAGTCGCAGGAGTCCGAGCCGTTGGGGTCCTCGCCCAGGCTGCAGGCCCGAGAGCAGAAGATCTGGCCCTGCTTGGGCAGGAAGGGCTTCCCCAGCAGGGGCTGGTGGCAGCGGGAGCAGCTGAAGCAAGCATCTGTGGCATGCCAGTGCTGGCCCTCGTAGGTCATCTGGCCCTGGTCAATGCCTGCAGGGAAAGGAAAAGGCCAAACCAGGGGACAGGTCAGTGCTTCATTACTACACAAGCACACAATCAAAGATCTGGAGACAGGGTGGATAAAAATCAGTGATTTAAAAAAATAAAAACAAAATCAGATTTTTTTTATTTACATCAGTTTTTTAAAAAAAATCAGATTTTTTAAAATTTAAATTGTATTTTTAAAATAAAATGCTTTTGGAGGAAAAATCTTTCTAAAGGAAGTTTTCCATTTAAGATACATTATAGTCCAAAGGCTATTCATTAGGAAATAAGGATTTGTTTTAAGTTTTTCATGTGTGCTAAAACTCAGTTCAAGTTTTTTAAAAAACCCCACAAACATTTAACCACATCGGTCAACAAATATGGATACATATGCTATAATGTTATTGTTTTAGTTCAATAAATTGTTATTAAGGAAATGATTACTCTTCTCCTTCCAATAAAGTACAGCAGAAAGGTTGTCCAAATATAAACAGTTAACTTATTAAACCTCACAATAATTTCATAATTATCTGTCTATATATTTCTAATAGTATATCCAAATCAGTAATTTTGGATATAACTGTAAAAACTACTCTGAAAATTTATTATTCCAAAAATCAAACCTTCATCTGCTTGTAAATATTAAGATTATACCAGAAAGAATGAATCTTTCTGTAAAAAAAATTTTTAAATCAAGTCTTACTGACTAGTGATTTAAATTGTGATTTAAAAGGTGATTTAAATTGATTTGATTTAAATCAAATCCGCCCTATCTGGGGATCATGTCATGGGCTGGGAGCAAAGGTGGGTTTCAGGGGAGTACGACGGGTTTTTGCCTGCACTGGGCACCGAGAGGCAGCCACAACAATGACAAACATCGCAAGGCGAGAGGCGCCAAATTTTGGCATCTCACAGCGTGATGCTGAAATTCTAAACCCCAAAGTCTGCCACTGCTGGGAGTTTTTCTCATTGCAGCTTTCTGTGGCTGCACCATAGCCAGAACTGAGTTTTTCCAACGCTAAAGAAACACTCTGCAAACACAGCGTTCAAGTTTACTGAGCCCTGGCATGGAAACCATGTTCTGGAGACAAACCTTGCCTTCCTTCCCCGTAAAGCATAAAGGTAAAGGGAACCCTGACCGTTAGGTCCAGTCGTGGCCGACTCTGGGATTGCAGCGCTCATCTCGCTTTATTGGCCGAGGGAGCCGGCCAGCATGACTAAGCTGCTTCTGGCGAACCAGAGCAGCACATGGAAACGCCGTTTACCTTCCCACCGGAGCGGTACCTATTTATCTACTTGTACTTTGACGTGCTTTTGAACTGCTAGGTTTGGCAGGAGCAGGGACCGAGTAACGGGAGCTCATCCCGTCGCGGGGATTCGAACCGCCAACCTTCTGATCGGCAAACCCTAGGCTCTGTGGTTTAACCCACAGCGCCACCCGCGTCCCACGTGAAGCATAGCCTGATCCAATTATCTGATAATTCATAAAAAGGAACCCACAAATGGCCCCCCAGGAGAACCCTCTTCCCAAACTCCCCCCTTGCCCCGTGCCCATCTCATCTATTGCCCCATTTCTTACAAAAAGTCCACCTGGAAACCTTAGTTCTGGAAGCCAAATGAACTGTGCAGAAAGCACCCGCCTATTCAAAATAGCTCTGGGCATCCATACCAATGTGCTCGCCACAGGCGTCACAGTACTCTGCGTAGAGGCTCTCGTAGCAGCGGCAGCAGTAGGGGCGGCTCTGGCGCATGATGTACCGCTGCCCGCCCAGCGCCTCCTCGCACTCGAAGCAGCAGAAATGGCGCATGTGCCAGTGGCGGCCTTCAGCCTCTGTGCATTCGTCTGCAAAGATAATCTGTTGGGCAGGGCAAGAAAGGGAGCCACAAGTCAGAGGGGAGGGAAGTAAACAGAAGGCAGGCGCCTGAAGCCCTTTGTGGGGAATCCCACTCACATGCAACACAACAACTTTGAGCAACTCAGACAAGTGAGCCAAGGGGCAAAGAGGAAAATGTGGGGGAGGGGAGCCCAACAGCATTAAGCCAACCAGAAAATCCCTTCTGGAACTCAAGGCACAGCAAAGAGTTACTGCCTCTTCATGAAGTAACGTCCCAGGAGAGCTATACCAAGTGCCCTTTCTGAACACGTAGAAATCTGCTCTGCCAGGGAGGTTTGGGAATCTGAAATACACACCTCTTTCCCTTTGGTTCCTCCCTGGAAGTGGTTTATAATAATAAAAACAACAGGTATTTTTTAAAAAATCAGCATTACTAAAACCAAGAATGAAACAGTCATAGAAATAAAAACAGACTCCAAATTCCAATGACATGATTATGATCCATCAAGGAAACAAGGGCAAAAATGACTTGAGTCTTGAAGGCTTTCCCAAAACGCAAGGTTGCAGAAATGGGATGGCAGGTGTAGATACTAGATGAGTTAAGCCAAAAAGTCCCTTATTTTAAGATTAAGAAGAGTCCAGCTGGATCAGGCCAAAGGCCCACCCTAGCAGAACCCGAGCTCAGTGGCTCTATCCCAACTTGTAACTCTCAACTAATGGTATTCAGAGGCTGACTTCTTCTGATAATGGAGGTTTTATCCTCCATGAATTGGTCAAAACCCCTTTACAGCCAACACTGTAAAAGGCCATCACTACACTTTCTAGAGAGATGTAGTTCCGATTTCACGCTTTTGTGCTTTATATTTACATTGGTTTTCATGTAAGCCACCCAGAAATGTTGTGGAGTGGCATAAAAATAAGCAAAAAAGTGTGTGTGTGTGTGTGTGTGTGTGTGTGTGTGTGTGTGGACCCATATATATATATATATATATATATATATATATATATATATACACACAAAAATACTCAGGAGGACACTTGTTCCTCTTCGCCCTTTCTCAGCTTTCCCTTCCGTCATAATAACTAATAACATCCAGGGGTGGTGAACCAGTGCCCAATTTTTGCTTTTAAAACTAAAAACTAGTCATCACCCCCCTGTCCCACAGTCATATCTCCTAACATTCTGCGTTGGGTTAAATAATTTAAAACTGAAATAGAAATTTGCTTCTTGACTCAGCAAAACTAGGTCTGATCAACATCTGGCATAAAAGCATGCAACCTGGTGCACAATTTGGAGAAGAAATCTCAAAACGTGTGTGTGTGAGCGCGTGTGTGTATCAGGACTGCCATCTTTCAAAAAGTGAAAATCTGGACCGACATGGGTTGCCATACGTATGGATTTTCCCAGGCATTTTAGAATAGAATAGAACAGAATTTATTATTTATACCCTGCCCATCTGGCAGGGTTTCCCTAGCCACTCTGGGCGGCTTCCAACAGAGTATTAAAATACAGTGGTCTGTTAAACATTAAAAGCTTCCCTAAACAAGGCTGCCTTCAGATGTCTTCTAAAAGTCTGGTAGTTGTTTTTCTCTTTGACATCTGGTGGGAGGGCGTTCCACAGGGTGGATGCCACTACTGAGAAGGCCCTCTGCCTGGTTCCCTGTAACTTGGCTTCTCATAGCAAGGGAACAGCCAGAAGGCCCTCGGCGCTGGACCTCAGTGTCCGGGCAGAATGATGGGGGTGGAGACGCTCCTTCAGGTATACAGGACCGAGGCCGTTTAGGGCTTTAAAGGTCAGCACCAACACTTTTTTGTTTTTTGCCAATTTCTGCCCAGACACTGCTTCCGACTGCAGTATTCTGGGTATCTCTAGGAAATTCCAGATTTATGGCAACCCTAGTATCTATCCATCCATCCACCCATCCAATATCCCCACCCTGTGGCCTTCGGAGTGTCTGCCACAAACCCTCACCTCATCGCAGGCCTCACATCGCGGTTTGAGGCGCTCAGCGTGGTGACGCCCACAGTAGATCTTGCCGCCCTGGTAGAAGTAGATGAGGTCAACGAGGAGCTCCCGGCAGGTGGTGCAAACAAAGCACTGTGGGTGCCAGCAGGCGCCATGCCCAGCCCGGCTGGCAAAGACCGCAATGTCCCCACCACATATCTGCTTCCCGCACTGCCAAGGGAAGAGAAACCAAGAGCACTTAAGACTTACATATCACTTTGCAAAGGGTTTGAAGCACCACACATACGTTACAGAAGCCACAGGTTCTCTATCTCTGCTTTAAACCCAAACTGTCCAAGGCAGTGGTCATCTTTCGAGACTTTTAATTCAAGGTGATGCTTATTCGCCAGAGACTAGAGACCTTCAGAGAGGGGCATTTCCTCTTCAGAAATAAGACTCCCCAAGGCTCACGGCAGGGCCTCCTCAGGGGTGGCACCACAACTGTCACTCTCCATTAAGAAGCCATGTTTCTTCCAGGGCTGCTCACAAAAACAGTTTGGTTTACACAGGACGCTTTACGAGGGTGAGCGTGCTCTGAAATGACCTTGTTGCTGCTCTATTGCTTTTGTGCACAGTTTGTGTTTCTAAACATTTCTTGTTTCATTTGAGAATTTTCGCTGAAAGGCAATCAACAAGATTTAAATAAAAAAGAGAAGAACAGAGCCGAGGGTTGGGATTTTTGTGTGTATTAAAAGAGCCAAGTACCTCATCTGAACACTAGATGTTGCTGTTGCTCCTCCAATGTATTTTAACTCTCCTCTTGTACCAGGAGCCAAAATTCAAAATTTCCATGTGGGAGGTGCAACTCACAGCCCACATATTTCCTCTTCCAATTTTTTTAGAGACCAACCCTTCCTGTGTATCACAGAATGCAAATACAGTGGAACAGAGCTACCTTCATAACTTTCTTGGGCAATTGCCACGTGTGTGTGTGTGTGTGTGCGCGCGCGCGCATACACACACACACACACACACAGAATCCAGGAGCCATAACACACTGCCTACTGCAGCGTCTGCCAGCGTGGTGCCCTCCAGTTGCTTGGGGGGCTTTAACTCCCCCCTGCAACCATGCTCACTGGGACCAATGGGAACTGTCGTCCACCAACATGAGAGGGCGAGGAAGGAGGCATGTGGCAGCAACACGAACAGAAGGCTGGAAGGAGGCTCTCGCCAGCGGACTGTAGTAGCTGTCAGAAATCCCAGCTGCTACAATAGTCCAGGTTCACAACAAGGAGTGAATCAGAGCCATGCCAACAATTCTTATCTCCGACATGCAGAGATGGGTGGAGAATGGAGCTCTTTACCAACACACAATGGCCCAGAAATGACCCGGAATAGAAGAAAGGGTGTGTTCTGGGATCACCCTGGAATTTGCTGCCCTTGCCAACAGATCACAACCCTGATTCAACTTCCAGTGAAGCAACCTCAGCATCGAAAGAGCAACTTATGCAAGCCCCACTCGCGTAGAATTCCCTAGAGCACCAGCACTACTGGCATGGGAAGGAACAGCATGAATCAAGAGACCAGCCTAAGTAGCGCTTGCACACATGACCACGGAGATGCTGGTCCTGAGCACCAGGAAAGACCATTCACACCACACAAATTGGGCCTAAGTATGGGCGCGGGTGGCGCTGTGGTGTAAACCACTGAGCTTTGGGCTTGCCAATCAGAAGGTTGGTGGTTCAAATCCCCGCGATGGGGTGAGTTTCCGGTGTTCGGTCCCAGCTCCTGCCAACCTAGCAGTTTGAAAGCACGTCAAAGTGCAAGTAGATAAATAGGTACCACTCTGGAGGGAAGGAAACGGCGTTTCCGCATGCTGCTCTGGTTCGCCAGAAGCGGCTTAGTCATGCTGACCACATGACCCAGAAAAACTGTCTGTGGACAAACGCTGGCTCGCTCGGCCAGTAGAGCGAGGTGAGCACCGCAACCCCAGAGTTGTTTGCAACTGGACTTAACTGTCAGGGGTCCTTTACCTTTTTACCTTTATGGATCTAATTATGAAGCCCAACTGATAAGACCTGAATTTCTGGATTCAGGTTCAGCACAGTGGATTTAACAAGCCACCAGAGGTTTGTAATGGCTTCTACACATTGAGCTGAACCCTGAGAATCTGCTGTTGCGAGTGCTAAACTAGACGTTGGATGAAATATTTTTGTTTAGTTAACATGTCTCCCTCTAAAAACCAGTATGGGGCAGAAGCAAGAAGAAATCCCGATGAAAGAAGAATGGCAGACAAAATTAATGGACTACGCAGAATTAGATAAAATGACAGGAAGGATTCGAAACCTGCGGGATCAGAGATTTGCAGAAGATTGGAAAAAATATACGAACTATTTGAAGAGCAACTGTAATCAACAAATTACGCTAATAGGACTACAAGAAGTTTTGTAAGGAAAAATATATGAAATATTGCAAAATAGAGAAAGAAGAGAAATTAGTCAAAAGATTTAAAGGTAATAGTGAAATTAAGAAATGTATATTAAGTGATTAGATTGGAAAATTTTCAGATGTGACTGATGGAAGTCCAAAAAAATTGTATAAGATGTAAAAGTATGTTTAATTATTTGAAAATGATATGTTAAAACTAATAAAGAAACCAGTATGGGGCAGAGGAGGAGGCCACAATTTGAAGGGCAAGGGTGACCGCTTCTCCCTGCTTTCCTCCCCTCGGTCTGAGTACGCCATGTCTCGGGACGCCAGCTGGGCAAAGTTGACCCAGGGAGTGTGGAACACATGGTGAGAAGTGGCAAGCAGAAAAAGGGCTAAGCAAGTTTCTCCCACCTGCCACTTCCCCTCTCCAAAATCCCAGACCCTCTCTGCTGCTGCTGCTGCTGCTGCTGCTTTCTCGATGTTCAGCAGTGGACTGGGCTGCCAGCCCCACTGGTCTTCTGCCAGATATCTAGCTTGGCTCTGAAGACTTCTCTGTGTTCAGTCTCCCAAACACTCTTCAACCCTGCGCTGGTTCTCAAACTGTGTTGACACTGGCAGTGCCTGAGTGAGGCCCAATACCTGCTCACAAATGGCTCCGGTTATGGTGACGGGGAAGAGGCGGACAGTCCCACGTCCCAGGTTCTCTCGCTTTCGTTGCTGTGAGAATAACTTCAGTTCTTTCGCTTCTTCCTCTTCCAGAGAGCTGCAATACTGAGCCTGTGCAGAGATTTTTTGGGGAGAGGGGAGAGAAGAGTTAGTCAATGAGGGCCCAAAGCAATACTGTCAAGATGTCTTCTCGTCTTTGGGGCAGGGTGTCTGCTGCTGTTCCAGAGGCGCTTTGCCTATGTCCCCAAAGGGAGCCCCCAAAGAAAAAGACATGTTGTAATTAAAACCAAGACCAAAAAAAGAGGACTCAGCTGCTTAGCTCTCACTCTGGTTCCAGGCCTGGGGCACAAAGATCAAAGGCAGCAGCAACAAGTAGAGCTACACAGCCCTGCAGCCAGGCAGTGACCCGAGGGAAGGTGAAACTTTATAAGAAGGAAAATAAATAAAATGTTTGCCCTGCAAGGATGAAACCGCACAGCACGTCAAAGCGGGAAAGAGATGTCAGTGCATATCTGAAGGTCTTTTTCCAGACTATGTCTTAACGCACAGAATTCACCGTGGTTACCCATACAATCTGCAAATAGAGGTGGGTGGGATTCAGGTAGTGGTGCCTCCACCATCAAAACTGTCCCTGGAAAATCGTATTTTTCCTGCACTGAAGCTGCAAATTGCTAAGAAAACACAATTGGCCCCTTTTGGAATGATGTTGTTATTATTTACAAAGCACCACTGACGTAACACGGCGATTTACAGAGTTAACATTAAGAAGCAAAGCAGGGCTCTGCCCCGATGGGCTGACCATCTTAACTACTGTACAGCATCTAATGGTGTCTGCGACACAGCAGCAGGGGAATGGTGCAAGTCAATCCCTACTCTCTCAGCGCCATTTTGAAATGTCTGTCTTCTTCCCATTCCCATCCCCAAGTGCAGATTGTGATAGAGTTCACCTTCAGCTTTTGACAATGACAGGGGTTTTTTTTTGAGGGGGGCGGGAGAGATTCTGAACTTGACTCTTAGCTTGTGTCCCCCTAACAGCCATCGCCTCAGTCACAGGTTGTGTCTTACTTTTTGAAACCCAAACTTGGTTTTTAGTCCCCGTTTAAAAATGTGGTGAGATTCAAACTGGGAACTCTAGGCAGGTCCTGGAGGTAAATAAACTACAGAGGCCACCTTAAACCTCCCTCCCTCCCTCCATTCCTTCCATCCTGATTGGCTACCAATGGACGGACATGGGACAACGCCTATAGAAACCTCTTGGGTTGCACAGCGCTGCAGTTCCCAATCAAATGCTGGCCTACCTGTCTCGTCCTTGCCCCGCCCTCCTTCCGCACCTGGGGGAACCCACCAGATACTCAGCCTTGGGCTCCAGCCAACCATTGCCCCAGGACAAGGCCCACCCTTGGGATGGCAGCCCAGCTTTGTTAACCTGGCACCTGTGGGATGAGGACTGCAGTCCTTGCCTGGCACTAGCCGGCCTTCCCAAAATCCCTTGGCAAAGGGCCATGTTGTTTTATAGCTCCCTGAATGAGGAAATCACTACTGTACCCTTGTTTCCAGAATGCTGAAGGGCATTATCGGGCGTCTTCCAGCCCTCTCATTACAACGAAGGATAAACCGCAGTCCCCACAGCTGGTTTCTCTAACACTAATCAGGATCTTTATCTGATCCTTTCCCCCCCTCCCCATCATCATCATCTTGGGAAGGTTCGAGAGCCCTAATCTTTTTCAATTTCTCCATGTGCAGAAACTCTTCCAGTTACCTCATCTCCCTGTGTTTGCCGGCCTTGCTCCTTTGGTTTCAGAGAAAGGACCCACAAAGCGTTTGGGGGAAAAGCAAAAGTGAGGTCTATACAGGGTGGGGAGGGCGCAGGCCTCCAAAGACGCCATTTTTGTAGGAGTCAGGTGCCTCTTTCCTGGGAAATAATCCCAGCGCCACCCTTATCAGAACTTCCAATATGAATGAGAAGTGGTTTTCTAGTGTAACACCAAATACAGAGGATTTTCACCTCAGAGTCGCCAAGGGATAGCAATGCCACTCCACGCCCGTAGGAATCATGGCCAGTGACAGTTTTCTTACCAGAAGTTTAGGTGCCAACTTTTCCTTCCTACCTCTACAAATCTCACAGAGTCCTAAAGTTTAAGGTGTTTCTGCATTTGTGTGTCTACACCAGGGATGGGGAACCTGCAATCCTCCAGATGTTGTTGGATTACAACAGGGGTCGGCAAGGTTTACCTCGCCTGGGCTGGTTCACTCCAGTGGAGATCCCTCTATGGGCCGGACTGTGTGTGTGTGTTAGCGCGCGTCCGCGATTTCCGGTGTCTGGGCATGCGCAGACAAGATTTCTGGCACCACAGAAGCGAGTCCCCGCGCCACGTTGGTTTAGTGCAGCGTGAGGGGACTTACCGAGTGGGCAGCTCGTGGGCCGGTTAAACAACCTCTGTGGGCCGCTTGTGGCCCATGGGCCTTAGGTTGCCTACCCCAGATTACAACCCCCATCATCCCTGGCTATCAGCGATGCTGGTTGGGATTGATGGAGGGCACCACAGACTCCTCACCACTGATGTAAACAGAGAACCATCCACTCACAAGGTGAAGCCAGGTCAACACCACCCGGCAGCCTATCAAATCCAGATAACTAACGGACAGAGCACCAGTTCCTGATAACAAGCAAGTATAAAGAGAGCCCAAGCCTGCCCATGCCTGGTGGTTTGAATACAAGCACAATGGAGAAAAGAAGACCATCTTCCAATATCTAAAGGGCTACCACATGGAAGATGCAGCAAGCTTGTTTTCTGCTGCTCTGGAGGTCAGGACTCAAACTCATGGCTTCAAGTCACAAGAAAAGAGATTCTGGCTAAAAATCAGGATAAACTTTCTGACGGTAAGAGTTGTTTGACAGTGGAACGGACTCCCACGAAAGGTGGCAGACTCTCCTTCCTTGGAGATTTTTAAGCAGAGGTCGGATGGCCACCTGTCATGGATGTTTTAGCTGAGATTCCTGTATTGCAGGGGGTTGGACTAGATGACCTTTGGGGGTACCTTGCCACTCTACAATTCACCCAAGCAACCCAGCACACGTGTGCCCGTAATATCACAAAAACAGCCAGGTTAAGACCCCAGGCTCCTAGCAAGCGAAAAGAGAGGATACAAATAAAATAAAAACAAAAGCCTGCGCAAACAGCATTTTACATTTCCAGTCAGTTAATGGTCACTACACACCATCTGTCCCCATCATAAGCCAGCCCTTCCCCATGCCTGTGGGGAAAGTGTTTTGCTGGCGACGTCCTTGGCCTAGCAATTCCGAGCAGCGAGGCTGGGAAATGGCATTGTGTTGTGCCTCTCCTTTGGAGAGCACTTAGCCTAATCATTAATCCAGCCCCCTGGGAGCAACAGACAAGAGCCTTGTGAATGGGAAGGGCAAAGGTATTTAGCACAGCAACCTTCATCCGATTACAATCTGAAGTGGAGGAGACCCCCCCAGGCCACAGATCTCCCCCCTTCACTCTTTCCCCGCATACATACAATCAGCGCTGGGAATGCTCAGCAGCCCTGTTCAAGTGTGGAAACTGTTTCCCCTCCTAAGACATGGGTAGGCAAACTAAGGCCCGGGGGCCGGATCCAGCCCAATCGCCTTCTAAAGCCGGCCCGCGGACGGTCTGGGAATCAGCGTGTTTTTACATGAGTAGAATGTGTGCTTTTATTTAAAATGCATCTCTGGGTTATTTGTGGGGCAAAGGAATTCATTCATATATATTTTTCAAAATATAGTCCAGCCCCCCACAAGGTCTGAGGGACAGTGGGCCAGCCCCCTGCTGAGAAAACGTTTGCTGACCCCTGAAGACCTCTAGTTTTCATTAAACATTTCTAGCCCTTATTGAGACGTAGTATGTGAACCACGCTTCGTGAAAAGTGTCCAAAGTGAGGGGGCTGGGGAGGGAACACATCTGTGTGACTTGCATGGTTTTTACATTCTGAAAAATGAAAATTCCCCTTGATGAAAGATCTGGATTACCTTGGTGAATAATTTTTAAAAAGGAAAGCGGTGGGGAAACAGACTACATGAAGTGCTGTGCATTAATTAGCAGAACACACACTACCCGTTTGGAGAAGAATGCCTGCTTTTTTCTACCGTGATTATCAGCCTGTCACACACACACAGATTAATCCCAGTAGTGCAGATCGCAAACAGAGAGTGAGAGGGAACACATTGCCTGCAGAGCAGATACCTGCTGATGACTGAAAGCAAGAGAACAAAAGCCACACACAGAAAGTGAGAAGGCAAAAAATATATAAAAAATAAAAATCCCCACCTCAAGCAAGCAAGCAAAACAAACACAACCACCCTGGGGAAATTCCTTTCCATTTCTATAGCTGGCAATTGTTAAACCTGCTGCCCTCCAGATATCTTGCTGGACTCCAATTCCTATCAGCCCCGGCCAGTATAGCCAGTGGTCCAGGGATGATGGGAATGGTAGTCTAGCAACATACAGAAGGTAACTAGTTTCTCTGTGGGCCCTTGGTTTGCATGAAAGGATCTATAAACTCCCCCCTGCCAAACGGATGGCAAGCCCAAGTTGGGGAAAGGAGGGCGGGGGGAGATCTCTAAAAATGAAGTTTGGAAAGGGAAGTAGGACTGTTTATTATTATTATTATTATCATCATTTATTTCATGAAATTTATATACCATTTGATTGTAAAAAATCAACATACCACCCCCAAAGCATTTTATAAAAAGATAAAAGCAAGGAAAAATTACATCAATACTTTAAAAACATACCAAAGGTTAAAATTCTAAAATATGTTAAAATTCACATCAGCATTTCAAACCAGCTGGTAAAAAGGTAAAGGACCCCTGACAGTTAAGTCCAGTCGCGAACGACTCTGGGGTTGCGGCGCTCACCTCGCGCTAGTGGCCGAGGGAGCTGGTGTTTGTCCACAGACAGTTTTTCCAGGTCATGTGGCCAGCATGACTAAGCCGCTTCTGGCGCAATGGAACACTGAAACCAGAGGAGCACATGGAAACGCCATTTTCCTTCCCGCCGGAGCGGCACCTATTTATCTACTTGCACTTTGACGTGCTTTCGAACTGCTAGGTTGGCAGGAGCAGGGACCGAGCAACGGGAGCTCACCGCGTCGTGGGGATTCGAACCACCGACCTTCTGATCGGCAAGCCCAAGAGGCTCAGTGCCACCTTGCGTAGGCTTGCCTAAATAAGGATGTTTTTAGCAGGCGCTGCCACACTAAAAAGATCAAATTCTCACAAATACGGAATGGGTATTAATGTGGCACCTGTAGGATAAGAAGTTCAAAAGCAATAGGTGTGGGGAGACAAGCACCCCCACATGCATTCCCTAACATGTGAGGGAGAAGTGTGCCAAACCCCTAGACTAGCCCAGCCTGCAGCCCCCACCTATCCAGCAGTCCCACATACAACATTAATAATAAAGGTACATGTAGAAGCCTCTTCCTTGTGATCAGGAACCCTGGGCTGCTAACGGAAGCATTTTGCAAAGTTGCTCTATAAAGTCTTAAGGTTTGGACTTGAAACAGCCCCTAGGGGGATTTTCTACAGCCGTGGGGCAGCCACCAAGGGCGCCTCTGTACACGCCCTTGCTGTTCAAACACAGTGCCTGGATTGTGACAGTCACAAAGGTGCTCTCAGTAGATCTGAAAAGGCAAAGATGAAAAGCAGAGAAAGCAGTTTCTGAGGTATGCAGGCCTGAAGGCCATAAGGGCTTTATAAATCAAAAGTCGCATACAGAATTGAGTCCTGAAATTCATGTGAAGCCGATGCAGACATTGAGCCCTAACTGATGTGCTCCCAGCAATTTGCCCCAGCCAGGACTTTGCACGGAGACCTCCAGGCAGTCATCAAGGGCAGCCCCACATAGGAGGGCACTGCCGCCTTTGAATGAATGAATGAACAAACGAACAAAGGAATGAATGAGAGTTGCCAGTTCCTAGTCGAAGAAAATGAATGTTAATTTAAAACAAAAAAGTCTACCCTGCTTTTCTACTGTATGGGGAAGTTTTTAACATTCTATTATGTTTTTGTATATGCTGGAAGCTGCCCAGAGTGGCGGGGGCAACCCAGTCAGGTGGGCGGAGTACAAATAATAAAATGATTATTAAAAAATATATCATTATCAATGCACTCAAAGCGATTAATAGACACACTAAACCAGCAATAAGGAAACAGCAGACACAGAGAGAAAATCTGCAGCAAATACGTGTCTGAAGAAAACTTTCCAAAACCCACCTCACAAACAGAAAGAAAGGGAGCCTTTTGGATCTCTCCAGGGAGGGAATTCCATAAATGAGAGGCAAAAACACCAAAAAGGCCCTGTCCCTAGCGCCTGCCAGCTGTATTTCTAAAAGTAGTGGACTAACAGCAGGGCCTCAGTTGCAGCCTTCAGTGACGGAGCTTGCAAAACGTACATCTGGTCACCACCCACAGGGTTACCCGTAATCAACCTGTTGGCCTACAGATATTGTTTGACTACAATGCCCATCATCCCCAGCCAGCACTGGATGGGACTGATGAGAGTCGTCGTTTGACCCCAGTTTACAGCATCCTTTTGAATTCTGCTGCAAAATCTGTACAGTGGTACCTCAGGTTACAGACTCTGCTAACCCAGAAATAGTACCTCAGGTTAAGAACTTTGCTTCAGGATGAGAACAGAAATTGTGTGGCGGTGGCACAGTGGCAGCAGGAGGCCCCATTAGCTAAAGTGGTGCTTCAGGTTAAGAACAGTTTCAGGTTAAGAACAAACCTCCAGAACGAATTAAGTTCTTAACCCGAGGTACTGCCAATACGACCCCTCTGAGCTTGCAAGCACACCCATTCCCTCTTAAATCATCCTGTTCCTTCTCAGTGTGGAATAATAAAATGCCCTTCTCACCTCACTGTCATGGGGGGGAAGCTGGTGGAGCAGCTGGCGAATGCGGTACCTTTCCCCAGGGCTGTTGACGTAGGGGACTTTGTCCTCTGGGAGGCAGCTGAAGAACTGATAGACCTGGAGGTAAAGAGAGACATTAGTGGGTCAAATAGGGGAGACCAGAAGTGAGGCTCACAAGGGCTAGAGTCCTGCTGCCCAGCAGCCCAAGCAGAGGCCTTCTGCTCCGTCTCCAAGTTTTCCAGGAGTCCAAGGAAGGCAAGTTCTTTACAGGAATGTTCAAAATGTGGAAGCGAATTTGGATTGACGCGGTGATCTCCTTCAGGCTACATCAGGCATGGCCAAACGTGGCCCTCCAGCTGTTTTGGAACTACAACTTCCATCATCCCTAGCTAATAGGACCAGTAGTCAGGGATGATGGGAACTGTAGTCCCAAAACAGCTAGAGGGCCAAGTTTGGCCATGCCTGGGCTACATTCATACCACATGCTTAAAGCAAAATGATGCCCCTTTAAACAGCCATGGCTTCCCCCCAAAGGATCCTGGGAAGTGTAGTTTGCTAAGGGTACTGAGAGTTGTTAGAAGATGCCCTATTGCCCTCACAGAGGCACAGTTCCAGGAGTGGTTTAACTATCAGTCCTTCTTCACAGGGAACTCTGAGAATTGTAGCTCTATAAGGAGAACGGGACTCCTAGCAACTCTCCAAATAGTGCACAGGGAGAGCTACTCCGGTGCACCGGATAGAGACCACTCTGAGCTCATAAGCTCAGCGCATGGCCTCAGAAAAAGCACTCTCTCTTGGTCAACATGCCCCATGGGTTCTCCTGATAATCAACAAGATAAGCAGGGTAAACACCTTATACAATGAAAGCAATGGAAAGTCTTAAAGAAATGTTTCTCAGTAATCAGCTTAAAACAAGAGCTGTGCTAATCAGATTACAGCCTGGCCTTGCTGAAGTGATCAGATTTCACAACACACCCCCTACAAAAAAGGCAGCAACTGGTTTGTAATTAAATTGGCACCGCCTCTTTTTAAAAACTTCCTACCATTTTGTTCTGAACAATCCTCAACTTTATTAAGGTAAAGATCAGACCAAATGACTTCCTTTAAAATAAAAAGTGCACCGATTATCCTAGCCTGAAAATTTTAGAACATCAGTTGGCCCAGTAAATTGCTTCTGAAATTTAGAATATCACTTGATCCACTGATTTCAATGGGATCTAAGTACAACTAAATGAATCTGCAATTCTGTGCTCACTCACCTGAGAGTAGATCCCATTGAATTCAATGGGGCACACTTCTGAATACACTCCTATGGGGTTGCACTGCTAGTCTGGATCCAACCCAATGTCATCTTTGCTCTGGGGATGAGTGGAGGGACTGAATTTGCATCTTACAGAAGTAGTTTTTCTCCTCACTAGAAATGTGTCCCTGAATGCATTCTGTTAGTCCCCTTTCTCAATACACAAAAATTGCTGCCATTCACTATTATGGGTTAGTCAGAGAAGGAAAACACTTGCGACAAAAGGAAAAAACAACCCTTCACACGTTTATTTGGAACATTTATATACTGCTTTTCAACAATGAGCTCTCAGTGAAAAATTCTTACCCTTTGCAAGATAGAGGCTTGTATCCAACGTAGCCATCCTTCCAGTGCAACAGGACTTCACTCCCACTGTGAGCCCCCTAAATCTCTTCTGGGGGTTCTCCTCCAGCCCCCCAGAGCAGATTTGAGGAGGGTCCAGGGTGTGTGTGGTGGGAGAAGAAGTGAGGAAAGTCTCGTTGCACTAGTGGGAATCCTTGCACTGACAGGTCAAGGGATTTTGATCCCACACACAGCCCATCATAGTTCGCACGTCACAGTAAGCCAGGAATAATCCACGGTTTATTGTCTACGTGAATTGCACCTGCCTTTCTCCCTACTGCTTGTGATGGAAGGAAACAAACCAAGATCCCTGGCTTAGCATTACATCTGAACTAGAAATTGAGGTTTGCTTTGTCCCAACGAACTATGATCTGTACTGAAGATCTGCTCCAGTTTATTGATTGTCGTTTGTTGATATGAAACAGACCACAATCTTTGGTTGGGCTTAATTGTTTTCTCTGGATGCGAGCAAAGAAGAGATAAACAGTCCAGGTAGGCGCATTACAGTAAACCATTCACTGATTTACCATGACGTGTGAACATGTTCATAATGATTAGTATTTGCTAGTTATTAATGGCCCTAACTTACTAATGTCTGTTCATTTCAGTGGGTCTACGCTGAGCAGAACCTCCTCGCTTCCATTCCCCACGCGGTCAAAAAAATGCACTGGTTGACTTTAAGGAGATTAGACAAGTTGGATGTTATTACAGAGTACAGTGGTACCTCGGGATGCGAATGGGATCCGTTCTGGAGCCCCGTTCACATCCTGAAGCGAACGCAACCCGCGTCTGCACAGCTGTGGGTCGCGTTTCACTGCTTCTGCGCATGCACATGACGTCATTTTGATCATCTGCACATGCATGCGCGGTGAAACTCGGAAGTAGCGCGCTCCGTTACTTCCAGGTCACCGCGGAGCGCAACCCGAAAATACTTAAATTGAAGCACATTTATCCTGAGGTATGACTGTAAGAGTTTTAATAAGTTTTTTAAGCTGATAGACGGAGAATGGGAAGCCTGTTCTTTTTCTTTCTTTTAGTTTTTCTGTTAAAAAATGCTTGATTTGATGTTATTTCTGTATATTGCTTTTTCTTTGTTTTTCGAGCTTTAATAAAAAATAGCTTTTGGGGGGGAAAGTTCTCTGGGTGACTTTGGGCCAGTCATCATCTCTCAGCCTAGCCTACCTAACAGCGTTATTGTGAGGGTGAACTTGAGGGTTATGCTGTCGTAGGTAGGCGATAAATATATAGCGAATGTCCTTCCCAAGTGCTTTCCTGACTGCACTTTCCTTTTCACCTGTTCCTAAGGGAAGGGGGTTCTCCCTCCGTTCAGTTATATGAAATGAGGGGAAAGGGGTGGGGCGATTCCCTCTCCCTCTCCAGACCAAATGACCCTGAAATGTCTTGAGTGGGTGGGCAGAGGACTGGGCTCTCCCTAGAAGATTTTCCTGGTTAACCTGGAGCCTGTGGAATTCTACCCTCCAGGGCAGCTGCCTGCACTCCCTACCAGGTCGAATTGGCTCCTGTCTGGCGGTGGATCAAATTTAACTCCTTCAGGAGAACGGGAATCCTGGATCCCAAAGGCCAGCGTTTGTGTCTCGGTGTGGTTATTTACTATAGTCACCAGCCTCTGCTTTTCCCTCCCCCTTCTAACAACCAGCCTTAATAACACAAAGAGAACAGCTTGTAGTTTAAAGGGTATTATTATAATCTTAGATTATCATGACGTGGCCAAGGGTGTAGCAAGGCTTCTGGGTCAGAAAGGCCCAGAGGGGTTCATCAGAACTGCCTCCTCTTGACTTAGCAGGGCTCCAACAGCACAGAGCATATATTTTTCTCCTTCTGAAATTTACCAATTACTTCCTCACTTATCTCCGTGACCTCCTTCAAAGAGAAAAGCTATGTGACATGAAACTGCAGCTTTGAAGGCCTCCAATTTACGCTACAGGCTTAAACTAGCTTTGGAAGTCATTCCCTCCTCTTCCTGGGAACTCTGGGAACTGTAGTTCCAAGTTGGATGGGAAGGCAAGGGCATCTGACGTTGCTCAGGACACTCACCAAACTATGGCCCCCTACCTGTGGATAGTGTGTGTGTGTTGGGGAGCCATGACAGTCACACTGGGACAAAACTGAGACCAAAGTAGACAGTTTTGCATTTGAGGACACAAAACCCTAAGATATAAACATGAAAAAAAAATTACCATAATTTTCCATCTATAAGACGCCCCCGTGTATAACACGCCCCCTATTTGGGGGACTCAAATTTAAGAAAATGGGGGAGATGGCACAGAGTTGTTCAGCTTTTTTTGCGGAGGATTGCCCAGGGATGTTGAGCTTTTTTCAGGGGGGATCACCCGCACGTGTTGCAAAATCCACCTTCCGTCTGTCCCATCACCAGAAGAAGCTGCCAATCACCCGCCCAACTGCCGGAGCATCAGCCAATCAACAACACCTTTGATGCAGCAACCAATAACACGCACAGTAGCCACTGACAGCTGCAGCAGGAACCAATCAAACGTCCACCCTATGCACTACCAATGTATAAGATGACCCCCACTTTTTAGCATGATTTTAAAAGAAAAAACCGTAGCCTTATACACAGAAAAGTACGGTGATTCAATAATAAGCCTATTATTTGTTTGCAAATAATTTTAAAGATACAGTCATACCTTGGGTTACAGATGCTTCAGGTTGCATTTTTTCAGGTTACGGACCGCCGAAACCCGGAAGTACCAGAACGGGTTACTTCTGGGTTTTGGCGGTCGCACATGCGCAGAAGCGCCAAATCGCAACCCGTGTGTGCGCAGACACACTGCTGCGAGTTGCGGACGCTGCGGGTTGTGAACGTGCATCCCGCACGGATCACGTTCGCAACCCGGGCGTCCACTGTACAGAAGTTCCAATCCTGGATCCCAAACAGACCCTGGTGCAGATGATGCTCTAGGGTTACCTGCTCAGGCTTGAGTCCTGGGGGCACCCAGGCGTACTCCTCAGAGGCGCAGCCAGAGTCGTCGTCTGAGATCGAGTGGCGCTGGAAGTCAGAGATGAGGCGGCACATCATCCTCTCCAGGTCGACAGGCACCATGCGCACCGCATGCTCCTCCCTTGGGCACTTGCAGTGTTGGCAGATCTTCCTGCAGAGGAAGGGAAACGTAATGTCTCCAGGGATACAGTCCCCGAACACCAACTAGACTCTGAGACAACCAAGCTGCCCAGCAAAGCTCTACTGCTGCCTCAAGATCCTCAACGCTTTTCCATAACTCGCCCGCCTGCTGAGCCCTAAGAGACACAACTCTGACAAATATAAAAGGTGCACCAAGTCTACACGGAGGCAGAGACCTCAAATGTCGCTGTGACCACCAGTTATAAGGGAAAAACAGGATGTCTGAGTAGCCGAATAACAAGATAGGTTCAAACTTGATGGTGTGAAGAAAACAGGGTGGTGGTGGCGGACCACTGCGCTAATTCATCCTTAAAGGTAAAGGTAAAGGGACCCCTGACTGTTAAGTCCAGTCGTGGCCGACTCTGGGGTTGCGGCGCTCATCTCGCTTTACTGGCCGAGGGAGCCGGCATACAGCTTCTGGGTCGTGTGGCCAGCATGACTAAGCCACTTCTGGCGAACCAGAGCAGCGCACGGAAACGCCGTTTACCTTCCTGCCAGAGTGGTACCTATTTTACTTTGACGTGCTTTCGAACTGCTATGTTGGCAGGAGCTGGGACCGAGCAATGGGAGCTCACCCCGTCGTGGGGATTCGAACTGTCGACCTTCTGATCGGCAAGTCCTAGGCTCTGTGGTTTAACCTGCCCCACTCCTTCATGCAAATCCCCCAAGGGCGGCTTCCAGTGCAAGTTCCCACGTTTGTGTTTTACCACGGCCCCTGCAATGCAAATGACACAGACCACACTTACTTCCCGTGAATCGCCCACCCCTAATCGCACTGTTAAGCACAAGTTCATCATGAGAATTTCTCCAGCCCCACAAAAGGGGAACGCAGGAGTGGGGCAAAAGGGCCCCAACGGCAAGCTGTGCTATTCCTGCAAAACGGGGCCATCAGCTCATTAAAGAGAGAGGAAGGGGAGAGAGTCCTGCGTGCCGTGTCTTACAGTCTCTGCGGGCAGCAAGACCACAGCGACAAGTGCCTGGAAATGAACGAGGACAATGAAAGATGCAGGATGGGGGCTACGCCAGGGCGGGGGCAGGGGGTGGGCGGAAATGAAGTGAGTGATGGAAAGAGACAGAAAGGAAAGGCTCTTCCACTCCACTGCTTTCCTGCTGCAATTCAATTTTTTTGGGGGGGGGGAGGCTGGATGTGAAAAAGAGAGAAAAATGAGTCTGGAGTGATGTGTCTGCAAGAGGAAGACATGAATGCGAACAGAGAGGCAAGGGACAAATTAGAGCTATGAATAAGGATGTGGAATAAGGAGAATCCATAGTGACAGGAGGAAAGGGGGGAAGGTTTTAACTTGCTTATCTAGATTTCTGTTCAGAAAGGCTTGAGGGGCAGCAGGCAGGGCGCGAAGTACAAGACGGCAGGAACGAAAGGCGTGCAAGACAGAGCAAATCAAATCAGCAAGGTAGAAAAGGAGGAAAGAGATGCACACCCTGCAGTTTCTCTTCTTGCTCAGAAATCCATCCTGCCGTGTTCAATGGGACTTACTCCCTAGGAAGGAGATGACAGCCCGAAAGGCTGTGGATCCACAGGGGTTTGGATCCAACTGTGTTTCTCTGCCCTCTTGAATCCAGTGGAGGCTTCCATGGACAGCTGAGGGAGAGGCCATTTTTTGCTTATTCCCCCCTTTCCTTCTGCAGCCCACCTCCCCATATGTGCTCCAGGGGGTTGGGGAGCCTTTGAAGCAGCATGGGAGGTGTCAAGTGATAGAAGGGACCCAGTTAGATACAACCCATGGCATAGGAGGGCAACACAGCACAAATAATCCCTAGAGGTCCAATAAACAGGGAGACAGTTGGGGAGGGGGAGATCTCACAGAGGATGGAGGGAGATTTGATGGAGGGAGGGAGGGACAGCACATTCTCCTACCTCCATCCATGCACTAGGAAGCCTGGGCACTGTTCTCCGCACCTCTGACACGGTTGGCCCCGGTCAGGGTCCTCCACCTCAGGCAGCTGTTGTGGGACAGAGGGACAAGAAGTCAGCAGCAGAAACATCAGTAGCACCAGAAACATCAGTAGCACTGGCCAGGTTCAATTCTAATCCTTCTAACCTCCTTTGGGGTAGGTTTGTGGCTTTGGCAGGAGGAGATAAGATCTGCCCATGCGATGCCCACCTGGTGGAAACTCTAGCTCACATGGCCCTTAACTGTAAAATGTATGATGATCTCTGCCAAGGATTTCTAGACCATCTATGTATTCCAACATGGAAACCAGAGACGGAGGTTATGCGCTTCTTATTACAGGGGAGAGACCAGGAGCTCACCAAGACAGTAGCTAAGTTCCTCTATTTGATTTTTTGTTGCCGAAGTAAGCTACAGGATCCTGCCCTTGCTGGAAACCCTCAGAGATGAGGTGGATTGCTCGCCTCTTCTGCCCTTTGGCGGGTGACTGCGCTGTTGGGGTGGCGACGAGATCGCACTGGCCTAGCTATTTCAAATGTATTCTGAATGTTCTTATGTGATGCCAATAAAGGTTGCTTGACTTGACTTGACTATTAGCCTACGTGTTGTGTTTGTATTGTTGTGATTGGTTCTTATTGCAACACAGGGGTTTGTTTTTGGTTCAGCATCTACCCATCAGCAGGACCGCTACCCATTCACCAGGTGTGTCACCAGCTCTGCCAATCTCGCCAGAACACCCTCATCGCTATGGTTTGCACCCATTGATTGCCATCAATATGCAACCCCCATTTCCACCAGTATTGACACCAGCCTTGTCCATCTGCTCCCATCGGTCAGGAATCCTGAATAACCAGGAATCGGCAACCCATCACAGGTTCCCTTTTGACACCAGCTGTCCACGCCTTTGTGACTGTTCCCATCTTCGACTATATATTTTGGTAACTTGCTAGGCATTTGGACGGACAGTGGCTAAGAAAGCGTTAACTAAATTTTACATGATGGTTCCTGAGATCAAGACACTCTGGTTTAAAACACAGATTTCAAAACTGCACTGATTTTTGGGGGGAGGGGGGTTTCTTAGAATTCCCAGGCAATGCCGGGTACAAGGCAGCTAGGAGAAGATATTTAGCATTTATTTGTTAATTACTGCGTTTATATCAGCATCATTTCTCCATGGAGCAAAAGTTGGTGCACGTGGCCCTGTGCCTCCTCATTTTATTCTCACAACAACCCTGTGAGGTAGGTCGGGCTAAAAGACACTGACTGGCCCAAGGTAACCCAGTGAGCTTCATGGCGGAACCGACTCTGTGGCTGCTACGCTGTCTCTTGGAACAAGGGTCTGCCGTTGCAAAGCAGATCACCTGAAGCCTGCTCCTCAAACCTTCAGGCAGCAGCATTTTAAACTTAAGAGACATTTCTACAAGGTCCCCTGACTGCGGCCCCAGTGACAGGGGCCTGTACCGACATGAGCAGGTGCTTCCAAAATCAGGATGCCCGCGCATGTTTGTTAATGGCAATATATTCCCTCACACTGGCCCTGTTCAGAAAGTGGCAGTGGGGGATGAGTTTCAGGCCCCTGGGATCTCACTTGTGGGGTGTCTCAGGGTTCTGTCCTCTCCTCCATGCTTTTCAACATCTACATGAAGCCTCTGGGAGAGATCATCAGGGGGTTTGGCCTGGGTGTTCATCAGTATGCGGATGATACCCAGCTCTACCTCTCCTTTAAATCAGAACCAGTGAAGGCAGTGAAGGTCCTGTGTGAGTGCCTGGAGGCAGCTGGAGGATGGATGGTGGCTAACAGATTGAGGTTGAATCCTGACAAAACAGAAGTACTGTTTTGGGGGAACAGGAGGCGGGCAGGTATGGTGGATTCCCTGGTCCTGAGTGAGGTAACTGTGCCCCTGAAGGACCAGGTGCGCAGCCTGGGAGTCATGTTGGACTTGCAGCTGTCCATGGAGGCACAGGTCAATTCTGTGCCCATGGCAGCTGTCTACCAGCTCCATCCGGTATGCAGGCTGAGACCCTATCTGCCTGCGGACTGTCTCGCCAGAGTGGTGCATGCTCCAGTTATCTCTCGCTTGGACTACTGCAATGCACTCTACGTGGGGCTACCTTTGAAGGTGACCCGGAAACTGCAACTAATCCAGAATGCAGCAGCTAGACTGGTGACTGGGAGCGGCCGCCTTGACCACATAACACCGGTCTTGAAAGACCTACATTGGCTCCCAGTATGTTTCCAAGCACAGTTCAAAGTGTTGGTGCTGACCTTTAAAGCCCTGAACGGCCTCGGTCCAGTATACCTGAAGGCGCGTCTCCACCCCCATCGTTCTACCTGAGGTCCAGCGCCGAGGGCCTTCTGGCGGTTCCCTTGCTGTGAGAAGCCAAGTTACAGGGAACCAGGCAGAGCGCCTTCTCGGTAGTGGCGCCCTCCCTGTGGAACACCCTCCCACCAGATGTCAAAGAGAACAACAACTACCAGACTTTTAGAAGACAACTGAAGGCAGCCCTGTTTAGGGAAGCTTTTAATGTTTAACAGACTATTGTATTTTAACATTTTGTTGGAAGCCGCCCAGAGTGGCTGGAGAAACCCACCCAGAATGGCGGGGTATAAATAATAAATCATCATCATCATCATCATCATCATCACTCCTGACTGTTAACCGCAGCAGCCGGAGACTCGTGGGTGAAATCCTGTCTGCACTTTGGCCTAAAGAAGGATTTGTAAGGAAGCTAATTCCCGTCTGAGAGCAGCAAGGCACTGTGGGAGAAGCGTAACTTCATTTGGGTGCCGGAAGCCACCCACAGGCCAGGACCTGCCTCAGCTCAGTTCAGCAAGACATAAACAGGCCAGATGTTGGCTTCCTGCCACCGCAGGTGGCTGAGAAAGTGGGCAGCAAAGTGCCTCAAAAAATAATAATTGGGGGGCGAAACAGGGTAAAAGTGGAAAGGCCTCGATGCGGAAAAAGAACTTTCCTAACTCTCCCTTCCTGCCACTTTTCATCCGTCTTGCCTCTTTGGTGTGGGTTTCCTTGCGCCAATGAACAGCTAAGATGACACACCAGGAAAGGGGGGGGGAGAAGGTGCCAGGAGCCGCTCCCACTTCCCCCAAGGCAAGAATCGCTGAAGCAGTGCCTAGAAACTGGGCAGGAAAAAAATCCCTTTGGAAAAAAAGGGTGAACCGAGCACAACAGAATCAAGATGGAGGCAGTAGAAAAGGCTAGCTCTGGCGCCTCAGTGAAGCATTCCTGGCACCCCCCAAGTCTGAAGTTTCACTTTTAACTACCTGCTGTCAACTCTATATATTGTTCTCATTTAAAATATATATATATATGTGACCCATCTCAAGCTGTGGAAAGGCAGCATGAAACTTTTAAAAATAAGGAAAAGCAAACTAGGGAACCATGATCTCTACCTGGCCAGAATTTTTACCCATCTACCAGAATTTCAGTCTTCAACTCTGTTGCCACAGCATAAAGATATAAAGCAAATGATCGTTTGTGTGTTAAACGCATGTGTTGTTATGAACCTGTTCTCAACAGAAGAGTGTGCCCTTCAATTTTGGGAAACACTCTGCATATGCTCAAAGGCTCTGCCGTTGCAGCAACTTTAAAAATGAGCTTGCCATCGGAAAGGAACTGTCTGTTCATAGAGAAACGAATGTGACCCTTTGATTCATATATAGATATAGATATAGATGATATAGATATATCTGCTCAGGAAAAGGCCCCCTTACCCATGCCCACAGAGATAAGGTTTCTGGAACGAAAAGATGACAGCCACCACCAGGAACAAGCAAAACTGTAACCAAAACTTATTCCGTGGTGCTGGAGAGATTGCACAGTATCCACAAGCAAGATGATTCTTTCCCCCTCACATCTGCCAACTGCTGCCGCTACCCATCCTCCTGCAGCTTAGAAGGGATTTCAAGGAAGGCGGAGATCTATTTCATCAGATGCAGCTTTGGGAAATCAAATCTGCCAGGGCTGACGTAATAAGCAATCTCCCCCCACCCCACCCCCCAAATCCCAGATTTGGGATACATCGTATACGACCCCTATGCTTTCTCCCACACAACAGTTGCTCCCTGTTCAAGAACCCCTTCACCCGCGCCACCCCCACCAGCCTTCTACCCACCCCATGGCCCAGCATGACCCCAAAATGCCTTAAATAATCCCAACGTTAACTGAAAGGGAAAGACTTCTCCTGATCCGTTACGGCAGGATTTGGGTCTGTGGCGCTCCCAGCTGCAGCATTGCACCGAATTACAAATTGTAAAGACAGAGAACCCTACTGAACTCCTGCTCCTACACAATCTCTCTATCCTTTTCTCTTGCTCAATCTCAACCCGCCCACCAGCCCCATTCGACACCTACACACACAATTTTGTGAGTCTCTGGGCCCAATTTCACCTTTGGATCTCCGCCCGCTGCCAATATCTTGCTCCAAAACCCACAACTACGTTCCAAGAAAAGTAGATGGAAAACAGAGAGGAGGAGCGGCAGTCGGCAGGTAGCCCGTTGGGGAAGCAATCATGTGGGGTTGAGCTTTATGCACCCACAAAAGGTGTCCACTGCAGCTGCCGAACTGCACCTGTCAGCCCCAAGCCCTCAGAACCAAACAAGAGGTGTGGACCTAACCTGGATTGCTCTTGAACAAGGAAACCAGGTCAGCCAGGAGGCCAGTCAGAGAGTTAACAACCTGGTCCCCATCCACCCCAAGGCAAAGGCAAGGCAGGAAAACAACAGAAACCTCCACTCCCATGGACACCCCAACACTGGGACATGAGCACAACAAATTAAGGGCTACAGGTGAGCATTCAACTAAGTCTTAATTATTGTAGACCCACTGAAATTAAGTTAGACGCATTAATTGCGAAGGGGCTGCTCTGAGTAAAACTTAGCCCTAGCTCTCCTGCTAAAGGTCTGCAATAAGTCCACCTGAAGAAGGCCCTGAGATGACCGCATCTCCACATCTGTTGCCATGGCTACAGGAGAGCCTTCTCTTGTCCAACACAGCCTTCCTATTTCTTACTGCTGGTGCATCATCTCCTTCTGGGCAGCTCCAGCGTAGGAACCTTTGCTGTATAATTGCCTCGGTTGTCTTCTCCAGGAGAAGAAGAAGAAGAGTTTGGATTTGATATCCTGCCTTTCACTCCCCTTAAGGAGTCTCAAAGCGGCTAACATTCTCCTTTCCCTTCCTCCCCCACAACAAACACTCTGTGAGGTGAGTGGGGCTGAGAGACTTCAAAGAAGTGTGACTAGCCCAAGGTCACCCAGCAGCTGCATGTGGAGGAGTGGAGACGCGAACCCGGTTCCCCAGATTACGAGACTACCGCTCTTAACCACTACACCACACTGGCTCTCCAGTGTGGAGCAGCACAGAGTCCCCATCACCCCAAACCCAACCTTCACAGGCTTGATTTCTCATTTCCCACCTTATTTCCCTGCCTTTGCGTCCGGAGAGATCCCTGCCAGCTGCGATCTTCACTCCTTCAACTCCACGACTTTGGGGTTAGCTGCTGAAAAGTCACCTGCTCTCTTAAACACCTCCGCCCATTCTCTCTTTGCCCCTTAGGCCTTGGTTGGAGAACACCCTCCCTCTCACAACACAACTCGCCACCTTTCTACCTCTTCTGGCAAACCCCACCTCTTCCATTAAGCCTTTGGTTTAACTCCTTAGTCCTCATCTCCAGACTCCAGCTGAAGAGAAGTTAATAGCACCAGTGGGAATTTCACTCCCCCCACAAGCTTTGCAGTCATTGGGGTGGGGATAGGGAGTTTGCAGCTGGAGCAGGAAGAGATTAAATTGCTTCTTCCTGTGCTCCAGACCCCAACAACAGGGCAGGGTCGGATGTCTGTAATGAATTGCACACAGAGACAATTTTAAACGTTACTTTGCCTGTTAACTCATTTAGTGTCAAGCGTGTCATGGCACTTGACTAAGGGGATACAAAATGCTATAAGAACAACACAATCCATACATTGGGAAAACTCAGTGTCAGCCATAGCGGCAAGAATTAGGGACAGACGTATATCCTCTGCAAAATAGGAATTGAAGAGACGAAATCCTATAATTTTTGTAGAAGCTCCAGTAGCTCAGAGACCCACAGAATCCCTCGTGAGCCCTGGAACAGACCCCAAAGCATTTTGGATCTCTTGGCAATGTGATGCTCCACAGCTACCAGCACATACACACAATTAAATTTTTCTGTTCAGGCCTTGGAGAGCCGCCGTCAATCAGTGCAGACAATACGGGCCTAGATGGGCTAATGGCCTGATCCAGTAGAAGGAAAGTTCCTATGTACCTTGCCTATAACGTCTCAGATTTCAGAGCACTGATATATCAAGACTATGGTTATATGCTAGATAAACAACTAAAGGCAGTATTTCATAGGAATGTGCAGCATATTTAAATGTATTAAAATAAACACTTTCATATTCCCAGCCACCAACTGCTTCCCCACCTGCCCACAAAAACAAAGGTTAGCATTGTCTCTGGTGAGGTCTTCAAGAAGGAAGTGGCCCCATGCAATAATCTATCCACATGCCATTGCTGCTCAAATTTAGGACGGGGTGGTATGTGCAAGCGGACGCTCTTGGTTATTGGCCATGATGGAACATAGGTGTGGAGGTTGTGCTTTAGAGGTATACAGGGACCAAACCATTTACACTTAAGTAAATTTGCTGCAGTCCTCAAGTAAGCTGACTTTACTCTTGCATGGCCCACTCCAGAAATTTCTTTTAAAGCCATAAAAATGCACACCCAGGACCTCTTAACAGTAAAGGCAGCGGTAGGCAACATGGTACCCTACAGAAGTTGTTGAACTACAACCATGATGGCCAGGGCTGATGTGCACTGTAGTCCAGCAACATCTGGAGGGTTACTCCGGAGATCAGGAATAGCTAGTCTGGTCCTTAAAATATGCTTTCGTTTAGGAACAGTCTTCCTTGATGAAACCAAAGCCTCTCTATAACATTCTTTGCAAGAATCCCAGTATCTCAGTATCTAGCAAGCACTGTCCAAGTACCTCATGAACACTTTTTAGGACTCTGCAACACAGTACCCCATAGCACCTCATTAGGGCCTTAGAAGGCCCTGGCACCCCAGAGTAAGCCATTATAATCACCTTGGGTAACAGCTACAACAATTCTGATCAGAATTCCCTCAAGTAATCAACCACAGCTTAGTTTCTATAGGATGTGCAAGGTCACACACACCACCAAACCAAGGAACACAGGAACCGACAGCGTTTTCTGCGGCAGCAGTCCTTCCATGAGCTGGGCAACACATTATCCCACAAGGCTCCATACTACATCTCCATCTCCATCTCCATCTCCATCTCCATCTACAATGTACTCCATCTACATCTACATCTACATCTACATCTACAATGTTGCTAGGCCTCAACCTTTCTCAGCATCTTCTCTGGTCCTTAGAACGGAGAGGGGAAGCGATCCTGGTGCCATATAACTCCTCTGAAATGCCTTGGGATGCCAGTGCAATGGCACAACACAGCGGCCCACTGAACCCTATATTGCCCAGAGTCCCGACATCTGTAGCAACCCTTTAATAACTCTTACAACACATACTCCCCATACCTCGGTGTCCCACTAAACCCTTAGACCTTAACATCTACGCCAGGGGTCAGCAAACTTTTTCAGCAGGGGGCCAGTCCACTGACCCTCAGACCTTGTGGGGGGCCAGATTATATTTTTGGGGGGAGGGATGAACGAATTCCTATGCCCCACAAATAACCCAGAGATGCATTTTAAATAAAAACACACATTCTAATCATGTAAAAACATGCCGATTCCTGGACCATCTGTGGGCTGGATTTAGAAAGCAACTGGGCCGGATCTGGCCCCCAGGTGTTAGTTTGTCTACCCATGATCTAACCTATATTGCTTTCACAGCCATCTCCTGCAACTCAGTACCCCATAGCATCTTCTGAGCACAGGAAAGGGAGGCCCTTGCACCACATAGGCAAAGGTAAAGGGACCCCTGACCATTAGGTCCAGTCGTGGCCGACTCTGGGGTTGTGGCGCTCATCTCGCTTTATTGGCTGAGGGACGTACAGCTTCCGGGTCATGTGGCCAGCATGACTAAGCCGCTTATGGCGAACCAGAGCAGCACACGGAAACGCTGTTTACCTTCCTGCTGGAGCGGTACCTATTTCTCTACTTGCACTTTGACGTGCTTTCGAACTGCTAGGTTGGCAGGAGCAGGGACAGAGCGACAGGAGCTCACCCCATTGCAGGGATTCGAACTGCCGACCTTCCGATCGGCAAGCCCTAGGCTCAGTGTTTTACACCACAGCACCACCTGTGTCCCCAAGTAGCTCCATAGAAAGCCTTATTTATGGTACAACAGTCCTTTTAAAACTCTCACAATATGTCAGTGCAAAATATGCCTATGCCTGAAGTGGCTTTTTTAGCAAGGCTGTGGTGACAGAGGTGAACTTTATTAACAAATTAAAAATTAGCACAATGTTGAGCCCAGGTGGAATCCACCTAAAAGTTCTTGAAGAACTCAAATATGAAATTGCTGGTCTTTAACAAAAACATGCAACTTCTCCCTAGAATTGACCTCTGTACCTGAGGACTGGAAGGTGGCAAATATAAAACTATTTAAATAATAATAATTGGGGGAATCTAGGAAATTACAAGCAGATTAGCCTAACATCTGTTCTGGGTAAATTTGCGGAAATTATTAAAGATAAGATTATCAAGCATATAGAAGAACAAGCCTTTCTGAAGAATCAGCATTGCTTCTGCAAAGGCAAATCCTGTCTCATTATCCTCCTAGAGTTCTTCAAAGGTGCCAACAAATCTTTGTAGAAGCTGTGTACTTGGGTTTTTAATACGGTTTTCACAAAGTTTCTCACAAAATCCTAATTGCACTTAAACCTTATCGGGATCTGAACTAATGATGCCAGACCACAAAAGAGGCTGTAAGGTTGTGAAGGACAGGTCAGTGAAAATGCTGTCTTGACATGTGGCAGCTGTGAAAAGGATGAATTCCACCTTAGGGAATCGCAAGGAAAGAAATTGAAAATAAAACTGTCAATACTGAAATGCCCTTATACAAGCCTATGGTAGAACTACACTGGGAATATGGTGTATAATTCAGGTTGCAAAAACTCAAAAGGATATTGTGGGGCTAGAAAGGATGCAGAAAAGTGCAATCCAAATGATCAGAGGACTGGAGCGCAGTGTTTGGGGGTTGGAAAAAAGGTGAGTAAGGAGTGGGGATATAACACAGGTATATAAAATTACACCTAGCATCGAGTCAATGTATAGAAACAAGCTTTTCTCCCTCTGTTATAAAATGAAGGGAGGGAGATTCGCGACAGACGAGAGGAAATTCTGCTTCCCACCCTGGAATGCACTACCACAACACGTGGTAGTGACCACCTAGGTGGCTTTTTAAAAAGGATCAGACAAATGCATGGAGAATAAATCGACCCACGGCCCCTGGCCACGACGGAGATCAGAAGCCGCCCGCCGGAGAACAGCAGGCGCTGGAGAGGCCGGCTGCGCTCCCGTCCGGCTCGGGGGTCGCCTTCTGTAAGGAACAGGGTGCCGGGCGAGACAGGCCTCGGGTCCGATCCGGCACAGAGGTCCCGATTCCCTCGGAGACAATTAGCCCTTGGGGAGAGGAAATGGGGGGAGCAACGCCCCTTAGGGACCCCCCTCTCCGCCCTCCGAAACCCCCTTCCCCCGATCTCGGGGTGCCTTTGGCCCGCCCGCCCCTTCCTGGCCAGCCAGCGCTGCACCGGCGCGGGCCTCGTCGGCGTCCCGGCAGGCTGGCTCCCCGCCTCGCCTTCCCCGCCGCCTCCGCAGGGAGAAAGACTCACGGCTCGGGTGGATCGGCGCCGCCGCGACCCGCGCTGAAACATGGCCCCGATCCCGCCGTCTCCAGCGCCCGGGCGACGCGCCCACCTCCAGGCTCCCGCTTTGCGCCCGGGCGCTGCGGCGACGGCGGCGGCGTTGCTCTTCCCTCCCCAGGGGAGGAGGTGCTGCGTGCCGATCCCTCCCCGCCGCCCGACACCCGGGCCCGCCCCTTCGCCTGCCCTGCGACGCGCAAGGCTCCCGTCCCTCCTCCCCGCAGGATCGCCTTCTCCGCGCGCCGCTCTCCTCCTACCGGCTTCTCCAGTTTGCTGCTGGAGTCGCGCAATGGCGAGGCTCTGCAGCCGGACAAGAGCGCAAAAGGATCCGGCGAGCGATCCTCTGCGCGCGCGGTGGGGCGGCCTCCCGGGAAGAGGTCAGGGACCACCCGCCAGGCAGGATTGAACCCCTGAATAGCAGGTGGCTTTGCATTGCGCCTCCAAGCTGGCCGGGGCTCCTCCAGCCCCGTCCTCGCCGGTCCTTTCCCGCTGTCACCTCCCATCCATCACCCTCTTTAAACCCCTTCCCCGCACCCTTTCTGTGCCCGCTGCTGTCACTTCCTATCAGCGCGATCCGTTTTCCCTTCCTCTGGCCTCGCTGCCACATTCTTCCCATCCAGACCCCCAGCCACTCCTTCACCCACCACCTAAGAACAAACCACCTGCCCTCTTCCATCCATGCGTTTTTACGGGCCTCCTCGGCTCTTACCTACAGAATATTAAGACGTTTCGTTCAGTTTGATTGCTTTAGCCACTAGCCCCTAACAACATGCCATGCGGCACAAACCAATCGCTTATTTAAAACGCTGCTTTTCTCCTGCTTAATTTGCAACATGATGGTAAACAAATTCAGAGTCAAATTTTGCTATAAAACACACACACACAAAAACAGATAAAGGCACTTTAGAAGATATCCTAGCAAATTTCAATATATAGACCAGTAATTGATTTTTAGTGTACCTGGGAGAGAACTTCTTCTCCAGCTCTGTGACTGTGGACTCTAATAAACAAAGAGCGAGGAAGATCTAAGACAATTACTATCACAGTAGCACAAGTGAGACTTTTATGGAATCCTACCAAGTCTGGGCTGTTACCAAAGATGGCATCATTTGGAGACTTGCCAGTGTAAACTCTCTCCTGAAGCAATGTTTAAGTATATACTTCTAGCCCATATTTGTACTTGAGCATATTAAAACAAGGGAGTGAGCAAGCCTAGATTTGCTAATGGATGCCATTATAATTGTGAATAAAAACATCTTGGGAGTATAATTTTAAATTCCATCTTTGCAGCCTGCAGGTTACACTGGAGAAGATGGCAAATCCCTTCCTCTGCAGGAGATAAATCATATTTTGATATTACCTACTACTGTCATCACCAGCAGATTTGTTGGGCAGTATAATAGGTGGAACATTGGATTTGGATGGACGAAGGGAGACCTGGGTCCAAATCTCCACTGGGTGAACTTGGCCCGGTGAGCTTAGCCCATTACACTGTGAAAGCTGTGAGAAAAACCCTGAACTCCAGGAGGAGTAGCAGGATATAGGTTGCATGCACACCATACAATTAAAACACCTCTCAAACAAGAATCCTGGGAGCTGAAGTTTGTTAAGGGTGCTGGGAATTGTTTCTCTGTTAGGGGTAAACTGAGGTGCCCAGAATTCTTTTGGGGGAGATGTGCCTTAAATGGGCTTTAAATGTACTGCATGTAAAAATACGTACATACAAACAAACAAACAAACACAACAAACTGGTGGACTCAATCTAACACAGAATTAAGCATGCTGTTTCAGACTAGCAGCCAATTCAGAGTGTAAAACACTATAAGGGACTAATGCTTATAAGTGCGATGTCAGTTCACAAAACGAACTGACCCTGTATAGATGTTCTAGCTCCTTCCCACTTCTCCCTTCCCTCTATGCACAAATCACACATTTTCCAGAGCTTGAAGGCAGGGATGCTAATCCACAAGAGAGTAATGGTAGTTATATTTGCGTACTCCTAATACCTCACCTTTATTCAGCACCTTTTTTACATGGCAGTTGGAAGTACTGTCTATAGTAGTTCATGTACAGTACATCCTATGTTATCGTAGCAAACTCAGTCCTCCGACTGTGGATCATTGTGTATCTGTCATGGCACCATCCACTTATTAGAGGGAGGCATCCCTAGGCTTGGATAAACCCAGAGGTCTGCAGAAGTACCAAAAAAAAAACCCTTCAGGAAAAAAGTTCTAAGTGGAGTGGGAGCCATCCCAAAACAGTCCAGTAGGGACTGAGCATGCTCAATGGCCCTGAACAGGGCTGCCTTCAGATGTCTTCTATATATCAGGTAGTTGTTTATCTCTTTGACATCTGGTGGGAGGGCGTTCTACAGGGCGGGTGCCACTCCTGAGAAGGCCCTCTGCCTGGTTCCCTGTAGCTTTGCTTCTCGTAGTGAAGGAACCACCAGAAGGCCCTCAGAGCTGGACCTCAGCGTCCAGGCAGAACGATGGGTTTGGAGATGCTTCTTCAGGTATACTGGGCCGAAGCCATTTAGGGCTTTAAAGATCAACACCAACACTTTGAATTGTGCTCGGAAACGTACTGGGAGCCAATTTAGGTCTTTCAAGGCCGGTGTTATGTGGTCTCGGCAGGCGCCCCCAGAATGGTGTATTCTGGAAAAGGGCACAGCTGGCTTTTGTTTGCAGTAAGCGGCAAATAAATAGAACAACAGTAACTGCATCTATGAATACAAGCAAATTTAGAAGAAGAAAAATCCAGTGTCAAGGAAGACTGGGGCTGGAAAGGGGAACCTGAAGCAGCTAGAGGAGGCACAGCAGGTCAGTGGCGTCAGGCTCTGCTCTGCTATTAGGCAGAGTGAGGCTACTGTCTCAGGAAATGGATGCATTTCCTAGTGAACTGCTCCATATCACACAATGTATGCCTTCATCCCTTGGGAACCCCCAAGCAGGGGCAAAACTAGATTTTGTTTTGGCACCCCACAACTCACATTTGCACACACACACCCGCAGGCTGGGAGCCTTTGGAGGCTTCGCCCAGGGTAAAAAACCCCAGCTAGCCCTCCTGTAGCTACGGCTCTGCCGCCAAGCACTTGGGGACCAGCACAGGCATCGCGGGAAGCTCCACCAATCCAACCGACACCCTTTGGAAGAAGAAATTGCCCCAGTGGGATTGCCTAGTTCTGAGCGGGGGTGGGGAGCAGAGGAGGCCCTTTTCAGGCATGCGCTACTGCTAATTGGATCACTGCAGCAACTTCAAGCAGCAACTTCCAAGAGCAAATGAGTCACCGCCATAGATTAAATCATCACAGGCAATAATAAAAAATATGTCAGCTGAATAATAGTTTGGGGAGGCCCTGCCTGAGAGGGGGAGCTTCTCTGATAACCTACTTCCACCATGTGTTGGAAAGTGGAACTGCAAGCATATTAGTATGGCAGCCCACCATACATGTCTGGTTCACCCCTTTGGACCGTATAAAGTGACATTAGCCAGGATAACAGATTAATAATCACAGATAGAACTTGCTTGTCACCTGATGCAAACACAAAACACTGTTTCCAAATTTACAGCAGGTGCAGGAGGATGAGATCCACAACTTTGAATGCTTTGAGTTATTATTATTATTATTATTATTATTATTATTATTAACTCCACATAGAAAAGCAGCAAATAAGTCAATGGTCTAGGTGACCAAATCTTTGTCCTTGATGATGTGTTAGATTTCTCTTTCTCTTTGTGGGTTTTTGTTGTTGTTGTTGTTGTTTGTGTGTGTGTGTGTGTGTTTATTCCCTAAACTGTAGTCTGAAGTGGTCCAGTTCGTTCTTCTAGGAAGTGGCAGCAGTGGTGGGGAGATGAACCTTCTTCCCTCTCGATTCCTTTTTCCTTCTGCATGGTGTTGATTAGATTGTGAGCCTGCAGGCAAAGAGACTGTCTCATCTTTTAATATAATATACATCTTTTAAGGGTAAAGGGACCCCTGACCATTAGGTCCAGTCGTGGCCGACTCTGGGGTTGTGGCGCTCATCTCGCTTTATTGGCCGAGGGAGCCAGCGTACAGCTTCCGGGTCATGTGGCCAGCATGACTAAGCCGCTTCTGGTGAACCAGAGCAGCGCACGGAAACGCTGTTTACCTTCCCACCGGAGCGGTGCCTATTTATCTACTTGCACTTTGACGTGCTTTCGAACTGCTAGGTTGGCAGGAGCAGGGACCGAGCAACGGGAGCTCACCCTGTTGCGAGGATTCGAACCACCGACCTTCTGATCGGCAAGCCCTAGGCTCTGTGGTTTAACCCACAGCGCCACCCGCGTCCCTATACATCTTTTAACATGCAATAATAAACAGTGGTACCTCGGATTACATACACTTCAGGTTACAGACTCCGCTAACCCAGAAATAGTATCTCAGGTTAAGAACTTTGCTTCAGGATGAGAACAGAAATCATGCTCCGGCGGCGCAGCAGCAGCAGGAGGCCCTATTAGCTAAAGTAGTGCTTCAGGTTAAGTACAATTTCAGGTTAAGAACAGACCTCCGGAACGAATTAAGTACTTAACCCGAGGTACCACTGTAGTTGTAGGCATTTTCTAAGGCTGCATTCACACAGTACCTTTAAAGCATATCTTTCCCCCACCCAAGAACCCTGGGAATTGTGGTTTGTTATGGGTGCTCAGAATTGTAGCTCTGTGGGGAGTAAACTACTGTTCCCCAGATTCTTTGGTGCAGTGTGTCTTTTTCTTCTTTGACAATCACCTGTAGCTGAGTAAGATTGTCTTCCATAGACACGGTTTTAACAATAAGTCCGTAAGTAACTGTGGAGACCAATTCCGGATCCAAACGTCCTTCCACAGTGGGGATGTTGGTTTCCGGGCGGGAGCTGATCACGGTGTGGATTTGCCAAGCGTGCCTTCCTCCAAGCACGTTTCTCCCTTGCGTCCTGAGTTCAGGTTTCTCCAAAGCCCATGACACCTTTGGGAAAGGCTGTTCTCCAATTGGAGCGCTCGCAAGCGTTTCCCAATTGTTGGTGTTTATATTACATTTTTTAAAAAATTTGCCTTGAGACAGTCTTTAAACCTCTTTTGTTGACCACCAGCATTATGCTTTCCATTTTTAAGTTCGGAATAGAGTAGTTGCTTTGGAAGACAATAATCAGGCATCCGCACAACATGACCAGCCCAATGAAGTTGATGTTGAAGCATCATTGCTTCAACAATGGCGATCTTTGCTTCTTCCGGTACAGTGGTATTAGTTTCCCTGTCTTCCCAAGTGATATGTGCAGATGACAGCTTATTGAACGGAAGTTTGGGGGGGGCGGTGTGCAGGCAGAGGGAAATTAAACAGGTAAAGCCCATTAGGATAATGCATCCTCATTCCGAACAAGAGCCAGTGTGGTGTAGTGGTTAAGAGCGGTAGACTCGTAATCTGGTGAACCGGGTTCGCGTCTCCACTCCTCCACATGCAGCTGCTGGGTTACCTTGGGCCAGTCACACTTCTCTGAAGTCTCTCAGCCCCACTCACCTCACAGAGTCTTTGTTGTGGGGGAGGAAGGGCAAGGAGAATGTTAGCCGCTTTGAGACTCCTTAGGGTAGTGATAAAGCAGGATATCAAATCCAAACTCTCCTTCTTCTTCTTCAATGTGGAAATGCAGCTTGAAACGGTGTGGGGACAACAACATCGCTGTTTTAAGCCACTAGCACTCACATAACTTTTCATAAGAAGCAACAGGGTGGAAGCAGGGTATATTTATGTACTGTGGCTTACGTTATGTGGAAGAACACAGAAGTGTGTGCACAACATCTCATTGCTAACACTGATGCGAAAAGCAGACTCGGGTGAGGAAGCCCTGCTTCAAGGCATCGTGTCTCCAATTTTTCCTCAAGATGGTGTCGTTGTTGTCAACACCTATCACAGCAAACACATTTCACAGGGCGTGCCACCAAAGTGTTTGTGGGCAGCCCTCTTCATTTGTAGTTCTGACTTCATGGTTTCCAAAATATAAGGGAAAGAAAGATCGCTTCCTCAAGCACCTGCCAAAGAGTGGAGAAAAGTGTGTTCTGGAGGAGAGAGATGCATCAGATTATCACCCGTTATTTATACTGTGCTTATCAGGCATCATACAAATATTAAGAAGAAGAAGAAGAAGAGTTTGGATTTGATATCCCGCCTTTCACTCCCTTTAAGGAGTCTCAAAGTGGCTAACATTCTCCTTTCCCTTCCTCCCCACAACAAACACTCTGTGAGGTGAGTGGGGCTGAGAGACTTCAGAGAAGTGTGACTGGCCCAAGGTCACCCAGCAGCTGCATGTGGAGGAGCGGAGACGCGAACCCGGTTCACCAGATTACGAGTCCACCGCTCTTAACCACTACACCACACTGGCTCTCTACAGACGTGGTTTTGCCCTCAGGTTTACAATCAAATAAAACACAAAGGGAAAAAGGAATTAGGAAGCTAGAGGAATAACAGGACAAATGGCCATCAAGAAAAAAGAAGAAGGATCGTGAAGAAAAAAAGCAAGAATGAAAACTAAGCATGAATTTTCAATAATTTCTTAAATGAGGAAAAGATGTGAGCTACTCAGATTGATGGTGGAAGATTTAGATTTATTAGCAGTGGAATATATGAACTATAAAGTCCTCCATTCAAATCTCACCTCAGCTATGAATTTGCTTAGGTTAGGGTGCCCATGGGCACCAGTGTGCCCACCAGGGCCTCCTATGGTGCTCACAAGAGGTGCCCACAATATGGCCACATTTCACTGGGTGCCAGGATTGGACACTCCCTCAGCAGAATGAGCAGGAGCGCTCCCAAATGCAGCAGGCCTGGCATGCCAAATGTTGAAGTCCTGGAAGTAAATATATATTACCATTTACCAGAGTCAAAAGCGACCTAACTGCTTCATGGAAAGGAGGCAAGAGGAACTAAACTCAGCTTCTGTTTTCCTCCATCATCTAACTTTTCCTGCCAGCTACTTTTCTCCTAGCACATGATAGTGTTTTGCCCGGTGACATGAAAAATGTCGCTTACTGGTTCCTGGGTATTAAATCTCCGCTAAAAGGCACAGGAGGCAGGCCAGAGCTGCTGTATTTTTCTGCCCTGCTGAAGTTTCCCTATAGAAGTCTGCCCTGGCCCTGTGACATGGCTGACTCCCCTCTCTCTCTCCCCGTATCTGCTCCTCAGCCATGAACTTGCCTTATCTCTGCCTTCAGCTGGTGGGTGGGGAGAGGCAGATCCAAGGGGACTTCTCAGCTCTCTAACTAGACTGCTCAGAAGTTGTTCGACTTCAGTGCAGGTCAACAGGTAGGAAGAAAGGGCTGGGGGGAACGGGACGCTTTCGGACTTTATTTTCTCTCTCTTCTACCTCTCATTGAATATGAAAACAGATAAAAACGGAGGCGGCTCTTTGGCTGTGAGCATACTAAACTGCGAAAGCACATTCGAAGCACCTTTTTCTCTCAAAGAATTCTGGGCACTGTAGTTTGTTAAGGACTGCTGCGAATTGTAAATCCGTGAGGGGGTAAACTACACTTCACAGAATTCTTTGAGGGAGAGAATGTCCATTGAGTGTGCTTTTTAGTGTGCACACAGTGTTTCTGCTGTTACCTGTTGGTGTTCATTTCTTTTCTCTCCACCCTATCACCTAAATTAAGGACCAGTGACTGGAAGCCCCTAAGGTCCATGCAGGGCTCTCAGAGGAGTGTTGGCTGTCTCCCTTCTCCACTAAATATCCAAAAATGAAGAAGGGAATTGGGGGGGGGTGTACTGCATTGGCCTCAAGGCTACCAACTAGCTGGGAAACAAGCAGTCTACCTTGCTTTTGAGACTTGATTTCCAGGAATCAACAGGCAAAGCTTTGCAAGGTATGGAGCTCAACACTGTAATCTGTTTATGGCTGTAAAATGGGGATGAGGAGCCTGTAACCATCCCGTTATTTTGTTGGACTACAACTCCCATCATTACTGAACATGGGCCATGCTGGCTAAGGTTAATGGGAGTTGGAGTTCAACATTGATCTGGAGGGTACCACGTCCCCTATCCTCGCTTAGATCAATGCTATCAAAGGGACAACTAGAACGGTGGCTTCAAAAGTTGGGAATCTTCATTGGCCCAGCAGTCTTCAAACCTTTCTCGAAGAGGTGTCCTGAAAAATGGTAGTTGCCATCCAGGAGGTAAGAGTGGTTGATCTTTCCTATTTCATTTTATTTTTATTTTATTCTGCATAACTAAACTGTTTCTCCTTTAGGGAGAAACCAGACATTATATAGCAGAGGCATGTAATGGTCTCTGAAAAACAGCTACAAGGATGCTGCTAACTATAAAAAAACTAGCTATTTTTCCACCCTGTTGCTTCACAGCTGCTTTCTCATGCCCAGGCGTGCCAATTTAAATAAAATATTGGGGGGGGGGCAGGTATAATTTCACACCATTTGAATGATAATGTCCCTTAACTTTTGGGGAGATGGCCCCCTCAAATATTTTAGGGGGGGCAAAGGGACCTCAGCCCTTAGGACTTGGTTTCTATGCTGATGCCCCACTGCAAAGATATGGGTACCAGTATCTTTTCCTGCGCAAATAGAAAAACAGCTGGATGGAGGCAGTTTTGATCAGGAAATAAATAGTAGGGGAAGGGGTAAGGAATCCTTTACCCCTGCCATTCCTCTTGGGATCACAGCTTTCAGCACTTAGTTTTAATTAAAGCAAAAATGTCGGGAGATTGGTACACATATCTGATATGCAGTGCACAGCTTGGCTCCTAGTCTCAGTGCATCTTAAAAGCATCAAAAGCAGCCCGTTGACGCACTATTTCACCTTATGAAGTTAACCTTCATTCCCCTCCCAACCCATTTACAGTGGTACCTCGGGATAAGAACTAAATTCATTCCAGAGGTCCATTCTTAACCTGAAACTGTTCTTAACCTGAGGTACCACTTTAGCTAATGGGGCCTCCTGCTGCCGCCGCGCTGCCGCCGCACGATTTCTGTTCTTATCCTGAAGCAAAGTTCTTAACCCGAGGTTCTATTTCTGGGTTAGCGGAGTCTGTAACTTGAAGCGTCTGTAGCCTGAAGCATTTGTAACCCGAGGTACCACTGTATATTATGAAATATCCCTGTCTCTTTCTAATAGTTCATTTTCACACATGATGCCTATATATATATATATATATATATATGCGCATTTTTGGCATCTTATTATTATTCCAGGCTCATTGCTACTTCATAAGCTAGCAATTTGTCTCCAAGCCCAAGTCAAAGCACAAATTCTGATTTTTAAAGCCCTGAAGCCACGTATTGGGGAAAGGTGATCCCCAATGAACATGCCTCGGCCCCAGACTGTTATGGACCACCTTTTCCAAAATGTCACAACCTGGCCATCTGGAGCAAGAGTGGAAGCCTTGCTGCATGTCTCCCCACTGGCTGAAGTGAGACATGTGAGGACATAGGAGAGGGTCTTTGGGACTGAGGCATCACTGCTATGAAATGGCTTCCCAGGCTCCATTGATGCTCACCTGCCCTGCAGGGAAAATACTGGCCAATTGCTGTGTTCGGCACGTGCTGCCATTTTATGATCGTCTCTATGATACGCTGCATTGTATTTTTGTATTGCTCTTATTACTGATTGGTGCCTTGAGGGCGTTTTCAGTAGAAAGTGGGGGGGACAAGTAAAAATTACTTAATAAATAAATAACATCTCCCAGAATTGCCATGCAAATATAAAATCCTGACTGTGAAAATGTACATTCAGGTTTTTCAGTTGAGTTGTTGCTACTGATGTTGTTGTCATCGTCATCAAGTACAAACATTCCCATGTGCAACAAATAGTGTAAATGGGGAGACTTGCCATCTGACCAGGAAAAAATCCTGGCGCTTTTAACAGCAGCCGAATCTTCAAGAATCAGCATGCAGAAATTATTGTGAGGTGCACATAAGCCGTATTAACTGCTAATCAGGCTTCTATTAAAGGCACGGCTACAATGGCCAGTTTAAAGGTTGGTAAACAGGCATTTTTAATGCCTCTTTGCCCACAGTTTCGACACTTGGGGTGTAAATTTTTAGGAGCTACTTTATTTCTGTAATCATAAGCTGTTGTAAGCTGTTTTTAATATTGCAATGTTGTGTTTTAATGTTCTAACCTGGCCTGGGACCTTAGGGTAAAAGGCGGGTAATAATAGTAATAATAATAATAATAATAATAGTAATAATAGTAATTTATTATTTGTACCCCACCCATCTGGCTGGTTTCCCAAGCCACTCTGGGCAGCTTCCAACAAAGATTAAAAATACATCAAAATGTCACACATTAAAAACTTCCCTGAACAGGGCTGCCTTCAGATGTCTTCTAAATGTCAGGTAGCTGTTTATTTCCTTGACATCTGATGGGAGGGCATTCCACAGGGCAAGCGCCACCACTGAGAAGGCCCTCTGCCTGGTTCCCTGTAACCTCACTTCTCGCAGGGAGGGGACCGCCAGAAGGCCCTCGGCGCTGGACCTCAGTGTCCGGGCAGAACGATGGGGGTGGAGACGCTCCTTCAGGTCTACTGGGCCAAGGCTGTTTAGGGCTTTAAAGGTCAGCACCAACACTTTGAATTGTGCTCAGAAACATAATAATAACAATGTGTGTGTTTGTGAAAATGTCTTTGGTAACCTATCTTCTAGTGTTTTAACACACCCCATCATGCTATGTACTCTTTCCTACTGTCTAGTCTGTGTTGTGAACACTGCATTTTATGTTTGGGGTTTGTGTGCTGCAAGACCTGCGCAGAGAATCAGGCCGCCACCTTTTTAAGGGCCAAGGTCCTGCATCTTTAAGGGCTGCATGAGAGTCAGAAAACATTCTGTATTGGACCCTGTCAAAGAATCATAGAATTGTAGAGTTGCAAGGGACCCACAAGGGTCATCTAGTCCAACCCCCTGCAATACAGGAATCTCAACCAAAGCTTCCTGGACAGACAGCCATCAAACCTCTGCTTAAAAACCTCCAAGGAAGAAGAGTGCACCATCTCCCAAGGGAGTTGGTTCCACTGCCAAACAGCTCTTCCCTTTTCTTTTCTTGAGGCAACCCTAGCAGGGAATAGTATCAGAAAAGGCAACTCTCAATAGCGGAACATATTTTAAACTGACATTTAAAGTGAATTTTGATGCAATGAATTCGTATCTTATTCTTCCTCTCCCACCTACACTCCATTCCATGAACTGGCCTGTCCTTGGACTATTCCTTGTCTTTAACTCCTACTCTCTTCACTCCTTTTCCCCTTGGCACAAAGTACAATGGCTAGATAAAAAGCAAGCATAGTTCCCATCTGGCTTCCTGTTTTGTTTTCAAAGGTACTTGCAGATTGCGCTGCATGATTTTGGAGAGTTTTGCAGAATAGAGAGTGCATCTGTGCATTTGCTTATTTACTTCCTTCTCCTCATGTTCTACCTCTGATTTGTAGCCTGTGATATTTACACTCAGTTGAGAGTCTTCCGTAGCTTTGTATAGTTCACTTTGCAACAGTGGACTGCTTTGGCTGCACTTTACTAATTCAGGGAATCGTGTCGGAATTCTCCCAAGCATTGCCCAGTGACCAGAAAAAAGGCAGCAACCCCCTGTCATGCTCTTCTGCCTTTAAGGGAAGCTCCATGTGCAGAACTTAGCAGGTGATGTTTTTGCAGAATGGACACAAACATTATCTTTTGCTAACATCTGCACTTCTAGCTGCTGTGAAAGTTGCTGCTACTTTAGCCAGTGGGAAAGCTCTATTTCACCTCCATGTTTTGTTTTGTTTTGTTTTGTTTTGTTTTGTTTTGTTTTGTTTTGTTTTGTTGTTGGTGGGGGAGCCCCCGATGTTTGAGGAGATTTCTTATAATGAGGTGGGGAATTCAAACATACAATTCCCACTAGGGCAACTCAACAAAAGCTGCTACACACAACAAAACTGATTGCGTGTGTGATGGACTGTGGATGTCCAGTTAATATTTTGGAATGCTCTTTTCAGTGGTCTGTATCCTGCTGTGGATACAGACCAGCCTTCCCCAACCTGGTGCCCTCCAGATGCTGTTGGACTCCAGCTCCCCTCAGTCCCAGCCAGCATGGCCCGATGGACAGAGACGATGGGAATTGTAGTCCAACAATATTTGGGGAGCTACACATTCCTCGTCCTTGATCTACAGACATCTGGAGGGGGGCACCAAGTTGGAGGACAGTCATATAGACTCTATATGTCTATATTTGTCTCTATATTTGTCGTTGTTTAGTCGTTTAGTCATGTCCGACTCTTCGTGACCCCATGGACCAGAGCATGCCAGGCACTCCTGTCTTCCACTGCCTCTCGCAGTTTGGTCAAACTCATGTTGGTAGCTTCGACAACACTGTCCAACCACCTCGTCCTCTGTCGTCCCCTTCTCCTTGTGCCCTCCATCTTTCCCAATATTTTCCCAATCTTTTCCAGGGAGTCTTCTCTTCTCATGAGGTGGCCAAAGTATTGGAGCCTCAGCTTCAGGATCTGTCCTTCCAGTGAGCACTCAGGGCTGATTTCCTTCAGAATGGATAGGTTTGATCTTCTTGTAATCCATGGGACTCTCAAGAGTCTCCTCCAGCACCATCATTCAAAAGCATCAATTCTTCGGCGATCAGCCTTCTTTATGGTCCAGCTCTCACTTCCATACATCACTACTGGGAAAACCATAGCTTTAACTATACGGACCTTTGTTGACTCTATATTCCAGAGACCCAAAGTTTTCAAAACAGAGAATACAAGAGAAAGATTGTGGTTCAGTGGTTTGGTTCTAATATACTGTATTTTTAAAAAGTGTTACTGGCGTATATAATTTGAAGAAGCACTGGAACTTGGAGGAAATCTTCGGGGGGAGGCAATTTTCAATCTGGCTCCACATCAGGGGGGACTGGAGCAGGTGACGGGCAGTTTTCTCTATTTTCCAGGAACCAAGCCTTATCTTTTGCATGCACCCTTAAGGACCAAGATGCAGCTCTGCATCTTGAGTTCTTTAGTTTTAATCATCTGAGCTGGCCTAGGGTGTATCTTTTACAAGTCAGATTAAACTCAAGAGGGAGTTATCAGCTCCCAACATACTTGCACACCCTTCCCATCCTGAGCTCCATGTCAAATGGGCCATTGCTCTAGTTTTTCATTTCTCTGATGACACACGTACAAAACGCAGGAGCCGTTTTATCCCGTATTTATTAATCCAGGATAACTGCCCACGCTCCCTAATGTTGCGCTCACTTAACACCACTTGCAGTCACAGTTTCACACAATGACTGTTGGACCCTCCCCACTTCCCTGAGTGGTAAGAGGTTCCATTGGCAGTGCTACCTTTAGATGAGAAGTAAAGGTAAAGGACCCCTGACCTGTTAAGTCCAGTTGCGAACGACTCTGGGATTGCGGCGCTCATCTCGCTTTTTTCGCCGAGGGAGCCAACGTTTGTCCGCAGACAGTTTTTCCAGGTCATGTGGCCAGCATGACTAAGCCGCTTCTGGCGAAACCAGAGCAGCGGACGGAAACGCCGTTTACCTTCCCGCTGGAGCGGTACCTATTTATCTACTTGCTGCACTTTGACATGCTTTCGAACTGCTAGGTTGGCAGGAGCAGGGACAAGGAATGCGAGGGAGCTCACCCTGTTGTGGGGATTCGAACCACCGCATTTCTGATCGGCAAGCGTTAGGCTCAGTGGTTTAGACCACAGCACCACCGGCATCCCTTTAGATGAGAGCGCACTGGCAAAATGGGTGCCTTGGCAATATTTGTTCCCATTGGAAATATAAGCAGGGAATAAGTGGAAGCAAACAGATACTGCCTTCATAGGTTCTAGATTCAGGTAGGTTGCCGTGTTGGTCTGACACAGTTTATATATATATATATATATATAGTTCAGTAGCACCTTAGAGACCAACTAAGTTTGTTCTTCGTATAAGCTTTTGTGTTCATGCCCATACCCATTGAGTCAATCACCCATCTCCTACTACCCTCCTGAGAAAAACCTCACCCCACTCCACCCTCTCACTATGTATGAGGGTCTGCTGACTTCTGTTTCAGTGTATCTGAAGAAGTGTGCATGCATACGAAAGCTTATACAGTGGTACCTCAGTTTAAGTACTTAATTTGTTCCGGAGGTCCGTTCTTAACCGTTCTTAACCTGAAGCACCACTTTAGCTAATGGGGCCTCCCACTGCCGCCGCGCCGCCAGAGCACGATTTCTGTTCTCATCCTGAAGCAAAGTTCTTAATATTTCTGGGTTGGAGGAGTCTGTAACCTGAAGCGTATGTAACCTGAGGTACCACTGTACCAAGAACAAACTTAGTTGGTCTCTAAGGTGCTACTGGACAATTACACACACACACACACACACACACACACACATTGCCTTCATAGGGACACTCAAGGATTCTGATTGCTCCACATTTTAAAGCTGACAGACCTGAGTTGCACTTCCTGGGTCAAAACATGGTTATCCTTTTTGTATTGACAATTCTCCAAATTTTGTGACACAGTTCTCTGCTCCAAACCGCCACCACAACAAAACAAAAAGAATATGCATACAAGGGGGGCGGGGACAGAGTTTAGGATAACTTGTAGAAACAATGCACATTTTAATGTGGTTTGTAATTTTCAGCAGCATGACACAGAAAGGGAAAGGAACAGACTTATGAATGAACACATGCGAAAGGCTATGACTCTAAAGCACATTCAAAGCACATTCTTTCTCTCAAAGGTACAGTGTATGCCCAGCCTAGAGATCTCAAGTGAACGAATACATCCACCCCCACTTGTTGGTGACCCCATCTAACTCTGCATTCACACTACAGTGGTACCTCGGGTTAAGTACTTAATTCGTTCCAGAGGTCTGTTCTTAACCTGAAACTGTTCTTAACCTGAAGCACCACTTTAGCTAATGGGGCCTCCTGCTGCTACTGCGCTGCCGGAGCCCGATTTCTGTTCTCATCCTGAAGCAAAGTTCTTAACCCGAGGTAATATTTCTGGGTTAGCGGAGTCTGTAACCTGAAGCATATGTAACCTGAAGTGTATGTAACCCAAGGTACCACTGTAATGCCATTGCCTCCTCACTTTCTTTCTCCTAACACAGACCCTCTGTCCTTATCATTTATATGGATGGCATCTGTCTGTCCTGGGAGGCAATGAAATAGTGTGCCTTTGGGGGTTACAGGAGGGTTACAGCACCTGCTGTGGCTGTAGAGACTGATATGGGAGAGACATGTTTCATTACTGCAGACAGAAATTCAGTAGATTCTCCATGCTGGAGGAAGCTGAATTTATAGAACCACAGAATTTCTGCCTGTCACCTAGCTCTCAAAGGCAAAGTGAGTGAAGAAAAAGTGACAAAATAGGCAAGTTCTTTCATGAACCACCTGCATCTCCTGTGGTCTCTTTTAGGAGTACGTTTCTTTCCCAAGATGGAGCCACATGTTGTCTGAGTTTCAGCCCCTAATTTCCTGGGCCCCACTTGCGTGGTGCTCTCTTTTCTCTCTTTCCCTGTGGGTTTCTCCCCTGCTTCCTTCTGACCCCTTGGGAATCTGGAAGATTGTTCTCTTTGAAGCAGAAAATGCCTCTTAAACCAGACCTGCTCTGCAGGATGCCCTGCCTTGCGTGTCGTGATTGTCCTGTTGCAGTGAGTGCTGCAGGGGTAGAAAAGTCTGCACCTGCTGAAAACTCCCTCTGCTGTGCAATTATCCAAGGGACAGGAAGCTTGTCATGTATTGCAGCAGCTGGTCTCTCTGCTACTCCCAGAACGACCATTCACAAGCGCTCCTTAAGGCAGAGGAGTTAATGCAGCTACACCCTACAATTTACTTTTGAGTAAACTTGCAAAGAGGTTCAGGTGGTACATTTGTAGACACACCATGAGTTTTTCTCAGTGTCATCTCCCTTTGTAGCTAGTTATAGACCCCACCTTAAACAGTCATTATATCCCCAAAGGATCCTGGAAACTGTAGTTTGTTAAGGGTGTTGAAAGTTATTAAAGGTAAAGGTAAAGGGACCCCTGACCATTAGGTCCAGTCGTGGCCGACACTGGGGTTGCGGCGCTCATCTCGCTTTATTGGCCGAGGGAGCCGGCTTACAGCTTCCGGGTCATGTGGCCAGCATGACTAAGCTGCTTCTGGCGAACCAGAGCAGCACACGGAAATACCGTTTACCTTCCCGCTGGAGCGGTACCTATTTATCTACTTGCACTTTGACGTGCTTTCGAACTGCTATGTTGGCAGGAGCAGGGACCGAGCAACGGGAGCTCACCCCGTTGCGGGGATTCGAACCGCCGACCTTCTGGTCGGCAAGTCCTAGGCTCTGTGGTTTAACCCACAGCGCCACCCGCGTCCCGAACCCTAAGAAAGTTCGGGAAAGTTCTTAGGTGACCCTTACTCCCCTCCCAGAGCTACAGTTCTCAGAGCGGTTTAACAATCATCCCCTCTTCCCAGGGACGTCCAATAATATAACCTCAACTAATACAAAGATTTAGCAATACAGTAGCAATACAGTGGTATCTCAGTCTACAAACAGTCCTCTTAATGAACTATTCGGGCAATGAATTCCGCAAGTAGGTGTTCCAGCTAGCGAACTTTGCCTTGGAAGACGAACGGAAGCCGAATAGTGGAAGGGCACTGGCGGTGGGAGGCCTCAGTAGGGAAAACGCACCTCGGTTTAAGAACGCTTTGGTTTAAGAACGGACTTCCGGAACGAATTAAGTTTGTATTCAAGGGTAAGTAAGAGATCGTGAAAATTAAGGACATGGGATAGAAATGTACCTGGTGACCTTTCTAAGGGCAGCTCTACACTTTGCACAGCTATTACAATTGGTATGTCTGTGGCTTCCCAGATGTTGTTGGACTCCAGCCTCAGCATGGGCAAGACCCAGTCAGCACGGCCAATGGTCAGGGGTGATGGGGCTGAGAGCCCAAGAACATCTGGAGGGCCACAGGATCCCCATCCCGGACTTAAAGCAAGGGAAGCTAGGAAGGCATCCACTTACATACACATGTCTGGGAACTCTGACATGGCCGGGGTTCCCAGACATGTGTCGAGACGTGCATGGCGTCAGTGGTGTAGCGTGGGGGGTGCAGGGGGGGCCGGCCGCACTGGGTGCAACATCTGGGGGGAGGCGCTCACACTCGCAGCTCTCTGCCCCTACTAAAATCCACAGGTTAGGGGGCGCAAATTACTTGCCTTGCCCTGGGTGCTGACAACCCACGCTACGCCACTGCATGGCGTCCACTCTGAGCACTGAATCAGTGGTGTGACACCAGTATACACACAGCGGCTGTGTTTGTTGGACAGGGTAGATCTGCCCTAAGCCAGGACCACACCTCTTCACAGGAACAAAAAAGCCTGCTGACCAGATTGTTCACGTTACATGACTGTTTTTCTAACGACACATCATTCAGATTAAAAATGGCTGCCTTCCTGAATTATATGCTGCACAAATGTATATTTCCTCTATTTTTGTAGATGCACTAGCAACTAAAAGGCATTCTTCATCCTCATTTGCAGAAGTGGATTTAGCTTGTCACTTTTTATATTACACTGTGGGTGTGTATCTGCTTGTGTGCCAGTCAGGCAGCTGGTTATTTTCTATTATTATTTTAAAAATCATTGCTACCTTGAAAAGATAGCTCTCAATGACATGTTTCAGTGCTCAACTTGGTGGCCTTAGGGGTGCTAGGAAGGGAGATGGTTGAAGGTTAATTAAAGGGCGCTCCCTGCTCTGGAGAGTTAATGCTGATCTCATGTGGTCTAAAAGGAAGCTAGAGCCTTAAGGTTACTTGAAAAAAGGTGCATGCAACAAACATACAATTTTTTTCTCAGTGAGTGAGAAGGCCTTCTTGTGAGAATAATAGTTGATTTTGTTTGTTTGATAGATGTAGACTCTCAGGGCAACATTCACTTAAAAACCACACACAGAAAAATGCAAACTTCAAACAATAAAATTGCAAAACCAGCAGACTATAACAAAGTAATCAAGTTCAATAGAAGGCGTAAAAACACAAAATCTAGCTCATCTCAGCATGCTGAAATGCCCTAGGCTAGGTGTGGGGAAAGCTGGGCCCTCCAGATGTTACTGAACTTCCATCAGCTCCAGAACGCACATCCAATGGCCGGGATTAATGGGAGTTGTCGTTCAGCTACATCTGGACAGCCAGTGGTTTCCCACATCTGCCCATGGCAAATGAAAATGTCTTTGCTTTGTGCTGACATGTTATCAGAGTTGGTGGCAAGCAAGCTTTTCTGGGGAGACCATTCTAAATACAAGTGGCCACGATTGAGAAAACCCTCTCTCTAGGCTTTATTATTGAAATTGTTCTATTAGCATTAATTAAAAAAAAACTACTGTGAGAGTCATCAGAGCAATGAAAGCAAAAGGAGAAAAAGAATTCAGGACCCCATATGCAAGGAGCTTCAGCCAATATTCCAACAGTGCAGGAGGAAGGCGGAAAGAAGAAAAGAGAATGAAGCGAGAGAAAAGGGGGAAATGGAGTTCCCTTTCCTCACAAAGTACTCTTAAATCACCTGCATTTGCCTAAGCGCTGGGATGGATGTTTGGTTTGGCCATGGATGTGCACAGACTATAAAGTGAATTCAAAGTGCATTCTTTCCCTCAAAAGAATTCTGGGCACTGCAGTTTACCCCCTCACACAGTTACAATTACCTGCAATCCTTAACGGACTACAGTGCCCAGAATTCTTTGAGGGACTCTTCTTTGAATGTGCTTTAAAGGTATAGCTCTTATGGCCACATATTAGATATTCTCCACTTGAAATGTTTGTCTTGGTGAGACTGTCAGCTTGGAGTCAGGGGCAGACAATCCAAATCTCTCTCTCTCTATGTGTAATTTATGATTTTCAAGTGTACACATTTCAATAATTTTAGAGTCATTTTAACATTTCAAAACTTGACTTCCTTCCCCCACTTTCTGCTGTTCCTTAAATTTATTTTTAATATTTTCTGCATATCCCAATTAACTTAATTTGCTCATTTATTCATCTACTTTAAAATATACTCTTATGAAACTGAAGGTTGTTACAATAATCCTGCCCATGTTTACAATTCCTTTGTAAATATTCCATAAACCATTTCCATTCTTTTATATAAAAAAGTTTGTTATCTTGATTTCTTATTTTTCCGGTAAGTTTCGCCATTTCTGCATAGTCCATAAGTTTTTGTATCCATTCCTCTTTTCCTGGGACTCCTTCTTCTTTCCACTTTTGGGCAGTCCAAATCCAGCCAGGTGGCAGCTCTTTTTTAACCAGCGAGTACATGATGGTTAGGGGGCACGGGTGGCGCTGTGGGTTAAACCACAGAGCCTAGGACTTGCAGATCAGAAGGTCGGCGGTTCGAATCCCTGCGACGGGGTGAGCTCCTGTTACTCGGTCCCTGCTCCTGCCAACCTAGCAGTTCAAAAGCACGTCAAAGTGCAAGTAGATAAATAGGTACCGTTCCAGCGGGAAGGTAAACGGCGTTTCCGTGCGCTGCTCTGGTTCGCCAGAAGTGGCTTAGTCATGCTGGCCACATGACCCAGAGGCTGTTTGCAGGCAAACGCCGGCTCCCTCAGCCTATAGAGTGAGATGAGCACACAACCCCAGAGTCGTCTGCAACTGTACCTAATGGTCAGGGGTCCCTTTACCTTTACCTTTACATGATGGTTATTGCTTGGACATTGGTGAGCAATGCCCTGGCTCCTTCTTTGATACTGATCCTATTCTGTGGCTAAGGAGTTGTGGTATAGCCTCAGCCAAAGGGGCTCTCCCAGCACCTCCCTTGACCTCTCTCTTTCTTTGTGTAGCACCAGACCTTGGCACGCCACAATGGCCTCAATCCTCCAGTGCTGCCCTTTCCTGACCCGGGACCCGACCACCTTCCTGCGCCGATGTCGGCCCCTGCTGGTCAGCAGTGCCCAGCGCTGCCCTGTGATGGTGGCCCGAGCCTTCTCTCGTTCTCATGCTGACCAGCAGCACGGAAAAGAGACCCATGGAGATTCTGGTGAGGCAGTGGGTGGGCTCACAGGCAACAGCCCTGGGTAAAATGTCCAGCTGAGGGGAGAGGGGTTTCGTCCACACTCTGAAAGCACACCCTCAAGGAAATCCTGGGAACTGCAGTTTGTTACATGTGCTGGGAACTGTAGCTCTCTGAGGGGCAAAATACCATTCCCAGGTATCGGGAATTGTGGGTAGGAAGGTGGGAATATCTAAATTAATGGTTCTTATTAGTCTGAGTAGCACCGAGTTAAAAACAAAAGAGGAATGTAAATTGGTAAAATTGATGGTAACTGCAGCCAGACAGGTTATAGCGAGTGATTGGAAAAATGCAGAAGAGTTAGAGGTGAACCAATGGAGGAAAAAACTGAATAATATTATAATTTTAGAATACCGAACTGTGAAGATACACAGAATGAAAGGGTTTAAGGTCAGTGAGAAAGAGGAGGATTGGTTTGAAAAGATATTGAATTATTTGGGTAGGTTTGAACAATTTGGGGCAATTAAAATGTTAAAAGTTAAATAAACCTTGTGGATGGAGGAGTGTTAACGTATATAAAATTGTACATATGGTTGATTTGAATATGTTATTGTTCATTATGTATACCCAGTGTATCAGCCGCCTGGAGGGTTTCACTGTTTGTGTTTTGGTTGTTGGTGAAAAAATAAAAATTTTAAACATTAAAAACATTTTTTAAAAAAACATCCCCAGGATGCTTTGGGGAAAGCCATGTGCTTTCAATGCACTTTGAATGTATGGTATGGATGTACTCATAACACTCCCCCAAAACACAGTATACGCTCTTTCAACACAGGGGGGTGCGTTTGTACAGTTATTAGATCTGGAAGAATCCAATATGGCAGTATGAAAGTCCAGTGGGAAATGAATGGATCTACCTATTCAGATAAACTATGTGTTTTGGGGCTATATTATTCCAGATAATATGGCAAGGGGAAACTGACGATGGATTCATCCCATTTTATTCTACTTTATTGTAGTTTGAATATGCTGCTTTGGGGGCCTTTGGGCTGCAAAACAGTATTTGATAAATAAACAGTGCTTGAAAGCTCCTCCATTAAAAAAATAATAATTAAATCCTTGCTTATAGAAAACTATCCTGTCAGGATGAAGGCTAGGTTCAAATCCTTTTCCCTTACAGGATAGTTTTTTGTTCCCCACCCCTAGATGTGGGGTAACATTTTTCATCCAAGACAGTTTGAAAATGGTACAACACCAGCAGCTTCATACTACATGATTTATTTTAATAAATATGGCCTACCATGGCAGGTGGTAAAATTGCTTGTCTGGACTGTAGCATTTCAGACTGCAGCGTACGGAAAGCTAGGAAGAAGATTCTAGCCCAGAGTTCTCCCTGACAGGATCGTTTTCTGTGTGCAGGGAAATTTTTAATTTTTGTAGGAAGGAGCAGTCAGTTATAGGGGCCCTATCACGGAATGTTCCTCCATTCCCCATACCCCCACCTCCCCAAAAATATGAAAGATCCAAGGTATGGAGACTCTGTCTCCAGGATCACAATTCTTGCCAGTGATCTCTTATTTCCCCATTGCCTCTTGCCAGCTGATGGCTGTTGTGGGTGAGAGTAGAGAGGACCTTTTTTAAAATAAAAATAAAAATTGGGACTTAGTAATTCTCTCACAAGGCTCAGCTGGGAAAAGATTTGCCAAATGGAGGAATAATTCCATCACTTCTGTCATCTGGCATGGTGCAGTCCAGACACAGGATTCCTACCCCAGGAGGGAGTCTGATCATTTAAAAACGGTTCTGGGTCTGAGACCTGGGTCTGAGACCTGGCTCAAAGGCCAAGCAACCCTGACACTAGAGGAAGGAGAAGGGAAAGAAAGATCCAAAATCAGGACTTTCTTTCAGCCAGAACTGGCTCCTCTCAGGTTGATGCCATTGCCATTATGTGAGAACAAGTGATTCCCAGCACCTCTTTTTCTAGGAAAAAAAAAGATAAGGTCCAAAAGATAAGGTCTTTGGATTTTATGTGAGGCAGGACCAGAGCACATGTTTTAATCTCCAGTTAGAAATGGTTTAAGGAGCAAGCGATAGGAAAGAGATCGGTCTGAGACCTTCACCGTACAACTCATACCATACAACTCTTGGAGAATTCTGGGAACTGTGGTTTGTGAAGGGTGCTGGACCTTTTGCTCTGTGAGGTCAGTGCCCTTAACAAGCTACAATTCCCAGAATTCTCTATGACCATCGAAGTGTTATGAGAGCGCTTTACATTTGTGGTGCGGATGTGAAAGAGCTGGACACACCCATAGCCTGACAAGGGACGTGAGTGGAACTGTGGTCTAATCCACTGAGCTTCTTGGGTTTGCCGATTGGAAGGTCGGTGATTCGAATCCCTGCAATGGAGTGAGCTCCCATTGCTCTGTCCCAGCTTCTGCCAACCTAGCAGTTCGAAAGCATGCCAGTGCAAGTAGATAAGTAGGTACTGGTGTGGCAGGAAAGTAAACAGTGTTTCCATGCACTCAGGTTTCTGTCACGGTGTTCCGTTGCACCAGAAGCGACACCCCAGAGTCGCCTTTGACTGGACTTCACTGTCCAGGGGTCCTTTACCTTTACTTATAGCCTGACAAGGCAGATTCCGACATCCAGCTCTGAAAAAGTCCGGGGTCAAGTGGGGTACAGTCCCTATGGGGGCCACCATCTGAAAGATGGAACCAGCTGGGTTCTCCTCTCCTTCTTCTGCCCACTAGGCTCCACCTCGCAGAGGGCGCCCCTGCTTCTCCCCTCCACGCAGTGCCCTTTCATGGAGTCAGAGCGCAAAAGCGGCCAGAATTCCTTTGTGCAGGAGGCAAAACCTGAGGTCCAGGAAGATGTCAGGCCTTTCAAGTCAGGTAGGGAATGAAGAGGCCTGCATCCTATGGGGAAGTGAAGCAGAATGGGGAGCTCCCATCCTCGACTTTTCCCTAGCCGTGACCCACTCGTCGTTCTCCCTCTAGGCATGTGGACTTCCCTAGTAAGGGAGGTGCAATCCAGCCTCAAGAGGAAGTTGCTCGATTCTGACAAAGCGTCACACCTCATTCGGGACAACATGCCAGGTAAGTGAATGGGAGGACTCCCGAAACTACTCAGATGGGGAGACAGCGTAAGTAACACATACACCTGCCGTGTGTGTCAGACACAGAGCTAGCAATTAAGCATTCCAGCCTTGTCGGAATTGGCTATCACTTTTTTCCCACCCCAAAAAAGTTTACTTTTCAGTTGTGTAAGAAATAAAGCATACCCACCTTTAGAGGAGGCCATACCCTGTGTTGCTGTTTTTCCCCCAGTCCCTGATGTTACACACATGCTGTCTGATTGAAAAGAGGCAAACTTAAAGCAGCTAGTCACACAGAGACACAACAGGCAGCCTCCTCTAAGAGCAGGTTATTTTTACTGGGACTCTCAACTGGGGATGATTGAAGAGCGGTATCCGACGAATGTGTCAGCTCAAGGATTTCTGCTTGTGCACCAGGACTCCCCACCCTCCTCCCCCGCTTCACACCCTCTCCCAATCTGTTCCAGAGTGTTGGGGGAACCCCTAGAAAAGATTTAGGGGTGTGTACAAGGGGAGGAAAGGGGGTCAATGTTCTATTGTGCAAGCAGAAGTCCTTGCACTGACGGGACATTCACATAGCAGTACTTTTGATACAACCCATTATGTCCAATCAAACAATGTGGCTGGGATAATCCAGTCAGATGGGTGGCATATAAATAATAAATTTGTCATTAATGTTGTAGTTGTTGTAGTTGTAGTTGTTGTTGTTGTCCAGAGATGGAGTGAAATTAGTTTCCTCCCAGGAGAGGCCAATTTGAAGGGCACGAGGTCAGTGCAGTAACTCATGCGGAGAAGAAACCGACAGCCTCCTCCAACCCCTTGCCACCGCTCCCTACCCCCTAATATCTTCTGCCTGGAGAGTCTGTGTCACTCTGTCTGACAGCATGGCCCACGATCCATCAGAACTTGCCCCTGACTCCACGTAAACAGAACCTTCCTGCCCTCTCTCACAGGCTGCTTCTCAGTAGCTTAGCCTTGCAGGTGCTAAGTCATCCATTATAGAGAAATCAAGTGATTCCCATGGGTTGTGTTAACCAGCCCTGTGTTTTTCCTAGCAGGGGACAAAGTGTTTGAGTACGACCATTTCTTTGAGGCAAAGATCCAAGCGAAGAAGCAAGATCACACCTACCGGGTCTTCAAGACAGTGAATCGAAGGGCTGACGCCTATCCCTTTGCTGAGGACTATTCTGGCTCCCAGGTAGAAGCCCGTGAGGTGTCAGTCTGGTGCAGTAATGACTACCTGGGAATGAGCCGCCACCCTCGAGTGATGCAGGCCATCCGGTGAGTGGCAGCTGCCCGGCAATGTCTCCAGCACAAACTCTCTCCAGCCCACACCTCGTCTAGTTCCAATGGTCTGTTTCAATCTGTTCCGCATTGCCCTTGCAACCTGCCCCAGTTCACTTTTGAAATTCAGTGTGATGGCCCTTTGACATGATCATGGGGTCGGGCAAACAGGGAAAGATGTTCTAGCCCATGGGTAGGCAAACTGGGTGCCGGATCCGGCCCAATTGCCTTCTCAATCCGGCCCGCAGACGGTCTGGGAATCAGCGTGTTTTTACATGAGTAGAATGTGTGCTTTTATTTAAAATGCATCTCTGGGTTATTTGTGGGGCTTGCCTGGTGTTTTTACATGAGTAGAACGTGTCCTTTTATTTAAAATGCATCTCTGGGTTATTTGTGGGGCATAGGAATTCGTTCATTATTATTTTTCCAAAATATAGTCCGGCCCCCCACAAGGTCTGAGGGATGGTGGACCGGCCCCCTGCTGGAAAAGTTTGCTGACCCCTGTCTAGCCCCTAGGCTGGAAACAGACAATAGCTCTTTTCTCTGGAGAGATGAAGAAGATTTGAAAAATGGGTGGCTGCTTGTGCCGTGAACTCTTGCCCCAATTCTGACCTCTGGTCAGCCTCAGCATCCTGAGGCCACTGCCCAGGACCCAGGACCACCCTGGCCTTCCCATCAAAATGTGTCTGGGTCCAGGAGTTGCCATTTAAATTTCCCACAATGCCCTGCAGAGGCATTATGTCAGGGGTCATAGTAGGAAATCAATAATAGGAATTGTAGTTCTGTGAGGGAGAAAACAAGACTCCACCCCATACATTCAAAGCACTTTTTAAGTGAATGACTTCGCCCACATAATCTGTGAGGGGTAAACTACAGTTCCCAGGATTCTTTGAGGGAAACCATTAGCTTTAAATGTGCTGGTTTGAAACAGAGGAGACGATGGCAGAGAGAAAAGGGCCTTGGGGCCCTTTCCCAATCCTCTTTAAACCCTTTTTAAGGTGTTTTCTGTCTCCGACTCTAGGCAGCTTAGTGAGTAAGAGAATGAGCAGGAAAGTCTCTGATTCAAAGCTCACATCAGCCATGAATGGGTGGGCTTAGGCAAGACCCTGTCCTGTCAGCCCCCTCCCCATCCTAATAATCCTGCCCACCCTCTTTCAACAGATCCATGCAGATAGCACATGGTGTGGTTTTTGTATTTTATTGTAATGTGACTTTTAATTTTAGCTTACTCTGTGAGCTGTCTGGGGAACTTTCTGTTACGGGTTAGCATGAATCTTACTCAGTGCGGATGCATTAGGACTGATGGAAACAAGTCCTTTGATTTCAACGGGTCTGATCTGAATTAACCTTGGATGCAGCTTAACCCTTTCCCACCCCCAATTTTTTTTATTAATTTTCCAAATTTATAACAAACATATCAACAAATATAAAAAGAAGACATCAAAAAACAAACAAACAAAGAAACATAGATCCTGACTATAATAATTCCTCTTTTCTTAACATTGTTAGGTGACTTCCTCGAATCCCCCTGGCTGAATTTCCATATATACCATTGTAGCAGTTTTCCAAAACTATTTTCACATAAAATTTACTTAGTCAATTAACATCTTTCTTTCTTTTTAACTTTCATTTTAACATTAAACATATTATTCTATAACATCCCATATTTAAATCCTAGGCCAATCTGATACTTGCAAGTAATTCTGTTTAGATTATCTTAGCATATTTAGCTAAATAGTCTTTAAATTTCTTCCATTCCTCCTGGTATTGCTCCTCCTTCTGGTCGCGGACTCTTCCGGTCAGGTCGGCTAGCTCCCAAAAGTGCATCATCTTCATCTGCCATTCCTCCACTGTTGGTACATCTTGTAATTTCCAATTTTTGGCCAATAACCCAACCCCCTTTTTAAAATGTAACCATCTTTGAGCACTTACCCATAGCTGTAGGTTTCACTAATGGTGGGACAAACCACAGCTTCCAGGTCTCAGGAGGCCATTTTCATGGGATCGTGGCAAGGAGGAGAAGGGTGAACATGTTCTCTTCCTAGCACTGAGAGTGGCCCCAGTCTGAACCAGGTTCTCCACAGTTGCTTTGCACAAGAATGGAAAAGGGACCCAAGATCTGATCAAGGGTCTCCATGGTCTTATCTGGTTTGGCGATCCAGGTGTGATTCACCTTCTGAGTTCAGCCCTTTTTGGAGCGAATCTCATTCTCCTCTTCTTCCACCCTATCCCCACCAGGGATACTCTGGATCTTTATGGAGCTGGGGCTGGAGGCACCAGGAACATTTCTGGCACCAGTAAGTTCCACGTGGAGCTGGAGCAAGAACTGGCCAGCCTGCACAGCAAAGACGCTGCCCTGCTCTTCTCTTCTTGCTTTGTGGCCAATGACTCCACCCTCTTCACTTTGGCCCGCATGATGCCAGGTAACCAGGGCAATGCAGTGGGTTGGCCTTTAGGGCCTGGCTGGCAGCCAAGAGAGGGGAAGGACCATGGGCTCTGCATGGAGAAGGTCCCAGGTTCAATCCCCAGCATCTCCAAGTTGGGCTGGGAGAAGCCCCGGTCGGGAATCCTGTGGAGACTGTACTGTGTGAGATAGACCAGTGGGTCTGACTCGGGGTGGGTAAATTTGACCGTGCTGGTTTCTCTCATTTTTTCCAGTCTTAAATCCATTTCTCCATGTTTCCACAGTAGCTTTTAAAAGTCCTCCTGAAAAATTACCAGCATTTTAAGGCAAAATTCTCCTAGTATTTTAACTAAGCACATACCCCAGTGTGTGCAATTATGCATACATTGCTGCAGAACCGTGTAGCAAATATAGGTAAAGGTAAAGATAAAGGGACCCCTGACCGTTAGGTCCAGTCGCAGATGACTCTGGGGTTGCGGCGCTCCTCTCACTTTATTGGCCGAGGGAGCCGGCATACAGCTTCTGGGTCATGTGGCCAGCATGACTAAGCCGCTTCTGGTGAACCAGAGCAGCGCACGGAAACACCGTTTACCTTCCCGCCAGAGCGGTACCTATTTATCTACTTGCGCTTTGATGTGCTTTCGAACTGCTAGGTTGGCAGGAACAGGGACCGAGCAACGGGAGCACACCCCGTCGTGGGGATTCGAACTGACAACCTTCTGATCGGCCCTGTGGTTTAGACCACAGCGGCACCCACGTCCCTGTGTAGCAAATATAGCATAGTGCAAATACAGCACAGGGTGAATTTTAAAAGATGGCTAGCTGTGTTTAGGTTTGTGTATTTGCTTTGGGAAATGCAAATGACATAGGTCCACCTTGAAAGCATTTAGAATCATGCAATTGTAGACTTGGAAGGGACCCAAAAGCCATCTAGTCCAAGTCCCTGTGATACAGGAGTCACAGCTAAACATGAACTGGATCAAATTTCTCCCCCATACCAAGGATCTGGCTCAGTGTAAGGCAGGTTCCTTTGTCCTTATTCCAGTTAGGCGGAGAGCAGAGGCTCGGTGGGTGACCCAGAGGCTCCTTTTCCTCCTGCAGGGTGTGAGATCTATTCAGACGCAGGCAACCATGCCTCCATGATTCAGGGCATCCGAAACAGTGGAGCACCGAAGTATGTCTTCCGGCATAATGACCCCCAACACCTGGAGGAGCTCCTGAGCAAAGCCAATGCCAACACCCCAAAGATTGTTGCCTTTGAGACTGTCCATTCCATGGATGGTGGGTAATGCATTTGTATGTTGTTCATATTTATTATTCGCTTCATAATGAATTTTCCAGATAACGTGGTAAAATCAATATACAGTCATACCTCGGGTTACAGATGTTTCAGGTTGTGTGTTTTCGGGTTACGTATGCGCCGAAACCTGGAAGTACCGTAACGGGTTACTTCTGGATTTTGGCGCTTGCGCATGCGCAGAAACACTAAATCGCGCTTTGCGCATGTGCAGAAGCGCCGAATCACAACCCACATGTGTGCAGACGTGGCACTGCAGGTTGCGGACGCTGTGGTTGCAAACGTGCCTCCCACACGGATCACGTTCACAAACCGAGCTTCCACTGTAAAACAAAAAATTAAGCATATTAAGAGATTCATCTTTTAGGACCAACCCTATTCTTGTGACTGTTTTTAATACTGTATTTTGAACTGTTGGTGAGCTACCTTTGGACCTTATAGTGAAGCATGGGTAATAAGTTAAGTTAATGACAATAACAATAACAGTAACAATAACAATAACAAGGCAATCAAATTCCACACTGAAATCCAAAGTCAGCATGCATGATAAAACAATTACCAGCAGAAAGTTCATTTGTCCTAGAGGCTGGGAATCTGTGGCCCTCCAAGATGCTCCCAAACTCCCATCGGCTCCAGTCAGCATGGGCGATAGTCAGGGATGCTGAGAGTCATAGCCTGGAGGTCCAGAGGTTCCTCATCCTTGATTTTACATAGAAAAGCTAAAAAAGAAATCCTGTGTTGGATTTGATCAAAGCTGAGATCTTCAAAACATTTGATCTTCAAAACATTACTCTGCACATTTTCCTTACTGCACCTCCTTTGCAATCCAGGCTAAAGTCGCCAGTAAGGGTCAGCATCCTTCGTGCATTAAGTCTTCTCTGTCTGCAGGTGCCATCTGCCCACTGGAGGAAATGTGTGATGTGGCACACCGCTATGGAGCCATCACTTTCGTGGATGAGGTTCACGCGGTGGGACTTTACGGGGCCCACGGGGCTGGCATTGGTGAACGCGACGGAGTGATGGGCAAGATAGATATCGTCTCTGGCACCCTGGGTAAGTTTGAGGGTGAGCCACAGCCCCTAATGAAAAGGGCATCAGGAAGGGATGGACTACGGTGAAGGTCTGGGATGTTCTAGCACTGGATTTCCTGAACTGAGCAGGAAGTTGAAGTAGGTGGCCTAAAAGATGGCCTAAAACTCTATGGTCCTCGGTGCCACAGAGCAGCAAGTTAAGATGATGGGATAGACTTGGTCAGGAAGGAACACCATGTTGGAGGCAAGTGGTTCTCCAGTAGCCACACCTGGAACAGCTTCAATTTGCCGGCTAGACCAGTTGAGGGTAGCCAACAGGTCTCAAACCCTCGGTGAGTTAGGAACTTCCCCTGCATGTGAAGACAGGCTTGGGCAGATTGAGCAGGTGAGACCAATGGTCAAGAAGGTGGTTTCTGCACATGCTGTAGAGGGAAGTGAGGGGCAGATGGGGCTCATCCACCTGGAAAGGAAGCATCTTCAAGAGAAGAAGAAGCTAAGGAGTAAGCCCTGGCGCTGCTCTGGTTCGCCAGAAGCGGCTTAGTCATGCTGACCACATGACCCGGAAGCTGTACACCGGCTCCCTCGGCCAATAAAGTGAGATGAGCGCCACAACCCCAGAGTCATCCGCGACTGGACCTAATAGTCAGGGGTCCCTTTACCTTTAAGCCCTACACAAATCTGGAGTGGAGTCCTGAAGGCAGTTGGACGGTACCTTGTACAACTCCTTCTGGCAACTCTTGCAGCCAAGCTGGTGTCAAATGTATTACAGTGGTACCTCGGGTTACATACCCTTCAGGTTACATACACTTCAGGTTACAGACTCTGCTAACCCAGAAATAGTACCTTGGGTTAAGAACTTTGCTTCAGAATAAGAACAGAAATTGTGCTCCGGCAGCGGGAGGCCCCATTAGCTAAAGTGGTGCTTCAGGTTAAGAACAGTTTCAGGTTAAGAATGGACCTCTGGAATGAATTAAGTACGTAACCAGAGGTACCACTGTACTTTCCTTTCTTCAGTGAGACCACATCTTGTCATCTGGGCAGCCCAGGACTTCCATACACACCACCCAGGCTTGTGCCCCGGGGAGGTCACTTCAGTGCTGCTAACGCAGCGGTTTCACTTCATCTCCAGAGGCACACTCTCGAGACAGACAGATGCCCGCAGTTCCATCTCAAGTTGAAGCAAGGATGCAAAATAAGACACATGAAGTTCCTCAGTTTGCCTAAAGTTATGCAACTTGCAGAACCCAACTCCCTTTAGCACACAATTTGGATTGTCTGCATGCAACATTCACCATTGTATTTTCAGTGCAGAGCCTAGGTGTGCTTCCAGAGTGCATGGACTAATGTCTGCCTTTTCTTTCCTCCCCTTGCAGGGAAGGCTTTCGGCTGTGTGGGTGGCTATGTGGCCAGCACCAAGTCTCTGATCGACACAGTGCGCTCCTATGCGGCGGGATTCATCTTCACCACCTCCCTGCCCCCCATGGTGCTGGCCGGGGCCCTGGAATCGGTCCGGGTCTTGAAGAGCCCCGAGGGGCAGGCTCTGCGCCGCTCCCACCAGCGCAACGTCAAACACATGCGCCAGCTGCTGATGGACGCCGGGCTCCCTGTGGTCAGCTGCCCCAGTCACATCATCCCCATACGGGTATGGCTCTCCGGGACGAAAACTACGCAGAAACGGCCTCTCTAAGTTCCGCACTCTGTTCGCCAGGGGTGAAATAGGGAGGGCAATTTCACCAAGTTTCTCCAGGGGGGAGGAGAAATTATCCAGCAGCGGCATTAGGCAGCCTGTAGCCTTCCAGGTGTGGCTGGACCCAGCCAGACCCAGGCAGCGTGGTCCCCAGTTGGAGGCAGCAGTGCTTCCGAATTCTAGTTGCTGGAAACCGCCAGAGGAGGAGAGTGCTTGGGTCCTGTTTGCAGGTTTCCCAGAGGCCTCTGGTTGGCCATCGTGACAACAGGTTGCTGAACAAAATGGTTAAATGACCTGCTCCAACAGGCTCTTCTTATTGTGTTTTCCCCCCCAAATTTTTTATTCATTTTATAACACAAATAAAAAACACAAACAGAAAAGACAAACAATACAAACTAATTCTTGTCATATCCTTATTTTTCTAAACATTGTTAAGTGGGCTTCCTCAAGTCCTACCTATCAATTTTCATTTTACTTCATCTTTAGCAGTTTACATGTATCATAATTTCTAACCATCTTTCCCCCCCCCCCACACACACTTACTTTAACCATAAAAAACTTAACATTTTATCACTTATAAAATACACTATATCCACTACCAAAGCTATTCTAAGATTTAAGTATTAACTTATTTTTTCAAATATTCCTTAAACTTCTTCCAATCTTCCACCGTCTCTTCTCTCTGGTCTCGGAGTCTCCCCGTCAGTTCGGCAAGTTCCATATAGTCCATCATCTTCATCTGCCATTCTTTTGATAGTTGGTAAATCTTGTTTCTTCCAATTCTTTGCTAGCAATATTCTCGCAGCTGTTGTGGCATACAGAAAAAAAGTAACATCCTTTTGGGGGATTTCAACCCCCCCCCCACTATACCAAGTAAAAAGGCTTCTGGTTTGTTTTAATAAATGTGTTTTTCAACACTTTTTTCAATTCATTATAAATCCTTTCCCAGAAGTCTTTTACCTTGGGGCACATCCACCACATGTGGTAAAAGGTTCCTTCTTTTTCTTTACATTTCCAGCATTTATTATCATGAGTATGATACATTTTTGCTAACTTCACTAGTGTTAAGGCTCTTCTTATTGTTATACAGAAATACAGTGGTGCCTCGCAAGACGAAATTAATCCGTTCCGCAAGAGTCTTCGTCTAGCGGTTTTTTCGTCTTGCGAAGCAAGCCCATTGACGGATTAGCGCTATTAGCGCTATCAGCTGTTTAGCGGCTATTAAAGGCTTAAAGGCTTAGGGGATTAGCTGCTAAAAGGCTATTAAAGGCTATTAAAGGCTTAGCAGATTAGATAAAGGGGGAAAGCGAAAAAAATCTCAGGACTCGCAAGGTATTTTCGTCTTGCGAAGCAAGCCCATAGGGGAATTCGTCCTGCGAAGCAACTTCAAAACGGAAAACCCTTTCGTCTAGCGGTTTTTCCGTCTTGCGAGGCATTCGTCTTGCGGGGCACCACTGTATCATTATGTTCTTATGTAGGGGATGATGATGATTGGGAGACCTACAACACCTGGAGGGTAAAAGTTCCCCATCCCCATCAAGCAGTTTTGTAGAGGCAGGGCTCTCCAACAGGAGTAGCACAGCTTCCCCCACCCCTCCAAATAATCTTGGGAATTATAGTTCTGTGAGGGATAAACCACGGTTCCCAGAATACTTTGGAGGAAGTTGTGACTCTTAAAGTGGTATGAATGTATTTTAAATGCATGGGGTGGTTGTTTGCCCCCGACATTATTTATTTATTGCTGCTGCTGCTGCTGCTGCAAGCAAGTATGTTGGAAGTTTTTGCATCCTCCACAGGGTCCTGGACCTAACACCATTCTGAGTATTTTGGTGGTGGCGGAGAATGATGTGTCTCTCTCACACACACAAAGGGTAGGAAACACTCCAAGAAAATTATACAAAATGGCCTCCTTCCAGTGGGGAGGAGGAGGGTGGGGAAAGCCCAGGGCAGTCATGGGTTTATCTAGTGTTATGGGTAGAGGACCCCAGTTGTCTTCTGAAGAACAGCAACAGAGTGTATGGCACAATCCAGCTAATATGAAACACTGAAATCTCTGTTTCGCTGGGGAAAACCCTGATATTAATATTCGTTATTACTTTTATGCTACATTCATAGAAGAGTTTGGATTTGATATCCCGCCTTTCACTCCCTTTCAGGAGTCTCAAAGCAGCTAACATTCTCCTTTCCCTTCCTCCCCCACAACAAACACTCTGTGAGGTGAGTGAGGCTGAGAGACTTCAAAGAAGTGTGACTGGCCCAAGGTCACCCAGAAGCTGCATGTGGAGGAGCGGGGAATCAAACCCGGTTCACCAGATTACGAGTCCACCACTCTTAACCACTACACCACACTGGCTCTCATTCATAGCGCTTTACAAAAGTGTAAAAGTGTAAAAGGACTCCCTCCGGTTCTATTTAAATCAAAGGGACTTAACGGTGCTGATTTTTTGGCTGGGTCATTGACAGCTACAAAAGGCAGGATGGGAGGAACAAGGAACTAGACCTCTGACTTCACTCTCTTAGCAATGTATGGTTCTCTCCTCCACAGGTTGGAGACGCAGCCCTGAATTCTCACCTCTGTGACCTGCTTCTGGCTGAATACAACATCTACGTCCAAGCCATCAATTACCCGACTGTGCCTCGGGGGGAGGAGCTGCTGCGGCTGGCCCCCTCGCCCCATCACACGCCACCCATGATGAATTACTTTGTGGGTGAGTCACCAGGACCACATGATCTAGTTGGGACCGTGTTTCCCTGTAATAAAGACCACTGCATGGTTCTAGAGTTGCAAACACTAATAATGGTAGGCTTACAAACATGCAGTTAGGAGTTGTAAAAAGAAAAGAAAATGAAGCCATTAACATAGAAATGGAGGCTGTGACCTCATTCGTACATAATGCTAAGCCATAGTTGAGGACCTGCTTCCCTTTTTCAGTACAGCTGTGAATAAACTAGGAAGCATTTGCTTCTGCTTTCAAATCACTATGGTTTGGTCATAAAGCCAGAATTATAAACCAGTTTACAGGTGGCTCCTTTGGACAAACCATAGTTAAAACTAACTGACGTTTGTCCTGACTTGCATGTAGCAGCAAACTGTGGTTTGCTGAAGCCAGAAGCAAAGGCATCTTCACCTCTTCACACCTGCATGCTACAGGAGAGGGGAGCACATCAGCTTAAGGCTCCTTTGCATAGCACCAAACCAGCTGTCCTCCAGATGGCACAGTCTATGTATTGGGCTTCTTAGGAGCTTTACTCCTGTGCCAGGCTGGCATTTGCCTCTTCTCCCATTGGATCAAGGGAATGGTCAGTGAAGACTCCCCTTTGAAGAAAGGTTGCAGCATTTGGGACTTTTGGGCTTGCCAATCAGAAGGTTGGCGGTTCGAATCCCCGTGATGGGATGAACTCCCGTTGCTCAGTCCCAGCTCCTGCCAACCTAGCAGTTTGAAAGCACACCAAAAAGTGCAAGTAAATAGGTACCGCTCCGGCGGGAAGGTAAACAGCATTTCCGTGCGCTGCTCTGGTTTCAGTGTTGTTGTGCCAGAAGTGGCTTAGTCATGCTGGCCACATGACCCGGAAAAAAACTCTGCAGACAAACGCCGGCTCCCTCGGCCTGTAAAACGAGATGAGCGCCACAACCCCAGTCTCGTCTGTGACTGGACTTAACTGTCAGGGATCCTTTACCTTTTTAGTTTTGGGAAAAGGCGAGTAAGAGGCAACGTAATAGAAGTTTACAAAATTATGCCTGGCAAGGAGAAAGTGGAGAGAGAAAAGCTGTTATCCCTCTCCTAACACTAGAGCTTGTGGACATTCAGTGAAGCTGAATGTTGGAAGATCTAGGACAGATAAACGAAAGTACTTCTTTACACTACGCATAGACAAAGTCTCCCAGGAAGTGATGGTCACCAACTTAGATGGCCTTAAAAGAGGATTAGACGTAGTTATGGAGGAGGAAAGGGCTACCAGTGGCCACTAGCCATGATGGCTATGCTCTCTCTACCTCTGCGGCTGGAGGCAGCAATGCTTCTGAATACCTATTGCTGGAAACAGCAGGAGGGAAGAGGGCTTTTGCTTGCAGGCTTCCCCCCCCCCTCTCTCTCTATATATACACCGTATTTTTAGGTCTATAAGATGCACCAGACCACAAGACGCACCTAGTTTTTGGAGGAGGAAAACAAGAAAAAAAATATTCTGAATCTCAGAAGCCAGAACAGCAAGAGGGATCGCTGCGCAGTGAAAGCAGCAATCCCTCTTGCTGTTCTGGCTTCTGGGATAGCTGCGCAGCCTGCATTCGCTCCATAGGACACACACACATTTCCCCTTACTTTTTAGGAGGGAAAAAGTGAGTCTTATAGAGCAAAAAATACGGTATATACATACATACATACCCCACCCATCTGGCTGGGTTTCCCCAGCCACTCTGGGTGGCTTCCAACAGAATATTAAAATACAATAGTCTGTTAAACATTAAAAGCTTCCCTAAACAGGGCTGCCTTCAGATGTCTTCTACAAGTCTGGTAGTTGTTTTTCTCTTTGACATCTGGTGGGAGGGCGTTCCACAGGGTGGGTGCCACTACCGAGAAGGCCCTCTTCCTGGTTCCCTGTAACTCGGCTTCTCATAGCGAGGGAACCACCAGAAGGCCCTCGGCACTGGACCTCAGTGTCTGGGTAGAATGATGGGGGTGGAGACGCTCCTTCAGGCATCTGGTTGTCAACTATGAGAATGGGATGCTGGACTAGACTGGCCTTTGGCCTGATCCATCAGGCTATTCTTAGGTTCTTCTGGATTTTAACAGGGCCACAGACTCCTCTTCAGAAACAATAGTTCAACAGCTCCAGGGGCATGGGCCCACAAGCCCCAGCTGCTGCTTAGCACAGAAACCACCAATCAGCTGCCCATTATACAACTCAGCAAAAAATAATAATAATGAAATTTGAAATTTGCATGGCTTGGCTACATTTAACACCTTCTTCTTCCATTCCCTCTCCAGAGAAGCTCCTGGCAGCCTGGCAGGAGGTAGGGCTGCCTCTGCAGGCCGCAGTCTCCCCCGAGTGCAACTTCTGCCACCGCCCGCTGCATTTTGCCCTCATGAGCGAGTGGGAGAGGGATTATTTCGGGAACATGGGGCCCCGCTACATCACTCTTTGCGCCTGAGGAGCCGGCCTCTCCACACACAAACACACACAAACACAAACACACAGTCTTACAGGAAGAGAGACAAGGATGTCAACACTGACGCTGCCAAATGGAAAGAGGGTATCTGAGTGTAATAAAAATCTGCCACTTTGTTTGCTGTGTCTCCTTCGCTGCCTCCCACATTCGTGGAATTCAAGTGTCCAAATGGGCAGGGCTTCTCCAGGTGGCAAGCAGAACAGGGGAAGGCACAGGCCTCTGCTTGCCACAGGGGTGGGGAACTGAAAGCCAAGGGGCCAAATGCGGCCCTCCAAGCCTATCTGCTCCCCAGGCCATACTCTCCACCAGCCCTACTCTGCACCTTCTTTGAGCATTTTTGTTTACTGAATGGAACATGTCCTTGAAGTCTCTTGCTCATCTGCAGACTTACACCAAGAATGGAGGAATAGGAATTCCTTTTCAGCACCAAAGTTGAGCTCAACATTCTTTCCATTCCAGGGTTCCTCCTAAGATTTTGTTCTTGTTGGAATTTCAATAGCCTAATGTAGAAGAGGGGCAGGGAGGGGGGGACGCCCTTTAGTTGGTGCTACTAAACTGGGAGTCAGAAATCTTTGCTGATTTACTACAAAATTTCCAGGAATCTCCAGATAAGCTCCTAATCTACCTCCTACCCATACCTGACATAGGGTTTGTCCACACTTTCTAGGCACTGTGCTTTCTAGGCACAGGTTTGCACTTTCCTGGCCCATGTCTGAGTGTTCCCCCCAACCCCTAGCCATTTTCCTTGAGAAACCCATTTTTTAACCACTGAATTGGAGCAAATGGCAATTCAGGTTTTTCCCTTTAAGGCATGCTAGTAGTACCAGGGATGGTCAGCAGAGGGCTCCACTTTCCCTAAGCACACACACTGAAACCCATGGAAAGGGGAAAGTTCCATGTCTTGCAATCCAAATGACAGCCAGCAGGGATTTTCATGCATTATTCCCAGATAGAAAAGCAAGACGTACCTTTTTGCCCCAAGGCAATCCTGTACAGGCAATATGAACTCAGTTGTGCTAATCTGCAAAACCTGGGCTTAATCCCTTTGTCACCACAATAGCTGAAGCACCCAGGGCAGTTTATGCCACAGGGATCAGGAGCATAGCTGTCAACTTTCAGATTTGAAAATAAGGGATCAGCAGCCTCACCTGTCCCAGGGACAGTCTACAGGATATCTAACAATCCGGGATAGCAGCAGGAAACAGTGCTGGATTAAGGGAATTTCCCGCAAAAAAAAGGGACGGTTGACAGCTATGATCAGGAGTGCCATAACAGCACCGCCATTCCTCAGAACCAGAACCTTAACTCCTGGTTCAGCATCACCCAACTCTCTTTTCAGAGAACATAAGAAATCCAACTTTCCCTGTTCCCACAGAGCAAACGTTTAGGGTTTTTTTTTCCAACATCTTTATTTTATCAAAAGTAAAAAAAATAAGATCCCCCCTGCCCCAAATAAGGATTAATCACCTCCCAGCAATTGCATCACTGTTATTACGGGGGTTTGTGGGGAGGGCAGTTAAGGGGAAAGAGCAACTTGCTGCAAGAGCACCATTTAAGAGCACTTCTCCACCCAATGTTAGAGAGAGCCTAACTGCAGGTTTGATGCGCATGAATCCAGAAAATGCTCATCACAAGACAGGGTGGTCTGTGTGCGTATTCCCAAAGCTTGTGTTAGTCCTAGCATGTAAAACTGTTGATTTAATAATAAAACCAATTATTTCTTCCTCTTTAAACAACGTTCCTATCTGCAGGGTCTGGCATCAAAGACCTCAAAACTCCCAACGTGCTCTGGTACAAAAGTTAAGTTTCTACTGGCACAGCCCAAAAAGATCCCATGGAAACTTTGGGCCTGACCTCTTTGACCCCCTGGCAATAAGCCTAGGCCTCTCTCCGCCACAGAGGCTGCCTTCCCCTCTCTTCTTAGGCAGCGAGACATCCAGGATACTTTCCATTAGAAACCAACCCCTTCTTTTCCACTTAGGGGTCACTGCGCGTCTAACGTCCTCTCATTTCAGTTGTCCTCTCAATTCAAGGATTCCCCCGACTGGCCCACAGGAAGAAGTCACAGCGGGAGCGGGGATCTGACGGCTTCCCCAGAGGCCGGGCGCAGACGTAAAGCGCCGCCCAGAGTTTGGTCCCGGCTTCTTCACTGTCCGCAGGACACAGGGCTCTCCATGGGCCTTGCAGTGAGGCGGGCGAGCAGGGCCTGGCAGCAGGGACTTCCACAGGGCAGCGGACTGGTTTGAACTAGAGGGGACCGAGCCTTTCCCACAATCCAGAGCTTCTCCGTTGGCCAGGCCCAGAGTGGGCTCCTCTCTCAAACTCCCAGTGCATGGCTGGGTCCCACCAGCAACTTCCTCCACCCCATGCTCAACAGTGATCCTTCCAGAAGCGTCAAGAGGAAGTTCCACCCCAGAATCTTCTGCTGTCCTCGTTTTCATTACCGACTGATAGTTGGCACTGTCGGTGGTGGCCCTAGGCCTGCCGTTTCCAGCTGTGAAGAAGCTTCGCAAATCTCCTTGCCCCTTCTGTGGTGGACCCACCCGTCTCTTCTTGGAAGCCCCCGCAACATTTGGTTCCCTCCCGCCCCTTTTTTGCCCCCTCTCCTCTGGCAGGCTGGTCCGCTCCACTTTCACGAGGAAGCGGCTGAGCTTCTGCTGGGTGCCAGCAAACTCAGGCAGGAAGCGGGTGCAGAGAGGTGGGCAGCGGGGCGCCCCCAGGCAGACGCTCCTAAGCGCCACCCGCACAGGGCAGTGGTCGGAGCCAAAGACGTCTGGCATGAGCTGGGCATCCTGCAGATCTGACAATGCTAGCGCACGATCAGCCAGGATATAGTCAATGCGGGTGCCGTAGTTGAGCTGCCGGGACCCGGTTACGTTGCACCAGCAGGTGTAGGCATCAGTCTGACCAGGGTGCAGAAAACGGAACGTGTCAACAAAGCATTTCCCATCCTGGGAATCCTTGTCTGGCTCCCACAGGAAACTGTCCAGCCAGCGGCGCCCGGGATGCTCCTGAAAGGATTCCTGCAGGTGACAGTGGTGGAAGCGTTAAGTGCTATTATTATTATTAATAATAATAATAATAAATTTTTATTTATACCCCGCCCTCCCCAGCCAGGGGCTCAGAGCAGCTAACAACCAATAATAAAAACAAGTTGATTAAAATACAATTTAAGAAAGATTAAAATACAACATTAAAACGTTAGGATGCAGCCACTTCACAAATTAAGATTTCCGTAGTGCTTTCAAATGCTGTCTATGCATTGGTTTCTTGTAACCCTTGCATCAAGGGATGCAGGTGGCGTCTAGGACTAGCCGATCAGAAGTTAGGCAGTTCGAATCCCTGCGATGGGGTGAGCTCCTGTTGCTCGGTCCCTGCTCCTGCCAACATAGCAGTTCAAAAGCACATCAAAGTGCAAGTAGATAAACAGGTACTGCTCTGACAGGAAGGTAAATGGCATTTCCGTGCGTTGCTCTGCTTCGCCAGAAGTGGCTTAGTCATGCTGGCCACATGACCCGGAAGCTGTAAGCCGGCTCCCTCGGCCAATAAAGCAAGATGAGCGCCACAACCCCAGAGTCAGTCATGACTGGACCTAATGGTCAGGGGTCCCTTTACCTTTAACCCTTGCATCATCCTGAAACACAGGGGCAACTAACCTGCAGCCCTGCAGATGTCATTGGACAACGACCCCAACTCTGGCCATGCCTATTTATTAATTTAGTTAAAGTATGTATATACTGTTTTTCATCAGAAAATATCGCAAATTGGTTTGCAAGTAAGACTATGTAAAACAAAAATTAAAGTGTACCCGAAGAAGCGTCTCCACCCCCAGCCAGATGGAAGGTGTATAAATAATAAAATTATTATTTTTATTATTATTCTGTGATAAATGAAGCATCCAGCTCCACAACACAGAACTCCACTCGCTCAATATCCAAAGCTATTAAGCCAGTGCACTGTAATGGTTAGAGCAGGGATCAGCAAACATTTTCAGCAGGGGGCCGGTCCGCTTTCCCTCAGACCTTGTGGAGGGCCGGACTATATTTTGGAAAAAAGAAGAACGAATTCCTATGCCCCACAAATAACCCAGAGATGCATTTTAAATAAAAGGACACATTCTACTCATGTAAAAACACGCTGATTCCCGGAACATCCGTGGGTCAGATTTAGAAGGCGATTGGGCCAGATCCAGCCCCCTGGCCTTAGTTTGTCTACCCGTGGGTTGGTGTTGGACTAAGACCTGGGAGACCAGGGTTCGAATCCCCACTCAGCCATGAAGCTCACTGGGAGATCTTGGGCCATCTCTTAGCCTAACCTACCTCACAGGGTTGTTGTGGGGATGGAATGGGGAGGGGGAGAACCACATACACCACCTTGAGCTCCTTGAAAGAAAAGGTGGCATATAAATGCAATAAGCAAATAATAAAATAAACTATTAACACATCTGTAGCTCAAATCACCCTACCCCAGCCCACATTCACCCACATTCACATACTCCCCACCTTCACAGCCTGGGGTGGGTGAGGGAATCTGTCTCACTGTTCCTCACCCTCTAAGTCACCTTGCGGACTTCATGATCCCCAAACATGTTGGGAAGGGCTGGGCTCAATGGCAAAGCTTCTGCTTTGCATGCAGAAGGGTCCCAGGCTCAACCCCCAACATCTCAAGGTAGGTTGGGTTGGGAAGGTCTCCGTCTGAATGCCCTCAGTCTGAAACCAGAGCCGCAGCCAGTCAGTGATGAAAATGCTGAACCAGATGGACCAAGGATCTGACTCAGAGTAAGGCAGCTTCCTATGTGTCAGGACTCCCCACCCAACCCTGTGCATGCCTATGAGAAACAGATTTCCTGCCGCTGTAGCAGCACTGCCAGGCCCTGTACTGTAGAGAGTAAAGGCAGCTGCGTAAAGTGGGCAGCTTGCTCACCAGATCTCCCGGGTCACAGTGGTCAATAGGCTTGTGTGCTGTGTTGATGTCCCCCAGGATGACCACATGGCTAGACGGAGAGAGGAAATGTGCATGAGTCGCAAGGCAAAGAGGCAAGACAGCGAGACCCCATTCATCCCAACAGTCCTGACTCCATCGGAGAAGTTCGGTGGATTGGAAGCTGGCTTAGACAGGGAAGGGATAACGGCTGAGGCAATGAAATATCATCAGCATCGTTCATATAGGGCTCTTTGACTTTCTCAAGGTTCCTCACATGTATTTGCAGCAGTTCTTACAGCAGTCACATATGGCACAGCTCAGTATTCTTCCCATGTTGGAGATGAGGGTGGAGGTAGAGACAACAGTGACTGGACCCAGGGGTAGCTGATTTGCTGACTTCCAGCTGTTGCTGGACTAGATCACCCCTGACCATTTGCCAGGCTGGCTGGAGCGGGAGTTTCAATGACTTCTTGAGGACACCACATTGGCTACCCCTCTGGAGAATAGCCGACTGAGTTTGGGGCACTCATCTGTGTGCCCCAAACTTCACCAGGAGCTTCACAGCTTGGTCCTTTTCAACAGTGCGATCTCATGCAAACTTAACTAGGGCATCCTTTGCATGCTTGCTCTGGAATAAGTAGAACTGAACTCAGTGGGGCTCACTGACGTGGCTCCCTCCAGCTGTTTTGCTCTAACTAATCCACCAGTGTTGGCTGTGGCTGATGGGAGTTGGAGTCCAAAACACTGGAAAGGAATCAGAGCACCAGAGGCTTGACTAGGGAGTAAGCCCCAGAATAAGCATGTCTAGGACTGCACTGAGCCAACGAGAGGAGTGACACATACCCTCCAGCTCTGAGAAGTGCCTCGGCCCGAGCTTGCAAGAGATGATAGAAACGCAGCTTGAAGTCCCCACGCTCTGGCTTTTCAGGGTCTGCACGAGGGCAGTACACATTGATGACTGTCAGCGTGGTCTCCTGCTGTTCTGAAGTGCTGCAGTGAAAGGACAAAGCACGTCAATGCTGTCACACTTCAGTTACTAATGGCTCAAGCTCCCTGATTCATGGCTGGCTAGGAAAGTTATAGACACAGACCCATTAACATCTTCGCAACAGGTTTAGGCAATTCCACTATCAAGGCTGAGGATGCTCAGGAAATTGCATGTGTTAAAATGGAAAGAACACTCAGCAATCAGCTCCTAAAGGGTTGGAAACATTCTGCATACTTCTAAAAATATTTATGGCTGCAGTGGTATCAGTGTGGCATTCATTCTGTCCCAGCTCCTGCCAACCTAACAGTTTGAAAGCACACCAGCATGAGTAGATAAACAGGTACCACTGCGGCAGGAAGGTACATAGCGTTTTCATGTGCTCTGGCACACTTGTCAGTGTCCTGTTGCGTCAGAAGCTGTTTATTCATGCTGGTCACATGGCCCAGAAAGTTGTCTGAGGACATATGCTGACTCCCTCGACCTGAAGTGGGATGAGCGCCACACCCCATAGTCAAGCTTGACTGGACTTAACCGCCCAGGGGGCCTTCAACTTTACCTACCTCAATGTGTAACCCAGCATGTGATGCAAAATTGCAAAAAATCTCAATTTTGCTTCAAATTAAAAGGAAAACATCTAGCCCTCTTAGCTGGCCAGGAAAATCTGAGAAATCCTGGAAACTTGTTCTCTCTTACACACACATTCTTTTCAACTCTCCTTGATAACAGCTCTGTAAAGTTGTTATAATTATTTTTGTTGTTGTTAGCCAGGATCACAAATGGAGAGTTGAGAGCAAGGTGACAGGCCCTGTAATAAATTTATTCTTGAGGGTTAGATCTGAGTTGGGCATTTCTTGGCTCACACTCTTAAGACCACAATTTTCTCAACTACAACAGCTGTCAGTTACCAAGCATTGTCATTGGCTCACAGCTCTGCAGACCCTCCCACCCCACCCCTTCCTGTTCCTACCGAATACGGTGACGTGTGATCACAGCCCGGCCCTCACTGTCCAATGCCTGTAGCTCCTCAGTTGTGAAGCCCTCTGTCTCTCCATAAGAACCAACTGTGCCATCGTGCTTAGCAAACAGCCCAGACAGGCCTTCTTCAGCTGCCTCTGGGGTGGCACTGACCTTGCAGAACGTTGCAACACCTGGAAGACAAAGAGAGACTGAAAGTTTGTTCTGGGCTCTCACAGTGGGCTATAAAGCTACCTATTTGATCCAAGATACAAGAGAAAGAAACAAATTGAAACCTCTGTACCTTACAGAGGTAAGGCACACCACTTTGTACATCACTTTGTGGGGTTTATAAAAAAATCAAGTGGTATGCAAATTATATGCAATAAAATAAAATAAATAATGGTGGTTTGATTGGCGGTAAAAAGCAGGGGATATTTTTCAGGCAGGGAGGCAAATCAATGCCATCTGAAAGTGACAGATGAAGTCACCACTTAAGACACAGCTACAGGAGTATGCTGAGACATTGGCAACCTGAGAAGTGGCTGATCCACTTTGCTACTGTCCACTAACCTGAATAGCCATTGCGGGTGCGACTGAAGCTGAAATAAGAGTTATAGCCGTCCACTATTGCCAGTGGCTCCTCCAGCAGGTCCCCTGAGAACAAAACAGAATTTGGAAAGCCATCAGGCTGGAGACGTGGCATCAGAAAACCATTTTTAAAAAATTTCACTCTCTTTGCTGTTGTTGTCTTTTTTCTAACGTGCAAAAGGTTACAGGTTTGCCCAGCAATGTGGTCACAGCAATGCAGGTTCACTCAGCAATGTAGCTTATCAAGATTTTTTTTTTGCAAGGGGGGCAGGATTTTTAATGGATGTCTTCCACCAACACTGTAAAAGATTTGTCCCTTCCTCTCTTTTGACTCCTCACTCTCCCTTGCTTTACTCCTAGAGCAGAGGTGGAGGAATGTTGTTGGACTGCAACTCCCATCAGCCCCAGCCAGCCTAAATCAATGGTCAGGGATTAATGGAACTGTAGTCCAACCACATGGGAGGGCCACAGGTTCCTCATCCTAATCCTAGGCAAAGGGTACCCCTTTCCCAGATGTTTCTCTCAAGGGGGGAAATATATCTCACCATGTTTGCCTCTCGTCTGTACTTGGCACTGCCTTTCCCACCTGTAAATGTTGGAGGGGTGTCAGACACGTCTCCTTAACCCATTCTGCTACCTGTCCCACACCCAGTTTCAGGTTACCAAAACACAACTGTATGACGAAAGTAGGGTCAGGTGCCCAACTTTGAGCAATCTTGCTTTTGATAATGAAACTAGGAATCTCCACCATGACCCCTTGAGAGCTGGGGACAGGTGGAAAAAGGCACATGATTCTGCCTTACCCCAAAATACAGTTTCTCTACTCATCATGGATGGAGGGAAAAAATTAATGGGTGCTAATTCTACTTGTGAAGTTTATCTCACCTTATGCACTTGTAAGGTCCTTGGGGCAGGGACCCCATCCCTTTATCTGCCACAGACCCTGTGTTTTTTTGTTTGTTTGCTAGACCAATGCCAGTTGCTTCCTTGTAAGTCAATAATGGGAATCCAGTGGTACTGCTGTAGATGCTGCTGGACTTCAAAGTCCCATCACCCCTGACCTCTGGCTGTGCTACCTACCTGGGGCTAACAGCTGTAGCTCTTATTAATATTTATTAAACTTATATACCACCCTTCATCCGAAGGGTGAAGATCTCAGGCTAGTTAACAAAGAACACATAACGTAACAGCAGATCATGTTACATATGAGGTAATTTTTACCTGTTTTACTATTTTAACTTTTGTAGCTTTTAAAGTAGGGTTGTTAATTTTGTCTTTACTGTTATCTTTTTTTGTAAACTGCTATGAGGGTTTTTTACAGTCCTGTAAAGTGGTATAGCAATTTCACGAAATAAATAAAGGAAAAATTAAAAGCAATACCGCCTCCCACGCCTACAACTGAAAAACAACAGCAACGCCATCATCTAGAGCAGGTACATCAGATTAATGAATTGTTTAAGATAGATAGGAAAAATGGCTTTGCAGAACAAACGCCTCAGTTTACCAAATACTTATTAGACACAAATATAAAAGTATTATCAAAAACGTACAAACTGCTGTTGGAATGGAAAACTAAAGAGGAATTTGTGAAATCGAGCATGATTAGGTGGGCACAAGATGTGGCTCACAATATTGACTATGAATTATGGGAAAAGTTGTGGAAAAGAAATATGAATTTTATGGGATGTTATGCGATAAAAGAAAATATGATGAAAATGGCCCACAGATGGTATTTAGCACCCACCAGATTGGCAAAAACGTCTAAAAAAGAAAAAGGTATATGTTCGAAGTGTGGTGGTCCTGTAAAATAAGTAAGGAATATTTGGAAGCTATATATAATGAATTAAAAAATATACTTAAAAAAAGCTTTCCCAAAACACCCAAGATTTTTCTTTTGAGGATGGTAACAATGGAGGTCAAAAAACCCAAGAGCTTATTACTATACGCTACCACTGCAGCTAGAATATTATTGGCACAAAGGTGGAGAACAAGGAAGAATGGCAGTGAAAAATGTTTGAATATGCTGAACTGGCTGGTCTGATGAACAGCATAAGAAAAAACGAAGATAAGGAATATAAGGAGGAATGGATAACGTTTATTGACTACTTCAAGAACCAGTATAGACAAAGCTTAGCAGGTGTCGTGTAAATCCAGCAGCTGAAATAATAGATAACAAATTGGATCATTTAAAAGATGTGGATTACGCAGAGTAGGAACCAGGAAAAGTGTGGAAGGGAAGTTGTATGCATACATGCTGTATTTGGTACCAGGTTGTAAGTGGGACAGGCGGAGGGGAGGGAACGGGAAGGGGTTAAATATGCTCTCTGTTCCTGTTTTTGAAAATGCAAATTTTTATTTTTATTTTGAAATAGAGCAGTCTTTCCCAACCTCGTGGGGGAGGTCCTCCTACATGTCGTTGGACTACAACTCCCATCATCCCTAGCTAGCAGGGCCAGTGGACAGGGATGATGGGAGCTGTAGTCCAACAACAGATGGAGGATTCCCCCCCCATCTAGTCTGGAGGAACACGCGTTCTCCATCAATGGTTCACGTCAGAACTACCACCACCCCGCCTGCCAGCCCTCCTCCCCCGCCATGTCATGACATAAACCTTTACAAGGCAGCCGGCGCCAACTAAGCCGGTTCTGGACCCTACACGTTCGCCCCCTGCCCTGGACTGCTTATGCACGTGTGAACGCATGTTCCTCGCGTCGACTCACGGGTGACCTTGGTCTCTTGCAGGCAGACGACATCCGCCCCCAGGGAGTCCAGGAGCGGCCTCAACCCCGCGGGTCCCAACCCAGCCCGGAGCCCGTTGACGTTCCAGCTCGCCAGCCTCATCCCCGCCTCAGGGGCGAGGAAAGCGACCGGAAGTTTCTGAGAAACGTCATTTCCGGCCGCCAAGGCGAGGCGTTTGAAAAAGCAAGCAGGCCCTCACTTCCTGTTTAGAACGGAAACGCCCGTTGCCAGGGAGGGGGAGGAGGATTAGGAAACGGCCTTGCAATAAAAACAAGCTGTCGTCATTAGTGTTATTATATTATATCCCCTCCTTTTTAAGTTGTTGTTGTTTATTAAATTTAATTACCGCCCTTCATCCGAGGTTCACAGGGCGGCTTAATAACACGTTAATAACAAAACCCTCTCCCCGCACAGTATTATTATTCAATATTTGCATCCTGCTCACAACCAAATGTTGAGCTCCAAAGCGGCTCACTAAAATCACAACGCAACAAATTCGCAGTGCTTTTAATAATAATAATAATAATAATAATAATAATAATATCTTTATTGTCATTGCCCCCCTTTGGGGACAACGAAATTACTTGACTGCTCCATAAAAACACTAATTAAACAATACAGTATAATACAGCAAGGGAGATTTGAAGTGACAGCAAAAGAGGGTTGCTTTGCTCCTCCTCGGGTGTTGGAAGAGGCCACGGAATTGATTTTCAGCGTGTTCCTTTTCAAAGTAAAGAGGGTTGTGCCAAGAGCCGCCCCGAAGCTGAAGTTTCACCAGAGAAAACATAAAAGGCTCTTTTCCCTTTCTGGCTAGCAGAGAGTATTGGGAAACAAAGAACCGCCTCTCCCTTCTGCAGTAAAAAAAGAAAGAGAGAAATAGAGCCAGCCAAATAATTGCCTAAAAACCAGCTTAGCATGATTTGATTTGGGAAGTTATTGTCCTAAATGGGATATCATCAGGCTATTAATTGATAAGCAATCACTAAAGTATTTGCAAAAGAAGTAACCATGGTGGTGTGGTTCAGACGGTCCAGAGAATTTTGCTATGTCGGGAAACTTGCATCTTTACGCCAAGGATGGCTGGATCCTTCATCCTTCTGTTACGCAGCCCCTGAGGCCAACACCATGAAAATGAAGGCGTTTAAGGCTCCATGGAAGCCACATGTTTTGACTCTGGCTTTCTAATTTCAGGTACATTCAGGAGCAGGTTATCATTACCAAACTCTGTAAGGAGTGCACTCTGTGCAAGCTCATAAGTACATGGTTTAATTGGGTAGTGCAGCTAGCGCTGGACATTGACACCACACTCCAGTGCAGTGTTTCTCAACCGGGGGCCATATGGCCCCCATGAGGCCTCCAGGATATTTCAAGGGGGCCACGGTGCAATTATATAATTATAAAAAAATATAAATAAAATATGTTCTGTTTACAAACAAAATAGCTACCTTTCTACCGGTAGGACGGGGGCCACATGAAGAAAACAAGGCTGGAAGGGAGCCATGGTCAGAAAAAAGGTTGAGATACACTGCTGTAGGGTCCACAAATGGCTGCACACAGAGTGGCAGCAGAATCAGCACCTGGGCCAGTATCACAGCTGTCAACCTTCTTTTGCAGGAAATTCCCTTATTTCAGCGCCGTTTCCTGCTGCTATCCCGGATTGTTAGATATCCCGTAGACTGTCTCTGGGACAGGTGAAGCTGCTGATCTCTTATTTTCAAATCCGAAAGTTGACAGCTATGGCCGGTATGGGCATGCCAGGATGCACTGGTGCAGCCACTGGTTGACACAGTATCTTAAAAAACAACAACATAGGAGCTAGCTGGCTGACCAAACATACATAGTTACAAATGCTCTAGTTTTTAGTATTATTTGACATTTAAAATACTTCCTTTTCCACAACAAAATGATGCTTATTCCTGAGTAAATGTGCTTAGCATGAGGACTGTAGAAGCAAACTTTCATTTTGTTTGGGTAGTTTTGATAGGGCTATGATTTAACTGAGTTTTAAAATGAGAAACTGCACAAGATCCATGTTTTCTCTCTGTGTGTGTGTGTTTTTAATCAGGGTTGGCAACTTAGTTTTGAACTGAATTGGATGGGGGCAGCAATACTTGGGGAAGGAAGCGTTAAAAGTTGTCCCCCTTGCTGCTTCCCTGATCAAAATCACCCCACTTCCCCAAGCTGCTATAAATTTTCCTTGGGTAAAAAGGCTGTTACAATACATACCTATATTTCCTCTCTAGTCGGGCTAATTTTTGTTTCAGGGTACTGGGTGGGAATTCCAGCTGGGGAAAATGCTTAGATCCCTTCTATATACTTCCCAACACCCCTACCCCCAGCTACTTTAAGATTATAAAACAGTAACAATCCAAATCAGTAGATTCAATCAACTGTAGTTTGGCCCTGACACTCAGTTCTGAAATAAATAACATCTGGCAGCCCTAACAACAAGCACTAGGCTCTTATCGAAATCCGGACATTCCCCAGATATGGAGAAGGCTGCATGTTTGTCCTGATGAAAGATCCCTGATTGCCTAAGCTACATAAAACAGCTGCAATTATTTTAATCAACTCTCAGTCCTAAAAGATTGCCTGCAGCACACACACCCCTGCTCTTCTCTGAGCCAGGCCATGGTCTTGTCTCATACTCCCAAGCCTTGTCTCCTCCTCCTCCGCCTTCCTCCAGCTGCAGGGATAATATTAGTGCTGACCTTTCCGTCAAGGCCACATGGCTTCTTGTGGAAAGACTCCCCGGATTGTTTTGCCTCTGGCTGAGCAGCTGCTATGAATGACACCCCAGCAGCACGAAACTTGACCCCGAGGGAAATCCTCCTTGCTGTAGTGACCCGGCAGATCCCCCAATGCCACGGCTCCTAGAAGATAAGGGAGACCGATCAGCAATGGAGGAAAAACCTGCCAAAATCCCAGGTAGGGCATGTCCCAGTCGGCAGTCAGGATGACAGATGACAGTTCTAAGAAGACGTTGGGTGGGTGTCTAAGCAGTTCAGCCAGGGTGTCCTCTAACTGTTCATTCCCTAGGGGCTCAAGCATGGCAAACCTACGGATATTTCTAGTGTGGGGAAAAAGGGGAGTCCTTAACCCTGGTGGGAGTTGTCCAATGCCCTGGGAAGGTGCCTGGTTCCCTTCCCTTTCTCTTCTGTCCTTGCTGTTAACCCTCATCAAAAAGCCCACAGTGTTTATCATTGAGTTGCATAAGGCATATTGTATTTCCTGGCCTAGCACACATGCAAGCTACAGCAGGCTGAAGAGAGTTGTCTGCACATCTTGCTGAAATGCTGCCCAAGCACGGGCTGTAAGCCTGCAGAGAATCTGCTAAGCTGCGTGAAGCAATGCGTAACCTGTGTTGAAATGGGCATGCTCAAAATGATCATCCCCGTGTGGAACACAGGAGTCCAATAAACTCTGGATGCTGTGTTGTCAATGTATTTATCTGAATGCACAGCCTGCTTCATCCCCCAAGGAGCTTGTGCTCACTCTGGTGAAAGTCTGCTTTCGCTTTGCCCATTTTTACTTTTGCCATGTGGCCATCTAGTGGAAAATATTCTGTGAGAATCTGCAGCTTGTTGTTATCGATTTAGGGTACACAAACCCCAGGATATTATTCTTGCACAAGCCCTGGTTGTATCCACACCATACAGTTAAAGAAGTCTTAGATTACTTTAACAGTCGTGGGGAATTCTGGGAACCGTAGTCAGTAGAATGTGCTGGGAATTGTATGGTGTCAATGTGACCATCAGTGGATTGTGGTCTCTGTTCCTGATGGGTCTCCTCTGTAACTTTTTGCCCACGTTCCTTACTTCCCTGCCAATGGTGGGATTAAGTAAAATTTAATCTATGCATTTAAAACTTGAATAATTTCAGATGACGTTCTTAATGAAGTCAGAAGCAAACAACAACAAAACACTATTTAACGTTAAACACTGGGCTGTTTTACTGGGGATTTTACTTTCTTTTTTGGAGGAGTGTTCATGTTTTGCAAAATGTCAGCTGTGTTAATTATTTATAAGATCTTGCTGCACTTTGATCTCATGTCAGCTCTTCTAGAAGTCATCTTGTTTATCTCTCATTGTCCCTGGGAAATGTTAGCGAAACAATATACACTTGATGAAGCCAATTAGAGCAAAAAAGCAAACAATGGTAGATAAGGTTATTCTTTGTAGCTTGGGTCCAGGTGCCCTGTATCCACTGAGGGCCCTTGGAAATCTACAGCTGAGCCTTTTAAAATAAAAATACCCTTTCCCATACATTATAGCTTTTAGTTGACGCCCAGGTGCTTAGCAAATTTAGAACTCTCAACAGAATAGAGAAGGTCGGCTTCTCCCCCCCCCCCCCCAATCTTATGAGTTTATGGCTGCTTCTAGTTGTTTCTCAAGAGGTACCATCTGAAAACCACTTCTTAGAATTCTCTACAACAACTTTGCTCAGCCTTGGGTAGAAGTTGTTGGACTTACCACTCCCATCATCCCTGACTGTTGCCCCTGCTGGCTATGGATGATGGGAGTTGTAGTCCAACAACATCTGGGAACCCAAGGTTGAGAAAGGCTCTTCTACAGTGCCACCTAGTGTAAGCCTCCAGCTCTAGTACGTACCCCTGCCGTTCAATAAACCAGCAAGGTGTCCACAGTAAACCTCACCAGGAATTGAAAACTTTCCACTTTGCCCCAGAATCTGGCACTTTGGCATGGGTCTTCCTGGGCTGAGCATACAAGCTGACTCTGACGCTGGTTCTAGTACTGATTCAAGGTCATCCATTCTCCCCACCCTCACTGACCTTAAGCCCTGCACTTTAAAAAGCCAGAAAACAAGTTAGTTGGTGCTGTGTTGCTGTTAGCATGGTCAGGTTTTTCCTTTAAGAGGAATTGGATGTGGTGGGGTCTTTGGAAATCTGCATGGTTGTGATCGCACCAACAGGCAACACAGAATTGATTCCACCACTTGTGCACAAGCCTGAAGTTCTCTGCTTTTATTTACTTATTTATTTAGAAAAACAAGCCTCTAATCCAAGGTTTGTCAAACTTGGGTCTCCAGCTGATGTTGGACTACAACTCCCATCATCCCTGACCACTGGTCCTTCTAACTATGAATGATGGAAGTTGTAGTCCAACAACAGCTGGAGACCCAAGTTTGACAAACACTGCTGTAAAGGAAAATAGGTTGGCAAGTTTTCCTCAAAACATAGGAAACTGATAAAGATTTCATTTACTGGACAGGGAGGCTGGGATTTAATGTAATGACCACTATTTATAGTCCTCTGTTTCTTGTTTCTTCCTGTTTCATAATTTGTCATTTAAACAGAATTTTAATTCAAAATTTACAAAAGAAAACTGTCACTAAATTATGCAAACTCGCACATTTTAAAAAGTTACTCTATTTGTGGGAATTCTGGGAGGGATTCAAGGCAGCACTATGGGAATTGTTCCTTCAGCGCAAGTATTTCAACTTGCCAGACAGAACCAGCCCCATTTCCCCTCTTGGGCTGCTCTGGGGGTTCTCCCAGCCCCCACAGAACCACTTTTGGGGGCATAGGAAGAGAAGAGGGGGAAACGTTATGTTAGCAGAAGTCCTTGCATAAGCTTCTATTAGCAGGACCCCCTAGTTCAGACCTCCTCAAACTCGGTCCTCCAGATGTTTTGAGACTACAGTTCCCATCATCCCTGACCACTGGTCCTGCTAACTAGGGATCATGGGAGTTGTAGGCCAGAAACATCGGGAGGGCCGAGGTTGAGGAAGCCTGCCCTAGTTGCATAGTGCCCTGGATCCAACCCTAAGGGCAAAATTCCATAGTGGTATTAGCTAACCACTCTGGCGCTGTGGATTAAACCACAGAGCCTAGGACTTGCCAATCAGAAGGTCGGCAGTTCAAATCCCCGCGACGGGGTGAGCTCCTGTTGCTCGGTCCCTGCTCCTGCCAACCTAGTAGTTTGAAAGCACGTCAAAGTGCAAGTAGATAAATAGGTACCACTCTGGCAGGAAGGTAAACGGCGTTTCCGTACGCTGCTCTGGTTCGCCAGAGTCATGCTGGCCACAGCTGTATGTATCCCTCGGCCAATAAAGCGAGATGAGCGCCACAACCCCCGAGTCGGCCACGATTGGACCTAATGGTCAGGGGTCCCTTTACCTTTACCTGTAAAATTGGAATTGGGATATGGGGTCTCTGACCTTGGGAGGTGTCAACTCTTACATCGCGTCAGTTCAGAAGAACAGAATGGATCGGGAAGGCAGGGGAAAGGCATTGTTGGGGGTCGGGGGGGGGAGGGCTTCCATTTCTAGATGGCACCAGCTCCCTCGACTAGCAAATGTTAAGAACAGCAAGGAACTTTCTCCCCAATAGTAAAGTGAGCTTGGTCGTTCGTTATCTCCAAGTTATCTGTAGTGTACACAGCGGTGGGAGTTCAATGGCCAAACTGTCCTACACTGAACCTATTTCGCTTGCATACACAAACACACACATGACAATCAGTAATCTGGAGCCTCCGGCAAGAGCCAGACAGTCCAGTTTTGGAGAACAAGTAGGCGATCAGCAGGATGTCTGGAGCGTTTGGCGAGCTCACTCAGACGCCTTTGCAGAAAGTATGGATTCCCCGCACCAGCAAACGCCTGCAGCAACGCAGGGGATGTGAGTTGGGATCTGTTCTGCTCCGATGTGGGTTCTTTCTCCCCGAAGAAGGCCAGGATCTATTTTATTCAGCACCAGGCCAGAGGAATTAGCTTGATCGAGGAACAGCCTTTTAACTTGAGGGAAATGTAGACGGGGCAATATTTGTATTTAACGAACGGGCTGACATCAGCCCAACTTCTGGTGAAGAAGAGACCCTGGCTGTGTACACACCACACCTTTAAAGCACATGACTTGAATCATGGGAACTGTAGTTTGCTAAAGGTGCTGAGAATTGTAACTCTGTGCAGGATGAACTATTGTTCCCAAGATTCTTTGGATAAAACAACTGCCTATGGCATAAGGCTTCCCTTGTCGTCTTTTTTTGCTCAAAGGTCTCTGGTGGTTCTAGGAATGCTAGAATTCAGGGACTATAACTACAGTAGTGTAGAAAAAGATGCAAAAGTTTAAGGTAGGGTACTGAAGCTTCGGGAGCTCCCGAGGTTTTGCGGGCGCTCTCTGGCTTCATCACATAGCACATCAGTTCCTCTTTCTGCCTCTCTCTACAGCCTCCGTGCCACAGTTCACCAATTCACCAACCATGGTGATCATGGTGGGTTTGCCCGCTCGAGGAAAAACCTACATCTCCAAAAAACTCACCCGCTACCTCAACTGGATCGGGACCCCCACTAAAGGTAATGGTGGGGAAGGGGTTTGTTCAGGGTGGGTGGAAGCTTAGATCAGAGGGGGAAGCCACACTGCTGGGGCAAGGGTAATCCTTGAAGAGACCCAGCCCATCCTGGTCTTCATCTCCCCAGTGTTCAACGTTGGGCAGTATCGCCGTGAAGCCGTCCAGACCTACAAGAATTACGAGTTTTTCAGACCAGACAACGAAGAGGCCATGCAGATCCGGAGGTGAGGAATTCTCCCATCTACAGGTGAAACTCGGAAAATTAGAATATCGTGGAAAAGTTCATTTATTTCAGTAATTCACCTTAAAAGGTGAAACTAATATATGAGATAGACTCATGACATGCAAAGCGACATATGTCAAGCCTTTATTTGTTATAATTGTGATGATCATGGCATACAGCTGATGAAAACCCCAAATTAACAATCTCAGAAAATTAGAATATTAAATGAAATCAGCAAAACAAGGATTGCAAATAGAGCAATATTGGACCTCTGAGAAGTAGAAGCATGCATATGTACTCAGTACTTGGTTTGGGCCCCTTTTGCATCAATTACTGCCTCAATGTGGTGTGGCATGAATGCTATCAGCCTGTGGCACTGCTGAGGTGTTATGGAAGACCAGGATGCTTCAATAGCAGCCTTCAGCTCTTCTGCATTGCTTGGTCTCATGTCTCTCATCTTTCTCTTGGCAATGCCCCATAGATTCTCTATGGGGTTCAGGTCAGGCAAGTTCGCTGGCCAATCAAGCACAGTAATCCCATGGGCATTGAAACAGGTTTTGGTACTTTTGGCAGTGTGGGCAGGTGCCAAAGTCCTGCTGGAAAATGAAGTCAGCATCCCCATAAAGCTCGTCTGCGGAAGGAAGCATGAAGTGCTCCAAAATCTCCTGGTAGACGGCTGTGTTGACCCTGGACTTAATGAAGCACAGTGGACCAACACCAGCTGATGACAGGAGATTTTGGAGCACTTCATGCTTCCTTCCACAGACAAGCTTTATGGGGATGCTGACTTCATTTTCCAGCAGGACTTTGGCACCTGGTTCAATGCCCATGGAATTACTGCAGGGCCACAGGCTCCCCACTCCTCATGTAGTGGCCAGGGTGCTGTATGTAGCAGATCACCACAGCTCAGACTCCACAGGATCCCAGAGCTTACATTTGCCTTTCAACCTGGTGAGCAAGGCTTCTCGCTGCTGCCAGGTTATAAGCTAGAAGCATTTCAGTGTCAAACGCCAGCAACAGACTTTGGTGTTATTTTTTTTTAATACCCTCCCCCTGTCTGCCACATTCCTAGATAATCCTTTCAAACAGTGTTTTTCAATGTCAGAGAGAAACATGCCCAACTTTTCCCCATAACCTTGAAGCTGTTGCCCGAAGCTATGCTGCAGATGTGAGTAACAAGAATCAACAACAGAAAGAGCCAAGATTAAAATAAAAATAAAAAATTCCACAAGGCTAGGCTGAAGATAAGACTCAGTGTCAAATCTCCAGGAGAAATAAAAGGGACCATCTGAGCCAGTTCAGAGCCCCCGCTGGAGGGCTGAGTACAGGACAGCCTCCCCCTACCAGGGCTTATCTAGCCATCTTTCACTACAATTCCCATCGGCCCCAAACAAGCATTAAATTGAATAAATGTAAATAATGGCAGAGAGCTAGTGGAATGGAATGTCTAAACTGCAACTTCTTACACAGGAAGTCCCTCCATATCGAGGTTTCGCTTTCACTGTGAACACGCTAGGTCAGAGGTGGGGAACGTGTGGCCCTCCTGATGTTTGTACTCCAACTCCCATCAGCTCCAGCCAGCATGGGCAGGCATGATGGGTGTTGTAGTCCAGTTACCGTATTTTTCCGTGTATAAGACCAGGTTTCCCCCCTAAAAAATAGTGTCAAAAATTAGGGGGCGTCTTATACACGGATACATCTCCCCCCATTTTCTTAAATCTGAGTCCCCCAAAATAGGAGGCGACATATTAACCATCCCAGGGCACTCAACCACTGCCATAATGTCCTTTCTTCTATCAGATCAAAATGAGCAGATAACAGCAAAGGTTGCTAGGTTCATAGGCAATCAAAATAAGGGCCACTAACTGACGGCTGATTCAGGACTTTAAATTGTGCTCTTATATCAAATTTCCATTTCTGCATGTACAGTGGTACCTCAGGATGCGAACGGGATCCGTTCCGGAGCCCCGTTCACATCCCAAAGAGAACGTAAGATGCAACAGCGCGCATGCACGGGTCGTGTTTCGCCGCTTCCGCGCATGCGCGTGATGTCATTTTGACCGTCTGCGCATGCGCGAACGGCAAAACCTGGAATTAACGCACTCCATTACTTCCTGGTCGCCGTGGACTGCAACCCAAAAGTGCTCAGCCTGAAGTGTATTTATCCCAAGGTATGACTGTACTGTAATGTTTTACTGTTGCTATGGCCATTGGCTAATGCGAATAAAGTATGATCTTATCTTATAAATGGGGGTGTCTTATAGACAGAAAAATACAGTACATTTGGAGGACCATCGGTTCCCCAGCTCTGCACTTGAGCAGGCCACCCTTTGCTCCCCATAATACTGACTCACCTTGCAAGGGTGTCGTGAGGACTGTGAAGTGCTTTGAATGCTCTGAAGTGCCGTATAAAAACGAAAGGTTTGGTTATTATTACCCAAGTCTGGAGGTGGGTTTTCACTTCTCCTCATATTCGCCAACAGACAGTGTGCATTAGCCGCTCTTCGGGACGTCCAAACCTATCTGAGTGTGGAAGAGGGACAAGTTGCGGTAAGGAGGCAAAAGCCCGTATCCCTCTTAAGAGTTCCTTAGATTGCACCCTTGTTCCACTGCCTCGCTCTTCCCTTGCACAGGTTTTTGATGCCACCAACACCACGCGGGAACGGCGGACCCTAATCCTGCAGTTTGCCAAGGAGAACGGCTACAAAGTAAGCAGTCAAGTGAGCAGCCGGTAGGCAGAGGAGTTAGTCAGAGTCCCCTGTGCCAAAAGTTGTGTGTGAAGGGAACTCGGGTTCTAAATTCTGCATTTAGGAGTATTCCTTTAAGGCAGGGGTAGCCAACTCCCAAGAGACTGCAATCTACGGTACTCACAAAGACTGGCAGTGATCTACCCCCTTTTGGGCGGTTCAGGTCAAAGTTGTTGAGCTCTTTTTAGAGACGAGGAAAGACCCGTTTTTTGGGGGTGCAGGGCAAAAAAGGGGAACCAAACTTGTTAAACTTCTTTGGGAGGAGACAGTGATCTACCAGTGATGTACCACAGACATCCAGTGATCTACCAGTAGATCACGATCTACCTGTTGGACATACCTGCTTTAAGGCATGGGCAGGCAAACTAAGGCCCGGGGGCCGGATCCAGCCCAATTGCCTTCTTAATCCGGCCCGCGGACGGTCCAGGAATCAGCGTGTTCTTACATGAGTAGAATGTGTCCTTTTATTTAAAATGCATCTCTGGGTTATTTGTGGGGCCTGCCTGGTGTTTATTTTTGGTCTTTGTGGAAGCCTCCCAGAGTGGCTGGGGAAACCCAGCCAGATGGGCAGGGTACAAATAATAAATTATTATTATACACGAGTAGAATGTGTGCTTTTATTTAAAATGCATCTCTGGGTTATTTGTGGGGCATAGGAATTCATTCATTTTATTTTTTCCCCAAAATATAGTCTGGCCCCCCACAAGGTCTGAGGGACAGTGGACCAGCCCCCTGCTGAAAAAGTTTGCTGACCCCTTCTTTAAGGTGGTGGCGGCAGCACTTTGGAACTCCCTGCCTGTTGATATCAGGCAGGCACCATCACTGTTCCATTTTAGACATCTGCTGAAAGCTTTTCTGTTTCAACAGGTCTATCTGGATACATAATTTGGTTACATCTGTTCTTAAATTTATTATGGATGTTTTATTGGGCTTTAATTGTTTTAGAGGTTTTTAAACAGTTGTAAACATGTTTTTTTAATTGTATTTTTCTATCAGAATGAATTTATACAAAATTTATACAGAATGAATTATGAAAACTTAGGGTTTGATGGGCATACCTTTGCTCATTCACTGTTAGCGGACAACGGGGGTCTTTTTCAGTGGGCTCCAGATCTCCTGCCACATTTTACACACATACACATACACACACACACACACACACACACACACACACGGCAGCTGGGAAAATTAGAAAGTGCGGTTCTGGTGAGACCCCAGCCACACACTTACTTTCCCAGAGACATCTATTCATATAAATTAGCACATGTGAATTTATGTTATGCCAGTAACATAACATAAGTACCCTTAAATACCAAGCATTGCCCTTGGTTAGAGATCCATATGGGGAAAAGGAAGAGATAACAGGTATCCCCCATCAAAAAAATTACGATGCTATTTGCACAACGAAGAGCATATTGCTACAACCACAATGAGACACCTGCAAGCATAAAAGTCAAAACCTGAGATCCTTATAAATACAACTCTGCACCCAAACCAACATTTGTGTTGAAATCTCAGCATGTGTTAATGAAAATGGGAGACATGGTCTCCACCCCCCAATAATTGAAATAAATACGATAGAGATTTTGTTTCCTGGGTATATTTGTCTTTCTTACTTTGCGCTGTCATCTCTGGCCAAATAGATTTTGAAGACTTTTTAAAAGCACCACAAAAGCCTGTAAAATTTGCTCACCAGTAGCAACCCTTCCACTTTGTACTCCTTCATATTCTCTGGGGAGGGGGGAAGCAACCATCTGGCTCCAGCCACCCAAAGAAAACTGTTCTGATGGCAGCTGCTTGCCTACCACATACGTTCTCCTGCCATGACATATCACTCTGTTACTACAGGTCTTCTTCATTGAATCTATCTGCGATGACCCTGATATCATCCAGGAGAATATCAAGGTAAGACCTCTCTTCTCTTTTGCACCAGATCAGCCTTTGTGGCAATGCTTAGAGAAGTGTGAATGTCCCAAGGGCAACTGTGTTCCAGTGCAAGCATGGGCTGCGGAATGGTGACTAGATAGGTTCACATGAAAATGTGAGCTGAAATGAATTTCTCTGGCACTGAAAATGGGGCTAAGTGCTTATGAGCCCTGCCTTCAATGAAGCACAGCATCCCAAACCTAGCATCCTTTTCCAGCCATCCTACTGGCAGGAGAGGATCAACACCATCCTTTCTCTTAAGCTTACACCAATATGGATTCAGCCTGACTGGTTGTGTGTGTGTGTCCGTATCCCTTTCTCCACCCTTGCCTTGCTTTGTTGTTTTGCTTCCTCACATCACCCACAGCAAGTGAAGCTGACCAGCCCTGACTATAAGGACTGCAACCGAGATGAAGTGGTAGAGGATTTTCTCAAGCGGATCGAGTGCTACCAGAAAACCTACCAGCCACTCGATGACGACTTGGACAGGTGAGAAGGCAGTTCTGCCACTGCTTGCAAGGCCTGCCTTGCAAAGGGGAGGGAACGCTGTGTGTATTCCATATACACTGGTACCTCGGGTTACATACACTTAGGTTACATACGCTTCAGGTTACAGACTCCACTAACCCAGAAATAGTACCTCGGGTTAAGAACTTTGCTTCAGGATAAGAACAGAAATCGTGCGGCAGCGGCGCGGAGGCAGCAGGGGGCCCCATTAGCTAAAGCGGTACCTCAGGTTAAGAACAGTTTCAGGTTAAGAACAGACCTCCGGAACAAATTAAGTTCTTAACCCGAGGTACCACTGTACCAAACTTGCTGGGAGTCTGAATTTGCAGCAAAGAGGATTTCAACCATCTATAAACAGCATCAGCAGCAAGCCACGCAAAAGGTTGAAAATAACTGAGCCTTCCATTAAACATAAAAATGTAATATGAGAACTGCCTTGCTGGGTTAAGATGGACTTCCCCTTTCTCCTCCACAGCATTTGGTTCTCAAAAAGTACACTGCCTGGCACATGGAGACTCTACTAAGCTGCCATGATTGTAGCCATTTATGGACCTATTTACTCTGTTTTAAAACATGTTTATACTACCTTTCCTCATACCAGACTGCAGGGAAGCGTGCAACCATCACCCCGCTTTCTTACTGGTTCTTGACTATCTCATACACCAAAGTTTAGTACTGAATTTGCTCCCCAAGATTCCTCAGGGAATTCATAGACAGAGCATGTCATCAGTTGCCTTTTGCTGTTCCCAGCACTTTGTAGTCACAGATCTGCTGCTGTACACAGAGCCGATCTTTGGCTCTAGGCCCTCGTACCTACGGGACCGCCTCTCCTGGTTTGTCCCACCGAGGACCTTATGGTCTTCAAATAAAAACATCTTGGAGATCCCGGGACACAGGGAGGTTAGGCTGGCCTCAACCAAAGCCAGGGCTTTTTCGGCTGTGGCCCCGATCTGGTGGAAAGCTCTGTCACAAGAGAGTAGGACTTGACATCTTTCCGCAGGGCCTGCAAGACAGAGCTGTTCCACCAGGCCTTTGGCTGAGGCACAGTCTGACCCCCTCCTTTGGTAATCCTCACAGAACTCTAGCCCAATGGTTGCCATTAATTTGATTCTGAATTGATTTTAGAATGAATTGATTTTAGAATGCTGTGTTACTTTTATTGTTGTTAGCCACTCTGAGCCCGGCTTTGGCTGGGGAGGGCAGGATATAAATAAAATGTTATTATTATTATTATTACTACTACTACTATTACTACTATTATTACTATCATGGCTAATAGTCATTTGTGTTGTGTAAGCTACTCATTATTATTCTGTAGTATAAAATTCCGTAGGTTTATTACCCAACGAATGAGCAGCGCAGAATTCCCCAGGGAGTCTCACATGGACTGTGCAAGGGCTTCTAATCTCACCCTCTCCCACTCAACATCCACAGGTCCCTGTCCTACATCAAAATCTTCAACGTTGGCAGTCGGTACCTGGTGAACCGGGTTCAGGACCATGTACAGAGCCGCACAGTCTATTACCTGATGAATATCCACGTGACGCCCCGCTCCATCTACCTCAGTCGGCATGGGGAGAGTGAGCTCAACCTGCGGGGCCGCATTGGGGGCGACTCTGGACTGTCTGAGCGCGGCACACAGGTACAGCGGAACCCTACCCGCCAATCAAAAGGCAAAAAACAGGTTTTTATTACTGTGAATTCCTGTGTTTAAAGAAGGACGGAAGCACTGTCACTTTTATTTCGGAATAACCTTCCTTGTTGATTTCTCCTTGTTGACGGGTCCGTTTTCAGCTTCCTCCAAACTAAACTGGGAAAGCTAGTAGAATCCTATCTGGGTAAAGTGGTAAGAAATGGCATATGTCCCATTACTGGTGGCATTAGGGCTGCCATATGTCCAGATTTCCCCAGACATTAACAGGATTTCAAAGGCTGAATTGACGTCTGAGGGAATTTCTGAAAGGCAGCACTCTGTCCTGGATCTCAGGCAAGTCAATCGAAAAATCGTGGGTTTTTTGGCATTTTTGTAAAAGAAAAAGTTCAACAACTTTGGTGGTGTTCTGGTTTTTGCTTTTTGAAATATGGCAACCCTAATTCCTATGATACTTTCTGTGCCCACTGAAGACCTTTCTTTCCCAATAAGCCTTTTGAGTGAAGGATGGTGACGGTGACGATCCCAGTCTGCATCTATATTGACCTTGAAATTATTTTCAAGTATGCTTTTTATTATTGATGTTTAGATCACTTTTTATGGGAAGTGATTCACAAGTGGAATAAGTAAAATGCTAACAATCAACGGGCTTCATGGAAAAGCACAGAGTTGCATTCAACAAAGCAAGGACTTTCACAGAACTTGCTCTCCCTCTTCCCCACCGCCAACATAAGATGCTCTGGATGGCTGGCGGAAGCACCAGAACAGATGGCAGGATGCACAGGGGGTGGCGATGGAGCGAAGGTTCTGTTGCACAAGCAAAAGTCCTTGCACAAACGGGGCAACTTCATTGGATACAACCCCTCACATAGAGGCTGTCATATTTCCCAGACATATTTGAACCTAGGTTTGTTCAGTGTTTCCACAGTAACAGCTCCAACGAAGTTATTCCTGATGAACAGTCTCCCGTTAATATTTTTAACATGGAAGTGTTTACATGACTCTTTTAACAAAAACCTGTCCTTGAGCTCCAAGATGATGTTGTGCACGCATGAGTGATAAATTTGCAGACACAATTGCCACCACTTCCCCTCTCAGAGAATGCACAACATAGATTCCTCAATGCCATTACCTGTATAGTCATACCTCAAGTACCGGAAAGGGTTACTTCCGGGTTTCCCTGCTCGCACATGCGCAAAATGACGTCACGTGCATGCACAGAAGCGCCGAATTGCAACCCGCGCATGCGCAGATGCGCCGCTGCGGGTTGCGCTCTTTTCATTTTGCGAACGGGCCTCCGGAACGGATCCCATTCGCAACCAGAGGTACCACTGTATAGCAGAAAGAAGTGCATTTGTTCTTGCAGTGTCTTGCCCTCAACTCTGGGAGAAATTCACACACCAAAGAGGTCTGAGAATCTCTTGCCTCACAGCAAACCTCTGTCCCTCAGCACTTCTCCTCACCTTCTGTCTTGTTCTGTCTCTCTGCCTGCCAGTACGCCTGTGCCTTGGCTGGCTTCATCCGCTCCCAGTGCATCCGTGACCTCAAAGTATGGACGAGCCACATGAAGCGCACAATCCAGACGGCAGAGGCACTGCATGTGCCCTACGAGCAGTGGAAAGCCCTGAACGAGATTGATGCGGTGAGGACCAACAGGAAATGAGCACAATCTCTTCTTCCCACAGTGGGGGAACTAGGAACTAGGGTCTCGCACTTCTTTGGTCCTAATCCACCAGCCCTGCCTGCTACTAGGAGGCATGGCTTCCTGTTCCAAAATCCCTTATTAGAAGAAGAGTTTGGATTTGATATCCCGCTTTATCACTACCCTGAGGAGTCTCAAAGCGGCTCACATTCTCCTTTCCCTTCCTCCCCCACACCAAACACTCTGTGAGGTGAGTGGGGCTGAGAGACTTCAGAGAAGTGTGACTGGCCCAAGGTCACCCAGCAGCTGCATGTGGAGGAGCGGAGACGCGAACCCGGTTCACCAGATTACAAGTCTACCGCTCTTAACCACACCACACTTTCTCCCCAGAAAGCTAGGGAGTCTAGACATCCCAGCTCCTTCCTTCAGCGTATATGCTCCTTCCTGTTTTATGCCAAGAATGTAGGCTGAATTCAGATATCCCAGCTTCATTTCGCCCCCAGGGTGTCTGTGAGGAGATGACCTACGAAGAGATCCAGGACCACTTCCCAGAAGAGTTTGCCCTACGAGACCAGGACAAATATCGGTACCGCTATCCTAAGGGAGAGGTAAGGAATGCCCAGTGGGGCATCTGGGGGCTGAGCATACTTAGCACATCACACGCATGGGAACTGACCTGTGGAACCTCGGGCTCCCAATGGGAAGAGCTGGTTGCGAAGAGGAAGCATGCAGCCTACCATGGAAGAGAGTTATGAAACTCCTCGAGGGAGGGAGGGAGGGAGGGAGGGCCTTAGGACCAAAGCCAGGACTAAGGGCATCTCTGGATAACCTAATGCTTACATCCACCCAGTCTTACGAGGATCTGGTGCAGCGCTTGGAGCCTGTCATAATGGAGTTGGAGAGACAAGAGAACGTGCTGGTTATCTGCCATCAAGCGGTCATGCGCTGCCTTCTTGCCTACTTCTTGGACAAGAGTGCAGGTACCAGAGTACCCTGTTCTGCATTTGCAAGCTCCCCCTCCCAAATCTAGTATCATGTGTATGGCAGCAGTTTTGAGCCCAAGTCCCTACGGTCTCCTGCAGAGGGTGGGGCATTCTCCCATAAATAGCATTTCCTCCTCATAGCACCCACTGCCAGAAAATGATGGCTTTTCTCTCTTGCAATCTGATATTTGGAGTATTCACTAGTGAGGCTGACAGTTGTTTTCCTCTCCCCACCAATACACCACCCTCCACAGACTGAGTAAGGGGCTGGATCCCTGCTCAGTGCTCCTCTTTGTCTCATTTGCTGTTCTCTCTCCATCCAGAGGAGCTGCCTTACCTCAAGTGCCCGCTGCACACCGTTCTCAAGCTCACACCTGTGGCCTATGGTGAGTGTCTGAATCTAGGAGAACAACTCAATACCCCCTTCCTCAAGCAAGAGGCCTGCTGGTGGATTTCAGAAGTCCTGGTTATTTGCTTTAAGAAAGAGCTGGGAGATACCTTACCCCCAAAAAACATTTGGGGCTGGGGAACTTTTTTGGCTTCATGGGCAAGATCCCTATTAGGACCTACGTTGCAAGCCAAATTCCATCCACCTGTCAAAATCCTTTGTGCTTTGGAAGTCTTCCTCCCTACTCCCTTTAAAGCATGTCATTCCAAAACTGTCGAGAATTCACTTAGCCCCACTTCCAGTACATTCCCTCTCTCGCTGTGGCTGTGGGAGATTAAAAGCAAACATACTGGCTGTTTTCAAGTAATCAAATGCTTGCCTAATAAGCCCAGATGCATATGAGCTCCTTTGCTGCTTCTTGAACTCATCCCTCCACGTGACAATAAAGCCAGTTAACCACAGCTTGACATTTCTTATAAGAACATAAGAAGAGGCTGCTGGATCAGGCCAATGCCCTTACAAAGAAGCCAGAATTTGCAAGCCAACTTTAAACCATGAACGCCCTATTGCTCCTCTTCACTTTTTGTCTGTTGTTCCTTTAATCTAAATCTTCAAGAAAGGCTTCTTAGTTTTGCAGGCGCTATTAAAAATAATGAAGTGTTGTTTTAAAAAACCACTCAGATGACTCTCTCCCAGCTATACTCTCCTAGGGTAACAGCCTAGGCCAGGTAAAAGAAGAGGGGTAAAAACAAAAAACAAAAAACCCCAGCAAGAGCTCCACCAACAACTGCCATGATGGGAGTCCAAGCCAGCTTCACTGCCGTGCTGTTCACCAGCTCAGAATGCTCTTTGAGCTGCCAAGGTCTTCCCTTTAGTCCTGCCTAAGTCAGTCTCCCAGTTTCCAACCAGGACAATTAACTATTCCCTCAGACAAGAAGAAGAGTTTGGATTTGATATCCCGCTTTATCACTACCCGAAGGAGTCTCAAAGCGGCTCACATTCTCCTTTCCCTTCCTCCCCCACAACAAACACTCTGTGAGGTGAGTGGGGCTGAGAGACTTCAAAGAAGTGTGACCGGCCCAAGGTCACCCAGCAGCTGCATGTGGAGGAGCGGGGAAACGAACCCGGTTCCCCAGATTACAAGACTACCGCTCTTAACCACTACACCACACTGGCTCTAAAGAAGCTTGTCCCAGCCTATCCTTTAACTGCAAAATGCACATGAGCTGAAAAAAGGCACAGGTGGCCTGGTAAATGCTGGGTACATCCATCAATGTTCAGTAATTGTAGGGTTGTTATTTGGGACAGGTTGCGAGGTGGAATCGATTTTCCTCAACATTGAGGCTGTGAATACACACCGGGAACGGCCACAGGTAAGCGGGAACCCTGCCACATTGAGAAATATCCCTAACCAAGGATCTAGTTGGATCCTCTGGAAAGGGTCTGTTGAAAGACCTTGCATGCAGTTGGAAGAATTCCACATAGCAGTGGCTTGCTATAAAGCTTGTCTCCAGGTGATGCTGTTGAGAACCAAGAGCTTTGCTCACCAGCTGCACCACTTAGTCCTACCTGCTGACATCACTCCATGGGGATCCTCCAACAGGAAAGACCACCTTGTTCATACTCATATTTGTCCCTCTGTAATATTTTCCTCTTATCTTCCCACCCCCACTCCCAGCATCTTTCCTACAAAGCTAGCCAGGCCCCCTTGTACCGGCACCACCACAATGTGCCAATGGCCAGCCCTCAGCCAACCAAACGACCCTGCTGGAGTGATCTGGGGCGGTCCCCTCCCCCTTGCCTGTTTGGCCCTCAGGTAAAGACTCCCCTACCCTCAGGGGTGGAGGAAGGGGGGTGCGGTGGGGGTGGGCTGCCTTGTGTGTCACCACTGAGGGGGGTGACAAAATGCTGGGCGGCACTCACCGCGCCCGAGCCATGTGTTTCTCTTGGGAGTGACGCGGTGTCTTGGGTCCCCGCAGGCTCCGCGCTGCCCCAAACGGTCTGCCTGCCTCCTCCTCCTCAGCTGTAGGGCGGCTGAGTGGGAGGAGGTGGGCAGACTCCTCAAAGCCCCCGCAGGTGGCTGGCCCTGCCCCTGGGCACAGGGCACACACACTGCCCCAGGCTCCCGCTCGTCTTGCTCTACCCTATCCGGCTCACTAACCTAATACTATCCCTCCACAGACCTTAATTGGCTTCACTTGCTGTAAATCCAAGTTCTTTTGCTAACCTGGTTAATTAGGTGTGGGTAGTTTTCCAAGCAAATTATTTCTCCTTCGTAGCTACTGGGATAGGGTTGCCATATTTCAAAGAATTCCTGACACCCGCAAAGTTTTTAGGAAGATCCAAAAATTGTTGAGCTTTTTTGGGGAAACATCCCCCCAAAATAGTGATGTTAAGCTTCTGGAGCTGTTTCCGCTGCTTTTTCCATTGCATTGCCATAGATCTGGGTTTTCCCTGACATTATGCCAATTGTGCAAAATCCTCCCCCCCCCCGCCACACCCTATTTACACCCGAAAACCAGGACGTGTCAGGAATTTTCCCAACGTATGGCAAGCCTATACTGGGAGATGGGAGCAGATTATTATGGCAATACCTTAAAGACAAGGCTGCATTGTGCTGGTCAATTCACATTACACAAGAAAATCATATTTGCAAGGTGGAGCGGTGCAATGGTCTTGCCAAATATTGGTCCACATTAGAAGAAATGATAAAATAGAGGTGGCAGAACAGAGGAGTGCAGTGCAGACATTCCAGCTCCAATTCTAATGGAACCATTTCACCATGCTAGTTTAATTGGGTGCGGATAGGGTGTTCAGTTCCCCCCTAACTTTGTTTTCTAATTTAAGCCACCGTTCAACCATCTTGCACTTCTTTTCCTTTCTCTTTCTGCAGAATGTGGATGTAGCAAGAAATCCTGAGGAAGCACTAGGCACAGTGCCAGACCATTATTAACCATGCTGCTTATATTAAGAGAATCCTACCTTCCATTCTGCTGGCACTCATCCAGGCAACACAGTGCCACCCAGAGAAATAGTGGTGGGTGCAGGAGTTCTGGACCATTTTGCCTGCACACTGCCTTATGAGTGAGTGGGCCTCTTGAATAGCAATTTGTGGTCTAGGATTGCCTGCCATAGGATGTGTGAGGCCCTGGCAGAGACTGTTCACTAAGAAAGAAAAAGGCTGTAAACAAACAATGGGGTGGGTGAGGATGGGATGAAGATAGGCCTGGATTTTAAGCCCTGTTGTTTTCATTTTGAGACAGTTTAGCACGTGCTTACATTTTCAATAGGATATAAAAACATTTGCTCCGACTGGATGTGCCCTATATTTTTATTTTGTTTTAATGAAAAAAACACTCTTTACAATGTGTGTTATCCATATTACAGAAGCAGTTAAATAAATATTCTATATCTGAGTATAACCTTTTACCTCTGATCCATATTCTCCTGACCAATATAAAACCATACAAAAAATTTTTAAAAAATTATCACAAAGACGTTGTACTTAACCATCAATCAGACATGTTCTTTATGGATAAATCTTATCGGACTGAAGGATTAAGTGTCCCAAGTGTATTACGGAATCTTTCCTCCATTTGGAGGAAACCTACCAAGCTGCACAGAGTGCTTTATATGGAGCCAAGCCCTATAAAATGAACCTCAAAGCACTTCTCCCAGCTGTACTCATAGAAGGCTGCAGACCCACTTCCACTTGGGGGTTCCAATGACTCCCTGTAATCAAACGCTGTAACAGCTATTTTCTTCTTGCAGCATTGGCCTCTATTTCAGCCTCCTGGTAATGGCTCTTCCAGGATTTTGGGTCCCTTTTCTGTATCTGATTGGGGGAGGGAATCAGATGGACACAGTCAGGAAAAAACAGAATTATTATTTTTTGCAAATATTTTTTATTAATTTTCAATTACATATATCCAATATAAGCCACATTCTAACAACAGAATAGAAAGCTATACAAGGAATCAGAACCTTTGCTGCCTGCTCAGATGCTGCCAACATAATTTGGGGGTGCGGAGAGAAAGGAGGAATTCTATGCGGAAGAACCAGAATCAGGCTGCACCTCTTAAAAAAGCAGTATAGGATCTGTGAAACTGCACAAGAGCTAACATTCCAGTATCATGTGTTGCAAGCAAGTTGCTCTCCCCTATGACTGCAGAGAAGAGCCTGAATACATTTGGAAGATGTCTAGGGAAAGCTCAGAAGTTGAGAGTGATCAACTGAGGAAAGCTAACAATGGCCAGTCCCCTGCAGTTAAGTGTTTGCCCCTATACCCTCATAATCCACATATAGTATTCACAACCTTTACTTTTTTTCCCCTTTTCTCCATTTCTCTGCTTCATAAATATTTAAATTTTAAAAAATCAGAAAAGGATGGTCTAGGATAAAACATGCAGGATGTACAAACAGGGGAACATTTCTTTCATTTATTCCAGTCCCAGAGTCCAGGCATTCTTAATGCTGGGTAGAGTTTTACTGCAAGTACAGATTTGGCTGAGATCTTTTGGTACAGCCACATGGGCAAACTCTGCAGGCAACAGAGTCTCTCAATGGAAAAATTCGACTGGTCATGCCTTATTAGTAGGTGACTAGTACCTTAGCAACAAACTGTAACACCTCCTTCTTGGAAGTTTCTCTAGCAGCACGTGGTCCCCATCTGAACTCAAATTCAGGTGGATCAGTGTGTGGGAGGCGAGTATATTCCAGGTACCTAGAAAGTGAGAATTGCATGATCACTGCTACAATCCTTTGTAGGAAAAAGCCATCCCACACACAGAAGAATTGTTGTTTAGTCGTTTAGTCGTGTCCGACTCTTCGTGACCCCATGGACCAGAGCACGCCAGGCACTCCTGTCTTCCACTGCCTCCCGCAGTTTGGTCAGACTCATGTTTGTACCCCTTCATGGATCACTGCCTTGCCGTGGCAAAGGGGCTTGAATAACTCAGAGAAGCTATGAGCTATGCCGTGCAGGGCCACCCAAGATGGACAGGTCATAGTGGAGAGTTTTGACCAAACATGATCCACCTGGAGCAGGAACCGGCAAGCCACTCCAGTATCCCTGCCAAGAAAACTCCATGGACAAAGACACAGGAGAATAGAAAGGCTAAAAGCTAAAGTATCTGTACTCCAGTTGAGAGTTGTCTGACGTCTCCCAGGGCATGTAAACTCAGCTGGACATTATAAACAGTCAAGCTACAATTTCTGCCATGAATGTGCTCTGTGCACACAAGATTTCAATCCCACACATTTGCGTACAAGGAACAAATGCAATGAACCACTGTTACAACCCTGCGCAGATTCAAGGAATTTAGCCGTACATCACTACTTCAGAGCACAGATTGTGTTTTGTTTCTGCCTAGGTAAGGGAATCAGATACTTTTGGTTCCTGGAGGAGGATGAAGAGAAAGGTCCCCTTAATAACCTATACAGTATTCTAATCATAATTCCCTTCTCTAAAGGACATATCTGGTCTTGGTCTCCCCCCCCCCCCCATTTTAGCCACTAGAAATAAAACAATGAGTTCTGGATTCTAGTCTCCTAACACTTTCAAACCAGTACAACACATTTCTCTTCTCTACTAAAAATGTAGAAAGATTTGCAATTCCTGACTCACTTTTGCTTGACAAATTCCTCTGTCACGAGCTTCTTCACATCACCAAATGCCTTGCATCTTCCCCTGAAACGGTTAGAGAGTGGGATTTTGTCAGGATACATAGTATCAGAGGAGCAAGGAGTTATTTGCTTCCCCAATTCCCGAACATAATTCCACCCACTGAAGGGGTTGGGTCTATGATTCAGATGGCTACCCCTGGACAATCATACCTAAGGCTGTCAATTCGCAGCCTCTTCAGCAGCTCCCAAACAGCAGCTGGATGGAGAGAAAGCAAGAGATGAGAGTTTGCAACTGAGGCTACCAAAGAAGTCAGATGAACCGAATGGAGTGCAACTCACATTCTTTAGCCACATTGCCCTTCATGAAGATCAGGCTGAGAATGGCAAGGAGGAGCCCCATCTTGCAGATGATGTCATCGCTGCAAAAAAAAAGAGAAAGAGATTCAGTCTCCCAACACTGGATTTGGTGTTTTAAGCAAGAAACAAACAAACTCAACCAAATGCTTTTAACTTCAGGAATTGATAGTTCTGATGCCTTGGCTAAAATGCATGCTGCGAGGAAGAAATAGTGGGGCCTGGGATCAAAGAATCACACACCAACACTTCCTTTTTGTGTGTTCAGAACCACTTCATCTTGCCTTAGTCAAATGCAGCGCTTGTAATAGTTTAACAAAGATCACTGAATAAGTTGTTTTTTAAAAATATCTGAATTATATCTGAAAGCATAGTACCTTAATTGCCAGGTGAACTGAATGTAAATTAAGTTCATTTTGGGGTAGAACTTCACACAATTTCTAGGTCATATTCAAAGTTGATCCTCCTACATGTGTTTCTTACTCTTTAAAACTTTGGGGGACCTGTAAGCCTAATCATCACAGTTGGGAAAAATAAACATTTCATATTCCACTCTCTCTCTCTCTCTCTCCGTGTGCGCGCCGCTTTCATGTTTCCTTAGTCTTAAGTATATTTTACACATCAGCACAGCAGCCTGTAACATTCTGAATGCTGAAAAAAATTGTTTGCAAAGGGGCTAACATTAACTGGAATTGGTTCCTTGTTGGGCAGGGTGAACCTGAACTAGCTCTTTTTAAAAAAGAAGAGGAAATTAACATTCTAGGTCAGGGATCATATGGTAGTTGGTAGAGTTGGTCTTGTGCTTCCTTCTGGTAGAACCTTAACGTCTCTCTGAATAATAAAAGAACAGGATGATAAGCACCAAGGCCAAAGCGGGGGAAAGAGAGAGAGAGGGTTTCATTTCATTTCCGTTTCAGCTGGGAGTGCCAAAAGAAAACCAGAACACACACTCTTCCCTCTTCTGCTTACTCTTCCAAGCTCTGCTCCAGTGGTGGCAATCTATTGATCAAGATGTATGTGGGATTTCTGGAGTCAAGTTCCACCAACTCCAGTCCAAATACCTGACAAAGCAGAAAAAGATAAATACATTCAGACCAGAGTGTAAAAGGCCAATTTTCTCTTCCACTATTACAATCCCATTTAAAGAAGATAGAAATCACAACTAGATATTGAGAAACGAATCAGTTCTATCCCTGGCATAAATTGTATTGCTCAGAATTTGAATCGCTGAGTAAGGATATCTGACTTGAAGCATCCTTCATTGTGGGTCTGGATTTTCCACACTATACTAAAGGCCTAAGAGTAGATAAACACATTCAAGCAATCTCTACAATTTATGCAAAAATTGCCATTTCTTCTCTCCCTATATTCATGTCAAGCCATAGCACATCAGTCAACCTGACCTCAAGGACAAAAAACTCTGCTATGCGCCTAGCTTTTTAATGGTCTATCCAACGATTTCAGCTTCAGAGCCACTGCTTTGGCCTCACTAGACACTGCAGAAATCTTCTCTGCAGTCCTGCTTTGAGAGGCTGGCCTTATGAGAACCCACAAATAAAGCAAAATGGATGGAGTCGCACACTTCTGCCCAAACCAATAATGGAGTCCTCCCTCACCAGCTGAAAGATCCCATTGGCACGTCTGATGATCACAGGAAAGGAATCTTTATAGTCTTTGATAACATGTTTCAGAACATCTATAAAGGAGACAGATAGGTTTGTTGACCAGGTCTTCTTACATTGTATTTAAAAAAAACCACACAAACATACAAAGCAAAATTCCATTGAAAAAAAAATCTGAACTAAAATAAAATATATGAAGAGCAACTAGAAAGATATATACTTGACTAAAGCAAAGCTTTCAGAACTTGGAAATATGTGCACAAAAACTCATAAGGGGTTGGAAACCAAGGAGACCTAGGCAGGACGTCTGGTAGTTCTAGAAGCGCAGAAGTGCCAGTACAAATTTGCTTAATCTCACCCTGAAAACAGAATTTGGGTATCTCTGGCACGAAAGCAATTTGGTCCTGTTCTTACCTGCCCTTTTAACTGGGATCTTCTTTTGGTCTTTGAACAGAAAAAACTGCACGAGCTCATGTGCCTGTAGGGAGAATACAACATAGGCAGTTGGTGGGTCTATGTCTATGCTGCAATGCTGTGGGCACATAATTCAGTTACCTGAGAATTTCAGCCTTCATTTAAAAAAAAATTCTAGAATTATGACTGCAAATCTGGTTGAAAAGTGTGTAGACAATCTCGGAACCCAGAACCATGGCTGAATAAGATTTTCAATGGTTGCCAGGGACGGTTTCAGTGTCTTACATCTGCGACAGCTAACAAAACAAGGAAGACCATGCCAATCTGTACATAGTTTACACAAGTCACAAAACTCTATTTTTACTAGCACTTTTTTTCAACTGAATGGACATAGCTCTGGCTATAGCCAATCATGACGGTGAGGCCCCAAAGAAGCATAAACAATTGCAGCAGAGGCTCCTTTACTTTGAGTTCCACTTGACTCCGTGGGCGTCGCTCCAAGGTATGCCGCAGCTGGCTGGGTGTCATCGTTAGACTCAGTGTGCCTTCTTCATCATCTGAACCCGTGTGCTGTGCCTGGGTAAGGAAAGAGGATTCATTTTTTTAAAAAGGCTTTGGGATCCAGCTGTGGGATTCACACAGGCCTGTCATCTCTGGAGATGTCAGCTCTGATCTCGTGCTAGCCACATGTAGAGATAAACACGCTTGACATTTTCTGAGCAATTTCTTACCAAGACTACAATCCTATGCACATTTATTTGACTGTAAGACCCTCTGAACCCAATGGAATTTATTTCTAAGTAAACGTGCATTGGAGTGTACTATTAATTGGATTACATTTTTCTGTTGAAAAGCTACAACCTTTCATATATTATAGCTGAACATCTAAGGTTTCAGCAAGTTCTGTAAAACTCAAGCGCAACATGCAAATGCCACCCATCATATCTGAACTGCATAAACGTACTAGAGCCCCAGCCGCTAGCTAAAAAGGATGTAGGGCAAAGTGCCGCGTCCGCACACGCGTGGAGCAGCTTGTGCTTCTGTACATGCGCGAAGTAGCAAACCCGGAAGTAACCCGTTCCAGTACTTCCGGGTTTGCCATGGACGTTCACCGGAAAAGACGCTGGACAAGGCGGACGTTCGCGGAGATATTACTGTATACATGTCTTAGACACTTGTCTCTACCATATGGAGATTTGCAACCAGCCAGGTATGAAATCTGGACTCTGCTACCTACCCAAATGCAGGTGATGTTGGTGGCTTAGGGCTATCTTTTACTACTTATGGGTTGCAGCTGGTGAATTATCTTCTTTTCATTCTTATCTTTGTGACCTTTTGATTGAATTTTTATGCAGATTGGTGTTTTTACAAGCTACTGTTTAGTTTGAGGGAAGGGTGGGGGCTGCATCTAGTTTTGTTTGGCAGTATAAGCTATACATTACAACATATTAATAAATCAAGAAGTGAGTCCATGTGCAGTACCTGAGAAGGGCCGGCTCCCTTGCTGCTACGTTTGCTGTGGGACATCTCTCCGACAAGAGCTTGTGGGAAAGAGAAAGAGAAAGCTATGGCAGATGTATTCTTGTCTCCCTTACCTTTGTCACTCAAGAACGAAGCCAGCACATGCCCCCTCCCGACTCCAGTAGAAACTCGGGGTCCAGGGCTACATCTGCCAGTTCCCCACTTTAGAAACTGCCACTCCCCCAAAATACACGCTGCCAACTCCCCATAGCAAAGCAGGGCTCGTTGAGCCTTTAGTAATCATGCAACAGGCAGAAGCTCAACAGGTTAGGCTTCTTAGGAAAAGCGGCGACTACGACATTTCTGGAAATAATAAGAAAAGCAACCCGCCTGCTTCTGGAAAGCCTGCTGCTCCCCATATCTAAGATTGCCAGCATCCTCCGCCGCCCCGCCCCCCGCAAAAGAGTCAGCAACCCAACAGGCAGCAATCCAACAGGTACAACTCAGGCCGGCGTAGAAGACGGGCGGGGGGCGGAGCCCAAGCCGGGTCCTCTCGGCGAGGAAACCCCTAACGCCGCCGGAGCACCAACCACCACGACTCACCTCCTCCGCGGCTCGCCTGCAACTGCGCGGCCCCGCGCGAGGCCCGCCCTCTCGTCACTTCTGAGCATGCGCGCGCCGAGCCGCTTGCCGACCCCCCCCGGCTTCCCAGTGCGCAGGCGCCTCCGTCTTCTGTCGGCTGTTGCTTAGCAACGCTTCCCTCCGCGGCCTTGGCCTCCTGGTCGTCGCCTCGGTTCCAGCGGCCGCTTCTTTCCCGCCATTTTCTCCTCAGTTTGTTTCTGAGGCAGGCGTCGAAGCGGGGCTGCTGGCTGGCGGGGAGGAAAAGAGCGGCGTGAGGGGGTGGGAGGCCGGCTCCGTCGATAATGTCTGCCATAATAAATTCGTTAGGTGCTGCAAGACTCGCTTGTATTTGCTTGCGAAAGAGTGAATGGGCCGCTTCTTTGCGGCTGAAGAGATTGGGTGGCCCTCTCATGGTTGCTTTAGCTGAGATTCCTGCATTGCATGGGGTCAGACTCGATGACCCTCGGGGCCCCTTCCAACTCTACAATTGCACGTTAGCAGCTTGAGCCTGTGCTTGTATACTTGGGAGTAAATAAACTTGAGTTTTCTTCTCTAAGGAGGGCTGTTGGTGCCATGCTTTGTGTACCACGTACTGCTGCTCCCCCAGCCCCACCCCCCAATTTAACTCAAATGCAGCAAGTGCATATTTCTCCCAGCTGCAGCTTGGGTGGTGAAATATACTTGGGAGTCGAGAGTGGATTTCGTGCTCTTTATTCAGCTCATAGTGGTGAGGAGAAATGTAAGTTCCCCCACAATATCTGCCTTATATACATTATTTACACAATGGGCTGCATCTGATTGGCTAATTCCGGGATTCTCCTGTAGGCCAATCAGGTTGCGGATTCACTTCCACCTGGGGCTGGATTGGGTGGCTCCTGCGGACCAATCAGACTGCTGCATTTTGGATCCTATTGTTCTAGGACCAATCAGACTGCTGCATTTTGGATCCTATTCAACTCAGTACATAACAGGTAGGCTGTGTGCATTAAACAGTCTCTTTCCACACTACTGTTACCTGAACAAAATTGTCCCAGGAGCTGTATTTGAGTAAAAAGGGGGAGAAGCAGGGCGAGGGGGGCAGTCAGGCCGCAATCACAATATAGCAAGGAACTGAAAATTTCCCTTAATAAACTTCCGAATCTGAAAGGGCGGCACTGGCTTGGAGGTGGGAAAAAGGCTCCCTGTTTTGCCAGAAGGGGCACTCTTTTTCCTGTCCCCACAGCAGTTCTTTACGGATGGATACAAATCACCCTCCTTAAAATGCAGCTAGGTCATTTTTTCCTCAGTTTGCATCAAAGCTGGTTGGGAGGGCGGGGATTCATCAAAACTCAACGTTTCTTTTTTTTTTTTTAAATGATATTTATTAAAGTTTCACATGAAAAGAGACACATCAATAAGAAAAGGATTTAAAAGTAAAAAGAAAAATACACAATACAAAATACAGAAAGAAAAAAAAAAAGAAAAAACAGTTAAAAACAATTCCATCTTTTCATCACTACTTTTGGATTTACTTATTTTCTGGACCTCCTCATACCTCCCTCTTTTGTATTCCAATTCAGTTTGTTTGTCCAGCAATTCCTTTCCCTCCTTTTTAATCCCAATCCTTAATCTTAATATAATATAACATTAAATTTTTACCTATTAATAGCCAATTTTCCATTCTTTTAACCTTTTAATCCTAATCCTTAATCTTGATCTGTATATAACTTTAAAGCCTGTACAGCTAGAAACCACTTAATTTCAATCCATCATCACTCTAACATTCTTTAATTTTGCAATATTTCTGTAGGTAATCTTTAAATTTCTTCTAATCTTCTTCCACCGACTCTTCTCCCTGGTCATGGATTCTGCCAGTCATTTCCGCCAATTCCATATAGTCCATCAATTTCATCTGCCATTCCTCCAGTGTGGGTAGCTCTTGTGTCTTCCAATACTTTGCGATGAGTATTCTTGCTGCTGTTGTTGCATACTAAAACTCAACGTTTCTTAATAAACGGCAGCATAGATACAGGATACATAGGAACTGTGGCTGACGTGTGCACCACTTCCCAAACCAGCGTTGGGAGCGCACGGGATGCAGAGTAAACAGGAATTTATACACAGCTTCTGTAAAGGCAACCAAGGCCAGCCCTACCATGAGGCAGAGTAAGGCTGCTGCCTCAGGCGGCAAATTCTGATGAGTGGAAAGTGGCTAGAAATGTGTGCCATGTGCTCTGCCCTGCAGAGGTGGATTTAGGGGAGCATGGCCAGTTTGGTTGCACTGGGCGCAGACCCTTGGGGCATAGCTGTCAACATTTCCCTTTTTTTAAGGGAAATTCCCTTATTCCGAATAGGATTCCTCGCAAGAAAAGGGAAAGGTCGACAGCTATGCCTTGGGGGCGCCACAACTATGATGTAGGATGGAAGGCGGGAGGCGCCAAACTTTGGCGTCACACAGCGCGCCACTCGGTAGTGTGCAGTCAAATGTTTTGTAGGGAAACCTTTAGGGCCAGAGGCACAAGCTTGCGAGGGCGATGCAGAGTGTGTGCGCATGAGCATCATGCCTCCTTCCCTAAGCCAGGCAGAAGCTTCCCAGGCTTTGAGAAGGATGGAACCAGGGGAACATTTAGGGGCTAGCCGAGTCCACTGACCACACACCACTGGTGCCGCAGAAATTTGAGCCCGTAAGTTACCGTATTTTTTGCTCTATAAGACTCACTTTTCCCCTCCTAAAAAGTAAGGGGAAATGTGTGTGCGTCTTATGGAGCGAATGCAGGCTGCGCAGCTATCCCAGAAGTCAGAACAGCAAGAGAGATTGCTGCTTTCGCTGCGCAGCGATCCCTCTTGCTGTTCTGGCTTCCGAGATTCAGAATAATTTTTTTCTTGTTTTCCTCCTCCAAAAACTAGGTGCGTCTTGTGGTCTGGTGCGTCTTATAGAGCGAAAAATACGGTAGTTTTCTGCTCTAGTATGGCTGGTGCACCAATGAGGCGACCTGAGGCATCTCATCCCACTGGGCTGTGGGCCCAGATCTGTGGCGTTGGAGGGAAGCGTTGGTGGCACGTCTTGCCTCAGGTGCCAAAAGGTCTCAGAAAACGTATGCTGTTTGCTGAAAACAGCTTGCAGATACTTAATTGGCTTAGGATTTTATTTAAGTTAAGTGATGAATTAATATGTTTAATTTCATAATGTGAAGATCTAAGGATGTTAATGTTTAAGTTAAATTATTTTAAGAACTATGATTTGGAAAACCGTTAAAAGGACATGCAATGAAATTCAACCAAGGGGAAGCAAGGAAGTCACTTAACAATGTTAATAAGTGTAATTTTTAATAAGGTTATGATTTATGTTTGTTTGTTTTATGTGTTTGTTTGTTTGTTTATAATGTGAAAACCAATTTAAAAAATTGAAAAAAGGAAAAAAATAAAAGAAAACGTATGCTGTTTGTAGGTTCTTTCAAGAAGTTTTCATTATTATGCTGTTATACATTACATACTACAGTTATTAAAATTTCCAGAGAAGTAGCTGTGTTAATCCCTGAAACCTTAGGCCATAATAAATGTGTTATCAGTCTTTAAAATGCACATGACTCTTTGTTGTTATTGATTATATCTATTTTTAAAACCCCACAAAAAACATTTTTTAGTGTCTCTGTGTGAAATAGGTAGTGAACCCTGACTGGCACTAAAAAGGTTACTAAAATTCAAACAGATGTAAACTCTTCCATTCTATATAAAACTTTTTCCAGTGAGTAATTTGCTTCCCCAGTCTCTCTATGGCAGGATCCAGGTTATACACACCAAAGTGGAAACCTCCCAATTAAATAGGCTTTGGCATTCCTTAGCAGAGGTACAAATCATTGGTTAGTCATGGCTGCTTATTCCTGACACTACTGGAACTGAACAACTGTAGGATTCGTGTGCAACTTATTCTAGTAGGGTAGTATTATTGCTAAAGGATACAATTAAGTGTTTTGTGAGGGTGTTTTTTTTTTAAAGAAACACAATAATGGTTGGAGTCAGCCCAAGGGAATTGTGTTCTGACTTTCTGTGTTAGGTCTGTCACTGGCAGCCCAAGCCTATTCCCTTTCCAGCCACATCAGCTTCAACAGGCTCAGGGCAGAGAAGGATATGGCCTTTGGCAGAAAGATCAGAAGGTAGTGGCTCTGGAAGAAGGAGTCACTGTTTCAGATGTGGAAAGCAAAATACATTTTGGGGTAGCAGAATGGTGCTTTAACACAACTTCAGAAGGGTCACTGCCATTCATCCTCAATATAGAGAAGGCAAAATCCATTGCTTTATTATATTCTTTCATTCGCAGTCCCACTACTTTTATACATTTTTTCACTTTTTCACTTAATAAATAATTAGTTGCAATATTTTTTCCTCATTTTTATCAGCTTGTCTGATATAAAATTGTTGGCAATGGAGGCTCCTTTTGAGTGGGGGCTCTTTCAAATTAGCACCTCTCTCCACAAAAAACTTGAGGCATTGCAATCCCTGCATAAGGTCTTATAGCACCTCGTTAAGCAAATTTAAATTAGTGCTTAGTTTTTGCCAAATGTGGCTGAAATATACTCAGAGTCGAGTGTGGATTTCATGCTCTTTATTCAGCTCATACTAGTGAGGAATGAAAGTTCCCCCCCAAATATCTGCTTTATATACAGTGGTACCTCGGGTTACATACACTTCAGGTTACATACGCTTCAGGTTACAGACTCCGCTAACCCAGAAATAGTACTTCAGGTTAAGAACTTTGCTTCAGGATGAGAACAGAAATCGTGCTCTGGCGGCAGCAGGAGGCCCCATTAGCTAAAGTGGTGCTTCAGATTAAGAACAGGTTAAGTACGGACTTCCAGAACAAATTAAGTACTTAACCCGAGGTACCACTGTACATTATTTACACAATGGGCCGCACGTGATTGGCTAATTCCGGGATTCTCCTGTAGGCCAATCAGGTTGCGGATTCACTTCCACCTGGAGCTGGATTGGGTGGCTCCTACGGACCAATCATACTGCTGCATTCTGAATCCTATTCAACTCAGTACATAACAGTGGCAGACAGTGACTCAGTTCACATATTAACACTAAGACAACCCCTGACTTAGTGCAATTGAGCAAATATGCAGGTTCCTGAAGCAAAGATCCGGGCCACTGTACTTCTCTGATCCTGCTGCTGTCATAGTTTGGCTTAGCATTGTGTCTGAACCCAGACTAACGGTTTATCTTGCTCCAAACAAGTCACAAATCGTAATCAAGTTTTGTTAATGTTTACTGCTCACAAGCCCAGATTCAGATGTAACCATCTGAACATGTAGCACAGCAGTCAGACTGAGAGACCACACCGTCACTCTGGGAACCCTCACATTTGCCCTTGTGCATTAAGCCAGGCATTAGTGTTACATGCAAAGTGGCCCAGTGTTTTCATTTGAAGTGGGACCATTCAATATTATCTATTTCCTAAAATTCATATGATGCTTCATTATAGAAAACTTCTACATTGTTAACAAAAAGGATAAAACAGTAAGATTATCCCTTTCAAGTTTGCAAACCAATGGACAAGTTGTTTGTTCACTTTACAGCCCCGAACAGAAATTATGCCTGTCTGATACGTAATGGGAAGGTGTTCCAAAGGGCAGCTGCTGCCACACTAAAGGCCTGATTCCTACATTGTACAGAACATACCTCCTAATGATCTGAAAGAGACCCTTTCCTGCAGAGCACAGTGATCAGTTAGATACATGAAGGATGAAACGATTCTGGTCCTAAGCTGTATAGGGCTTTGTCGTACCAATACCTTAAATTAAGCCAAGTAATTAATGGGCAGCCACTGTAATTCTTTCAACAGCAGTATATAGTTTGTCCCAGTGAGCAGTTTAGCTGTTACATTTTACACTAGCTGCAACTTCTGGGCCAACTTCAGAGTCAGCCCCACATGCAGCGCACTGCAGTAGTGCAAGCTTTAGGTTATTAGCACACGGAAAACAGAGGTCAGGTTATCCCAGCACAGAACCTGCAATAGAATCCAAGAGCCTCCACTCCACCTCATACTATGAACTTGCAGCTTCAGGGGTATACAACCCCATCCTGTTACGATATGGATGCAATGCAGCTGCAAATTGCTAGCTTGAAAACAATACACGATGGGAATGTTGGGACTGTCCATGGGAAACAGTGGGACAGTCAGTTCACAGGGCAATGCACCGGAATTAGCTCAGAGTGTAATATGAGCTCTTCCTCTTGCTCTTGTACAGGAAGTACAGGAAGTCTTTGTCACTTGACTGCTGGAGTTTGAAGTGAGCAGTCATGCTTTCTGTAATGCTGCAAAGACAGAAATAAAAGCATGTAAATACGTTTCTGTCTATCTCCTTTTCCCTGCCGGGGGAGCAGGAGGGAGTGGGTGTGTTCTTCCCACGTTTGGGAAGAATCGCCTATCGTGACCTAGCCTGGATCTTGCTGGGGAATGCAGCCAGGGAGGTCAACAGGAGACCAAGCCGGGTGCCTGGGAGAGTTGCCAGTTTCTCCCGATAAAGGCTTGATTTCCGACACATCCAAAGCAAGCAACTGACCAGTTATTGAGACTCTGAGACCATTGAATGAATCTGAAAATTTCACTTTCTCTAATTTTAGTGCAAACTTCTTCCAGTATACACATTTTGTGGCAACTTTATCTAAGTACACATTTTTGCATTTTCTCTCTGTGTGTATGCAGCTATAATATGCACACTTCCTAAGCATAAGCATTTTTAACACATTACATTGCAAAATTTAGAGAATTTGGAATTTTAAGACTGGCTTTGTTTTAGTTTGCATGATATTTAGAAAGCGCAAATTAACTGGGTTCTCTTTAAAATGTGAACTGAACTGAATTTATCCCCAGTTCCTATTGCTCAACCGGTGTCTCCATCTTGCCATGATTCAGTTAGTTGGCCCTCATTCAGATCACCAGTGAGTCCAGGCTTGAATTGCCTTTCCTGATTCATATACTGTAAATAGACCTGGGTATCCTCCGTATACTGATTATACCTTGCCCCAGTTTTCCTAATGACTGCTCCCAATAGTTTCATACACAGGTTGAATATCACTGGGGACAAGATGGTATCTTGTGGCACCTCACAGCACACTGCCAGGGGGCTGAGAGATAACCACCTAAATCAGGAGACTGAAGTCAACAAGTTCACATTGTCATTAAGACAGAGGCAAGAAAACTATAGGACTCTGTTGTTTTCAACCTGGTAATGATCAATTATGTGCCATGAAGCAAGGAGCATACATAAATAAAGGATTGTCAGAGTTAAATAGCTGATTTCCAAAGTGGGTTGTTTTTTTTATCTGGATCATAAATAAAAGTAGCCCTTATAAAACTTAATGGAGATGAGGATCGGGGCAAAAACTAGAATTAGTTGGTTCTGCCTGTCATGGGCGCTGCTTCCACTAAGTGGTAGGCTCCCTGCCTTCCTCCCTTCCAGTCCCAAGGGACACAAGCCACCAATGTTGATGGATTCAGGAGTCAAAACTCCTCAGTCTTATCTGGATATGCTCTTCTTTATATAACAAACCGTTCTTTATCATTTACATTCCACTTTCCGGCAAACAAAGTGCTCTAAAATTCCAATCTCTTTAAAATGTCAGACTGAGAGATAATGCTTTCCCACAGGCTACCAAGCAAACCTTGAATCTGGAATTTTCCCTTTGATTGCCCACCTCCAAAATTAACACACTGCCTATGCTTTTAGACTGCATAGTGAGAAAGACAGAGTTGCTCTTGTCTATTCCGAAAACACTTTTGTTCCCTAACCTTGTTGTATTAGGGAGATCTGTCAATAGAGAGCTCACAGCAATGAAATAGGTATCCAACCTATTTCATGAAGAGGAAAACAACCATGTTGAGCAAATAGATAACGTTTTGCAAGACAAAATATTGCCTCTGACATCACTAAAGCAGCACTAGGTTAATCTACTGTGAAACTGCACTCACAAGCTTCCCTGCAGTACTTTCTTGGAGATGCTTGCTATGGACAGCACTGTTTGGCTACTTCATGTGATATCACTAAGCCTGCACCTCAAAGCAAGTTTTCAAAATGGGGACGGGGACTTCCAGTTAATACAATGCTGTATTCTATGTGGAATCACCGTTTAAATTCTGCTTTCAGGTAACACTAAATCAGTAACGCTAAATTCAGTAAATCACCCAAGTGAGGAAGCAGCGGTTCTGAGAAAGACAGGGAGAAAGAGACATGTTTCTTATGACATCTGGTTCTGCCCTTAGTCACTAATGTTATGCTACACCAGCTCTGCAAAACACAGCATTTCTTCTGTGCTTTTCCTGTTCAGTAGTTAGCACCTCTAGGAACTGGGATGGGATAGAAATAGGCTGGCCCATGGAATCAAGCCAGAGTTCCCACTGGACACACTACAGGTTTATTCTCCTCCGTCCAAGCAGCAAACACCAACACTTTGCCAGCATATTCTAATTAAAAAAACAACCACTTGGACGTACCTTTCCAGTAGTTTGCCCACACTGTTGCTTTTGGAACTGCAAATCTTAAAGATTATTCTGTTGACTATGATGGCAATAATATATTTCCCTTTAGCCTTGCAAGATCAAAGAGATCTGTCAGTCTTTTTTTCCAGGTCTATTTTTATCGAGTTATTCCATGTCATAATTTCTTATGCAGGGCAATTGGATAAAAGTTACCCACAGGGCATCTAGACCACCTCCTGCTTCTGCACAATCTCTGTTCATTTAAATTGCGCTTGTTCATGGAGTCCGTTGTTTAAAATATGACTTTGTTGGGTTGCCTGAAGAAGGAAGTGCAGCAGAAATATATTAGTAGAACCTTTTTCCATCCATTTATGCTAAGTAAACTTTAGTCTAGATAATTACTTGGGGACTTTTGATATGACGAAGGCACTTCTCTTTTTTATATATAATTTTTATTCATTTTAAAGCATATTAATTAACAAACATTCCACAAAATTTCACCTCTTATACAATCTTTCTGGACTTCCATCAGCGCCTCTGCAGATCTCCCATTTTTATAATTTCTTCTGCATTTCTTAAATTCATATTGCCTTTAATTATCATAACTATTATTATCCTTTTCGTTCAATAATGCAATAATTCAGATTATTCCCCTTACAAAACTTCCTGCAAACCTACAAATGTAATCTGATCATCACAATTACTTTTCATATAATCCGTAAATTTACACCAATCTTCCATGAATCTCTGGTCCCGCCGGTTTCAAATTCTTCCCGTTAGTTTATCTAGTTCTGCATAATCCATCAGTTTCATCCTCCAATCTTCTTTCATCGGTAATTCTTCTTGCTTCCATTTTTGTGCCAATAGTATTCTTGCGGCCGTCACTGCATACAAAAACAGCTTACAATCATTTCTATTTATATCCTCCCCTACAATGCCTAGTAAAAATGCTTCTGGTTTTTTACTGAATGTGTATTTTAACATTTTTTTCATCTCATTATATATTATTTCCCAGAAGTTTTTCACCTTTTTACATTCCCACCACATATGATAAAAAGTTCCTTCTTTTTCTTTACATTTCCAACATTTATTGCTTACCTTATACATTTTAGCCGATTTGACGGGGGTAATATACTATCTATAAAACATTTTCATCACATTTTCTTTTAAGGCATTGCATGCAGACGAAGGCACTTCTCATATTGCTTGTGAACCTCTTAAATTGTTTGCAGTTTGGCCAGGGGTGGCCCAAGAATTGCAGTTCCTAAGCCGAAAAATGCAAATGGCACCCTTCCTCACCAATTAAAATGGTGAACAACCTACCAGGGATTTCTCTTGTGCAAGCCTTGTTGAAATTGAGGAATGGCTGTAGCTCAGTAGCAGAGCATCTGTTTTGCATGCAGAAGGTCCCAGATTCAGTTCCTGGCATCTCCAAGCAGCACTGGGGAAAAGCCCTATCTGAAAGCCCAGAGAGCCTTTGCCAGTCAGTTTAGACAATACTCATCTGGAAGTGCCAGTGCTCTGACTTGGTCTAAAGCAGCTTTCTATAGTTGTTCCACTCAACAAGTGCTCTACTGTGTTCTTGTGCAGCTGCCATTCATATCAATGGCCCTCAAACCGGAAAGCATCCTAGCAAATTATTATCCATCATCAGATCTGCCTGTCTGCGACTCTTTTTCCCCCCAATTTTTTTTATTAATTTTCCCAAAAAAATTAAGACGAACAAACAAACAAACATCCTAATTGTAATTAAATCAATCTTAATAACATTGTTAAGTGACTTCCTCCAATCCCCCTGGTTGAATTTCACTGTATATCATTTTAACGGTTTTCCAAAATCAATTTTCTCCAAAAAAAATTAACTTAATCACTTAACATCTTTCATTCTTTCTAATTTAGCTTTAAACAACTTAAATCCTACCCTTACATATTTAAATCCTAAACCTATCTAATATTTGCAAGCTTTTCCACTTAAGTTATCTTAACATATTTAGCTAAGTAATCTTTAAATTTCACCCATTCTTCCTGGTACACCTCCTCCTTCTGGTCGCGGACTCTTCCAGTCAGGTCGGCTGTCTGTGACTCTTAAAAGTGTCCACACAATCTATCTAAAGCAGGGATTGAGAAGTTGCAGCTTTCCAGATGTTGTTTGACTCCTAACACAAATAATCTGGGACCATTGTGCCTGCTGGCTATGGCTGATGGGAACAGGAGTCCAACAATATTTGAAGGGCAACATGTTCTGCATTTAAAGCAACCAACGCAACTTGCCTGATGTTCAGCTGGTCACGGAGCAAGGTGGCTCTTTCCAAACTTAGCGATAGAGCAGCAGAGATTATGTTCCCCTGTGCAGAGACATTTAAATATCCAGAGTTCTGCAAGAACAGCCACAGATATGCTGATTGCAACCAGTGCGCAGGTGGCTTTTTAAATGGATTAAGGAAATAAATGTAATGGAGGCCATGGCTACTCCCCATGATAGGGTGGTGCATCTTTGAATAAAAACAATAGGTGACAGCCGTCTTCTGATCCAGCAAACGTGCATATGAGATAGACAGAGAGAGGTATTTGTGGGCAAATTATGTGAAATTTGCAAGCACTAACAAAAGAAGGATGTTAGGACATGAGTATAAAATAGGAGTTACCTGTATGAAATCAAAAGTGCTTGTGAAGAACCAAGAGAAGTGGGAGGTCCTGGGTTTCCCTCTATTTCTCCCTGCCCTCCTTCCATAATCTAACCAGTACAAGTCAACATGATTGTTTATCCCACACATTGGGCAGTAGAAATTTAGGCATTTTGGTGTTGTTGTTTTTAAAAAAATATATTTATGCTTTTACAATACAGTGGTACCTTGGGTTAAGAACTTAATTCGTTCCGGAGGTCCATTCTTAACCTGAAACACCACTTTAGCTAATGAGGCCTCCTGCTGCCGCTGCACCGCCGCTGCACGATTTCTGTTCTCATCCTGAAGCAAAGTTCTTAACCCAAGGTACTATTTCTGGGTTAGTGGAGTCTGTAACCTGAAGCATATGTAACCTGAAGTGTATGTAACCTGAGGTACCACTGTAAATTAGTACATCCATTTCACAATATTCTTCATTATCCTGCTACATTGTTCAACTTTCCTGCACTTCCCTCCATGGGGTTCCTTTTTACTTGTAGTTGTGCTCCTTCCACACATTCTAACTGATTTAACTGCTCTTCATAACTCTGGTCCTACTTGGAGATTTATATAACTGTTATAATTCTTTAAATATTCTCCAAAGTTTCCCTACTCCTTTCTTATGGTGTATTCATCCTGGTTTCTTATCTGAGCTTTTCTTACTAAATCCTTTTTCTTTATCCTTTTTAAATATCTCATTTCTTTGATGGTATTGAAACCAGTCATTGATCCAATCTTGTATGTCTTCTCTCTCTTTTGGTATTGGTTGGCCTTCTTTGAATTCTATAATATCTTTATAAGCACCTCAATTTCCTTTCATATTTATCTTTTTCACTGACACTGCTTCCATGGGTGATAGCAAGTTTGGTCCTTATACCCAATCCAAACCAAACATAGATTTCTTCTAATTATATGGTTTACGAACAATCTGTGTACTCTAGCCTTGTCATAATATAGATACACATGCCAGCAGTACTGTAGGTCAAATCCCTCCAAGTCCAGTAAGCTATTATTTTTTTAATTCCATACAGTCTTTTACCCAACTTAGACATACTGCCTCATAATAAATTTTTAGATCAGGAAGGCTGTATTCCCCCCCACTTTCTCTTGTATCTGTTAAAATTTTGAATTTAATATGTGGTCTTTTCCCTTGTCATATGAATTTCAGCATATTCGTTTTTCATTTTTTAAAGCAAGCATAGTTGCTAATCACTGGTAGTGTTTGAAAGAGGAACATCATTTTAGGTAGGACATTCATTTTGATTGTTGATATTCTTCCCAACAATGATAAGTTCATAAGTTCATTATTCCCCATCTCTCCATATCTTTTTAAATTTCATTCCAGTTTTTGGTATGGTTATCCTGAAAAAGATTTAAGTTTGTAGTCGAAATCCATATTCCCAAGTATTTTACCTTCTTCACTATTTAAATCTCCGATACGGCTTCTATTGTTTCTTTGGTTTGGGGATCTAAATTTTTCGTTAACATCTTCATTTTTCCTTTGTTGAGATAGAAACCTGCCAAGCTTTCAAAATTTGTTATAGTTTCCAGGGCTTTGGGTACACTCTCCCAGTGGCTTTTCTAAGGTTAGGACCACATCAACAGCAAAAGCTCTTAGTTTATAATTCCGTTGTCTTATTCAAATTCCTCTAATTTCTGTATTTTCATGTATATTTCTTGCCAGGACTTCCAACGCTAAGATAAATGGTAAAGGGGATAAGGAACATTCTTGCATTTTGGGTTTTTTGCTTCATTGCAAGGAGGTTTGCTTCTTTCAAAAATCAGAGGATTAGATGAGGACCAAAAGGAACTGTGTAAATTCGCTAAGACTCATGCATTGAGGAAATATTTCCCTTCCTTCCACACATCCAATGAACTGGGGAGTTTTCTGTTCCTCTGTTTAGGAAGCTTTGACCTATTTTTGGTTTCTTCTCTGCCAAGGAACACTGCAGCAGGTACAAGTAGCAACGCTAGTCATTTTGCAGTGACCTTCTTCTGTCCCCTTGGCGATCTGGACCCATCGTCTATTTACGCAGCATATTTGTGGTCTGTTTATTTTTTTTCCAGAGCCCTCATCAAGTGCTGAAAACAGGACACGGGCTCTTCAGAATATTTTGTTTTCATTTCATCTTATGGAGTAGCGAGTGAAACTGGCCACCCTCCAGTCTTGGATGCATGGACAATCAAGGCTTGTATCAGGATGAATGCTACATTTATAGGTCCTTTTTATGAAAAAAAGAAAGAAAAAAGAAACCTAAGTTTTAAAAGCACGAACGAAAGGGATGCCAAGGAGGCGTTCTCATCCACAAAGCCTTCCGCAAAGACGAGGCAGAACTTTCATGCCAGTCACCACCGCCATGGAGCAGCTCCTGGGATATTCTTTCTGTCTCTTCCTGATCCTGTCACCTTTATGTAGCACAGGGCACCCTATTCAAATCCACATACCTTCTCACGAGGTAAGTCCTTCTGGGAGCCAGACAAATGTAAGGGTGAAATGATGCTTAGCTGTTTTTTGTTTTAAGAGGACTACTGAGCGGTCAGGTCAGCTGCAGGCAGTAGTGCCAAATACTTCAAGAGCAGTGGAAAGGTTGAATAGAAATATTCCTGAGTTCTTCTCCTGCCTTTGAAAAATCAGTGGGTTCCAAAAGGTGGATAAGGGAGGGGAGGAAACACTAGTGAAGTGTTCTCTTTTCGGATCAAATTGCCTAGGATTGTGCAATGCAGAATAGGGAAGTGGGTGTATTTCTGTTGGAAGTAGTAGGTGAAGTAGGATGCTAACATTAGGGTTACGCAGAACTCCTTATTGGGCAGAATAAAGAGTCCACTCTCTCTCTTTCTCTACAGACAGACTGCAAAGCTGGGTAACAGCTTATTTCCATTCTGCTAGATGAAGAGTTCTGAATGACTCAAAATCTTGCATATTCTTCTTCCAACAGAGTCTGGTATTCCCTCACCTAATTTGTGTTCCTTATCTAATGGGACCAAAAACGGTACCATCTTGACATCAATACAGAGATGCCTTGATTTTCCATCTCTTCCTCCCACCCAGGAATATTAGTTTTCAGTTTATTCAGGCTAAGAAATCAACTCATTAACTCTGACCAGCTGTAGAAGGGGGAAGCTACGTGCGGTCTGAAGTATTTCTCATGCCCTGTAGTACTGGACTTCGTTGTTGTAGCTGAGAGGAATCAGAGTCGCTATTTGCTACATAATTCCAGGCAGTCACCATCAGTGCGATATCTTGGTCCAAATCCAGTCCATGGCAGCTGCGACTTATTTCCATCCAGACTTTGATAGACCAAAAGCTACAGCAGGTGCAATCCATGAATGGCAAGATTTGAGAACAAGCATTAAAAAGTGGTTAGTGTCCTAGAACATTTTTTACCACGTGAAGCAGTGCCTGCAATGAAACAAATTAGGGAAAGTTGTCTCCTCTAATCTGACATCTTCTGCTGTTTTTTACTTCTTAAAATCATGGTTAAATTAACTGGACCTCAAACGTTAATTTCAATGCTTCTCACCTCAGCTCTTTCTAACTACAGAGAAACTGTTTGAAAAAATAAAACATTACTAAAAATATATATATTTTTCAGATCCATGTAGATTTGGCAGCGCTGCTCTAGAATGATGCGATTTACCCTATTTCATAAAATCAAGGAAGATATGGAAAAGGTTTTGTGTTCTAAACAGAGCAGGAAACAATATTTCTGGCACAAGAAACTTGTGAAGATCTTCTCTGGGGCTGAATCTTTAAAAAAATCAGATGACAGGATGTTCACACAGATAACCAACCTATAAAGTTCCCATCAAAACAAACACATCAGGTCAATATAATTTATGATTAATGAATAAGTCTCAATTTATTTTATGATACCCTCGCCCCATTATTTTTTTAAAAAAACTTGATTTGTATCTAAATGAAAAATCAAAATACTGAGAAGTTTCATCCCTGCCTGATATCCTTCCAGTGTGGAGAGCCAGTGTGGTGTAGTGGTTAAGAGCGGTGGACTCATAATCTGGTGAACCGGGTTTGATTCCCTGCTCCTCCACATGCAGCTGCTGGGTGACCTTGGGCTAGTCACCCTTCTATGAAGTCTTGCAGCCTCACTCACCTCACAGTGTTTGTTGTGGGGGAGGAAGGGAAAGGAGATTGTTAGCCACTTTGAGACTCCTTTGTTGTTGTTTAGTCGTTTAGTCATGTCCGACTCTTCGTGACCCCATGGACCAGAGCACGCCAGGCACTCCTGTCTTCCACTGCCTCCCGCAGTTTGGTCAAACTCATGCTGGTAGCTTTGAGAACACTGTCCAACCATCTTGTCCTCTGTCGTCCCCTTCTTCTTGTGCCCTCAATCTTTCCCAACATCAGGGTCTTTTCCAGGGAGTCTTCTCTTCTCATGAGGTGGCCAAAGTATTGGAGCCTCAGCTTCCGGATCTGTCCTTCCAGTGAGCACTCAGGGCTGATAGGTTTGATTTTCTTGCAGGGTAGTGATAAAGTGGGATATCAAATCCAAACTCTTCTTCTTCTTCTTCTTCTTCCCACTCTCATTAGCCGGCACGTCAAGTGGGATTGGGGCCTCGGTGGTGGCAGCCCCTCCTCCTCTTTGCCCATTCTCCAGCAGCTGTCACAAGCTGCCCAAGGGAGGAGGCCAGCAGCAGCAGCAGCAGCAGCAGCGATGAAGAGGCCATGGAGAGGTTGTCGCCTCTTGAGACAAGCACTGGCTTGTCCTCCTCCCTGAGCTTGGTGGTGGCAGGGGGGAAAAAGGACATTCCAGGATCAAATCAGAAGCCAGGATGGCTTTTGTAATTCCCAGACTGTCCCTGGAAAATCAAGATACTTGGAGAGTTTGCTAGTCATGCTGGATGGGGCTTATGGCTTATGTAGTCACAATGCATTGACTATCGTTAAGTTATTTTAAGCATTTGTGCCCCATTCTTCAGCTGAAAATATTCCTAGAACGACGTACAGGTCAACAAAGATAAAAGCAGTCCCTACCTTCAGGCTTACAATCTCAGCTACTCTCGGCAGCAGCTCCTCAAGGCCCCTGGCTGAGCTTTTATCCAACTGTGCTACATGGTTGTTGTTGTTAAGTACTGAAGTTCTCACCCTGGGCCAGCAGGGGGATACTGTAGATAGTTTTCACTCAGGTCCACATATGCAAATAAGGAATTGAAAGTGACGTTCAGTGATTGGATAGTTACAGAAAGTTGTTACTGTTGCGTTGTAGCTGAGCTCTATATAAGCAGGTTGGCTGAACCCTTCAGTTCAGTTCTGTTCTGGCCTGTGAATAAACAAGAGCTGTCTGAAGAATCGCTGTGTCGTCTGATATTTTCACCCACAGCTTAACAGTTGCCTTTTATTTCCCCCCCCAAAATTTATTGATTTTCCAAAAATTATAAACAAACAAACAAACAAACAAACAAACATAAATCCTAACTGTAATTATTCCACTCTTAATAACATTGTTAAGTGACTTCCTCGAATCCCCCTGGCTGAATTTCAATGTATATCATTGTAACAGTTTTCCAAAACAAATTTCTCATAAAATTTACTTAATCAATTAACGTCTTTCTTTCTTTTAATTTTAACTTTAAACATATTATTCTATAACATCACATATTTAAATCCTAAGCCTATCTGGTATTTGCTAGTATTTCTATTTAAATTATCTTAGCATATTTAACTAAATAGTCTTTGAATTTCATCCATTCCTCCTGGTACTCCTCCTCCTTCTGGTCGCGGACTCTTCCGGTCAGGTCGGCTAGCTCCGAAAAGTCCATCATCTTCATCTGCCATTCCTCCACTCTTGGCACTTCAACAGTTGTCTTTTAATTGGAGATGGTGAGCCAAACATGAGCCCAGGAGAACCACAGGCCCTGCCTTCAAGGTGGTCAGCTTTTGTTTCCTTGATCTTTGGGGAGGTGGGCTGAGCAAGTGAGCTGGAGACATTGTTGATGCTAAAATGGGGTGTGAGTCCCATTAAGAGTCACAATAATTTAAATTAGAACAAAATATTTACTCTTGAAAATGCATGATTTATTCTGGAACCCAAGGCCTATGCTAGCTGAATCTCCACTCAGAATAAACGGCTATTTGTTTTAAGTAGGCACAGATCATAACACTTTTTCCTGAGCTTGCAACCTTCAAAGGGGAAAGTAGTTGCATGTTTGGAAAGAAATGGCTGGCTGAGCAATGCAAAACAAAGTTGGTAGAACTGGAAATGTCACCTGTGGTGGGGATGGCATGACCTGAAAGGAAGCAGGCAGTTCAGTGGATTCCCTGAGGTAAAGGCAAAGCTTGCCTGACTTTCAGATGCTTAGGAATATAACTTTTATGGACTCTTTGAAGACACCTGGCAAGATGAATTAGGAATATACAGAAGACAGGATGAAGAAATATGAAGGAAATTGTCAATTAGCCAGTGAGTCAAAACACACACAAACTGGTCGTTTTGGCACACCCCTAGAACCTAAAGTTTTGTAGATTCCAATGAGAGGCCAAGGGGCTCCAAGATTTGTGCAAAAAAGGGAATTACAGCAGGCATCCATTATTGACTGCTGAGAGCAGGCTAGAACTGGTGTACGCACAGTCCAGCACAGTGCTTGCTGAAAACTGTACCTGATAGAAGAAGCGCAGATGACTCTCTTTCACTATAACATGGCAGAAATAAATGTCTGTGTCTCCACATCCCCAGCCACAGTCCAGTTGACCGAAACCAGACAAATTTTCATTGTAAACAGATTTTATAACCAAGGCTTTCAAAGGAAACTACATATTCCTGTAAAACAGACTGACTCTGTGGTTTGGCAGGTTGTAATCTGGAGGAAATGGTGTGACTTTTTGCTGTTGTTAATGAGGTCTGGTCTTTCTTGAAGACTGAAGCTCACAGTCTGGGAATTCTTCTAAGCACATATGAAACTTAAGAGTACTGCCCTGAATTTGACCAAACTCTTATCTAGTCCAGCATTTTGTTTTCCACAGTGGCCAATCAGATGTCCATGCAAAGTCTGCAAGCAGAAAGAAAGTCACACCCTGGATCCATAACTGTCCCTGGAACATCAGGATGCTTGCAGCTCAAGCTCTTTTAACCACATTCATCCAGCGACAGCTAGCACATTCTCTTCTACATTTCAATTTCGTAATCATTCCAGTATTTGGAAGACCCTTGATTACACCAAAGTAAACAGATTTGCTTTGGAAAATTGTTTGGGGATAGCAATCCCATGCAGTTGCTTGTAATTTAGTTTGATCCAGCACATTCACTTTTCCTTTTGAAAGAACAAACTCTTTTTGTTTTCTTCCACAGAGGTCTACACGCCAAGTGAAGACCCCCAAAACAGAGGTAGGTGATCATGTTGGATTACCAGTTAATTTATTACTGATCAACCATCCTTTTTTTTTACCACAGTCATGTCACTGCAAGGTTTGTTATGCAATGGTAGCAGAAAGAGGTGCTAGAATAGGTTGCGTTGCTTTGTCTGCGGCTGGGGGACGCCATTTTGAAATTTTAAACAAACCCCAAATTTAAAACAAACAGTTACCTGCAACGGTACCCACAGGATTTTCTTCCCAGGGTGGGGGGCAGGCAAAGTAAAGCACACGAAGTGGGGAGAAGGGAAGTTTCTCATCAATACATAGAGAGAAGAAAAGCTTCTGTTCATTGAGCCTTGTATCTCAAGTTCTACAAATGTTAGAAACTTATAGTGGTGTTCAACTAAGGGCTTGTCCGCACTTCCGCTTGTCCTGCCACTTTCCCCTGGGAAAACCCACGGCTTACTGCTGAATTGGAACAAATGCCAATTGTTTTTTCTGTGGATTGACATTAGTTCTGATTCAAACAATGGGCTTTCCTGGGAAAAGTGGCAGGACAAATGAAAAAAGCATTATTTGGCTGACGAACCACACCACAAAAATATTTGTTTGCCTGTTTGTTTGTTTATTCAGTTTTCAGATCAAAGTTTTACAGTCACATATCCAATACAGTGGTACCTCGGGTTACAGACGCTTCAGGTTACAGACTCCGCTAACCCAGAAATAGTACCTCGGGTTAAGAACTTTGCTTCAGGATGAGAACAGAAATTGCGCGGCGGCAGCGGGAGGCACCATTAGCTAAAGTGGTACCTCGGGTTAAGAACAGTTTCAGGTTAAGAACAGACCTCCAGAACGAATTAAGTTCTTAACCCGAGGTACCACTGTATATAACATAAAAACAAGATTCCAAAGAATCTCCCTTTGTAGGTCCTATTGTTAATCATTTCCTCCTGCATCTTTTATGATAATCCAAATCTTTTACATCTCCATTATCTCCAAAATTCACCATTAAACTATACTGTAAGTGTTATTCCAATCCTACTAACAGTTTTAACTGTTTACAATGGTTTTTAAGATAAATTATAAATTTTCCCCATTCCTTATTAAAATTTGGGTCTTCCTGATTTCTGATTCTTCCGGTCACTTTTGCCAATTCGGCAAAGTCCATCAACTTAATCTGCCATTCTTCTCTGGTAAGGACTTATCTTCTTTCCTTCTCTGGGCCAATAATATCTGCACAGCCGTAGTCACATACATAAGTAGTCTTTTCTAAATTCCCTTGGGATTTCGGCACCTAGGATTAGAGTGTTGGACTATGACCTGGGAGATCAGGGTTCAAATCCCCACTCAGCCATGAAGCTCACTGGGAGACCTTGGGCCAGTCATCATCTCTTTGCCTAACCTACCTCACAGGGTTGTTGTGGGGATGGAATGGGGAGGGGGAGAACCACATACACCACCTTGACCTCCTTGGAAGAAAAGGTGCTATATAAATGTAACAAATAAATAAAATAAAGACATAAATAGAGGCTAGCATCTTGAGTGGTTGTAGACTTACTGATTGACAGGATGGAATCCAGCAAGGTTTCTTTTTAGGGAAAACACACATATATCTGTATGGGCCTCAAATGACCATGCATTAAATTAATTCACCATATATATTTGAGTCATGTAAATATACCCATAGGATTGGATCCAGTGAAGTCGTCCCTCTCCCTTCCCTGTGCATGTCCCCAAATCTGCTCTGGGCTTTCTTCTTCTGAGAAGATTGAGGGGCACTAGGGGGGCATGTACACAGGGGGAGAGAGTGGACATCTCATTGCACAGGCAGAAGTCCTGGCACTACCAAGACAGCTCTGTTGGATACAAGCCATAATTTTATCTGCGTAACTGAGTGTCTCTTGGGGATGCAAAATAGCTAAGAAAGGGGGAACACAACACAAACTGTTTTGTCTGGAGTCAACCACTTACCACAGTGGTGTCCAAACTTTTTTCAAAGAGGGCCAGATTTGATGAAGTGAAGGTCTGTGAGGGCCGACCAAAGGGCCAACCAAAGTTGTTGGTCTTTTTTTAGGATTGAAGCTGTTGAGGTTTTTTAAGGACATGGGTAGGCAAACTAAGGCCCAATCCGGCCCAATCGCCTTCTTCTAAATCCGGCCCACAAACAGTCCAGGAATCAGCGTATTTTTACATGAGTAGAATGTGTCCTTTTATTTAAATTGCATCTCTGGGTTATTTGTGGGGCATAGGAATTCGTTCCTAATTTTCTTCAAAATATAGTCCAGTCCCCCACGAGGTCTGAGGGACAGTGGACCAGCCCCCTGCTGAAAAATTTTGCTGACCCCTGTTTTAGGATTTTACCCTAGGAAATAAACTGCCACAGGGGCTGCATTAAACTGACCGGCAGGCTGGATTAGGCCCCCTGAAATGGACTTTGGACATGCCTGACTTTACATTAAAACTTTAGAAGAAGGAACGGCTTATAATTAAGGGCTACCTGCAAATGCTGATATTTTGTGAACTTAATCAGTCAGTGATCAAATGATACAGATATTAATGTCTGCACGAATAAATCTTATTTTATTTTGGCTTGAAAGGCTGTAGTTGAAGCTGTTTCCCCCCTCTCCACCCACAATCCAGCTCTATTCTGTGCAGCTGGGGCCCCACACAAAGCAGGTGTGGCAAGAGGGCTTGGTCCTACTTGGGGGGTTCTCATGGTTATTTTCTGCAAGTCCACCTATCTCACAAAAGATCCAGGTAACACTTCTCAGAGGGCTCCTTATGCCTGATATTCATTCTGACTCTCCTTTTGGTTTTCTCTTTAGCTCATCATTTCCAGTTTCTTGGTGCGCTCAACCATTGTGTCTCGCTATGCCTCCACCCAGGTGTGGACTTTCATGAGCAACCCACACGCAGAGGCAAAAGAAGCTTTCTTTGATCTGGACCTGCCCAGTTCGGCCTTCATCTCCAACTTCACCATGTGAGTCTGAGCTAGCGGAAGGCACCATAACAGAGCCATAATTTTATGGGACTGAAAGGGATGTAGCTCAGTGGTGGAGCACAAACTTTGCATGCAAAAGGTCGCAGGTTCAATCCCTGGTGCCTCCATTTGAAACAGGATGCTCCAACTTTTCATACCAAGTGGGCCACAGCAGCACTTTGACACTGAACCCATGGGCTGCACACTGCCCAAAATTTGAAGCCCCCTCCTCCCCCAGCTCTCACGCTGCTTTCCTAAATCCAGCTAAGCAAGGAGCTGGGCTTTGGGAAGGATGTGCAATGCTCTGGCAGGGTCCTAGAGCCCTTCCACCCCCTTCCCAAAGCTGAACAAGCACTAACTAGGCTTTGGGAAGGAGGCATGAGGACTCTAGGACCCTGTTAGAACCCTCACACCTCCTTCCCAAAGGCCAGCACCTTCTTACCCAGCTTTGGGAAGGTGACACAAGGGCTGGGGTGTGTTTCACATGTTGCTGAGGGCCACCAGAAAGGACATTGAGGGCTGCATGTGGCCCTTGGACCACCCTTATTTAAATGGTTCAAGGAAAGGAACTCTGCTCAAGACCTTACAGATCCACAGTCAATTCTTCTTCCTTGGCGATTACTCATAGCCAAGTAAAATTGTCTTCCATGAATATGGTATTAACGGTGTGTCTGTAAGCAACTGTGGAGGCCAGTTCTGGATCCACACATCCTTCCACAGCTGGGACTTAGGTTACCGGGCAGGAGTTGATCACGGTGATCACATTTGCCAAACGTACCTTCCTCATTTCTCCTTTCTTTCTGAGTTTGTGCTTCTGTCCATGATGCCTTTGGTAGAGGCTATTCTCCAATTGGAGCCCTTGCAGGCCAGTGTTTCCCAGTTGTCGGTGTTTATACATTTTTTAAGATTTGTCTTGAGAGCATCTTTAAACCTCTTTTGTTGCCACTGGCATTACACTTCAGTTGGGAATAGAGTAGTTGCTTTGGAAGACAATAATCAGGCATCTGAACAACATGACCAGTCCAATATACTTGAATCCTGCCCACAAAGTAGCGTAAGTCTGGAAGCGCCTCTTCTTAGGCCTCCAGACCTGCTCAGCACATCCTGCAATGGAGAAAACCCTGCAGACATGTGCATAGCTGTCAACTTTTCCCTTTTCTTGCGAGGAATCCTATTTGGAATAAGGGAATTTCCCTTAAAAAAAGGAAAACATTGACAGCTATGGACATGTGCTGAGGGTGAGGCATAGAGTAATGTGTGAATAAGAACAGGTAGAAAAAGAGTTGGGTGAGGAAAGCAAACATGAAGAAGAGAAGGAGAAAGAAGATAAGAAGTTTAGATGGCCCATTCAGTATAAGTGTAATGGAATATGGTTGGAGGGGGCAGCCCTTGACCATCAGGGCTGCCAATCAAACATTTTAAAAAAACTCTGTTCCTGTGTCTTTCACAGCTGTTTGATCTGCAGGAGTTAGGTGAAGTTGTTCACAGCATGGAGCTAATCATGATCACCTGCTCATCTCTGCAGAGCAAACAGCTGTTAAAGGCAGAGGAAGCCAAAGCATGGAAATCTTACAGTGGTTGGTCTGAGAAAGAACAGAACTGCTTGCAGAGCCGCAAGAAGTGGGAAATACTACCCTGTGCCCTGGGGAAAACTGACAAGTGATGTTCCAGAACTCCGGAGCTAGATTTTTCTCTGCCTAGCTCCCCATCAGACACACACCAGCCCCTCCCACTTCCTCATGAAACCTCCTCAAGCCCCTCGCAATGGAGCCCAGAGAAGGAAGCTCCCTTGTGTGGGCAGGAGCATCCTTGGGGATAAGGCTGAGGATTGTCCCAGCAGCCAAAGAAAACTTGGCGGCAGAGGAGACTGCTTGATTCTGGCGGTGCCCCCTCTCGGGCCCGCCTGCTCGCAGGCCCTGGAACACAGGCAAGGCTTGTTCAAGCTGCTGCGGGAAGTTTGTTTTCCTTCCCTGCCATGGCAAATGAGGTTGTCTTTTAATTGCAGAGGATGGGTTTGCTGGGTGGCGGGAGGCTGTTTTAAAGAGATACCGCTTACCCTGAGCAGGGGCAGGAGCAGCATGTCTGTTCCTAAGCTCTTCACATAAAGCGGGGGTGGGGGGGATCCCAAGAGACTGTGATCTACTCAGAGGGTTAAAAACTGGCAGTGATCTACCCCCTTTTTAGGGGTTCAGGTCAAAGTTGTTGAGCTTTTTTAGGGAGAAGGGAGGCACCGTTTTATGGGCTGCAGGGCTAAAATGTTGAGCTTTTTTTAGGAGAGCCAAAGCTGTTGAGCTTGGGGGGGCAGTGATCTACCACTGACATCCAGTGATCTACCAGTAGAACATGATCTACCTGTTGAACGTGCCTGACATAAAGCAATGTTTCTTCTCTAATAGGAGTGGTTGAGCAGAGAGCCTTAGTCTTCAGGTGTTCAGAATGGGGCAGCTGAAATGATCAAGCGGCTGGAGCAAATCCCTGGAGGAAAGCCTGCAGAATTTGAGGCTTTTTAGTTGGGAGACAAAGTGAGCAAGGGCTTATCTTGTTCCACTGCTTTCCCTCAGGGAAAACCTCTCTTTAGCGCTCAATTCAGGTTCCCCCCGCATTGCCATTTGTCCAGGTTTTCCCTTGTGTTATGTACTGAGATGAATAGGATTCAGAATGCAGCAGTCTGATTGGTCCTAGAACAATAGGATTCAGAATGCAGCAGTCTGATTGGTCCTAGAACAATAGGACCCAGAATGCAGCAGTCTGATTGGTCCACAGGAGCCACCCAATCCAGCTCCAGGTGGAAGTGAATCCGCAACCTAATTGGCCTACAGGAGAATCCCAGAATTAGCCAATCACGTGGGGCCCATTGTGTAAATAATGTATATAAAGCAGACATTCTGGGGGAACTTCCATTCCTCCTCACCACTATGAGCTGAATAAAAAGCATGAAATCCACTATCGACTCCGAGTATATTTCACCTTGGAAAGGAGCAGGGCGGGGAGGGGGGGGAATGGACTGTGCCTAGAAAGTGTGGGTCAGGTGGAAAACTGCTGGGATCCATGCTTTGTAGGCACGGCACGAGCGAAAGTGTGGACAAGCCCTAAGAAGTGACATGAGATCATGCTTGGCATGGAGAAAGCAGAGAAAGAAGTTTTTCTCCCTCTCTCAGGGGCTTCCAACAAAACAGAACGTTGGAGGGTCCAGGGCAGACAGTCCTGTAGGGATTTCGTTCCCACAAGAGACAGCAATAGCCACCAACCTGGACGGCATTAAAAGAGGATTAGATAAATTCATGGAGGATGGAAATATCCATCGCTACTAACCATGATGGCTGTGCTCTATCCCCATGGCTGGAGACAGTAATGTTTCTGAATACCATTTGCTGGAAACTACAGGAGGGGATTGGGCCTTGCTCTCATGTTCTGCTTGTGGCCTTCCCATCAACATCTGTGAGAACAGGATGCTAGACTAGATGGTCTGCTCCAGGAGGCAGCTAATTTTATTTTCCCCCTGTGTCTCTCAAAGTATTCCTAATGGTTTTTAATATTAATACATTTGCATCAATCTTTTTCCACCTCTTAAATTCAGAATCTAGATCCCAGGGTTAAGGTACCTTTTTGAAAGTTCAAGATACGTAATGTCATTTAACTGTCTGACAGACAGTTATTATCAGATTAATCTGAAATAGTGTTTGGTACAAAAACAAATTGCATGTACTATGGGATTCAAGGCCTTATTAAAAATTGTGTACTTACAGCAGAACTATATAAAATGTTTCAGGTTGGTACCAAGAAAATATTTCATTCTTGTATGCCAACCAGAGTAATATGTCTTAATCTGAAAGTTGAAGGAGATGCATAAGAACTTCTTTATGATTATAAAATAAAATATAGGTAAAGGTAAAGGGACCCCTGACCATTAGGTCCAGTCGTGACCGACTCTGGGGTTGCGGCGCTCATCTCGCTTTACTGGCCGAGGGAGCCGCCGTACAGCTTCTGGGTCATGTGGCCAGCATGACTAAGCCGCTTCTGGCGAACCAGAGCAGCGCACGAAACGCCGTTTACCTTCCTGCCAGAGTGGTACCTATTTATCTACTTGCACTTTAACGTGCTTTTGAACTGCTAGGTTGGCAGGAGCAGGGACCGAGCAATGGGAGCTCACCCTGTCACGGGGATTCGAACCGCCAACCTTCTGATCGGCAAGTCCTAGGCTCTGTGGTTTAACCCACAATGCCACCCGCATCCTTAAAATAAAATATACATGTTGCTAAAAAAAAAAAAAAGATGGTCTGCTCCAGGAGGCTCGTCTTATGTTCTTGGGCTCCCATCAGCTCCAGTCCACAAGTACTATGGTCAGCAATGGAAGTGGAAGTGCAACAGCGCCTGCCGAGCCACAGGTCTCTCATCCCTGATGTGTGTATTCAGCGGAGTCTTCATCTAAACTTCCAGAAGTTTAATTGGGGTGGGGGGTGGGGAAAGGTAAGTTCACTACTGCCAACTCCATCCTAGTGCTTGAGGCTACATGGGATCATTCCATAGGAGCTCCTTTATCTCTGATTATTCCAAAGTGTAAAAATGTTGCCACGGCACTCGTTCTTCCAATACACTGGGGTTTCAATTTCCTATTGAATAGAGCCAGTCACAGACCTTTGAAGCTTGCTGTCAATCTCATCTCTCCCACACTCAACCAACTATATATTTCAGGGTTGATCTCTGGCATTGAAAGCAGATGCCAGATGAGTTGTGCTCTGGTGAGCCCAGGCACAAATGAGTCCCTCTCTCTCTCCCCCCGGCTCAGGAAGATTTTTCGGAAACTAGAGCTACCAGGGTAGGAAGCTAGTAGTATTATTTTCCACATCCTGTTTTGTAAAGAGGGTGCAGTGCAGTACAATTCTTACAGCTGTTGTTCTCAGTTCCCTTTACCCGTTCACACTACACCACACTGTGTAACCACTACACCACACTGGCTCTCAGTATTTAAAACAAGTCACTTTTTATCATTTCTTTTGATCTCATCTGCACTCATGGTATTAGCAGAGTCTACAAGGAGTCATGGGTGACTTTTTTTTCTGTCCCTACCAGGACCATTAATGAGAAAATCTATGTGGCTGAGGTGAAGGAGAAGCACCAGGCAAAGAAGATGTATGATGAAGCCCGTAGACAGGGGAAGACAGCAGCTCATGTTGGCACCAAGTAAGAGACCCTCCCTAGGACCCTCCCGCCATGAGACCTTTGCCCTCCCCCAGAGATAACTAGGGGCATTTCATGTGCCCACAGCTCAAATCTCACATGTGAGAAGCGTAACCTCACGACCCAGCTCTGAAATAACAGAGACCAATCAGTGCAACCTGCAACAAAATGTTGCAGTGTGAAGCGCTTCTGTGTAGCTAAGCCCTCTTCTCAGATAGCCCAGTCCATCCCCTGCTCACCACCAGCGTTCCATTCCCACTGAGCATGCTCCATTCGGCTGTTTGGGGAGGCTCCACCCAAGTGCTCCCCCCCCCCCGAAGAATGAATGTTTGTCCTTTTGCAAACCTTTGGATTCTGCCACCTCCTCGCAAGTCTGGATGGAGCTGTTCTGACTGCATAAGAACTGGAACTTGGGGTGGGGGAGATATTTGATTCTGTTTTCCTGATTCAAACCTTCCAAAGCAATGCACAAACTGAAACGCAGCCACAATTCAAAATCCTCCCTTCTCTCAATTTTGCCTTGCGATTCTCCGAGCAAATAAAGCATACAGAAATGGATATAAAGTGTACCTAAAGTAGATAAAAATGAGTATATTAATTAAATATCTAGGTTTGGGGAAACCTCAAGGTTTGCCAAAGTACAAAAAAAAATACTGGGTGGGGGGGAATCTTAAGGACCACAGGAGGACAGAGCATGCTCAGTGTCCACAAAATGGTGGCTGACTTTTGGGGGAATGGGAATAGAAAACCTGGTGGAAGGAAGAATGGGACAATCATGGGAGAGGGCTGAGCTGGCTGGCTGGCTGGTCCAGGCTCAGAATCTGTTTGGAAGCATGCAAGGTAGTCAATGACATCCACCACTCAACCCCCTCCAGGAAGACTTTTGAAAGCATGCCCAATTGCAGCCTTCTCTGTGCTTGTGCGGAATTATTCACCCAACCAGTCGAGATCGATAATGAGCAGGCTTGCCGCAAGTGCAGGGGTCCTGCCAAGTGGGTTCTCAAAGAGCAAACATCGTCTCCGATAACCTGCTATTGAGTGACGTTTCCCAGGGACCGAGAAACGGAAAAATTCAGGGTGTCAGCCAGCGTGGAGGCAGGGGGCAAGGTGGCCTTTGAGCTGACTTACGAAGAGCTGCTGCAGCGGCATTTGGGCAAATACCAGCATGCCATCAGCATCCGGCCCCATCAGGTGGTAAGGAACCTCAGCGTGGAGGTGAGCATCTCCGAGCGCACCGGCATCAGCTACGTCCATGTGCTGCCACTCCGCACCAGCCGACTGCTGACCAACACCCTTCGAGGTATGGCGTTCTCCTCCAGCTGCATGTTTGGGGGGCTTCCAGTAAAAAAAGGATAATACATTTCTCCATTGTGCTTTATTATTATCTCTTGCTTTGATAGTCAGCCGGCTGTCCAGGTTTATATATACATTTTTATTAGTTTTTTTAACATATCATTTCCAACAATCATATAACATAACTTCTTATCTTATACAATACAGTGGTACCTCTGGATGTGAACGGGATCCATTCTGGAGCCCTGGTCACATCATGAGCAGAACACAACCCGTGTCTGTGCGTGCGCAGGTCGTGATTTGCCGTGTCTGCGCATGCACGTGACATCATTCTGAGCATCTGCACATGCATGAGTGGCAAAACCCAGAAGTAACCTGTTCCGTTACTTCTGGGTCGCCGCAGGACGCAACCCGAAAAGATTTAACCTGAAGCGACTTTAACCCGAGGTATGACTGTATTTTAGACTTACATCAACAGCTCTGCTGATTTTCTGTTCTTTATCACTTATTCTGCATTTCTTAATTTCTCTATTACTCTTAATTATCATTAACTACTAATTCTCCTCATAGTCTTTCTTGCAATATTTCAAATAGTCATCCTTACAAAACTTCTTGCAATCCTACTAGCGTAATCTGTTCATTACCCACAGATGACAGCAGGAGTCAGAGACATGGCAGTCACTCCTGGAACTGGTGTGGCAGCTTTGGTGTGACCGGCTGTCCAGGTTTAAGCATGCTCCAGAGCACTGCGGTACACTCTGCGTTGTGACACCACCTGCTTTCACCACAGTTGTAACACAGGAGGAGGTGAACTGCAGATTTGGGTGTTGGCTGTGTCGCTTTTGCTCCCAAAATCTTAGGCTTTCAGCAAAGGCAAATAGATACACCTGGGAACTGCTGCTCGGTTTTCATGAAAAACAGAACCGCAGCTATCTTGTAGATTCCAAGTCTTGGGGATGGTTCACACACACATGTGCAACACGTCCGCTTCTCCCACCTCTTTCCCCTGGGAAAACTTGCTCTTTACTGCTGAATCGGAGCAAACATCAACTGGATTTTCTGCTGGTTGATGTTTGTCCTGATACAGTGGTAAAGAGTGGGTTTTCCTGAGGAAGGTGGCCGGGCAAACAGAAAACCACTCAGACCCGTCCCTGGAAAGCACAGGGCAAGCGGAAAACTTCTTGGACCCCTGGGACAAGCAGAAATGTGGATGAGCCCTGACCCCAGTTAAAATTATTTATAAGTTCTGTCCATAGTGCTAGATCTGTAAAGGCTGATTCACACACTTGAGTTCATTCTGTGCTGTTGCTGTCATTCATGGGTGAGCCAGCAGCCTTCAACCTCATCCACGGATGAATTTGCCATTTCCTTTCAGGTGATTCTGTTGTGCCGCCATCTACTCGGGTGGAGAAAGGAACACACTGTGCTTGGATTGTTTTCTCTCCAACCCCGCAAGAGCAGGCGGAGTTCTCCAGCTCAGGAATCATGGGTGATTTTGTGGTTCAGTATGACGTGACCATGCCGGATGTTGCAGGAGACGTACAGGTTAGGGAAAGGACTACCCAACCAGAACTGAGACTAGATGGAACATTTGGGGCTTCAGGACTGCCTTAGAAAGGGTAACACAGACTGTGATACTGTGATACAGAGAAATCCAGGCAGACACCAGTGTAAGCATGAGAATGACCTTGTTAGATAAAATTGAAGGGCTGCTTAGTCCAGCTGTGTTGCAAAGCTTGTCAGCCAGATGCCTCTACAAGGTCACAGGCAGGCAGGACTGTGAGTACTTGGTTCAAAATAAGTCCTGCTTCTGTAAAAGCAGAACCATGCAATCTGGATAACTTATGCAAATGAATGTCTCTATAAAGTGCTTTCCATTTACAGTATTCTCAGTGTTTCAGTTTCTGCATGGGGCACAATTACACTGGGCAATCTTATTTAGACCTGGTAATTCTTCTGATAATTCTGTATTGCCCATACAAATCTTCCTACTACGCATGAGAGATAAAAAATTGCTTGAAAGGAAGGAAGGATGGTGAGATTATTAGGAAGCCAAATTCTGCGCCCAGTACCACATCCTGCACTTTTTCTGCAGTTGTGCTTGTAGGATAGGAAGATAATTACCATCCCCAGCTACCTTTCCTTGGAACCTGGTAATGCAACAGCAGGGGTAGTCTGTTGTCTTCCCACTGTTGTTGGACTCTTAACTACCACCAGTCCCAGCCAGCATGCACAATGGTCAGGGATGGTGGGATTTTAAACCCAGCAACATCTGGAGATCCACAGGTTCCCCATCCCTGGGATTGTTTGTTTTTGGCATCCATCTGTCTCAAGAGACAGCGGAGTGTGGCTCTGGGGGTGAAGTCAAACCACTGGAAAATCACAGCGCCTGCTGTGGCTGCAGAGACCAGCAACTCTTAAGTGCTGCCCCCTGTGTTGGTTTTGCTGCATTAGCAGCACCAAAGCGACTTCTCTGGAATGCAAGCATAGGTAGTGTGTGTGGAAGTCCTGGGCTGCCCAAATGACAAGACCCCCTGCCGGCCTCACTGATGTGGTCCAAAGGAAAGCAGAGCAAAACGTTTGGCGCCAGCTTGGCAGCAGGAGTTGCCGGAAGGAGGCGTACAAGGTGCCATCCAATGGCTTTAGGGACTTAGGGATTTGTGTAGGGTGGGATTAAATCAGGGGTTGGCAAGGTTTACCTTGCCTGGGCCGGTTCACTCCAGTGGAGATCCCTTGGTGGGCTGGATCGCGACTTCCGGCACCGGCACCTGCATCTGCGCAAGCATGATTTCCGGTACCACGGAAGCAAGTTCCGGTGCTGCGCTGTGCCGGTTTAGCGCAGCATGCAGGGACTCGCCAAGCAGGCAGCTCGGTTCGGGGGTGGCTCGGGGGCCAGTTAAACGACCCCTGTGGGCTGTTTGTGGCCCATGGACCTTAGGTTGCCGACCCCTGGATTAAATGATAGTGCGCACCCTTTCCAGAGTGACCGTTCTACTTCTCTCTCTCTCTCTCAGATCTACAATGGCTACTTTGTCCACTTCTTTGCCCCGAGGGGCTTGCCCCCTGTGCAGAAGGACGTGGTGTTTGTTATCGATGTCAGTGGCTCCATGTATGGCACCAAGATGAAACAGGTGAAGTTGCAAGCAGGAAGGGCCCCTTTCCCCTGAATTGGTGTCTTTGTGTTGGCACATGTGCCACAGTCCAGAAGGAAAACATGGGTTGTTATTTCCCAAGATGCACATCTTCTAAGTCCAATTCCCTGGTGCTTATATGCTAGAATTGGGCTCGGGGCCATGCAAGGGCTGAATGTCAGTGTGAACAGGCTGTGTTAAGACAAACAGAAGTGAACTTATTATTACTATTATGGCTACATTTTTATCCCACCCTTCCTCAAGGTGGCATACATGGTTCTCCTCCTTCTCCACTTTCTCCTCAGAACAACCCTGTGAGGTAGGCTAGGCCAAGAGAGTGTAACTGGCCCACAGTGTCACTGTGCAACCTTCATGGCTGTGTGGGGATTTGAACCCAGTCCTAGTCCAATATGCTTAGCACTACATTACACTGATAAAGGATTATCCGTTTTAAATGTTGAATCTAAACTTTAAATGTCGTTGAGCTGAGTTGATTTAATATTTTCTAACAACAAATGTTGAGCTCAACAGGACTCACAATAATCACAACAATAGCATTAAAAAACAACAAACAAAGCAATCACTATAATTTCAAACGCAATAGCTGATGAAGCAAACAAGAAATTCATCAAAACAATTAGTGCAATTCAGTAATGTCAGAGCATTACCAGCTTTTTATGCTGTGTGCAAAGGAAGAAGCCCCTCACAGAAAATGGCTCCTCCAAATTTTCAGCAAATCTCCTTCTTCTCATTTGGTCTGCTGCACCAAAGCCTGCCCCATTCAGCAGCGTAAACCTCAAGAGAAGCTTTTGTGGGGACTCGGGAACAGTCACCCTTTCTGTGACTGTTTTAAATTGTTTTTAGATGTTCTTAATTTTTTTAAATAAATAAATTAAATTTCAATTGTATTTGTTGCTTGCCACCCTGGGGAGGAAGGGTGAGGTAAAAATTCAGTAAAGAAGTAAGTAAGTAAATTTTGTGTGGCAGTCATTGCCTGCTTTGACTCATTAAGCATAGCTAATACTAAAATTATTCTGAACTTGGAACTCTTTGCATATGGCACCTTCTTGAGGAAAAAATGCAAGTTGCAGGAGGAGGCGAGTGTCGTGCACTTCACAAGCCATTAACCCTGAGCTGTAGATAAGTGGCATGGACCTGAGTCTGGAAAGGTTCAAAGAGCAGCCCCTTGCGGCTTGGGAAACATGGATGACCATTTCTTTAAGCAGATGTTTTACGTAGGGACGTTTTCTTCCACAGACCAAAAAGGCCATGCACGTCATTCTGAGCGACCTCCACCACGATGACTACTTCAACATTGTTACTTTCTCGGACGCTGTGAATGTGTGGATGCCCAGCCATTCCATCCAAGCTACGCCTCAGAATATCCGGAAAGCCAAGGACTATGTCAGCAAGATGGAAGCAGACGGATGTGAGTTCTGGGCCGGCCAAGATAATTGCTGGGGGGGGGGGGGGTTGCTGGTGTGCTGGTCCTGGAGTCAAGGACACAAACAGCCATTGGAGTATTGGGAAGAATGCTCCATATTTGCTCTCTTGAGCTCTGCCTTCCCCGTTCTTACACACAGGAGCCAAAATGGGGGTAGATCAAAGCTGCCAGTGCTCACTTTCAATAATAATAATAATAATAATAATAATAATAATAATTATACCCTGCCCTTCCAAGCCAGAGCCAGGCTCAGGGTGGCTAACACCAATAAAATCACAGTAAAAACAAAACAAAACATGATAGGGGGAAAAGAAAAAACCAGTTTAAAATACAGGTTAAAATGCAATTTAAAAATGCACCCTCATTTTAAAAGTAACTGATAAATCAAGACCATAAGGGGAGGAAAACATAAGGGTCAGACTGAGTCCAAACCAAAGGCCTGGTGGAACAGCTCTGTCTTGCAGGCCCTGCAGGAAGATGTCAAGTCCCGCAGGGCCCTAGTCTCTTGTGACAAAGTGTTCCACCAAGTTGGGGCCAGTACTGAAAAGGCCCTGGCCCTAGTAGAGACCAATCTAACCACCTTGCGACCTGGGACCTCCAAAATGTTATCATTTGTGGACCTTAAGGTCCTCCGCGGGGCATACCAGGAGAGGCGGTCCTAGAACCCAAATTCTCCCCTTTGGATGTGACTCAGGAGCCCAGATTCATAGCCATCTCTGAGTCTATCCCTTCCTTTAGACACCACTGTTCTTCTCAGAAAACCTAGGAGTCCTGTCTTCTGATTTCCCGGGCCTTCTGCTCCCTAGGGACTGATATCAACGCAGCTCTGCTTGCTGCCGCCTCCGTCTTCAACCGGAGCTCTCCAGCGGCGGGGAAAGTTGTGAAGGAACAGAGAATCCCCCTGATCATCTTCCTGACAGATGGCGAGCCCACCTCAGGCGTGACGGCCGGCAGCCGCATTCTCTCCAATGCTCAGCAGGCTCTGAAAGGCACCACCTCGCTGTTTGGCCTGGCTTTCGGGGATGATGCGGACTACGGGCTGATGAGGCGCCTGTCGCTGGAGAACCGCGGCGTCGCTCGGCGCATCTATGAAGACGCTGATGCCACTTTGCAGCTGAAGGGTTTCTACGACGAGATCGCCAGCCCTTTGCTGTACGATGTGGAGCTGGCCTACCTGGACGGGGTGGCACAAGACCTCACCCAGAACCTGTTCCCCAACTATTTCCTGGGCTCTGAGCTGGTTGTGGCCGGGCGGGTGAAGCCAGGGGCACCAGAGCTGCGGGTTCGCACCACGGGGCACGGCCAGGAGGGCCCCCTGAGCCTTGAAAACGACATCTCTGCCAACGCCACGGAAGCTGCTCCCTTTGGCTGCTTTGGGGATGCCAACAAGATCGGTCGCTTTGTGCAGAGGCTTTGGGCCTACTTCACCATTCAGGACCTGCTGCAGGCCCGGTTCCGAGCCAATGACACAGCCGCCCGCCGCCTGCTGACTGAAAAGGCCACCAACCTGTCACTCAAGTACAACTTTGTCACCCCCGTCACCTCCCTGATTGTGGTGCGGCCAGATGAGGACAGAGAAAAGGGCCGGCCAGCGAAAGCTACTATCAGCCCTCCAGGGGTGACCAGAGCGTTCAAGGCCACCCCCACAACATTTGGGGTTTCCGCTGCATTGGGGCTCTCTAAAGTGGCAAAAGCCACACCTGCCCCTGGAGCGACCAGTGTCCCCGTGGTTGCAAAATCCCCAAAGGTCACAGCAAGGCCAGGATCTGCTCCCGCTCCCCTGGTCCCAGTGGCAGCAGCTAGAGTCACGAAAGCAGGCAGAACCACGTCCCCACCGTTTGCTGCCATCACTGCCGTCACTCCCGCCACTACCTTCATTTCCCCAGTGCCTCCTGCTCCCGGTCACACCAAAACGGCCAAAGCTGCCACACCAGTTCCAGGAGTGACTGCCATGTCTCTGACTCCTGCTGTCAGCCGTGGGTCTGCTAAACCACCCAGAGCCACAGCCTCCCCGAGGGCAACCAGGCCCCCCATCAAACCCCCCAAGCCCAGCTCCACCAGAGCTGGGAGACTGAAGGTCACGCTTCAGCCACACTCTGTTTTGGAAACCAGAGGAACAGCTGTTTCCAAGGTCCTGGCAGGGACCGCCAGCACAGGGCACAGCAGGCCTCCCACAACAGGGCACCCGCCTGGCAGTGCCAAGGTCCTAGGGGGTCAGTCCAGTCCCTGGGAGCAGCTAGAGATGACACCAAACCCTGTGACCCAGCACCAAATGCCTACCAGCTGGCAGGCAAGTACCGCCAAGGTGGAGGCCGGGAACGTTCCCTGGAGTAAGACAACAACTCCCAAAGGTGGGGCAGCCGCAGAGATGCACACTGACAAGCCCCCATGGAACAGCACCATGCCTTGGGGCACAACATCTGGAGCTACGCCCCTAGTGACTCTGGGAGCAGAGTTGGAGAGTAAAAGCAGGGTTCCTGGTAGCACCACCGCTGCGCCAGACATCAGCCTCCTCCTGCTGCCCGGGGAGTCTGAGCTACGCTCAGCCACCGACCAGGACACAGAATATGTGGAGTCATTGAACCCGCCGGCTGTGTATAGTTTCGTGACACCCCGGGGACACGCAGGTAGGTGCAAGGAAATAGGAGTAGCTTTGCATGTTTCAGCCTTCCTTTGACATCTGCAACCTATTCTACACCTGACCAACACTTGCCTCACTTCCAGCATCCTTAATCCAATTGTCATGCTGCTGGTCTCCCAAGCACTGGGTGGGCTACGGGCCTTGCTTGAGGAGGAACTTGGCTTGGTTCAACACTCATAGGTCTTAACAACTCTTTGGCTCTACCAGCATTTGGTGTCACCTGTCCAAAGAACCAGCTGTGTGGTCTCTTTCTTCCTTGCTCTGTCTCTCCCACCTTAACCTGTGCTCTAACTTTACCATCTTTCTCCTCATTTAGGGCCTATTGCTTCCCCCTCCCCATTCCTTCCTTCTAGCCTGTGCATCCTTCCCAGCAGTCTGGCTTTCCCCATCTCCTGCTGCTGCTCTACATTCTTTGGGACGTTGTTGGACTCTTAACTCCCATCAGGCCCTGGTCAACATGCCCAACGGCTGGGAATGATGGAAGTGGAAATCCAGCAAGGTCTAGAGGGAGTCACATTCACTGCCCATGTTCTATGCCATCTTCTTCCCATTCTGCTCCCAAATGGTTCAGGCTCTCAACTTTTGTTTGTCTTCTCCTCAGAAACTCTGGATTATGAAGACTATTCAGGTAATTCTGCCATCATAGTCACTCACTCGGAACTTTGCGGGGCTGGTAAGGTCATCATATTTCCTCTTTTAAAAGGTTTTATCAGATTCCAGTCCTCCTGCCTCTCTGGTGGATAAAAGATGTTTTTAAGCTGGGAATCAGGGCTGGCATGAACACAGGGCCTTGCCAGTTCTTTCTTTCTTTTTACAGAAATCCCACTTGGATATTAATATGCAGCAGCTTCCCCCCAAACTGGTGCCCTACAATTGTTTAGGACTGCAACTCTCTCTGCACCCACCCAGCATGGCCAGAGGTCAGGGATGATGGGAGCTGCAATTCAAAACATCTGAAGGGCATCAGGTAAAGGAAAGCTTGCATATGGGAAAGTGGCACTTGGCCTCGATACAATACGATACAATATCTTTATTGTCATTGTCCCATACAGAACAATGAAATTGAAAAATCTACATAAGACATTCAAAATCCCCTAAAAACTCTGAAACCCCATTTTAAAATACAATATACTATAGAGACTCCTTATACTGCGTTTAGAACCAGAATTGCATTTGGGTAGAAACTGTTTCTCAGGCGGCTAGTCCTGGTCTTTATAACCCTGTACCTTCTTCCAGAAGGCAGAAGCTGAAAGAGATCATTTCCGGGGTGCGTACTATCCTGCGCTATCTCTGCAGCTTTCTTATGGCACCTGACAGCATAGATTTGATCTAAGGTGGGAAGAGTGCACCCAATTATTCTCTCTGCCGTCTTTACAACCCTCAGAATGTACCCTAACATGGTAATAGTACTTGCCAGAAACTCAGGGTTGGCATACAATTCTGAGATTACTAGAACAGCCTGAAATGGGGACATTTTAAAGCCTCTCCTTAGAAATGGGAGGCAAGAAGTATACCCCCGGTCATATCACTTCCAGGCTAACCAGAAAGCTGAAATTTAATATACACGAAGCCCCCATGTCATACCTACTACCCAGAGCCTGAAAATGGGCCACGTCTTTGTATCCAACACTCAAAACACAGCACAATAATTTTCTCTCATAAGGGAGACCAGCCATTGCAGCACCAAGCAAGCCAAGCCCAATATCTCACAAAAGTGTGTGTGTGTAAATCCTGTTCAGGCATGGATTTGTGGGGAGGGGCCAGAAATCATTGGTCTATGCCTGCAGAATGCAAGCTCCATTTACTAGCATTTGTATAAAACTTCAAAGCTGCTCAAGATAAATTCAAACTGATAGTATTTGGGAAGTCGTCGTGGCCTTCCAAGCAGGTAGTGCTTGGAGTCAGGCCCATTGTAGTCGCCTGCTCCTGGCTGAAAAGCAACAGCACTGTTCTCTTTCTATCCCACAGCAAGCAGCACCAATGTTTCAGTGACTCTCTTGGGTTCTGCAGGAACAGATAACTATTAGCAATGACAACTGAAGGGATTCAGAGAAATGCTGGGCTGGCTCAGCCCCTTGGGAAAGGGGGTTGAGGGCGGTGGTACCAGGGGAGGTTTGCTTCCAAGGTTTGCCCGACTCCTCTGAAAATAGACTTTCCTTTGCAGACTTCTTAGAAGAACCGGACGGTGATTCAGGTACATCCCTGCAGGATGGGTGCATAAGGGCTGCAGGGCTGATAACTGGTGGGTCCAGCGAGGTCTTCTGTTGGACAGGAACGGAATCCGAAAAGCCACTCAAGTCTGGGTTCAGCCAGGCTTTGCCCATGGCCTGTAGCTGCCTTTGTTTTGTCCTGGCTCAACCACCACCTGCCAAGATTTCATTCTGAATCCACCCTTCCCCACCTGCCATCTTTTGCCCTCTTTGCCCCGCCTTGGCCCGAGGTGGTGGTGGTGGTGGGGAGGTGAGCATTTTCAAAATAAACAGCTCGATCCTGGCTGTCCAATCCTTTTCAGTGTCTGCGCTGCAGCAGCCCATAGATGGGCCAAGACAGCTGATCCAAATCCATTTGGGTTAGCTGCTAGGCAAAGAGGCAGAGCCTGTACCTTGGCCCCAAAATTAGATGTGTGGTGGTACTGGCTGCCCAGATATGCTGAGAGCGCTGCTTGATGACCAGTGGGTCTAATGCTGCTCCTTCCATCTCTCTTTCCAGGCTCCTTGGTAGGTTCATCTGACCCTGGCTTCTTCACCTTCTCCTCCTGGGGTAAGGCCATCTTATTCCCAGCCATGCAGATTCCCATACCTCCCTCATTTTTTCATTTAGCATCTTACACCCTTGTTTGTTTTTCCTTGCAGTGGATGGAGACCCTCACTTTGTAGTAAGGTTGCCACATTCACTGGGGAACCTGTGCTTTACTCTGGATGGATGCTCAGGAGATGTCCTGCGCTTGGTGAGCGACCCTGCAACAGGTAAGGGCTGCAGTGCCTTCTGATCAACATGGGGTGGGCTTGTTCAGAACCAACCCAGAGGGTTCCAAGAACAGAACAGAAGGGTAGGTATAGCCAACCTCTTGTTTTCAATAATTTTGGCATATCAAGCCAGGTACATGTGCCTGCAAGCATATGCAGCGTGTCTACCCACCTTTCTCCATCCAACCTGGTCAACTTTTAAAGAACCTGACAATGCCTCTGAGGATGTGCAGATAATTTATCAAGAGAATCAACTTCTGTTAAAAATGGATCTAGGACTCAGTGCCTTTGTACACTGCAAAGTGCTTTTCATCTCTGATGGGAAGCAAGTACAAACAAAAAATGGCAGAGCACACAAACACAAAATCTACATATTATAAAAAGGAAAATCTAATTAAAACACTAGATACACAATCTACCACTTTATTTTGTACTCTCAAATTCTAGTAACTGGGCAGGAAGAGAGAATGTTAGCTAGTTGACAAATCTTGAGAGTAAGGAGATATGTTCCTGTTTAGATGCAGTGAAAGCAGTTATACCAACAGGCATGCCTTACCCCAAAGAATTCTGGGAACTGTAGTTGTTAACAGTGCTGAGACCTTTCCCACTTACAGTTCCCAGCCCCCTTAACAAGCTACAGTTCCTAGGATTATTATGGGGATAGTAGGACTGTTAAGAGCATTATAAGAGTGCTTTCGGTGTGGCATGGCTGTGACCAGTGGGCTGGTTTAGGCTTGCAGGCATGGGAACCCTGTGGACTCCCAACTCCTACTGGCACCAGCCAGTCTCACCAGTAGCCAGGGATGATGGGACTTGTACTGGAGGCCCACAGCTGTTGCAAACCAGAACACCTGGGTTCTGTGCCTTCTCCCTCTAGGTGGGAAGTGGGGAAATGGAAAGACTGTTCTTTCATTACAGAGTGCTGCCTTCCTTTGCCCCCCAGGGTTGTCTGTCAACGGGCACCTAATGGGGGCCCCTTTCAGGCCAGGCCATGAGGAGCGTCCCCGCACCTACTTTGATGCCATAACCATAGCAGTGGAGCACCCTCGAGTTGGCTATGTGGTCAACGTAACACGGAAGGGCGTCACACTCCATGGTGAAGGTGAGCTGGTGTTGCCCTTTGCCCAGCGGGCTGCAATCCACAAGCACCAGCTGGCAATTTCTGTGTGGCCTGAAGCCAACGTCACCGTATGGATTGGTCACGAAGTGGAGTTCCTGGTTCTTCTGCATCGCTACAGTCACCCCACGGCCCTGCAGCGGGATCATCTCGGCTTCTATGTGGTGAACAGCAAGGGGCTGTCAGCTTCAGCAGGTGGCTTGCTAGGTGAGCAACTCCTCTTACAAATACAGCTTTTAGGCTGCTAACTAACACCATCCGTCTTGCACAAGCAGTTTGATGCAGGTTGCATCTGTGGCAGGGACCAGGGAGTGCTAGGGTCACATTGCCCTAGTCCAGACTGCAATGCAATTATTTAGGAGTGCCCTTACTCTACCCAGTGGCGTAGCGTGGGGGGTGCAGGGGGGGCCGGCCGCACCGGGCGCAACATTGGGGGGGGGCGCTCGCACTCGCAGCTCTCTGCCCCTACCTGGCTCACTCACTCTCTCTCACTGCAGTGCTGGCTGTGCGAATCCGATCCGAGCCGCTGGGTCGCCGCCCACTGTGGAGGGGATGGGTGCCAGGCGTGCGGTGCAGAGAGAGAGCGAGGACTATCTGGGGGAGGGACAGTGCAGCGGCCGCCCAGCGCAGCGCTGAGCGCGGGAGAGAACCACACCAGACCAGACCAGGCAGCAGCAAGAAGAAGCTGGCAGCAGCGGCAGGTTAGGGGTTAGGGGGCGCAAATTACTTGCCTTGCCCCGGGTTAGGGGGTGCAAATTACTTGCCTTGCCCCGGGTTAGGGGGCGCAAATTACTTGCCTTGCCCCGGGTGCTGACAACCCACGCTACACCGCTGACTCTACCTGCCTATTTGTAAAAACAGTTGAGTGGAATAGGCAATTTTCATAGAGGAAAACAGCAGGGGAGGGGTTAATGCCCCCTTCCTCTGTGCTATGGTCCTACTCTGGGCCTCTCCCATACACAACCTGCCACAGTTGCTGCAAGTTTTAAAAAAAAGAGAGAAGGAAGATCCCAATCATAGGATTCAAAGATGCTTTTACAGTCGCATATAACTTGATCCTGAGTAACTAGAATGCAAGCTCTTTAAATATAGTACCTTTTTGCAATTTTAACTTCAGTATACCCAAAGCAAACTCTCTAACCTTGCTGGGAGTTTTATCCATCTTTTGAAATCTCCTCTCCCTCCTTTCCAATATGATCCCCCAGGGATCACAGTAGCACCTGGTCATACTGGCTGAGGCTGATAGGAGCTGGAGTCTGGAGGGGCACCAGGCTCCCCCACCCCAAATGTGTTGCCCACTCCACCTTCACTTAGACCAGCAGCCCCTGTCACTTCAGGGTCTACCCTTCAGAAAACCCCAGATTTTTAGGACAGAAGGTATTCCTAAGCAGCAAGTAAAGCTGCAGATGTGTGGGGAACTTTTGTCCCTCCAGCTGTTGCTGAACTTCATCTCCCATCATGGTCGACCATACTTGCTGGGGCTGCTGGGAGGTATAGTTCAGTGGCAGGAGCTGGAGGGCCAAAGGTTCCCCCCACCTGCTGTAGAAAACGAGATCTGTGCTAGATATGAGCGCGGTAAGGCTAGTTTGACTGGATGCTTCATCAGTCTAATTCCCCACCTGCCTTTTCCTGACCACACACATCATGTGCTCCTGTTTTGCCAATCTGCTCTTCCACAGGCCAGTTTCAGAGGGACACCATCAGGCTCTCCCCAGCCCCCACCGAAGGGGAGCGAGCAGCATGGATGTGGAGGGGCTCTAACAAAGCCCTGGTCACCGAGGTCACCAAAATACTGAAGGATTCATCCTGGAGGGCACATGAGGCACCATGCTGGCTGCTGAAACGCAAGGATGTGGAGGAGCTGTTGGGGGCTCCCTACAGCTCCTACGTAACCTCCAACCTGCTGGAATTGTGAGCCAGCCATCTTTCACTCAACTGGGGTAGCAAGCAACAAAAGTCCAGGACTTTCCCAATTCCCAACCTCGCCCCCCCCCCCCAATCCTTACGCGACAGGGATGGTGTGGAATAGGAGGGAGAGCCTGTTGTCTCCCTCCCAGGACCTTTGGAGTAGATTCTGGGGGGTGGAGGCAGGATAGCTTTGTTTTGTTTTGTTTTAAATGTCTCTCACAGTGCAGACATATTTAAAATTATGCCCTCATTACACTGTTTTATTAACTTCATATAGAAAAGGACAGTGGATTTATCACCAAGGTGTCTCCTCATCAGTTTGTGCAGGGAATCCTGAATGGGTGACTCATTCCACAGGAAAGGCTGTGCAAATTTTCAACATCATCATCCTTGATGCTGGGAGGATATTCACTTTTTCTCTCCCCCTCCCCTGGGAAACTTTCCAGCAGATATTTGGCCCTCCCAAACCCCAAATTGTTAAAAAACAGCAACACAATCAAAGGTAGATTTCGCGGCAGACTGAAGCCTGCCCTACTTGGCCTATGAAGAATAAGGGCTGCCTGTCCCTTTTGCAATAGTTGCCTATTCCAGCAAATGCACTCTGGCCTCTGCTCTTTTCAACACTAGCACACTGTTGGAATAGATCTGCAGGAGAGCCACTTATCAGTGGTGGGTTCAGAAACCTCGATGGTTTCATTGGTGCAAAGTGGAGACAGACTAGCTAGCAGATATTCTGCTTTGTGCTTAATGCAGTTATTTAAAAGTCCTGCAAAGAACCATCCCTTTTCTTTGGAGCATTTTGGCCAGAAGTGTGGCACCATTAAGTCTTGAGAACTGATCTGTGAAAAGGAGAGTTCAGTTCCAGGATGAAGACGAGGAGCCAAATCTGGGAACAACCCATGCAAGATGCAAACCTCTTTTCTAACCAACAGCAATCCATTCAGAGCCGCAGAACAGCAAAGAAGAGCAACCCATTCAGGACACCCTCCTCAGACTTCACCTGAAGTACTGTGTCCAGTTCTGGGCACCACAGTTCAAGAAGGACACTGACAAACTGGAACGTGTCCAGAGGAGGGCAACCAAAATGGTCAAAGGCCTGGAAACGATGCCTTATGAGGAACGGCTAAGGGAGCTGGGCATGTTTAGCCTGGAGAAGAGGAGGTTAAGGGGTGATATGATAGCCATGTTCAAATATATAAAAGGATGTCACATAGAGGCTGCTCCAGAGAAGCGGACACGGAGCAATGGATCCAAACTACAAGAAAGAAGATTCCACCTAAGCATTAGGAAGAACTTCCTGACAGTAAGAGCTGTTCGACAGTGGAATTTGCTGCCAAGGAGTGTGGTGGAGTCTCCTTCTTTGGAGGTCTTTAAGCAGAGGCTTGACAACCATATGTCAGGAGTGCTCTGATGGTGTTTCCTGCTTGGCAGGGGGTTGGACTCGATGGCCCTTGTGGTCTCTTCCAACTCTATGATTCTATGATCCTCTGCTGATGGAGAATGGGTATCAGGTTGTTCAATTGTTAACAGGAAAGGGGGTGCTGCTTACTGTTTTAAGGTGGCCCTTCTCACCCTGTACCTTGGAAGCTACAAGTCAGGGAGCCCAGTAGGCTGTGCCAATTTATTCTGCATTTTAATCCCTTAAGTGACATGTCAATCCCTCCACTAGCTATGATGAGCCCCACTTCTGTACCAACTTTCCCTCTGCACTAAAGGGCCAAACCAGAAGCAAACAAGGCTGCGGTGGGGCCAATAGGGCAGCAGAACCAAGAAAATGGATGTGAGGGATTTAAAGTGCATCATCCTGGTCTCTGCACAGGAATGGCTAGAAGGCCTCTTCCATTCTTGTCCCCATAAAGTTTCTGATTAGACCCCAACAATGTGATAGCACAGACAACAGCAAACAGGCAACCCCCCCCCCCAATCACTCTAGGAGCCCTATGTCTCCCAGTGATGCTGTTACATTACATACATTCATTTTTATTTATTGGCTTTATGTTCAGTAAGGCTGCCCCTGAATATTGCAGCCGAGAGCCTCTTTCCCGGAAGTCTGAGACCAGCTCTGGCAAGGCAACATTCTCTTTTCATGTGTTAAATTGTATTTTACAATTCATACAATAAAACGCAAATGACTGTTGAGGGATAGCGGAATGGTACCCCGAGTCTGGACCACTGTCTGGGATGAAATAAGACTGCACCTGTAGCAAGCCACTTGCAAAGGTCTATGTTACTCGATGCAGACCCCTCAAAAATACAACATCGAATGCAAAAGGATCAGCCTGCTGCTTCTACGCAAAAGGGACAAGAGGCAAACGAGTATTGTGTGCCCCTGACACAGATAATGTTATTCACCACATGCCCTGTTATAATCTACTTAAGCAGAAAAAAGGATTTTAGCTGCTGCTTTCATGAATTTCAAATATGGCTGAACTGAATATATGGCTGGTTTGATTTCAGGCGGAAGCTAATGATATTGGTGGGACAGAAAACACCTAGATTGTGAGGGAATTCAGCTGCTAAAAATATTGTTTAATGGGATGGTTTTGCATGCTGCTACTTCCTTCTTGAATTAGTTATGAGGGTGAACCCATCACATACTGAACAGGACAGCATCACTAGACTAGGCCTGATGTCATAGTGTCACCAGCCACAATCTGATCGGGCTGCTTGATAATGCAACTCGGGGCACTTGAAAAATGTCTTTCTTCTTCTTCCAAGATATGTAAAAAAAGAACTGCCGAAAAGGGAGATATTTTGAAGACACTGTTGAAAATGTTCACAAAAGAAATGGGGAGCAATTTCACATTAGCCCCAATATTAAAGCCACCCAGCTGAAAATAATGTGCACAGGTGCCCTTCAAAACTGGCATGCCACCTATGCTTTGGAAGTGGTATCTCAACCTGAGTACTGTGTGAGATGCTGCCCTAAGTTTACACTGAAAGCCCAACTTCTTCAGAGCAAAGACTTTGTTGGAGAGAGGGGAGCTCCCAGCAACCCACATGAAGGCTTTCGTTCCTGGAAAAAAAATCAGAAAAATGTGCCCCATATACGAGCCATGCTAAACCATCAAAGGTTTTATTCTAACCTTGAATATATATAAAAAAAAGTTTCAGCCTCGTTTGATTTTTTTTTTAAAACACACATTTCTAGAGAGATGCCTAAAAAATAGAATTCAAACATTTACACAAAGCCTGCTGGAGTCTGGCATAAAAATATGGTACACAGCCATATAAACTGAGCCGTGCAGCTGGGTACAAATGTCTCTTTAAAGTCCTTGCTTAGGGGGCATGGTGCCCTCCCTGCCGCTGTAGGGGTTGGAAGTGGGGGGAGTGGAAGGGAGACTGCTTCATGCGAAGAATGTAAAAACAGACCCAGAAAAGTGGGGTGTGGAAGGGGAAATCAACAATAGAAGAGATTTGCAGTAGGAAGAACTGTGAAGCCTTACTGGAGACCCTCATGTCATAAAGGAAAACCTACCAGATCCATTACAGGGGAGATACTCTGAGCCCCCCACCAGAGGAACCCCATTGGATGTAGCTGGCGCTGGCCTGTATCACTTCTGACAAGTGGGGGAAGGGTTTGTGTGCTAGATTAAAAACAGCAGCAACAACAGTAAAACAACAGAACTCCCTTCACATAGATAACTGGGCAAGTCAGGGGAAGACACTAGTTTAGCCTTCCCCCAAAATGCTAATCTTGAATGTGCAGGGAGCTTATGATCTGGAAGGACATGAAAAACAACAACACCTGACTCCCACTCACACAATGAAGGTGACTTTACCAATGGCAGGTTTTGTGTGCATAAGCCATGATGGCGACTCTCTCGCTGCAGCTGGCTGGGTTTTTTGGAAATCCAATTATATCCAGCCTGCCCTCTCCTCAAACCCAAGTTCTTGAGAAGCAGCGGAGGGAAAAATACCTTTGCATTTCCCCAGGGAGCTGTCCCTGTCCTGCTTTCTTGGGAGTTTGCTGAGCTGGCGGGTGATGATCTGAAGCACAAAGCCCCACCCCACCCCAAGGTGTGTCTGAAAGGGGGTCAGACTTCTAGAAGACTGGGAAAGGAGATGGGTTATCTGCTTGTAAGTGAGGGCAATAAGCAGTTGCTTCCCTCTTTTTTGTAGTGGGGGGAAGGAAGACTGTTAAAAAAAAAAGAAAATTAAAAGCACTGTGTGCCAGGATCTGTGTACAGCAACGAAAATGCAAAAGGTTGCTGGGAAGAAATGTCTAACCAATATCCTTGTGTGCAATATGGCAGTGGGAGGGGGAGAATTCTACAGAGGTATAAGCCGCAAAATAGACAGAAAAGGAAGTGCAGCGGGTCGAGGTAGGGATGGAGAGTCCCTGGGCGTGATGAAGCCCCTCTGCGCCTCTGGCGGTGTCTGCCTCTTCAGGGGAAGGAAGCGTGGTTCAGCTCAACATCAGAGCGGCTGCCAATCTAGCCCAATGCTTCCAGTGGCAGGAGCAGCTCAGTCTTGGCCCTGATCCACTTGAGGGAGAGGTAGCACGGGGGGCTCATCCACACCCCATTGTCCCGGCAGCTCTCCTGAGGACACGAAGGCAATGTCTCTGGGCCTCATCCGTGCCTCACTCATCCGCTGGTGCCCAAGGGGCGTGAGGTCTTGGAGCCAGTGCGAGGGTGGCACTCAGAGCAGCAGCTTGCCGTTACGGTGGATCTTCAGGATGCGTCCCAGCCGCTGCTTGGCTGTCGCTAAGCCCTTCTTGGGGCGTTTCCCTGAGAGGGGGGGAAATGGTTGAGTCAGGGATGAGGACAGCCAGAGGTCAACTTATCCAAACAAGATACACAGCTTCTGCCTACTCTCCTGGTATGCCCTACGGAGGACCTTAAGGTCCATAAATAGCAACACTAGAGGTCCCGGGCCCTAAGGAAGTCTGATTAGCCTCAACCAGAGACAGGGCCTTTTCAACTGTGGCTCTGGCCTGGTGGAACGCTCTGTCTCATGAGACCAGGGTCCTGCGGGATCTGATTTCTTTCCGCAGGGCCTGTAAGACAGAGTTGTTCCGCCTGGCCTTTGGCTTGGAATCAATTTGATCCCCTCCCCCTCTTTCCTTTTTCCTTTTTCCTTCTGTGATGGAACTCCTATTTGGGGACTTCCCTGGCTTTTTTCTGGCCCATGTAGGACCAGTCTGGAAAGTTAGCCTTGGTGAAGTCTTGACGTTTTCATCCCCAAAAAGTTTTTGATTTGAGTTTCCATTGAAATGAGGCTGTATTTTAATGTTTTAACGTTGTATTTTAATCTTGTTTTTAAGTTGTATTTCAACCAATTTGTTTTTATATCGGGTGTTAGCTGCCCTGAGCCCGGTTTTGGCTGGGGAGGGCGGGGTATAAATAAAATTTATTATTATTATTATTATTATTATTGAAGTCCCATGGTGTCATGGTCCAAGAACCAGCCCAAAACACCTTGATGCCAGAGAAGGAAAAATCTTTCCCACTTGCTCATTGACACAGAAAGGAGTCCAGTGGGATGGTGTTCAGGCAAGGACTGCTCTGGACTAAATGATTTTGGATTCCTAGAACACCCCCAGATCCTCCTGTAATCTGCGCCAACAGCACCAGCCTCCCAAAGTCCACACACTCCAGCTTACCTTGGGCTGCCTGAGGACCTGGGGAGCCAGCCGAGGGGCGCCGCTGGGACAAGAAGACGCCAGGTGCCATGGGCGTGGAGCTGCGGTTCACCTGGGCCATGCCAAAGACATTGGGCCGGGCGGTGTACTCGTGGTCCACCAGACTGCCAGCAAACTGCTCCTGCTTGGGTTCTGGGGTGGGAGGAGTGGGCGCCAGAGCCGCCGCTCCCGGGTCTGGATCCTGCTGTGGCAGAGGCAGGTCTGGTTCCACTTCGGCTTCCAATGGTTCTGGGTCTGGTTCCGGCTCCGGCTCCGGCTCCGGTTCCGGGCTGGGTGGCTTGGGAGAGGGCAGCTTCTTTTTGACGAGTTTCCGTCGCTGCAACTTCTGGTGTTCCTTAAGACAGACGGAGAGAAAGCAACGAAGGAATTCCTTATTTACAGCTCTAGTTGTGATCATGACCAGCCTTTCATTCTCATATATATGTGTGTGTGTGTGTGTGTGTGTGTGTGTATTAGATTTTAAAATACCAGTTTCAACAATAATTAAACATACTTTTACATCTTATTCACTTTTTTTGACTTCCATCAGTCCTGTCTGAAAATTTTCCAGTCTAATCTCTTAGTATGCATTTCTTATTTTCCCTATTACATTTCAAACTCATAAACAATATCTCATCTTTTTCTACTTTGTAACACTTCATATATTTCTCCTTACAAAACTTCTTGTAGTCCTACTAGCGTAATTTGTTGATTACAATTGCTCTTCAGATAATTCATATACTTCTTCCAATCTTCTGTAAATCTCTGGATAATGGCCAGCCTTTCACAGGGCGCAGGAGGTGCCACCGGATGATGCCATCCTGATGTTGCTGGACTACAATGCCCATCATCCCTGACCACTGGCTAAGCTGGCTGGGGCTGATGGGACATATGTTGGCTTCTCCCTGGGATGGGAGCTCCAGGGCAGAGAATTCATAGCCCATCCCTGGCTTTGGGTCACTAAAGTTATCTATTAGCAGTGGCTGGGGATAATTCCAAAAATGGATTATTTTAAAGGGTTACACAAAGGTTATTTCTTTGGCCACAAACCCCACGAAGAATACTGAAATCTCTGTGAAATCTAATCCAAACACAAAGTACTAGAATAGGTGTAGCTCATGCAGATTTATTAGTCGCAACGTTGCTTTAAGAACCACTGACGAAAAGGCAATTAATGAATAAGTTAGCACACTGATCCTCTAACAATGAAGGTCAGAAATATTCTACCAAACTCCAGCCCTACCCTGCCTGAAACATCCTGAGGCCTCTGAGTTTGTGAAGCAAAAGCCTCTCCGATGTCTTCAAAGACATCCCAGCATCTCTGTCCCTTCTTCCCACCTCCAAAGCAAGTCCTGTCACTTACCTGCTGAGCCAGTTTAGCTGCCGCAGCCGCCAAACCTGTCTCGACAGACGCCACTCTGGTCCCCTCACGCACAGGACGGTCTTGCTTGGGCAGTGTTGGGGTGACCCGGGCTGCAAGGAGGAAAAGAAATGTTGTTTGTGTTCCTGGTGGTATTCTGGACTTTGGGCTTAAAGGAAGAACAACACCCTCATCCTGTGCCAACTAAGAGAGATTTCAAAGGAGGAAAGAAAATCACTGTTCCTGCTCCAAGTGGGAGCATGGAGAGGGACCCACAGGAATGGAAAATGCTACACAAACAGCGATCAGCACAACTCGTGGTGCTGCCCCACAAGCAAGAACGCCCCCTAGGCCAGGCTACTGGTAGATCGTGGGGTGTTCCTGGAAGATCCTGGTAGATCTCTGGCCCCGCAGTCATCTCATCTCCTCCCTCCCTCCCAGAAAAGCTCAACAACTTTAGTCCATACAACAATGATGGGTAGATCACTGCGATTTTTTTTATACTGTGAGTAGGATCACAGTCTATTGGGAGTTGGACGTCCCTGCCCTAGGCCTTCTAGGAGATGCAGCTTTCAATCCAGGAGGAGCCACACCCAGGAATGGCAGGTATATGCACATATGAGCAAAGGAAAGAGAAGGGAACAGCATGCACTGTGAGTGGAGGGTGCCCTTCACTCCGGGTGCATTTCAGAGCCATGAAGTACAGCCCTCTCAACACTGCTTAAGAGGCTGTTTCTTTAAAAAACCCAAAACCTTTCTTTCTAAAAGAAAAAGCCCTTCTTCCCTTCCATACAGCAAAGGCTGTGTGTGTGTTTTTTTGTGTTTGTGTTGTTGTTGTTTTTTTGCCTTCACCAGAAAAGTCTCCCCAAACCAAATTGCTTCAGTTAAGTCAAGCAATCCTGAGAGGCCAGTCTCTTTTGCACTCCATGATGCTGCAGAATTGCAGAACGGGCTGCATTACTCAGCACAGATTTTTGTTGAAGTGCAGAAAACAGAAAATCTAGACCTCGAGGGTTCCCATCCTTTGCACAAAGGAAAGCTGGCTTCTGAAACCTGCAAAGCATACACAGCAAGCAAACGGCACGCCTGCAACAAACCTGCACAATTTATTGGGCTAGTGATGTTCATGGGGAAGGCCAAGGCCCAATGTGGGAGACAGAAGGCCCGTCCCCAAATGCGAAAAACTTATTCATGAAATCCTCTCATCTCCACAGGCATTTCAGCCACCCACTTTCAAACATATCTCTGGATCCACCAAGAAGCTTGTTTAGCAACAACATTATGAAGCAAATAAACTCAGGAGATTGCATTTGGTGCTCTTCCTGCCTCTGTGCAGCATCACATTCATGCACCCGTCCCAGTGACAGGAGATGGGTTCTTACCCTTGGGGCTCCAAGGCGCATCGTCTGTGCATTTCTTCTTCTTTGGTAGAGACTTCAAGGCTGGGTCATCTTCGTCCGATTCCAAGGAAGGATAAACTATGGAAAAAGGGAATCAGGCAGGACCGAGTTCCATACAGGCACTTCAGTTACAAAAAACTGGTAAGCAGCGTTTACCCCACATCTTCACACTCAGACCAAACAACATTTAAAAAACAAAATGCCGGAATTGCTGAGTGGCGTTAAACTGTGAGATTTAGCTACCAGCTAAATCTTCTACAGAAATTGTCTGAAATTCACAGAAACAGAGACCAGGAAGGACCCCTCCAATCCTGCTCTCCAGCTGCGCAAGGGTGGGCAAGGGCCAAACCAGAGAAAGGTGTCACAGTGGGGAATTTCGGTGCTGCTAGGCCAGTCTACTCTTGCTCTCTCTCACTCTCTCTGCCCCCCGCCCCATAGGGAGGAGGGGCACAGGGCATGCAGCCACTGAGCTCGGGCAGCTGAGCCCGGCCCCAATGACAGCTGCCAGCCTTGGGGTAGTAGCAGCACAAACAGGGAGACAGCAGCAGGTAGTGTTAACGCCCTTTGGCCCCTGCTCTGGGGGAAAGTGGTGCTTACCCAGACAAAGGCCAAATTACAGTGAACAGACCAAAGCCGCGTGACACTTCAGCAGTCACTTGGGAACCTTTTGCGCATTTTGGAGACCAAGTGCAATATAAGCCTCCTTTAGAGTATAAGGATCCAGCCTGATCCTTATTGGCTGCTTCCTTTAAAGCAGGGCTGGTGAAACCCGGTGGCCCTCCAGATGTTGATGGACTCCAACTCCCATCAGCCCCAGCCAGGAGGGCCAGTGCTCAGGGTGATGGGAGCTGTAGTCCTGCAATCCCTGGAGGGTCCCAGCCCTTGTCTGGACCTCATTCTCTCTCCCCCTTTCCCTGCCACTCTCCCCCGCCCTGTTATTGCAGAGCAAAGCCCCTCTTCTCAGACAGGGCATCCTTACTGTACTCAGCATCCTTGAAGCAGGCGCCCAGGCTCTCTTGCTCGTCCATGCTGGCCTCTTCCTCGCTGTCGGTGCTGTGATGGGCCGGGCGCTTGACGGGCCTCTTTCCTGAGCGCTGAGTGCCGGAGGCTCCCGCAGAGCCGCGTTCGTGCCCCGCTGTCAACCAGGCTTGCAAGCTGGAGGCCCCTGGCGAGGACGAGGACGACTGGAGGTTGGCCATGCACAGCATGCCCTGGATGGCTTCCTGAGTGCTGGGGGAGGCAGGTGCATCACTGCGGGGGACACAAAAGAGGCACACGGCATCAGCCACAACAGCCCACATCGTACTGCCGACCCAGCCCCCGACTTGGCAGCAAAGCTGAGCATCCACAAGCAGGAGCTCAAGCATAATCCATGTATATTTAGAAAAAATACCGTATTTTTTGCTCTATAAGACTCACTTTTCCCCTCCTAAAAAGTAAGGGGAAATGTGTGTGCGTCTTATGGAGCGAATGCAGGCTGCGCAGCTATCCCAGATGCTAGAACAGCAAGAAGGATTGCTGCTTTCACTGCACAGTGATCCCTCTTGCTGTTCTGGCTTCTGATATTCAGAATATATTTTTTCTTGTTTTCCTCCTTTAAAAACTAGGTGCGTCTTGTGGTCTGGTGCGTCTTATAGAGCGAAAAATACGGTAAGTAAAGCTATGCCCCAAGAAAAGCTGTAGAAATCCAGCAAACAGGCATCATTTCTCTTATTTTGAGAAATGTATTGCGCACTTTGTATGTATTTGCCAAATTTATTCTGGGTTTTTCTAGCTTTGGGGAGGAGGAGCAGCTATGAACTTCTGCAGGGCCCCTGGACAGCTGGAAATCATATTCAGCTCCCCCCACCCCCGACTTGTGAGATGACAGGCAGGAGGCATCACCCACACTCCCTCAAGCACCCCTTTGCCTCCATGAAGGGAGAGGACTGAAATTTCTTTTTAAAAAAGAAAACCATATTAAATTATTTTAAAGATGATTTAATTTTATTTTAAATAGCACTGTTTCAAAAAAAATTCAACCTTTTAGTGTGGCAGCACCTACACTTTGGAACTCCCTGCCTATGGACACCAGGCAGGTGCCTTCTCTGTATCCTTTTCAGCACCTGCTAAAAACATTTCTGTTTAGGAAAGCCCATCCAGATGTGTAAGTCTTGACATGTTTTAAGCTCTTTTACAGTTAATCTTAAATATTTTTGAATGCTCTTAATGGTTTTAAACTTTTTTATGGATAATCTTAATATTTCTTGTAAACTGACTATACTAAAGCAGTCTATGTATTTTGTTAAATAATTAAAAAATGTTGATGTTTGCCGCCCTGAGATCCTTTGGAAGGAGGGACGGGATAAACATGTATTACATAAATAAAATGAAATGAAATAAAAAGAGGAAATTTTCTTCTGGACCACTGACCAATGCTACACTCTGAGCTTCTTTGGACCCGCAGAATACATACACAGCTCTTAACTGGAGAAAGAGGGAGGGAGGACCAATCATAGATGAAAGGGGACCCCAATGCTAGAAGTGTCTGTTTGCATTTCTTACTACAGAAAGTACAGTGGTACCTCAGGTTAAGTACGTAATTCGTTCTGGAGGCCCGTTCTTAACCTGAAACTGTTCTTAACCTGAAACAACACTTTAGCTAATGGAGCTTCCTGCTGCTGCCACGCCACTGGAGCACGATTTCTGTTCTCATCCTGAAGCAAAGTTCTTAACCTGAAGCACTATTTCTGGGTTAGCGGAGTCTGTAACCTGAAGTGTATGTAACCTGAGGTACCTCTGTATTGATCTGATATGTAGAGATCTTTGCTATTCTAATTAATTCAAGAGGGTTCTGGAAGCTTCTCTATGTGAAAGAAACAAGCAGTAGGTTCATGATGTTTGTGTTATTCCTTCAGAGAAGCTGAGTACAGCTGGCTAAAACTGGTTCTATTATCTCTTTCTGACAAGGTCATGCTGACTGTAATAATAAGGCCAGAAGGAGCCTGGCTCTCTCTCTCTTTCTCTTTTCCTTTCTGGCGTGGTGTTCTGTACATAGTAGGCTTAGTGTTAAGGTTCAGACTTATTATAAGTTACTGTAAATTTAAGTTAAGTCTGCTGCAACTGGATTCCTTATGGACAGTGCCAACCCTGAATGTATTGGATTTGTGACCAAGATGCTCATTTGCCTTCAGTAGCAGCAAAGCTCTGCTGAATGAAACGCAATTGCCTCTGGTCTATTTTTGAGGGAATTTTATTCTGCTAACTATCAATACTGAGTAGAAATCCATGACAAGAGAAAGTGGGAGAAGGACATAAAAGGGGCTGCTGGGTGCAGGCCAAGGAGCCATCTACTCTGGCTTCCTGTTCCCACAGTGGCCAACCAGATGCCCGTGGGAAACCAGCGAGCAGAACATGAGCATAAGAGCCCCTCCCCCGGCCCCTTTGGTTTCCAGCAACTGGTATTCAGAAGCATTGCTGCAGAGATAAGATGGCTACTAGTCATTCTGGCTAGTAGCCATCGATGGCCCTCTTCTGTTTCTCCTCCACCTCCTCCTCCTCCATGAATTTGTTTAATCCTCTTTTAAAGCCATCCAAGTTGGAGGCCACAATTGTCTCCTGGAGGTGCGAGTTCCATACTTTGACCTTGTGCTGCATGAAGAAGCCAGTTTAGTGCTCGCCAATAGATGGATAGCATGGCCATTCTGGCATTGTGATCAGACACAGGGAAACCAATACAGTGGTACCTTGGGTTAAGAACTTAATTCGTTCAGGATGGAAGAATGAGGAAACCCCAACAAAAGAACAGTGGCAAGAGAAATTGAAGAACTATGCAGAATTGGCTAAACTGACATACAAACTGCGAGATAAGGACAACTGTGACTTCAAAGAAGAATGGGAACTTTTTACAAAGTATTTAAAATGACAACAAAATGAATTGGACTCCTTGAATAAACATACACAAATTTAGTGATTGATAACATGGTAGATAGATAATATAAGAATTGAAATAATTATATAATATGCAGAGAATAACATGTGCTGAGAAATCAGAGAACTTACAGTGGTACCTCGAGTTACATACGCTTCAGGTTACATACGCTGCTAACCCAGAAATAGTACCTTGGGTTAAGAACTTTGCTTCAGGATGAGAACAGAAATTGTGCTCTGGCAGTGCGGCAGCAGTGGGAGGCCCCATTAGCTAAAGTGGTGCTTCAGGTTAAGAACAGTTTCAGGTTAAGAACAGACATCCGGGACGAATTAAATATTTAACCCGAGGTACCACTGTAATTCGTTCTGGAGGTCCGTTCTTAACCTGAAACTGTTCTTAACCTGAAGCACCACTTTAGCTAATGGGGCCTCCTGCTGCCACTGCGCTGCCGGAGCATGATTTCTGTTCTCATCCTGAAGCAAAGTTCTTAACCCAAGGTACTATTTCTGGGTTAGCAGAGTCTGTAACCTGAAGCGCCTGTAACCCAAGGTACCACTGTACTGAGCAGGAAGGACCTAGGTGTGAAAGTGATGGGTGGACAGGTTCCCTATCCTATACGCCTGGCCCCACACATGGCAGTTACAACATGAAACTGGAGGTTTGGGAGTGGTGCCCCTCTAGCTTTTCCTCCTCTGCCTCTTCCTCTCCTTGGTGACTGACTTCCTGCCTCCCACATTTGAGAGCAGGTCTTTCTCAGCCTGGCACCCTCCAGGTGCTTCCAACTAGAACTCCCATCAGCCTTTGCCAGCACAGCCATTTTGGCAAAGCAGAGGGGACAGGACACCCCAAGGGGGCTGCTTGGGTGACGCATGTACGCAAGACAACATCTCAGTTTTGAAGAGGGTAGACTGCGGAGAAGAAATGCACTCTCAAATGTGGGGCTCCTTTTTCAGCCCATGGGTGACAGTTCCTTCTAGGCAACCAGCCAGGGTCCTCGTGCCAGTATGTGGACGGTATGGCTGGGGAGGGAGGTGTGGCCAGGCAGAGAGCGGCCTGGAGGCTCCCCACCTAAAAGGAAGGGAGAAAGCACCTCTTTCTTTTGCTCTTATAAGAAGAGAGCCCCCTCCAGCACTTCTGGACAAACCATCTCTTGCAGAGAAGGGAAGAGCGCCCTGAGACCTCCCATGGGCAGGTCTGTCTAGAGGCCCCAAGAGCAGCAGCAGTACCTGAGGCCCATCAGCGGCTGCTTCTCACCTGAGCTCGTCATAGTCTGCACCGCCCACCTGCCGGCTGGCCTTGAGCAGGTCCAGGATCCCGGCGGCGCTGCTGCTGCCCTCCAGCTGGTCATCGCCAGAGGCGTCCTCCTCTTCTTCTGTGGTGTAGTCCTCCTGAGAATGGAACAAGTTTCAGAGAGCCTCGGTTGGCAATTCGCCTATTAAGTTTATATCCTGCTTCTCTGTGCACTGTGTCCGATAGCAGCAGAGGCAGAGCCCTCTTTCCCACCCTCCTTAAGAGGAACCTGAGCAGCCAGGCTGCAAGAGTGGAGGAAATAGTCACACAAGCACACAGGAACTGGTCTGCATCCCACAAAACCTAGTAAAGGGAGCAGTGGCTTGTTCCCCTGGAGGTTGAAGCCCAGTGTTGAGGGACAGAGAAGGAGCCTCAGGAGAACTCATGGTTCTTTTGCTGCTCGTCGCTATTGGAGGAGGAAAATGATTCAGAAAGAGAGGGCGACTGATGCCTGTCCCAGAGCACCAGTCTTCAGAAAAGGGAAGTGGCCACGTTTCAGACTGAGCTTCTCTCCACTTAGGAGGTACAAAAAGAAAGGTTATTAAAAACACACACTTCCCCACTGATCTAGTCATTCTTTTTACTTTAGGCAGCTTGGAACAATAATAAAGGCACATTTCAAAAAACAATAAAAGCACATTTTTAAAGTTTGATGTCTTCCTGTGTTTTAATTTGTTGGAAGCTGCTCAGAGTGGCTGGGCTAACCCAGTCAGATGGGTGGCATAAACAAACAAACAAAACTAATAATAATAATAAAATGAAAACAAGAGCAAATGTGTGAATCTTGCAGTGGCCTGCCCCCTTCAACTCCAGAAAAACCCCTGAAATGGCCATCCTTACCTGAACTGCTAATGATTAAGAGGCATAAGAATGCCTTAAAATAAACAAACAAACTTATTGCCTACTTCCCTGAAGTAAGGCCATGACCCTCCAGATGTCAGACTCAAATTTCCAGGGAGATCGTAACTTAAATGAAGCCTCATTTCTGCTATCAAGCTCCCGGCAGCACAACATTCCTGAAGTCACGAGCCCAACTTACCTCAATGTCGAACTCTACTTCCCCTGGCTCTCGCACTCTGTTTGGGTCGGAGCAGGGCTTGGCTCGTGGCAACTTCCGGGGAAATTCTTGAAGCAAAAGACAGCAAATGTTCAATTAACAGTTGGACACAAAGGAGTAGGAATTGGGGGCTGTGACAGAAGCATGCCAGCATCTGCAAGGGAAGGGGCTACTATTGCATAGACCCATCAGGTGATTGCAGTGCAACATATGTGATCTGGGAGGGGGCAAGGACCAAGCAGGTACAGGATCGGGCTGCCAGTTTGTCATTTAGCCAGGCAGAGACTTTGGAAATTCCACGATATTGCTGCTAATAATGCCTGAAGCAGGAGTTGAGCAGGAAGGGGGGTGAGGTGTAGCCCCTTTGGAAGATGAATATGACAAAGAGGAGGGCAGAGCTTGTTCAACAAGCCACTGAAGATGAGTGACAGGAAAAGTTCCTTGAAAGCAGGAAGCGGAGAAAGGCAAACTCTATAGAGTTGTGCACAGAATGTGAAATGCTCCCAATTCTTTAAACTTTAATGTTAATTTTGTTCCTTACAAGCTCCTAGACCTTATACCTGCCAAAAAATGCTTGTAACTGTGTACAAAAGTGCCTGTTAAATCTCAGAAGTTATCCCCATATGCTTTTTGATGAGCGGTCAAGATGGACCTCTTGTTTTCCCTCCTCCTGCAATGCTCACTTGTGCTGCTGCTTTGCTAAGCTGATCATTGTTGCTTTGGCAGATTTTTTATTTTAACTGTGATGTTTTTCTAACCCACCTGGGGCCATTTGGTGGAGGGTGGGTTATAGCGCCAATAGAATTAAATGCGTGTTTTCCCAACCCGAGAGAGACGTGACAGGCAGAGAGACAGAAACGGGGGGGGGGGAGAGATGAGACATACTGGGCAGCCTCTTGTGCAACACCAGGCTCCTCCTCTCCCTGCGCGGTGTCTCATCGATCTGCAGGTCCTCCTCAGAGTCCATATCGGGAGCTTCAGCATCAGATGGGCTGCGGGGAACTTGTGCCAGTGCCCCTTTATGGCTCCGGCTGCGTTCAGAGGCCTTGATTTTCCTGCTAGGAGAAAACATTACGACTGGTCAGGGACGTGCCTCTCGTGGCCCTGATCCAACAGCTGCTGTACACAGCTTGGTACTGTTTTGGGTGCCCCATACCATTTTCGCTGTACAAATATCTGTACATGATGAAAATCTGCCTTTACACTTGATTGTTGGCTCGGCCCTAATGGAGGAGCCATGTAGGAGGGGAAAGAACACTGGGTTGTATCCAATGTTAGCTGTGTCCATCATTATCAATGGTCTAAAGGTAAAGGGACCCCTGACCATTAGGTCCAGTCGTGGACGACTCTGGGGTTGTGGCGCTCCTCTCGCTTTACTGGCCAATGGAGCCGACGTTTGTCTGCAGACAGTTTTTCCGGGTCATGTGGCCAGCATGACTAAGCCGCTTCTGGCGAACCAGAGCAGCGCACGGAAACGCCGTTTACCTTCAGGCCAGAGTGGTACCTATTTATCTACTTGCACTTTGACGTGCTTTCAAACTGCTTGGTTGGCAGGAGCAGGGACCGAGCAATGGGAGCTCATCCCGTCGCGGGGATTCAAACCACCAACCTTCTGACTGGCAAGTCCTAGGCTCTGTGGTTAACCCACAGTGCCACCCGCATCCCTTATCAATTGTCTACCCTGAGTCAAATCTAGTTGGACACAACCCCAGTCTTATTTCCCACCCCAGCGGCACCACTCCTTGGGGAATGGAAATTCTTGGGAAAGAATCGCATCGTTGCTGCCACCAAAAGCTGGAAGACCTAAGTTCAAATTCCCACAGAGCCACTGAGCTCTCCGGGCAACCTTGAGCCACTCACAGCCTCCACCTCACAGGGTAAAAATGGTGAAGGGGAAAAAGCAGGTCCACTACTCTGGGCAACTTGGAGGAAGTAATGGGCTAGATTCGTCCCTATGGTTGGTACTGTAGTGAGGTGGGACCTGCTCTGGCACTGGTCAGCTATTTAAGGGGGGGCACATATTATTTTGAAGTGGGCAAGAGCAAAAAAGGGAAGGCAGCATTGTCTCTGCCCATTGGCTCACTTCCATGTTAGCCAAGGCAAAGGTAAAGATAGCTGTTACTCTCTCTCCTACAGTGGGAACAGCAACTACAGCAAGGATGGCTAAATTGTGGCCCTCAAGATGTTGCTGGCCTCCATCTCCCAACAGCGTCAGCCAGAACAGCAGCGGCAGGGATTGTGGAAGCTGCAGTTCCACAACTTAGGGAGACCACCAGGTTCAACCCCCCACCCCCCGCCTAATTCTAAAAACTTGGGTGGAGCTGCTTCCCTGCAGTGTTTTCCATCTCCTCATACCCTGTGTCTTGGCAGTAAGGGCTTGAGGTGTATTAAGTGGATGTATTAAGTCCCACAGCTGCTGCCATAACTCCTTTTGATGCCTTTGCTTGTGCCTCAGCCTGGGAAGCAGTGGATGTAGGCCACAGATCAACAAACTTTTTCAGCAGGGGGCCGGTCCACTGTCCCTCAGACCTTGTGGAGGGCTGGACTATATTTTTTTTTGGGGGGGGGATTAATGAATTCCTATGCCCCACAAATAACACAGAGATACATTTTAAATCAAAGGACACATTCTACTCATGTAAAAACACGCTGATTCCCGGACCGTCTGCGGGCCGGACTGAGAAGGCGATTGGACCAGATCCGGCCCCCGGGCCTTAGTTTGCCTACCCATGGTGTAGGCACAGTTCTTGAGATCCAGGGCTATGGATTTGGCCCTCTCAAGCTTCTAATTGACAATCTCTGAGGTAACCCCTAGGCAGCGGTGAAGGTGGCAGGCCAGTATTGCTGGAACTTCACCAGCTCAGCTCTCCATTCTGTCTCGCTTTCCCATCCCACCCGGCCCCTCTTGCACATCATAACGCAGACACAGAAAAGCGAACCTGGCGCCCCGGCCGTTGGCGACCATCATGGGCAGCTCCTCCTCCGTCAGGTCGGGTTCCCCATCTGTGTCTTCCAGGCTGGAACTTGGCAGGTCAAACTGGAAAGGAAAAGGTGGGTGGACTACAGGAGGCCAGAAGGGGGTGACGCTATACGCTAATCAGAAAGCGAGCTCAAAGCTTCAGGAGACAGGTACCCCAAGTCTTTCTCCCCCCCTCCCCCAATCAATCTGTACTCAAAACTTCTGGAGAACCCCAGTGCGCAGCCCCCTCAGAGTACGCGTAGCATAGTCACAATGGCAGCTCACCTCCTCCTGGCCAGGACTCTCTGCTTTCAGGGCCTGCTGCTTGTATTTGTCCAGTAGCTCCTGCTCCAAGGCTTTGACCGAGGCAACGTACTTCCGGCTGGCCTTCTGCTGGCTCAGCTCCTTGGGGCTCTGGTCTCCCCTTTTGGCGGCTGCACCAGGCTGGGTACCCCTCTGCAATCCAAATGGGCTGCCTGTCTTCCCAATGTTCTGCTGGAATATATCCTGGAAGAGCGTGAGCATCAGAACCCAAAGGAGACATCGCTCCCGCTCCCCCCCAGCCCTTAACGTAGACCTGATGCTATGAAATGCTGCTGGGCTGGGCCTGCCTTCTGTTGCGCTTCACAAACCAAGAGGGAGGCATTTGCCAGTCGGAAAAACCTGTCTGGTATCCCCCCAGGACAGAAAGACCAAGCTTGCAAGTCCTCTGTGCATGTGTTTGGGCTGCCAGAATATATGTTTTTTCTCTACGGTGTGGTATAAACAGCCAGGCTACAGTCTCCGCCATGGCTGCTCTGAGCACACCGCGAACATGATCCAGCAAGTGGAATTCCAGTGGAATTACTGGCCAAAGAGCCAGTGGGATGAGCCCCTCTTCCCTCACATGGGTGAAGTGAAAGTTGAACCGGGTCCTTTCTGAGCTCTCACTCTTGGCCACTAAGTTACACTCAGTCAGACGCAGTGTGGGGTCTGCTTGCAAGGGAACACTCCGGCCTCTAAGGGGTATATCAACTCATGAGCAGAGATGCCAACCTATTGATTCAAAAGGCTAACTGGAACTAGCAGATCTGCTTGCAACAGGCACACCGGCAACCACCCAGGGCTTCTGCTTCAAGCAGCGCAGCATGGAAGCACAATGGCCTGCAATCACATCTCCTATTTGGAAAGAAGAGCATCTTATAAGCACCAAAGCTGCAGGGAACGAGATGCGAGACCCATCCAGACATTCATCACAAGGAATACTGCAGGGGACTTAGTTCCTCTTTAACAAGGCACCAACATACCTGCAACAAGCCCCAAAGTGCAGCCCTAGTCAATGAACCTGCCAGGTGCTGGCTCTAAGCTACACCAGGCTGTTTATAGTATATCCTGCAGGCAGCTGTAATAAACTGTGGCAAACCCTCATCTACTGGTCTGCCCAAATAATGTAAGAATAGCCTGCTGGATTAGGCCAAGGGCCCATCTAGTCCAGCATCCTGTTCTCACAGGAAACCAGCAAGCAGAACCTGAGCACAAAGAGCCCTCTCTCCTCCTGTGATTTCCAGCAACTGGTCTTTGGAAGCACGGCTGCCTCCAGCTGCAAAGGCACAGCACCGCCACCCTGGCTCTTTGCCAGATAGCCCTGCATGAATTTGTCTAATCATTTTTTAAGTTGGTGGCCATCCTTTTTTTAATACGATAATCTTTATTGTCATTGTCCCATACAGAACAAAGAAATTGAAAAAATCTACATCAGACATTCAAAAACCAACAAACCTGCTATCCCAGCCTGGTTAGCCCCCTAAAAACTCTGATACCCCATAATTAAATACAATATACTCCCATAGAGACTGCCTTACACTGTGTTTAAAACCAAAATCACATTTGAATAGAAACTGTTTCTCAGGCGGCTAGTCCTAGTCTTTATAACCCTGTACCTTCTTCCAGAAGGCAGAAGCTGAAAGAGATCATTTCCGGGGTGAGCACTATCCTGCACCCAATTATTCTCTTCACAGTCTTTTCCTATAGCAATTGCATCTGAGATGAAAAGGGCACTCAAGGCTGGGCAGAAATGGTGCTACTCTCAACGCTGCTCCCCATCTCAGAATGCAGGCCCCTCCATGCCAGGAGGAAAGGGCCCGGCTTCCTTCTCATACTCACTTCCACAAGCCTGATCTCCTTGGCCAGGTCTTTGATGAGCTGGGCTGGGCGCACCGTGCCAGGGATTTCTTCCTCGTGCTCTGCCAGGGCCTGAGGAGGAGGAGATCAGGTTGCTGCAAGCTCTGCCCCTCTGTGCCCAACGGAAGTGCCACTGGCAAAGGGGCTGGCAGCAAGCACCTTTCCAGAAGGAGTGGGACTTCAGCTCCCAGCAGCCCCAGCCAGCATGGCCCAGGGGTCAGGGATGAAGGGAGTTGGGAGTCCAACAACATCTGGAATGCCACAGGATCCCACCCACAACTTTCCTCCCCCTTCAAATTCTTGGGATTTGGGCCTAGACCTTGCAGAGGTGGTCAATCTGTGTCCAAGCTGCACCGCTTCTGACTGCAAGCGGAGGCTCAGGACTGAATGCTTCTCCATACAAAATAAAAATGGCGTCCACAGAAAGGAAATACGCCAGGGAGAAAGTTTATAGACTCGCTTTCTCCCTGATGCGCAGGCTGGTGGAGTCTAGGAGGTGTTTTTGTCTATTCTTGACTGCCGGCAGGAGGGCAGGCAAGCTTTGCCCTGAGTCCATCAGAACCCCGGGCAGCAACCCCACACAAAGAGCTGCAGCTCAAGGAAGGCCCTTCTTCCAACCCTTTACCTCCTTCTTAGTCCAGGAGCGGAAGGCTGTGTTCAGAGCTTTGGCCCCGTGAACCAAATAAGCAGCCGGGTGTCTGCGATTCTCTCGAAGGCCTGTTGTGAGAGACAGAGCGCATTAGCAGCAGGAGCTCTCATGCCCAGCAGCTTTGTGTGGGCACGGAGGGGGCACTGCGTGGAGGGGAGGACTCAATACTCACCTCGGAAGATATCCAGCAGGTGTTTGCCAACGTACCAGCAGATGGTTTCAAAGTTAGGAAACTTGAAGAGGTCAGCTGTGCTGAGACGCTTTTCAATCTCATAGGCTCTGGGCAGGAGGAAACAAAAAGACCAGTGAGGTTATGTATGCTCTAGGCTCCAAAACCATGGAATTCTGTGCCAGAGGAACTTAAATTTGGTGATCAGAAACACACCCCAAAACAAATTCTGTAAATTAAATCTATTTGCACAATTTCAAATCCTTTGTTCTGCTCTGCTGCCAACTGCGTGAAGGCGCAAGGAGTTTCGAAGGCCATTCAAGACCCAGCCGGGCAACCTCCAGAAGCCTTCCTCAGCAATTCCACCCACCGGCATTTTCAGTGTAACCATAAGGACTAGAAACTGGCACTTTTAAAAACTGAAATTCACCCAGTATCCCATTCTGCGGTCTCACAGAAATCATGACATGCACACAGCTCTGGATCCAGCCAACACTGAGCAGGGGGAGCAGAGCATCATGCTGAGCAGGACTTTCTGTTCTGTGATTATGTTTCTCTCCTGGCTCTGATCCCATTTAGGAACATAAAGGAAGCTTTTACACCAAGTTAGATCATTGGTCTGTCTGTACAGACTGGCAGAGATTCTCCAGGGTTTCAGATCAGAGTCATTCCCACCCTTATGTGGAGACTGGATCAGGGACCATCTGCATGCCAAAGGGTGTGCTCCACCGGTGATCGAGTCTCCTCCCCGCCATTTCCCAAGATGCCTCGCTGCAGACCAGCAAAGCACTCCCAGCCAAACTCACTTGAGCTGCATCTCAATGTTGAGACTGTGTAGGAAGTTTCCCCCAAAGGCCAGGCAGTCAACAGGAGTCAACACGGCATGGATCCAACCTGAAAGTGGAAGGAGGAAGCAGTCACATGGACTAAGTAAGGACTGGGCCTCCCAGAAGGACTCATGGCTTATGAGAGGAAAGGGAAAGGGTCCCCCAGCCGCTAGATGCAGCTGGATTTCACCACATTCTGAGCTGCAGCTTACTCTGTGGCAATGCAAGTCACTCACAATGGAAGGAGAGGTGTCCCTGAGTGGGAGAAAAACAAAGGCCCCAGGAGTAGCAGTGGCCACAGAAGTGGCAGGCAGGAGCTGGAGCGACTCAGTACCTGTGGGTATGAAGAGCGTCTGGCCCTGCCGGACGGGGCAGCGATAACATCGGTCCACCTGGTCCCCAAAAAACAACTCGTTCTGATTGGAAGAGCTGCTCCAGGCTTCAAAGAGGGTCAAGTTGGCAGCAGTGGGACGTACCAGATAGAAGATCTTTTCTCCCTGCGAGGAACAGATGGTAATGAAAAGGAGCTGATATGCCACTTCTAATGTTTAGGGGCAAAAGAGCTGGCAAACAGGGCGAAAGCAGATGCTATGAAGTGCAGAGAGGGCTGGGGTAACAGAAGGAAGCATCCTGTTTCACAAGGGGGCATTTAATGTGGATCAAGCAAACAACACGGCTGCTATCAAGTCTGCAGAGTCCAGCTCCTGGCCTCAACCTCAAGGCAGGCTGATTTGGAGTGTCAGAGAATTACACAGAGGACAATCAGAATGCTTGTTGTGGTTTTCCCCTGTGCTTGTATGGAATTGTGACACACACACGTCCCCAGCCAGGTCTACTTTCCTGCCATTCAAACAATGTTTATTGGCCTGTGGATGTCAAAAAACCCTCCAATTTCTGACATCCTTTAAAGCTCCTGAAATTTACCTAGTCCATTCTTAATCCTCTTTCTTCTCTGAACTCAACATACTCTGTTTCTTCAGCCTCCGTCTACGGGGGCTTCAACCACCTAACAAGAGGCGGTTCTTGCCAGAAAAGAAAATGAAGAAGAGTACCAGCTCCAGAAATGGAGCAGCAGCAGTAAAAACAGCCAGCAGCTTCTGGAGTAAGGATGGAACAGGAGATGTGAAAATCAAACTGGAAGCAAGAAATACCTCCCTGCTGCTCAGTTTTGCTCTTGATGCCCTTCAGCAGCTTCCAAACAAGCCCATATTGCTAAGCAAACTGCTTAGCTTCATTCCTCATAGAACAGAAAGCATAAGCACAAGGACAGCAGACTCATCCGACTGTATACCAGTTGCCACCTCAGACTCCAGGCCTGGTGCTCCAGGCTAATTTTTATCCTCCTACTCAGGCAAATGGCTCTTGAACCCTTCACCCCAATAAGCCACCTTAGCATGTGCAAGATGGATTTCTTTCAAAAAGAAAATATTTGGGGAGAGGGTGGGAAACAGACAATGAAACATTCAACCATCACCCGGAATCTGAAGTGGAAGTACATCCGGGAGGTCTGCTGGTTCTGCGGCTCAGCTCTAAGATCAAGCTCCCTTCCTGCCCACCCCCATGCCTTCATATTCTTACCCGCAGCACATGGTACCAGACAGAGGTGCCACCAAAGTCAATGTGGAAGTCCGTGTAGCTGTCTCGCACCCCCATCAGGCAGTACTTCTGCACGTTGGGACGCTCAAACACCGACTCGCCAGGCCACAGGTTCTCTACCCAGGACAATTTGCGCACAATCTTTGGAGTCTCCACCAAATTAGAGAGCCTGAAAAATTGTGAAGGAAGAATAAATTGACTCATCCATCTTTCAGAGATTTCTCCTGACAGGATTTTAGAATAGTAATCCAGTAGAGAGATGAGTGGATTTAGAACAGGAACATTGCATTTCAAATCCTTACTCATTTGAGGAGTCACTTGGGCAAGTAACTCTCTTTCTCTGCCTTATTTCTCCATCTGCAAAGACTTCTGTTGCACCCGCACAATAGCAAAGACACTTAGCAAGGAGAGGGATACTACTGCTTAGTAGGGAGGGAGATACTACAGCTTCATGGCAAAAGTGGGGGTTCTCCAGCGCCAGGGTTTCTCTCTGCTGGGTGGGGTGAATACTGGGGAAAATGAAGGACAAGGACACACAGCTGTTTTCATATCCCCCTTTTCCTTGCCTGGTCTCAGAGAATTCGAGGCTGATGACGTTCAGTACTTTCTCCCGGCGACTGCTGGAGTAATATCTGACAAAGTCACCCAGGCGCATCTTGAGGTCGGCCTGGCGAGTCACGTCAATCACATCAATCTCCTTGTCAGCTCCTGTTGAAAAAGAGAACAGACACGCCGGGCAGCTCAGATAATGGGACAAGTGTCCGAGAGGGCTGCAGTCGTGGGAGATGGCAGCGCAGTCCTGTTCTCACCCCTTGCGAGCCTCATGGCTAGTTGGAATCTCTTTGCAGGGTTTCCCCACCAACGTGGCGCAATGAACTGTCAGAAGTTCAGCACTGCCAACATCTCCGCTCCTCTCCTCCAGCACCTTGGCCAGCAACTGCTATCAAAGGGCCAGAAACCCACTGCTCCCCATTACCTGCTGCTTCCACACACGTATCTTTTGCCTCTGGGGTGGCATTTGTGGAGCAGGAGGACAAGTGAGTGAGCATAGCCATGCACCCTCAAAGAGGCTGGGAAACCAATAATGGCTCTAGGGGGATAAGCAACCCACGTGGCGAAAGATAAGACTTCTTCTCCCTATTTATTCTCATCAGTCACAATCATGGAAGAAAGGACAAATAAGATTATTCCCACAGACTACCGTATTTTTCGCCCTATAAAATGCACCTGACCATAAGACACACCTAGTTTTAGAGGAGGTGGCGCTGCATAGATTCAGCTTTCCCCCTCTGCACAGCGCCTCTCCAGCGAAGCGAAGTCAAAACAGCAAAAGGGATCGCTGCTTTCGCTGCGCAACGATCCCTCTTGCTGTTCTGGCTTCAGTGATAGCTGTGCAGCCTGCATTTGCTCCATAAGACACACACACATTTCCCCTTACTTTTTAGGAGGGAATAGGTGTGTCTTATAGAGCGAAAAATACAGTATTTTTCTCTGCATGCAATCATGTGCAAAATGCAATTGCAAGAAGAAGAAGAAGAGTTTGGATTTGATATCCCGCCTTTCACTCCCTTTAAGGAGTCTCAAAGCGGCTAACATTCTCCTTTCCCTTCCTCCCCCACAACAAACACTCTGTGAGGTGAGTGGGGCTGAGAGACTTCAAAGAAGTGTGACTGGCCCAAGGTCACCCAGCAGCTGCATGTGGAGGAGCGGAGACGCGAACCCGGTTCCCCAGATTATGAGACTACTGCTCTTAACCACTACACCACACTGGCTCTGCAAGTAACGACACCGCCTCTGCGATGAAAGGACAACATTACACCAAGCTGTGTGACTTGCTGGCTCCCTTTCCTGACTGCAATGAATGAAGCACCCAACACATAGGTCTCCTTTGGCCACTCTGCTGGCAACGCTCCCCCGCTACTCACCCACATAATGCTCCACATCCCGCACGGTGAAGGAAGGTGGAGGAAGGGTCATGCCCAGCCCATCCTTCTTCAGGACAAGGATGGGGACGCTGAAGCTGTTCTCCTCCAGAAACTCCACGGTCAGCTGGGTCCCGCTTGGCTTTAGGATAACCTCGTCCGCACTGGGGAAGCAGCGGGGGGGGGGGGGAGTCAGGCCAAGAACAACAAGCCAATCCCAAGTTTCTACCTCTTAGGTAACATTTTGCTGGAAGCCGCCCAGTGGCAGGAGAAACCCAGCCAGATGGGTGAAATATAAATAATAAAGTTATATTATTAATATTATTATTGGTGCATCTGTCACAGAACACAGAGTCCACCACAGACTCATCTGATTGCCCTAGCCTTCTATGTTATATGACTTGGTTTGCTATTTGTTGTGGTGGGAGGAGCCCCCCCCCCCGCAGCTGCAGCCTAGAAGACTCTCTTTGGAGACGCTCTGTGCAGCAGGGGGGTGGGGCAGGACCAAGGGTGTGAGCAGCTGCAGGGAGATTCCCCAAAGAGTCAGAAGGAAAGTCAGAAAACAATAAATAGCAGACCAGTTCATAAAACAAAGAAACAGCCTGCTATCAAGACTGTATCAGACCGTTAACAAGCTGCTCGCTGGACCTGCTGTGCCACGACTTTCTAAAATAATAGTTCAACAGACTACTGGACTTCAACCCATTGGAATGCATCTCTTCTTCACGATTAATGGATCCAAAATACCATCAGAAAAATGAACCCCAACCTTGAGGCAACAAATCATTCATACATTCTTCTTCCTTTCATTTTTACTAAATCACCTTGGGGGAAAATCATCTCAGGGCTCAACTGCCCATTGAGTAAGAAATCAGGATCACATGGAATGGTGGAAAAGCATGAAGCGCAATATCTTTGATTGAAGAGTAGGTGGTGGAGACCATCTTACAGGCAGCACTCAAGAGGCACAGAGGCCACTCTGGGCTCACCAAGTTCAGCCAATCTATGGAGTGTCTCTGTAGTCCTGCACGTGAACTGCGTGAGGTGGACAATTGACCACTTGCTGTATTTTAGGTACACCACCACCACCAAGCCTCTTTAGCAGCTGAGTCACTAAGAGCGGACTTTGAACCTGGTCACCTTTACTCAGGATAACATAGGTCAGGCATAGGCAAACTCCAGCCCTCCAGATGTTCAGGACTACAATTCCCATCATCCCTAGCTAACAGGACCAGTGGTCAGGGATGATGGGAATTGTAGTCCCAAACATCTGGAGGGCCGGAGTTTGCCTATACCTGACATAGGTGCTGACTTACCCTTTAATCACAGTTACAGTGGAAATGAGAACATTTGCTCTAAGCAGAGGCAGAGGGAAATGAACGTGAGATCCCACAGTGATGAAATCCTCATTTTAACTGTGGCTAAAGGAGTCCTGATGTTAAAAGAGCCCTGATGTTACAGCTGTACCATTCATTCCATCCTGCACAAAGTTGCTGGGAAACAAAGCCCCAGACAGACAGCTTCTGCCCGAGCAGGCAGGTGTGGAATAAAAAGGGCTTGTCCACAGTGCATTCTTGGCCTTCTGGAACAAAAGCTTCCCTCAACCTGAACACCAGCTACCCTGTAACATGGATTTTGGAAAGTCTTCCTTCTTTCCTCTTGGGTCACCCAAAGATCACCAAGCATGTGCCCACCTAGGGAACGTCCTGCTGCGAAGTTCCTTGATGAACAGACTGCTTCCGGTCTTCACCGCCTTGCCAACCTCTTTGACCGCACATGAGTCAGGCTGTTTTTGGGTCCCCCGGCGCCGCTTCACTGTCAGGGGGAGGGGAAAGCAAGATAGTAAAAGGCAGGGGGAGAAAAAGACATAAGCAGAGGAAGGTGACAAAGATATTGAAGGAGCTAAGAGAATACTGCTGATGAGGAGGTTACAAACAAACAAAACACACACACACACACACCTGTAGTCAAGGGCCTACACATGAGTATCATAGAATCATAGAGTTGGAATAGACCACAAGGGCCATCGAGTCCAACCCCCTGCCAAGCAGGAAACACCATCAGAGCACTCCTGACATATGGTTGTCAAGCCTCTGCTTAAAGACCTCCAAAGAAGGAGACTCCACCACACTCCTTGGGAAGGTCTGTGCTAAACAAAGGGCCATAGTAGAGTGTTAGAAAGTATATCAGGTTTGGCAAACACCACCCTGCGGAAACCTCCAGCTAAAGGCATCATCCTAAGACCCTAAATTGTGGGTCAGCTATTGGGCTAGACCAGGGACAGTCCATTTTTCAACACTGTATCTTTCTTTAATAGTTGCATACATGAGAGAACTTGCAAAGCATAAGTTTCTAAAAACTCTGCACTGCTGCTGGAACTCCCTTATCTCCACAATGATTAAACATGGAGATATGCCAACATCAGCAGGGATGCATATACACCACAATGTTCTAAAGCACAGGAGAAGAACTGAATGAGATATTGGACAAAATTCAGTTTCCTACAACTCTCAGCCTTCATTCAAAAACAAACAAACAAAAAAACCCACCCAAATTTCCACTCCTGGTGGTTGCAAAAGAGTGGCTTGAAAGTGTGTGGGCAATACCTGCTGAAATTACAGAAGCCAGAAGAGTAGGTGAATAAACTTTCCAGAGGATTGGACTGAGGTCCTTACCCCTCTTCTAAACTAGCAAATACTGTACATTACTTTAAAAAATAAACTCTGTAAAATAGTGGAACAATGCAAACAGTTTATGCAAATCTGCATAAACTGGAATGATGTAAAACAGTCAAAACGCAAACAGACTGTGCCAATTAAGATGAACAATACACATCTGCATAACTTGTAAGGGTTGCAGAACCATCTTGCCTCAGTACAGAATTTTTATGTACTCAGTTCTGAAAAATTAAGTCCTGACTATTAGTCAAAAAGCACTGGATTGAATACTGGATAACTGAAAACAGCAAAGCTGTAAGGGAGGCAGGAAATTTGGGACAGGAGTCCCTGAGGCACTGTGCAAAGCCACAAAAGCTTTCCCCGATCTCTGTTCTTGAATCCTTTAGCAGACACATTGTGTTTTTATATTACAGAATTTCTCTCTCGAACCACAAGGAGTAGCACTTTTAAAAAAAGAGAAGCTCTCATTCATAGGGATTTGATCAATACACCAGATTTTGTGATTTGTGATGAGACAGCATCCATGCAGGAATTAGTATACAAATATATCCTATTAAGTCTTCATCCCACTGAAAAATCACAGCAGGCCCATAACTTACTGACAGATGGTCCATGAAGAAGTTGGCAGTTAGGGCAGTGATACAAGTCAATGTCGGCTGCTGCATCCTCTTCTACTCCAACACAGCTTGAAGAGAGAAAGTCAGTCACATATCTCTCCAAAAGACAGACAACAACCACTATAACAGGTATGGGAAGACTGTGGCCTCCAGCTGTCATTAGACTACAACTCCCATCATCCCTGACCATTGGCCATACTGGCTGAGGTTGATGAGGGGAGTCCAAGCACAATTGGAAGGTCACAGGTTCTCCACTTGCTCCAAAAGAAGCAATATCCCTAAAGTCTACAACCACCCAGCCCTAGATGACCACCCTGTACAAGCCCAGAGACTGTTTCTTCTAACTCTGAAACACAGGAACTGTACCCTAAGTCAGAGCGCCTAGTTTGTATATACAATATCTCCAGTTCAAGGGCATGCAAGAGGAATGGGACAGTCATCTGTCAGAGACCTCAAAGATACATAGGACACTTCACTTGGCTAGACAGGTCCTTTCCAGTTTAAGGCAACCCTTTCTATTCTAAACCAGCAAGTCCTGAGGACCTGATGGAATTGCAGCCAAATGCTCCTTAAAAGAGAAACACCCCACGTTCCAACGTCCACACTCTTTGTTTAAGAAGTTGCACCTAGTTGCTCATTTTTTAATCAACTGTCTGTCCGTTCCATCCTGCGACCTGGTAGTGAAGGCATCTTCACCTATTGATGTCCTACAAGGGAGTAAGAAATGGCTGTGTGAGAGGCTCTGCATGCAGTTGCTACCAGTTGAAAAAAACGCTGGCTAAATGAAGGAACAATCTGAAATTTAATCCAGATACGACTGTTGGTGATGGGTGTCTGACAGTTTGGCAAAAAACAGAGTACTCTACCATCAACCATATGAGAGGAATTCCAGGAGCGAAAGGAGGCAGGTGAAGTTCACCTGAGGACATGCCCCAGATGGGCCACCCCTGGATGAACTACCAACAACCATCATGTAGAAAAGACCCTAGCGTGTTTTTGATGTTACTATTTTTATTTTATTTTTAAAATATGTACTTGAAGGCCACCTTGGTAGGATCTGTATCCTGAATGGTGGGATATAAACAACTGCAATAAAAATAAAATAAATATGGCACAATAGAAAGCAGTTCTATGCTCACATCTTCCATGAAACATGACTGCACTACATGCCAGTGCAAAAAGAAGCTGCGTGGGGTTGAAACAGCACAATAGAAAAGAGGATTACAGCTTCTTAAATTTTTGCTGCACTTCTATAATTTCAGATCCCTTAATAGCCAGCATGGTCTGATTTAAGCACATTGCTTACCTGTTTGGGGGGAATGGCTAACTTATTTTAAGCCTCCTCACCAACTGAAACTATCAGAGCTTAGGGCAGGGATGGGGGACGGGGGACGGGGAACTCCTATCATTCCTGGCCACCAGCCACACTTCCTGGGGTTGATGACACCTGAAGAGCTAGTTTCCCCATCCATGACTTAAGGCATGTCAACTGTTTGGCAGGTATAAACATGAAGTCCGCTGGTCAACTCCTGTTTCTATGGATGAATGTCACGGTCCCCCAATCGATTTCTGGCAACCACCCAGAAGCTTCCATGCACAAAGACAGATCAACCCTAAACTCCAGATGATGAGGACAAGGAACAGAGGAAGACCCTTCCTGCCTTCATGAGGTCTCAGACTGGCCACTTTAAGGAATCAAGCTTTAAATCTTGGCCTGATCCAGCAAGGTGATTCTTAGAGCAACTAGCCCTTTGAGAATAACTGGCATTCTACCCATACTCCTCATGAAGGCCCCCAATTAAAGGCAGCATCTCCAAGAACAGACATACAGTGGTGCCTCGCAAGACGAAATTAATTCGTTCCGCAAGTTTTTTCTTCTTGCGAGTTTTTCGTCTTGCGATGCACGGTTTCCCATAGGAATGCATTGAAAATCAATTAATGCGTTCCTAGGGAAACCGACTTCAGACCAGGTCCGGGGACAGTCTGTCCCCGGACCTCTTCTGAAGGCTGGGGGGGACAAGGGCTTTTCTTCCACCCCCAGCATTTTAAAAACCCGGGACAGCGGAGGGCTTCTCCGCTGTCCGGGGCGATCTTAAAATGCTGGCGGGCGGCATTTTAAAATTGCCCCGGGACAGCGGAGGACTTCTCCGCTGTCCGGGACAATTAAAGCCCCTGGGAAGGCAGGCAGGGGGACAAGGACTTTGCCCCCGCCAGCCTTCAGAAGAGGTCCTGGACCTCTTCTGAAGGTTGGCGGGGCGAAAGTCTTGTCCCCCACCTGCCTTCAAAAGCTGTCCAGCCAAGGCTTCGCGGAGAGTTGCCGGCATGCCGAAGCCTGCGCGCGCTGAGATCAGCGCGCCCAGGCTTCGCGGACCTCTCCGCGAGCAGCGGCAGCGCTGCCGCTGCTCGCGGAGAGTTGCCGGCATGCCGGAGCCTGCGCGCGCTGAGATCAGCGCGCCCAGGCTTCGCGGACCTCTCCGCGAGCAGCGGCAGCGCTGCCGCTGCTCGCGGAGAGTTGCCGGCATGCCGAGCCTGCGCGCGCTGAGATCAGCGCGCCCAGGCTTCGCGGACCTCTCCGCGAGCAGCGGCCGCGCTGCCGCGGCTCGCGGAGAGTTGCCGGCATGCCGAAGCCTGCGCGCGCTGAGATCAGCGCGCCCAGGCTCCGCGGACCTCTCCGCGAGCAGCGGCAGCGCTGCCGCTGCTCGCGGAGAGTTGCCGGCATGCCGAAGCCTGGGCGCGCTGAGATCAGCGCGCCCAGGCTTCGCGGACCTCTCCGCGAGCAGCGGCAGCGCTGCCGCTGCTCGCGGAGAGTTGCCGGCCTGCCGAAGCCTGCGCGCGCTGAGATCAGCGCGCCCAGGCTCGCGGACCTCTCCGCAAGCAGCGGCAGCGCTGCCGCTGCTCGCGGAGAGTTGCCGGCATGCCGAAGCCTGCGCGCGCTGAGATCAGCGCGCCCAGGCTTCGCGGACCTCTCCTGCCTTCAAAAGCCGTCCGGGATAGCGGGAAGCGCTTCCCTGCTATCCCGGACTGCTTTTAAAATGCTGGCGGTGGGGAGCAAAGCCTTTCGGCCCCCGCCAGCCTTCCTGGACCTCGTCTGTAGGCCGGAGGGGGAAGGCTTTGCTCCCCACCGCTAGCATTTAAAAGAGGTCCCCGGAGATTTCCTATGGGCTTTCGTCTTGCGAAGCAAGCCCATAGGGAAATTCGTTTTGCGAAGCGCCTCCAAAACGGAAAACCCTTTCGTCTAGCGGGTTTTTCGTCTTGCGAGGCGTTCGTCTTGCGGGGCACCACTGTACCCTGGATTTAAAGAAACAGGGGGCTTTGGAGCCGCTACCTCCAAATGTCAGTTCCCACCCAGTGCCACCTTCTCACCTGCCGTGGAACCAGTCCTGGCAAACGTCGCACTCGATCATGAAGCGGGTGACATCGTAGGGCAGGCGGCAGAGACAATACACAGGGACAGAGGCCATGGCGGAGCCAAGTTCAAGCGAAGGAAGACCCTCCAGGAACCGAACAACGTCCAAGCGTCCGCTATGGCAAGTTGAAGGACGTGGTCATGCTGAGGTCTGCAGGAGAGCCAGTCTTGCCCCGGCTGAGTGGGGGCTAAATTATTTCATCCCCCTTACCCACCCCAACTTCCCAAGCACCAACTTCCTTGCAAAACGTGCTTGTTGGGTCCTTGCGATGTCCGTGGCGTCCTCTTCCTCCCCCAAAACAGCAGGGCTTGGCTGCAGGCGGCCTCTTGAACCCCAAAGTTTCCACCAGAAGTTTCATGGGCTGCTTCTGATCATCGGAAGCCCTCCAAGGCAGCCTCCCCAAGTTTGCACCCACTTCCCCCCTACTGGGGGGGGGGGGAAGACCCTCCTCGCCTTCCTGGGATAAACTTCCCTGCTTTATTTTTTCGGGGGGCGGGATCCCCCTCGCATCTGCTGCACCCCAAACTTGCCCGCTGCCTCAGTTTCTCCCCACAGGAGATTCCCAGCTGACAAAGGCGCTGAGGGACATCGCGCTCTCCCGGGCGACCTTCGGGTCCTGCTCCTCTCGCGCCTCTCTGGGTCAGGGCCCCCCAAAATGCCCCCCACTTCCCAGCCAGGCTCCCCTCAACTCCCGGGAGGAGGAGCCTTGTCCGGAGGGGCTTCCCTCGTCGCGGCCAGAGACGCCTCGCCCGAGGCCCGCAGCGGAGGCCAAGCACCGCGGACTCGCACGCCCCGTCCCGGGCTTCTTTCTCCCTTCCGGGCAGGAGCGCCTAACTCCACGGCGGGGATCGAGGCCTTCTCGCGCCCAAGCGGCTGCGCTGCTTCTCGGCGACTCTAGAGGCCTCGGCGAGGCCCGGGATCCTGCTCTTGCTCCGGCTCCTCAATAAAGTTTATTCAAAACCACGGGGGGGGGAGGGGGGAGGGAGTGACTCGAGGAGGCGCCGGCGGCCATCTTAGGGGAGGCGCAGCGCGGGACGCTTGGGAAGCCATCTTGAGAAGGGACGGAAGAGAGGCCTGCGTCGTAGAGATACGAAGGGGTAGAGCTGCGCCCCTGCCGTTCCACATCTGAAAGGCGGGATAGACGCCATTCCCGCCCCTCGCGAGAGGAGCAAAACGCCGCAGATCCCCGTTCGGCTCTTTAGCGCGGCCGCGCCGGGGAACTGCGGAACTCCCGGCCTCATGAGATCCAGCGGGCGCTTTTGCTCTGCTTTTCTCAGCGCCTGCTAAGAAGCTCATTGCTTAAGCAAACCTTCCCAGATGCTTAGAAAGTCGAGGCAATGCGAATCTGTTTCAGTATTTTGACTTTCGTGCTTGGGTGTTGCTTGCTGAGTTTCGTTGCGGGGGTTGTTGATGTGGGTTTTGTTGCATCTTTATTTCAGATCATGTGACTTGTGTGGAAATTATTCAGTTTGGTGGTGGATTCATTTCAAGGCTTTTATCTACTGTATACGACTACTTTTCCTATGTTGTACGTTTCATGTTTTAGCTGCCTTGAGCGTGGTTTGAACTGCGGAAAGGCAAAGAGCAATTATTATGTATATGCATGTTTCAAAGTAGGGTGGTGATTTTTTTCGTTCTTATTGATATAACTTTTTGTAAACAGCTTTGAGGGTTTTTCGCTTTTCACAATGAAGCAGTGTGTAAATCTTATAAAATAAATGATACATAAACGGGACTCTACAGGTGAAACTCGAAAAATTAGAGTATCGTGGAAAAGTTCATTTATTTCAGTAATTCAACTTAAAAGGTGAAACTAATATGAGATAGACTCATCACATGCAAAGCGAGATATGTCAAGCCTTTATTTGTTATAATTGTGATGATCATTGCTTACAGCTGATGAAAACTCCAAATTAACAATCTCAGAAAATTAAAATATTAAATGAAATCATCAAAACAAGGATTGCAAATAGAGCAATATTGGATCTCTGAGAAGTAGAAGCATGCATATGTACTCAGTACTTGGTTTGGGCCCCTTTTGCATCAATTACTGCCTCAATGTGGTGTGGCATGAATGCTATCAGCCTGTGGCACTGCTGAGGTGTTATGGAAGACCAGGATGCTTCAATAGCAGCCTTCAGCTCTTCTGCATTGCTCAGTCTCATGTCTCTCATCTTTCTCTTGGCAATGCCCCATAGATTCTCTATGGGGTTCAGGTCAGGTGAGTTTGCTGGCCAATCAAGCACAGTAATCCCATGGGCATTGAACCAGGTTTTGGTACTTTTGGCATTGTGGGCAGGTGCCAAAGTCCTGCTGGAAAATGAAGTCAGCATCCCCACAAAGCTTGTCTGCGGAAGGAAGCATGAAGTGCTCCAAAATCTCCTGGTAGACGGCTGTGTTGACCCTGGACTTAATGAAGCACAGTGGACCAACACCAGCTGATGACATGGCTCCCCAAATCAACACAGACTGTGGAAACGTCACACTGGACTTCAAGCATCGGGCATTGTGTGCCTCCCATTCTTCCTCCAGACTCTGGGTCCTTGGTTTCCAAATGAGATGCAAAAGTTGCTCCTATCAGAAAAGAGGACTTGGGACCACTGAGCAACAGACCAGTTCTTTTTTTTTTTCTTTAGCCCAGGCAAGACGCTTCTGACGTTGTTTCTTGTTCAGGAGCGGCTTGACAAGAGGAATACGACATTTGAAGCCCATCTGCAGGATCCGTCTGTGTGTGGTGGCTCTTGATGCACTAACTCCAGCCTCAGTCCACTCCTTGTGAAAGTCCCCAACACGTTTGAATGGTCTTTTCCTGACAATCCTCTCCAGGCTGCAGTCATCCCTGCTGCTTGTGCACCTTTTTCTTCCACACTTTCCCCTTCCGCATAACTTTCCATTAATGTGCTTCGATACAGCACTTTGGGAACATCCAACTTCTTCTGCAATTATCTTTTGAGGCTTTCCCTCCTTATGAAGGGTCTCAATGATGGCTTTCTGCACAACTGTCAGGTCAGCAGCCTTCCTCATGATTGTGCTTCCTACTGAACCCATTGCAGGTGTTATGGATTGAATAGCTACTGCACCTTTTCACAATATTCTAATTTTCTGTGATTGTTAATTTGGGGCTTTTATCAGCTGTACGCCATGATCATCACAATTATAACAAATAAAGGCTTGGCATATCTCGCTTTGCATGTCATGAGTCTTTCTCATATATTAGTTTCACCTTTTAAGTTGAATTACTGAAATAATGAACTTTCCCACGATATTCTAATTTTTCGAGTTTCACCTGTAGTGTAGCTGCCGTTTGGTTGTGAAGAGAGAACTTGCATTATCTGCAATGTTAAGCTGCTAGAATCCACCTTTCCTCCAAGGAGCTACATGGTTCCCCTCTCCCCTCGATTTTACCGTTCTTTTTTTCAAACCGCTTTGATGTTTCTTACAATCAGACAGTGTGCAGCCGTGAATGAATGTCCACCAGGGGCTCGTTGTGTTGCCAGGTGTTCTGCAAGGGAGTCCAGGGAAGAGTGCAGTGAGATGTGGCGGCTCATGCCTAGACAAGACAGTGGGTCTCCCTGGCCTAGACCTTTTGAGGGACTACATCCCCATCATGTCTGGTCATTGGCCACCCCAGGAATGATGGGAGTTATGTCAAGAGGGCCATGAGGGTCCCCTACCCACTGCTGTAGAATACTCTTTGCCTTGAATGTTGGAGTTTGAATGAAGATGGGGACAAGGACAGGCATGTCGAAGGCCTGTTTCAATATTGTAATACACTGTATTTTTCGCTCCCTAAGATGCACCCTTTTCCTCCTAGAAAGGGGAAATTTCTGTGCGTCTTATGAAGAGAATGCTGCGCAGAGGAGGGACGGACAGAAGCCATGGCTCTCACCTTCCCTCCTCCGTGGCTTGCTTTAAAGCAGCAAAGTGGGACAGGAGCCGCTTACAAGGGTGTAAAGCAAGGACAGCGGGAGCTGTGTAATCCCTCCGCCCCCCCATTGGGATGGGCGGGCGCACGCCACCCCCTTGGGACGACGCTCGCGTGGGCAACGTCCCACATCCCCACAGGCAACATGTCACCACGCAAGATCCTCCCTCTGCCACTGGTCTTGTCAGTGGACAGTAGTGTGAAATTTGAAGGGCGGCTGTGGTTTGGTCCTTGTGTTGTTTACGAAGGTGTGAATTAGGTAGGTTTGACTTTAAATGGGAATTGAATCAGATTTCTCCCTCATTCCTCCCTCATATGAAAGCCCCCTGAGCTCTCTGAAATGAACAAAAAGGAAGAAAGTCCCACTTCTTTTGGCTTTATTAAAATAATTGTGTAGGGCCAAACCATATAGTCCTTAGATCTAAGGGACTCTATGTGGGAAGCTCATATATTTCCATTGCCTGCCCCCCTTACTAGGGGATAAAGTCTCTCTTCATTTGTTAATGACAGTGATGATGGTTCTTAATGCCACTGTTGACTGCTGTTCACTTTGCAGTGGTATCTCGGGTTAAGTACTTAATTCGTTCCGGAGGTCCGTTCTTAACCTGAAACTGTTCTTAACCTGAAGCACCACTTTAGCTAATGGGGCCTCCTGCTGCTGCCGCGCCGCCGGAACACGATTTCTGTTCTCAACCTGAAGCAAAGTTCTTAACCCGAGGTAATATTTTTGGGTTAGCGGAGTCTGTAACCTGAAGCGTATGTAACCTGAAGCATATGTAGCCCGAGGTACTACTGTACATGGTTGAAATATTATTCTGATATACCAGTAGTTTATTAAATAGTTTAGTACAACATTTGATTCAGATTTTTTTTTTCTTGTTTTCCTCCTCTAAAAACTAGGCGCATCTTATGGTCAGGTGCGTCATATGGAGCGAAAAATGAGGCGGTCCACTGCAGGCCTAGCCCAAGACATTTTGGCACTTGAGGTGAACCACAAAACGGCACCCCACTGCCCAGAAGAAGGGACGAGTGAAGATCTACAAGTGGCTGATCCAGCCTCCAAGGAGAGCGGGCAATGTGTTCCTTGGAGGCCCGATCCGCTGCCCCTGTGGATCCTGCCGCTAACTTTGGACAGGTTTACATACACTATACATGTTTAAAAATATCTGCAGTTCTGCACCGCACTTTCCTTTTCACTCAAGTAACTTGGAAGTTATTTGTTCAATGGGTCTACTCCAAGTATGAATTAGATGGACGTCTCGCCAAATGAGTGGCTGCAGGGACACCATGAAGGAACACCTGAAATTTGGATGAGTCTGAATTCTTCACTTCTGCAGAGCTGCAGCAGACACATAGCACTGGAAGTGACACGGCACCTTTCTTTCAGACCTTGTACCTTTACAAAGCTTAAAACACAGGCGTACAAACACACCATTTATTTATTTTTTACTAAAAGAATAGAATTTATTAAGCACTGTAAGTCTCTCTCCATCATCAACAGATGAACAACGCGCCAGGATTCCACCAGCAAAAACATTCCCAAAAGACACCCAAGCTTTCTGATTGCAAACCTACTGCGAGTTTCCCCTGATTTAGAGCAACCTGTCCAAACTTACACTGATTAAAAAACCCAACAACCTATGGAGCTTGGTGTGGGGTGCAAGGATTGGGGAGATGGGGATTTGTTTATCAAGGTTGGGGTAGTAAAGATAACATTTATCCATCCACTAAGAACAGGTGTTAATATAGCATAAAAAGAAAATCCATTTTTTAAAAAAAGGGAATAATGAATTTATCCCACATAAATAAAGCATGAACTTGCAATTGACAGGGGATCACTAACAAGAAAAGAAAAAATCAGATTTACTCTGTTCATCAAAAATTGGTTTGTATGCTTTTTTTCCCTTTAAAGCTAAAATCTCAGGCTAAACATTTTAAAAGGTGGTCATGGGGAGATATATATGGTAAAAATGCAACTTCCAAGGTTATTCAAAGAGGGTGTGTGAGGGGAAAGATTGGCTTAAAGTAACAACTGAGATTGAAGTTTTTACTTTTAAAATCTTACTAGGCATTTAGTTACTATCAACAAAGCATCTACCAAAATACAAGAGCAATGGTTATAAGTCAGAAAAAGTGTACATCCCGTCTGCGAGGGTAATATTATAGACAGATAAAGTGTACGCGGGAAGCGGGGGTTGGTCTTTCAAAACGGAGTCAGAAAAAAATTCTAATCTTAAAAAAAAAACCTAGAAAATGAGTGACGCTATCTGACTTTATGCAATGAGCAGTAAATAGCAATTAAAGACTGAAAGATCTCTAAACAGGTGTGTGTTAGATTTCTTTTAAACAATAAAAATGGACTTACAAAATAGATTGGTGTGGGGGTAATTGGAAGGATTAAAATTAAAAATAGAAGAACATGCATATTTAGCAAAATACATGTCAGGTAAGTTAGCTACTATAATGATTCAACTTCGGTAGTAAAATTATGCTAACAAGATTAAAAAAAAAATTGTAGTTAGCTTATGATTCATCTTGCAGCTTGATCCTAATAACATTTACTTGGAAAGAAACACCATTATTTCAGTGGGCTTACACCCAAGTAAGTATACTGAGGATTTGCAGCCTAGGTTACAGTTGCGTGATAGGGGGAAATGTTGGTGCTTTGTGCGAGTGGCCTTGTGCCTTCCTCACAGGCTCTAGCGTACACATGTTTAATCTGTGGACTGGGATACCCCTATTCCCCTCCACAAGAATTCAAGTCCCTGTCATAATGTTTGTCTGTGACTTCCCCCCAGGGACCCAAGGGCTCGCTTGCTTGTCTGTGTATGAATCCAAGGAAAGGTGGAATTCTAAACAACATCAGAAAAAGTTGAAAAGCTGCCCCTGAAAAGGCTTCAAAGTCTTTTCAAGTACTGTTAAGTATATTTGCACAAAAAAACCTCTAACTGGTTGGCTAAGTTGACTAGTAGCCATCCTTGGGAACGGCTAGCCAGAGTCATATCCCACACTACTGCCTTAGGATGGGATGAAATATTTGGAAGAGAAATGCAGGAAATATTGGTCAGTAGGCTGGCTTTAAAAGGCCCCCCCCACCCCCACCCCACAAAACAATGAAGGCAGCATGCTAAAATCCATGCCTTTGATTGTATGGTTTAGATCCTTATGAAGACTTCAAGAAACATGTTTAGAGAATCTTGAATTGGAGCCTAGTACAGGAAGTTAAAAGTATTAGATTTGTTCCCACTTCAACTCATATTAAAAAGGAAGCTTTCTTTATCTTAGAGGCAGTGCTATTTTTCTAGAAAAAGAGGTGCCGGAACTCACCATGAACTCCTCCCTTGTTCTCTTATAATGGCAATGGTGCCCACTGAATTCCAGTGAGTTCTGGCTGAAAAAAAGCCCTGCTAAGAGGAAGAAGATTTGGACACAGGAACATATTTCGCCTTCCTTATGAGCATTTAAGGTCCACTGCACAGTGCAGGGGAAAGTCATATTACTTCAGTTAATTCTCAGCATCAAAGTTAGTAACACAGCAATTATTTCTAATAAACACGATCCCTACAGCTGTTGTTAATGGACCTTACTCCATTGGGGATCAATAGCTCTGGATGTGGGATGCAAATCCAGTGACTTCAAAGGAACTCTGCCAAGATTGTACCATCCAAGGATCCAGCCCTGGTGAGAATCCAAAGTGTTACACAGGCCAAATGAAAAGCAAGAACGCCGCATTTGAGAGCGCCGCTCTCAAAGAATGAACAACGCAACTCAACATAATCTTTGGGTCCAACTGATATCACAATTACCTCAGGGTCACCCTCACAAGGGAAACCTGATGTTTGTTCATGATTAGGAAATTCATTTCACAAAGTCACAATCCATTCAAGCTCTACATTTTTGCGTCTTTGTCATACAATAGCTCCCACAGGCAACACTGCAAGATGCTTGAAAAGTCCTTAATTTTACAGACAGCCTGCAATGCTAGGGTGACTAATTTCTGGAAACGTGGAGAAAAGAGGTCTCATTACAGATGCCTGAGGAATTTTATTTCTGTGTATTCTGATGCAAAATGACCCGATCCAGACCCCCTGTGAATTAGAATTTAGTTATCCTTAGATTTTGCACTTATCTGAATTAATGAGACACAGGGATTGTCTCAAAAAAGTAACAAAATGCCTAGTTTAAATGTTTAGAAATGTATATACAGAGTTAAAATATGTTTTTAGATACAAATTTTCATATGGATCCAAAACAAATCCAGAGTAATGCAGAAACTGAATGGAATGGATTTATGAATGAAAACACATGAAACAGACTGATCCATTCATCGCAAGGCCACGTACTGACCTCCCCTTTTGTGCGTCTTAGGATCAAGAGAAGTATATTCAGAATTATTATATCTACATTCAAGGACTGTAGCTTTCTGGTCTCACAAAAGGAACTGAATTTTGAAATCTGCACTTAAAAAAAAAATTGAAGTTTGCAAATCAGGGCTTCATTATTATTATTTTTAAATAAGCAAACTTTTTTGTTATAAAAAATAGCTATGGGGCCATCTAGTTATGGCTAGGCGCATTTGCAGAGACTCCTGGTTCCTGGCTCTATAGGCAAAAGCACTTCCGATATTAGCTTCAGATTCAAAAGCTGCAAGAAATGGGGAACCAGCACTGTTTTGCCGCAAGGTTAAATATGACAACATAAAGCTGCTTTAAGAGTTAGAAAGAGCCCTCTTTCAATAGCCAAGTATCATTTTCTCAAAGGACTTTGGCTCATCTCATTCCAACCAAAGCAGAGCCACCTTTGCTCAACAGTCATAGCTGAACTACACTTCTCATCTACGAGTGCTATCAATACCAAGGAACGAAGGCTTCTCCACTTTCCCCAGAAGCAACGCTAACTTCTACAGGACTGCAAGTTTTAGAATCTTCCAGCTCAACCACAGCAGACTTATCTCAGTGCCTCCATAGATCATTTGCGCTTAGGGGTGGTGATGCCTGAATTCTTGTATCACACAAATTGCAGTCTCCAGTCTGTACATGACCAGCTCCAATTCTGCATGATGGAGCCAAACAAGCTTGGGGAAAAAGGTATTTGCTTAGCTGCAGTACATTCTAAATGATGGGGAACCAGACCTCTGAGGGCAATCATCCGGTTATTGCTTCTCATTAGGTTTATAGAAGATAGGTCAGGTTAGCTTGACTCTTGCATCATAACAAGATGTCCATCACATCAGAGATGCTCTTTTACTTTCAGTAACACTAGTGGGAATGGTAGCATTATCCAACTGCAATTAAACTAAAGTCCATAGATATGCATGAAGGGTGTTTTGTCATTTGGATTTATTATGCAAGAGAAACCTAGGAACTTGCATCTACCTCTTTGGCTTTCATGCAACACTGAGCTTCAAATTAAATTCCTCAAGATTAATGATCCCCTTCCCACCTGGAAGTATCCACAATTCTCATAAGAGATATTTTAAAGATGCATGCTGCTGGCTCCCTTTTTGGCTGAGTAAGCAGTGAGCAATTCTGAACAATACCACATCCGTTTCTGAATTTAAAGGAAAACTTATCTAGGATTTTTGTCAAGTGAATCTAGAGTAGAGTGACTTTATTTTGCCTAGCTTGCAAGGAAGAGACCATGTTGAAGTGTACTTCCCACAGTTAAAACAAGATAAAATCTAAAATCTTCAGATACCGAATTCTTCTTCCTGTATAAATTATGCAAGTAACATACATTTTCAGTCTTATTTTGCATAATTTATTTGTTTTTTTAAAAAAGTTTTGCCAAATTTAGCCTGGTTCTAATGGGCACTACATAGGGGGGAAGCCCTACCCTGAAAGTGAAAAACTTATCCAGCCACTCCTGCTGCCCACAAACTTCCGAGGTTTATTTTAGTATCCATAAAAATTAGAAAGATTCGTTTTTAAAGACTGGGCCCAGTATCACATTCTGTACTCCCACAGAATCACGGAATATATAAATGTTTGGGATAAGGGCTTCCCAAAACTTTCCTATTTTTGGCTCCATTTGCACCATACGTTTAAAGCATGGCTTCCCTCAAATGATTTGTTAGGGTGCCGAGGGCTGTTAGGAGACCCCACTTCACATCACAGCTACAATTCCCAGCATTTCCTGGCAAGAGGGATTGTTACACCACCCTGCTTAAAGTGGTATGGTACTGTTTCAGATGTGTAGTACAGATGGGACTGCACTACTGGCTACAGTCTGCACAGACAGACAGACAGAGTCAAATCAATCCCGCCACCTAATCAATAGCTTGCCTGGTGGCATTGCTAAGAGGTTAAAAAAGGGGGGCCAATCTGCTCCAGTTGCAAAGGTTTCAAGCACTGGAAATATGGTATATAAGGAAATGCGTCACAGAAGCCTGTGACGCAGATCCAGCTGCTCCCCTGGGCTACATGATATCAAAGCAATATAGCTGCATGCTCAGAGGCCTGTGCGACTGCAGGCATGGCTCAAGCAGGCAGGCGTCTTTCTAGTTCTGGGGTAAGACCTCAGAACTGGCAATGGTTAAGTTGCTTGGAAATGTGTGCCACTGGTCAGGAAAGGAAGTTGTCTTCCTTCCCAGCAAATACTGTCAAAGCTAAAAGCAACTGAAACACCCCCAAGAGAGAAAGAGAGTGTTAAATCCCTCCTCTCAAATTCACCATTTAAAGTTGCAATCCCACTCCTCAAACTTCATATGACAACTGCATGCCCAACTGAAGAGGTTGAACAGTGTCTCATTTGTGACAGGAAGTATTATCGTGTAAGGAAGATTTACATTTACTCTTTACACCTGGGAATAAAGTGTTTTTCTGTTATCATCAAGCCAAACCCAGATCAGAGGACGTTCAGCGACAGGGCACAATTAAAACTTAAAACGCTTCCTTGTTCTCCACCAGCTTCTCAAGACTGTTGGTTTAATCCACTTGAGGCTGAAGCAAGGGCCTTTTCTGAAAACCCTAATTCTAAAACCCTCGATATGCAATTTTAAGTTCTGTCTTACTTTACAGTCATAGCATACCAATGAGAATAGGACTGAAGACGATTCAAAAAGGAATACACCCCTGCCTACAGCTGCAATTTTTCAAAATCTTCACTGGGTTCTTTCTATTGCTTAATTAGAACATTTAATGCTTAATTAGGAAGATTTAATGGTGAGATTCATAGTTCAGAGACAATGCCTTTTTGCTTCCTATATATACTGTAATTCCAGATCATACACCCTTTCTAGTAAAATCATTTCTAGGAGCTGGGAAAGATCTTTCCTGAAAATTATTAGCTGAAAATACTGTTCTTAGTGTGAGTTGGTTCATCCTGTTACCACTTTACAGAAAAAATGGGGATTTAACACTCAGATTTGATATGCAAATAAATTTAAAAAAGAATGTATGTATGGGAGAGTCAGGTTCTGGAAGCCTGCAATGCTGTGTAGTATATACCTACTGCATTTCTGAATTTCAAGAGCCTATCAAGATTCCAGTAGCTACAAGCCAAATTCTGCAAGGGACTTCAATGAACAATGGACAAATTTCAATTAAATAAATATATGTAACAGATTGAGACCTATTCGGAGATAACTGTAGAACAAGGATTTCTGACTCACATGTGTTTAACAATAGCAACAGCAAAACAAGTCTATCTGCTGAAATGAAGGAAGGATGTGAGATTACCAAGAGTGAATGGCTCCATTCACTTCCTGTACTCCAAATCAAGTCTGGGATATGTAATTCTGAAAAGCATGTATTTTGCACTAGGGTCCTAGATCTTGAGTCAACAACAAAAAAACCCAAGTAGATTCCACAGTCCTGAAGTTTGATGACTCCCAATTAAAGACTGCTGTTCACTTTACATGGTGGCAAAATTCTGGTTTGACTCAGCAAGGTGGCTCTTCCATTCTCAGAAATCTCTGGTGCGTTGCACCTCCATCACAAAGGCTAGAAACCAGGTTTAGAAAACTGAGCTTTACTGGAATCCTCACAAGACCCCAACAAATAAGGCTCAGACAGAGCAATCTGACACCTGTCTATTCAGAAGCAAGTCCCACTGAATTCAATGAAATGTACTCCGGGGGGGGGGGGGGGGTTACAGGATTACAGGCTTAAAGCCCCAATGAAAAGGAGATTGGACAAAAGCATGGGCCATAAAGCTATCAATGGCTACTAGTCATGATCGCTAGGTTGCCTCCACCAGTATCAGAGGCAGAAGGAAGAGGAGACCACGATTGGAGAGGGTCTTGCCTGTGGGCCTCCCACTGCGGCAAACAGGTTGCTGGACTAGATAGGCTTTGGGTCTGATCCAGCAAGGGCTTTGTAAATTCTTCTTCTGGATCACAGGCTTCACCCAGCTTTGGAAACATCTAACCCTAACAATAGAGAATCAGAAGCCTTTGGGGGCAGGTAGGCTTTGGTGATTCATGTATACAGTATTGCAGAGCCCCTTAAAATGTGCTTCTGCTTGGATAACTTTGTAGCATATAAATGTGGCAAAACGTTTTTCTTTCTGGATTCCTCCCCACCCTGCTATTCAGAACAGAACGGCCTGTCATATTTTCAGCAAAAGAAAACATTTCCATTTTCAATACATTAGAACAAACAGGAATTTCTAATATTTGGGGACTTTGGTTTTCAGCTGCTTTGAACAACAAAATAGGAAAGGGTCCCCACTGGGGTGCAGGGTAGGTGGGTGAGAATCAAGCTGCCTTTAAGAGCTTACGATCCAAATTACCTACCTGCACTTTAAATCAGTGCCCCCTCCAACCTTTGGAAACCCTTCCTCGCTTCCTAAAATCCTGCCTGGTTCCCCAGCTGCTGTAGATGTCAACCTAAAAAGAGCATTGCCTTCTCTCAACTGTTGGCTACAGAGTTCTCACTAGAGCCTCTGATAGAGGAGGTGACTTTTCTAGCAGCTGTAGGTCACACCCCACCCTAGAGGTCCAGCACTTGCAAGCACCTGAAGGAATCTTTCAGCCCCTTGGAAGATCCCAACACACCGTATGAACACCACACTGCAGGCCTTAGGCACATTTTAACTGCCCTTTTATGTTCAGAAATAGATTCCTGAGTGGGCGACAGGGCAGATTCCTCTCCCACCTTTTCCCAAAGACTCCTGTTGTTGCTTCCAAGCAACTGAAATTCAAACGTATGCCATCCCTGAACATTTAGGCTCCATCCAGCTATCAAGGTTAGTAGACATTTACAGAACCGACATCCCATACTCAATGGGAGGAAGGGCAGGACGCAAATTTAATAAATAAATAATAAATAAACTTCTGCCCATGGATTTGTCGAAAGCCCTTGTCAAAAGGATCTACAGCAGCGACCATCACCATACCCTTGTGGCAGTTAATTTCACCCGCTCGTTATGCATCGTTAGGAAGTACTTTCTTTTGCCTATACTGTTCGTGGTCAAGGAGGCAGAAATAGCGAACAGGACATTTTTTCTGGCCAACTGTTTTTCATCTGTTCCTCTTATGGTAGAATCACAGGTGGGGGATTCAGCCTACTGGAGAATGGATTGATTGATTGATTGATAGCGGAAGGCAGAAATAAAAATCAACACACATTTCAGGTTGGAGTGGTCATTCTGACACTCTCACAATCTAGTAATTGAGGCACATGCCATGGATGATGTCAGAAATCAGACTGCATGGACGTATGCAGCTGGAAAATTGGTTAGAGTTCTCTTTTCAACAGAACTTTAATCCTGCTCACCCAAACTCCCACCTCAGTTATATGATTCTTCACTTTAAAACCACCCATTTTATCCATTCTATATAAGCAAAACTGTGTGTACTCTGCACTAAAAACAACAACCCAGACAGTTTCAGTACAGTCTCTTTTGTGCCATATGTGTGTGTGAGAACTGGCTTATTTTTGCAGTTACAGTGGTACCTCGGGTTACAAACTTAAATCGTTCCGGAGGTCCGTTCTTAACCGAAAACCGTTCTTAACCTGAGGCACACTTTTGCTAATGGAGCCTCCCGCTGCTGCCGCCGTTCTCATCCTGGGGCAAAGTTCTCAACCCGAGGTACTATTTCTGGGTTAGCGGAGTTTGTAACCCAAAGTGTTTGTAACCCAAAAGGTTTGTAATCCGAGGTACCACTGTATTCAGCTTCTAAAAAAAATTTCTCAAGAGAACTGTAAGATGGCATTGGACATGGATGGGATGAAAATGGGCAGAAACGAATGGTGAGAGATACCAGCAACAAGAGAAGCAGTGGCAGTTGTGCAAGGCCCTAAAACCTCCCCAGCCATCTCACAAACACACTGAAAACCCTGACTAGCTCTTCTAAGAAACCCTTTGAAAACATTTCTGTTTTAAAAAAAATATAGTTGTTGCTTTGAAACCAAAAGCTGTGATTTGAGAACGCCAAGCCCTGCACTGATTTCCAGATTGCTTGCTGAAGCTGCAGGGTGCACACAACTCAGCCTATAGAACAGTATATCTCTTGAACTGCTTTATGTTCTCCTGGGTTACCCCTCCCTCTCTTGCCCCCCAAGGCTCTGGGTCAGTTTGATACTTCTGACTTCCAGCCTCCCCACCACCCGCCCCATGGCAACAGGGTGACGATCCACCCTTAGCCCCAAACCCCTTTACAGCCCCAGCCCTATTCGTTTGCTCACAGTCCTGGAATTGTAACAGTAAGTGCTCGTCCGCTTGAAAGATAAGAAGTTTTCTGTCTGATATCAGGAGGCCTGGTTCATCTGCCCCAGCAGCCCTGTTAGCAGGGCCAACCTCTGGCCACTGGGGACACAGGTCCTTTAATTCACAAAGAACGCATAGCGCATTTCGGAACGCAAGTTGTCTCCCGGGAACGTTTTCACCCTTTCCGGGCTTGCCGCGTTCATATTTATATATAGCTCTATTCACGTTATATATAAATATAATCTCTCTCTTTCTCTCTCTTATATATAATAAAAAGCACAAGCTGACTGCTATACCCACTTGGGAGTATAAGGTGCAGTAGCTGTGCTGCTCTCTCTCTCTTTCTCTCTCTTTTAAAAATCATTGTCTTTTCCTACACCCCCCCAAAAAAACCCCTTCGCTCCATGCTGTTTGCCACCATCCCCCCCCACCCAAGCAACACTGCTGTTTGGCCTGCTGGTGGGGGAGCTGGCAAGAAATTAACAAGGCAGGCAGGAAAAATCTGCCCCTTTTTAAAATAAAACCTTGCCGGCTTTTTCTCCTTTAAAAAATATCCCATTCCCCAAATCCAGAATTACCATAAATCTTGCACCCTAAAAACAACTCCCCCCCCTATAAAATTAAAAAAAAAAATCAAAACAAATTCAAATAAAAAATTTAAAAGGAAAAAAAATGCCGCCCTTTGGGATCCGATTGGCACAATGGCAAATTCAAGGGGCAGAGAGCAAAAAGCGCCGATGTGGTCACTCAAGGTGTGACAAGAGCCCCAAGCCATCCCATGTCACTCCACCACCCTCCAGGGCTGCATCTGCTACTCACAGGGAAGAAGAAGCACCCAGGACACAAACCCTCCAAATGCGAGTTGTCAAGAAAGCTCTGCTCCCGACCTCCCCACCACTTAACCATTCTCACCAGCTCAAATGTTTCCATTCTGGGGATTTGCAGAAGTGGTGCATCCTCCCCCCCAGCCCCACTAGTTTGCAACGCCATGACACTTCTCTCCACCGCCCCACTGCCCGCCAATCGGACCCACGGCGGCTTCCATTCACTCCTCTTTCTGCAGAGCTGGGAAGGAAAGCTTGTTCTCCGGGCACCGTTCAGGATCCCCGCTCAGCGTCCCGAAGAACGGGCTGTTGTTATTGCACGAGTCAGCGTCTCTGGCTAAGGCACAAGGTGATGTGGCTGAGGGGCAGGCTCCAGCCCCTGGGTCCTCGCCCACCGTGGGCGTGGTGCCCCCGTTCCCGTTCACCTGGGACTGAGGACGGCTGCTGCTGCTGCTACTGCTGTTGCCACCATTGTTGTTGTTGTTGAACTCTGGTGTCTTGGCAGTTCCTTCTGCAGAGCCCTGGCAAGTACAAGAGGAGGCCTTTAGCGGGGGTTGGAGTTGGAAAAACTAAGTAGAACACCCAGGTCCTGGGATACTGACTAGAGAGATCCAACCTAAAGATGCAAACACTTCTGAGATGGGGACAGAAGGCTGCTTCTATCAAAATCCTTTGCCTTGCATGCAGCATGACACAGAGAGTCCATACTGTTTACCAAACCAGTCCACGAGGTGAACTCTTTTAACCTCAGAGCCACTCGTCCACCTGCATCACACTGCCAAATCGTGAGGAGTTTTTTTTCCCATCTCAAAAGATGCAAGATAATGAAGGTAAAGGTAAAGGGACCCCTGACTGTTAGGTCCAGTCGTGGCCAACTCTGGGGTTGCGGCGCTCATCTCGCTTTACTGGCCGAGGGAGCCGGCGTACAGCTTCCGGGTCATGTGGCTAGCATGACTAAGCCGCTTCTGGTGAACCAGAGCAGTGCACGGAAACGCCGTTTACCTTCCCGCCGGAGCGGTACCTATTTATCTACTTGAAATATAATATGAAATATAGTAACATAACAAATATAATATGAAATATAATAACAGGTGCCAAATAAAAGAAAACAAAAGTGGAACAGAATACCTTGAACTAAACATAGGGGGGAAATTCCGTAGCAGAATCAAACATAATAAATTAATGTCACCCCCCCCAAAAGGTGCAAGACGTGAAGTCCAAGGAGAGAAACAGTTCTCTTATTTCTCATACCCAGGTAGCTCTTTTCCACCTAGGAACCATTCAATAGACAGGTGAAATGCAACCTGCTTTATACTGAAAGCCTTCTTTTGCTGGCGATGAGCTAAAACATCACCCTCATTTTATGGATGGAAAACTCAGCCACCCCTAGAAGGAAAAGGAGCTGAAAATAAGCAGGCCAAAGGGGGGGATAGACCTCCAAAAGCCCTATTCTGCAGCATCCATTTTTATTTCTTCCAAAATGTGCCTCATAGCGGCTGACATGAAGAGAACCCAGAGTGTGGGCCATTGCAGCAAGTCGGCAGATACTTTTAGAAGAGCAGGGAAAGGAGGATCCACCAGTGACATAAAAAAGGATTTGGACACTGCACAGGGAACAACAGGGGAGGCAGGGACACATACTTGCTTGCTCACTTTCTTGTTTCCTTTGGGAGTTTTTCCAGAGTTATCACGACCACGGCTGCAACAGGAAAGAAAGGTTTTTATGAATGGAAATGAGTCATTTTATAATGTTCTCCATCCAAAGTAGTAAGTTATTAAATTGGTTAGCTTAGTATCCTAAATCTCAAATTGGTTATATAGCCTTTTATAGCAAAAGGTATCTGTTAAAATCTAATTGATGAAACAATTAATTCGTTTAAAAGGCAGTTTCATTCAGCTTTAATCTTTAATTGATTTTAAGATCTTTCAACTTGCTCTGGATTCTCCCCACTCAATCCCGATTTACTGGTCTTCTCGTTCTTTTCCCAAACTGTTGAGACTCGTCTTCCCTTTCCACAGAAAGGTGCAGAATCCAGGGGCCAGGCTCCCCACTCCTCACTAGGAACCCCAAATCTCAAGAAACTGCAGGGGACAAAGGGAAACAACACCCTTTCCTGACAACCAAGGCTATACGAAGCCAAGGCGACTCGTCTAGTGGCACCTACCCTTTCCCTGGGCCTCCAACGGATACCACTTGCATGCCGAAGGAACCCTGCCCACGGGACGGCTTGCTTCCAGCCCACTGGCCCACCACCATGCCAGCAATCTCCAATTTGCCTCCTTGTGGCGGGATTGGGTGAAGACCTAGGAAAAGGGAAGAATCAGTAAGCAACTAAGCAGAGTAGGCTGGTTTGCACCCTAATTTGATCACCTGCACCCACAGCTCAAGGTCAAAGCATGAGAGTTGGAAAGAAATGGCCCTACTGCAAACTCAACAGAGATCACTGCACAGACAGAGGGCAGGCGAGGAAGCAAAACTGTTTCTGGGGCTGTACTACTTTAGACTGCAGGTGGGGAACAGCTTGCCTAAAAAGAAAAGAAACCCACCCCTACCCTAAACATTAATAAGTGGGAGGGGGGAGCCTGCAGGAGGAAGTTTGTGCAAATTAGATCAAGAGCTTCCTGCCAGGGCAAATAGGATATGATGTAACTCCCAGTGGCTGGCTCACTATTTGCTAGAGAGAAGCAGGCTATATATCATATGAAGCAAACACGTAACAGAGGCAACTGGAAGCACAGCAACTTACCTGTGAAGCCTCTAGTCCTCCCAGGGGCTGAAGGCTGAACAGAACCAATGGCGCGAGGATAGAGAGGCATAGGGTAAAAGGATGGGGCCATGGAAGATACAAAGGGTGGAGGTGGGAGCAGGGGAGGCGGAGCCTGGCGGTTGAAGTTGATGCCTTCCAGGATGCTCTGCCTCATCTTCTCTACCTTGGACACCTGTTCATTCTGTGGATCAAGGAGGAGTAGGAGGGAGACAAAAAAATAACTGGACCAGAGTTTGATGGTATTATAAAAGTGCCAGGCACTTCCCACCGCTGTATCCCTCCAGTAAAACAATATCAAGGTCATGGAGTGTAACTAGGGTGGGCCAGTTAGGGCAGTTTGCCCTGGGTATCATATGGGGAAGAAGGGTCCAAGGGCACATATTATGTGATGCATCGACAATTATTTGAACAGACAATGGAGAATGTGATCCGGTCGAAGTTAAGCACTTTGACTCCCCCACTGTAATCAGTAGGATGTGAAAATGCCTAACAAGATTGAGAGCCTTGTGGTGTATTCTATTCAGTATGAAGTAATTAAGTATGTTCTGCAGATAATAGATTGAAGCCAGATACCAGTTTGCTCAGAGGCTTGGTCATGGCAGCAGGCCAGGCAGAGTGGCAGTTTCTCATTAGCTTTGTGCCTGCAGCTTAACAATACACAAAAAAGCACATTCAGCTGTTGAATACTGCTGGTGGGTGGGTGCTGCGGTTGGGGGGGGGGGGAGAATAACTAAAGGCATTAGACAGCAGCAGCCAGAGAACTTTTGACAACACTCTTAGTTTCACCTACAACTACGAGGTGAGCATGTGTAGATCGCACAGGAACAACTAGATGTGGCACTGAATCAAGGACTAAGCAGCAACTCAGGAAGTCAGCAGCAGGATCAGCAGCCACTTCCTGCTCAGCAGCCACTTCCTTCTAGGAGTGCTAACCCTTACCTGTCCATCGCACAGGTCTATCAGGGGTGCCTTTTCCCATGTGGCTTTGATTAGCTTGCTCTGGAAAAGCTTCCCGTCAAAGTAGATCCATGGGCAGCAATGTTCCCAAGGGACGGGCTGCCCACATGCATCATTGGCAAAAAGGGCTGTGTCCACTCCACTCATAAATAGGGCAGCCAGCTGAACTCCCCGGGGATCCAGCTTCTCAATCTGCAATGGAAGCAACATACCTTCAGCCATCAAGGAGCTCAGTTTAGTAACAGTCCCCCACTTTGTCACGGAGACCTTAGTAACTGAGTGAGTTACCCACAAGCCTGTATTTGTAATGCAGGAGAGAGCAACAATGAGGCTTAGCACAGGAAAATGATAATGATGGTGACGATGATAAGTATCAGATGGAAGCCTGAGACACAGCACAGGGCTTTCATTTTTGACCTCCAAAGTCAACCAAGTCAGACCTACTCGTATGAATACCACAGGGTTAAAAAGAGGAGAGCATATCCGTCAAAAGCAGAGGTCAGCAAACTTTTTCAGCAGGGAGCCGGTCCACTGTCCCTCAGACCTTGTGGGGGGCCGGACTATATTTTGAAGGAAAAAAATGAACATATTCCTATACCCCACAAATAACCCAGAGATGCATTTAAAATAAAAGCACACATTCTACTCACGTAAAAACAGGCTGATTCCCAGACCATCCGCGGGCCGGATTTAGAAGGTGATTGGGCCGGATCCGGCCCCCGGGCCTTAGTTTGCCTACCCATGGTTAAAAGTGTCTTTTTGAGGTCCCTGCTCTCACCAGCCCTGGAGAGATTAATCTACTACATAATGGGCCAGAAGCAGGAACCAGACGCAAATACCCCATACCAAAATTTGTTAGGGCTCAGGCCTGTTCCACCAAATCTTCCCATCTCTCATCAGGGCAGACCTCTCTCTGCCAGATGTTCTCTGTGAGCCAAACTTTTAGTAGCTCTACACTGGGCAATGCGCTCTGGAGTCACGGCTCATGTGGGTATCGTACTCCCACCCTCTCTTCTCTTAGCTTTTCTACCTATCCCTTGCTGGACCATGCCCCGTTTTTAATGGAACAAAAAAATAATAGATGCAAATACCTCCAGGTATGTATGACGTGTCCTTCGTTCCCAGGGAGTACCTGCAACCTGTCCCCTCCCTCCATATTTAATATATTAAGAAGCAGGGCTCTCGGGGGGGGGCACCAGGTGGCACATTGGAAGATGGCCGACAATAACATCTCTCCGACCCACACGAGGTAATTAAGAGGCTGCTATGGGTAGTATGCAGCCTTCCCGACCTCCCAAGGAGATGGGGGGGACTGCCTTGCCAGCGGTGTCCATAATGCACCCCCGGAATCGAAAGATGGGGGTGCCCGGTCACTTGGCACAAGCCCTCGGTGAAGTCGGCTCTTCCGGACGCTTTCTCCAATCGCGCTCTGGTTTGCTTCAGCTCGAAAATATAATTGGAAAGAAGCTGAAGCACATACATCAAGTGAAGTTCGGGAGTTAAGACTGCTGATTAATGCATCTCTGTGACCGGAGCGACGGGAGGGACAAATAAATGAAGTGATGAACCACCATTAAGAGACTGGTATGTTTGGAATGAAAAGGAAGGGGGGTGGAGGAAAAAACTTTTCTTTTCTTTGCCTTATGTGAGTATTAATAACCCTCCACCCCAGAAAGACGAATCGTTGCATTTTATTAATCACAAGCAGGAACTCAAGAGCTGTGTGGAGTGAATTATTGATTGAAGAGAGGACTGGTAAATATCGGAGAACGGAGGAAAATTTTATGACGCAGTTTTAAATGGCATCTTGCTAAGACAGGCTTGTCTAAGAAAGACGGGGGGAGGAGGACCAGGATCATCGGAATGCGAATGATGAATGGAATGTGATCTAAACCTGGCAGAGCCCTCGGATATACTTGGCAAGCCTAGGAAAATTAATGGACAGACCGAGGATAAATTCTTTACGGAGGTGTGGAATGGTGTCTGTCCCTATGAGATATGATTTTTGGAGAGTGTTAAACCCACACAGAGGATGTTTGTTTCCAACCCGCTTGTGAAGATTATCAGAGATCGCAAAGAAAGGAATATATGATAACAACAAGAAGATGAAGAAAGTAATAAAGAGACTATCTGGACAGAACTGGATAGAACTGTCTAATTAAAGCAGCAATATAAGTGATGTTTGGACCCCCTTCCGGAGCTTGGAGTATGGGCACCCCCAACAAAATTTAAAAATCTGGCTGTATAATTTGGAACTAATGTGATTTGGAAATAATGTGATTTGATTGGCCTGTTAATAAAAATTATATTTAAAGGGGGAAAAAGAAGCAGAGCTCTTCCAGAGGGCATGGTTTCTGGCTCTCAAGGAGACGTGAGCCCCAGCACCTCTTTCCTTAACAAAAGGAGGGCTGGTTCTACTGCTTCAGGCAACTTTTATTTCTCCAAAGATTTTTATTAAAGTTTTCACGATACAATAAAATAGTATCTAAAGCGAATAGAATCAAAAAGACAAGAAATAGAGGAGGGAGGGAAGAAGAAGAAAAGAGAGAGAAAAAGAACAGATAGGAAACATTAACACCAATAATAGTAATGATAATAAAACACCAAATTATATGTATATAGCCCTCGCTCATAAACTTCAATCCCCATATAAGGAAGAGTCTTCTCAGCTGTCACCTGGGAGAGCTTACCTCTTCCTCAGTCTCACACCCTGGAAAAGACCCTCTCCTATCACCTCTCTGTATGTATCTTCATTTAAGAAATCAAAAGAAAAATAAACTATAAAAAATAAGCAATCATAAAGAAAACAGAGTAAAGGGGGGGCTTCCGCTTCTCTATCTGCCAATTATTTGTATTTTCGATTACTCAAAATATGTAGCATTTACACTCCAGAAATATCCAGTTTTCCCCATTCTGCTAGATCTCAAATTTTCTTCCCAGACATCTTTTCTCACTCAGGAAGTATAATGTAGCTCTTCATTTACGCATTGTTATCTTCAAGTGTCCAATATGTATATTTTCCCCCAGTTCCTCGTGGTGAGTTTCTCCTCAGGGGTTCCAACCTTTCTCAGTAATGTAGTAATTCATCTTTGTTTGCCTGTTAAATCTTCATTAAATCATTTTTCATTCTTTTCTTTTCCCCCATCTCCTTTTCTGTTTGCGTATTTGTTATTCCACATCTCATCAGACACAGCTTTGAAAGCGCATTCAGTATAAAAAACTATGCTCTGAACTGTCATCAGCTGTTTTTGTGGTCAGTAAATTTCCAACTTTACAGCAGATTTCGTCATCAGCTCCCACCTTTCTGGCAGCCATAAATCTGTCTCCTCAGCTCCATCTGGTATTTTTTTCACATTTAGACAAAAATGGTCCCTCTGTTCGCCGACTGCAGATCCTGCACCTCCCATTCGTCTTATCTGTATCCCAATCTCCTTAACCATCTCCTGTAATCTGTTTAAGTCTATTAGCTGTGCCTTTGCACGAGTTTAAGGATCAGTGATGTCTTTAGTGTCAGCATGATATATTACGCTGTCTTCGCTTCTCTGTGTTGTGTGACGCAGACAGCAATTCCTACTTTCATTTTCCATCAACTCAGCACACGGAAACAAGGGTTTACAAAAGACGTAAAAAATAAATTATAAGCAATTTTGAGCTCCAATATTTCCAGGCAGTAAATTATTTAGATCTTCTTGAAAAGGCTTTCTGCCTGTTATCTGTTATTGCTTTTAACTGTCTGCAGTCTTTTCCCTCTGTGTGTTATTAATTGACAAATACAGAATCCAATTTATATTCCTTTCTTTCCAGTCCTACTAATAATAATTAAGATAAGGAGGGTGCAAACTTTAAGCTCTAGTTTAAGAGCGATTATGCAGTGCTCAAACCAATATATTCACCTGGCTGTAGACACATTTCACCTCCACAGAGATTTATCTTTCCCTCAGTACGACAATGAATGTCTTCTTCAGAATATCTGAGGCTGTGCTCTTCAACATCCCTTAGTCCCAAGGGGAGTTAGGTAGCCAGATTTATCCCCTGACCACCTCTCATCTCTGCTGGTGTAGCAGACGTTATCTCAGTTCGCCATAGTTCCAACCAGAAATCCCTGCTTCAGACAACTTTTAAAGATCACAGTGGCCCTCCTGTTACACCTCTAAACACTATGCCACAGATTTCTTTCACTACTGCTCTATATCAAATTCCTCTGCTTAAAGGTCTATGCAATCCAATGTCATACATGCAGGATGACTTTATGTACATCACAAGTTTTAGGTCTTGTTGTCATAAGCAACAGGAAGTGGTAGTAAACCCATTTGTGGATGGCCCCTCTGTAACCGGGGCTCTCATGATGGAATGTTCATGCACAGAAAAGGTTCCCTGTACACAGAAAACTAGAATACCAGTAAGAAAGCCAAGATATTATGCTAGAACCCTCCCTCAACCACCACCAACAAGCCTGCATGCTCATTTTCTATGTACAAGGAATATATGATCTCTCACCCGCAGTCTGAAGCAGAACAGCCCAAACATAGGTGAATTCCAGCCTAACAAGCCTTGTCAGCAGAAGCCCTGTGCAAGGACTTCCACTTGCACAATGGGGCTTTCCACCCCCCATCCCCCGCATGAGTCCCAAAACTAACTTGGGAGGGGGGTGTCAAGAGAACATCCAAAACACCTTGCAGGGAGGAAAGAGGGAGGGAGAAGGGCTGCAATACTTGCGCAGACAGAATGTTTTGTCCTAGCACAATACTGAATTCCACCCATTGTATCATCTGCCATCAGAGACAAGACAGGAGTCTGAAATTTCAGGTTTTGCAAAATTAGAAGTTTTGGGTTAGCAGGAACAACAGCAGTATGAGAGGAGATGGGATGGGGTGGGATGGGTGAGTGAGTGAAAGGCAGCAAGGAAGCATGGACAAGGGGAGTGCATCTCAAAAAATGCATGATTTGCAGGAAGGTTTTGCCTCTCATGGACAAGAAAGTTTCCCCTTCCTTAGCCCACGAGCTCTAATCCACTGAGCTGCCTTCCCGATTCCCTGCAACAGAGATGGGGAATCAATGCCCTCCAAATGCAGTTGGACTCCACCTCTCATCAGTGCCAGTAGCCACAGCCAATAGTCAGGGATTGTGGGAACTGTAGTCCAGCAACATCTGAGATGGTTCCTAGATTAAGGTTACCATATTTTATTCAATGAATCCAGGGACACTTTTCAACTTCAATGGGTTTTGTATGGGGACTGAATTGTAAATCCGGGGACTGTCCCCGGGAAACAGGGATATCTGGTAACCTTATCCTAGATTCCCCACTCCTGCCCTAAGGGTATAAAGATTGCACAGATCAAATCCAAGCTCAACCTTACCTTCAGTTCTTGAAGCTGATCTGGCTCATATAGCTGAGCAGACACAGCCTGGGCCAGGAAGGCATCCAACTCGTGTCTATGCAGGATCCGACCCCCAGGCCATTGTATCATGTATCTTTAAAAAAAGGAAAATACGACAGAATATATAAATCAAAAGAGTTACTCCACCACGTACTGGGGAGGAAAGGAAACCAAAGGGACACTTCCCAGCTTCTTTTTCTATTTAACTTCAATGCAGCAGGAGGTTACAAGAATTTAACAGGAACTCAACATTAATAGCTAGATAGATAGGCATCTATACCTTGTATTTTCTTGGAAACTCAAAATTGGTAAATAGAATGTTCTTTCAGTTACTAGAATAAGTTTTGAGCCTCAATTCAGGAGATGATGTAACTGGCACTCCACTCGCCCGTACACAGAGCCACAGTTCTTCCAAATCCTGCTGTGCCATTCCACCCATCCTGTCTCAGGAGCCCTCCCTCCTGAGTATTCCCACCCATCATGGCCAGACCTGCCCCACTCACCGTAGCACACAGCACATAAGCAGCAGATGTGTGGGGACATTGGCGGGATTGAGCATGCCGGGGGTGTCTGATTTCATACAGGCCAAGAAGGCTCTCATGCGTCGGTTCTTGTCCTCCACTGCTTTGCCCAGCCACAGCTTCTTGAGGTTGGGACATGTCCACTCTCGAAAAGCAAGGGCCGATACCAATTCTGGAGTCTGTGGGGATTTCCCCTTGTACGCCGACCATTCCTTGACGATAACAGGAGGAGCTATGGAGGAAAGAACAGGGCCCATTTGACTGCGAGGATAAAACACTTGCACACTGTTCCTGTAAGGAGACATAGAAGGCACTTCCCCAAGCTTACATGATCAGGAGAAACACCACTTGGACCCAGCCCACCTGGAGGACAGATACACGAAACCAGGATGCTGCCTATCAATTGACGACTGAACCTATTCAGCAGACATGTACCGCAAGTCAAGGCCAACCTGTACCGCAGTTCAACACAATGGGCAATAAAAAAAAGGCCCTTGCTGCCAATGAATCTCCATATTCCAAAAAGTGCCCAGGATACCTCTGGGAGGCCCACCTTCCACTTTTACGAACACAGCACTGGAACAGTAAAGCAACCGCAGGCTGAAGAAGGGATCACCTACTTTTCACAGGGATACGCTTGCGCACAGCCAGCCGTTCCATCCGCCTCTGGGTCTCAGCCACACTGAAGAGGACGCCATAGACATGCTGCCGCGCAGCCCGGAAAAGGACAGCTGCTGGCGGCAGCTCGGTGTTGCACTCGTCTTCAATGCACACTGGGATCTTGATTTCACCCTGGAATGGAGGGTTGGAAACTGAGGGTCCAGGACTGCTGGCTCTCAGCCCCTGTGCTGCCCTCCAAGCCACCCCACAGAGAGCCAGTTAAAATAACTTAAAAGGTCCACTGCCAACCCCCAGCTCACCTTCGTTAGGACATGGTAGATGAATGGGTACATAAGCCCTCGCCGGTGCCGGTGCTCAGCCACCCGAAGCACCTCGGGGGCAACAGTGGGCAGGGGCGGGGTGGTGATGTCCATGTGGTTGCGAGTCGCCATGGAGAGCAGCGAAGGAATGTGAGCCTCAGGCCCACTCAGGCTCCTCTCCGAGTTGCCAGTGCCCCCAGGTGGCTGCCCCCAGCCCTGAGTCATCCTCTTCTCAGCCCCAGGATCCTCCCAGCCAGACTTGCGAGGTCCGGATTCAGAGACGTGACTGCAGCAGTGAGAGGAAAGGGATACGCTAGCAGTCTCACACCCCGTAGCAAGCAGCAAAGCCAGGACTTGGCCCTTCTATCCAGCTTCTTCCCCCACCCCACCACACCATGAGATCAAAACTGAGGAATCCTCCTGGTTCCACCAGCCCTGCTCAATGCTGTGCACTTTCCCAGACACATGAACAGCAGTCATGGGCCCCTCCAATCCACCTTCTTCCATACATCCATAGCTGCCACCCCCGTCTGTCCTGCAGATCTCAGAATGCTGCTAGGTCCCCACTCACTTGGAACTGGTTCCGTTGTGCTCTTCTCCATCGGAGGAGGAGGAGGGCGAAGACCCAGGCCCAGACGATGGGGAGGGCTTGGAACTCAGGTGGTGGTTGGGGAACTTGGCGGGGCAGTTGTCATATGAAACAGGCCAGTTGTTGAAATGTCCGCCCTTCAGAGCAGGGTCCTCGTGGAAAGGGGCTGCATCCACCAGGCCATGTGGAGAGAAGAGAAAACTGGAGCCAGGGCCGGGAAGGAAAGACGAGGAGGCGGCAACACCGCCATGAGTGGAAGGCGGATGGTACTGCATCTTTGGCCCCATCTGAGGTGCAAACTGGAGATGGAAGCAAAGGGGGAAAAAGGGTTGACAGATTGTCATTGGGGCTACCTGAGCGAAGCTGGAGAAGGGCCACAGCTTAGCAGCAGAGAACATGCTTTGCAGGCAGTCTCTGATCCCCAGGATCTGCAGTACAAAATGGGCTCAAAGAACAAGTGATGAGAGAGACCTCTGCATGAAACCCTGGACAGTGGCTGGCAGTCAGAAATAGATGGATCATGTACTGTCTACATCTTTAGCTCAAGCAACTATAAGAGTTAGAAACAAGAGTTTTATTTTTTTAAAGGCTGAGATGCCTATGATGATAACATGCGTCAGATGCCACACTCCATATGGTATCACAGACTCATGGAATGTGCACAGCCCTGGCTTGGCAGAAGATGCAATGCAACAGATTTAAAAGGAGGCAGTGGTAACAAGAGGGGATCATTCTCATGGTACAGTTTTATAGCTCTCCTTGAAACGGGACCAAATGCTCGCAAGAGCACCTGCATATGAATGAATTGCAGGTGCAGACCTACCCTTTGCAAACACAGAATTTGGCCTTGGTCAGCAGATTTATACTTTATGAAGAATGAGACAGACTGTGGTAAAATTCCAGACTGTACTACTTCAGTCTGAGTGCAGGAGGGAGAGGGTGTCATGTTTTTGAATGCTGTGAACTAGAGGAATATGTTTATCACAAGCCTCTTTTTTATGTGCTGGTCTGTTATACGTATGTGGCTTTTTGCATAAGAGAGCATTTTTAAAAATGACACACCCCTTGCTGCCTGAAGTAGCACAATCCAGAATTCAATCCAGAATTCAACTGCCTCACTCTCCGCTGAAATACAAAATAAGCTTGTTATAGGCTTGGCTTCCAACAAGCAACAGTCTCCCCTCAATAACCCAATGAGCGATAAGGAGGCACAGCCACTGACCTGTCTATCTTGAACACAGTAATGAACAAAATTATCAAGAAAAGTTGAACATCTGCCTAAAACAAGTCTGGGGACTTACCACAGCCTTCCCAGAAGGGAGCGGTACCATTGGATTGCGGTTCATAGGTGCTGCCCCTCCAAAGTGGTTGGGCCCAAAAGCTGGAACTGAAACACAGAATTGTCACCTTGTTAAAATACAGGAATCTCCATTTTCCCAGCACACCCTTGCCAGGACCATTAAAAAGACCGAGTGTGGATACCTGCCAATGTACAAGTTGGTTAAACTAGGATGTGGTTGATGAACATTTCAAAAAGCAGGTGTGAGCAGGGGGAGTCATATTTTTGTTTATGAAGGAAAGTCATTTATGTCTTTCCCAAGCTGGTGACTCTGCCTTTGTACCTTTGGCCAACCTTATGGTACTCTGCCATGCTGGAACCCCTGCACATGGCAGCATGGTTTAGGAAAGTAGCTCTCAAAGATTTGCGTAAATCTCCTGAGAAGAGGGTGGTGTTCAATGCAGAATGAGGACACATACTTTGGTCCAGAAATCCTGGAGGAATTTTGTCTGAAAAGTCACTCCAGACCAAAAAAAGAAAGGAGGGGGTGCTGATTGATATACCAGTTCTCTTGTCCAGCAAAAGGTAAATAGTAGACTGCAGTTCACTGGCAAACCATTGTTCAATTTTCAACAGATTCCATATTTCCTCTGATTATTGAGATTCTTGCAAAAGATGCTGGACTAGGGGAATTTAAAGTCCATCAAGGCACCTATATCCTTAAACAAGTATGCATATTCAGAGGCACTTAACCCAGATTAGCTATGCCTCGTTAAGAGATCCTGAGAATGCACTCTTGCTATGTAACTTTAACACACAACTGTGGACAATGAGGAACGGCTGTTAATAGTAGTTTTGTAGGAGGGCAGAATGTGTGAATGGCTCAATGAGATTACCAGCACCTGGCCTGGAAAGGTGCTCCAGTGCCTTTAGCAGACCGTGACACAGAGAAGTTCAAAAGGTGGAGTTTCTGGCTCCCTGTAATGCATGGCCACTGGGAAAGCCACTCCAAACTTCTTCCAGCCACGTGGCTAATGAAAGGCACCCAAGCCCTTTGGACCAGGAGGTGGCAACTCTAGAGAAAAGTGCAGACTTGATCTCTCCCAGCGGAGGGCGCCATAGGGTATCAGGCAGGGCCTCACCTTCTTGGACAGCGGGAGAAAACACGGCTGAGAGGGAGGTGAGGTTGACCAGCGCCGCCTGGATACTCACGAACATACGGGGACTGGCCCACTGGGGTAGGCGGTGCCTTCGTGGCCACGGAATAGTATTCTACAGCCTTCTTGAAACGCTCAATTTTATCTTCGGTCCTGGACTGGGGAGGAACCAGAGGAAAAGAAAGTGACAGGGGCGGGGACAGGAGTGCGGCCAATTGCAAGTCACAATGGCATTCGGTGTGAAAATCCTACCACCTGCTCAAGCCGACCAGCACAGAGGGCTTTAATGTTATGCGATCTTCTACTGTTACGGGGTTGGAGACACAGGCCACTATGAACCAACCAGCTGCTGTGGACTGTGGAGGCGCTGAAATGGCAACCCAGGATCTAACCCTCATTTTAGCAGTCCCCATAAATAAGCCTCTTTTCCTTCTGTGGATCCCTTTATCCCAAACCTCTCCACTGCCTGCAACTTTCACAGCAGCCGCGATGATAGGTGGAAATTTAGCCCTACACCACAGGCTCTGTCTCACCTGCGAGTGCTTGAAGACATCTCTCCCTATCACATCCAAGTTGGAGGGATTTTTGATGGCGCTGACATACTCGGACACAGCCTTGATGACTACATCACAGGGTGGCAGGACCAGCTGATGGGCGCGCACCTAGAACCAGCACACAAAGCACTTAAAATCCCTGGCAAAGGCAAACAGCAAGACAACATCTCTGTGCTCTACAGGCCTGGTAAGCAACAAGTTCTACCAGAGGGCTATTTTGGGGACAGTCCCCACACCCAGCAGGTGGATGAACAGGAAGTCCTACTGCCGCAGACTCTTTCTACATGTCTCTTTCTTCTCTGGACTTGCAATAGGGTACCATAGGAAGATACATGGCTTGTACCTTTCAGGGACCAAATTTGGCCCTGGGGCCTCCCAGCTGCTGATCCCTAGTGCAGAAGCATGGTGTTACGAGATCCTGAAATGGCTCCACCCTATTATGCAGCTCTTGCTAGTGACAGAAGCTCACCTGGTTCAACTGCCTTATCCCAAAGCAGGATCCTCTGCGCATCACTGACTTTGACACCAGAGTTTAAGGGCAGATTCACATAACAATCATGTTTGTTGGGGATACAACATATCGTTTGGCATTTGCTACAGAAAAGGAGTATGAAGGAAGATTGCTGGAATCTCTAAACATGAAGGGATATGAAGTGAGCATATACCAGGGAAGCTGCAAATCGGCTACAGCTCCCTGCCATATACCCACTGCATGTCTGAAGTCATATTATCTCCTCTTCATACGTTTTTGTGTTTGCCAAGTTACTTGGGAGGTACTCATTTTCTCAAACCATCAGGGGAGACCCTTCTCTGGGTGTGCTCCCATCACCTTAAGAGGCATGGCCTTCTCAGGAATGGTACCCTCCTTATCCCCTTTCACTTCCCAAGACCTTTCTGTTTAGCTAGTCCTTTGGGCAAGCATCACTAATGTACTTTGTTTTATCTTGGCTGTTGTATTGATTTAAAATGTTCTAATTCCAATGTAGGTTTTATATGGCATTATTATAACTGTTTCCTAAGCCCCCTTGAGAACCCTTGTGGTGCAAGGAGACATACCTTTTCACACAAATAAAGATACTTACAACACAAATCAAACACTGGCATACCCCTGGCAAATACGACTGCCTAGGGAATAAAGCATGTACTGATCTTAGCTCCTTTACAGCAGCCAGCATGGAGCTTGACATTGGCAGAGAACAGGAGAGTAACCCATGCCAGAGGTTCATCATGAATTTCCTCCTCTTGTTGTGTGGCTATATCCATCAAAAGTCCTCCAGCTATATGAAGCTGTGGCAGTAGTTTAAAAACAAAAAACTAAACAAACAAAAACAAAAAAATGATGCTGGAAAAATGCACCCTAACCCTCCAAGAGTCATGCTGTGACTCTTTTTTTCTAGACCTAGCCTAACCCCATTATATCTCTATACAGAAGTTGCTGAACTACAAATTCCATCATGTCTGACCATTGGCCATGCTGGGGCTGATGGGAGTTGGAGTCCAACATCTAGAGAACTACCAGCCCTCCCATGCTCCACTCCTCTTCCAGAGCTAGGGACAGAAATCTTAGTTTTTATTAGCCTTGGTCCAAACTGCATTTCTCCCACTTGTCTGAAGGACAAATGTCGTACGGAGTTCAAGTAGAGCTATCCTCAGCACCACCACTCTAAACATCAGAGCCACGCTTTCCCAGAACTGGTTTTGAAAGCACTGCCTCTCCTGCCGCTCTTCAGAAACAATCATGTCTCCCAAGAGTTGTGGACAAAAGATTTTGGAGTGCTAGTTCCAATCCACCTCACAGTCTTTTCTCCTTAAGACACCACTGCACCAGTTCATTCCCCAAAGGGTTTCCTGCCTTGCTGCCCTCAAGACAGGCCAAGGGGATGCTGGCACTACCTTGAGTGAAGCTAGTGGGTGGTCTGGTCCAAGAAGGCTCCAATGGAAGGCAGCCAAATCTTCATCTGGAAGGATGTGGTTCCCTGGGAGCAAAAAGGGGATAATAACTGAAAGCTGCCAACAAACAAGAGGATTCAAACCCTCTGCCCCCCCATCCAATTTATTTCTCTGCCTTTCCAATAGGTAAAACACAGGTATGCAGAAACAGGTCTCATTGGACTGAACCTGCTAGTGTTAAGGTTTAAGCACATTAAGTATAAAGGTAAAAGTAAAGGGACCCCTGACATTTAAGTCTAGTCGCGAACGACTCCGGGGTTGCACGGAAACGCCATTTACCTTCCCACCGGAGTGGTACCTATTTATCTACTTGCACTGCATGCTTTCGAACTGCTAGGTTGGCAGGAGCTGGGACCGAACAACAGGAGCTCACCCCGTCGCGGGGCCTCAAACCGCCAACCTTCCAATCGGCAAGTCCAAGCGGCACTGTGGTTTAAACCACAGTGCCACCCGCGTCCCATACATTAAGTATAGCGTGATGCTAAAGACTCTCCTGCACACAACACACACATATCCACATTCTAGTACAGAAGTTATATACGTTTGCATGGAGCTACTTAATTTGCACATGTTCCTCCAGCTGAAACAAAGCACAAATTGAATCCAAGCCCAACCAAGGTGACGGAAGTTCCTAAGGAGAGTGTGTCTGGAGTTATCAATACCTCATTCTGAGAGGAGCAACTTGAATTCTCTGTCCACATTCAATTTCTCTCTGTGGAAGCTTCTTGTGCCAGCAACGGCCCAGAAACTGCAAGCACATTTGGCTTCCATCCACGTTCTAGACTTCAGCCAGTATAGTGTTCAGTTGGACTCATAGGAATTGTTCTTATGGCCTTGACCAAGGCGTCTCGTAAAGTTTTCTGAGGTCATAGGTATGGTGGATCACTTACAGAACCACTTTCCAGATGCTCTCAGCGTCACTCAAAGCCTTTTCCCTGAGGAAAATATTAAGCACTCATGCCCTGAACAGAATTTAAGTTTTCTCTCATCTTCACTGCACGTTCCTCTTCTTTCTCATGTTGAAGACACACATTGGCGAGGGGCTGTAGCCCAAGTGGTAATGCCATCCCAGTTAAAAATATCTTATCCAGGAGAGCTGCTGCCAGTCAGAGTAGACAATACTAGGCGGAATGGTCTAACTCTACACGGATCCGATATAGCAGAAGGCAGCTTCACATGTTCAGACAACCTTCCACTTTCTTTCTAGTTCCTGCCAACACTAGTGCAGTGTAGTGATTTAGCGTGTTGCACTAGGACTCCACTCAGCCATGAATGGTGACCTTGGGCCAATCAGTCTCTTAGCCTAACCTACCTCACAGGGTTGTGGTGAAGATAATTAAGGGTGGCGGTGAAGAACCATGTGTCCCACCTTGAGCTCCTTGGAGGAAAGGTGAGATATAAATATAATAATTAGATAAATAAATACACAGCAGCCCTTCGCCAACATCTGGACACATCCTAACTCTCTTTTTCTTTCCCCCAGATCAGAGACTCCCTGCTTGAGTAGCACCAAACACTGAAGTTGGGGGGAAGCTGGGAGTTTGAAAATGAATTTAGCACCTGTGATTTGACAGCCCTTCCTGGGTCTCTCATTAGCCTGAGAGATACCAGTCATTTCATGTGTAAAATTAAGCCGGATCGTGGCTTTGCCCAGAGACACCCTGGGAATGCTATAGTTAGGCAGAGAAAAGACTGTGTGTGAAACATTTAACTAACACACTTTTTTGAGTACTTCTACCCCTCATTTTAAAGTCAAGGCACTGAAATATATGCTGCTGAACTGTGCCACTGCCTACTCCTGCTGATTTTATGTTTCACTCTTTTTACAGCCTTCACAACAACTGTGGGAGGTGAGTTAGGCCATGGGAGAGCATCTTGCTCATGGCTGCCTAGTGAGCTTTTTGCCCAATTGGACCCAATCCTCTGAAACCTTCACTCACTTCACCACTCAGCCAATCCAGTTTCAACATACCGAGCAAGGCAGCGAAGATGGGGAAGCTGCTTAGCTTGAGGCCCAGCTGCTTGGCCACTTCTTGCATCAGGAACTGGTTGGTGGTGAGGTTCTTGCCATTCCAGCTCAGTTTGAGGGCATGGGAGCTATAATAGGAGGGTATGTTGCAGAGGGCATACTCGGAGTCATGGGCAATGAGCCCATGGAAACCATTCTCCCGGAAGAAGGATACCACTTCCTGGTGATGATCCTCCAGGCTCTGGAACACCTGCAGAAAAGAAGGGACGAGGCTGAGTAAAAAGGCACACTGCAGCAAAGCTCTTTCGTGCTTTCTGTTAAGCCCCCCCAGTACAGAATTCACTTCAGGGCAATTCCTCCACAGACTCCATCTGCTTATATATGCAGGAAAGTGGCTCACTTCCCTTTGGAAGCTGAAAGGTATGGCATGTGAATATCAAAAATGTCATCAGAACAAGGTGTCTAGACATCATGTGTTTCAGTTTCATGCTGTTCTGCAAACTCTGGTTAAAGTTAACCGTGGTCTGTGATAAATTCAGGGCAAATATAACACTAAAGAGGAAGGAGGAGAATTAGAAGGGGAAAGGGAGTGGGGAGGAAGGAGGTTCCTATCTCTTAATCATGATTAGGAGGTTGTAAAATATTACATGTACACTAGATTTAGGTGTTTTTCAAGAGATATCCCACACTACAGGTTTTATCTCATATCAAGTGGGTCAACAGCCTTCCTTCCTTGTTTCTCAAGAAAAAGACATTATATACACCAGAGATCACTACTATGCTGCTTGCAGGTACCATATGGCATCCATGAATTTCTGAGTTTTTCTATTCCCTTCCCCCTTTGGTCATGAGGTGGTGAAGATGGTTACCTGTTTCTCACTTGAAAAGTACACAGGGCTGAAGGGGGAAGCTGGAAGAGCGATGTTCTTTGTCACTTCCCTTTTCAGCTCTATGTGCTTCTCAGGACTCACAGTCCCAGATCTGACTTTTACCTAGACCCCTTGGGAAAGTGAAGTGTGTGCACTTCTATCGCTCAGTCCTGGTGGTGTGAGGGTGGAGAAGAGAAGTTATCAGAGGGCATGGCACCCACAGCACTCACTCCAAATGTGCCCAGAGGCCCAAAATGGTTGGCACCCGTAACCTATACAGTTAATGGTTTACTGTGATTCACTTCATATTTCTCAAGAGGGGACAGAGGCTGGAAAGCTATTTTAGTGTGAGAAAGAAACCAAGCAAAACAAACTGGAAGCAAGACAGAAACTCTTAAAAACCAAAGGTGATTAATGGCAAAGCAGCAAGAACTAGGCTGTTTATCTTTCAAATCAGGATTTTAAAAAACAATATAAAGGCAGATCCTGGAGGTTTTTTGACCACCCTATTATCCAACTATTGAACATTTAAGGGACTGGGTCCTGTCACTGTAATCTTAAGGCTTTGTTCCTCTGCCCCAACCCAAAAATAAATAAATTCTTTGACATTTAATGGGAAGCAAGACATTACTCTTGCTATAAATGGTGGCCACTAGCATTTCCTTAGTGATCGTTAGTCCTTTAGCTGAAATCTTTAGCCCTTTCAGAAGAACATTTTGCAAACCCCTAAGGCTTAAAGATCCTGTCCCTGAAAAACATGAAAAGGGCCTCCTGAAGATGATGCAGAAGTATTTGCTAGGGAGGGTTAATGGATAAAATGATGGAATTCGTTCCTACAAGACACGGTGATGGTTCACTAGCTCAATTAGCTTGTATAAACTATTTTTTGTCATATTCATGGAGAATATGACCATCCATACTCACATCCATGATAGATAAATACCTTTGATGTTCAGAGGCATAAAATCTACTGAATACCAGGAGCAAGCCATCAGCTGTGTGCTCCCAAAGACTAGGCTGGTTGCTAGACTACATAGACATCAGGCTGATTCTCCCACCTGCAATTTTGGAAATTTAACTTCATTGGATCAGAAATCCAAGTGTGTCTCGTTTCTCCTGCCGCCTCTCAAACATCTGTCAGTTATTATTTTTATTTGTGTCCTTTCCTGTTTCCTGCATTGAATGATTCCATGCCCACCCACCCAGTAAATACAGAATGCTGGTATTCCTGCTGATTGTTTTACTTCATCCAAGAGCTTCTTATAGGTTCATTGCCCTGAGAAACACCAAGAGCCATAGCAATCACCAGAAAAATAGCAAGTACCAACATACTGATATGCATTTTATCTGTAGGTTACCAACATCTAGCATCATCACAATCTGTCCCCACACAAGCCAACAATAAGACACAATACAGTGGTGCCTCGCAAGACGAAATTAATCCGTTCCGCGAGTCTCTTCGTCTAGCGGTTTTTTCGTCTTGCGAAGCAACCCTATTAGCGGCTTAGCGGATTAGCGCTATTAGCGGTTTAGCGGCTATTAAAGGCTTAGCGGCTTAGCGGCTTAGCGGCTAAAAGGCTATTAGCGGCTTAGCGGCTTAGAAAAGGGGGGGGAGCAAAAAAAATCTCAAGACTCGCAAGACATTTTCGTCTTGCGAAGCAAGCCCAGAGGGAAATTCGTCCTGCGAAGCGCATCGAAAAACGGAAAACCCTTTCGTCTAGCGGGTTTTTCGTCTTGCGAGGCATTCGTCTTGCGGGGCACCACTGTAATTTCAGGACAGTGTTAGAACTTCACCAGGCGCCAGGTGTGGAGCAAGTCCAATTGTGACCACATGGAGATCTCTGAGTGCCAGGTTGGCGACCGACATCTCCATCTGGCTGCCCCTCCAACTTTCTTAAGCAGGTAAGCAGAAGAGCTTATTTATTGCATTTATACCCCACCTTTTTCTCAATGGTTCACTCCCGTCCTCAGTTAATTCCTACAATGACCCTACAATGTAGGTTAAGAGGCTGTGACTGGCCCATGGTCACCCAGTGAGCTTCAAGATTTGAGTCCTGGTCTGACACTCTAACCACTACACCACCCTGGCTTCCTAGAGTATTTCTGCTATGGGGCAGCTGTATAGATTAGGAAGGTAAATAAATATGGGGGAAATCAAATGTCCCTTAGAGAACAATCTGAAATATTTTCCTTGAAGCTTGAATTTGTTTTATTCTGGATTCTTTTATTTGCTGTTTTAATGTGTTGTAAACTGCTATATTTTTTTCTTTAAAATATAGAACAGTATAGAAACGAAGCAAATAATCATAACAAACTTCATTTAAAAAAAGATGCATAGACATTGCGTTGTGGCAACCCTAACCTTGGTTTAAGGTGCCATTTGGTGATTAGCTGATATACCTGAGTTCCTAACCCTGTTTCAGGACCACCCATCCCCACTTCAAAAAGACTGCACTCCTAAGGTAACACACTCACATGGTAGATCACCAAAAGCCAAATGACATTCCAAAAATGAACAACAAAAGAATTTGAAAGGTTATTTCTCGTAACTAAAATCTTAGTTTAAGAGATTAAAGCCACAATCATGATAGACAGCACAGAAATGGCCTCTGCTCCAGTACACAGCCCCCTAGTTTTTTCTTTTAAGGAAGGGGGGGGGGAGAAGCAAATTCCTAGACCTCTCCCTCCCTCTCTTTTTTACAGGAAGAGAACCTTAAAAACATGAAGGGCTATTTATGCTAATTGCCTACTAGTGACATGGTATCTCAGTATAGAATCCAGCAGAAAGTTGCCATACTTCACTGTGTATGAATCCCCATCCTTCCACATGTCTCTCTTCCTTTATATCCACACACTTACTGCTTCCAACCATTTCAAGAGCCTCACTCCCTGCTCTCCCATGACACACAGTATTGAAAACAAAATGGTTTCGTGCAATAGAGCAAAATTTAGACACACAGGCTTCATACCGTAATGGACTTGAAGCACTGACTCTGAACTGCGAGAGACTGGGATTTCTTTAGCGCAAAACCCAAGACCTCTTAGCAAAAATGAACAGGGAGAATAGAATGGAATGCTCAGCAGCAAACTATTAAGAACTTTTGCTCTGATTTGAGGCTTTGGTTCCCTTCAATCCATCCAGCCCACAATATACAGAAATACACAGGTCAGCATCCAAAGAGCTGCTTCTATACTAGCCCAGGCTTGGGCATACTCAGTGGGTTTCCATTCCTCTTTCCTCTGCCCCCCACCCTGACACAATGGAACAGCCAACCAACCTAGATTATTATAATCTGCTTTTGAAATCTCCCTCAGTTTTCAGAACTGCCCTGTGGTATGGGAACTAACATTTTGAGAAGCCCAAGTTCAAAGCTTCTTTGGATATATGGGACTTAATGTGGAATTGTTTGGATCCTGCCCACTGCAGAGATAACTGTACAAGACTAATACCAAAACCTAGTTGGGTTCAACTGTTTTCCACCCCTAAACAACATACAATCTAGATTTAAAGTACGTTTTATGTCTCACTTATTTCAAATGGAATGATTTAAGGGCAGATTCAATTCTCTCTCTGAAATTAATAGGGCTTTATTAATAGTGTGTGCCCAATATTGTAAAACTGCTTTTCCAAATGCACTCAAAGTGGTGCTGAGAACACACTTTTTAAAAATGGGTTGATCATTTATTAAATGAGGCTGTATTTAAAGCTCATCTATTTCAGGTCAGCTGTTTCCAAAGCTTATTCAACTTCAGCTGATCTCCAAGCCTTTGCTTGCCAATTTACCTTTGGCCTCAGGAGGTTACATGCAGCTATTTGAGGGAATTTAGCTGAAATCCAGTCTTCTCCATCTGCAGCCAGACACGTTGCTCCAAGCACGCCATAAGAACAGTCTTGTTGGATCATACCAAAGGCCCATCTAGTCTGCATCCTATTTTCACAATGGCTAAGGAATTGCTCGTGCTTCTTGTAAGTGTCTTTAATGTGTGTCTTTAAAAAGGCCAGCAAACCCATCAGGTTCTACACAGATGGGCAGCTTGTTCAACACTGAACGCTGTGACCAACTGCGTATCTCACACATGAATGACAGAAATTGCACTGCATTTTTAAATGACCCTAGAAGATAACCAAGTTCCAGTTCACCGTGGGCATACTGCAGGTATTCTAGAATTCTTAAATGGCTATCCGCAAATGTGAAGAACTTGTTGATCAACACTTGGAAAATCCTGGTAACAGGGACCTAGAAATCACAAGGATTGGATATACAACTTTGGGCTTGCCTTTACTTGCTTTACACACAGCTTTGAAAGGTGTGTGTGAGAGAGAAGAGAGACAGACAGACAGAGGGAGGAAGGGACTAACTAATGCAGGCTTCCTCAACCTCGGCCCTCCAGATGTTTTTGGCCTACAACTCCCATGATCCCTGGCTAGCAGGACCAGTGGTCAGGGATGATGGGAATTGTAGTCTCAAAAAACATCTGGAGGGCCGAGTTTGAGGAAGCCTGAACTAATGTCCATCTTTTACATTCTTAAATCGCTTTGCAGACATTAGTAATCAGTAATCGTGACACCAACCCTGTAAGGTATATTGTCAGCATATGGGAGGGACCATATGGGAGGCTGAGAGAACAGTGGCTTGCCTGAGCAAGTTTGTGGCCGAAGTGAGATTTGAACATGGAACTTCCTGGCCTCACACTAACAGCCACTATGTGACACCAGCTGACATGGGACAAGCTCACATATCCACTTTCCCCACTGCTGATGCTGCTCCTTAATTCTATTCCCACCGCTTGTTTTTTCTCGCACACATCTGCCTAGAGACCTTTTCGATTGTCATTTCAACCAGCCCCCTAACCCTGTAAGGATCATGCAAAATGCTGTGCAACGTCCAGGCAGGGCAACTCAGGGACTTCTCTTGGTCAATTTCAGATTTGAATTCCAGTTGCCAGAACCAAAGACTACAAGAAGCACTGCATCATACCATGCTGTAAGGGGATTCACCAATTCTTGTTCTTCCTGAGCATGTCTGCATTACCTACTATGTGTGGGGGGGGCTGGCGGGGGCTACCCTATATTGCCTTACATTACTTCATCTAATGTACTTCTGCCATTTGCCCACTGTTAGGTATGGGGAGCAAACAATCACCCTTCACAGGGTGAAATGATTCAAATATATTTTGATCTGGATTAGCAGTATAATGCTTTAGACTAGAGAACTTCTGTGTGAGCATGAGGGTGTGGGTTCTAATCCTGTTGAATGCCATTTTTTTGTATAAAGCGTCTTGTAGTACACACCTTGCTCTTATACCAGAAGCCTACAGAAGCAACTGCACATCCAACTGTGTCCTAGATACTAACTTTAGGTGTTGGTCCAGTCCACATTTTTCTAGCAAATTTTAGTTTTCCTAGCAAAACTAAACAATATAGAGTTCATACAGCCATAGAAAACTCAACCCATAAGCGACACTTTGCTAATTTCAATCCTACAATTGTCCAGGCTTGGCTAAAATAGGTGACGCAAACACTCTTGCTATTATTTCTTATTGCACAGATGGTTACACTGAGAAGATCTGCCCAGAATTAGTCATGTTATTCTTTCAGCAAAACACAAATCTAATGCCAAAAACCTTGGCTTCAAAAATATTAATGAATCAATTAAAGAGAGATTACAAAAATTTAAGTACTTAAAAAATAGAATAAAGAAGGAGAAGGGGCAGAATGTAACGGGATTGAATAATGGATGGCTAGCGTGAAAAGACACAGCACAAATTTGGTTAATAAGCTGCCAGTCACTTGGGCTAAGGAAGAATTGCAGCCTGTGGTAACTTTGTAAAAACTGTGCCTGTGGTAAGGAAGAATTATTTCCAGTTGACCAAGCAGTGGAGGTTTTATAACTAGGTAGAAAACTGATTATTTCAGGCTGCCAATATGTCATAAATCAGGGGTGAGGAAAACTGTGGCTCTCCAGATGTCACTGGCTGGTGCTAATGGGAGATGAAAGCCATTAATATCTAGAAGGCCACATGTTCTCCACCCCTGCCCAGTGAAAACAGATGCACTTGGATGGACAACATAGTAGACGTTTTCCAGAGTTAGAAACTTCTGCAGATTTTTTTATTTTTTATTGCAAGGCCAGGCTATATGCCAAGAAGGATGCTCCACTGCTTGATGTTTGGCTCTCAGGTGAACTACAACTCACATATTGACTTTGCCAGGAAAACAATAGTCTAGGCATTAGAATTAAAAACGCATAGGGCAAAATAAAAGGTAGGCAATAAGAAATATCAGTGGCAGACAAGGTGAGGGCAACACCTTTGCAAAATTAGTAGGCAGAGGGCCTTAACTGTAAGGAAAGGTGCCGGAGCTGCTCGACAGGGAAGGCAACAGGTGCTGAGTGGCAAGGATTTCTGAGATAGAATGAAATCTGGAAAACCATGATGGGCAACAGATGAACGAAATATAACAAAAATGCCCACTAAAATGGGAGTCAGGAAACAATGAGTGTGAAGGAGTGCAAGAACCAACAGAGATGGTCAACGTTTCTGAAGCAGAACTCTACGGAATGTGATGGGATGCGTTCGGGATGGTGGTGTGGGCCTTACCTTGACCCGGAATCGAATCATGGCCAAGCGGACGCAGTGCCCCAAGCAGGCCGGGGGAAGGAACCAGGCCCGGGGTGGCGGGGTCCCCTTGTTGCCCACATGCCCAGCGATGAGCTGGGCTGTCTGTCTCTCCGCCTGCGCCTTCCTGCCCCACTCAGGCAGCCTCTCCTTCCCGAGCCCTCCGTTGAAGATGACAGCCAGCTCCAGCCCGCCTTGGTAGAGGCAGGCCTGCGAGAGGGCAGCCAGGTAGCCCACCATAGCATTCCACTGGCCCCCGCACACCCAGTCCGTCTGGTAGCCGCCGTAGAGGCGCTGCAAGGCCGAATCTGCATCCACCAGGAGCCGAGCGGGGCACGGGGCGGGGCCGGGCAAGCCGGGCGAGGGCTGCGGGTGACCGTAGGGGCCAGCCCCGACCACGGCTCCCAGGCCCGGCGCGGGCCCGGCGGGGTGCGGGTAGCCGGCGGGGGGCGGGTGGAAGGCGGCGCAGTAGGCAGGGCCCCCGCCGCCCCGGCCCCCGACGGCCCGCGCCAGCTTCAACAGGTCCACGGGCACCACAGCCCCCGGGCAGCGCTTTTCCACGAACTCTTGGAAGCCCTGCACCCCCATGGCCGCGCGCGGCGGAGGGGTGCGAGCCCCACTTCCGCGACGGGGCGGGCACCCCCGGAACCAGGACCCGGCACAGGCAGAGCTGCTCCAGCTCCTGGCGCTTGGCTCCTCACAGCGCCCGGTTCGTGGGAATGGACGCAGCCGCCATGTTGTAGCTTTCTTCTCCTCCTTCTCCTCCTCCTCCTCCGCTCCTCCTCCTTCCCCCGCAGCTGAAACCGGAGCCCGTCGGGAAGTGTAGTCCCGTTTCTGCTGGTCTCTCATTAAGTCGGAAGGACCATGCGAGGCGTCACGACTACAACTCCCGGCAGGGCGGGAAAGGCGCCATCTTGTTATGATTTCTTCGCGCTTTCCAGGGGCCACATAGCTTCATGGGACCTGTAGTCTCAGGGAAAGTTGTTCTCTGGGCCGCCAAAAGCTGGAGTGGCCGACTTGGGACTACAACTCCCGGTGGCCTGAGGGGTCCGCCATGTTTCTGTACGGACTTGTCTCCCCCTTGTGAGTTTGCGCGGCCTCACGGGAGGCTCATTGCGAACATAGACTTGCAAAGCGCCACAACTTCCAGTCAGCCTCGCGCCTCCTCATCCGAAGGCCTTCGTACGTTTTTATTTCACCGCGTGGTTTCACCGGCTCATGGGCAGTGTAGTTCCCCCACCTCGAAGGAAACAACATCGCCTCAGGGTTGGGCTCCAGTAACGGGAGAAAGGCCGCCCGGGAGGGGAGCGGGTGCCTGGTTGGGCCTTCGTTGGGCGCCATATTGTCACGTTTCTGTGTCCCGCTTGGCATGCTGGGAGACGTTAGTCCAGATCGCCCGGTCGAGGAAGGCGAAGGGCGCTACCCAGCATCCTGTTCGCGCTTTGAAGGGCCTCAGAGGAGCCGAGGCCGCCGCCGGGAGTCGCGCGGTGTTTGCTGGGAAGGACGCCGCCGACAGAATCAGGCGGGACTGGTTGCCAGGCAGACTGGCCCCGCCATGAGGGAAGGCGAGGTAACTGCTGTTATGTACTGAAGTTCTCACCCTGGGCCAGCAGGGGGATACTGTAGATAGTTTTCACTCAGGTCCACATATGCAAATAAGGAAAGTGACATTCAGTGATTGGCTAGTTACAGAAAGTTGTTACAGTTGTGTTGTAGTGGAGCTCTATATAAGCAGGCTGGCTGAGCCCTTCAGTTCAGTTCTGTTCTGGCCTGTGAATAAACAAGAGCTGTTTGAAGAATTGCTGTGTCGTCTGATATGTTCACCCACAGCTTAACAACTGCCTTGGGCAGCAGATCCCCGTGCGACTCTTTCTTCCCTGCTTGCTCCCGAAGCAGATCTTCACTCCACTTGAGTCAGGTTGGGGCTTGTCCTGCTGCCAGGTTAACAAGAAGAACCGCTTCTGCAGGATTCGCACAGGGTTCGAGACCCCAGCCCGCGTTTGGCAGATGCGCACGGAGCCCGGCGGATGAGGCGGTGCGGAGGCAGCGTGGCACAGTGGTTAGAGAGGGCCCGACTAGGACCTGGGAGAGACTACCGTTCAAATCTCCCACTCAGCCACAAAGCTCACGGGGGGGGGGGGGCAGTCGCTGCCTCTCAGCCTAGCCTACCTCACAGGATAGTTGTGGTGTAGTAGCTGAGGATGGGGGAAAGCAGCATCCCTGGAAGAAAAAGTGGGATCTAAATGCTACAAATGAAGAAACACACACACACTCACTGGAGGAAAGCGTGGTAGGAAATAAGCCAAATTTCTGAAAATGAGGGAAATAAAGGCCTAGACCACTGCAATGTTGTCAGTGGTAACAAGACCATTGGGCCACAAGCCTCCCGTGAAAAGGAAGGAATAACCTCTCTCAGGGCAAGCCATGCATTCCTACCTGCCCAAGCACAGCCTGCACACACCTGTCAGGGGAGGCTGCATATTTCCCTGCGACATTTCGCCAGGTGGGGCTGCATGCTCAGCCGTGACAGAGCACCTTATGAGGGTTGCCAGACTTTGGCCCTCTTTGTGGGGGGGGTAGCCCTCTAAGCAAGTTCGGAGCATTGTTTCCAGCCTGGAAGCAGCCTGTTTTTAAACCGTTCCTAAAGGTAAAATGTTAGGGACGCAGGTGGCGCTGTAGTCTAAACCACAGAGCCTAGGGCTTGTCAATCAGAAGGTCGGCGGTTCGAATCCCCGCGACGGGGTGAGCTCCTGTTGCTCGGTCCCTGCTCCTGCCCACCTAGCAGTTTGAAAGCATGTCAAAGTGCAAGTAGATAAATACGTACCACTCTGGCAGGAAGGTAAATGGCGTTTACATGCGCTGCTCTGGTTCGCCAGAAGCGGCTTAGTCATGCTGGCCACATGACCCGGAAGCTGTACGCTGGCTCCCTCGGCCAATAAAGCAAGATGAGCGCCGCAACCCGAGAGTCATCCGCGACTGGACCTAATGGTCAGGGGTCCCTTTACCCTTTACCTTTAAAGGTAAAAGACTCATGGCCATGTGCACAGTATTTCTCCCTTTTAATGCGAGGGTGGATTTAGGCGAATTTCTCCTCTGTCTAGATAATTCTTTTACCAATGTGCATTTTATAGGGTGGGAGGGAACGGGATGAAGAACCGCAGCCTCGATTGCACAGTGATCTGGTTCCGCAGTCCTCCACTGCTGGCAATTGATATGGGTGAAATTGCAACCATACCCAGCAAAATGCTGCTAGTTTGCAACCAAGCCCTGCAGTGCCGTGCAGCTGCGCCTGAGGCAGCCGCACTCACCTACCTTCCCTGAGAAGCAAAGAAGCTGCGTCTGATAATAAACACAAAGAAATCCACAATCCCAGAGTGGGCAATATTAGGACCAACCAAAATTTCTTCAAAGTAGTGGGTGAGCTGTTGGGTTTTCCGTAACTCTTCATCCTTCTGGATATTAAATGTGTGAGGGTGTAATAGGAAAAGGTTGCTTGAAACTGAAATGACAATGTGTGCAATTACTCTTAGCATGGAGATTGCAGGCTTAACTGGATGAGGCTCTAACAGGTATTGCGCAGATTTCAAGTTGCACCCAGGATCACCAAGTGGCCATTCCCCGTAATGCAGGGATTGCCAGTGTGCCATGGTACCCTCCATGTGTCCCCCTAGTGCCCACAACGCCTCTTAGCCTCCTGCCCCCTTGCGTTGGAAGGAAGGTTTTTCTTCCTTGGGAGCTGAAGAAGTTAGAAGAGTGGCATTATTTTTCAACTCTGCTTTTCAAGGCTCAAGTTAATTCTGCTGGATCAAAATTTTACCAAGATCCCTTGGGAAAGTGAGTGCATGTGTGCACTTTCTTTTCAGTGTATGTGTGGTAATATGACTAAATGATGTGATGTCCATGACGTTCACTCAAAAATCGAAATGTGCCCCACAGACCTAAAAGGGTTGGCCACCCTGTTCTAATGCTTTGCTTAATGTCCAATCTGATGAACAGTGCTGAAGAACTCAAAAACTTGTTTACCACTTTCCTAGTAAAGGTACTGCATAACCGTGGATTTTAGAATATTTTTTACCCCACATGGCTGTTAAGAGGATAGATGGGGTTGGGGGACAAGATTTACACTGCCTTGTATGAAGGCCAAGATAAAATTATAGATAGTATTACATAGCTATTCATGCCACAACAAAGTAATAATTTGAATAATAGAATATTAGGGAGGGGGGTTCTCTTGTGACTGATCAGGACTGGATATAATCCATAACTTACCTTTATTAATTGAAAAATAAAGAATGAATCAGTTTTTTAAACAAAAACTAAACACACCTTTATCTAAGATTGTGCACTAGATAAGAAGGTGCAAACTATTACAGCAGAAATTAAATAGATTGTTTTGAGGTAAGGGAATGCAGCCGCCCCAAATCTTGGTGTTTTCTTTTTCTACCTCTGGAATCTCTCTGGACTGCTGCTGTTTTAAATTTATATACTCATTTAACAGATTTTTCTGCCATCCTAACAAAAAGTTTTCGGAGCACTCTTCAAAGTTACAAACGAAGAGTGCATATTCAGGGCATACTTCCTATCCCAAACTTCCATAGCACTTGAAGTTTTTGCTCCCGGGCTTCAATGTATCTAAAATGCAATGTATCAGTGAATTAGTAGATGAACAAGTATTGCTAAGAAAGAAGCCACAATGCCCTAATATTTACACTGTATTTTCCAGCAATACTATTTATTTCCTATGGCTTTCCCTCACCCCTCTTTAGCAGAAATTGCAGTAACATCCAGACTATATTTAATTGGGGTTTTTTTCAACACAGCCTTTATTTTCCTTTATAACAGTTTAAAAAAATATTTGTTAATGGTTGTGTACAAATGAAGTCAACTCACAGCTTGCAAAAATAATTAAAAAACACATGGAAACAACTGCTGATAAAAGACATTCGTTTTCTACCATAAAGTTCTGGGCTATGATTTTTCAAAAACTGAATGGGATGCCTCATCCCTGTTAACAATGAACCGGTCACCTGCATCCTCTATGCAGCCATAAAAATCTCAGCCTTAATGTAAAAAAGTAAAGAAAGGGTTTTTAAAAAATAAGTCCTAAGATGCTACATTAAAGTATAATTCACATACATAAAAAATATTTCTGAAATTCAGAAGTTGTTAGCAAGTATGGAAATCTAAGGAGACATTTATTCACAGCATATACCTGAATTTATCATGCTGTTTTAGTAGGCCTGCATGCTCCTCAGCAATCTCTAGCAAAAACAAAAACAAAAAACAGAATGAAAGACCTTTTTTAAATAGAATATAGTAGTTTTAACTGAGAGGTCTTTTGTTTGCTTGTTTGAAGCTGCATTAGGAACCTCAAAGACAATTGCACTTCCAAAATGGCTGCCAAAATGTATGGTTAGGAGTTCTCTAAGGCATAAATGAACCAAAACAACACCCTTCTAGGATGCTTTGAAAATACAAAAACAGAAGTTTGTTCCTAGTCTTGCAAATTAAATCTATGGCCCTGGAAGGGAGAATTAAAGCCTTACTCTTTTGCATTTTCTTCCAACAATTTATGTATATTTGTGCTTGCATATCTGTGGTACAACTCGGATATATTTTACCACAGATTCCAATAAAAAGTGTTTTCCTTGCTACTTGACAGGACAGGGACACCTCTTTTTCCCTCCTCTGCAGCCACCATCTTCTTCCTTCTGTCAGATGGAAGTGAGAAAAAAGAGCTTTATATATAACAAGTGCCCTACAAGGGGTTGGTTGAAGCATAACAGGCCACAACGTGCTCCACAGGACTTTCTGCACTTTCTGCACCATCACTAAGGGCTACTTCATGCATAATATTTTTTCCTACATACAGGTAATCTCACTGTAGGAAAAGCATTGTCCATCATCATATGTGAAGTATATGGCAAGTATACAGGTTCTTACAGGCACTGGCTTCCAAAGTCATGCTTTCTACTGGCTTGCAGCAAAGAGGTTGCCCATGGCCATATTCCACATTTTTCTACATGGAGATTGTCTCTACATAAGAAATACATCCTGTCAAGGAAGCATTTTATGCGGGAGGATACAAGTAAGGCCTCCTTTAGCAGACAGTTTATAAATTCATGCGTGGCCTTTTAAAGATTTTTTTTTTCATTGGAAACCAACTCCTTCCCCACCCCAAAAGAATAAGATAAATGGTGATTTTTAAAAAGGAGGGGATTTGTTCTTACATACTATATGCGATAATCATTGCTGGTTTAAGCTGGATCAGTTCCATTAGCTTCAATGAGAGCTGCAAGGTAGTAAGTAGAAAATGCATAATGCCTCAGCAGCATTTTATTCTCAGGGCTCTAGAGGGGGCAGGGGCAGAATAGCATCCCATCAGTTGTACCAGGCCCTTGTGAACAACTGTTCACATGCAAGGGGTAGAATTTGGTTTGGTGAACCAATTTTATTGTACTACACTGCTCACAGTTATAGCTTCTGATAGAATAAAATGTGAATAAATTATAGGTGTGGGGTGGAATATAGACACCATAAATATTTACTAAGAAGAATAGTTTTTGAAGACAACCAGGAGGCAGGGAATGACCCAAGTCTGTATAGTGACTCCTTACAGAATCAGTTTTGCCGTTCCACCATCTAATTGCTGTATAAGTATAAAAAATACACAACCCTTCCCCCCCTTGCAAAAAAAAACCAAAAAAAAAAAAACCACAACAACATTCCAGGAGAGATACTAAACTGGACTTCAGTTGATTAACTGAAGCAACTTTGAAATCATACAATTCACCTTTAAAGAGGTACAGCCTACAAAAATGACAGCACTTACAATAACAGTGTTGCTGGGTTTCAGAATTCAAAATAACCAGGAATGTATCATTTTATTGCCTAAATGCAACAGAAGGCCCCTGCCTTCCAAAGGTACCCTGCACACCTTGTTCAGAGCCTATGCCAATCTAACACTCCCAACACTTTAAACTTGGTTAAGGCATCAAGCTGTGGGATGAGACCGTGTGTTCCCTCCACATCGGTCTTAATCACAGTTAAAGGTAACAGGTTGCATCCAGCAGAGTCACGCAGTTGATGGTTAGGCTTCTTTCTGTCAGTGCAATAGGGAGGCAATCCGTTTTCTGTGATTCCCCCTGCAGTCCCCCAACTCCCATCCTAACGCTGCTCCAGAGGATTGGGAGGCCACAGCAGATTTTGGGGGGCTGCAGGGGGGTGAGGCAGTAGCTGGAAATTGCTTCCCTCCCTGTTCCCACTGGAAGTCTTACCATCAACTGAACAAAAACTCTGGATCCAACCCAATGTCGGTACAAAGCTTAGCTGTGACTAATACAAGGGGGTTTGCTTTTAACCAGAAATTTGGCTTTAGCTGGGAAACAGCACACCCTTGTTTTAACATTAACCACTGTTGAGATTGGGGCCAACGCAAACTATAACTGTGAGTCAGGCCAGCAGAAGGGGAGGGTGGGAGGAATTTGCACCCCAAAAAGTACAGACTGAAGATGGGAGTGCAATTGCACATTCTGCTGTGGATCCCTTGACCATGGTTAAGAGATCAGGAGCATTATGTTGGCACCGCCCTCAGTAGTTTAATTGTCAGCAATAATTCAATGCATATACAAAGGAAGAATTCCTTCCTAAACAAAGCAAGCTTTTTGCACTAATTTTTCCCATTGTCAAATGGAAGACTAATGAGGCAGTGGGTCACACACTTTGCTAAGCTGCCACAACCAGTTGCAACATACAGTAGACAATGCATGGACTTGTTCTCTTCATTCACATGTCGCTATAAGTTTAACTCAATGTGATGAATAAATCTCTAAAGTCTTCCTTGTGAAAGTTAAATATCCTCCTTAAAACAGTAAACAGCTTGAGTGGCTAGTGCCAAATTACAAACAGGGAAATGGGCTGGGGGGGAGTGAAGAGTCATGTGTGTAAAAACACCATCTCAAATTTAAAATAGACAAGAAATATACAGGAATGGTAGTTTAGTTCACAGCCTAGACTGAAACAGCACTAACAAATGAGGTAGATAAGAAAATGAAACTTGAAATGTAACATGGAAAAGCAACTCAGCTGGAATACAACTGAAAAATCCACCCAGTTATTAAAATGATACATTCCATTAATATCATACAAGCTTAGTCTCAAAGCATCACAGCAGAAAAAGTGCCTTTTAAAACCCAAAACCAAATTCACAGTTTGATCCTTGTCAGGATTCAGGTTTGAAAGAACAGCAAAATGTAAGAAGGAAGGGGGGGGGGGGACTGGATAGTAAATGTTTGCATTAAATGTAGAGATTCAAAACCCAACATATAAAACATACCAAATATTTTTCCTGTTTTGTCAAACGTACATTTCAGTGCCTCTCTCCATTTTCTAGACTGTGGTTCACTCTGGTCTCCCCAGCTGCAGAGATGGGAGTCAGGTCAAGTTTGTCTTTATTTCCTCCGAAGTTAGGTGATGTGAGAAGAAGCATCACTGTGCACTGATTCGCCACCCCCTCTACTGTCACCGATGGTCAAACAGGCTTTGGTTATGTTTCAAAATCCCACAAACACACGTTTAACCAAAGAATTGTGGGGCAGGGGAAAAAATCACGCACACTTAAGGGCAACAATGGCTCCATCACACCCTGGTATGGACTTATCCTCTGATTTCTGGCCACATATGGCAGGAAACCAGATGTTACAAAGTACACATGGCTGCCGCTGAAAACAGTAGCCCCACATACTCTACAAGAAGAATATGTGAGCACAATGATGTCACATCACATGTTCCTTTGCCAGAGGTTATGGAGGAGAGGGGTGGCGGTTCTTTGGGGCAGCAACCACTCACCCTACGTAATCCTTAATTCCATCCTAGCTTTTAATGCCACAGACAGTGGTGTAAGCACTGGCGAACATAGGTTACTTCATGACCACCATTTTCATTCCATTATCAGAAGTGAGACAGACGAACAAACCATGTCAGGATTTGCAAAAGGGAGCCCCCTATTGTCAAATGTGAAGCAATGGCTCTGGGAGCTCCGAACAGCACGGAATGGTCAGATGGCTCAATGCACAAGACACAACGTGAGATTTACAACAATAAGCAGGAAACCTTGATTGGACCAATGGAACCCTGACACATGAACACCAGTGTTCAAGGACACATGCTTGCCATTTGCACTGTGCACGTCTGCCACCAAAAACACTGGTATACCACTGGTGTACCCAAGGCACACACAATTGCTGGGGGGAATAAGGCCCTCTACCACTTCCTAGCAGATTTGTGTTTTCAAGGCTTTCAAGTCGGCTAACTTGGCAACAGTTTTCAAATACAGCACACAATTCCATGCTTTCCTACAAGTTATCCTAACTAGAAAACATGTATTTGTAGTCAAAGTGTCTGTTTTAAAAGAGATAGCAGGGGAACATTTTTTTAAAAAACCAAACAGGATTGTGTTTCTATTTTGCAAAAAACAAAGAAAAAATACATAACACTGTTCTCTCAGTTCTTCAAACTGAACCCCCACCCCAAAGTATATATAATTCAGCTGCTGCAGATCCTAATGAGAGATGCAGCAATGCGCTGTTTAAACATCATCAAACTTCAAAAGACTAGAACTACTTTTTTTGACTTTCCAGTAAAAATCTGAAAAGATACTAAAGATTATCTATCACAAGGCACTGCAAATCTTTGCAGGCAGAACAAGGAGGCTGCATAATGCATGGGAAACAGGATCTTTTGTTCATGGTGGGGAGGGAAGGAAAGCCACAAAACTTCCAGAGGCTCCCAAATTCACTTGAGCTTCAAGTGTCCCTTTGAGAGGCTAAGTTCAAACAAGTAGCTTGTCTCTGCAGCTACTCCAAAAAAGGGGGTGGGATTACAGGTAGGCCCAAACCAAAGTACTCTGATTTATTTAATCCCATCATTTTAAACAGGATTTATCTAGTCCAAATAACTTTACTGTAGAGAGATACAGCCTCCCTCCTCTTCATTCTCTAAATATTCATCAGCAAAGCAAGCCAGCTTCCATGTTCAACAGCATTGCAAATCTCTTACAGCACTCTGAAGACAAACATTTAACTTTGTTAACTCAAAGTGAACCAGAGCTTGAAATATCAGTTCCCTGACATATCAGTCCAGGTATGTCAAGGGAGAAAACAGGTCAAGGTGTGCATCAGGAATATATTTCAAGGATTCTGGGGTCCAAAAGAATCAACTGCTACATGAAATATTACCTTGAAAAAAGTTTAAGACTATAAGTCTTATAGTCTTAAGACTCAGTAAATTAAGACCTCCATAGTCTATGGCCCAGTTCGCATGTAACATTAAATAATAGTTTAAAATAAACTATGGTTTAAAACACAGGGCTATATCATGCAAGGAAGGAAACAAGCCAGAGTCTGGCTTGTTGTGATGTGTGAATTCAGTTTGTGGTTTGTTTCCTGCAGATAAATCATGTGGTAAGCCAAGAATAAACCTTGGCTTCTATTCTCTGGGCAGAAAAAAACCATAAGTGAGGATTCACATGTCACATCATGATAAACCAGCCTTCGCCTTATTTCCTGGCTCCACAGTCAGTGATGGGGGAAGAGCAAGGTATTCATGTAGGCTAAACCATAGTTTAAACTATAGTGCAATGTTGCGTTGCCCTTGGCCCAATTAGGTCAATGTAACTGACTTAGTCTCCTGCAGAGATCAACTTGCAAGCATGGTCCTTATAGGGCAGCTGAAATATAGTTTATAAAATCAAGGGGTTATGTGAGGTACAAGACTCCAGCAGGCAATGGACTTTCATGCATGTAACCTATTCAAAATAGTTTTAGATCTCTTGCTATTTTTGAACAGGCACATTTTTCTCTTTAAGTCAGAAAACCAGAAAGCCTGTCACAGTGGACCCTGGCACTACTTTCTTGCCATCATAAATGCATGTACAACCTACTCAATTTTCAAAAGTTCTCCGTAAAGATGGGACTTCTTAATCTTGGCGGTAGGTGATCAAAGCACAGCAACCACTTAGGTGTTTTATGCTGCAAGAGACAACACTAATCAAAAGTAGGAGCATCTATCCATTCAAATCCACTGTAAGGCAGTCAACTCAATGCAAAACTCTGTGCACCTGTTCCAATGCAAAACTCTGTGCACCTGTTCCAACCTGTTTCAGTCCTTAAAACTGTGAAGTATGGATCATAAAAGAGAGGCAAAGGGGTGAGATGGGAGATGTTTTTAAATACCGTTTGGCTATTTCCCACTCTGTTCCCACCCTTTCTGCAGCTTCCTCTCCACTACAACAAACTAACTGCAAAATAAATTTTTAAAAAGCTACATCCCCCAAACTCAAGTACTAAGTTTAGGCCAACAGCCCCAAATGTCATGTGCGTATGAGGATTGAGCTGCCATTATATAAACAGCTGTACTAAATTGCTCAAGAACAACTACAAGCCTTTCAGTAACAGGCAATAGGTGGCATTTGTGTCTCTTCCTTCACTGGTCCTCCAACTGTAAAAGGCCTGTCACTTGGGGTAGGAGAGGGGAGAATTTAAGACAGGATTCAGTGACAGCAAATCTTTCTGCAAATAAAATCCGTCCCCCGTCCCCCCGTCAATGAAAGCTGCCAATGAAACCACACAGAAATGTAAAATTAAAAGAGGATCCAAATTGTTACTTTCCCTGCTGCTCCCACTCCTTCAATAAATTAACTCAAATGCCAGTATGTGAACAATTTAAAAAGGGTTGCTATCAGCCTCAAAAACTCAAGGGACCTGGGGCCAGAATGACAGGGAAGGGTCATTAATAAGCAGCACATGGGCATGCTGTCCATCTCAGGAACAATGAGATGCACAGGCCAAAGCTCTCTCAAGTATGATATAAAAAAAATCCCCCCAAAGAATATTATATCAAGTATTCAAATAAGAGAATGCAAAGGCAATCTCCCACCACATTGCTGCTCTGGGGAATTCACCCCAAAATCCAGGCCGCAGAATGCAAGGCAGAGGAATGGAATCATGAGTTATAGGCACAGTCCCCATATCTATCATCCTTTTAGCCGTCCGCCTTCATTTGGGACTTGGGGGGATGGGAGCTGGGTTTTGCACAGGTGATGCTGGAAAGGCTGGCATGCTTATCCCTGGCTGAAATGGTCCCACAGGCTGGGCAGGGACAACAACAGACTGCTGGGCTGTCCCTGAAATGCCCACCCATTGCACTGGGTAAGTTGTCCCTGTCATGGTGTTATACTGGCATACGTGGGGTACTCCATATGGCGATAGTGTGCCGGTAAAGGGGGACAGGGGAAGTCCTTGGGGCAAAGCAGCTGGTACGGTCCCTCGGATCTGGGAAAGCGAGGAAATCCATGTGGACGTGTAGCCCACTGTAGATGTTGTCGTCTTTAAAAACAAAAGAAACAAGAAAAAATTATTATGATGATTATGATTATTAGTATTATTAAAATTTGTATACTGCCCTATACCTGCAGGTCTGAAGGCGGTCACAACTTAAAATCACAATATAAAAACAGAAAATACATTATAGAAACAAAAACAACCCAATAACCACCCCGCCCCCCACATTTTAAAAGGGCATGTCAATCAGCCAAAGGCCTGGTTAAAAAGGAAAGGTGTATAATGAAGGTGCCAGCCAAACCTCCATGGGAAAAGCATTCCTCAAATGGGGAGCCACACTGGCAGATGAAGATGATGGATTTTTTGGAGCTAGCTGACCTGACTGGAAGAGTCCGTGACCAGAAGGAGGAGGATTACCAGGAAGAATGGACGAAATTTAAAGATTATTTAGTTAAATATCTTAAGTTAAATTAATTGGAAAACTTGCAAATACCAGATAGGCTTAGGATTTAAACATGTAATGTGATAAAATTGAAATTTAGATTGGGAAAGAAAGAAAGATGTTAAGTGATTAAGTTAATTTTATGAGAATATAGGTTTTGAAAAACTGTTAAACTGATACACACTGAAATTCAACCAACGGGATACAAGGAAGTCGCTTAACAATGTTAATAAGATTAGTTTTAATAAGGCTAGGATTTATGTTTTTTTGTTTATTTGTGTGTTTAAAAATTTTGTGGAAAACTAATAAAAAAATTTGGGGGGAAAAACAAATGGGGAGCCACTGCAGAAAAGGCCCGTTCTCATGTTGCCACCCTCTGGACCTCTTATGGAGGAGGCACACGATGAAAGGCTTCAGAAGATGATTTCAGGGTCTGGGTAGGTTCATAGGGAAAGAGGCTACTTAAGGTACTACTTAAAATGAGAGGAAGTCATTGCTTCAATTGATTCTGTACCTTTTGTTGTATCTTCCTAACAAAGGAGCACAGGAGAGGATTGAAATGTAGGAAGTGAAACAACTCAACCCTGCCAGTGGCGAAGAAGTCAAATGAGGACTAAGGAGACCCAGGTTCAAATCCTCAAACAGTAATAAAGTTAACTGAGCGGCACTGGGTCAATCATCATATCTCAGCTGAACTTATTACACAGTGTTGTTCTGAGGATAAAATAATGAGAGCAGTCTGAACTCTGCCGAGCTCCTTAAAGGAAAGGCAGGAGACAAATATAATAAATAAATCCTCATGATCACCATGAAAACTAAAAGCCTGGATTTTTCCAGTCTAACTGAACTGGAGATGGCTCTCAAGATGGTAACGTTTCCAACTGTTGTAGAGACTCTAAGACTTGGTGGGTAGACACACTTAAGAACAAATTCTGGCATGTGGTGGGCAGCAAGGATGTTCCTTTCAGATCTTTATCTTTTTTCCAAGCCTTATAAGATTTTCTAGGGAGAAGCTACTCTTTTTAGACACCTGCTCCCAGTTCTGCATCCTAGAACTGATGTGGTGCCTGTGTCCCCATTCCTCCATCTGTCCGTCCTTCTGTGGCTTCCCAGGTCCATTAATTCAAGGGGGGGGGAGCTTCTATAACTCTTTGGTTTAGATCCACTCCACTAGTCCTGAGTGAAGTCTTGGAGATTAAACCTAGGATCAACCCTCTCTCCTCCCCTCCCTGAAGAGGTGACAACCCTGAGTTCACATGGACTCCAGCTATTACACATATTGTAATAGCTAGAGAAAAACAGGTGCCTCCCCATAATGCCTGGGTTGTGAAAATGATTAAGTGGGGGGGGGCAAGGTCACCCCCAGCAGGACAATAGCTAAGGTATCTCAGCTTGCACAAGTTCACCCTTGTGAACTTTATTTTATGAAATCCCACCCCCCTCACCTCATATACTTTGCTCCAGCTGTCGGAGTCCAGCCGATGCTTGTTCTGTTTGATCTGGTTGAGACTTGGCTTGATAAGGGAGTTCCCCACCTTTTCTTTTGTCCAGTCGTCCACCAGTTTGTGCAAGTCATCTGTGAACATCCCTTTCTTACTGGCCGTCGTCTGCTGACAAGAAGCAGTGCTGCTGACAATGCAGAGCTGGTCTAAGGGAGTGGGAAATATTTTAAAGCACATTACAGAATGCAGAAACAATCCGTGAAAATGGGATGTGCCGTTTGGGTCTCTTCCCACTAGGGAGGGAAGCAGCGTAGATTATGTGGCTGGTGTGGGTACATGTGCCCCAGAGTGTAGCGTGCGTGGGGGGGTGAACAGAGACCTCACCCAGCCCACACCACTAATGCCGCTGGAGTGCCCTCCCCCTGCCACCAAGTAGGGCTGCGCTGCGCCCCTGCCACCTGCAGCCCTTGGAGGGCGCAACGCACATATACCCTAAGGGCGCACTCTGCCTTCCAGCTCTGCGCCGCTTAGCGATGCTGCAGTGCTGCGTGAAGCAATGGTGTCGCAACCGGGGGGGGCGTTGCGCCCCAGGTGCCATGTCGGGGGGGTGACAAGAAGGCACCCCGCGGGTGCCTTTGCTGCAGCCGCGAGCAGAGGATTCTGGTGTCGGCGGCAAACCGCTATGTACAGCATATTTGCGGCGTCGCATGCATGCGCTGTACGTAACGCGTGTAGAGGATCTTCCGTTCGCAACTGCAGCCGCAAGTAGAGGATCCTGGCACTGTCCATATGGTGCTGGAGCAGCGGCGCCGACAAACCACTATGTACAGCGCATGTGCGGTGTCGCTATGTGCAGCGCATGCATCGTACGTAGTGACGCCGCACATGCACCCTACGTAGCGACGCCCTGCCCCAGGTGTCACACGCCTTCGTTTGCCCCTAGCATGAGGAGGATGCAACAGGCATGCAACCCGAACAGGGAAGCGCACCTGTCTGTTGCGTCTTCCTCCCACAGTCCTGCGGCATCGCAAAGCGGCGCTGGGCTGGCAGGACGGTGAGGAGCAAAATGCCTGCCCCAATGCACTCGAGGACACTGCCCCTCTGGCCCTACCCATGTGATGCCACTGGGCAAGGGGAAGAGCGATCATGAGAGGCAGGACCGTGGTGTTGAACTTCAAAAGGTATTTCCGTAGCAAAGAAAATCAGATTTGCACTCTGAGTAAGCCTTGCCACTTCAACAGATTTGCATATATAAGCTTATTTTATTTTATCTCCAAATGTAGGTTGCCGTTTAATTTAGATTTGCTTTTACATCAATGACAGGAGGAGCAGGGGGAGGGGAAAACAAGGGGATTTAGGTTAGGTGGCCTGGCCATAAAGTTTAGAGCAGGAAATTGTAGCTGGTTGTGAAAGAGGGAGCTAGGTAGGTCAGTCCTACCCAATGGTGGGAAGGTTTGTCCACAGGCTCCAGTTTCAGGGCTTCTGAATACATTAAACCTTTAAAGCACATTTCCCCCCCCCAAATAATTCTGACACTGTAGTTTACCCCTGACAGTTACAATTGACAGCAGCCATTAAACAAGCTGAGATTTTTTTGAGAAGAAAAATGTGTTTTAAAGGTAAAGTAAAGCTGTGTTACTGCCTTCTTATTTCCCAGATTCTCAGCTTCACCATTTACACAGCATCAACACTATATTGTTTGACAGGATGAGCAGAAACAAGTGAAGTGGGAAGAGGTGCATCCCCCAAACATGCGAAGATTGGAAGCCACAGAAGTTTGTGATCTCCTGCAATGCCTCTATAACATGTACTGAAGTATGTATCCCCTTTTCAAACCCTAGATGTTTACGGCAAACACTGGTGTACCAAAAGCACTGTATAAAATATGAATTGCCTCTCAGTCATGGCAGCTAGAAACTTGTTTTTACACACACTATATTTCTCTCTCTCTCTCTCTCTCTCTCTCTCTCTCACACACACACACACACACACACACCCCACAATGCTAGCTATCAGATTCTGTGTTTGCATGGTGAAGTTGCAGAAATGTAAAAATTATTAGTCTGCAAAATATACACCTGCAATCCACAGACCTACAATGGAGTGGTGGTGTCATCTACCAACAGGAAGATATTAAATATAAAGCATTGGCATTTCAGAAGAGAAGCATGGAATGTGCAAATACCTTGGCTAGTCTCTGCTTGTGAACAGCTCTGGTGCAGCAAATGGGCCTGAATACTCAACTGATAGTCTATCACAGAGGCAGCAGTGGTAGCACAACAGCATTCTGTAAAGCGAAGGAAAGTTGGGGGGGAGGCACATGATTAGAGGTAACAAAACTATGGGGTGGGAATGGAGAAGATGACAAATGAATGGATCTGTATCCAAGGGTAATATTTATAAAGTTGTCTCAGGGATTTGGGCACCCAACTAGCGACTATTGTCAAGAGATTTTTGAAAAGTTCAGCTCACCAGGGCAAAACATAACAAAGGAAAGTGGCAATGGGGAAGCTCTCTAGACTTTTGCTGCATCACATGTAATGAGCCAACAACGAAATAATATAGAATTCCCATGGCAAAGAATGCAAAGTGGAAAGGAAAACTTATCTTGTGAACCGGACTCTTTCATGCATTTGTGAACTTGGGACTTTTCTTCTACATTAAGGAACCCTTCAGTTTTAACAATTCCCTACACCCATATTCTGAACCACCTCCCACTCCCATCTCTTACCGGGAGAAACGATGCCATTGTCAACATGCGACAGAGACTGTGGCCTGCTACGCAGCTTGCTTTTGAAAGACTTGGGCCGGCGTGGAGACGACAGTTGCAGGGAGATGTCAGAGGATTCTGACCTGCTATCTTTGATGGAACGCAGCCGCTCATACAACTCCTGCAGCTCCCTGTTCTGTTGAGCCTGAAGGCTCACTACCTCCTGAATGTGTCTACACAGAAGAGGAAGAGGACAAAGCCTTAGGACAAAGCCAAGCCCTGGCTTACTCTATACCCACCTCAGCAGCCACTAGATGCAGGCAAAGGGTGATGGACCAGCTGTGAGACTTTCAGCCCAGGGAACAGGCAGAGACTTTGATTGTGCTAAGGCTCAGGGTTAGGAGCTCCTTTACTTTCTCCTCACTCACATGGGTTGCTCTGGGAGGGGTGGGCCAAAAGGACTTCTTGGCCCATGCAGTGCTCCTCTTGATTGGCTCAGCAGTTCCTAAGTCTGCCCCCCCCCCCCATTTGTAGCATTGGATTGTACTCTTTATTGAGACCTGGGACACACAGCATGTGAAACTTAAGCTGCTCCACAGGCGAGGGGTTTTCCTGCAGCCCATGTGTTCCTGGTATATATGACTATGGACTCAGATAGACTGGTAAAGAAAAAGCATTTTATATGCGTTGTATATGCAATCTGACACTGTGACACCAGATGGCGCTGTGGAGTCCTGACTTTCCCTACCGGATTTCCCTGTATGAGTTTGCAACGCATTTAACTGAATCGCTTCTTTGACGTGTCTCAATCCAGCATGTCTTGAAACTGAGGGAAGCAAATGTTCCATAAGGTATCTGCTTCCTGTTTGCTACTATGGCTAAATAGTTAGGGAACTGTTCTGTGGCGTCTCCAGTGTGGGTTCATGTGCACGAGCTCCCTGTCTTTTGCCTCTGCGATGACTATTGCTGGCTCAGGCATACTAAAAGTGCATGGGGCTCATATTCCCCTTGTTGGGGCTTGCTCTTGCATCTCTCGTTTCCCAACCATGTTCCCTACACTTGAGTTACTGGAGGCTGCTGCTGTCAATGTGTGGCTATGGCCCCTCTTGGGCCTATCCTGCTCCTTCCCTTTCCCCAAGTGGCAAAATGCTCTTTTTCCCCTTTGGTGGCCTGGAATTCTCGTCCCTTTGCAGGCATTCTCCCAAGGCAGCAGTTCGGGTGTTGTGTTATATGGCTTCTCTTTCCTTTCCTTTCCTTTCTTTTGTGTTGTGAAGAAAAACAGTACTTGTCAGCAGTGTGCAGTGTAAGAGGAACTGGACTCCTCTGTTCAGGGATGCCTGCGGCTCTTGGCCACTCACACAGCAGAAGGTGCTGGAGCATCATTGTATATTTGGCAGATTGCATGTTGCGGGTGGGTCAGGGGTGTAGCAGGGGTGCCCCTATGTCAGCATGAGTCAGTTGGCTCTGTCTGGTGGCCATAGGGCATTTCCGTGACTTCGCCACATTGGCCACAATTAAATGTTCAAGTGCAGGTGGCGTTGCCATGGCTCCTGGGGGTGGAGCTGCTGCTGCTCCACCCTACTCTTTTCAGAGCCATGTGTCCCCCACCCACCTTCTGTGATGGGCAAGGGTTGGATATGGCAAATGTTGTGCCAGTATAGTGGCAGCTTCCCTGTCTCCCTAGGGTACTAGAGGATAAGGTTGCTCTGCCCTACTTCTACTTAATATATCACACATCTATAGTAAGGGCTGCAGTGTTTAATAGAGTCACCTAGACTGATGTATTAATTAACTTTTTTGCTTGATTAAAAAGCTGCCCTTTGCTAACCAGGCAAAATATTTTGTAAGGTAATTATTTGTAAGGTAAGTACTTACAACTCTGTGGCTGAAAGTTCCTTCTTAGAAGAGGCATTGCTCCTTCTCTCACCCAGAAGGGAAGGCCACTTCTAAGATTAAGACTACTATGATGCAATTATACATAATCTAAAAAGAAGAAGAAATAACGATCCCCCCCCCTTCAGAATAAATTTCCTTCATATGAAAATTTATGTAGATTCAGTTACATTGATTGGTTGTATGACAGATCACCTGAGAATTCCTTCATCAAATAGCCATCCAATCTGGCTTGCTAAATAGTGGCAGAATCATCTGGAAGTAGCAGACCCAGACTTACCGAAGCTTTGTGATATTATCTAACTTCAAAATCAAAAAATGAATGTAATGGAGCACAAAGAAAGTCTTACTCTGCTCCACCCTTTCCACATTTCGGTCCCTCGTTATAATGAGAACCTTGACGAATACGTTACAAGGCCCCATTTTAGTGCCCTTACTTCTCCCGCAAACGCTGCAGCTCCACCTTCAGGTCCTCATCTTCAATCTCAGACTCATCATCGCTGCTCATTGGGGAAGAGGGGGAGTAAAAGAGTGAACTGCGCCTCTTTACGTGGGTGCCATCCCTCTCCTCTTGTGACTGCTGGCTTCGCTCCCAGCCCTCCAGGCTACCACCCATGGGGGCAGAAAGTTCACTGTCAGAGCTAGGCTGCTTCCGCACAAAACTCCCTTTGGCCCATGGCTCTGAGAAGGACTGCATCCTGCTAGCGATAGCAGACTTCTCCTCCAGGTCCCGCTGCTCAGGGGTGGTAGGGGATGCGTCTGTTTCACCCATGGCACCAGCCAACATAGCAATTTCTCCTTTTCTGGGAGACTCTTCTTCTGGACCAGGTTCTGAGGAAGGAGGCATCTCACAGGGTTCACTTTCTGAACCACCTGAAGCCTGTGGCACTGTGATGACCTGAAGCACACACAGAGAAAGAGAGAGGCAGAGAAAAACGTCAGCTGAGTAGGTTCCCTTTTATAGAAAAGTTGACCTAGTGTGGGGCAGAAAAATGGGCAGGATTTGGTCCCCAAGGAGTATTTTTTTTACAACTGCAAGCCCAGGCGGCAGCTCCCACTTTGGTGTCTTCAACATGACACACTTGTACTACTGGGCCTCAGATTGTAGTTAAGAGTCGACGAGGAATGAGCAGGGGTTGCAAAGAGCCAGGATTCCTGGGGTTTCATTTCCTTAGTTGGATTTTTAACCTACTTTATCTCCAAATGCTTAACCCAGGAACAAGATACATTTATAACAATATCATTTAAAATAGATTTAAAATATGAAATATTAAAAATATTGCATTTTTTTTTAATGTTCAACCACACCTTGCACAAATAAAAAGGTTTTATGTATGTTAGCTACTAAATGCACACAAAAGCTTTGACTTACATGACCTAAATAGGAGAGCAAATTCTTATCTTCCATTCAGAAAAAGGGGGAAACAGTGTATCATGTCATGCCAAGAGAGACCTGGACTACAGGGACATAAATGTCAGCTGACCCTACTGCTAAAAAGACCACACCAAACAAAGAATAAACTCCCCTCACCCCATGTATTAAATATCTATGAAGAGAGGACTTCAAAGAGAAAATACCAGATACACTAAGAAAACTGTCAATAATCAGCTTCATAGATTTCTTTAAAAACTACTTTGAATTAATATGCATTAATATGCCTTGCAAAGGCCTGCTAGGAGATCCTATAGCAACTGCAGCAAAACTTTCCAGTCAAGACAAAACTGAGTGGTTTTATAAGGACTGCAATACATTGATGGGGGAACAGAGAGAGTGAGAGACAGACAGGGGGAAAACGTACAGCAATTTAAAGCACAGGGAGCTACATGATACAGACCTACATACGGTTCACCAGGAAAGATACACTATAAGAATGCAAAATACTTATAGTGCATGAAGAATTACTGCAGAGAGATGGAGCAACAGACACAGCCCTTTTCATTATCTGAAAAGAACCCATAGGCACTGGTAACTCCTCTTTCAGACAATTTTTTACTAAGAACTGTTTATCATAGAGAGTCCCCTCTAGTATTAGGACAACACTCCCTTGACCCATCTGGTCAAGCATCATGCCACCTCTGAGACCGCTTGTTGCAGGATTTTCTCTAGTCACTGCAGGTAGGCAGACAGTTCCTCTCATCACCTTTGCATGTTGCTATGAAATCTATAGATAAGTTCCTCAGCACTTTTCATACTCCCAAATGTAGGTTCCAAAGCTTCTAAATATTCATGTACCCTGATTTGGGAGGTTACCTCTCTGGTAGGCTGAGTATGATACCTGTTGCAAGCCACACGTATTGCAAGAACACAGCTCAAGGCTCAGGGGAAGCTGACTGTAGCAGACACACTTACTGGTAGCAGAGAGTCACAACAGGCAAGTCAGGGGGTTTTCAGGACCCTGGACAGAGCACCACAGATGGTGCTGGCTCATGTGCTCGCATTTACACACAAGGAGAACTGTTGCCTCAGCAGAGTGCAGAGGCTGGCTGATCTGGTATTGTTCACACTCCCTCTGAGGAACAGCCAGTGTTCTCAAAAGGCCACTGCCCAATTCTGCAGCCTTTGCCTCCTACATTGTGCAACGGTGAGGACTGTACTGGGCATGTGTCATCTGAGTCCAAGGAGTCTGGCAAGACCTTGCAGCCTGAAAGGTTGTAGAGTGGGAAATGATCCCACCCCAAGCAGTGCCTCCACCTCCTTTATGACTTCCTTTGAGCCTAAGGGTGACTGAGGCCAGAGAATGTGAAGAACAGCTCCTTTTTTAATCTCTAGTACAGTGCTGTAACATGCTTGATTCATGCGTGAAGATTGTTCCTCCCCAATCCCTGGGTAACATGTACACAGAGGACCCTCAGTTTTCAGTAAGGAATAGCTTCAGGAAGGTTTTAGCATCCTCCCCAATATCTTCCCCACAATATGTATCATTGTAGCACTGGGAGCACTGGTTTCAAAGTAAAAACTGCCAGACCATAGCTGCAAAGGTATTCTCCTGTTGCTCTAGAAAGTATACAAGGTTTTTCCTCCCAGTAACTGCATTTTGTATTGAATATACTTTTTATGACTGCTAAGTGTCCAGACTCAGTTTGGTGTATACACAATTGTCCCGCAGGGTGTGCCATTCAGGCAATGTGCCTTCCCACCTAAAGAGCAACCAACTCAACCTTGCATAATCCCCCCCCCATCCTCATCAAAGTCTTCAGATCTCTGTTGACCAATGTCTATATGACCCAATGCTTTCTTGGTATCATGACCCCAATCCCAGGCTCTTGCACTACACTGAGAAAGATACTGATGAGGAAATAATACATGCTGCTCTACTTAGAGGGGCCCTCAGCATCTCTCCCTGGGCTCTTCTGGCCCAACAACGGAGCTCTCAACCTTCCTCAAACAATGAGCCTCCAATAATATTGATATCCCTTCCATGGCACAGGAATCAATGCTTGCAGAATAGGACGAGGCCTTTTAGGTCATCAAGGTAGTTGAGGCCAACTACCTTGCCAGCCTACTTTAGGCTTCAGATGGTCCTAGCTCTCTGCTGAGACACCGCTTTCCAAAACTCAGCCAGCAGGGCTATTGGGGATTTCCCAGGGTCCTGACTGGCTTAGGCAATCTGCCATTCTTTCCTCCCTGCTAGAAAGTTGTAGGAGTTATCTTCATTTACACAACTTTTGGTTCAAGCTGCAACTCAGGAAAATTTGGACCTCAATTTGTCTATTTGGGTAAAGGCTTCCCCCCTCACAGATCTGAGATGTAGTAAAAATAAAAGTATTTAATCCAATTACAAAAAAGAAAAAAGAAAGAAACAACAGCATGAAAAACTGGCTGCTTTGTCAAATAGCCTGTGCACTCTGTTTATGGGGTGACCTTCAACGGAAAACATTGTTCTTTGTAAAATACATGGCTTGCTCCACAGTGATGCTCTGACTGATGTGTGGGTTTGTGGGTGGGGAGATGTTTCTCATATCCACTCAGCAAACTGAACAAGAGTAGATGGAAAGAAAGACCCATGTCAAGTAGGGATTTTAGCTCACTTAGCTCAGCTCAAAGCAGTGATAAAAACTAAGATGACAACAGCTTCTTTACTCTTCATGAATCAGCTTAGCAAAGCTTGCAATAGTACCAGCCTCTTCCTTTCAGAAGAGTCAGCTCACAGTCCTTTAAAACCTCTCACATCTGGAGGGTTTACAGCAAAAGATTAGCTCTGAGCAGCGACCAACTATGTCCCTGGAAAGTTCAGTAAAAATGATCTCTCCTTATTCTAGTATTTGTTTCTTGCCACTAGGTGGCTCCAATTTGATACCTCCCATTCCTTGAAGTTTTATACCTCCAAGAGTAAGAGTTGAGTCACAATATGAAGCTGTGACAAAGATTTGTTTCATAAATGCGAACTATAGATAAACTTGGCAAAAGCTGAAATTGTGATTTTCACAATAAATGAAATAGTGGACTGAACATGCATTATATAACTCATAATTGGCGCATCATAACTTTAGACCAATTATCCAAGCCCTTTACTGCTTTAATGCAACGAACAAGCCACAGCCAGAATGCAAATCTCCAACAAAGCCATAGTTCAAACTTCAGATTAAATCAAATGCTTTATCTAGTTAAAATAAGATGGCTCAAACCTACACCAGCTGCAAAAAATAAAATAAAAATCCAAATATGGGGAAATGCCAGCAAAACCTGGTCCAGGAGGTATGCCTAATAGTCAACATATCAAAAGAGTTGGTGGGGCAATGGTAAATTTTGCCTTCATTTTGCCTCTGTCACTGTCACACACTCTCCCAGAAGGTTGTCCAGATGGGAATGTGGCCATTAGTCTGAAGACAGTCCCCCACCCTTGAGCTCTTTTGAGCAAAGCAAGGTAGTAATGAAAACAAACAGCGGAAGTAAGACAATCATTGCATGCATATTTGGATTTACATGGTTTTGTGGATTACATTATACGCACCTGAAATCGGCCTCGCTGGAATGATCCAGCCACAGATTGACCGGGTGCTTTATTCTGCACTGTTGCATGCTCAGAGAGAGAAATCCAATCAGGAGCAACATCGCCAGTCATCTCCTCTGTTGTGTAATTTATTTTATTTTTGTCGAAAACAAACACAAAGAAAAAGAACACAGTCAGGCAAAGCTGGGACCCTGATAATACTAAAAAGCAACATTGCATTATAAAAAGAATGATTCTATTATACATGTAGGCTTTTTATTTTATTTTTTGTATCTAAAGACCTACACTTCTATGTGGAATGAAAAAACTGGTTAATCAAACTGGAAAACAAAGTGGTGGTGGGTGAAATGTTACACAAATGAGTAAAGGAGCAAAAATGTATAAATGGAAAAGGCAGGAAATGCTAAAAAAGGGGGGAGAGAGAAAATAAAACAACCATACTTAAAAAAATCAAAACAGATGTTACCTAGTCTAGATCCCTGACTGTAAGCACACTACCTTGCCGGACTTTTGATTTCTTGAAAAAGCTGGTCTGCCGTAGCCTGTATGCCCAGCTTTTTAATTTGCGAGTCCAGGATTTCTTGCTAATAGGGTTTTTGAGACTAGGGCAAGTAAAGCTTAGGCCAAAATATCCACCTCCTGCATGCAGGTGCACAGCTCCACCACTTGATGCTGAAGCAGGACAGGCCACAGGGTTCTCAGGAAATGAAGCCTCCGGGGACATCTCCTGAACAAAAGAAGTGGGTGGGGAAGGGACAGAAGAAAGTGGTGTCTGAATAATGGCAAGGGGGAGTCTTGCACTATACAAGGCGAACCTTAAATATTTTAAGAGCAGGGGTAGCCAACGTATTGTTGGACTACCAACGCCCATCATCTGGACCACTGGCCATCCTGGCTGGGGTTGGTGGGAGCTGGGAGTCCAACAACATCTGCAGGGCTCCTGGTTAGCTATCTCTGTTTTAGAGATTGCTTTCTTGCTGAGGGTTGCACATTCAAATCTCCAAGCTCAATGAAGTGCCTATTTTTAAAAAAGATCAATTTGTCAGGTTAAAATAGCCAATGACAGGTTAGGAGGTTATATGTAACTGCTCAACAATTTTACAATGCCTTTCTCCAAGTAGGACATTTCCAATTCTTAGCCCAAGTAGGGCCTAGTAAAGTTCAGTTCTTTATTAATATAGACAAACTGTTGCTGTAAAAATATCATCTAACTCCCACCCTGTGCCTCTCCCAGCACTGGTAACTCCCAGATACCAGATATTCATCAAGCACTCTAATAAAACTGATCCAGGACAAAATGTTGGGATAGTATGCCTGAAAAGGAAACTTACCTCTCACTTGCCAGCACCCATTAAGCTAGCAAATGGGTTTGTACAGCCATCTAGCATAGCTATAGATTTCTTGTTGCAGGAAGAAAAGATTTCAACCCCAGCCAATCTCCCTGTCAGTACTCACATGCGTACAGAGATCACTGGGAGCAGAGGTGATAGCACTGGGCTCCCTCCTCAGCACTGGCAAACTGTCTGGATGACTTGCAGATGGGATCAGCATAGCCTGGGGGTCTGAAAGCTTGGTGGGGCTTTGCTGGGTCTCTTGGGGGGAGTCTGGTGCATCAAGAACTGGGCCAGGAAGAGTTTCTTCAGCAGACGAGGAAAATGGAGACTCCACGGCACTTTGTGTGTCTTTCTGGCTCTCAGGGGAAGTGCCCGACAAGCTGTGTTCCTGATACAGAAGCGTCCGCAGCTTCTCATCCAGAGTTTTGATGTTGTTGTCGACAAAGTCCATCTTAGGGGGGCCCTCACTGTCTGACTCCAGATTGGATGCGAAGGGGGCGCCTTCTTGTCCAGGGGTCTGAGCCAAAGCACTGGCCTGTTCTGTGCTCATCGTGTTATCTGCTTCCTCAGGGGTCGGGATGTGGCAGGTGGTTGGTCTGGGCACAAAGGCCTCAGTGGGCATACTTTGCTCCGCAATGCCAGATGTTGGGTGGGGTATATATGAAGATAAGTGAGTTTCGTCAGCCTGGGTCTCTGCCTCTAAAGACTCTGGCCAAGCAGAAGAATCGGAAGCAGTAACATCATAATTGTCACCAGCAGTGGCAGACAGCAGCTTATCCATGCTGCCTTCCACTTGGTGAGGAATTGCTGACTGCTCAGTTTCCGATGTTTGGGGTTCAGATACCATACTGTCACTTAGCTCATTTGAGCTGGAAGAGGGGATCGTTCTGTGCTGGCTGCTGAGATTTTCCACAGCCTGTGGACAATCCTGGGGGTGATCTTCTTTGGTACTCTCCTTTATATGGTCTGAAAACACAAAGAGATAAAACTGTTGACAAATAACACCCTAGGGAAAGCTATGTTGCAGTATGGCCCTTTAGAACAGGCTTCCTCAAGCTCGGCCCTCCAGATGTTTTTGGCCTACAACTCCCATGATCCCTAGCTAGCAGGACCAGTGGTCAGGGATGATGGGAATTGTAGTCTCAAAACATCTGGAGGGCCGAGGTTGAGGAAGCCTGCTTTAGAAGGACAAAACCCCTGTTAACTGCAGAGAGTGTCCCTTCTAAAACTTGCAATTCAAGATGGGATAGTTCTCAAAATTATGACTTTAAAAACCAGGGTTGCTGGCTTTGGAGAAGGGGTGTGTAACTTATGCCAGGGGGCAAATTTGGCCCTCCTATTCAGCCCATGGGGCTCTCTACAGGTCACACCCCTTTCCACCTCAATGGTGCCTTCCTTGAATGCTTTTGCTTGGCTGGATTATGTCCTTGGAATTGTGATAATGCCTATTGCTTGCCTGGAAGGAGAGAGGTGTGTACACATGTGTGCAGAAACCTATGCTTTTTGCCTGGCTGGAATGCAGCCTACTGTAAGAATCACATCTGTTGCTCTGCCCACTTTCGCCTCTCACTTCCCTGCCTCCTCTCTTTGCCCGCACCCACCATATGGCACCGGGAAGGTTGCTCACGAGGAAATGCCTTGATCTGAAAGGTTTCCCACCTCTGCTTCAGAAACAGCTCAGAAAAACAAGCCCAACATATTTGCAGCAGAACAAGCTTTTAGGCTATTATAAAATAAATTCACATAGCATTTTTATAAAGGAGTGTAATGTATATGATTATATAGATAAAACAAGCTCAAGGTGATGTATGTGTCCTATGAGGGCCAGTCACTATTGTAATTTTGTATTCATCTTGAACACTTTTTACAAAAGCCTCATAATAATTTCATAAATATAGAAACACAGTAAAGTTGTGAAAGCAGCAGGAAAAAAGTGAGCACAAGATAAAATTACCAGTCAAGACAAAACAAAAACATTGGGGCAACTAAAACCCTCAGTCAATTAAAAAAGTCTTCACCTGGCACAGTAAGACTGTAATTTTTAATAATAAAAAAGAAGACAACTGCATCATCAGCCATGACCACAATAACTGTGAGCACACTTCATTCCACACATTATTTCTTATCTCTGTTTAAACCTGATCTGATCCATGCACTGCTCTCCCCCATGAAGTATGCATGGGTCTTTCATTAATGATTTTGAAGGAACTTTAAAGGTATTTTTTTTTATTTCAGTCTGTATCATTTTATTTTAGTGATAGTTTGCTGCTATTTTTTAGAAGTGTAATGTAGATTTTAAATTATTCCTTTATGTTTTATACAACTGTCTTTACATACTGCTTTGTGGGGGAACTTGCCCTGAAAAACAGATTTTTAAAAAAGAAAAGAAAGAAACCTGATTTCTGGTTAGAAAAGGATAGTGCTTTTTCAGTGCTTACTGTGAAGGTTCTTTCTTGTTTGGGGTAAACAATGCATCCTTCTATGAGGCAGGGAGCACATGACTAACTTTGTTGCTGCATTGGATGCTGATTATTATTATTATTACCCTACCTTTTCCCTGATGGGACTCAAGGTGGCTTACATATAAAAACGAGACTTGCTAAAACCATAGAAAAAACTATCATTAAAATAAAAAACAAACATCGTAATAAATAAAATTATATTCATATCATATATAATCTATTAAAATGATGCTTGCTCCAGTTGCATCCCATGGCCAAGCTTGAGACAGAGTCAAAGAAGGAAAAGGCAAAACACAGGAAGAGAGAGGTCCCTCCTAGTAAGAGATGACTCAGCACAGATTGGAGGTATCTGCAGATGAATGTGTGTGCCAAGAGAAATTGTTTAGCTCACTGGTCAACAGGAGCTCCATGTTCCTTTCTCAACCTGAAGAAGCATCCAATAGGAATGGGATATGCATAAGCTACTCTGAGGGACGTGGGTGGCGCTGTGGTCCAAACCACTGAGCCTCTTGGGCTTACCAATCAGAAGGTCGGCGGTTCGAATCCCCACGACGGGGTGAGCTTCCATTGTTTGGTCCCAGCTCCTGCCAACCTAGCAGTTCAAAAGCACGCCAAAAAATGTGCTTCCCACTCCGGTGGGAAGGTAAATGGCATTTCCATGCGCTGCTCTGGTTTCAGTGTTCCCTTGCGCCAGAAGCAGCTAAAGTCATGCTGGCCACATGACCCGGAAAAACTGTCTGCAGACAAACAGCGGCTCCCTTGGCCAGTAAAGCGAGATGAGAGCCGCAACCCCAGAGTCGTCTGCGACTGGACTTAACTGTCAGGGGTCCTTCACCTTTACCTTTTCAAGCTACTCTGATTCTAGGGAGGGAATTTAAGATAAACCAGTGGGAGTAACGATGATGAAGAATATGCTGGAACGTGCTGTCAAATGTCACCTCTACGGAGGCAAAGGGAAAGGGAGGAGGAGGCTCCCACATGGCCACTTACATGCCATCAGCAACTGAAGGGGGAAGCACGGCTGCTGGTGCTGCTCTTGTGGAGTGTGTGCCATGACATTTTTGTGATGTAGGGAGGTGCTGAGCCAGATAGGTCAAGACCATGGAGGCTTTAGGCCATCTCACTAATATGGTGGGTGAAGTCTTTTTCCCCTAGGGACCTGGGGGTTAAAGAATACAAATGGGGAGTCTGTTTGATGGAAGGCTTGAGTGAGTCTGGGACAAGTCTTTAGAACCCTGTAAAGACTAAGCCTGTGACAGGGGATGGGGGGCTGGGGCAAAAGAAGGGCAAGATCAGTTGTTCTGTTCGGTGGAAAGCAGAGTTCGTTTTTGGAAAGAAGGCTGTGCACAGATTTATTCTACCCTTGTGAAAAGGTCACACAGATGTGCCAGGGCTCCCAGCTCTGAAACCTCATGGACTAAGATTATGGCCACTAGGAAGGACACACTTTGGGATAACAATGATAAAAATGTGGTGGTCTGGAGGACTGCCTTTCAACTCAAGGAAGAGAACTTGTGTGCTCCTGTGGCCATGAAGAAACAGGCCTCTGAGAAATCAGTGCTTGTGTGGATGTTTGCCAGGGTTCTGAAGTTCTTCCCAGAGAGGCTGGATGACAGGGGTGAGGTCTGTCATTGCTGGGAGGAAGATTAGCCTTTCCACTGTGTCCCTAAGCAGTAAAGTGGGTGTTCCACTGTGTTACTAAGCAGTAAAGTCTTCCGGACGGGTCAGATGGCTTTTGGGGAGCTTAACTATGGAGCTGTAGTTCTGTAAAGGCTAGAGTAACTAGGAAGTGTAGATGAGCCCCGTCTTGGGGTGAAGAGCTGAGAAAAGGCTATCTTAGGGATGCCATATGTCCATAATACTGTGGGCGAAAGCAGTGTCTGTACAGAAACCGGCAAGATCTCCCAGAAAATCCGGACATATGGCAAGCCATGTTGGCAGTGCCATTTTTGCCAATTTTCATAAATAATTGTTCAAAATAGCTCAAAAATGGCAATTATTTTTGCTATTTTGCAAGAAAAGCTCAATAACTCTGATGCCCACCCCCAAGAAGCTCAACAGCTTTTTGTCTGGATGTTCACTTTTTGAAATATGGCAATCCTAGGCTATATATGTAAGCCCTGAAGCAGGAGGTGTGCTACTACTGATATGATGGGATCTACTGAAAAATCCACCAGCAAGTCAGTGCACTTGTACCTAGCTTTACCTACTCTTCTCTCCCTGTGTGTAGCCTGCGCTCTTCCCAAATCAGCTCCAGGGGATTGAAAGAAACCCCATAACAGATTTAGGAGGTCCAGAGCATGCAGGGAGAGAAGTTTCATTGTGTAGTCAAAAGTCCTTACACTGACAGAAGTTGAGAACTGAGCTATTTGTAGCCAAGGCCTCCTAACCACCAGAACTGTTGTCTTGCTTTTTGTAGCTGGTGCCAGGGCTGTCTGATGGAGGAACTGTGAGAAATGGGAACTAGACTACACTAGCTTAGGAATTCTATACAGCCTTGGTCAAAGGAGGTCCTATTGGGCTGAAAAGAGTAAGGTTGCTTCCTTTTCGTATGAGTGCCAAGGGTCTCTTTTTTATCTACAAGGTGCACTTTGAGCAGCTCTTCACTAAATAGACAAGTCCCTCTGAAGTGGGCTGCTCACTGATTTGACCAGGAAATTCAAGACCTTCTAGCTACTGTGAATGCTACAATGATCCTTGAAGAAGGCTAAACAGCACCTAGGTTGACACTGGAGTGAATGCTGATGCCGTGGTAAGTCTGACCAATACCCTCTGATGGGTATTGTTGTCCCGATCCTTATTTTGCAGTATATCCTCCAGCCAAAGAACCGTAGCTATAGCAGCATTAAAGAGGTAAAGACAGCAGCCAGGGCAGGAGCCTCATGGGACTTTTAAAAGAAATGTGGTATGCCTTCTTTCTACTTCTTTCTCGGGAAAATGTGTCATTGCGCCTAGGGGGGATTGAGTCCAATAAAAGGACTTCCACTGCAGCAACCACAACTGGGACTTTTAACTGTTCCATTGCCTGAGGGGAAACAGTATACAATCCTCTGAGCTAGTCTAGTGGCTTTTTGTTTGGTTGGCTTGGTGTTCATTTCAACTAATTTTTTTTTTTTTACAAAGCGGATGGAAAGGGTACTTCTTTGGAGGCTGATCTGGTCTCCAAGGAGACAAACGCTGCCTGGGATGTCGGCTGAGCTGGCTCAGGAGGTGAGAGTTGCAAATCTACAGGTGATTTAGCTCTTGCTAATAAAGTTCTCAGTGGGAGGCTCCATAGTAGCTGCAGTGGGCTTCTTTTTAATTTTTGCTTCCTTAACTAGCCTAATATGTTGCATTTTTTTCTTTCTTTCTTGTTGGCTTTCTGCCCACCTGAAGGAGCCATAAAGGATGAAGGGAAAGTCAAGAAAAAGAGATTGATAAAGATTTTTTTAAAAGAAGAAGAAAAAGAAAGAGGAAGTGGATAGCACAGGAACATCTGTTTGGGAGGAGCACGAAGTATAAAGGTATGGAGTTGAGATTATGAGAAGGGAACAATGAAGCAATGTTCTATGCTGGGTGAAGGCAGGGAATCAACTGGGGAGGAGTCAGGAGCATCGGATGCCGTAAGGAAGTTTGTCATATGTTACACATAAGAACAACCCTACTGGATCAGGACCAAAGGCATCCTGTTCCAGCATCTTGTTCTCACAGTAGCTAATGAGATGCCGATGGGAAGTCCACAAGTAGAACATGAGTGCAACAGCACTTTTACTCTTGTGTTCCCCAGCAACTGGTATTTTTGGTCCTTTCCAACTCTGCCATTCTGTGATTCTATTATTCTATGAACATGCTTTCTGTACTAGACAGGAGTTGCTATGCCAAGGGATAGAGAATGACTTCTTGCCTTCATTAGGAAAATGTTGAAGGGGAGGGAATTCTTCCCCACAAAGAGATTTCTGATCTTCAGCAGCATTAAAGACTTAAACCTGGAAACTTCCACTCTGAAACTCTGAGCCATTCTTACTTGAGACACAAAGCCTGAACTCAGTGCTGGCTACAGTTCCAAAACTGTACGGATGCTACACTTTACCACAAACAAGTCAAAATTGAGTCAGGCTTTCTACAGCATCACATGTTCACCTGTTATCTGACACCCCGGGGCAGCTGTAGTTGACTGTAGAAGAGTGCAAGGTGTCTGGGTTTCTCTGTTCCTTATTGTTTGATTGATGCAAAATCTCCAGCGGCCAACAGGGGATGACTGAGGAGCGGATTCACCTGTGAGGAAAGAAAGAAGTACAGGAGATGATCATTCCTCTACCATCTTTCATGTGCATAACAAGAAAACAAAATCAAGATGTGCTCAAACAGGACTATGAGAACATCACTGCTGCTGTGAGCAGAAGCCTTAGGAACAACAAGGCCTAGCAGTCGGGATTCTGGAATTGGCCTTAAGGCACCAAGGCTGCAATTCTAATAGACTTAGGGAGGAGTAAACTCAATTGATCAGAGTGGGATTGTTGCCATGAACCGATGTGATCTGACTTTCGCCAGTGTCCTTGGATCAGTGTCCTTGCACAGAAAAAAATGAATGCTGCTGGTGAAGCTATCCTTCCTTGGCTTTGCCTGAGTTCTGCTGCTTGCCCCTTTATTTATAGGGACTACCAGAGCTTTCCCAACTTTTCATGTTGATGACACTTTTTTTCTTTTTCTTTTTTGACATGCACGATTTCGCAACACATTAATTCAGTTTTACTAGCAAACCAGAAGTTAAATTAACCCCTTTGCAGGCCTGGGAGGAGTGCAGGGAGCATTTGTGCGACACACCGACACACTGCAGCCAACACACTAACGTGTCATGACACACAGTTTGGAAAGCTCTGCTTTAGAGTAATGCACTGTGCCATGCATGTACCTCCTTTCCCACCCCTGTCTTTACTAAAGCCAGTGTGGTGGTTAGAATGTCAGGCTAAAGCCTGAGAGACCAGGCCTCAAATCCCCACATGGCCATGAAGATCACTGGGTGGCCTTGGGCCAGTCACTGCCTCTCAGCCTAACCTACCTCACAGGGTTGTTGTGGGGGTTAAATGAGGAGGGGGAGAGCTATGTAAGCCATGTTGAGCTCCTTGGAGAAAAGATGGGATATACCATATTTTTCCATCTATAAAACACCCCCATGCATAAGACGCCCCCTATTTTGGGGGACTCAGACTTAAGAAAATGGGGGGAGATGGCCCTGTGTATAAAATGCCCCTTAATTTTTGACATTATTTTTTAGGGAAAAAACCTAATTAGTCTTATAGACGGAAAAATACGGTAAATACAATCAATCAATAAATAAAGTCAGGATCAGACATGTGTTGGTGCACTTGTTGCGGGTTTTCCCATATCACATTGCTCAGACAACAACAGGAATATTCTGTTACACTACTATTTCCCACAAACAGTCCCACCAAATTACCAGAAACTAGCCCATGACTCTAGGCCGCAAGTTAAGAAGCTCAAATCATTTAACAAGAACATATGATTAAAATAATTATCCATAAAATAATAGGGCCATTATCCAGTTTCAGTAGATGTACTTTTAATCCAGTATTTCCTTCTGGCTCAAGAAGATAGGGCTCTCTAATTTGGACCTGGATGGCATTGTACATCTCATTTTTATCATAGTGCTTACCCCGCTTATACCATACTGTATTAAGAACACTTGCTGGTTTGAGACAAAAACCTGTAACACTCTGCCATTGGGAACAGTATCTACATTTATCGCTTGAGCACCGTTTGCTGCCTTGAACACCATTTGGTGAGATACAAATTGAACAAACAAGAAACTGTAATATGTACCTCTTATTAGTAGTCCGAATAAACATTTATCAAAGTGTTCAGCACAACAGCTTCAGGCTTACCCAGGGTTTAAACATGCTTGATATATATATATATATTTGAACAGCTGATCCCTATGCTATATCACAGTCTGCTTTTGAAAGGTTCTCCTCAGTTTCAGAATTGCTCTGACATGTGGTAAGGAAGACTCCTCTTTCAGAAACACACCCAAAGTTCCCCTTAATTGCACGGAACTATGGTTTGTTGGATCCTGGCCAAAGTGTTCCAGTCCTCCAGGAGCAGGAAGAAATAACAAATCAAGAGCAGACAGATGCTCAACTTGTGGGTAAAAAACAAACATACCACTGGCATTGTTCTGTTGATACAAAGGTCATACCAGAATCAGAGAAAAAGAGATCATTCAGTGTTAATGGAACAAAGAGTAGCCAAGTAAAATGTTGGACTCTTCTGATGTGCTTGAAAAGTAGTCCATCATGGTAAGTAACTGCCTTCGTATCACATAAAGGAACACAGTTGACTGTGTGCATTTCACTTTCCACTACGAAAAATCCCATACACAAGAGAGAGCATCTTTCCCTCTTTCAACCATTGCTTCTGTATTTCTTAAATGAAAACTCAGCCATTTAAATGTGCACGCCACATTTCACAACTGATGACACCACACGTGATATTTGCTACATAAACATAGGGGTATTTTTGTAGTCAACCTCAAAAAGGAAATTTTGAACTGGCTAGATTTCCAGACACTTCAAACCACATCACCAACTGTAAGTTAGCGGTAGACAGCATGATGCCCTCTAGTTATGATCCTACTCCAGTCCCATCAGCCCCAGGCAACTTGGTCATGTAGTCCAATGGCATCTGGAGGGCACCTAACTGGCTATCCTTCTATAGGTATGGAAGCTGGCTTGTAACTTCACCTGCTTTAGGATAATGTAAGGAGTCACTACCAAACACAATGAAGGAATTTGGATTCTAGTTTCCTAAAGGTAAAATCCAGACCTTTTTCTTTGCTCAGCTACATCAAACCACCCCCAGAATTGATACCAATTTGGCTATACTCATTAAGAACTTGTTTATTTATTTATTTTAAATGTATATACTGCTTAATTGATAGAAGATTTCTAAATGTCTTCTTTCAGCCTTGAATAATGTCACTCAAAATCTTTACAATCTTCCCATACAGTTATCAGGACCATTGCAGAGAATCAATTATATGTGCCAAGATGAATCCACCTAAGACGTGAACTACCATAAGAAGATTTGAGAGACAAAAGGCAGCCTAACTGACAAGGAACAAATCTGCTTTAGTTCCTGCCAAAATATCCACTATTTTCATCACTTTCACCTTTAAGGAGGGTGGTTTTGTTTTGTTTTTTTGTTTGACCTTCAATGTTAAATGTTTTAAAATAGTTACTTACTGCCAGTTTGAGTAGATGCTGGGTTTATCTGAACTTGTTCAGAAGATCCTGTCTGAATTAAAAATGAATAGATAAATATAAAAAGGGAATTTCCCAATACAAGCACACACTTTCCCAGAAAAGTGGTATCACTAAACAAACATAACTTACTTGGGTAAGATCAGAAGGTGTAGACTCTGTGCCAGTAGTTCGCTCTTCAACCGGAAGACTGCGGATGATGTCCTGGGCCTGGCAAACAATAGCCTTCAGTTCATCAACAAATTTCTCTTTCTCATTTTCCAACACAAAATCATCTTCAACCTAACATGGGAAGGAAAAAACAGGGTAGAAGATGTAAGTGCATCTTCTATTACATTTTATACAATCAGAGAAATCTTAGCTTTCCAAACGAATAATATTGTTTGGCTGAAGGAAAACTCATATATAGCCAAAACAATTGAAACTGTGCCAGTGTCTATGTAGCAAGAAGCCATCTCAAGTTTCCCCAGTAATAGGGGAGGAACATACTCATTCTAAAATGGTATTACTATACTTAAGTATTCCTTTTTCTAAACATATTATTTTGCAAAATGCCAAAATCAGGCGCCAGACCTAATTATAATCCAGAAGCCGACCACAGGAAGAAAGTTTCCCTCAAAATCTGCTCACAGGTCCTGGCCCCACCCCCAGAAGCACCCAATGGCTCCCTGGGTGGGGTTTAGCCTCAGTGCATCCAATGGAATCCATTACCTGAGTGATGCCTGCAAGATAGCATGGCCAGTGACAAAGGATCAGGGTTGATGGGATTTGTAATCCACAACACCTTGAGCGGGGCTATACAAACCCCCTACCCCAGTTAAAAGATGTATAGGATCAGGCAGCAAATTTTATGTCTAAAGAAGAAATGTGTACTATTGTCAAAGTCTTTGGACGCTTATTTTTTAAAAAGTTAATTTTTACTGAACAACAAAAGCAGACAATACACACGAGAGAAAAACAAACATTAACAACAAAATAATGTAAGTTTAATACAAGGAGCTTTTGATGATAAAGTCAAAGAAAAGTAAAAAATTCAGAAGTGAATGAAATGGATAAAATTATAAACGAGAAATAAAAACACAACTTGTGCAATGAAGGAAATAGGAAAAGGGGGGGAGTGTCTATAAGGAGGCAAGACCTTCTTCCATTGAATTAAATGAATTTATCCAACCTGCACTCCCCCCCCACCCCAAGTTTCTAATGTTTAGGGCTAAAACACCATTTTGAATCTTATTAACCCAAGGAACAACAGATGGTCCTGCAGGAGTCTGCAGCAAACCTGAAATAATAACTTAGAAGGTTAGTTCAAATGGTTTAAGGATTTTTAAAACGTTTGTCTTGAAGTCCTTACACGCAACGTTTCCAAAGGTGACAGTGCCTGGGAGGCTGAGCTTAGTCAAACTTCCAAACCCAGTTTTCATTGATTCCTTCAGCAGCCCCATTTTTAGGATCTTGCCCCAAAGCCTCTCAAAGTTAGTTCTCAAAATAATCTGTGCAAGTCAAGGGCATGTCAAGTGGAAGACTAAGGTTAGACCTCAGGGGTTTCCATATCTTGAGAAATGCTATGAACAAGACACAAGGCTATTGCACATTGTCCTGAGCAACCCAAGCATTTGAACAAGAAATCTCTAGTGGAAAGCAGGCTCTATGAAACTTGCCATGTAGTCAGCAATGTCTTCCGGAGCATCTCCATCAACATCAAATTTAAATGTGACCATCTTGTTGTTATGAGTCTCAAGCTGGCACTCCACCGTGTTGTCCCCCGATGTTGACACCTGATTGAAGGGGGGGGGTTGAGTAATTAGACAGAGTCAGAACCTGCTTCTTCTTCAATTCTTGGCAAACAAAGATCACCTCTACCTGACTGGTGTGACACCAATCCTGTAAAATGACAGCACCTGTCCAAAGGCTGAAGTGGCAAAGCACCAATAACTAAAAAGGTTTAACACTACCTATTATCTTTGTTGTTGTTTTGAATAGATAATTATGTACACATTATATGTTGTCCTATAGTATGATAATGAATATAGATAGGATTCATTTCTGTAGAATCCGGCATCTGTTGAAAATGCCAGCACTTGATGGTCTTTGGGATTCAGTGACCTCAGTTTCAAATATTCCATCCAAAGACTTAATAAGCATTTGCTGGAGGCTTGAAAATATACTTCTTCACCCAAAGACTATATTCAAATTTTCCCCTCCAGTTATGACCTGATTCCAAATACTTGCCTTCATTAACATTTGGAATGGATTCTAGATCCTGTTCACACATTATGTTGTTTTAAAAGCAACTGACCTGAACCCATTCCTTTCTGATCTTGTGAAGCTGCAAGAATAAACTTAAGCTAAAAAGATACACAAAAAACTGTGAAGTCATCTGCTATCTCTGACACCAGGCACACAAACCAGGGTAGAAACATTAATAGTGTACAACATTGGATAAATCAATTGTTTTAATCAGTCCATTTTGCAAGTCTCAAAATTCATCCCACAATTTACCATCAACAAAGACTGATTCTAGGCAAATCTGAGATTATAGAAGTCATAAAAGTGCTCTTCTGCTCAAAGATGGTGTTAAAAGAACAACTTGCAATATGGGGAAACTCTGCTTCCCCATATTGAGGTGCCCCCTGAAATATGATCTGTGAATATAAGAATTGACTGAGCCAAAGGGCTTCTTCTTAACATATATTAACCAGATAAACAAATGATTATCTGGAGTCCAAGGGCAGGATTCAACTAAGTTGTTGCATGTGCAGAATGAGGAGTCCCCGTACAATGGAACTTTCCATCCTCTCCTACCCCGTGCACCCTCCTGCACCATTTAAATCTGCTCGGGGGGGGGGGGGGACGGACCCAGAAAAGGTTTGGGGTCATTCAGGGTAAGGAGAGGGTGGAAAAGTCTCATTGCATTAGTGGATCTCATTCTCTGGACACATACTCCAATTGAATTCCACACATAGTTGCAGAATTTATAGTCATTAAAGCATTGCTTGCAAATGGGAATTTGTACAACGGTGGTAGTAGAGCCCAGATAAACAACCTCAAATATATTTTCCAGACAGATATTATTCCATTGAATTCTATTCTGGAGCTATGCATGGTTTAGCCTAGATTGTTAAAACATACATACCTGCAGCACAGTGAGCTGAAATTTGGTTCCCTTCTCTGTTCGGGCACATGAAGCTCTCCGTTGCTTGCTTTTGTCTTGTTTGCCATTTCCACTTGGAAGGTCACATCCATTGGCACCTTCCTTCTGAATGGCTACATCAGGAATCGGTCTTAAAAGATAGGAAAAGAGGTGAGCACTCTTAGAAGGAGCACACCAAGACACTTCTGAGGGGAAGCCTTGCTCTCTGTAACTTCTGAACATTAAGTAAATCTTTGTTTTCCTTTTATCAACTAGCCCAAATGAGGGCTTGCATACCTCACAGCAGCTTCAATATTTGAATAGGGAAATACCGTAGATCAAAGTAGGGCTGGTGACAAACACTACTTTTTAAGTGAGTTGAAGGTGGCTAGGTACCATAGGCAGACATTGCTGTCTATGGTATATGCATTTATTTTGTCACACTACCATTGATGGTTAAACACTTAAATTCAAATGGGTGAAATTTACATGGACAAACCACATTTCTCTCAGTCTCAACTACACACAGAGAGACAGACACACTACATCTGTAATGGGGAGAATATTAGCTTAACTTACAGGGCTGTTGATGGTCCCCCTATTGTATACATTACTCTATCTGTGGGGCAGCGGGATTTCCCTGACTTCTTTCTAGGCCACTGTGATCATGTTCAACATCCCAGTGCAACATAGATGGGACCAACAATGCCCACCCTTCCATCCACTGTCCTCTAGGCAATGATCAGGTGAGAAAGGCCCAGATTACTGCACTAAAGGTTACTGCAACAAAATGGAAGTAGCAAAGCTATGGAGAACTGGCTCCCACACAACTTCGTAGTTGTGTACGAAGTGTCTTCTCAAGTACTGCAAACACTCAGGAAAAGCACTTCACAAACATTTTCTTACTATTGTTCTCTTTACTTTGTCTTAGTGGTGCTTGGGGTGGCATGCAGAGCAAGCTAATGGATAGATGGCACCTTTGCAGATGTACAGAAGGGGGAGTTATGGGAGACCAGGACTAGTCCTTACCTTAGGGTAATAAGGCACAGGGCTGGACCCTGCAGCAAGCGGCTGGTAACATGACTGGGGAGGAGGGAGAGATGGATGTGGGGAAAGCTTTTCAACTGGTGACCTTAGGCTGTGAGGGGGGGCTAGGGAAGGTGTCATTTAGTTCACATCTCATTTAGCAAAAGGTTTGGCACTGGCATTGAGGATTAGCAAATTCTGGGAATCCCAAACCTAAAGTCTTCCAGTGAAATCCATAAATTAACTTTCTAGCACACTACTGCTTTGATCAGAAAATTCCTAACAGTTATCCTAAGTATTTACTTCCCTAAATTTAACTGAAGTTCTTAGCAGGGAGAGAATGATGAGAGTTCCTATCTTTGGGTACATATGCTTCAATAATGTTTCTTCCTACCACAACTCTGCCAGCTTTCTTCTGGTTGAAGTGAACTCCCCCCTTCCCACCCCTCTGCAAGCCTTGAGCTTGTCTTCTCTGTATGGAAAATGGAGATGTTCACTAGTTTTGATCTCCATGCACTTAGCATTCCTGCCTTCCACCAGGCCAAAAAAATTAACCTTGGAGCAGACTCACCCTTGAACAAAATCCTGATTTTGAACTGATGGCTGTTGTTCTGGTACCAAGATGGAAGCCTAGAAATAGGGAGGGAGAAAATTAATTATGTTGGTTCTGCATTTGCCATCCTCACTTGGATGCAGCGATACTAAGCAAATTAAGTAATTACACAAAATGCAAACAATTTGTGTGCTTGAAATGAAACACAATCGTACTTTTCCAGGCTGACATCCTCAGGACCTGGATCTGCTCCCCCCCCTTCTTCTTCTTCTAGTAACATTTAGCACCAGTTCTAAAGATAACCTTGAATAATATCTAGCTCTCGAGATTCTATTCCAAGCTTTGCATTTGCTTTGAAAATATTTCCCATCCCTGGTTAGGAAAATATTTACAGTCTCAGAAATGTATGCTTGCTATTTGCAATCCCAGGAGAAAAAGTGAAAATAAAAGTTATTAAAATGGAAAGCTGAGACAAGTTACTCTACATTTAAAGACATACAATCACTAAAGATCATTAGAATGACCACCTCTTGCATGCATAACGGAAAGGATAAAACATTCTAAGGAGGTTAAACCTAGTTTATCCACAACATTTTTCCTTTTTATGGAATAGACACAGCATTGTGCTAGATCACTAGATTACAGTCTATAATCCAGTACGCAGTTTGAAGGTGTCACAAATAGCTACAAATGACATTGGTGGCATGATTAGATATGCAGGAGAATGGAGAGACCTTTATCCACAGACACAACTGCAACAAGGAAAGTGCTGAGAACACAAAATAGGCAACAGGGGATGTTCAGATAGTTTCTCCTCAGAAATGAGAAATCAGGTTGTCTAGAACTGAAACTGTGTGCTAACCCTAAGAGCTATCTTGTCACAGTAGGCAAGATGAGCAAGAAGAGGTCTCAGGAGATGATGAAGTTAAGGAACAAGAGGCTCAGGTAGCCAAAAGAACGGGAAAGAGTCTGCAATGAACAGAGATAAAAGGTGCTTCCAGGTATGGATGATTTAGCAATCCCTCATCATTTTGGTACTGCTTTCAGCTGAAAGTTGAAGAGCAACTCAGCCTCCACACTTCTTGAAGGCAGACCCTAACACTTTGTTCTGCAGCCAGGTTCTGCGTCCCTCTTTTCCCAACTCCAGTTACTGAGAGGGGGGTCATTGGGACCAGGGGGGAGGGAAGACTACCTCCTCCTTCACGGTACTCCTTATCATGTCACCCCATTGCTGCAATGTAAGGAGGAGTGGGAGAAAGAGTGCAACACTTTTTGGAAAGAGAAAGGTCAGACTGATAGAACTAATTCCTAGAGAGGAGAAACAAACCAGAGAGAGAAAAAGTAGCTACAGCAATCTAGAAAAGGGGTGGGACAATCTATACAGGTCACTATAGGCCAGAATAACAGCACAGTAGCCCACCAATGCCCAGGGAATGTACTGTATGCAGCTACAAAAAAGTTGAGAAAAAGTTGCGTTTTCTAAGCTCATAAAAAAGGAAGTGAAACAGGGAAAAAGTGAGAGGAAAATGTTTTGTTCATGCCATCTTGCATGAGTAAGGAAGCAGTACATGTCCAGTGTGGAAGCAGTCACAGAAACCTAAAAGAACAGCAGATGGTAGAAGCAGAGGAAAAGAGACAGGGAATTAAGGAAGAAAGTGACCAGCAAAAGGAGAGGACTATTGAAACAAGGCAGTCGAAGCTGTATTAAATGGGGCAGAAAGGGGTGGAGAAAAATGCTGGATGAACACTGCTGGTTGAAAGACAGTGTGGCTGGACAAAGCAGGGCAAGCTAAGATGAAGCAGGAAGAAAATCATAGAATTGGGACCACAAGGGTCATCTAGTCCAACCCCCTGCAATGCAGGAATCTTTTGCCAAATGTGGGGCACAACCCCGAGATTAAGAGTCTCATGCTCTGCTGACTGAGCTACAAGGCAACCATCAGGTTGGCAGAGGTGTGACCATAGACAAAGAAAGGAGGGACTAGGGTTGACCTCTTTTTCCTGACAGGGCTACTGGATTAGAACAATTTTTCCATTGTTTAGACCCAGTCTTGCACGTAGCACTCATGGAAGGCTATGCCTGCCAGTTGTCAAAAACACCACTTGTGAAGCAGATTAGAAGCACACAAATCTGATTAGCAAGAAATTAAACACAAAACAGGAAACACTTTTGGTTAACTCTGCACCCTCTCGAAAGAACAAGAGTTTCTGGTTGAGTCTTGTTTGCGCTGAAGAAAATGTCATCACCATCCCATGCTAAACAAACCCAGGCTGTGGGGACTGTGTAGGGGAGAGAAAGCTTTTTCTGCCGGAGAGCAGCATTTCCTCCTGGGCTGCCTTCCAGGGCCTGTGTGCCAAAAGCAGGATGGGCAAAAGCGGGCAGACCAACAGATGCAACTCTTGCCTTGGTACACAGGAAGGCTACACTCTGGGTTTCAACCCACACCTCTCTACTCTTCATTCAGGAAGCAAGGGGCACATCTGTCAGGGCTGGAGTCAGGCATAGGGCAGCAACAAAACAATAAATCAATGGAAACAAACCACAAGTCTGGCCTGTCGCTCTCAGCAACTCTTTCAAGGTCTTGCCCCAATGAAGCAGTTGTGAGGGCTGAAGATGCCTGCCTTCCCAGTGTCCACTGGGACTCCTCCTCTCCAGGGTCTTTCCCACTCAGTCTCAGGTGGCGTCTGCGCACAACCCAGCTCTGCCCTGCCCTCTTGATTTCTTTGCGTGTTCTAAGGAGACCAGCAGGGAGAGGAGCTGGTCACACCAGAATGGGGAGACTGTCTGGCTTCTTCTGCAGCCAGCCCCTCTGCCTTCTGGCCCCATTCCTCCCCATCCCATTTCTATCTCTACCTCTGGACTGCTCTCTGCCACAGTCTCTCCCTTCTCACTAAACCCTGTTACCTCTTCTGCTTCACCCTCTTCTCTCTCTGGCCACCCACCACCAAGCTCCTGGCTCTGAATCCTCTTCCCTTGGAGGGGGGGTTCCTCGGCTGGTGCCTCCCACCATTCCTCTGCATCCAGCCAATCCATGATCGTACCACAGCTCAAAGGCGCTTTGCAGCCCCGCAAACACACTCAAGCAAGCCAGGCCAGTATGGAGGGGCATGACCTGGGGAGAGCCCTGACAGCCAGATACAGAAGCATGGAACATCTCGTCCAATTTGGCCCTAAAGTATGCAATCACCATTACAAAGTCAAAATACTTAGGCATTTTGTTGTGACTCTCTTTTCTTTTGAAGGGGGCGGGAATCCTGGGAAACAAGATTTTTTTTAAAAAAAACACGAATGATATACCTGTGAAATGTCTTGTCCTTGAACGTGTTCTTGGTGTGGCTGTGTCCCTGCGCTAAGTGATGCTTGCTGGTTCAGGGCTGCTGATGCTGCTCCAGAACTCGTTGAAGGGACCTGCTTCTGGACCACTGGCTCTGCAGGCAACACGGACCCCTGGCACATTGGCAGCTGCTGCTGCTGCACATATGCTGACTGTACTGAGGAAGCTGTAAATGGTTGGTTATTATCAGCTGGCTGAAATGCTGGAGGTTGCTGGAGGAGGCTAGGACCATGCAGGTGCCCGGGCAGTTCTGGCGGCTGTTGCCTTGCATAAGCTGGCTCTGACTGTTCTGGCATGGAAGACACCGTCTGTGGTGCGTTTGGGGCAGACTGTGGGACTGTGGCGTTGAGGGGCTGAGGAATAGCATGCTGGTTGAACTCTTGATAGGGAGCCTGTGGCTGCATTTGTGGGATAAAAGATGGCTGAGATGGGACAAAAGGGGCCTGCGATCCTGGCTGTTGGCCTTCTGCAAACTTGTGTCCCGCCTGAGGAGGCTGCAGCTGCTGGTGCCCCATACCGGAATCCTGCTGGATCAGATATGTTGATTGCTCAGGCTGGAGCTGCTCGGAGGGATAAGCATGGGCCTCCACTGGTTGCCCTAGGCAAACTTGCTGCTCCATGCAGCCAGTGCCACTGTCCTGCACCGTATATAACGATTTCTCAGGAGAGCGCATGGCAAAACTCCGTTGATCTGCGACCTGTACTGCTAAGTGAGCCTGCTGGATCTCTGGGGGCGGAATTAGATATGGCGCTGGCTGGTTTACGAAAGCTGCCTGTCCTTGGTAAAAAGACTGCATTGGATATGTCGGTTGGTCCAAGGGCTGTCCTGGATACACTCCAGGGACTGCATAGACCAGTTGCTCTGTGCACGGAGGCTGATCGGAGCCTTGCATTGTGTAAGCGACACGCATCTGACATGGTGCTTGCTCTGGTGCCTGGAGCTGGTTGGTGGGTTGCACTTGAGGTGTCAGCTGCTCTGAAGCTGGGAGATGGTGGGGGGGCTGCGTTTGATATATTAGCTGTTCTGGGGCTTGCAGGTGGTACTGGATGGGATAAGCCACCTGCTCTGGAGTTGAACCCGAGAGCTCGGCCTGCTGCGGCTTTTCCACAACTTGTTGAGTGACAGCTGCCAACTGCTCCGTAGAGCTGCCCTGGAAAAGAAACTGTTCTTGTTTCTGCTGCTGTAGGGGCAGGTGGTATAACATCTGTTGCCTTACACAAGGATGTTGATCTGTGGATTGGTGCATCTGAATAGCTTGCTGCTCTTGCTGCACCAGGGAAGGCTGCGCCGAAGCATCGAGGGGCAGCGTGGGATACTGTGGGCACTGTGGAAGCTGAATCGGCTGTGGCACGGCAGAGACCTGATGTACTGGCACAACCTGCTGGGACTGCTGAATGGAACCAACCTGCTGGGGAATTTGTGGAGATTGCTGAATGGAGCCCACTTGTGGGGGAATATGCTGAGACTGCTGCATTACTGCTGCCTGCTGAAGCTGTTGAATAGAGGCCATTTGCTGGGGCTGCTGCATGGATGGAACTTGCTGGGGCTGCTGCACAGGTGCCACCTGCTGGGGAACTTGCTGGGGCTGTTGCATAGCCACCAACTGCTGAGGAACGTGCTGGGACTGCATGGATGTTGCTTGCTGAGGAACATGCTGGGGCTGCTGCATGGACATTGCCTGCTGGGGAACTTGTTGGGGCTGTTGCATGGGTGCCACTTGCTGGGCAATTTGCTGGGGCTGATGCATGGGTGCCACCTGCTGGGGAACTTGTTGGGGCTGTTGCATGGGTGCCACCTGCTGGGGAACTTGCTGGGGCTGCTGCATGGGTGCCACCTGCTGGGGAACTTGCTGGGGCTGCTGCATGGATCCCACCTGCTGGGGAACTTGTTGGGGCTGTTGCATGGGTGCCACTTGCTGGGCAATTTGCTGGGGCTGATGCATGGGTGCCACCTGCTGGGGAACCTGCTGGGTCTGCTGCATGGGTGCCACCTGCTGGGGAACTTGCTGGGGCTGCTGCATGGATCCCACCTGCTGGGGAACTTGCTGGGGCTGCTGCATGGGTGCCACCTGCTGGGGAACTTGCTGGGGCTGCTGCATGGATCCCACCTGCTGGGGAACTTGCTGGGTCTGCTGCATGGGTGCCACCTGCTGGGGAACTTGCTGGGTCTGCTGCATGGGTGCCACCTGCTGGGGAACATGCTGGGTCTGCTGCATGGGTGCCACCTGCTGGGGAACTTGCTGGGGCTGCTGCATGGATCCCACCTGCTGGGGAACTTGCTGGGGCTGCTGCATGGATGCCATCTGCTGTGGAACCTGCTGCATTGACACCATGTGTTGAGGAGCCTGCTGTGTAGATGCCACCTGCTGAACAGTTTGCTGGGGCTGCTGCATGGGTGCCACCTGCTGGGGAACTTGCTGGGGCTGCTGCATGGATGCCATCTGCTGTGGAACCTGCTGCATTGACACCATGTGTTGAGGAGCCTGCTGTGTAGATGCCACCTGCTGAACAGTTTGCTGGGGCTGCTGCATGGGTGCCACCTGCTGGGGAACTTGCTGGGGCATCTGTTGAACTGACACCACCTGCTGGGGCTGCTGTGCAGCTGATACCTGCTGGGGAACTTGCTGGGGTTGTTGAATGGAGGTAACTCCCTGTGGAACTGACGGCAGAGCTGAAGGGTTAGGAAGAGCCTGTGCTAAACTTGGCATATTGTTGACAAACTGAACTGAAGGCTGCCCCTGTAGCACAGGTGAATGACCAGCAGGCACAAAGCTGGCAGAAGGATGCTCCAGTTCCATTGATCCTGCAGCAGCTGGAGCCTGACTACCGATTCTAGCAGCAGAGGTCAACGGTATGTTAGCTGGCAGGTGTTGGTTCACCATCTGTGGAGCAGGGATAGTCTGAGGGGAAGTGGCTGTCAAGATCTGCTGAGGGACTCCCATGATGGATCCATCCAATGTCTGCCCTTCTGCACTGTAGGACACCTGTGCATCTGGAGCCTGGTGAGAAGAAGGTATTTTAAAAAGTGGTTAAACTGATCGTCCTTTCTCCAAATCTTACTATACGGAACCTCATCATTACCACCAACAGATGAATCACTCTGAGAAGACTATAACAAAAAGAACTTGTAGAAGGAACATCAAGATTCAAGGGATTTTGTATAAGTTAATAAACAGCAGCTTGTAAAATTCCATCACCTTGGCAATACACTTTCAGTGCTCCAAAATAACCACCTTATCTGTAAGCTATATGAAGGGTAGCAAAGAACCACTAGCACTTCTTTGCAATTTCAAAAGTATTTCAGTAGCTAGACAGCCAGTATTTAACTTAGCTATATTCCAACTAGAATGAAGGAGTGGGATGATGGATTGAATTCTTATGTTTAGGGTCCCTGAGGAAGAACTATTTTTCATGAAGGTTGGTCCATTCTATGAATACATTCTACAGGGAGCCGACTGCCACTGCTTCATTCTACAAGCATTTCCTAGCGTGCATTCAGTTCTGCTTAAAACAGAGCTCATAATTTATCATTCAAGCTTCAGCCTCCACTGCATCATATAAAAACTCCTACAACTCTGTCACGGGATCAGATATTCAGAGTAAAGCACGCCTGCTCAGGCAGCTGCCTTAAGAAAAGGAGGACAGCATCAATTCCAGACACACCCAAAAATTACAAAGTGGTTTTTCCCACAAGATGGTAAAGTAAATGGTATAATTTATTTACATAAGCGACCATTTTGGGGTTAATTGTGACTAATGTATCTCAAGTGTGAGAACTCCACAGAAGCAAGAGTCACTTCTTGTTGCTGGAATGTGGAGTTCTTCCATCCTCTCCCAAAGCAGAGCTTTTGTAAATAAAGTATAGCACCTTGTGAGGTCCACCATGACCCAACCAGCACAGCCCCACCTATGAAGCTGATTCCTCAGCCTTGCGCAAGAGCCTTTCTGCACAATTAATTTTTATGCAACGTGCGTTTCTCCACTTGCTGCACACAACTTGTTGCAGAGATATCAATTTCCAAGCGTTCAGAGCTAAGCTACCTTTACCTACAAATGTATGAAAGCAATGGGTAGAGAAAGGGTTGAGCAATGTCTTTCTTCTACCGCTTATCCCTCCTAAAGCAGTTAGTTCAGCGTACCATTGCACACATTTGCATGTAATGATGCATACTTTTGAGATAAAAGAGCAATACTCTGTACATGAAAATGTTTGCACCACCACCACTGCTCCTGATGCTGACAGAACAGGGCCACAACCCAGGGGCAGAGCATCTCCTCTGCATACAGAAGAAGGTCCTCAGTTCAATCTCTGTCATCTCCAGGTAGAGCTAAGAGAGACACCCACCTGAAACTCTGGAGAGCCGCCGTGTACACTACTGAGATGGAGGGAACAATGATCTGACTCTGCATAAGGCAGCTTCCATATGTTCCTATGTTCTTGTTATTGTGACCACTGAATGGGGTATGGGTGCCGGAGTGCCATGGCACCTACTAGGTATCATTTTGTGATGCACTTAAGACCAAACCCCCTGTTAAAATGCAAGCAGGTGAAACATGAGATCAGTGTCTCCTCTTCCACTGCACAGTGTTCATAAGACAAGACAGTTTATGAACAGAAGCAGCGGGGTGGGGGATGTTTAACCCTTCCCTCGCCAAGCACTTTTCTTCTGCCAGTTTTTCAGACCAAGTTTATTTCAGAAAAATGTCTGTGAAATCCCCTGGGGGGGGGGGAGCAGATTGAAGTAAAATTTTCAGAAGAAAAGTGACACTCTTTCTCCCCTGTCATTTCTTCATTGCAAATTGCCCCCTCTTGAGAATCCTTTGCAGTGAAGAAATGACCATCAGGCTTGTGTTACATACGGACATGTTGCAATGTGCAGTTTAACTTCGACTTGTGAAGCAAACTCCATCACCTGTTCAACATTTGATGTCATTTGGGGGGGGTGTTCCCCCCCCACCACAACCCAGAGGCTGCGAACGTGCCCCATGCAACTTCTCCATAGCGGCACACATCATCCGGACAGATTTCTTTTTCAACAACAAGAACGTCTGCTACGCTATCTCCCACTTTACGTGACTGCCTGCTCTCGTCACGGCGTAGTCCCTTGTAGGCATATGGCTCAGAGTCCAAGATGCCCTTGTGACATGCTATTTTAATGACGGTTTGAAAAGACCATCAGGTCAGTCGGACTATCCCTGGAAGCCCTTACCAGCCTCGGTGTGAACTGCTGAAGTGCAACAGGAGACGCCTGGGCTTGAGGAACCACAGGGGGGGCCAAGCTGTGGGTGGGTAGGGTTGAAGGCTGACTCTGGATTAGTGGTAAAGCGCTGGGGTGGGCCACATTTGCTGGCTGTTGTTGCACCTAACAAAAAGATAATTAAATGGACCGTTCATAGAAAAACTAATTGATTGCCTGTGCTTCAGCTCTCCTGGTCTCAGCTGCCCTGCCTGCATTCTCCGGCAACATATTCTCCTGGGGAAATGATACATCATCCTGAGACATGTTACCCACAGCAGAGATTGTGAACCTATACCATTGGTGAGCCACACAAAACACTGTTGTAACATTACTTACATTACTGCAGAATCCAACAGCTTAAGCAAATGTATGGAAGGGCCCCCATGCACCTCTTACACCTTTCACTACCATTCTTAGGAAAACATTCCTCCTCCAAGGCATCCCTTGGGATCCCTTCCAACTCTATAATTCTGTAATTCTACGAAAAGGCAAACTCAATGGATGATAAAGGGTGCCTCTGGATACACATGGTGGAACAAGTTCAGGACTCCTCCCATTCTAGGCTATCTTAATTCTACTACATGCATAGACTAGAGAAACCTAGGACCTTTAAACGGTTGACTTCTATACAGTGGTGCCTCGCAAGACGAAATTAATCCGTTCCGCGAGAGTCTTCGTCTAGCGGTTTTTTCGTCTTGCGAAGCAAGCCCATTGACGGATTAGCGCTATTAGCGGTTTAGCGGCTATTAAAGGCTTAAAGGCTTAGGGATTAGCTGCTAAAAGGCTATTAAAGGCTATTAAAGGCTTAGCAGATTAGATAAAGGGGGAGCGAAAAAAATCTCAAGACTCGCAAGGTATTTTCGTCTTGCGAAGCAAGCCCATAGGGGAATTCGTCCTGCGAAGCAACTTCAAAACGGAAAACCCTTTCGTCTAGCGGTTTTTCCGTCTTGCGAGGCATTCGTCTTGCGGGGCACCACTGTATTTTTGAAAAAAGACAAAGGCCTGGTCTATACACAGAGAGCAAAAGGAAGGTAGAATGGTGGGAAATCACCATTTTGTTTAATGCCTCTCTATCTGAAAAATCCATACAAGTAAATGTTGTTTATATCCTTTTAACTTATATCCTACCATTAAGCTCAGGAAGTTTTATAATTGTCAGAGAATTCTGTGTATCCTGAATCAACAGAGGCCGACTGAATAAAAGATACTGCCTTAGCTATCTTATTTTATTCCTTCTCTAAGACTAGCACAGTCACGACAACATTTCCAGAAACTCGATACAAGTAGTTCTCTTACCATATTTAAGAAAATGATAGGTCACTTACCCCTGCCATCGACTGGTAATGTCCCACCAGCTGCTGGGAAGCGTAGATGTGTCCTTGAACACTGTTTTCAGCTTGTGAGAGATTGGGGGCCTGCTGGGGGCCCATAATCTGTTCCGAGGAGAAAGCCAGACTATGTTGGCTGGAGGCATCCGAAAGTATAACTGAACCTGCTCCTCTCTCAGATAAACTGTCAGCTGCGTCAGTGTAAGAGGAGGGAAAGAACAAAAGATAAGCTGTTTCAGAGGAATCCATAACAATTCCCATCCTTCTCCCTATCACTGCCTCATGAAGACAAACCACTGGGACTTAATGAACTGGCCCCACTGGTGGAATCCTACAAAACAATGTCTACTAGTGCAATGAAGCTTCCCCACTCTTCTCCTCCCTCCTTACCCCACCTCCCAAAATTGGGAACACTGCATGGGGCTAGGAGAGGAGACATCTTTCTGTCTGGTAAGATGAAAAGCTTGTGCTGATGGAACAACTGCTATAGTGCTACACTAAATTCAAGGGGCATGACAGGAGCTGTCTAGAAATGCCTCATCTGCCTCATCTACAAGGATCAAATATTTACTTGAGAAAAGAATACAAGAAAATGCAAGCCTGCATTCTAGTTGAGGGGAAGGAAGGGTGATCCAATCTTTAAAAAAAAATAAAAATCAACCCTATACTTTTAAGCTGACATCAGTAAGTTTTCTACATGGAACACAGGAAGCTGCTTTAAATCAAGCAAGAACCCTGGTCCACCGCATTCAGTTTGGTCTATGTTGTCTATACTTGCTAGCAGAAACTCTCCAGAATTTCAGACAAGAATGAGAATTCAGGTCTATGTGGAGATGTCATGGCTTGAACCCGGAACATTACGCATGCAAACCAGGTACTCTGCCACTGAACTGTATGCTTCAGGTACATAAGCCCCAAACCTCTTTGGAATATTATCTCCTGCTTCTACTAGGAGCTAGTCTGGAGCAGTGGATAGAGCGCTGAGCTTAAACTAGGGTTCACAGACCTACAAAGCCCATGAGCTTCAGTGGTTTAGGCTCCCATGACCTAACCTACATCACAAGATGGTTGTGAAAACAAAAGAGGATAAAGCTACTTATCAGAACATAATCCTATGCAGGCATAAACATGACAAACTTGCATTCCATGTAAATTCTGAAATCAGGCAACAAAGGCTTTTTCATTTAATTCTTCTCAGCTCTGCCAATGACACCAACCCATGACCATGCCTTGTTTTGGGAACTATATGCTCTTTGGCAAGGACAAACTCCTGACCTTTAAGCCAGCATCCTTATCAAAAATATTCAACACTTATGGAGAGGTTTGTGAAGGAACCAAGCAATATTATCACATGTTTATGCCAAACAAATGGTGAGGAGGAAACAGAACACCAAATAAGATCTGATTTGTAATGGAACATTACTCTGGGTTGGGAATAATCAAATGTCTTATTGTACAGTAACTGGAATTGTACTTAGTTTTGACCCTCTTGTTTTAATGTTATGTTTTAATTGTTGTAACCTGCCTGGGACCTTAAGGTAAAGGGTGGGTAAGCAACAACAACTACTACTACTACAATATTTGAAAAATATATTTTTTAAAAACCCTGCTGGATCAGGCCTATGGGAAGTTTGCAAGCAGGACCTGAGTTCAAGAGAACTCTCCCCACTTAGGATACCCAGCAAATGGTATTCATATTCTACACTTTTTTAATCAGTTGCTTCACTTGAGGCTCTGCCTGGCCAACAGTGCCATGGAGGTACGATCAACCTGCTGTTCTAATTTCACTACTCCAGTGCGGCACGTCTACCAATTGAACAGGGAGCAACATCATGGGCATCTGCTGACCTCAGATGTTCTTTTATTGGGCAAAGTGGTTGCAAGGAGGTGGCTCTATATTGTGTGAAGGGTTGCAGTGTAGAAGAGGAGGAAAAGGCTCAAAACGGCCACACAACTTGGCTACCCCCAAGCTGCCTTTCCCCTCTGAGAAAAAAAAATGGTACAAGTCTTTGTATCAGTAAAGGAGAAAGAAACTGGGCTGCGCAGCAATTCTGAGTAGGCAAATGGTTGTGAGTGAAAGGATTGGCCATTAGAAAACTCCCATCAGATTATCATGGCTGTGCTGGCTGAGGCTGATTGGAGATTCAGCCCAAAACATCTAATGGGAGTTCTAGTCCAAAACATCTGGAGGGCATCAGATTGGTAAAGACCGATGTACATGATATTAGCCAACAATTCAAACTGTGGGCAACTGCCACAGATACAAGTCACAGTTTACATGCTAATTGACCTCCAATAAAGCAGAAAAGTGCCAGGAGTTCAATAAATGCCTTGTGGTGATGCATCTGGATGAACAAAATGACGCTCTGATTCACTCTTTATAACCTTAGTTCAGGATAGCATTTTGGGAGGACAGGCTGCCTTTGGTTGCTCATTACCAGCAATGGAGGAGCTGTGCTGCATTTGTTGAAGGATTTGCTGTCGGACATGTTGGTCCACCTCTGTTTCCTCGCACTCCGTCCTGCTCTGTTGGGAAGGAGTGGTGAATGATGAACCCTGTGGCTGGAGTAATGGTAGCCCACTTGGCAGCTTGCTTTGAGAGTCTCTTCTCTCCTCCAGGTAGCCCACCTGCCTCCGCTCCCTTGTCTTCTTGATCAGGGAGACACGATCCCGGATGGACTTAGCCACAGCTTTAGAATCACTTTCGTGGAAGAATCCTGACTTCACCTGGACATCAAAAAAGAACGGTTCTATTAAGTATAACTCTGCTCCTCTGAACTGGTATCCATCGGTGTTTAGCAATGCTTTTCTGTAATTTCACATTAACTCAGGGTTCCATTACAACAGAACTTGCATTGACCACATACTAGATCAATCTTGGACCTATTATATGGAGCGCCAAACAATACAGCAAGCAAGATACAGACCCACAAATTCAAGTGCTGCTACACTTTGGCTATGGGTTAAGGCCAAGTACATTGGCTGGATCAATACTAATTAGTACTTATGTGACTGTCTTCAACATTAATATACTGTGATGAAAATGGGTAGAGACAGAAGCAAAAGTGGACAGAGCAACAGATCTGTCTCTTACCTTTGGATAGTACACTATGTTCTAGGCATGTAAAAGCCACACCTCTCCAGAAAACAAGAGACATCATTGCAGTTGAAGGACACATTCCAACCAAGCAAGAACACTCAAGTAAGGTCCAAGGCCGTGCCAGTGAGGGGCACGGCCTAGGGGAATCTCAAGGGATGGAGAGAGAGGCCTAGTGGGCTACATTTGGCTCATGGGCCAGATATTCCCCACCTCTGATATTTATGTTACTTGATTAGAACAAGTTAATTAGAACAAGATAAATATAACCACAACACTGTCCATCCTACTCCAGAAAAGGAATTATTATGAAAACAGTCACGTAACAAGTGGCTCTTGCTAAATCCTTGAATTATCCATGACAGATTTCTACTGATGGGACGTACAGTTATATTTTCAAGTAGTGATCCAGTTTAAAAGACAAGGAATTCAAGCACAGGTGTTGCATTAAAATGGAACCGTCCAAGGGGAGGTTCTTAGCTACCAACTGTTAGCAAAGTCACATCCAAACCTAGTTGAAAAATAAAGGGAAAATAGACCCAAACAACAGCTTTAGAGCACAACATCACAGAGCCATTCATAAGACACAGAACAAAGCATCCTGAAACAACAATTTAGGAGACTTCATAGCTGGCTGGTGGGTGATGCTTAAGCAGGAGTCAATTGTGCGCATATACATATGAGCAGATGCACTGCTATGACTCCTTGCAGTATCATTAGCCATCAGCTGTTACTTGTCAGGTTGCTGTGTAGCCAAATGTTTTGTGAAAACAAAACCAAGGCAACAGTGAGGCAGAATGAAGAATCTGCAGTCTAAACAGATAACTTGGGCAAAGGAGAATAAATGAAACAAAACCGTAAGAGGAAAGGAGGGAGAAAGACTTGTTTACACTAATGCAAAAACTTCATCAGCTCTTGGCTGGCTTACGATTCACATACTGTAAATGAGTATAAAACCACAGCTTCAGAAATCATGCTCACCCATTGGCAAGAAGGTGACCAGTCCTTAGGTGACCTTATTCCTTGTACGTAAAATGCACTACTACCTGTCCAAATGTCTCCCTGCACACAGAAAACTAAACTTGCAGCTCTGAGCAGGGTGGAGTGCACTATTAAGCTAAAGTTAAGTGGGAGTTCTGTGACTGGAACCCCACTTTCCCCCCACAGACTTTTTTTGTTTCTTGAAAAGAAGCTGGGAAGATGGGTGGAGAGAGAGTTTTGGATCAAGGCCATGGAATGGAGATGGGTTGTATACCCCTTTGCTCCTGTGCGGTTTCTTTTTAAGAAATGGTGGCTCCATGGAGAAAGTTCTAGCCTAGTTCTCAGGGAGACATTCCTATACATTTGCTTCTGTGTCATCCTCTTTAGGACTGGGTTGCAAAAATATTTCTCCTTGTAAACCAAATATTTGAACTGTGTGCAACAAAGAAGTCAAGATTTACCCCCACGGAAGACACTTGGTCCTATGCTGCCCATGGCAATAGTCTTGTTTTATGGTTTTATTCTTCTTATAAATTGCCCAGAGAGCATCAGTGACTGGGCAACATAAAAGCGTAGCAAAGAAATAAAGAATAAAAATGCAACACTCTCTAAAGGAAAGTGTAAAAGTGGGAATAAAAAAAATGGTGCAGTAAACCCCATGTTTGGAATGAAGCAAATAAGAAGCGTCTGGAGATGCTGCCAACTCAGAAAGAAAAAAGGTAAGGGAAGCAAAGGTAATACATACCATTTCACAAGCCACCTCCTCTGGGACATCTGTTTCCAGGTTGAAGCTGAACTCAAGGGCTTCATTATCTTTGTGCTTGCCTTTCAGCTTCTTGGGATCCTCTACCCAAAGTCTCAAAGCCAGGGAGGAATTCAGTCCATCATCATCCTCTGCCAGCTCCACTCTAAGTCCAGTGTCCTCAGCAAAGAAGGCATGATTCAAAAGGTCTTTGATGGATAGCCTGGCAACAAAACAATGGGCAATCACAGAGTGTCTTATGATATCCACACCCAGTGCTGGATTTACATATAAGCTAAACAAGCTATATCTTAGGGTCCCACTCCCTTGGGAAATTTAAAAGGGGGGGGGATGGGATGTACATTTCCAAAACAAACAAAAAACAAAAAAAACTTACATACAGCAACAGTTTTGTGTTGTGTATGGACCTATTAGGTCCATAAATTACCATATAGCATATATTCAACACAAAAAACAGTGACAATTTGTTGTTGGCAAAGGACAGCTGGACATATAAAGGGCCCCATCAGTAGCTTAGGGCCTCATCAAACCTAAATCTGGCCCTGCCCACACCAGTGGTATAACTGACAACTGGTGGGGTGATTTCATCCCGTATTAAACTTCCCTGAGGGACTTCTGTGATAGGCATTACATTTATTTATCCAATAAGTTTATAACTCACCTATTCAGCACACACAAAACAAACAAAATTTAAAAACAAGAGCAATTGCTTAAAAATTGACAAACCGCATTTAAAAACAACAAAACTGGACAGCCAGCATTTATGACACATCAAAAAAATACTAAACAAAAAGTTTTAAAGATCCAACTAAAGACAGATACAGGCTTCTCTGGGACAGAATTGAATCAGCATCTTGCTATACGTACCACATGGGCACTGTTTTACAGTTTAAGCACTTAGCAGTATTTCAGGGGAAATCAAGCAGACACCTTAATTTCCCTTCCCTTAATTTTCCATGCTGTTGCAGGGAGGGGAGAGAAAGTGAAACAGTAAAAGCTTCCCAGTTTTCTTTGACTTCGAAAGGCCTTATGCAGGTGCTTAAAAGCACTATGCAAAGCTGGAATGCTTTGCTTAATCAGGTTTTTTGTTGCCTGTACCAAAAACTCCCTAGTTAAACTCACAATGACCACCCCTTAAGTTTAGGGTGCACAACTTGGAGTGAGGAAGAGCACAATAAAACAGACCTGCTCACCTTTCAGATTTGTTTTGTCGAATGCAACCTTCAATGATCTCTTTCACTTCTGGATCAATAACCTTGTTAAAACTGGCAGGTTTAATGCCCTAGGAGAGAAGTGATGAATAGAAGTGATGTTAATAGATAATACCCAGCAGGAGTTCTCTCCATTGCTGCTACACAGAATTATGGGAAATCCCCAACTGCTCTTCCAAGCAACCTAAGTTAGTACAGTAGATCTTAACCATATAAACCCTTATCCTGAAGACATTCACTTGGAAATAAGTCATAGTGAATACCACCCAACTGACTTCCAAACTGCAGCCATTATTCCTTTTCTTAAAATCCCAGCTTTTGCTTCTAAACAAAATCAAGCTGGATATCCAGGCTTTATGTAATATGCATTGTGAAAGGGGTCAAAAATCATTCTAATTCATTTGACTAATCTCTTCTTACCCTTATCTGGCCATTCACAGCCAGAAATAAGAACATTTCTTTCCTGTGCATGAAACTTAACCTAATAAAGAATAAGCTACACCCCAATTTTGCTTTCTTTGAGGACACAGAACACACAAGTGTCCTGCAAAATGTTTTTGTCACAAAGCTGAGAATCTTTGTCTTCTATACCTCTAAAGTGTCTTTCCAGGATGTATCCTCAACTCCTGGATATTATAATGTAATGTACAATCAAGGAAAGTATCAGTTTCATCATGGAGAAACATAAATATCATCAAAACTATCTGAGTACTCTGGCTAGTATGCTAAAATAATATTGTACTCTGAATGTACATATAAAAAAACTACATTAGGCAATACCCAGAAGCAGCTCCCCTACCATGAGACAAAGTGAAGCAGCTGCTTCAAATGTTTGGTTTTTGGATGCCATTACAGGCAGCAGAGTGGGAAATGAGAGCTCAGGCCCACAGGGCACAATTCGCCAGGAAGAGCAGAGCACTGTAGAAATAAACAGCTGTGCAAAAGCACAGTAGCTCCTGTTCATGACAATACAGTTTGCACAAGACAACTTCTTAATAAATTGCATCCATGTTAATTAGTAGAAAGAGAGTATCATTTGGATTTTCCTTCTGTCCCACCATTGTGTTTTGACCTAGTCCTGGCCAACTTTTATTGCCAAGTGGGAAAATACCATAATATGGTAAAGTGTGAAAACTGCAACTACTGGTAACTTGAGGGAGCACCTTTGGCAATGACAGACAGAATCCTTGTGATTTTGCTATTAAATACTTCCACAAAATCCTTCTCCTCTGATCTGTTTTCTGACACACACACACACACGATGCACCGACCTTCAGTGTAACTAGTTCACTACAGCTACAGAACAAGCCACACACATTAGCCAGAGAATAAATGCATGGAAGCTATTTTTGATGTCTGAATGAACACATCATTTGAGTTGCCAGTCTGACTATGAAGCTGGGAGGAAAAGATTATGCAGGGATTGACACTTATGCAGCTCCATATTGTTAACTGCCCTGTGATCCTCAGGGGAAGGGTGGTATAGAAATTAAATAAATAAATAGACAAAGTTTGGTTAAGGAACCATCCATTCAATTTTTTGGCCAAAAATAAGCAAGCTTACCCTTGCATATTGTGCCATCTGAACACCAAACAGTAGTTAAACTTCTTCTGCAGATGACACACCTGAAACTATCAGTCACTCCAGAAAGAACTCAGCAATGTCTAGATAAGTCCAGGCTAAGTTTAGCAGCTGCTTTGAGGGCAACAGGACTAGCATTAGTTCTGAATAATTGGCTTAGTTGCCTTAAGCTCCCAATATACAAGTTTACCCTAACAAAGAAGTTACATTTACACCTACACTGGTGACTTTTCGGTAGATTTGAGCTGCGTTTTGGCATTCAGAATATGGGTATTCAGAGGTCGCCATCTCCAGCATACACATTCCAAAAGCATAGACATCAACAGACTCATCATAATGTTCTTCATACATCTCAGGAGCCATAAATTCAGGAGTTCCTGGAGAAAAAGTAAAAATAAGCCAATGTTTTTCCACATTTTGGATTGCTGCAGTCCACCAACAAGCATTTTGCAAGTGCTTCTGCTTTCCATGCAGTAGTATCCTATATACTGTTTTGGTTTGGTGGGGGGACCCCCCTAAACCCTAGAAATTAATAAAGGGTAGGATTTTGATTAACGGGGATATGTATGAAAGTACAAGCCGCAGAACTGTGCCAGACAAGGAATCCCTGGGCTGGCTTATGCAAACCAGCCTGGCAAGCCTGGCAAAGAGCTAATCTGTTAACATGGCAAAATGGGTTGATGGGCTATCTGAGAGGGGTCCGTTGGCCTGGGGAGATAGATGTTGCCAAGGTGACAGGGTGTGTGTCTGAAGTGACAGGAAAAGGGAGTCTTTAGCAAGCTGTTCCAGGAAGAAGGAGGAAGAAAGACGGGGATCCATCTTGGGCAGGCTGGCTGAAGGCTGGCTGGGAGAGATGACTTCGATTCCATGGCTGCACTGCTGTGGGGGACAAGCCCCTCCTGAAATGACCATGGTGTAAGATCTGGACTCTCTCCATGCAGACTGAAGCTGTAAATAGGTGGATATGTTTTAAAGCTACGACAGTCTCCGCCGTGTCTCAATTTTCCAAAGGAACACAGACCCTAGGTGAGTGCCTGGAATCCTATGGACTCTTGCTACTGCTCAGCAGAGAGAGGGAGAGGCACCCAACTTTTGTAACAATACAAAATAGCGAACATAATCTCTGAATGTGATCCTTAGATAGCCAAACTGCTGCATTTCACACAAAAGAGGGAGATACTAGCTATGGGGGAACAGCAAGTTTGGAAAACAATAAAAAAAACTAATAACAAAAATATATGAGCAGGTGAAATTAATTCAGTAACAACCAGGTACACTGTACTCAGTTGACATAGAATGCTAACTGACCATTAGAAGGAGGGACCAAAAAATTGCAGGAGAAACATGGAATAGAACATCCCAAAAGACAATATGACTGCCTAGAAAAAATTGCTGCAGATCCCACCTGTCCACCCTAATTCTGCATATTCTGACTTCCTGAAAAACCCCAAGGAGAAGAAAATAAAAAGAAACAATCATACTTCTATTCTATCCGAACCTCTAGCATTTGAATTAGGCATTTGACGAGCAAGTATCAGAAACAGAACTCTTTCAGTCATGGCATCCTTATTTTGGAATGCCCTACATAGCAAGGCCCAGATGGCTCCATCTATGGTGAAGGATCAAAGGTGGCTGAAGGCTGGCTGGGAGAGATGCCTTAGAGCATCTGGTTTGAATGCAGAAGGCCCTACCTTCAATCCCTAGTATCTCCAGGAATGCCTGGGAAAGATTTCTTTCTGAAATGCAGGAAAGCGACTGCCAGTCAGTGTAGACAACACTGAGCAAGATGGCCTGACTCAGTATAAGGCAGCTTCCTATGTTCCTTCCTTTGTTTCACAGTACGGACCTTTGGGGACTACGCCACTTGAATCCTGATTAAGGGCTCTGTTATTAGTGTGCTTAGTCTTGTTATTTGTTTGGATTTATGTTTCACATGTACAGTGGTACCTCGGGTTAAGTACTTAATTCGTTCTGGAGGTCCGTTCTTAACCTGAAACTGTTCTTAACCTGAAGCACCACTTTAGCTAATGGGGCCTCCTGCTGCCACTGCGCCGCCGAAGCACGATTTCTGTTCTCATCCTGAAGCAAAGTTCTTAGCCCGAGGTAATATTTCTGGGTTAGCAGAGTCTGTAACCTGAAGTGTATGTAACCTGAAGCGTATGTAATCCGAGGTACCACTGTATTCAAACTTTTGTTAGCTGCCTTTGATTTGTGTGAAGAAGCCAAGGGGCTTCAACCTAGCAAATGGCCCATGAATGAATTCATGCAGATGAGTAACCATAATATGGCAGCTCATGTATTAGGGTCCACCCTTCAATCTCTAGATTTCAGTTATGAGGCAGCAGAATTTGGGTACTGAATTTAGGACCTTAAAACATAAAAACATTACACTGGAGTGTGTTAGAAATGTTTTTCATTCATGGTCAAAATCTTCCAGTGGATCAGAAACATTACACTGGAACCAGTCAAGAGGCAGACTTTAGGAAGCCTGATCTTGAACTCTTTATGCACTATAGCAGTAGCACTGCTTGGATACAATTGCAGATTCCAGTCTCTACTGAGGACAAAGAGAGACACACCACAAGTGGCTCTCCAGTGGAGTACACAAACACACTGTATTCACCAATGACACTCTTAGCGAACGATGTGCGCATTAAGGTGGCCAGTCCCAGATCGCCAATCTTCACTGAACCAGTGGGCCCCGTGATGAAGATGTTGTCACATTTCAAATCACGGTGGATTATAGGAGGGGTCCTTGTGTGCAGAAAATGCAGCCCTTTCAAGATCTGTCGGCACCAGCTCCTTAACACCTTTGGCTTCATGACTTTGAAACGCTTTAAGTACCTATGAGAGAGAACACCACACCGCAGATGTTAACCACACCATCAAGTTAATCCACTTGCATAGTGCTTTCAATCAAGTTTTTGTGGAATTTTACACTGACATTTCAGTGATTCTGAGTAATATTCCAATAATATTAATAAGTTTTTGTGATGTTTGGGTTCTGCAGAATATCACAACATGAGCAGGGGTTCCATAAATGAAAAATAATCACTGGGTTAGAATACCAAAAGATAAAGAGGGAGTCAGCATACTACAAGGAAATCTGTCTCAACTGTTTATAACAATCACATCTAACGTGCTATATGTGGGCCTTAGAATCATAGAATTGTAGAGTCCGAAGGAACCCCGAGGGTCATTTAATTCAACCTCCTGTAATGCAGTAATCCTGTCCACAGCTGTCCCTGAATGGGCATGAACCACCGACGACCAGACACTGACCTATGGCACCACTGTCTTGTGGAAATCTCAAGTGATCCATCATTTGACTGCCCAATTATTAATTTGGACATGCAGATGTTAGTGTATTAATACAGTGCTTACAAGCAGAAATCTGTGCTTACAAACAAAAACTGGAGTTTTTGGTGAACTATCTGCTCCCTCAAATGTAAACCCACCTCTGCATTATCATCATCTGCAGGCCCTGCTTCCAGGGCCCTCCCCTCACTCCTACCCCAGCTCAGAAGGAAGGTGGGTGGCTACTCAAGTCAGGACCTTTTCTGCTGTGGCACCTAGAGTTTGGAATTCCCTGCCCAGCTATACGTAGTTGACAAGCACCCACTTTATGACATTTTCAGTGCCAATTGAAAATGTCTTCCATGCCTTTGATGTCTATTAAGCATGATTCTATTTCGTTTGTTCTCTAGCTATTAGCAGCATTCTTGGTTTTTGCTTCTATTGCAAATTGTGCCTTTGATTGTTACATCCTGAGCCATTCAGTTCTCTTGGCGCTTAACAGAAGGCCCGTTGATTTATACATCACATACAGTAACTTATTGATGAGCTATAGGCCTTTTCACAAGGGAGACGCAACACAAGTTTGAAACTTCACACAGGTAATCTCACAAGTTCTCTCTTGGGGGTGGGATCTTATAAATTCAAGTTAATAGCATCAATGTAAAAATGAAGTTATTTGACATTTTTAATTTATCTTAACGGCCTTAATTTTTGCTGAACAGTTTTCTACACCTGGGGGTGGGAAAGTAGTAGTAGAAATTAGAGAAGGACTAGACCAAAATTACAGAATAGGCTTCCATCCCTCAGTCATACATTCCATCTTTCTTGTTACACTGTGTATTCCATAATATTCTTTTACACAGAATTTCTACATAGTCAGGAATGCTTTCTCAGCCCCAGTACAAAAATCCCAGCACATTTTCTTTCTTTCCTGATTATAACCAACTCACATAACGTATATGATCTGCCAGCTTGAAATCAGTAATCCCTAAAAATCAGTTAATTGCAGCAATTTTGCAATTTAGTTGATCTTCGCTGCTGCCATGGAACACTGACTCAAGAGACTTCTCAGTACACTCTCTTATTTCTACCCCCATCCCACCCCAAAGAAAACTTAACCATCATTGCTAACTACACTGGTTATAATTTCTATAGAACTTTAAAAGGCTTATTTGTATTCAGTTTTTGTTTCCTTTATTCCACCTATCATATAAGGATTTACCCAAGGCCAACCAATGAGTCTTGTGGCTTTACAGGTCTGTGATTCTGATTGCCTCATATTCAAATTCAACACTGTTTAGTACACCGTACTGACATGAAGCAGATTTCAACCATACAGATTAATCAGCAAACCACCATGCCGCAGATGGGTAGCAAGATATTTACATATATCCCATATATGCCACAATGCAGCTCTGGTGCCAAGTGTCTGAACTTTGATGTTGCTGGCCTACAATACAACCACATAATGGGGAGTGGGTGAAAACAGTCCCAGCAGGTGTGAATATACATTTTTTAAAAACCACTATATCAAATTTGTGAAAGAAAAAACGTACGTCTTCAGTGTTCCAGATGTCATCAGCTCAGTTACCAATACAATGCACTTCTTTCCTTTAACAGTTGATTCCCAGGAATCATAAAATCGGACAATGTTAGGATGTTGCAATCCCTTGAGCATCTCAGCTTCTTCTTTAAACCTCTGCTGCTCAGCTTTGGTCAGCTTCCTGTCCTAAAATGAAGAAAAGATGTACAAAGAATCACTACATTATGTTGTGTAAGCATTATCATGCATCTAATTCAACTTATGCAATAACAAATTTGTTAGTTAGTATATTGGGTTCCATAAAACTCTTTCTTGGTTTTGGTGTAGCTGTTATTCCTGGTCTAGGTTGGTCAAGTATGGGTCACACTGCTGTTTTAAACACACAGTGAGAGAGACACCAAACACCAGTGATAAAAGCAATGGGAGTGTTATTAATATGATTGTTTTACAATTAGGCTGTCTGTATGCTTTTTACTATGTTTTTATTATGTTTTTATCGTTGATGTTTTGTAGTGCATTTCTGGTATTGTGCACCATCCTGGGATCTTTTGATAAAGGGAGGTATATAAATTATTATCATCATCATCATCATCACCACCACCACTTTGAGAACAGAAACCACTCATATTTGCCTTGACTTGGTCACCAGGGAAGGTAACCAGAGCACATGTAAGCTTGCTTCATTGGATGAATTTCAGCTGCTGGACAGAGTCCTTGGACATACAACCTATATACTTAACCCTTTGCTTTTCTTAGCTCATAATATCAAGGCAGGAAGAGATTGGAACAACACTTCCTTCAAAGAAGGGCTTCTCCAACCACCCTAAATGAAGAAGTTTTGCAACTCATCCTGAAAAATTCCCCTCTAGACCTAGTTGCAAATATTCCCTTCCTACCCCAAGTGCTTGAGTGGTAGGTTGCTGTGCAATCAGTTTCCTGGATGAGACTATCTAGGTCTATTTCAGTCCTGTTTTGTTCTAACACAGAGGTTGCTGGTCATTTTGGTGGATGAACTATGGAGTGATGCCACTCATCTGGAAGTCAAAATAAATGATTTTAATACTTGCTGAGTTCAGAACACTTTATATCAGTACCAGGCTTCTGATGATCTCTAACCTCCTTCAAGGACAAATGCAGCAAACTCAGCTCAACAGAACAAAACACTAACTCAACAGAGGATTCTGTGTTTAAGAGGAGGGTAAAAGTGTAAGATGTGCCTTGGGCTAGGTTTCAACCTACTTCTGCCTTTATGGTCTAAGTATTGAATCAAAATAAAACAGTTATGAATGCTGACCTAAGTTATACATAGGCAAATTATTTCCTTTTTCCTGCTACCGAAACTTCCAACTTGCCTTAAACCCAAACCAAACATTCAGGCAAAGAGGACAGACATGTACAACACACACACACACACACACACACACACACACACACACACACACTTTTAAGAGAACTCTCTTTTTACAAATAAAATACCACAAAATGCATCAGCCCTACTTGACATGACGGCAAATGAGTGATTGTAAGTTAACAATCCCCTTTAATTCCTTTGGCTGATGCTCAGTTAGCATAAATTTGGCAGCACATACATGCAGCAAAGCCAGGAAACACAATGAGAAAGGGAAGGAGCAATAATGAAAGGGACAGATGCCAAGAGGATGCAGTCTTCCCTCCACCCCCAACAGCCCAAGGAGAAGTGGGCACTGCTGGCCTCTTCACATCTGATGGGGCTCTGAACAGCCACTTCGCTCAACACAGTTCTACAGGAAAGACAAATCAAGGACCTCCGAACAACTCAATTGTTTTATGTGCCTATGTTCAAGTGATCAGCAAGTGACAATTTGCAAAATTAATGATGATGGGTGATTTTGCAAAGCTGCAAACATTTTATTGTTTCCTTCAGGCTGGCTGAAATGCAACTGATTATAGAGTAATTGTTTTTGATGTTATTGACTTAATGCAAGCAATTAAGTCATGCAACGTAACAGCCTGCAGTAAGAGCTGTTTGACAGTGGAATGGACTCTCTCAGAAAGTGGTGGACTCTCCTTCCTTGTACATTTTTAAGCAGAGGTTGGCTGGCCATCTGTCAGGGATGCTTTGGTTTAGATTCCTGTATTCTTTGGGGGGTTGGACTAGATGACTTCAGCATCCCCCCTAAAATTCCATAAAGAAATACTGTTGACACAGAAACTTGAACTCATGACATATGTAGTGCACTCAAAAATTATTTTCCACACTCACATGCACGTTTAGCTTGGGGAGGAGAAAGAATATATTTGTACTTGCCATTTATTTTCCATTGACATTAATGAGTTTGGTTCACACAAACTGAACTGGCATCAAAGGCCCCACCTTAGAACTGCGCTCCAAATTCACGCTAGGTTAATTTACAACAAGCAAGCTTTGTTTCAAATGGAACCTTTTGTTAATTGGTCAATTGCTGACTGTCAACAAATCAGTTCCTGATTAAACAGTTAGCTGATTATCCAGAATAACCACTGAGCCATAAGTCAAAAATTAGGATGCAAAAGACAAATGCCATTTTTGGCTATGCGATCAGCAGAACCATCAACGAAGTTCAATGTGGTGCTAAGTGAAAGTCCCTTCGCCCTGTTGCACTAGCAGAATGGTTCTATTTTATAGTGTGCCTATGTTTATGTTCTTCTGTACGAGTCCCTTGGAGACCTGCTAGGTGACAAACGACTAAGAAGTCAAATAAATAAAATAAACAAATAAATGGGAAGGTGCAGGAAGCCAGCATGGTTCTTGTGACTGGTTGCACAACAGATGGCTATAGCACAAATACTTCCTGTTGCACAACCACTTTCACCAACTTCTGCTAGTGTAATAGTTGTGATGGATTTCATTTTGCCAAACCATGATTCTCACCCTTATGCTAGCACAACAGCCCTTGTGCTAGTGGTCAGAGAATGTGAAATCTGGGCTATCATTTGCAAAAGTACAGGCCAACGGAACATCTGTCTAGTTCAGGATTCTGTTTTCAGTGACCGACCAGATGCCAAAGGAAAGCCTGTAAGAAAGACCTGAGCATGATAGCATTCCCCAGTTGTGATTCCCAGCAACTGGCCTTCAGGGGCATACTGCCTCCAACTGAGGAGGTAGAACATAGCTAGTAGCCTTCCACTGAGCACTAGTAATATGCAGTGCTATGTTCAGTTCTGGGCATTTCTGTTCCATGAAACTTTAAGCTGGAAATAATTTAGAAAACAGTAAGTTTAGGTTAGAAAGCACACATGAAGAAAGTTTGAAACAGCTAATTATATACTGCCTCAAGAAAAGGAGGCGGGGAGCTAATATGAGTTTTACAAATGTATCTCAAAAAATGAAACACGGGGAATTGTTCATCCTGCCCAGAAGACAGGACAAGAAATAACCTACTGTAAAGTAGAATAAAGTTACATATTAGAAACAGCTTGCCAAATTGAAGAGCAGTTATCCTGTGGCATGAGGTACAGAAAGAAGATATGCTGTCTCCTACCTCAGAAATTAAGGCAGGCATCAGCTGGGGATGTTTTATGTTTAAGATGGTTGGACTTACTATAATGTCCTCACTTAGTTATAGAAAGGTGTATATGTTAGTGGATGTCATGCAACAAAGTGCCTTGTTGAAACTACTCACTATAAGCTAAATATCCCCACTAATGCACTCCAAGCAAGCAGTTAAGCAGGTTTATCCATCCATAAACATAAAAATGGTTAATTGGCCCACCAAGAAATCAAGCCATTAGCAAAACAGGCACTGGAACAGGAAACTTTTCTGCTTCACTGAACAATATAATATGCTAATTTCTTTCCCTCCCTAACAACAGCATAGATTTTAAAGCCTTTGTTTGTTTTGTTGTTCTTTTTAAAAAGGTGACAAGTTACAATGGCAAATTATCTGTTCATACCATTTAGAGACAGTTTTATGCAAAATCTATTAAATTATGTAATGGTCTTATGCTTCCCTTTCTTAACTTATGCAATTGTCATTTTTTACAGTAGGTTTTAATCCCAAAGTCTCTTCTGAAGTTTAGCTGTCCAGGGTCATCTTTTATTTTCCATGACAATAAAAGAAACATATGCTTACTTAGCAAAAGCAGTCTCTCGTTCACTTATATAAGCCCACTGAGCTACAACCTCTTTGGAACATGGATCAGTGTTTGCATTTACACAGCATGTGCAATAATTATTAACATGATGGTTATAACCATTAGAAACTAAAAACAATCATATATACTTTCAGCACTCACTAACCCCAGTATGCAGAACAAAGCTTCACAAGAGTTTTACAGAATTTTTCCCTCCAATTTTTGCAGATAGTTGAAACGAAGGGCTGCAAATGGTTAAAGAATGCCACCCACACTAATATAGATTTCTGCAGAAAGTGGGAAGTCAGTCCAGATCTTTCAATTTCTTTCATACATCATCATCTCTTAGAGGCTGGTCCCAAGAAATAGTACAGAAACTACAACATAGCCAGCCAGTTTTGGCTTATGTCATCAAGCCCAGCCTTTCTACTGCAAAGCTACGCAATCCAAGCTAAGAACAGAAAACCCCTGGGTGGCTTTGCACATGTAACCATATAGCACCACAAATCCTGGCTGTATTGGCTGACTGGTCAACAGAATAAAGGTAAAGGTAAAGGGACCCCTGACCATTAGGTCCAGTTGCAGACGACTCTGGGGTTGCGGGACTCATCTCGCTTTATTGGCTGAGGGAGCCGGCGTACGGGTCATGTGTCCAGCATGACTAAGCCGCTTCTGGCAAACCACGCTTCTGGCATGGAAACGCTGTTTACCTTCCTGCCAGAGTGGTACCTATTTATCTACTTGCACTTTGTGCTTTCAAACTGCTAGGTTGGCAGGAGCAGGGACAGAGCAATGAGAGCTTGCCCCGTTGCAGGGATTCAAACCACCGACCTTTTGATTGGCAAGCCTTAGGCTCTGTGTTTTAACCCACAGCACCACCCGCGTGCCTTATGGTCAACAGAATAGCTTCCCATAAATCACTCCATGTCTGCCAGCAATTACAATCCATACAGATATTAAAATCTGTAGGGAGCAGCTGCATACATTGTTCTACTCTTGATAACTACTGCTTTAACCAGCTTATCTGAGAATTAAGCAGACCTCTGTCACCAAACTTTCTTTTCCTTCCACATAAGTGTCTGATGCTTTGTAAGACATCCCAATGTCAGTCACTCTTTGCAGTTGCAAAGACAAAACTTTTCCAACAGCTTTGGAACAAAGACAAAGAGCCACTGTTTACTTAAGTGCTGATCACCTGCCTATGAAGCCAATTTCCATGACTAGTTCAGTTTCTATGTTTCCTTTTTGTTGATTACCTTTTAAAATGACTGATGTTCCAACATAATCTCTTACCTTTTAATAAGCCAAAATAAACAATAGTCTAAATGGCACTCAGAAGATCTGATAGCTGCTTAATATTGGAGGGCAGAAGGGCAAACATTTTGCCTGGCTTAAAAAATATAAGCGATGGAAGATGGGGGCCATATAGGCAACTGATGAAAAGCAGAAGGTACTTATGCTTGTAAAGTCTTACATTCATCTTCATTTTCTAAAATTAAAGATTTGCTTTCCTTATTCCATGTGATCAAATATCTCTTTAAATGTAGTAAAATAATGAATTTATGGCCTTGTTGGTATTGTTAACAATTATATGATCTACCCTTACTGAATCCATGTTTTGAGACCATATACTTTTTGAATCAATTTCTCATACAAGCCACTCTTAACTTGCACAGGGGTTATGCTCTGGGGATATTGCCTAAAGCCAAAATTGTGTATAGTCAAAACACGTTGGGTTCCAATTGGATTCAGTGGTGGATGGGACTGCTAAAGTCTCTTTCCACCTCTTTTTGATTTCTTTTGTCCAGTGTGTAAAGCTGAACGTGCACAAGTTAAATGTGCATAAATTGGAAGTAAATTGCAAAATAGAAAACAGAACACTTTTAATTCATCTAATCTTTTATTGAACCAACTTCCTGTTGATAAAGAGCTCTAAGTAACTGAAAGGTATGCATGTGTCTTCAACAACAGAAGAGAATCTAATAAAAGGAATCATTTTATCTGTTTTGTATTTCTCATTTTACAGTGCCAGAACAGTGAAGTGCTTCAGGAAACTAATGTTTTCACATAAAACCATATCACATCTATTTCAACGAGTCTTCACTCGGGGATAAAAATTACCAGACACAGGAACCAATATTGGATACTTCTGTTTAGCAAGACCAAAAACAGTTAAATCTGCCATTATGCAGAAGGCAGAGGTTTTTTTTTAAAAAATGTGAAAGCAAAGGATTCCATGCTAAATAGATTGTAAAAAACAATGTGAGCATAGTGGTCAGCTGCAAACTTGCACTAGAATTACACATTTAGCTGTTAATGCTGCTGCTAACTAAAGCTTTCAGAGGAGAGAGCAACCTTCGTGCTGTTCCTACGTGACTTTTTTTTTCTTATTTAATTTCCAACCAACAGGGAGGTAATTTCCTTTTGAAAAGACACACACATGCTGGAAAGAAGCACTAAGAAGTCGTTCCAATGGACTGGCACTCAATTCCCATACTTATGGCAGTCATTCAGAAAGGAAGACAATCAGGTCAAGGAGAGCCATTCCTCCTCACACTGCTGCCTCTGTCCCCCTCCGCAGGGAGTCACCTGCCACCACCACACGTCTCTTCCTTTTCTGATGAGCAGCAGGAATTCTGTACACTGTACCTTTCACTGCCACCTCAGTGTCTTCTGAGATCTGCAACCACTGTTCTTGCTCCTCTGGCCAAGAATCAGTGTCCGAGGTGAGGGCATGAAATTGATTTTGTAGTTCTGGAGATACAGTATGGCTCCTGACAGTCAATTTAAATAAGACATGAGTGATCACGCCCAGGGGTTGTATTCAAGAAATTTTCATTCAGAGTAGACCCACCATGACTAACTTAGGTCCATTAATTTCTTGCACCTACTTCATATAAAGGTTAGATGAATACAGCCCCAAGTTTCCCTCCCACAAAAGAGGCACCATTGGCATATCAGCTTAAACTGGGCAAACTCTGCCACCTGATCATCCTGAATCAAAGCCAGGTCCAGGAGCATTCCCAGGCTGTGGACCTGATTTTTCATGGTGTGTCTAATCCCATCCCAAACTAGCTGCATCACTATCCCAAGATTACTAGTCCTAGCAACCAAAAACACCTCTATCTTGTCTGGATTAAATCTTACTTAGTCAGCTACCACCCAGAAGAGGATTAAATCCCAATTTGTTAACTGATGTTTGACCCTACACACCAGCTCAACACGCTCTCCTTGATAGAAAAGGACATTTAGCTTACTGATGACTTCACGCCCCCAACTCTCCAATCCCTTCCAGTTACGTAGATGCCATAAACCAAGCTGCCTTGAGCGTCTTGTTGAAAGGTGTGTGTGTGTGTGTTTATTCTTTTATTTATAAATACATATATAAATAAACCAGTAGAGGTTAGTGCTCACTGAGACTGATAGGGCAGAAGGTAGGGAGGTAGACATTACATGGAGCCACCACAGAGAAGTCCCACCTATGCACCACCACCTTCTGAACTTTTTCAGGTAGACATAATTAATCAGGAAGTAATGAATTAATTGGAGTGTGTGAAGTAAGGATGGATGGAACACACATTTCATTCCCCCTCCCTCCCATGTGCTGTGGTCCCAGGTCCTGATCATGTTGCTACAGTGATAGCTGGGGGGGGGGGGTTTGAGATGGGACTCAACGGAACTCAGCTTCAGCACCTCTCAGGTGGGTGCCATTGCCATTGTAAGAGAACAAGGGAGGCATTCATGGTGAGTGCCAGCACCGCTTTTTCTAGAAAAATAGCACTATTTGACATTTTTTCATGCAATCACAAGCAATGTATTTAGATTTAGAATGAAACAGGGCTGCCTTTATAAAGGGTCACCACTAGAAAGTATGGAAGCATAGCATGGGAGTGGGGAGCCTATTATTTATTATTATTATTTATTAAATTTGTATATTGCAAAATACATAATAAAAAAGAACAAAAACAAACCAATAATCCCTCCTCCCACAACACATTTAAAAGAGCATTGGACTCCATCAGCCAAAGGTCTGGTTGAAGAGGAACATTTTCACCTGGCGCTTAAAGGTGTATAATGGCTTAAAAAGTAAGCCAATCATTGAAAGGCAGGTATGAAATGTTATAAATAAATAAATTCATGAGAACAATAATCTTTAAGGCAAATTGGTGTTTGATGGGTTCTTATGTTTTGTATATTCTGCTGGATGCCGCCCAAATGGGCGGGATATAAATAAAATAAAATAAGAAAAATTAATAAGGCACCAGCTGAACCTTCCTGAGGAGAGCATTCCACAAATGGGGAGCCACTGCAGAAAAGGCCCTTTCTCATGTTACCACCCTCCAGACCTCTCCTGGAGAAGGCACACAAAGAAGGACCTCAGAGCATGATCTCAGGGTCCAAGTATCCTCCAGATATTGTTGGACTCCCAACTCCCATCCAGCTCCTATCAGCCTCAACAAACTCACTCAGTGATCAGGAAGTTATTTATATATTTCAGAAAATTAAATTCCACTCAATCATAGTTGTCTCTAAGTGACTGTGGTTATGTGCATCTTTGGAACATGAAAAATAACAGTTGCTATGGTGACCTGTCCTTGGGATCACAAAGGGCAGGAAGAGTTTTTAAAAAAAACCTTATTTTAATATATCCTGCTTATTGAGGAACTTCCTCCACAGAGCAGTTTATTATTTCCAATAAAAACCAACTCTACCTGTTAATAAAATATAAAAATACAATGCGGGGGACAGCAATCATTTGATGCAATGTCATATAACCTCTATGTAAATCAATCATTCCAAACGAATGCTCAATAAACAGCCCATCTCATCTAACCTCCCCCCGAAAATGTGCAAACAAATCAGGACAAATCCTCAATAAACAGGCTATCTGTAAGTGATCTAGGTCTGACATTCATGTATAAAACATCTTTTAATCTTGTCAGTGCTGGGATGTATATTTGACTTAATTACTTCCTTACCTGCAATGCACACAAGGAAAGAGGAATTAGCATGGAAAGTTTCTGGGGCAAACTTTGAGATGGATTTAAAATAGATTCTGGCAGTAAAGTGGGCAATGAGTTATTACGGCTGATAAAGTGAAAGCAACCCCAGCAAAAGCTGAGCAGATGCAGTCTAGCATTAATCATCTCTAAGCCCTAGAATGATCACAAGTACCAAAAGATTTGACTAAAGGTTATGCAGCACTTCTCATACTGCACTTTTCAAGAAGCCTTACATCTTCTTGCAAATATGTCATCCACTTTTTATTGATGGGGCACAGAAAAAAGATACATTCCAGTCACACAGCAAAGTAATAGCAAGTCCAACAATAAAACCCAGGTCTCCTGACAATATTCTACCCTCAAACAATTTGGGCAGGGATAGCAAAAGCATTCTTCACAGAGAGGTGGCCAGCTATGGAATCTGCTACCACAGCAAGAGTTCAGAGCTAAAATGCCTTCATCTATATTTTAAGAAAAGAGCCTATATAAACTTTGTAGACCAACAATACTTGGAGTTGATTCACAACCAAGATCTGGGGTCAAACACATTCCTTAAGCTTGAGGACCAGAAATTACTTTCATTCAGTAATTAATGAGTTAAAAATATAGCTAGTAACATTTTTCATAAACACAGTAAGTTTAATTCTGATGCTTCCAATAGGGCTTACTTTGAAATAAATATATTTAAAAGTAGGTCTAAGTAACAAACATACCAACTGAAATTCTCACATATTGTATTTATTGTTTTGATATTGTATCCAAACAAACAGCCCTGCTAAATTACTCTTTTAATGTGCTCAGGACAATGCTGGAGGAAAGAATATAGATTGTGGTGCTGGATCAATGAGTGTTGTAACTGATAAGGCTACAAATATGGCACAGCATAAGCTTTGCTTTAAACTCAGCCAGCACTGCAGAGGAGCTGTTTAGATGCATGGCATGGAAAATTCTGATGAGCTTAGGCTACACTAGCTGTGGAGGAGATTAAACCAATTATTAGGCATTCAGTAGTTATTTCACCACCCACTGATGGGTATATGGGGGCGGGTGAGGGAACAACCACACACTGTTTTTTGAATCATAGCTACTCAAATCAATTTTCCATTACAAAGAAAATGCAGGCAATGACCTGGCTTGCTTTAAAATGGTACTTTCCCTCTGAATGGTCTTTCTAATGCATTCACCTGCTATTCACATAATATGCTTAGCCCTCTATTACAATCTATCTCTTCCAAAGCAGGACAACTATGGGGACACAATAGAATCACAGAGTTGGAAAGTTGGAAGGGACCCCCGAGGGTCATCTGGTCCAACCCCACATCCAGTTTATTATTACAGAACAAGTAAATAAACTACCTTTGACTACAGAGTTGCCAAACATTGTAAGAGTCCTGCCAAACATTGTAAGAGTCAGGATTAGGGCCCACCTAGTCAAGCAGCCTGTTTCCCAGAGTAGCCAAGTATCTGTTTCCAAGAAATTTGCTAGCAGGCAACAGCACTCCCACTTTCCTTCAGCAACAGGTTTTTGAACCTGGAAGTTCCTTTAAGCTATAATGGCTAATAGCCTCTGATAGGCCCATTCACCAGGAATTTGTCTAATCCCTTTTTAATATCCTCACCCCAAAGTCTATTTGTGTCTGTTTGCTGCCACCTCCAGAATGCTTTGCTGGCATAAGTGAGTAGAGTGGCAAGATGTAAAGAATAGAATTTCTGCATCTTTCATTGTTTTGAGTTTTTGTCATCTCTGCACTTTCCAAAATGCCACCTTTTACACACAACTATTAAAGTTACAGGCTGCCCCCCCCACCAAGTGAATAAATAAAAATACTTTAGTAAATGTAGAAATAATCAGGATATTTGAAATTGAAATTCTCGCGGAGGTCATTTGGATGATGTATGTTGTGGCGCTTTCTAGCGACACAACTGGCAGTCCAACTGAGCGGTGGGCGTGGCTTCTGCCAACTGACCAGTCACATCACAGGTAGTTTGGTTCTGGAAGCTTCTCATAGTTTCCAGCATTTTCTCCTGAAAGCAAGCACCTGCAGGGCCTGTGTAGAAACAAATGGAAGTTTCTCACAGGCTATTTATACGGCAGAAAGCCCTCAGGCTTTGTCAATGATATAGTTCAGTTTATTCAAGTTCAGAATTCAGATCGGTGCAGAGTTTATAGCTTACGTTTGTTGCTGTTACGGTCACAGGGGGATGTAATTTAAAGTAATTTTAAAGAACTGTTGTTGAGACATTTCATTCTGAATCTGCTAGACAGAGTGTCAGGGAACTGCCATCAGTGCCGGGGGGAGAGAGTAAAATCCAGAGGGATTCCGGAGAGCGTCCCGGGAGTGGGAGAGGCACCCCATCTTCTGGGGAAGAGAATCAGCGTAGCACCAGTAGAGAAGGGGGGCAGATGGGGGAAGCGGCGAGGCGGTGCCATGACTCCTTGCTGGGGACCAGCGGGGAGAGTAGGGGTCCTCCGCTGCCTACGCCCTCCTTGGGCAGAAGGCTTTCGCGCAGAGAGAGTAGGAGGAGACTAGGCGTCAAAGAGCTTCTTTGCTGGAAGAAGTTTAAGAAACGCCCACTGACGGATTCTGCAAGCGATTGAGACAGCCACGGGTGAGTGGCTGTCCGGACAGAAAAGGTTCACTCAGGCAACCCAGCCAGGTGTTTGCACCGGCTTACGCACGAGCAACCCCTAGAACCATTACAGCAATCCGTCAATCCCTGACGTTGCTCGTGTGCAGCACAGGAGAGGCAGCATGATGAGCCAAACATGGCCGGCTGGAGAGACAGAGCAAGAAGCCATGGTGCGAGGTCTGGTCGAGAGGAACCAAGACCTGGAGACGCATGTCGCTACCCTGTCTGCGCGGCTGGAGGAGAGACGGGCTCAGGATGCACAGGTCAGAGCCACCCCGATAGGGAGGAAGGTCCCGGGGCTGGTACACAAGTTTGGTGGAAAGCCCCAAGACTACAATGCCTTCCGAACGGAAATTCAGTACGCTTTGGAATTGCAGAAAAACGACTTTGCGGATGACGGGGAGAGGATGGCTTACATTACTGGACATCTGCAGGATGGGGCGTGCGAATGGATCAGGCCCTTGATGGCTACGGGGAATGACGCTTTGAAAGATCTTAAGAAATTCTACCTCGCAATGGACGCGATGTTCTCCAGCGAGATTGAGCAAAGCGTGACACGGAGGGAGCTGATGGGGTGCAAGCAGGGGAGCCTGTCCGTCAGAAACTACTGGTCGCATTTTGCGATGTTAGTCCACAAGTTCGGGTGGGATCTGGACTCTGAGCCAGTACAAATGTTGTTTGAAGCGGGTTTGGCCCCCAAAGTGAAAGACGAGTTGGCCCGAGCGCCCCGCCCGCGGTCGATGGAAGAACTCACAAAGGCTGTGCTTGCGATCGGTGTACGCCAGGAAGCGCGGGCTCAGGAGAAGCGGGAGATAAGGGCGGAACGGTTCCATGACAACCGCATTCCGGAGATGCCGAGGGAGCCTTCCCAGGCGGCGGAGCCGATGGAAATTGATGGAGCGCGCACGCACGAAGTTTCAAACGATGGGGAAGGGCGGGAAAAGGAGTCGAAAACTACCAAGAAGTGTTTCCTCTGTCAGCGACCGGGACACTTTGCAAAGGTCTGCCCTCAACGAAAAGCCTGGCAAGGCATGATGGGGGCTGCAGGCCACGACGATAAGGGGGAGGAAGAGCCGGTGCAGGGAAACGACAACGCCTGGCTGCCAACCAGCAGGGGCATCAGCCAGGCCAGCAACCAATAGAAGTGCCCCAGCCTGACCCTCCCAAGGCAGCTATAGCCATAGAGGTGGTGCTAGAACTCCCAAATGGGCACCCCGTCAAAGTGGAGGGGCTGCTAGATTCTGGCAGCTCGTGTAATTTCTTCAGCAGAGACTTCGCTCTGGAGCACCAGCTCCACCTGTTGCCACTAGATTTTCCCTTGCAGGTGACCACCATCGATGGCAGGGAACTCCTGGGAGAGGAAGTGACACACCAGACACCGCCAATGCGAATGAGTGTCTCCAGGCACACGGAAACCATTGCCTTTCACGTGGCCACGCTGGCAGGACCCCCGATAATACTGGGAATGAGCTGGCTGGCAATACATGACCCAGTGGTGTCATGGCATCAGCGGTCGGTCACCTTTGGGTCAGCTTACTGTTCAGAACACTGTCTGGGAGGGAAGGAACCAAGAAGGACTGTGGCCAGGGTGGCTGGGGTGGCCCTGGAGCAAAAAAGGGAGGTGCCAACACAATATGCTGATTTGAAGGAGGTCTTCAGTGAGAGGGAGGCAGACTGACTGCCCCCCCCCCACAGGCCATTTGACTGCCAAATCAACCTGCTTCCAGGGGCTCAGTTACCGGTGGGTAAGCTGTATGCCATGTCCGACCGGGAGATGCAGGAGTTGCGGCAGTTTATTGACAAGAACCTGAAGAGAGGTTTCATAAGGGAATCAAAGGCGGTGGGGGGCAGTCCAGTGTTCTTTGTGGACAAAAAAGAGACTAATCAGCCCAGATTAGTCGTGGATTACCGGGCCCTAAACCTGGTGTCAGAACCCGTGACTTTCCCAATGCCTAGGATTGACAATATTTTGACACGTGTGAGGCAGGGGAAGATTTTTACCAAGCTGGACCTCAGGGGAGCATACAATCTGATTAGGATAAGGGAGGGGGACGAATGGAAAACGACCATGTTCACCCCCCTGGGGGCTTTTGAGTACTTAGTCATGCCATTTGGATTACAATCGGGGTCCGCCTGCTTTCAAGCCTTCATGCACCATGTGTTGGGGCCCCTGCTGTACAAGAATTGCGTAGCCTTTTTGGATGACGTCTTAATCTATTCGGACAATGAAAAGCAACACGTCAGAGACGTCAGGGAGGTGCTACAGAGATTGAAGAAGCATCAGTTGTGGGTCAAGCTGGAAAAATGCCAATTCCACGCCAGGGAGGTTGAGTTCCTGGGGTACAGGTTGTCAGACAAAGGACTAGCCATGGATCCGGGCAAAGTGAAGGCAGTGCTGGAATGGAAAGCCCCCCAAAACAGAAAGGATGTGCAGAGGTTCCTAGGCTTCAGCAACTTCTACAGGAAGTTCATAAAGAACTTCGCTCACTTGACAGCGCCCATAACGGATTGTCTTAGTAGCAAAAAGAAGTTCGCGTGGACAGAGGATGCGCAGCAATCCTTTGAAAAACTGAAGAAGGCGTTCGCCTCGGAAGAGCAGCTCCTGCACATGGATCCGGAGAAGCCCATGAGACTGGAGACGGACGCGTCCGACCGCGCGATTGGAGCGGTCCTTTTGCAGCCTGGGGCCAAGCAGAACTGGAGGTCGTGTGCCTTTTTCTCTAGGAAGCTGAGCAAGTCGGAGCAAAACTACACGGTGTATGACCGAGAACTGCTTGCGATCTATGCGGCATTTCGGCAATGGAGACATCTATTGATAGGGGCGCGGCACAAGATCCAGGTCCAAACTGACCACAAGAACTTGGAATACTGGCGGACCGCGCGAGTGCTCAACCAGAGACAGATCAGATGGTCTCAGGAGTTCGCCAAGTTTTTCTTTGAGATCCAATACGTGCCGGGAGAGGAAAACGTAAGGGCAGATGCTCTCTCCCGGAAACCGGAGTACATGGAAGGAGAGGGGCCACCAGAGACCAGGCACGTGTTCCCCGAGGACCGGTGGGTGTGTGGGGGAGCGTTGGTTGGGAAATGAGAACTGGCAGGGCTCACCAGAGACGATGAGTTTGCTCAGACAAAAATCAGGGAACTCAGGGACGGAAAGGAAGTCAATGGAGGGTTTGAGGAAAAGGAAGGACTACTGTACTATAAGGGGGGCGCTGTATGTACCAGGGGAGACTTTGAGGGGGAAGGTACTTAGACAACTCCATGACAACCCAACAGCTGGGCACTTTGGACAGCACAAGACCATGCTACTTGTCACCAGGCAGTTCTAGTGGCCAAAGGTGAGGGAAGACGTACGAGAATATGTACGAGGGTGCGACCGATGCCAGAGGGCAAAGGGGGAAAGGGCCGCCCCCGCGGGGCTACTGGAACCCTTACCGACACCGGAAAGGTCCTGGGAGGTGGTGTCCATTGATTTCATGACAGATCTGCCAAAGTCAAGGGAAAAGACAGCGGTCATGGTAGTGGTCGATCTACTGACTAAAATGTGCCATTTCGTAGCTTGCTCACATGCAGCAACGGCAGAGGAGACAGCCAGGCTGTTTGTGGATCACATTTTTAGACTGCATGGGGCTCCATTGAGGGTAATCTCAGATCGCGGGAAACAATTTACTTCCCGGTTCTGGCGGAGACTCATGAGCTTGCTACAGGTCGAGGTGAGCTTCTCGACGGCGAGGCATCCAGAAACCAACGGACAAGCCGAAAGAGCGAACGGTATACTCCAGCAGTACCTATGCTGCTATGTCAGCGAGAGACAGAACGATTGGGTAGAGAAATTAGCTTTGGCTGAATTTGCGTACAATAACGCTGAACACGTGTCCACAGGAATGAGCCCTTTCATGGCCAATTACGGGTGTCACCCCAGGGCCTTCCCAGGGCGGGGGGAGGAAGGATGGAGTGTACCTGCGGCTGAGCAATGGGTGGAAGAAATGGAGGCCTTACACCAGCAACTCAGGCTGAACTTGGAGCGGGCCAAGGAAGTTTACAAGAGGCACGCAGACAGGCACCGTCGGGAGGGGGAGGCCATACGGGTGGGGGACAGGGTGTGGTTGTCATCCCAAGGGTTACCCCTAAAGGGATGGTGCAAGACGTTGCAGCCTAGGCGGCTGGGGCCGTTTGAGGTAATACAGCAGGTTAACCCCGTGGCATTTAAACTCAAGTTGCCTGACAGCATGAAGATACATCCGGTGTTCCATAGGTCCCTACTTTCACCTTACAGGGAGGGGCGGGAATTCCCGGGACGGGAGGGAGGGGTTACCACCCACCCCTGGGTAGAGGAGAGGGAACACTGTAACGAAGCCACGGAAATACTCGATTCAAGGTGGCAAGGTCGCCAGGTAGAGTACTTGCTAGCCTGGGAGGGGGAACCTAGGTCTGAAAACACTTGGGTCCCTGCTGAATCAATCACTGACGGGTATCTGGTGGAAGAATTCCACGGTTTGTTCCCGGAGAAGCCCAAACCATTAGCTAGATTCTGGGAGGAAGAATTTGGACCCACAGACGACGAAGGGGACTTTGTGGGTTTTCCTGCCTCCGAAGAGGAGGGAGGGGAGGTGTCCGAGGGAGAAGGATCAGACTGGGAGGTTCAACCAGCGGGAAGAAGTCCAAGCGGATGGGAGGCTGGTTTTGAATCCTCAGAAGATGATGACAGTTCCTTCAGGGGATTCCCCGCATCGTCGACCGAGGAGAGAGAGGAGGTTGTACCGGAAAATCGCGCCAGGGGTGGGGGTGGGGGTGGGGTCCTGAGGAGGAGGTGGATGTCAGGGAACTGCCATCAGTGCTGGAGGCAGAGAGCAAAATCCAGAGGGATTCCAGAGAGCGTCCCGGGAGTGGGAGAGGCAGCCCATCTTCTGGGGAAGAGAATCAGCGTAGCACCAGTGGAGAAGGGGGGCAGATGGGGGAAGCGGCGAGGCGGTGCCATGACTCCTTGCTGGGGACCAGTGGGGAGAGTAGAGGTCCTCCGCTGCCTACGCCCTCCTTGTGCAGAAGGCTTTTGCGCAGAGAGAGTAGGAGGAGACTAGGCGTCAAAGAGCTTCTTTGCTGGAAGAAGTTTAAGAAACACCCACTGACGGATTCTGCCAGCGATTGAGACAGCCACGGGTGAGTGGCTGTCCGGACAGGAAAGGTTCACTCAGGCAACCCAGCCGGGTGTTTGCACCGGCTTACGCACGAGCAACCCCTAGAACCATTACACAGAGCCAGACAGAGGTTGATGGCAGATGGGTGTCCTGCCCCCCCCCCCATAAATCCTGGCTACGCCCATGGTTACAGGAACCTTTCCCTTTTTAAAAAACTGGTCATCCTGTGGGAGGAATATTGTCTGAAACTTGGCAAAGAGCACTACAAATGAACTGCACACAAAAGGTTTCACCTGCATTTGGAAAAAAGCATCTTGTGACACTCACACCAGCCATAACACCACGGCCCACTTGCAGCTCTATCCTGTTGGCAAGCATAGCAACCAAGGGGCAAAAGTGGTGGAGCTTAACAGACCTGGAAGGAAGCAAAGACTTAAGAATGAATGTGGACACATAGGCATGAGCAACATCAGCAGAACTACTGGCTGTAAAGAGAAGTGAGTGACAACAGTAGACTTGGAGGAGAAGAAGCAAATTTTCAAAGAACCCAGACGTAGCTAAGAGTGCTCCTCTTATGTTAATGGACTTCAGCTCCCATCTGCCTCAGGCAGCACAGCTAATGGTTGGAAATGATAGGAGTTGTAGTCCAACAACATCTAGAGCAGACCAATTTGGCTACTTCTGCATCATTATTCATCCATCCCTCAGCAATGTTTCCATACACATGATGCCAACATTTGATGAGGCCTTTTCCTAAAATAATCTTAGGGACAAGTTCTATCTGAATAGGACAGAACAGAAGCGGAGGAGGAGGCAGGAGGCAGGAGCCTAAAGTAAGGGTCAAGATATAGCAAAGGACAGAAGCTATGGAACCAAGAGATGGATAGAGGGCAAAAGAAAGAGGGCAAGGGAAAGAAATGTAGGCAATGTCTAGTTGAGAATGGAAATTGAGGCAAGCACTTTCCTGAGCAATTAGTGTATACTCCAACTTTATGGCCACATTTTGACATACACTTCCATCACTGGGAGAGCATCCCACTAAGATAATAGTCTGAAGGTACATGATACTTCAACTCCTAAATTAGAGGAAACCACCCATTAATAGTGTCTGCTTAGGAAACCACTCAGAAACCGTATGTAAACCATGTATTTATAAGCAATTATTTCCCGTGCTTACTTATAAATAAATATTGATTAGTCAGTTGGTTTGTGAACTGGTGAAAAAAAGAAATTCCTTGCTATTTGAGATACTCTCAATATTATACATTATAAAAGTCTGTATGAAGTAATACCAACTCAGGTGAGATCCTATCATAGGCAAGGAATGTAGCCAAGGGGTGCTGAAATTCAGTGCTTTAAAAAATGTACTGAAGCCACAACAAAACCCAGTTCTGTTGACAATTTGCATAAATTAACATGTGTACTTTATTTGGTGCAGTTTATTTATCTGGGAGGGGGCAAGCACTGCATGATTGGATGTTTTCCCAGTTTATGACATGAACTGAGTAAAAGGTGTCAAAATTGTTAATACTTCAGAAGTGGCAATGAAGTGCAGGAGGCAGAAGTAGTGGAAAGACCTGTGGCCCAACAACTGCAGATTATCTCTGGCTTCTAAGAATTTAGCAGAAATAGCAATACAGTGGTACCTCGGGTTGTACTTAATTCGTTCCGGAGGTCCGTTCTTAACCTGAAACTGTTCTTAACCTGAAGCACCACTTTAGCTAATGGGGCCTCCAGCTGCCGCCGCGCCACCAGAGCACGATTTCTGTTCTCACCCTGAAGCAAAGTTCTTAACCTGAGGTACTATTTCTGGGTTAGCGGAGTCTGTAACCTGAAACGTCTGTAACCTGAAACGTCTGTAACCCGAGGTACCACTGTATATCTTTATCTGTAACAATGAAGACTAGTAACTTGTTCTTTTAAAAAATGCAAGCCAGGTTTCTCAAGATTCCATACAAGTTGCTAGTTCCTGCATTAGAAGCCTCTGCAGTATGACCACTCTAGTCATGTAAATTTCTGGATATCCCAAAATGTACCTCTCAAAAGCTGGACAAAGTTAGCCCTTCTGAACACCAGACAGACACATGAATGACTGATGGAACTCATCTACACTAACCTGCAATTCACACCAAGCGACTTCTACCCAGGTTTCTGTATCCAGGCCCTTGAACACTGTTTTGAAGGCCCCTCTCCCCAGCTCAATGTCAAATTTCAGAAACCTTCCTCCAGGCGATGTAGCCACAGCCTTCATCTCGGCCTCCTCTTCTATTTCTTTCTTGGTTCTTTCCTTTGAAGCTTCCAAATTCACCTTCGAGCCATGCTCACATCTGGCCTCCTGGCCTGCCACCAGACCGCTGGAAGAAAGATGAGCCACCCTCTGGTCACCCACCACAAACTGCTCCTGTTCATCCTTTGGAGTGGGTTCCAAGGCCTTTTCATCCTCCATTATCTCCACACTCTTTCGGAAAAACCTTTTCCTCTCTGTAGTTGCCCCAGAGGCAGGTGTGTTGACATCCTCTTTGGTCCTGGTCTCCATGGTCAAAGGGGCAACAGCAGAGGAGTCCCTACCTTCCAAAGAGACTCCATCAGGTTTCTCTGATTCCTCTGTGCTGGCTGATTCACCAGAGTCCGTAGCCATGACACAGCAGAGCCTTGGCACTTGGATATGTTAAGTGTTTCCCTTCCTCTTCACTTCAGGCACATCATGAGTAACGGCAATGTTACCAGGACTTATTTCCTCTCAGATTATCATAAGATTCCCATGGCAACCTGTAACAAGAAGGAGGGGAGGGAAAACAGGATCATTTTAGAAAGTGAAATACGAAGCAGCCAGCCACCAAAAATGCAGCTTTCACTTAATTAATCTGGTCTTCCTTAATCCCAGCAACACAAACCTGTTTGCTCTTCCTCTTTTTTTGCTGAAACTTTATTATTGCTTTAAACTCAATGAGAGTTACATGCAATATAGATCAAATCATACACAATAATGGCTTCAATATATTCTGTTACATCAAGTATACTGTATACAAAAGCACTGATTGTTTGACGTACAAAAAGAACTTGCTGACCTAGGTATCTCTCCTCCCCTCCTACTCAACTATTGTAAATTAGTTCACCCAGTTGCCAAAGCCGAACTAATGCTAACATTCTCAAATACACCTTTCCTGTTGGTCATCTCTCTTTATTATTTGTATTACGAAGTACTGCATTCACCTAAACAAATATAAAAATTCCAATTTTTGTTGGATGCTTAGAAAGGCCAGTGAATATTGTGGCCTCACACCGGGGACTATATAAAAACATTTTTTCAAGCCTACCTCCATGCAAAAAACTTTCAAACAGAAAGAAATTAGGAAGTATGTACACACACACACACACACACACACACACACACACGAATCATATTGCTTCCACTGGGTCATACAAGGGAGCAAGGAACAGAACCCCCAGTCTGTTGATCAAAAATCCTAATACTGTACTGCCATTTAACTGAGGCAGTGTATGTATCTAAATTGACATATGCTGCCTCAGAACAACAGAAACCAACTAACAGCTTTTCTTAGACACCACTCCCCTTATGTCCTGCCCTTACCACAATTGCTCCTTATAAATTAACTGAAAGAAGTACTTCTATTCTCATGTTATGAATGTGCATTGTGGATGCTTAATAATTAAGTCCGGATAAACTGGTATTTCCTGCTAGCATGTTGTATTATGAAGGTAGCACTGTGGCCACAGTGCCTGGGATTTTGAATGCGGTTTTGAGGCTTTTTTTAACAGCTTTCAAATGTAAAAAAGAAAAAAAATCAATTGTTCAATGGAAATGCATTTAATCAGCTAGCATACAACAACAACAAAGCTTCAAGCAAATGGATGAGTTAATGGACTCCCTTTAAAACCCTCTAGATACTTGCAGTCATATGCCAAGTTTATTTACAAATATGTAATGTACTGCAACAAAGGCACATCTACTTGGCTTCCCTTCACCTTACTTTGTAACCAGCTCATCAAAGGCTTTTAAATATATAATTTGTTTCTGAAATAATTCGGTCCAACCATGCTGTTTTATCAAAGTTTAATCTTGGGGAAGTAGGGAAGACAATGTATTCATTTTAAAAAGAGCAAGCTGAAAACTCGTGGTTCATTCAGCAGCTAAGTGGAATGCACCTGACAGAAGGCTCCTATGAAGCTATTATCACAGCATGTCTACAGGAAACTATTTTGCAGTTCTCCTGAGCATCTTTTAAAGACAAAAAATATCTGGTCCCTGCTAGATAAATATTCCTTTGAGAAAGCATATTTTGAATGTGAGCTTTTAGTATGGGAAGAAATATAACACAAGGGGGGGAAAAGAAAACAAATATTTGAACTATCTCGCAAAGCAACCGTGGGTTAAAGCATTCTTTTCCGTCAACAATCTCAGTTCACTTTTGAGCAACATTTCATAATTACAGACCAGGTAAAAATATTCCGTTGAAGTATATTTCAAAGACTCAGAAATAAAAAGCAACCTTCCTTTTTAGTAATCTCATAAATAGTCCTGGAGGACACCAGGCTGGGGAAGTCTGGTTTATCCCAAGCAGGAAACTGGGGACAGTAGAATCATCAAATGACAAGCCATTAAAAGGAGCCAGTGGTGCACTGATTAACAGTGGTGGACTAGGACTGGGGGACCAGGGTTCAAATTCCCACTCAACCAGAAAGTTTACTGGGTGATCCGGAGTGTGTCATCATCTTTCAGCCTAATCTATCTCACGGGATTGCTGTGAGTATAAAATGGAGATGAGGGAACTGTGTGTGCCTCCTTGAGCTCCTCTGAGAATAATGAGATATAAATGTAATAAATAAATAAATATGTGTGCTGAAGATGGATAAGAAAATTGTACTGGAGTCTAAATGAATTCTGTCTTTACTGAAGAAACTTTTGGAGAGCTACCTGTACCTGAACAACTGTGTTGGCGGATTGCATCAGAATAACTATGTCAAATATTTTTAGATGTGGTTTTAGTACTGATTGTCAAGTTCAAAACTGGCAACTTATTGAAGCTGGATGGCATTCACCCAGAGTTGAAAGGAACTCAAGTATGAAATTGCTGATCTTTTACAAAAAGTATGTGACTTATCACTAAGTTATATATTTGAACTGGAAGGTAGTCAAAGCAATACCAGTTTTTTTAAAGGTAGACCAAGGATATTACAGACTTGTCAGTCTACTTCTGTCTTAAAGGTAAAGGGACCCCTGACTATTAGGTCCAGTCGCGGACAACTCTGGGGTTGCAGTGCTCATCTCACTTTACTGGCCGAGGGAGCCAGCGTACAGCTTCCAGGTCATGTAGCCAACATGACTAAGCTGCTTCTGGCGAACCAGAGCAGCGCACGGAAACGCCATTTACCTTCCCGCTGGAGCAGTACCTATCTATCTACTTGCAATTTGACGTGCTTTTGAACTGCAAGGTGGGCAGGAGCCGGGACCGAACAATGGGAGCTCACCCCGTCGCGGGGATTTGAACCACCGACCTTCTGATCGGCAAGCCTTCTGTCTTAGGTGGCTGATAAACAGCATTATTAAAGACAGTGTTATTAAGCTATAGCAGAACATACAGTACAAAAAGAAATGTTTGTAAAAAGAAGTATTTGCTTCACCAAATATTGAGAAGTCTTTCAGCTTGTTGCTAAACCTGTAGCTAGAACTATAATCAAGCCATTATTAAATTAGATTTTCAAAAATCATCTGACAAAATCTCAAAATAACTAGGATTTGTGGCAACCTTTGCCAGCCGGTCCGCCACCACCGTGTTATGGCTAAGAAATGATTACTGATACGCAGCTCAACACAGCGGATACATTATACCAAAGAAGCCAGTGAAATTCTATCAATATCTCATTTATGTAGCTCTGCTCTCTTTATGCAATCAAAAGGCTAAAAGAAATTCTAAATTCAAATATTCTATGAAAATTAATCATAACTACCTTCTCACTATGTAACAATAAATGTTATTAATAGCTACCCCAGCACCACCAAAAAGACAAGATGGGGCAAAATGTGAATGAATTCACAGGTGCAACTTTGCTGCCAAGGTCATTAGCAAAAATGGTACTAAGTGAATATGCTAACAGGTGCAGACATATGACATATGATCAACAGTTCACCCTTGAGGCCAAAAGCCAGCTGAGCCAGTGACATTCCCATGGTGACTCTTAACTGCAGAGAAGCCCCAGCTTGTATACACAAATGCAAGTTTTAAAAAGGTTCATTGTTTTTGTTCTTTTTTAAATCAACTACTTCATTTGCTCACCATGTCATTTTAGAAAACAGAGACTATGTGATCACGGAAATGTTGGGGGCAATTTAATGTTTTTACTTATTCGGGGTTCAGTTTTGTTTTACCTTTTAGTCATCCCAACCATGGAGACTGTGGTTGGGTTACAATGCACTGAGCCCACAAATTAGCCAGACTAAAACTAGTAAAACAGATAAAAAAATACTGAGAGAAAGCACTGGCTATCTGTCTTGTCTTAAAGTAATAAAATGCAATTTAACAGCTATAACTTGGGAGGAAAATACTTAAAACAAAATTGAAGAAAGTATCTAGACTTGAATACAGTGGAGAATGGCCAAGGTTATAATTGGCCACAACTGAAAGCAAGTCAGCAGTAGACAGGATTGCCAAAAAACGCATCTACTATGCCATTTTGGGTTCATCTCCTTTAACATAATGCTATATTTAAGCCATAGGAAGCAGCAATACTGACCTTGTTTAGCACTGGTTAGGTTTCAGCTAATAATAATAATAGTAATTATTTGTATGCTGCCCATCTGACTGGGTTGCCCCAGCCACTCTAGGTGGCTCGCAACAGAGAATGAAAAACACAATAAAACATCAAACATTAAAAACTTCCCTAAACAGGGCTAAAGTAATGTTGTCTAGCATTGGTAACCATATTTTATAAAATATGCCAATAAACATATATTTTAAATATGGTTGCCAGTGAGAAGAGGGAGTAACAGGCTTCAGTTGCAGTAGGCTGAAGGTGGATATCAGAAAACTCTTCCATATTATAAAAATAGTTGGGCACTAGAATGAGTCGTCCAGAGAAGTTATGCAATCATCTTCCTTAACCTTAAAAAAAATGGCAGAACAATGGAAACCTACCATTGCAGAAACTTCAACTGGATGATCCTCAAGGTCCCATTCAACTCCATACAGAAAAACAATAATAATGCTGTTTCCACCTGTGACTATCTAATCCATCATATCTCTTCTGGCACTGAATGCTTCTGGATTAACTTCTGACTCACATTAAAGAAACCTGGGCAGGGTAACAAATGGCCAGACAGCAGATTCCCCTTCCCTGATCCATGATTCTTCAAAACCTTAGCCATCTAATAGAACAGATTCAGTTAGTTATAAGATTAATCATATCTGTAATCTGAATAATCCACATAAATATTTTGGAACAGAGTCTCTAGCTATCATGGGTATAAAACTTTGCAGCGTGGAGGGAGGGTTGCAATAAAGAGATCTGAGATCTCAGAGTCCTCTATGACAGATGAGAAAGGCCAGTCCAGAAAATTTTCTTTTGAGGAAGTTTGATGGGTGGGCTTGGCCATACAATTATAATACAAATGATCAACACATTCAGTGTCAGAAACGAATCTCTAACAACCACAGTAACTGAAATTGCCTTAGTGTCAAAATGATTTCTACATTGGTTCCTACTTGAGGAAACAACAGTCATAGTTGATGCTGAACCTTGTTTCAAAACAGCATTCATAGATGGAAGAGGTTACAGTTTTACTGACAGAGAAAAATAGAGATTCTGGTTAACAAATCAGCACATCTATAAAGTTTAAAAGAGCCAGCTCACAAGTTTTGGCTACCTTCCACAATCAGACAAGCTATGAACATAGATGTATAGTAGCTGTTAGCCAAAAACCAATCCTACATCCAATTTCTGGCTAAGTCAAAAAGTGATTGAAGCTTAAGCCACTTTAAATAAGCTGTCCAGCATGAATGAAAGCAGCAGCAGCATAGGAACTAAGGGTTTTAGATGCAAGCCAGGAGCTCACCTTAGCCATGAACTCACTGGGTGACTGCTGAGAAGACTCAACTTCAGCCCTTCACCTTTATTAGAATTACTTTGGTAACATATAGAAAGAAGGCTCAACACTAAAAAAGCACTATCTAAATGACTATTAATATTTTATGGGAAGAAGAAGAAGAATATGAAATCACAGGGTATTTTGTTCTTTAAAAACTCCATTATTATTATTATTATTATTATTATTATTATCATCATCATCATTAACGTTTCTAAAAACAAAGGGTGAAATAAAATGTTGCCATTTTGCTCATAGAATGGCTTTTGACCCACCTGAGGTGTCTACTAAAGTTAGGCAAGGAGCGGTGATTTTTGACAATTTGCCCTTCCAACCATGCCTGTTGAAAATTTGTTCCAAACTGTTGGGTGACCCTCCAGAATAGTGTGGAAGGTGCTGCAGGAGGCTGCAGTGGGAAGGAGAAAATCAGCAAAAATCACCTTCCCTCCTCTTATGTTAGCAGACTCCTCAGCTGGATCGAAAGCTTTCCGCTTGAACTGGATTTCACCCAAAAGATCTTCTCCAGTACGCTTTCTTCACAATATGCAAAAGCTACTCTTCCCATGTGTTCATTCTTAAAGACTACGTTGAAAACCCTGGACAAGGCATGGGAAGAGCCAGAAGTGTTACAAATGCAGCATCTGCCAGAATATCAACTCTTGAACATAACATATACTTCAGAAATGTCAAGGAAATGTCTCAACCTCACCTATGCAGAAAAAAATGATTTAACATTTAAAATGTCTGCTACTCTTGGAATATAGAACCGCTGTGACTTTGTAGCTGTTCATTTGACAAAGCGCCATATACTCAAGCTATATTCAGGACTGGGAAAAGTTCACCTGCAAATTAGGAAAAAGCTGTTTGAGGCATTTAGGAGAATTTAAACAGATAGTACCATATTCATTATGATCAGTAAACAAGCATTGTAACTATGCTAAATCTACATATTCTAGCCAGTAGAAAAGAAACATAAGACAAACCAGGAACCCTGACTTAAAAGCAATGCTTTCTCTATCTGTACTATCAGAAGTGTGATTTGGTCCTCCATATTTGATCACAATGTTCACAGAACTACCTATATTTCCAATTCAGTCTTTGACTGTCTCTTTTACTCAATGTTCCTCCTTTAGGCAAAATAAAAACTGCTAGCATCACCTACTATGGCTCAGAAGGCAGGTATATTAAAAAAGGGAAGAATCCATATCATGTTGGATATTGAGAAGTGACTATAGGAAGCAAAAAGGCAGCATACAAAACTAAAACAATAATCTCAAAGCAATCTCCTGCCCAACACTCAAGGAGAAGTCCAGAACTAACCATGCCTATGGAGGGAAGGAATGCCCACCTCTTATTTTGAGAGAGGTACAAAGTCTAGTGTTAGGGTTTACTACTAGGTCCAAGAAACAGAACAGTTCTCTTAAATTTTACACAAAATCCAAGCTTGTCTAGCCTAATAGGGTTGATAAAGGGAGCTCTGGTCCCTTTCTGGTCCTGTTCTAACTGCTTCAATAGGAGACATTTGCTGCCACTTTTTAAAAGTCACCCACAAACAAATTAAAAAGATGGATAAAATACTAAATTAGGTAATATTGTTGTTAACTCTACAAAATAATACAACCTTGTAAAGAAGTCCACCAAAGCTATAAGAATGCAAAAAAAGAGAAATATATACTAACCTACTTGGGGCTAGCTGACGAGTGATGATGAGTTTGGTCCCTTCTGCAGTCTGTTGTGTTTCTATGCTGGCTGCAGAAATGGGACAAAGCACTCCATCTCACTCACCTACATGGAATTCCTTGTTGCCCATGGCTACCAGGCTAGTGCTGAAATGCATAGTCTCTGATGCTTAAACTATTCAGTAAGGGACCCAACCTCTTTTAAGGAGTCTTGGTCTTTGACCAACAGCAGTGTTTGGGTTCAGCTACAAGTCAAAACTGTCTGCTATGCTCCCGAAAGATACGCACACAAATAACAGCTGGCTAATATATTTTTTTTTTTTAGAACTGTTGGAACTCTACATGACTTTTATTTAAAATGTACATTTCAACAGTAACTTAAAATAATCTGAATTGTTTCTGCTTTCAGGTTCTGTTCTAAGAAGCCTTGTATTTTTTAAAAATCATAATTGCAGACACTAGCAATAAACTCATGGACAGGGGACAGAGGCTCCTTCTGATGAGTGGTGTGAATAAATCACAACATTCTGCAACAGCAACACCCTCCCAAAGAAACTCAGCACCCAACCAGAACATCAAACACCAACAACTGCGATGAAGCACTGTATTTTTCCTATTATTTTTGAATTCTGCTATGAAGAAAAATTATGTTTCTTTTCTTTTCCTTCTTTCCCATTCTTAGGGACCCCACCACCACCACCCTATTGCCAGAGATCCTTCCATACTGCCAAATCAACAACAGCTTAATGGAATCTTGATCTATGCATTGCACCTTTCTGAGACAAATGGATATCTAGAAGCCAAAATTCCAAGTCATGGGGGACTTTATTTCCACTTTCATGACCCAGATACTAAAATCTGCTGCTCAGCTCCCAAGTTCTTACCTTTCTGCCGGCAACAGGAACTAAACCAGGAACCTAGATAGCTGCAGGATATATTTAAATGCCTTTTTTTACAGTCTCAAACCATGAGCAAAATTTCATAATACAACTAGGAAACCTGGGTTTGTCTGATTGATACTTTTTAATGCACAACAAAAGTATGCAGAAAGCACTCACCAACCTATTGTCCCTACTATTATATGACTTTCATTTCAAATGCAACCTAAAGGCAGCTGGATATTAAAGTATCAAAAAATAACATGATATAAGGTACAAAACAGACAAACAACTGCAATGGTTCTGAAGAACAATTAATAAAAATCCATCTAAGGAAAGCAAAGGAACTATATATTTAATTTGGGTGATCAGACAAGGAGAGATGCCCCAGATGGAAGCGCTGATCAAACCCCCCACCCATCCCAATTGAAATATTTCACCAACAAAGCTAAATTACTCAAACAGCACAATCCTGTGCATGTTTACTCAGAAGAAAGTCCCAGGATGTCCTGTGGAGGATATTCCCCCAGGAAGTGCGTTTAGTATTGTAGCCACAGTTATTTTAAAACAAACACAATCTACATATACACTCTCCCCTCTATGAGGAAAAAAAACCCCACTGATGAATCCAGTCTGCAAAATTCCTAGGGGTGGAGGAACTACACAGCCACACACAAAAGGTCTTTAAAAAAAAAATCCCGCAGAATGAGGTTGATACCACAACACAGGAGGGTAGATGCAAACAAACAATAATAGAAACCACATACAAAAGGGAAAATAGAGGGGTTTTTTAGGCATGTGGTTAATAGGACATTGTGGAACAATGAGAGTAAAAGCCACAAATAATTTAAGAAGAGGCTTTCTTCTCTTCCCCTATCTGGTCCATTGGAATTCTATACACACGTACTCTGCCTCTTTCCTCCACATGCTAAATAAAATATCAGTATAAAATTCCAGCTCTATCGTTCCTCCCTGCCTCATCATTTTTGAGCACATGACTCACCCAACAAAGAAATTCCATCCATCGTGACCCCCCACACACCTGTCTTTTGAACACCAAACAACACTCACAGATTAAATCACCCCCAGCCTGGGGGGGGGGGACGACGACTAATTGATACCTCAAGGCTGCACATATTTTCTAGGAACTAAGTCGTGTTGATTTCAAATAATTTAATTTCTAAGTATTGGTACTTTAGATAATAACATAAATCCCCGGCCGGATCCATTTTCTACTCCAACCACCAACACTCCCAACAGTGCTCAGCACGGCGATTCATCCAGACATACTGTAGTCACATGCACAAAAGCCGCCCAGACCCCCTCCTCTTTTTGCGATCTCTCTTCTTCCTACCCACCCATCCTTTAGGGAACAAAAACCATCCCTAGACCACCCCCTTCTTACCCAAATGTGTAAGGTTTGGGCTAGCGCCCGCGGGGAGACATCTCTCCATCTCTGTGGACTCCTCTCAAACAAACCCCATGGAAGCAGTAAAAAGGAGGTGGGGGATGCTTACTGCATCAAGGGGGAAAAAGACCCCCACCTCCTTACAAGGAAGAACTTCCGGGTAATGGTGAACCTCGTCTGATAAGCAGGTGAAGAGCAATCCTCTCCCTTCTACCTTCTGTCTGGGCTGTACTATTCGGAGGAAACCCCTCCATATATACACAGAGAGCAGGAGGAGGAGGAGGAGGAGATGGAAGCAGAGGCAGCCCTCGTACAGCTTGACATGCCAACAAAGTCTCAATGAAGCAAACTACATGGGGTAAACCATCTGCCCTATAAAAGAGAGGGGGAGAAAGATACACGGAGATGGATGGTGTATAAAGGCAGAACACCCGGATGTCAAACGAATATGTTCTTTCCCATCTTCAGCAGTGGAGATTTCCACTCTCTGTGAGAGCATTAAGTAGGCAGAAATAAGACATGGTGATAGTATTAGCTCACTTCTGCAGACACATGTCATTTAATTTAGTCGGTTTAAAGATGTGCTAGCATGACTATGCCAAGCTCAGCAAAACGTGCGTGCGCACACACAGACAGCCTCACGTTCTCAGCAGCTCTTGTGCAGGAACAGAACAGCAACCACAAATTTACAAATGCAACCATAACATACATAGCAACCACAAATTTGCACATTTTAATCAGAAGTAAATCACATTTGATGCTCATACACTACCAAACTCACAGTTCAATGCGAAAATAAAAACATGAAAATTACACCAATTTCCACAACCATTGTCTTTCTAACATATACTTCATTGAAAATACTCTCTCATCTTCCAAGACAAGAAACAAAACTGAAAAGATCACACATACTTCCACATTTATTCTAGAGCTTCAATCAATTTTAAAACTTTTGTTAATTAAAATGGCATACTGATTAATCAGGATTTTAAATGGTTTAAATACAAGTAATTTTAAAAAACAAACACAAATTATAAAAACAAACATGGCAAACATCATTTCAAAACAGGTGGTGCCTGCTACAGTACATGTGTGTATCATCAGAACACAAAGTACAGTAAAGGTAAAGGGACCCCTGATCATTAGGTCCAGTTGTGGACGACTCTGGGGTTGCGGTGCTCATCTCACTTTACTGGCCGAGGGAGTTGGCGTACATGACTAAGCCGCTTCTGGCGAACCAGAGCAGCGCACGGAAACGCTGTTTACCTTCCCACCGGAGCAATACCTATTTACTTGCACTTTGACGTGCTTTCGAACTGCTAGGTTGGCAGGAGCAGGGACCGAGCAATGGGAGCTCACCCCGTCACGGGGATTCGAACCGCCGACCTTCTGATCGGCAAGCCCTACGCTCTGTGGTTTAACCCACAGTGCCACCCGCATCCCATTTAACAAAGTACAGTAGTAATAGTCAATTACATTTCACTCAGAGTAGACCTATTGAAATTAATGGACAGGTCTTAATCATGTTAATTCATTTCAGTGGTTCTATTCTAAGTAAAACTTAGCTGAATACCACTCAATAGTCTGTGACTGAGGGGGTATGAGTTCTGATGTAGCAGAATGGATTATACCACTTCAGACTGGAGGTTGGGCAACAAAGTTTTGAATGCTCCACAGTTAAAAGCTAAAGTAGCAGACAAAAATGTTGTGGTAGATAGTAGTCCCTTTCTTCTCAACATGCTGGTGTTCTTCTTGCAGGGAACATTTTACACGCAGGAGCATAAAAAATGGCAACCCCACCTGCAGTCTGAAGTGATAAAATACAATTTCTAGCACCCCTTTCTGTTCCATGAGTGAAGCAAGCCTAAGGAGAAATCTGTGCCCCACTTTCCAAAATCTACTGTAACACACAAGGGCTCACCAGCAAAAATAAATAAATGGGAAAGGGGTTTCTCAAACACAGGAACATTGAAAACCACCAAACTAATGGAACAGCAGGGATACTAGAGCCTAATCACCAAAAGCTGGCTTTCATGGTTTTTGAACAGACCCACTCCGTTTCAACTATTCTGCTGAGACAATTGCTTTTGGCTCTTACTGAAATGCATTCACAAAAAGAACACCCTGCTTCAATAAAAAACAGGGCTCCTAAACCTTATAAAAAGAAGTATTCCAAACAGTGCACTTCCTCCCATCACAGTATAGTAGAAAAACCTGCATATGCTGAAATTCCCTTTTCTGTTAGGAACATAAGATGCCTCCATATACTGAGTCAGACCATTGGTTCACCTATCACAGTATTGCCTGCACTGACTAGCAGCAGCTCCCAAAGGTTTCAGGCAGGAGTCTCTCTCACCCTTATCTGGAGATGCCAGAGATTGAACTTGAAACCTTCTGTATGCAAAGCAGATGTTCTACCACTGACCTCGTGAAGGCACAGGACTACTATCCTATACAGAATTTATAACTATTGCCAGTTGATCCAATCATAATCCTTTTCAGCCTTCAGAGATTGGTCGATGTACAACCCCTGGTGTGCTGGAAGATATATCCCATAAATCTTGAGGTCAGCATTGCTGTGTAAGAAAACCACTCGTGGAGGGCCATAGCTCAGTGATGGAGCGTCCACTATGTATGTAGTGGTTCAATCCCTTGCATCTCCAGGGATAAACACACACACAATCTCAGTCCCTCCCACAAAGAATATGCCTCCAATTACAGGGGCCATTTTTATAGCATTGCTTTGTTTGACCATCCACTCAAAAGTGTGTTGTTTTTAATTGAAAGCCCGTAAGAAACAGGAGACCAATATCCCCAAAGCTACCTGCTTTCCTGCAAGCAGAAAGTGTGCTGGAAAACCTTGGACAGAGATATGAACTGTATCTGGCAGCAGCAACTAGCACACTGCAGATGATCAATAAGAGAGTAGTTGGGAACCTTATGTCCTCAAAATATGAACTAGGGAATGCATTCCTGTAATGTGTTGCTGCCAGGGTGAAGGAATGGCATGCTTTAGTTATTCTCAGAATTAAAAAGAGTGGACCTTTCCGTTCTTTCATGCACAAGTACTCATAGCTAATGTCCCCCTTCTTACTCCATATTATCACATCTTTATTCTTATCCAGTTTCTGCTTCATTCAGATCAGCTGCCATAGCCAAATACTGTAAGCATATTGCCTCCCGAATTAAGAACATGTGTGAGGGAAATCTACAGCGGAAAGTGACAACCGAAAGGAAGGAGGACCAGAGGCAGAAACAAAGCGCTGCAGGGCTCAGAAACTCCAGCTTGATCGATGCCCACAAACATATCCCCATCCCGTTTGAGACCCAGCCTGGGCTACGGTGGTTACAGCGCCAAGGAAGGCGATGCCCGCCAAGACACCGCTTTCAATCCCTTCTGGGCGGCCTCAGGCCAGCCTCCCTCTCTCAGCCTGTCCTACCTCACCGGGTTATTGTGGTGAGGAAGGCGGCTGGCGGCACGGAGGCTGCCTTGAGCCCCTTGCAAGAGAGCAGGGCACGTAGGTGAGCTTTCGAAAAGGTGATTCGCAGGACTTTTGCACTGAGGAGCGGACCGCCTCGGGAGTCGGGACCACGCCGCTCCCCAAGACCTTCTCCGACGGAGCCTCCATTTTAGTTCACTGACCTTTCTTCTTTGGGGGGGCGGGTAAAGCGCCCCCCCTCACTCTTGGGCAACTACTTCTCCACAGCCACTGAAACTACCCCCAGAAAAGACCCCGCTGCTGAAACCTCCGTTTCCTCACCATCGCCCGCTAAGATGAGGCGAGGCGGGGAAGGAGGGCGGAGAGGCAGCGCGCGCCAGGAGAGAGAGAGAGAGAGAGAGAGAGAGAGAGAGAGGATAATCCCCATTGACTTGACTGCGTCTGCCAGCAGCAGCTCCCCCCCCCCCCCGCAAGCCTTGGCATCGGACTATTTGCGCGCGGGGTTTCTTGGGAATTGTAGTTTCTTCTTGTGGGAAGAAAGCGGGCGGGCGGGCGGGCGGGGAATGTGGCGGGAGAGTAGCGGCGGGTGAGATTCCACGTCGGCCATTTTGCTTTGCCTCCCTGTAATGGGAAGGGATGGGGGGGGGGTCGTTGCGTTGCCGCGCATTTTAACGGGAGTTACCTCAGCGTTGACAAGAGAAGGCGCGAAGGCCGTGCATTGAGTTGTAAGAATTCTAAGGTCTCAAATGTAGAATAAATGTTCATAAATGTACACGGCAAACACAAAAACATAAGTATATAAACTAGGTGACTGAAACAGTACAGGAGAGCAATCCTGAAGCACATTTTGACTCCCAAATTGACCTCGAATATTTCTCTGCAAGGAGGAAGGAAATGGGAAAAGCTTTCCAATTATCTTTGGACTGTAATGGCTTGCACCTCCTTGCAAATATGGTCTGGCAAGTATCAGGCTGTGCAAACTATCAATATGCGTAAGAGATTCAGGAACTAAAGTATTTACCCTCTAAAAGGAATGGCCAGGCTACCCAGAAAATGCAACCAAGTAAGGCATCATCAGGTATCCTAGCAGGAGAGAAGCAACACTCAATTTTTTGCTGGAGAACGCCTCCTTCTGTGATGCATGTATGATATTTTGGAGGGTGGTCTTGGGCTGTCTTTATAGGGGCTTGTGCATCATTGTTCTGGGTCTCTCCTACCTCCTGGCAGGGAGGAGAGGGAACTCTTGCAACAAAGATCTGCCTTGCTTTCTATGGATCTTGCCTCCATCCATTCATCTCTGACCAATCATGGACTTAGAGGACTCAGTCCCTTGGGGAACTGGGCAGCAAAAGCCAACACCCCTATTTTTTTCTATAACAACTGTTCTACTGGAACAGGTTTTTAAAAGTTTTTTTTTTCTTTTTTAATCCACGGCATGCTATCTTCTGCTCCCCCATGGTCCCCCTTTTTTCCAAAGCAGCAGAAAACAAATGTTATCAACTTCAAACAATATGTGCATCTTTCTGGAAAGAAACTACAGATATAGATTATATTCCTGCACTCCTATATACCCATTCCCTGGGAGAAAATCCCATTGAATACAGTGGAGCTTACTTCTGAGTAGAAGACATGTATCAGTTTGTGTTGCAAGTCACTAGAGGACAATGCCAATTTGTGCTCTTGTGGGTTTTGTGCCACAAGGCACCTGATCCATAATTTTCCTGATGGAATTCAGCAAAGATGTGAGATGTGATCATGAGAGTCAAGTATTAGTGTCTGGCTGTTAAAAAAATAAATAAATAAATAAAGATCCCCTACCCAGGATTTTGCACCATTGTAGGGCAGATCTTCTACTCTCATAATCTTACATTGGGTCCTGAGGTATGTTTTTTGGGTGGAATGTGAGGAGAATCTGCACTGGGAAATTATAATTGAAATAAATACTGAGGACACTGTCAGGATCAGAAATTCCAGGATCCAGAACTTTGTGAATGGGAGGAAGGAGGCACCCAAATACTTGTGACTGGTTTTATTTTGCCATCATGCATGATGTTATCAGTCCACATTCTTCCCCTTGCTTCCTGCAATTCTCTTAAGGTGCTCCCAGACTGGCACTATTTTTGTGTGATTTTCAATCACTTGCAGGCAAATTCAGATTGTATCGTTATACTTGTTTGGGAGTTTGTTTGCACAACAAATCCTCTTCCCCAAAAGACTGGACTTTTTGTGATAAGGATAGTGATAGGGAAATGCACTTGAAAGTGTGGGATAAAATTTGCTTGATGCAACATTATCTAACCTCCCCACAAACAAGTGTGAATGAATTCTCAATAAATAGCCAACACTGTCTTCTCTCCCTGAAAACAAATCAGAATAAACAGGTTATCTGGAAGCATTCTTGGCTTTATTTGGTCCTCAGGTTTGACCTGAGAAAGATCTTGTATCTGCTTGCCCTTGGCGGGAAAGTTTTTCCCAAGCTAAATGGCTTCCTGCCATTCATGGAGAGAAGATACATTAGTGTTTGTGATATGTTTTTCAGGTCTGCCGGCTAAGTCAGGCACTGACCAAAGGTCTCAGAAGGGTCATGGTCTGATGACCACACCACCACTCATTGGCCCCCTGGGCATGGGCGCAGCCATAATTTATTTTACTGTGGCCCTGAGCTAGCCACTGTGATCCACGCGGCGGTCACCTCCAGACTTGATTATTGTAATTCAGTCTATGTGGGGCTGCCCTTGAGACTGACCCAGAAACTCCAGCGGGTGCAGAATGCTGCGGCGAGACTCCTTACGGGGTTCTTCCTGCAGGATCACATTCACCCAGTGCTTTACCAGCTGCACTGGCTCCCGGTGGAGTACAGGATCAGGTTTAAGGTGCTGGTTTTAACCTTTAAAGCCCTATACAGCCTAGGACCCTCGTACCTACGGGACCGCCTCTCCTGGTATGTCCCACGGAGGACCATACGATCTTCAAACAAAAACATCTTGGAGGTCCCAGGCCCCAAGGGGGTTAGGCTGGCCTCAACCAAAGCCAGGGCTTTTTCGGCTGTGGCCCCGATCTGGTGGAAAGCTCTGTCACAAGAGAGTAGGACTTGACATCTTTCCACAGGGCCTGCAAGACAGAGCTGTTCCACCAGGCCTTTGGCCTTTGGTAATCCTCATAGAACTCTAACCCATTAATTTGATTTTGAATTGATTTTAGAATGCTGTGTTACTTTTATTGTTGTTAGCTGCTCTGAGCCCAGCTTCGGCTGGGGAGGGCGGGATATATATAAATTATTATTATTATTATTATTATTATTATTACTATTATTATTATTTTAGGGGGCAGGCTTTATGTTGGGAGGGGGCATAACTGAGTTATTTGCTATGCAATTGGTCAGTTAGTTAAGTATTTTTATTTATTTACTTGAATTGGGGGGGGCAGGTGCCCCCCAGCTCTGCCCATGCCCCAGGGTAGCTATTTTAGGGTTTGGCAGGCAGCAGTGCTGCTTTTGAATGGAAGCAAAGCTCAGTTCCCATCTATGGTGGCTGTTGGCCATCATAGTTTACCCCAAATGAAATCCCCGAGCCAGTTTATAGAGCTACAAAATCGATTTTTAAAAATCCTATAGATTTATGAAATCTATAGTTATAAAATTTTAGATTTTATAAATCAATGAGTGGGTAGGACTATTGATATATGAAATGAAATGGCTAGGGCATTGCATATGGGGGGGCTACCACAGTGGTTAACTCATTCAACAGCTGTCCCCCCCTTAAAATGCTGCCAGTGGGAGCGGGCAGTTGGTGGAGGGAGCGGTGTTGCTCCTGGTGCCGCTGTGGTGAAAGCAGAAGGGGAAAAACTGCAGGATCATGGCTGGGTTCCGATCTGCGGCATCCTGCCAGGCACCCACTGAAGTCTTCAGAAAGTCAGCCTGTCCGGGGACTTTCTGCGATTCCAGCTGAGATTGCCTAGCTTTCCATGATGATGCCTGAATCGTAGCTGTACGGATTGTGGCTGTCTGCCAAGTTAATGTTCCCACAAGCGTGGTTACTCGGAAGCCCCGAGTTTCCCACGCCGTCCAGTGGCATTTGGCAACAAGCATCGGAGCAAGACCAGCAACATATCGCCTTGTGTTTAGATGGCGTCCAGCAATATTGTACTGCTTTCGGGCGGAAGGTGGACGCGCCGCCGGCTTGGGCTCGAAGCGGCTCTGCTGCCGGATTCTGCCTTTGTTGACAAAGGAGAGGGGCGATCGCGAGCTCCGCGCTCGGCTCCTTCCGCCTGCCCGCCTGCCATTTCCTCTGCTCATCGATAGCTCGGCGCTCGGCCTCGTGACTGCCTGCCGCTCGGTGATGGCGACTCCGCGGGCGGAGGCACGTGGCCTCTTCCGAAAAGGGGTCGAGGCTGTCCTGGGCAGCTGGCCTGCTCTGCAGGTAGGATGCCTTCGCCGCAGGCAGGGAGCGGGGAGAGGAGCGGGAGGCGGAGGCTGGCAGCAAAAGAGGCCGCGTGGAGGGCGAGCATGTGCAAAGTGCATTTCCTTCCTGTAGCCGCAGGTGCAGAGAATGCGGAGTTGGCTGAAGAACATAAGAAGAGCCGCCCTGGATCAGGCGGGTGGCGCATCTCCTCCAGCATCCTGCTGTCATACAAGCAGGACATGAGCAAAGCAATAATAATAATAATAATAATAATAATTTTATTTACACCCTCCCCTCCCCAGCCAAGACCGGGCTCAGGGCGGCTAACACCCGATATAAAAAATAAAAATAAAAATTGAAATACAACTTCAAAAAAAGATTAAAATACAACATTAAAAGAAGAAGAGTTTGGCTTAGATATCTTGCTGTATCATTACCCTAAGGAGTCTCAAAGGGACGAGGGTGGCGCTGTGGGTTAAACCACAGAGCCTAGGACTTGCCGATCAGAAGGTTGGTGGTTCGAATCCCTGCGACGGGGTGAGCTCCCGTTGCTCGGTCCCTGCTCCTGCCAAAATAGCAGTTCAAAAGCACGTCAAAGTGCAAGTAGATAAATAGGTACTGCTCTGGTGGGAAGGTAAACGGTGTTTCTGTGCGCTGCTCTGGTTCGCCAGAAGCGGCTTAGTCATGCTGGCCACATGACCCAGAAGCTGTACGCCAGCTCCGTTGGCCAGTAAAGTGAGATGAGCGCCGCAACCCCAGAGTCGGCCACGACTGGACCTAATGGTCAGGGGTACCTTTACCTTTAAGGAGTCTCAAAGCGGCTCACATTCTCCTTTCCCTTCCTCTCCCACAACAAAGACTCTGTGAGGTGAGTGAGGCTGAGAGACTTCAGAGAAGTGTGACTAGCCCAGGGTCACCCAGCAGCTGCATGTGGAGGAGCGGGGAAGCAAACCCGGTTCACCAGATGACGAGTCCACCGCTCTTAACCACTCCACCAGACTGCAGCCTCATTTCAGTGGAAACTCAAATCAAAAACTTTTTGGGGGATGAAAACATCAAGTCTTCACCAAGGCTAACTATCCAGACTGGTCCTACATGGGCCAGAAAAAAGCCAGGGAAGTCCCCAAATAGGAGTTGCATCACAGAAGGAGAAAGGAAGAGGGGGAGGGGATCAATTTGATTCCAAGCCAAAGTCCAGGCTGAACAACTCTGTCTTACAGGCCCTACAGAAAGAAATCAGATCCTGCAGGGCCCTGGTCTCATGAGACAGCGCGTTCCACCAGGCCGGAGCCAGTGTTGAAAAGGCCCTGGCTCTGGTTGAGGCTAATCTGACTTCTCTCCCCTCCTGCACTTCCAGCATGTGGCATTCAGAGGCATACCGCCTCCTTCAGGGAAGGCAGAACAAAGCTGTCTTGGCTCATAGCCATCGATAGCCCTCTGCTACACAGATTCTGTCAAGAGTTTGGGTGAAACTTTTGCAGGTTGCAGCCACAGCAAAGGTGGCATTTTCCATCTCCGCCATATTAAGCAGTTGGTCCCTTACCTTTCTCGCCCTGATCTGGCCACAGTGATCCATGTGACGGTCACCTCCAGGCTTGATTATTGTAACTCGCTCTATGCGGGGCTACCCTTGAAGCTGACTCCAGCGAGTGCAGAATGCCGCGGCGAGGCTCCTTACAGGGTCCTTGCCATGGGAATCCATCCATCCAGTGCTTTACCAGCTGCACTGGCACCCGGTGGAGTACAGGGTCAGGTTTAAGGTGCTGGTTTTGACCTTTAAAGCTCTATGCAGCTTAGGACCCTCGTACCTACAGGACTACCTCTCCTGGTATGCCCCGCGGAGAACCTTAAGGTCCATAAATAACACTTTGGAGGTCCCGAGTCTCAGGGAGGTTAGATTGGTTTCAACTAGGACCAGGGCCCTTTCAGCAGTGGCCCCGACTTGGTGGAACGCTCTGTCACAAGAGACTAGGGCCCTGCAGGATTTGACATCTTTCTGCAGGGCCTGCAAGACGCAGCTGTTCTGCCTGGCCTTCGGCTTGGACTCACTTTGACCCCTTATATAGGATTTGGTATATAAATTTTCCCTTGCCTTTTTTGCTGGCCCATGTAGGAACAGCATGGATAGCTGGCTCGGGTGAATATCTGATGTTTCCTCCCTTGATGGTCTTGATTTATGAGTTACTACTAAAATGAGGCTGCATTTTAAGCTGTATTTTAAGCCATATTTTAATTGTTTGTTTGTTTGTTTGTTGTTTTTCCCCCATTACATTTTATTGTGATTTATATTTGGTGTTAGCCGCCCTGAGCCCGGCTCTGGGTGGGGAGCGTGGGGTATAAATAAAATGTTATTATTATTTTTACTATTATTATTATTATTATTAGTCTCATCGTCCTTTAAATCCATCCAAATTGTTGACCATCACTGCCTCATGTTGTTTCCCATGAGCTCAGATAATAGTAGAAAGGGGAAATGTGCTTTTAAAGCAAGGTGTGAGGCGGATGGAAGCGGACTTCATATTTTCCTGTGCACTTTGATTGCCGGTGTGTCGGGTTGCCACCTTCGTTCTGGCAAAATACAGGCCAGGACTTAAGGGTAAAAATGCACTGGGTGAGGCTGTAAATTTGTCTTCTCTGCTGCTATTTATGTACACGTACAAATGGTGGTAACTTTTCTCTGCAACCATGACATCATTTTAAGCATTACTTTTTAACTTTATTATATCAGATTCCGCTAGATGTATTTCTAAGCCATAGTGTGGGTTTTCTGGAAAACTGGGAAATGTTTGTAAGTTGGCATTGGAAAATTTTATGATGCCTAGATTGTGATCTAATTTAACATATTTATTTTAATCGTATTTAACAAACAAAGCTAAAAACTTTGAAACTGCCAGGCTTGCCATATTCACAACTGGCATTCATTTATTATTACTAATGACCTTATGAAACTGAAAGATATCCATAGAAAAAATTTGAACTGGAAAAATTTCCACCTCCCATCACTGTTTCTAAGCAAGGTCCCTGTTCTGCTTATGTCCAGAACAAGAATGGAAGAAATTAAAACGAATAAACCAATTTCTTAGGGGCTGAGTAGCTATCACAAAAATTGAATTCTCAACTTCAAAAATACAACTAGAAGAGTACTCCTTTTTCCTATATAGAAGCCACAGGTCTGTAAAAGATTTAATAAGGCATACAAATATACCTCCTGAATAAGTATAATTTTCAGAACTTTGAACTCTGTGCCTATCCACAAAGGGGTTCAATATGGTACCTACATGCGCAACTGGTGTTGAGCCAATTAATAGCTACAGTTGGTTAGCATGCTCTGCTGTTGAATAGGAACTCGTTACACAACTATGTGCACCTGATAAACATCCTGGAAAAAATAATACTGGTGGAAACTCTGGCTATAATCCAAAGAACACTCACCTAGGCATAAGCACTCTGCGACTGACATCTGAATAAACATGCCAGACAAAAGGCAGCAACATATTCAAGCAGTGCAGTTAACCTGTAGAATTTGCTTTCCCAAGATGTAGTGATGGCTACCAACTTAGATGGCTTTGAAAGGGAATAGACTTATTCATGGAGGGTAAGGCTGTCAATGACTACTAGCCGTCATGGCTGCATGCTGTCTCTGGAATCAGGCGGCATGCCTCTCTGAACACCAGCTGTCAGGAAACAGCAGTGGGAAAGTGCTATTGCCCTTCTCTCCTGCCTGTGGGCTTCTGGTTGGGCACTGGAGGAAACTGGATCCTGGACTAGGGAGGCCTTAGGCCTGATGTTCTCAGTGTTGCATGACTTTGAAGAACCAAAAGATTTTGAATGGTTGCTAAAATTAATGGCCTTAGCTGAGATGGCAAAACTGACATGTTTAATCAGAGAAAAGTCATTGTTAATATTTACTGAAGATTGGAAACCTCTCATAGGCTTTGTGTTAAAAAGAAAAAGAAATGATGACATTTTGATTTGAGGATTGAAGGTTATGATTACTAGAAAGTGGCTTTATTAGGTGTTAAAACGAGTGAATCTTTGTATATAGTGGTCAGATGAAGAATCAGAAGTTCTTTAGCTTCCTAATTTCTCTCTCAGATCTTTTTCTATTCCTTTTTTCTACCTCTTTCCCTTTTTTGCTTTTAGATTAATGTTTTAGTTTGGACAAAAAAATATATATATTTGATAATAATCTTTGTCTTTTTCTTTATAAGCCCCATTAAAATTTATTTTAAAAAAAGAACCAGGAGATTTGAAGTAACCAGGGGTGACAGTGTAGGTCACTTCTTTATTTTTAGTTATTATATGGAGGTCTTCATCTGCAGTTTGAAGTGGTACAAAAGTACAAACAGGAAAATGGAAAGCTGTGTCACTGTACATGTGGGCTGTCACCCATGCCCCCTCCTTTGTGCTTTAGGCGGACTATTTTGACACACATTTATGTTTCTCCATCTTAAATGAAAAAATGAAGGTTCCCAGGATTGTTGGAGGTGGTGTTGGTGATGTCACTGACGCTACCCAGTAGATGCCCTGCCCATCATGTCCATAACACATCTGTGACAAAGGGAGGAAGTGGCTTTCCCCCAATTCATCTTCTGAAACACAGCTGAAACCCCCCAAAACTGTTTTGTTACATTATTATAGTGCAAACCAGGACTGAAAACGTGTGGGTGGTATCAGCTAAGTCATATGTAGAGTTGGCCCATTAAAATCCATGGAGTTAGGTTACTTACTGTAAGTCATTTGATTTTCAATGGATCTACTCTGACTATACTAACATTGGATATCACCTTGTGTGAAGTTAGTATTAAACCAGCCCCAGCACTCTTGAAATCTCTGTCTTCACTCCAAGCAACCTCAACTCATTAGCTTGGAGTTTGCTTCCTTGAGAACTGCCTAACTACTCTCTTTTATGGATGTAGCTTTGTTTTCTTCTGATGCAGGTCGCAGTTGAAAACGGCTTTGGAGGGGCATACAGCCAAGAGAAAGCTGAATGGATGGTGGAGGCTGTGGAGCAATACTTTCAAAGCAATGGTGAGGTACCTAAACAATATAATGTTCTGTTGAACCGGATAGCAGACTCCATGGAAGATAAACCTATTATTGTTACTATTATACCTGCTCATAGCTGTTAACAAAACTTCTCAAAGCAATTTAAGAAATATTAAATTACAGAGCAATTTATCAAAGATATAAAACCCACAACAAATAATAATAATAATAAAAGTCTTCATCTGTGAACATCAGGAACAAGACAAATACTAACCCCACAGGAGACCCACAGACTTTGGGTCTGCCCTGTGTTTGGTACAACATGGTGGGTGCCTCAGTTTGTGTTGTGGTGGGCAGCTCAAGTCAGGCTGGTCTCAGAGTTACCTAGAAGTAGCAGCCAGAGAGGGGCTTGCAGCAATGAGCAGAGCTTCCATCTTGCTCATTCAGCTAAGTCAGGGTCCTCACTGTCACAGTGAACATTGGTAGGTCAAGAAACCCCCTCTGAATGTTCTAAAATGGAATGGAGACAAAACAAATATGGTAGAACCATTTTATTACAATTCTGAAAAGCTCAGCCATGTACGGAAGTGTCACTCAGCTAATCACAACTGTTTTGGAGACCAGGAGAGACATCTGGTTTAATATGTTGTCTGGGCTCACTGTCTTGTGCGTCCAGCTCTGGCAAAAGGGTTAGGTTGAATGATTACATCTGGGGGCTTTGTGGTTCATTTGGGCAGGGTACTATCTGAGAGCCTGAATCCCCACCTTTATGGTTGGGATGGAGGAACCTGTGCACCACCCCTCATCCAATGTTGTTGGACTTGCAACTCCCATCATCCCCAGCCAGCAAGGCCAGTGGTCAAGAATGATGGAAACTGCAGTGCAGCAACATCTGAGAGGGCCAACGGGTCCCCATACCTGTTTTCTGGCATCTCTTACAGAGTTCCTGGCCACTTGAATCACTGAAGTCTTTCCTCTTTTCTACACAGACTTTTAACTCCTTGTCTACCTTCTTCTCTGTAGCTGACTTGGAGCTGGATGAGATAGAAGATTTCCTTGCCGAGTTGATGAACAATGAATTTGACACTATGATAGAAGATGGAAGCTTAGCTCAGGTATATGCAAAGCCCTCTCTTCCTTACACCTGCACACACACACACACACACACACACACCCTCTCTGTTGGGATGGAAGCATCTAGTCTAGGCTCCAAGGGACTGTATAGGTCTTTCCCAGGCTGTGTCACATTTGCTTCCTTCCTGCAAACCTGCACTGGCTGGTTTTCCCACTGAGAATGGGCATCATCTCTTGTCTTAGATCTCCTGTCTCCCTTTGAGAGTGCAGTGGTATTTCTTAGGACTTGTTTCTCACAAGCAGCAGGTGAGAAAAACTAGCCTGCACCACTTCAAACTGCAAATAAGGGCTTATGTGACTGAATGTTGCTTGGTGTAAAAAGAAAAAATTACACTTCCAAAATTATCATGTTGGGGAGAAAGCTACACTCAGAACTTTTCTCCCTTGCATCTAGTTTTGTACATCTAGAATTTTTTTTTTAAGATAAGAAGGTAAAGGGACCCCTGACCATTAGGTCCAGTCGTGACCGACTCGGGGGTTGGGGCGCTCATCTCACTTTATTGGCCAAGGGAGCCGGCGTTTGTCCGCAGACAGCTTCCGGGTCATGTGGCCAGCATGACTAAGCCACTTCTGGCAAACCAGAGCAGCGCACAGAAACGCCATTTACCTTCCCGCCGGAGCAGTACCTATTTATCTACTTGCACTTTGACGTGCTTTCGAACTGCTAGGTTGGCAGGAGCAGGGACCGAGCAACGGGAGCTCACCCCGTTGTGGGGATTCGAACCGCCGACCTTCTGATCGGCAAGTCCTAGGCCCTGTGGTTTAACCCACAGTGCCACCCGCGTCCCTAAGGTACAAAGGAGCAGTCATATGAGCAATCCCCTCTTTACAGTCTGAAGCAGATTGACTTTGTCTGCTGGTTGTGAAGCTTTGGTGTCAGAAATGATTCTTCCTGCAACTCCCAGAGCTCCCCAAACCATTGCTTTCCTCTAGACCAGGGGTCTGCAACCCGCGGCTCCGGAGCTGCATGTGGCTCTTTTACACCTTTGCCCCGGCTCCGGGGCGGATACTAGCGAGGGGAGGAGGCGCATTGTGCGCCCCAACACTCCCCACTGTGGCGGGCGCTGTACTGGCTGTGACGTCGCATGGGGGCGGTGCGTGCGTTAGTCACGCACCGTCCCGACGTCACCTTCCCGCCCGCCCGCCCGCCTGCTACATTGTAAGGGGCATGTACGCTGGTCACTGCATTGAAAGGGGGCATGTACGCTGGTCACTGTTTTGAAGGGGAGTGAAGAACACACACACAAAAAAAGGTAACTGGTTAATTTAACGTTTATTTCTATGAGGAGGAGTAATTCTGAGGGGTCAAACAAAGAAATAAAAAAAAAAGTGACAAAAAAGTTATTTTTATAATGACGAGTTTTGCGGCTCCCAGTTTTTTTTTCTTCAGAAACGGGTCCAAGTGGCTCTTTTTGTCTTAAAGGTTGCAGACCCCTGCTCTAGACTGAAATGGGACTCAGCCCCTTCTTCTCTTTCTCCCCATTCTGTACCTAGCCAGAGCCAGTCTCAGGTGTGCCCACTTTGCCATGCTTCAGTATTTGTTGACACCTCAAGTGGGGTTGGCTTAGATAGTCTAGCAGACTGGTCTGCAAGTCACCAGGGCACGTGGGAGGTCATGAACGGCTTGATTTTTCCTTGCTGATGATCGGATGCTTTTAAAAATCATAGGGCTGGAAGAAGGCCAGAAAGTCACCAAGTCCAAATGCAAGGCAGGACATACCGTGTCAGTGTCCTGCAAAGGAACCGACACAATCCATTGCATGAAGTGTCACAACTGGAGAGCAAAAGCAAGCCAAGGATGTAAATCACAAATAAAGCACCAGGATTGATAGCCAACCTGAGCTGAAGCCATTCGCCCCCAGTCCCCTCAATATAAAGGAAAACCTATAAAAAACCCAAAATTTGGGGTAGGAATGTTAGCTTATTATAAGGCAGACCCAAAACTGCAGCCATTGAGATGAATTCTGCTAGTTCACAGCAAGCTGATTTTTTTTAAAAAAAATGCACTTGAGACTTTGCCTTTACAAAGCCTTTCTGCAAATACGAGTAGAACTTTTTTAACCCTCAAATTCTCAGCCCTCATATAGATGCCTTTGATGCAGTGCAGGAAGCTGAATTTTGGACCTTGCAGCACAAACGCATCAAACTAGTTATTCCTTTTTTTGTGTCTGGATAGGTTCTTCTGCCCTTAAAGGGTTGCTTTCTTTGTCACACCTTCTGCTCCAGCTGTATCCATTTCTCCCTCATTCGTGTAATCCAGCCCCAGGACCTAGACGTTTTAACTGCCTCTTTCCTCCCTGATCTGACTGCCATTTACCACTGTGGGGCATTCTTGCACTGTACATTGAGGCACTGCAGCTACAGAACAGGGAGAAGGAAAATGTCAGATGAAGTTGCCTTCCAAATGCTGCTTCTCACCTTTTGCACTGCAGAGGGTAGTATAACAGAGAAAAGGCAGGGTTTTTGTCAGTTTTCTGCAAGGCAAGAAATCCCATCTTAAAACTGGTAGCTAGAATGACCACACACACAAAATTACTCTTGCTTTTTGAGTAGGATCAGTTTATCCAGTCAACTGAAAGTTAGCACAGCATAGCAGCAAACTAGAGCCTTAAACCAGGGAGACTTGCTTAGCTACAGGGTGACCTTAGGTCAATCACTGCCTCTTGGCCTAGGCATCCCCAGAAGATTAATGTGAGGATAAAATTAGGAGGAGGGAGAAACCTCATATGTTACTCTGAATTTCTTGGAGGAAGGGTGGCATAAAAACATAACATCCATCATTGTTGATATTTCATCACATATCTAATGTTGATGGGCCTAAACTACCACGCCTTAATTACAAAGACAAATGTGGAACTTAAGAGACTGAATTTCAGATTGTTTCTGGTTCTGAATAGCTACTAAACTGCCATTGCCTTAAAAGCTATTTCAACAGATCTGCCTTCTGGAAAACCAAGACTGGCCTCTTGCCAGATTTCCAGGCCACGGCACTGGAGGGATGCTTATATCAAGACGCTGCCGTTCAGACACTGCTTCCTAGAATGCTCTCTGTCTGAAGGTCAGGCACCCATTTTGGACCAATTCCTTTGTGGCATCCTCATTTAGAAAAATGGAAGTGTTACCAAAGAAGAGAGAGAAATGTGTAAATTACTCATAAAGCAATCTCAACCCACCCTGTTGCTTGGCTTGGTGGGAGGTCTAGCTTCCTAAGCCGCAAAAAAATTGGCAGACACTTCTCCCAGCGAGAAAAGTCGGGAGGAGCTTTTAAGGCAATGTCTCTTTTTTCATTAGGACGGGTGCATGTCAAGGCCTTGTGACTTGCAAACTGTAGCATTTTGGCCCCAGAGCCACTTCTGACCCTGGCTCAGCCCTCTTCAAGCGTGCATGCAGATGGAAAGAACTCTCCCCAATATAAATGGCATTCTTTTTCCTGTATCTTGTGGCTATTTTTATTAGTATGAACAGAAGTATAATGAGATGGCTGCCAACTTCAGCAGTAAACATGCAGATACGTTGAGAACAGGAACCTTTGGCTTCCGTTCTCTGCTCTAGGAGCTCCGTGTGTGGTCTGATGGAAGATGCTGTTCTAGTGCCAACTCTGGAGGAGGGCATTGCTGCAGCGGCTAGCCCTGTGGAAGTTCTTGCTCTGCTCGCTGAAAGAGACTTGACCCTCTTCCCGCACTGTAGGTAAGCCAGCAATTGCGCCTGTTCTTTGGTCAGTGCCAGCAGGGAGAGGGAGCCGCAGTGCACGAAGCCATTGTCCGGCTGGCTCAGAAGAAGCAAGAGGCAAAGGTGGCAGCTGCAAAATCAAAGCCAACGGAGGAAAGCAGCAGTGAGGAGGAACAGGGGACGGAGGAAGAGGTATGACAAATAAATTGCACTGAAAATGAAAACAGCCAGCCAGCCTGTCACTTGTTTTGCATAACCTCTAATCTGCTGGCTTTATTCAGAACCAGATTTCAAGTTTCTTCATAACTCAGTAGGCTGACACAAGGATGGAGGGAAGAGGAGGGAAACATGGCTGAATGCCATGAAGGAAGGAGAAATAACAGTTACGGTGCATAACCAAGGTCCAGATGACTGGAGCCATTTGCTCCAGTCTAAACTTGTCAGATGATGAGGTTAAGGAACTGGCTATTTAATTCAGCAGATTTAGACCGCAGTTGGTTGGTGAGAACCATGGCTCCTTGGACTTGCCCAGAGACAGGTTTCTGTTCCTTTGTAAATCCTACGGACTACTGCATTTTTCAAACAGTGAAGGCTACAAGCTGGGTTTTTGGCCCAGAATGTTAAAAACAGAAATGTGAACCAGAAAACAGCAATTAAATCCAGTCACCGATAACATTGTCTCATTTTCTCCCCTACCCAGGCTATGGACTGCAGTGCTGCTCCCAGCATGAATGGAGCCCAGCCCAGCCCACCACCTTCCTCCGGTGCTGATCCTGAAGATGGCTGGACCTTGGTGAGGAAGAAAAAGAAATGAAGAACAAGGGGCAGGCACCACGACTGCAGGAGTTCTGGTTGAGCTGGTGCGGCAGGGACATGGCTGGGGAAATGGGATTGTGTGATTCCCCTCACCCCCAGCTGCAAGAGACTAATATTTATTTTTAAAGCATCAAAAGGAGCAACTTGGATGACAGAGATGTTTTTGGTCTCTGCGTGTGAGGCTTCTGCACAGGCCTAAGTATATTGTGCAGACACAGCTGCTTGGTCCCTCTGCTCCTCACTTGGTAAAGGCTCTCCTGCGCTGAAGGGGATACAGGTTCAGGGCCAAAGGGCTGAGGATCCTTGAAGGGATTTTCTTTTCAATGCACAGGAGGCCATCTTCCACCTCTGCCACCTCCTTGTGCTTAAAAACGACTGTTTTAGCAGCAGGGTGGGTTCTTTTGCAAGGAAATATCTTCTTCCATGGCAAGACACTGATTTCAACATTTCCATTGCCTCCTCTTCAACTCCCAGAAGACTAAATCAGGCCCATATCTTTTCCCCCAACCCCATCCCGAAGGGAAAGATTGCGTTCTAGACATTATTGAAACAGACAGATAAGCGTAACAGAAAAACAAAATTCTGTATTTAAAAAAAAAAGACGACAATGGAAAACCAAATACAATAATGAAACTAGAAAGTAACATGGACAATACACAAATCCTTGGTTGTGGGACAGGGCACTTCTCTCAATAGAAGCCCCCTTCCCTATCCTCTGTAGTGGCCAGCCACTGTACATGAGCAACAATAAAATATTATTTTGGTAAGATTTTGTATATCCCTTAATACTGACTTTTTTAATATAAAAGTTACATGCACTAGCTCTACACCACGATGGGGATGGGGGTGGGAAGAGGATGACAAAGAATTGGGACAGGCACCAACGGCCCCCACCAGGAGCCTCTCATAAAACAGGGCAACCAAGTTGGGTGTTGTTTTTTAGGACACCCGCCCCCAGCCTGCTCACATATAAGTTGAAATAGTAGAAGCAAGGGGAGGGGGAGAGAAATGTTGGAGGGATCGTAGGAAGCTCCTGTGACAGTCCAGTAAAGGATTGGAACAGAATGGAGGAACACCAACTCATGTTTAAGTGCATTGCAGAGGGGAAGCAACTGCATTTGAGAAAAGGCTGTGCGAGAGAAGTTTTTCTCCCCATTGTAATGGCCCCCTTTCTCAGCAAAATCCGCTAGGAGCATCTGCACAAGCACCCTATTTTATATGGCATGGGGCTTGCCTGCTCAAAGGTGGCTGTGGCCTCATCTTATTTTTTAAGTTTTATCACTGGCTTTATCTTCGCTAGGGTAGGTAAATGGCACTTCCATGTATCACTCAGAACGGCAGGTGCAAAGAACAGGAGAATGGCTATTGTACAAAACCAAGGTTGCAAACCTATCCAAACCAAACTCAGTGGTGCTTAGTTCTCAGTAGGCATAGGATTCCACACTGCATGGCATTTATATTTTTGAAGCTCCAATTACCTGGGAGTAGGCTCTACTCATCGGCGTGGGTTTAAAAAATCCACAGGATTGCTCTTAAGTTCCATTAAGATGCCACATAGTACAATCTTATATGCTAGAGAAGTTGTAAATTAGGCACATCATGTTGTTGAAAAAGTAAAATAATTTTAGGCTTGGCAAATATATTCTTGCGGAGAAGCTTGTAAGATGTGGGCTGGATGAGGTAACTGGTTGCTGGGTTTTTAGCTGGTTGACTGACCGAACCCAAAGTGTGCTCGCTAATAGTTCCTCCTCACCCTGGAAAAAAATGGCAAGTAAGGTGCTGCAGGGTTCTGTTGTTGCTCAACATCTTTATAAATGATTTGGATGAAGGGATTGAGGGTATGCTCGTCAAATGTGCAGATGACACCCAACTGATGCTGAAGCCAAAATCTGGATTCAAGGTGACCATAACAGATTGGAGAACTGGGCCCAAGCTAACAAAATGATTTTCAATAGCAACACATTTAAGGTTCTATTCCCTTAGGCAGGAATAACCAGCTGAACGGCACTAAGATGGGGGGGACACCCGGCTTGCCAGCAATACATGTGAAAAGTATCTAGGGGTCTTACTTATTCTGCTCTATTCTGCCTTGGTCAGACTACACTTGAAATCCTGTGTTGTTCTGGGCACCACAATTTAATAAGGGTATTGACAAGCTGGAACGTGTGCAGAGAGGGACAACCAAGCCTTATGAAGAACAGTTGAGGGAGTTAGGTATGTTTAGCCTGGAAAAGAGGAGACTGGGAGGAGATACTGATAGGCATCTTCAAATATCTAAAGGGCTGCCTCATGGAAGATGGAGCAAGCTTGTTTTCTCCTGCTCTGGAGGGTTGGACCCAAACTAATGGCTTCAAGTTACAAGGAAGTAGATTCCGACTAAGCATCAGCAAAAACTTTATGGTTTTAAGAGTTGTTGGACTTCACTGGAGGTTTTTAGCAGAGGTTGGATGGCCACCTGTCATGGATGCATTATTTGAGATTCCTGCATTTTAGGTGGTTGGACTAGATGACCCTTGGGGTCCCTTCCAACTTTATAATTCTATGATTCTAGGGGGGGGGGGGGGATATATATCACATACTGTATTCAGTTTCTCCCAAATTTGTTTTCCCCCAGAAAACGGGGAAAGATTTTTCTTCCATAGCTTAAAAGGAAATTTTATATCTTTAACCTGTTTTTAGGCATAAGGTTTTGCTGCTCACTTAGAAAAATCAACTGTAGATTACATTTTTCCAGGTATCTTTTACATGATCAATTTTTGGCAGCTTATTTCTGCCACACACACACCCTTTTTACTGTTGGATTTATCTTGACTTCTACGTGATTTTATTGCATTCTTTCACGTTGTTGAAAGCACCTTGGAGCATATTTGCAATATGTAAAATTTCAAGCACAAACTGGAAGAGCAGTTGTTACAAAGATGTCACCTATAGCCTTGTGCAGCTCCACCCACTATGGCAGGGCTTGCACAGGAGAGAGCTCTTGTGGGCCGTGCCTTTGGACCCCTTGGCAGAGGCAGGAAGATTGGGTGGTGGCAGGTGGCAGGCACCACGGTCCAATTGCTGGGGGGGGGGGCGCCTTATCAGTAAGAGGGGACCCTGCATGCTATAGCAAGGACAAGGACCCTGGCTCATTCTTCTAACTAGCTCTCATGTCCCAGCTTGCTTGTTTTGTTCAAGGGGGTGTGGGGTGAGAGAGAGAGACTTCAAGTCAACATAATCCATCTGCTAAGGCAGCCTCAAATCAGCCTTTCCAGGTCCAAAAATGGTCAGTATTGTGTGAGGAAACATCACAAGACAAAACGCCACCTAGTCTCACACAAATACAGGGAGGAGGGTAACAAGCAAGGGAAATAAATGCTCAAGAGAGGAAAATTCCCACGCCCATTTGCGTTCCACTGAAAGAATTGTCTCAACTCTCTCCCTACCCTGCCCCAATTCCCCCAAACCACTGCAGAGGACATTATGTTCGGTAAGTGCTAAGTAAGCAGTGGGGACTGAAAGAACGGATCTTGGTCCAAGATGCAAAGAAGGGGGAAGCACATGTTGGAAGGAAGACATCCATCCGCTCGGATCCATTTCTTCCTGCATAGAGGATGAGACGAAAGGAAGAAAGTAGAGGTGCTCCGATTACTACGTGCTGCAGCTAGGAGCAGGAACTGGCCTGGAGCAAATGTCAGGACGTGTGACGTGCATCGCCTCTGCGGCTGGGAATGCGGCAGGGGCAGGGTGGCTGCGTTGATGCGGACTAAAAGGAAGGGGAGAAAGTGCCAGAGAGAGAGGGAGAAAGGAACGTTCAAGTATACTGGTCAGAGAATGGTGAGCAAGTTCCCCAAGTGGGCAGAATCCGCAATTCCCAGCTGCCCAGCCCTCTGCCTCTAGGTTCTCTCCGCCTCCGTATCCTCATCTGCCTCTTGGATTGAGGGCGGCCCTCTGCCTTCTTCTCCGCGGCCTGCCCTGCTCAGCACCTCCATCCACCGCTGCCGCAGCTCTTCAGTCTCGGGGCTGAAATACCAGCACAGGTGGCTCTGGCTGATCCGGAAGGCGTGGCGTCGGTCCACCCGCTCGCCGGGTTCAGGCAGGCTCACTTCGAAACCAATCAGAGGCATCGAGCGCTGGGCCTTGACATCCTGCAGGACAGGCAGGGAGAGAGGTCAGAAGCCCACAAACGTGGCCAGGCTGTCAACTGCCTGCCTAGCGCAGCATTCTGCCTTCCCAACACCAGGCCGAAGTGTGCTTTGAAGTCAGGCAAGGGATGTTCTGCGGCTCCCATCTTTGCTGACCGCTGGGCCATGCTGGCTGGGGCTGATGGGAGCTGGAGTCCTGCAACCTCTGGAGGGCCATGCAGAATCGGAAGAATCTTTATTTGCATCAGCCACTAGCCATGGCAACAAAATAAAATGAACTGAAGATAGAGGTAAAAACCTAAGTACACAAAATACATTCTGGAGGTTTACATCAATAATCTAATAATAGTTCTTGTTCTAATTGTTATGTATTAAGATTAACTGCAGTTCTCACTCAGGGCCACCAGTATGCAAATGAAGGATTGAGAACTGTCGCTCACTGATTGGTTAGCTAGTTGGAAGTTGTTACTGTTACAAGTTACTTAGTATTATATAAAGCAGTCAGCTAGGCTGCAGTGTGTCAAGACTCCAGGAGCAGTTCTAACTGCTGTAATAAAGAGCTGTGAATCTAACAGAGCTGTGTCCTTTGTCCATCTTTCTCACTATTTAACACTAATTGCCCCTGCTAATTTTATTATTATTATTTTGCAGTTTTTGCTGTCACCTGATTACCTTGATCTGCCACGCAGGTTCTCCACCCCTGATTCAAAGGTGATTTGGGGCTTCGCCCTCTCCTTTCCCTCCAGAATAATATCTTGGGCAAGAAGCAGCATGCAGGAGAACCAAGTGCCGTTGCCATACCTGTGGGGCTCCATAGATGTACAGCACCAGGGGCTCGTTTTCGGGGATGACAAACCAGCCTTTGTGCCAGGCCTTCCCTCCTTTTTCCATGTAGTGCAAGAAGCTGCAGATCACACTGTTCTCTGCCACCACGGAAGCCTGTTTCTGCAGAGGGGCCAGAAAAGTGTCCTTGTGAGACCCACACAGTCCTAACCCCCCAACAACTGGCAGCCCATCAGCAGAGAGCATCACTTTGCAATTCCAAGAGCTGGAAATGGGATCTCTGAGAACATCCAGTCCAGCCCCCAGCCCCGAGGCAGGAATTGCACTACCATTCATTCACTTAACTTGTAAAAAACAACCACCTCTAAGTGGCTTTACAGCATCTCCCAGCTGCTCTTGTGTGTTGATCACTGAGTAACGGGACGTCAGTGGAAATTATTTTTAAAATACAGATTATTATTTTTTAAAGTCTGATGCAGGCAAAAGGCACACTCTGAGTAGCTCTGCAAATATGAAACCAGCTTAGAAATTTGCACCAGTAGGTGAACCACAGTTGACTCATTGCTACAAACTCCATTCTGTAGTAGTAGAGGAGGAGGAGGAGGAAAAGAGTATTTAAAACAATCCCATATGTGTAAGATTAAGGGCAAAGGAGGGTGAAGGTGGCGAGGGACTGTAAGGGAAGGCTGTGACCAGCGTGGGCTGGGTGAGATGCAGGAACTCAGCCTCACTCCCTTGCCCCCAGAGTGTTTTGGGGGGAGCCTGCTGCCTTGTGTGACACACCAGAGAGAAACAAAGAGGAGGAGGAGGGCGGAAAATGCTGCATGAATAATCCTGGCTCCTCAGTATGGACAGCCTGCAATTTCTGCTCCTGCACTAGGTTGGAGTGCAGTTTTATTTTGCAAGCCACTCTGAGAGCCTCTCAGGGCCGTAAAGCACTGAGCTTCAACCATATGCCATGAAAGCCTTGTGAATCTGAGAATCTGCACAAGACTTCAACTGGTGGATAAGTAGCCGGTCCTGGGATCGAAGGTGGGTCTCAACAGCAGCTCTGCCACCACCGTAAAAAGTGTGTGTTTGCGTTGAACGTGCAGTAAAGGTGGAAGACTGCTGCTCCAGAGCAAGTGACCAGTATAACTATTGGGTTGTTGTTTTTATTTTTATTATGTATTTTGTGGTTTTATAGCTTGATTTTATTCTGTGAACCACCCTGAGACCCCCGGCATAGCTGTCAACTTTTCCCTTTTCTTGCAAGGAATCCGATTTGGAATAAGGGAATTTCCCTTAAAAAAGGGAAACGTTGACAGCTATGACCCCCGGGTATAGGGCAGTATATAAATTCAAATTCAAATGATGATGATGATGATGATAAAACTAAGTAATTAGACATGTAGGATAATGAGCAGGACACAGGGAAGGACAGGGAGCTGCAAGGAAAGCCTCTCCTAGAGTTTCCATATCTTCAGCAAACTCTTTTTAAAAGAAATTAATGAACATAAGTTAGTCAAGTCCATTAACTTGAGTGGGTCGGAGTGAAAAAGGTGCTACAGTAGATTTTTCAAAAGTTGCATTATCGGCAACTTTAGCACATGCTTTTTTTGTATGGAGGAGGTCCCAGGTCAGTCCCTCACATCTCCTGAGCTAAAGCAGTTCAGACTGCAGGGCTGGAAGAAAGCTCAGCTCAAGATCTTGGAGAGATCTCCTGACACAACAGGAAGAGGGATCTGATTCAGTTGTAAGACAGCTCCATATACTCAACCAAGAGGAGTAGACACTTTAAAACAGCATGATTGCCGAAGAATCTGATCGCTGTGCTGGAAGTTAAGATGATCAGGAAGGTGAACTCTACAACCAATATTACATGATGTGGCTTTTTCACACTTCTATAACCCTGGAATTCATAGAACTGCAGTGTTGGAAGAGAGCCTGAGGGTCATCTGGTCCAAGCCCTTGCAATTCCAAGGAGGTGGAGAAATGTTAGAGGAAGCACAGATAAAACTGCCAAGACTCTGCACAAGAAGCTGCAAGGGGCAGGCTAAAGCAAGGCTAGTGTCCAATGGAAGGAAGTCAGCTAATGCTCTGTGGCCAACAGGGCTTCCCACGGCCCAGAGAGCCAATCTCACCTCCAGAATGGACCTCCGGCGCTGAGGTGTGTTGGGATGTGGGGCAGGGCTGGCGGGGGAGCCCTGTAGCGTGGCGTAGCAGTCAGTGCAGACACGGTTGGGCCGGTTGTTGTCATACACCAGGCGGGCCCGGAACTCTGAACATTTCCCACAGACAACCTGCAGCGAGTGGGCGAGAGGAGAGGAGCTGTCACTTGGCTGCAGAGCCAGTTTATGCACCCAGAGGAATGGAGGGCTAGAAAGCTTTTCCTGGACAGGAGCTTCTTGGGCTGGCCGTGGAGAGTGGCTTTTCTGAATTTAAAACAAATCCCTGCAGGATAAAAGCCATTCAGGGAAAAGAGCCTAGCCTCTTAACCTTCATCCTGGAAACATTTTTTCTTAAGTATGAGATTCCCCATGCCCCAGTTGGGAAGCAGTTAAAAAATAACACCCACAACAAGCAAACTTATGCCTGCAAAAGAACGTAACCATCTGAGTTTCCTAAATGTGTAAACTAGCCAAGACAGAGTTTTCAGGGCTCTTGGGGGAGGGAGTTGGCATACAGAGAAGAGTCATCCCCACGTGCCATCGTACCACATTAATTCTTCCCCATAAAAGAGTGGGTGTACATGTCCACCACCAACTCTGGCCATGCCCAGTGGCATGAGGAACTGCCTCATGTGGCCCTTCGGGTTTCTCTGCCTCAGACCTCTCTCCAAATGCACAGAGACCTCGTGGCTAAAACAGGAGATGAGTCAGAATAGGGAAAATACCCTACAGGGAGGCAGCTTTTTAAAAAACAGAAACAAATTCTACACTCTGGAAAAACGGGTGCAGGGGAGACACCGGCATTTAGACCAGACTATTATGGGTTGCATACCTCCCCCTCCCCTCCAAGGGGGCTGCTCTCAGTAAAAGTAGAAAGAAACAGGGGTGGCACTTGGGAGTGGGAAAGAGACGACCCCCCTGCTGAAAACCACTCACATGGCCACAGGCCCGGCAATGGTGCCTCCGCTTGGTGAGAGCATTGAAGGGCTCCTTGCACTGCATGCACAGGGTTACCTCTTTTTCCCGGATGGGCGTGGGGGCCCGTCGCCCCAGCTCACACCCCTGTGGGGGGGACAGGAAGAAAGTTAATAGGTTTGCCCCACGAAGCAGAGTCAAGTCATGCAAAATTAGAGAAAGCATGCTAGTGAACAGAAATTATACACAGTACAGAATTCTGAGTTTTTTTGTCGCAGGAATTGGGTTATCTTTGTGGTAGTTCCCCCTCCCCTCCATTATCTCTCAACTGATCCACATTCAATCACATATTAAAGCACATGGTCTCACCAAACTCTTGCAGAGAGGCACACACCAAGGTGGAACTTACAGGCGAATTGGGTGGCGTTTCATCCTCACTGACCAGCTGCTTGCATGTCTCCAGAGTCTGCTCGTGTTTCTGAATTGTTGCCTGTATCGCCTGATGGTTTTAACAAGACAGTGTTAGTGGCCGCAGATAAACAGGGAACTGGGAAGTAAAGCAGAACCCCAGCCTGCTTCAACGAGGAAAAGGACAAGATTTTAAAATGTTGTCTTATTTTATTGTTGTTAGCCACCCTGAGCCCGGCTTCGGCTGGGGAGGGCGGGATATAAATAAAAAAATATTATTATTATTATTATTATTATTATTATTATTATTATTATTATTAAGGCAAGGGCCAGCAGGCGCCCACACTTCTCTCCAATCCCAGTTTCAGTCTGGCGCATACTGGTGGGCAGCTCAGGGAGGAAACAGCTACCCAAATCTCTCACAGAGCTATTTACTGTGGGCCTCCTATTTCCCCTGTCAAGCAGGGGCTCAGGCAGTGGTGCAAAAGCACAAATCTGTCATGCCACTGGATGCATCGCAATGTGTGAGCGCGCTGTCCAGGGCCGTGGTCTGCTGCACCCTCAAATGCACACCATGTGATCCCATAGGCAAGTGGGTCTGCTGGCCCACACAGCATTATCAAGAAGGCTGACTCGGCACAGAGTCATTCTGCACCACATTATTCTTAACTGAAGAAGCCTGGTCAGCCCTGTGACCCCTAACTTTTCTGTTGGATCTATGAAAGCCATCCATACAAGCATCCCCCAAACCAGCATCAGAAGGATTTTGCAGAATGGGGAATGTAACCACATGAGATAAGGAGCCAAGTCCTCTATTTCAGAGGCAAGGAAGCTCAAAATGTTGTTGGCTTCCACCTCCCACCAGTCCCAGGCAGCATGGCCAACTGCTGATGGGAGCTGTAGTACAACAACCTCTGGAATGCCCCAGATTCCCCTTCCCTGATCTACACCCATCTTTCACAGTGATAAAAGGTATGTGAGAAAGGCCAGCAGTTACCTGGATCCAGTCTCGCTTCTCCTCTTCAGTCCTAAGGAAAAATGACAAACGTTGGAAGGCATGTTAAGGAGTTATTTTTCAGCAGACTTAGGGGAGAATACACCGATTCACTTGATCTGGGATGGTGGGCAAAGGAGGAAGGAGGTGAATGGATTCAGGGCTCTCACAGGAAGATAAGAAGCAGCAGAGGAGAGTTACTGGGATGGGCAGAGGAGAGTTACTGGGATGGGCAAAGCCGCGTCGCCAGATGAGGGACAATTTTTACAGCTTTGAGAAAGGAGAAGCTAAGTGACTGGCTTTGCTGGCTGTACCTGGCCTGAAGTTCTAGGGATCGCTGCTTCCCTGATACAAGGAAGGTCCTGGGCACATTGAGGCTGCTGGTCTCTTTCAGCTGCAGGGTAAGGAAGGAGGAGGACAGAAGGTTGTTCAAAGACACACACTTAACCTTCAATCAGCTACAGCATCAAGGGCAACTTCCCTGTGCAAACAACTAATCATATCATCACACATCGAACCCTGCTGTGAGAACTTCCCCCAGCTATCTCTAGATTCAGACACAATTTCTTGGAAAAATGGTTTCCATTCTTAAATACCGTTGACTCAGCTAATTAGAAATATAAAAGACCACTCGGATTTTCCTCAGTGTTTAAGAATACGCGTCTGTTATTTCTGGTTTTTTTCTTTTTTAATTAAGCAAATGATTGTATTGCTCTTTATTGCAGATTTACCTAGCTTCTTGCCCACCCTAGCGGTTTTAGGTTGTTTTGCATATTCTTGCTATTTGAAAGTTGATTCTAATTGATTCTAAAAGCAGCAAGGATGTTTGGTTGAGAACATAACGGGGAGAAAAATAAGAAAGAATGATTAATAAAAAAATTAAGAACTCCCATCACCACTTCAGTCAGTTCACCTATTCAGATCAAGACATAAGCACACAAGACTGTGTGGTCCAGATGACAGTCTTGACTTTTGTTCGCTGTAACCAAACACATCATGTTGCTTTAATTCCCCCTTCCTGAGTCAGGAAGATAAATTACCCCGGCCTGGAGGGCAAGTCCTGTCCTTCCCTCTACCCATCCTGTTCCATGTCCCTTGTTTCAACATGGAGCAGCTGATAAAACTCCAAGAGCTTGCTGGCCATCCAGAGACTGAGATTTGTGTGGTTCTCTTCTCCCCTTTGGGATGCGAGTGGCGCTGTGGGTTAAACCACAGAGTCTAGGACTTGCCGATCAGAAGGTCGGCGGTTCGAATCCCTGTGACGGGGTGAGCTCCTGTTGCTTGGTCCCAGCTCCTGCCAACCTAGCAGTTTGAAAGCACATCAAAGTGAAAGTAGATAAATAGGTACCGCTCCGGTAGGAAGGTAAACGGCGTTTCCGTGCGCTGCTCTGGTTCACCAGAAGCGGCTTAGTCATGCTGGCCACATGACCCGGAAGCTGTACGCCAGCTCCCTTGGCCAATAAAGCAAGATGACTGGACCTAATGGTCAGGGGTCCCTTTACCTTCTCCCCTTACTACCTTCCCCTCTCACCTCCATCCCCTCCACGTCTATGCGAGCACGGACTCCAAATTTCTGGCCTATGAGACGCAGCTTGGGCACGCAGTACAGCAACCAGTCGTTGAACTGGAGAAAGAAAATGAGTTAATGGTGACAGCATATGGTCAGAGGGCTTCTTGCTGTGCCCTCTCCTGAGATGGGTCAGGTGGAAAAGAGCAAAACCCCAAAAGCTCTTCTCACCAGGATCAGGTACCGGTCTTGTGTGGTACCGTTCTTGGCAGAAAGCTTCAGGATGTGCCCTTCCTTGATGAGCTCATTGGTGGGATTCACTATGTCTTCCTCACCTCCAAGCAGCTCGTACACCTTCAGCAACGAGTGCATCCTCTCCTGGAAAGGGGTACAGATCACTGGCAAATAACTCATATATGGCACCCAGCTCTACTTGTAAAAGTGTTGGACTTGAAGCAGGTAAACTCAGGTTCAAATCCCCAGTTGGTAATGAAATTCACCGAGTGATCATAGGGCAAGTCAGCTATCCACTCTCTCTGTTTAACCCACTTCTGTCCAAATGGCCCACAGGGGTTGAAGGGGATATGGATCCCTCCCCCAGGCTGAATAAAGTTTCTCCCGCGCACCTACTCTAACCAATTTGTGGCGACTTCCTGCTTCAGAGAAAAGAGGACCCAGGCATCCTGGCTTTCATTACCTCCAACACTTACCATTTTGCGGATGGCTGCATTGGAGTGCTCTGCTGCTGTTGCAATAAGTTCTAGGGATTCTGGCCATGAGGTGGAGAGGAAAAAAAGAAAAGGAGAGTCTAAATGGCTAGGCTGGCCTTACTCAACACAGTGCCTCCAACTGAACTGAAAGCAGAAATAATGCTTAAACATGTGTCAAAATAAATCCACGCAGGCGGGTTACCAGAATATACTGACCACTGTGATGAGGCTACAGGTTCACCATTTAGGTCAGGAATTTGCAACTGGAGAACACAAAGTGAGGTCCAGCTCGCTGAGGTGTACTGCCTGGTCTAACCAGCAGGCAACCATAGATGGACTGAGTTGGGCAGGCTGTGGCTTGGTCACCTACCTCTTATTCCAGGGGTGGGGAACATTTTTCAAATTGAGGGGGGCCAAAACTCTGCAACACACACACACATCACTCTTCACAGCTGCTCAGCCGTTTCCCAAGCAGGTGGGCAGCAAAGGGAGGGGAAGAGCTCTCCCCCTCATCCGGCTCAGCAGAGCAGCAGTGAAAAGGGGGCTGCTCCTTCAGAAACTGGCATGTCAAGGTTCTCCAGTGCTTTGAGGCAGAGGCGGCTCTCAGCGGGCGAGGGAAGTCTTTGAGGAGAGCTGCCATTTTGAGTGACAGCTGGAGAGGAAAGGTGGGAAGGGCACTGCAAGGCTTGGAAGAGAGCAGACAGCGTCAGACAGGTGCTCCGATTCTCCTCCAATGTTTGCACTGCTTTCCGCCACCTTTCAGTTACCTTTCGAAACATCAGTTCCCAAAGAGGGAAATTTAGGCCGCCGCCAAGGTGGGCTGGCTGGTCCAAAACTCTTTGTGGACCAGCTCTGGTCTTTGAGCCACCAGTTCCTCAACACTGTCTTACTCAAATTTCCAGAGAAAATATCCCACTGACTAGGGTTTTTTGATACTCTGGGAAATACTGGGGTTAGTAAATCTCTGCTAGCAAACAAGAATATGGTTTTACAGGCACTGTGTGCTGTGGCTCTCCCCACCACCACCCTTTTTCTTGTATTTTTATGCTGTTTTTATGCTATTTTTCTTGCCATGAGATCTTTGGACAAAAGGTGGTATACAAACAAACAAACAAACACACACACCCTGCAATTATTCCCGGCAGCTCTACTCACTCTGAGCATCTTTGCAATCGGGCGAGTCCTGAGGCAATTTGAGGAGATAGTCCTTCAGCAGCAGCTCGTAGCGAGGGATTCTCTGGACAGGTTCCAGCATGTGGTGCTGCAGGGTCAGGTTCCCACATATCTCTTCCCTCTGCAGAAGAGAGTGATCTCTAGAGAGCTGTCTGCCTGGCTCTCCTCCAATGGCAGCCCGCCTGCTCCCATAGGGAACTGAGACTCAGGGAACCAGAGTAAGAGTTTCCAGAGTACGGGGCAAGTCTTCGTACAGAGGCACGAGCAGCTGCTGAGACACGAGCTTCTTCCCCAACAATTCCTTCCAAACACTTCAATTTTGTTTAGATCTTAATTAGACCCCAAAGCCCCTCATTCCACATCCATGTTGAACAGCAGGGCTAGGAGGAGAGAAGGGCAACTCCCTACCCTTTTGCAAGCGATTTATTTTTCTTTCCTGTGTCGGTACTTAAAACATGCTCGATTAATAACGTTTTAAAGTGCTTTTGAACTCTTAAGAAAAATTGCTGTATAGGGAATAATACAACTGGAATGATAACTTAATTGCGCCACCTGGGTAGCTCCAATGATGAGGCTGCGTTGTTCCCCCTGCTGTTAACCTGAAGCGCTTGCTGCAATGCTAAGCTTGAGATCCCCCTGAACTAAGCTGACCTGCACTTCATGGATGATGCTCTTGAACTGCGCTGAGCGCTCCATCCAGGTGTTGACAAGCTCCATGGCACGGTCAAAGTTCTTTACATATTCGCCATACATCTTGAGGAAAGGGGCCAGTTTCTGCAGGATATCCCCGATGCGCGGGTGCTGATCCCTGGGAACAGAAGCAAAAAGTGTTAGGAAGAGGAGAAAGGTCAGAGACAGAAACTGAGCCGCCCCATTCACAGGGTGGGAAAGCATCCAGATTCTATCTGCAGGACCAACTGCAGCCAGAAACCCAGCCAGATGGGCGGGGTATAAATTATTATTATTATTATTATTATTATTATTATCTGAAGGCAGCCCTGTTTAGGGAAGTTTTTAATATTTAATGCTGTATTGTTTTTAACACTTGATTGGAAGCCACCCAGAGTGGCTGGGGAAACTTAGCCAGATGGGCGGGGTATAAATAAATTATTATTATTATTATTATTATTATTATTATTATTATTATTATACAGGGACTGGGAGTCAAGAACAAACACCCAAGCAGAGCTGAGGAATCCCAACATGAGGAGATTCATAGCTCTTAACATTCTCAAACGGGTGCAAATCAGGGACATAAGGGAGTCATGGACACTAAACTTTCTCTATTAAGTTATGCCGCGGGCTTGCATCTTTACAGTTCTATAGGTCCCTGCAAAGGGTGAAGTATTTAGAACAGGACATGGGTGGGCAACCCTCCAGATGTTGTTTGACTCCCACTCCCATCGGCCCCAACCAGCCAGGCAAAGATTGAGAGAAGGGCAGTGAAGCAGGAAGGAAAACAAGCACTATGCAGAAATTCCCAGGCTCAATCCTGGCATCTCCAGATAGGGCTTGGAAGGACTTCTGTCTAAAGCAACGCTTCTCAACCTTTTTCCGACTATGGCTCCCTTCTGACCTTGTTTCCTTCCTGTGGCCCCCCATCCTACTGGACAGCTTGGTGCGCGGAAGTGGAAGGGAGAAGAAATCAGAAGCAACGTTGCTGTGGAGTGTGCATGGAGATTCCTTCACTGGGAAGCATGGGCCACTTCTCTGTTCCCTCTGCTTCTCTGTTTTCTTTTCTGTTTTCTTTTCTCGGTCACCTCTGTTTTCTTCACTTTTCATTTCCCTTTATGGCCCTCTAGTCTCATGCCTTGCCCCCCCCCCCCATTTACACGATTTTCACATGCGGCCCCCTTGGAATATCCTGGGGGGCCCCCACTTGAGAAACACTGGTCCAGAAGATCGCAGAGAGTCACATAAACAAACCTTTGTAGGCAGTCACACCAAAATGTTAAGCCAATGAAATGTCCTCACCATTCCTCCATACGTTTCTCCAATTCTGGGAGCAGGAACTGTTGGTGGAAGCAGTAGATTGAGCAGATGTTGGCAAAAATACCCATCACCACGTCCACCGGAAAAGAGTTTCGGCTGCGTGCTTCCTCCAGCAGACGTGCGCAGAAGACCTAGGAGGTGGGAATGCAGTTCAGCAACATAGGAGAGAGTCCCATCAGGCCCAGTCACCATGGCCAGTCAACTGGAATGATGGGAATTGAAGGCCAGCAACCCTTTGGCCAACAGATACCATTCTGCCCTGTAAGAAGACTGAGAGTAAGGGAAGCAGGAAGACATCACCAGAGCCTGCACCAGTCAAGGTGTCCCCTCCCCCTGTAGGGCCAATTAGCATCATCTGCCCTGTGAAAAGGACAAAGGGTCCGCTTGTGTTTGTATTTTATCTGTTGGTGAGTGGGTGGGAGAAATGTAAAACTGTAAACCACCTTCGGTTCCTTGGCAAAAAGGTGGTATATAAATCCAAAGGGAAGGGAAGGGAAAACCCATGCTGATTCTACACCAAAATCCCTTTTCTAGTATCTGCAGCTTGGAAGAGCAGATCCACAATCCAAAGAACAGGGCTTTCCAGCAGGTTTTCCCGCTGCTGCAGTCGGGCATGGCTTGCAGCACAGATGCTATATTTCGCCTGCAAAGGCTTCAGGAGGGGAAACTGTGGACACTCAATAGCTGTTTTGATATATTCCGTTGTATTTTAGGTACCTGGTCCAGCAGATACAGGCGAGACACATAGGCCTTTTCTGTTTGGAGAAGCTCGTTGGCAATTCGGAAAACCTTTTGTGGAACTGTCATCTGTCAAGGGGAGAAATTAAAATCTCTGTGGGGAACTTAACAAAATCCAAGTTCACCCATCTGCCCTGTACTTCATGCACCCGTGAAACTGGGCATGAGATTAGCCCACTTTCCCCCTCCTCTCCAAAACACTTTCGTATCTTCTATGGCCCCCACTCCTCAGCTGCTGGCCTAGAAATGACTGTGAAATACACACTGCACTAATTCCTTGGTTCGCTTTCTCACAGCTGCTCAAGGTGGATAAGAATCCCCGCTTCTCACAGAATCGTAGAGTTGGAAGGGATCCCTGAGGGCCATCTAGTCCAACCCCCTGCAATGCAGGAATCTCAACACACAGTCTCCCATCCCATCTGACATCTGAAACCATACTGGACTCTGCTTAGCTTTGCAAATGAGCTAGCAGTGTTTTACCCAGTGGCGTAGCGTGGGGGGTGCAGGGGGGCCGGCGGCACCGGGCGCAACATCTGGGGGTTAGGGGGCGCAAATCCATGGGTTAGGGGGTGCAAATTACTTGCCTTGCCCCGGGTGCTGACAACCCACGCTACGCCACTGGTTTTACCACCCTGTGAGTGAATCTGACCAGGCAGTGAAAATATTCTGAGGAGTAAGTAGTCCCTGTTAAGTGAATTTCAGTCCATCAGAAACAATCCTACCCTCAGCACCTGAGCTGGCCTTACCAGACAAGGATACGACCCAGATCATATTCACTAACTCTTCCTGAATCACAATACAACAGTGGACAAGGCTGCTCACGCTTCCACCTCTCTAATCGCTGTGTAACCCCAACCCACCCCAGTCCAGTTATTTTCCGCCCAGTTTTGCTTCTGACCTCAGTAAAGAGCATCGTACTGTATTCAGGAAAAGGCTTGGCAGGAGCCATCAGCTGTGCGGGTGATCACACTAACACCCGGGCATGCCAGTCCAAGTCTCTCACCTCCTCTGAGTCCTGTCTTTCTGCTTGTGGGGGAGGGAGCTCCGGTAGCAGCTCAGCCTCATCCCCGCTGCCGTCGTCCATGTCACTGTCCACTTCGGAATCCCGGGTTGAGCGGCGCTTGATGACAGCAGCAGGCACGGGTGGCCCTGCTCCCTCTCCTGTGCCCTCGTCAGCCCCAAAGCAGATCTCCTCGCTGTTAGATGGGGAGCTGATGCTGTCAATGCCACTGTCCCGGTTGGCCAGCTTCCCACCATCGTGAGACGGCAAGCAGGCAGCACCACCCGCAGGCTCTGGCCCTCCCTCCAGAGCCAGGAGGTCCAGGAGTTTGTGAGCCAGCTCTGCCGATTCCAGTGAAGTCGGGCAGTCTAGCGAGGGCTCCATGGGACCTGTCTCGGGGGTCTGGAGATCTGGACTGGGGCACGGCGACGGGGCCTGCTCAACAGCCAGGATTACAGGTTCCCTGCAACAACAACAAATCAAAACACGGACAGTAAGGCTCTCTGGGAAGAAAGTGGAGGTCACTAGAGCAAGACCTGCTGCTTGTTCTAGTCTCACCTTGGAAAGGGAAGTAGAATCTAGTGCGTTGGAAGTAAGAGAAGTAGCAGCCCTTGACTAAAAATAGAGTTAAGAACTGGCACACTCCATCAGTCCAACTATCCGTCTGGCTTGGCATTCTGTCTTCTGACTAAAAGGCTAGCCAGAGGCCTTAGGAAATTAACATGTAGGACAGGATGCCATAGCTCCCTGCCGTTCATCTGGAAGCAAAGTGTTCCAGCGCACTCTTCCAGTTTGGCTGTACCGCCAAACTGGTGGCACTCCCTCACAATGGCTATGGCAGGAAGCATAACATCAGAAGGGAGCACCAGCTACATTCCCAGGGAAGCAGGGCCTTGCAAGCTACCAAAGCACCCACCTCTCAAACTTCTCAATGAGGCAGGAGACGGCAGATAATGGTCCCAATCCATCCTTAGGCAGGGGGCTGCGGCTTAAGCGGGGATCAGCAGGGAGTGGTCGCGATGGAGGTGGGGGGATGGATTCAGGGAGACGCAGTGGCTGGATACTCTGCAGATGGGCTGGTTTAGGAGGGACTGGAAAAGCAATTCAAGTTATTTTTTAAAGGCACACATAATATATGGATACTATACACAAACCCCCAGCAAAGACAACTGACAGAAGGGCTACTTCTGTGGACTGGCATCATTACCATCAGGTAACAAACAAACCCAACAGCACCCTACACCCAAGCCCATCTCCTTCTGCCACCCTTTCTCTGGAGAAAAGAGCCTGGATCCTGCCCTACCTCTGGTAGAGGAATCTGCCATACACAAATATGAACATGTCCTGCACTGGATTTTATTGCCAGCTGCTCTTGGAGCCAAACTTGACTGAAAAACAAGTCTAAATATACCCTACTATATATTTTGAAAAATTGTTTGCTTGTCTGCTTGCTTTGCACATGCTGTAACCCAATTTTGCATTGTGGTTCTTGAGTTCAAGGAGTGGGTTTTTGTCAATTGGACACCATTTTGAATCAAGATGGCGGACCAAACCTTTCAAAACTGCACCACCAATTTGGAAACTGCACTGTTTTCATTGTTCTTGTTCTTCGAATTCCCAAGCAACGCCAGGCACAAGGCTGTTAGTAATGAACAAATAAATCAGAACCTCCCTCTTCTAACAACTGCGTCTCACCCCACTTCCTCCGCAGAGCCTGATGCAGGGAATGGGAAAGCCAGGTGCTCTGCCAAAGCCAGTTTGCTCTGCTTGCAGACTTTCTTCCCGGGAATCTCCACAAAGAGCCTCGTTGTGATGGGCTCACTGGGGGGTGAAGACTCGCCTATATACCTTGTGGTTTTGGTCCTGGGGGTCGTTTGAGTGGCCGGAGTTTGGCCACTTCTCCTTCGTTGCTGTCAGGTCCTGGATCAGAGATGAGCCGCTGGGGGGCTTCTGGTGAGCGATGTTCTGGACTAGGCTCCAAGGAGAGGCTCTTGACCAGGAGCCGTGGGGGCTGAGCAGGACCTAGGAGGAAGAAAAAAACACAAGACAAGACAGTGAAACAAAGGCAACCCTGAAGTATCCACTCTGTGGGGATGAAGTGGTTAGAGTACAGTGGTACCTCGGGTTAAGTACTTAATTCGTTCCAGAGGTCCGTTCTTAATCTGAAACTGTTCTTAACCTGAAGCACCACTTTAGCTAATGGGGCCTCCTGCTGCTGCCGCACCGCCGGAGCACGATTTCTGTTCTTATCCTGAAGCAAAGTTCTTAACCTGAAGCACTATTTCTGGGTTAGCGGAGTCTGTAACCTGAAGTGTATGTAACCTGAAGCGTATGTAACCCGAGGTACCACTGTACTGGCTGATGGCCAGGGAGACCAAAATTAAAATCCTCACTCAGCCATGATTTCAGCTAGTCACTAATTCTCTGTCTAACCTACCCCACAGGGTAACAACCTACGGATAAACTGAAGCACGGGAACCATGTACATCATCTCAGGTACCTTTGAGGAAAGGTAGGATATTAAATGTGGAAAACAAATAAACAAATAGTAGCCTCAAGGTTTCCTCGAAAAGTGTTAGCCCAGGAGAGAACTAGGGCGCCTTGAACAAGGGTGGAAGCAAGGGTTGATAGCCTGGAACAGCCTTGGCTTATTACATATAATAAGCCAAGTTGTATAATGCCTAAGATAGAAGTCTCTAGGTGTTTAACTCTTTATATTGAAAGCAAAATAATGATTTCATAACCCTGATTTGCAGAACAGACCTGTGAGCCCATCATAATGACTGATATGACACTTCCTCAGAGATCAGAATTACTGTATTTTTTGCCCTATAGGACGCACTTTTTCCCCTCCAAAAATGAAGGGAAATGTGTGTGCATCCTATGGGGCGAATGCAGGCTTTCGCTGAAGCCTGGAGAGCGAGAGGGGTCGGTGCACCGACCCCTCCCGCTCTCCAGGCTTCAGGAAGCTCTGCGCAACCCTCGGGAGACCGGCTCCGATGGCCGCGCAGAGCTGCCTCCAGTCCCGGGCTCAGCGCACTTCTCCCCATCGCCAGCCCCACAAGCTCGGGGGACAGCGGGGAGGCGGAGTGCGCCTTCCCGCTGTTCCCCGACCTGGTTCTTCCAGCCCCGCACCTGGGGGGGAAATAATTTTTTTTTCTTTATTTCCCCCCCAAAAAACTAGGTGCGTCCTATGGGCCGGTGCGTCCTATGGGGCACAAAATACGGTAGTTTCCTGGCCTAGTTGCATCACATAGAAAAGCTGCAACTACTAGTTTAAACAAACACACACACACACACACACACACACACACACACACTTGTGTCTCAGTTGTGCTTCTGAACTGGTCTTTGACCGTAATAATAAATGATTACTATTGCACACATTTGTGATTAAGTGCCTTTCCATAGCAAGCTCAGAGTGACTATTAAGCAAATTTAAATCACAAAACAGTAGAAGAAAAATGCACGGCTCTACTTTTTAAGAAATAAAGTCATGCTGAAAGCAAATATGTAAGTAAAAGCTGGAATAAAATATATGCAGTCTTAGAAGCCAAAACAAGTTAAGAGATGCCAATTAAAAACTAAATTAAACAAAGAAGGCTTTTTCCCCCACAGACAATAAAGTATTTACCTTGCCTTAAAAGAGGAATGATGGGGGCTGGCAAGTCTCCCGAGTGAGATGGTTTCACAGAAGAGTTTGCCAACCACTGAGAATATCACCTCCCCCAAGCACTACTGGAAAATACTGCCCTAAAGAACACAGACAGAGTGTCATCTACCAGTCTCAGAGCTTGGGGAAGACTGTATGGTTGAAAGGGTTTCTCAACGTATCTTAGACCATGGAATTTTAAAGCTTTACTGCTAATAAACTCCAATTGATCTCAGAAACTCAATGGTAACCAGTGCAGGCAATGCTCCTTCATGCTCTGGCCTGATCCAGTTAATGCCCAGTTCGCAAGCCATGGGACTTTTTCTACCCCACCTAAGTCAGAGATGCAAGCTGATACAGATGTCAATGCCCAACACAGCAATAGCAGAGCTTATTGTGAGACAGAGCTATAGGGCCAAAAAGGTGGAAGAAGGCTGAGACTGCGGATCCCAGCCCAAAGGACCCCCCTCAATATACGTATTGGGTGTTACAAGAGCAAAACTGACCCTTTCGCAAGGTAAGGTGAATGGTCACCTCGTGGCAATTTCGGGTTCCATTAAGAGAGAGATACAGAGGTCCTAAGAATGTAAAAACGACCCTCTTGGACCAGACCAAAGGTCCATCTAGACCAACATCCTGATCTCACGGTACCAACAAGACGACTATGGGACCTCAATGCAAGAGCCCTCTCCCCACTTGGGATTCTTAGTAACTGATATACAGAGACACATTGCCTCCAACAGTGGAGGTAAAATATAGGAATCATGGCTAGTAGCCATGAATAGCTTCATCCTCCATAAATTTACTTAAAGCCATCCAACTTGGTGGCCATCATGTTATCCTGTGGGAGGCAAATTACAGACCCTCCAAGTGTCCCTATTTTCCAGGGACAGTCCAGGATTTACAGAAGCCATCCCAGTTTCTGACTTCATCCTGGAATGTCCCGCTTCTCCTTAGGAGGTCCCGATTTTCATCAGAGAGATGTTGGAGGGGATGGTGGGACGTCCCTATTTACATCGGACAAATGCTGGAGGGTGTGAATTCTATAATTTAACTGAGTGGAGATGTAATTAATTTTGTTTGTTCTGAATCTCCCAGCATTCAGCTTCATTGGGTTCTAGTAATAGGCAATATGGAGTAAAACATCTCTCCAACCACATCACACAATTTTTATACACATCTCTCATACGGTACACAGTATTCCAAGTGTGTACGCACCATATATTTGCACAACAGCATTATGATATAGGTAACATTATTTTCGGTGTGGCATAATGGTTAAGAGTGTTCGGGCTATAACCTGGAAGACCAGGGCTTGAATCCCCACTCAGCTATGAAGCTCCCTGAGTGAGCCTAACCTACTGTTGTTGTGAAGATGAAATTGGGGGGGGGGGCAGGGTGGAGAGAGAACCATGTATACCACCTTGAGTTCCTTGGAAGAAAAAAGTTGGTATATAAATGTAATAAATAAAATAAAATAAAATCCCTAACACAGAATTGCCTGTTTTCGCAGCTGGGTCAATACCTTCATCAAGCTATCCACTATAACCCCAAGGTCTCATTCCTGGTCAGTCACTGCCAGTTGAGATCCCGCGAGTATATATGTAAAATTATATTCCCACCACCATGTACACTGCTTGATATTTGCTTACGCTGAATTGCATTTGCCACTTTTTCTGTCTATTCCAGGGGCAGTGTGTCCCAATTTTCCGCTTGGGGTAAAAACAGGAAGTGCCGCCTTGCCCTGCCACCACACTGCCACTGCCAAAGTGGCCCTTACCTAGGGAGCGCAGCAGTGGTGCAAAGCTACAGAGGCAGGTTCCAGCGAGATCACTCTGGAAACCAGTGCTGAGGCCGGGGCTGCATTGATGCCACCTGTGGGGGTGGCAGGGCAGCTGCTTCACCCTGACATATGGGTGGGCCACTCCTGTCCATTCGCTTAGTCTTGAGAGATTCTCTTGCAGCTCATCACTACCCCTCTTTGCTTCAATGACCCTGAACAATTTGGTTTCATCAGCAAACTTGGCTACCTCACTGCTCACCTCTAACTCTAGATCATGGGTAGGCAAAGGCCCGGGGGCCAGATCCGGCCCAATTGCCTTCTAAATCCGGCCCACGGACGGTCCGGGAATCAGTGTGTTTTTACATACGTAGAATGTTTCCTTTTATTTAAAATGCATCTCTGGGTTATTTGTGGCGCATAGGTATTCGTTCATTCCCCCCCAAAAAATATAGTCCGGCCCCCCACAAGGTCTGAGGGACAGTGGACCGGCCCCCTGCTGAAAAAGTTTTTTTTTTATATATATAATATTTATTGGTTTTACAAAAATTCCAAAGCATACAAAAATACAAAAATTCCACAGACAAAAAACAACAATAACAGTAACAAAAAGAAAACAAAAATAACAATATCCATAACAAAGAAAGAAAAAAGAGAGAGAAAAAAAGAAACAGAAAAGTTTAAAAATTTATACTTTCATTTAACCTTCTTATCTTTCCTTAGTTCTTTGACTCCCCGCACCTCCCCACTTGTATTTCCATTTAGAAACTCCTTTCAGCAAATCCTTACCCTCCTTCCTTTATGTTAACTCAAAAAACTTAATCTATTTATAAATAAATATTTTTACAACCTTATCAATCAAATATTCCATGCTCTTAAACTTATTTTGCCAATACCAGTAGTTTTCAATCAGACCTCAATTTAACATTCATTAATTTTATAGTATTTCTGTAGATAGTCTTTAAATTTCTTCCAGTCTTCTTCCACCGACTCTTCTCCCTGGTCACGGATTCTGCCAGTCATTTCCGCCAATTCCATATAATCGATTACCTTCATCTGCCATTCTTCCAGAGTGGGTAAGTCTTGTGTCTTCCAATACTTTGCGATAAGTATCCTTGCTGCTGCTGTTGCATACATAAAGAAAGTTCTATCTTTCTTTGGCACCAATTGGCCAACAATGCCCAGGAGAAAGGCCTCTGGTTTCTTTAAGAAGGTGTACTTAAATACCTTTTTCAACTCATTATATATCCTTTCCCAGAAGGCCTTAATCTTTGGGCACGTCCACCAAAGGTGAAAGAATGTACCTTCAGTTTCATTACATTTCCAACATTTATTATCGGGCAAATGGTAGATTTTTGCAAGCTTGACTGGGGTCATGTACCACCTGTACACCATTTTCATTATATTCTCTTTTAAAGCATTACATGCTGTAAACTTCGTACCTGTGGTCCATAGCCGTTCCCAGTCTGCAAACATAATGTTGTGTCCAACATCCTGTGCCCATTTAATCATAGCAGATTTTACCGTTTCATCCTGAGTATTCCATTTTAGCAGCAAGTTATACATTCTTGATAGTGTTTTAGTTTTGGGATCTAGCAGTTCTGTTTCCAACTTTGATTTTTCCACCTGGAAGCCAATTTTTCTATCCAAATTATAGACCTCTCTTATTTGATAATAATGCAACCAGTCACGCACTCTATCTTTTAGTTTTTCAAAACTCTGCAATTTGAATTTATCTCCTTCTTGTTCCAAGATCTCCCAATATTTTGGCCACTTGGCCTCCATATTGGACTTTTTCAGGGCCTTTGCCTCCATTGGTGATAGCCACCTTGGGGTTTTATTCTCCAATAAGTCTTTATATCTTATCCAGACATTGAACAGTGCTTTCCTGACAATATGGTTTTTAAATATTTTGTGAGCTTTAACCTTGTCATACCACAAATATGCATGCCACCCAAACACATTATTGAAACCTTCTAAGTCCAAAACATCAGTATTTTCCAGAAGTAACCAATCCTTCAACCAGCAGAAAGCTGCTGATTCATAATAAAGTTTAAAGTCTGGCAGGGCAAATCCCCCTCTTTCTTTAGCATCAGTCAATATTTTAAATTTTATCCTTTGCTGACCCCTGCTCTAGACCATCAATGAACATATTTTAAAGTGGCAGTCCCAATTCCCTTCCTCAGGGCACTCCACTTTCTACATCCCTCCACTGGGACTCTATTTCTTCTCTATGCTTCCTGTTTCTTAACCCGTTCCTGATCCTTGAGAGGCCCTCTCCTATTAGTCCATGACTGCCAAGCTTACTCAGGAGTGGCTTTGATGAGAGACTTTATCTTAAAAACAATAATAAAGAGTTCAGGTACACAATGTACCAATGGAGGACAATCCAGAAGGAGGTTCCTAGGCACAAGGCTCATTGAAATTTGGATTCTCTGTCTCAAGCTCCAAAATGTCTTGATCCAACCCTGGTAAGGAGAAACAGTTCCTACCTACCAGTACTTCTCTCACAGAATAGTATACACACCATCATTTCCAATGATTCTGAGAGGTGCACCTTTTACCTGCTAGAATTGCTATCCTCGGCTCTGAAATCTTTTTATTAGAGAACGTTTGATAACAAATCAATTCACAGACAATAAGCAGTATATATCCTTTCCATTGGAATCCTGTCTGCATAGACTCCCTTCCTTTCTTTTCATGCCTGGCTGAGTATAAGGCTAATGACAAGCTAACAGAAGTTTTTATCACAGGAAACTCTCACCATGAGGTGGGATATGTTTGTAATTTCTCATATTTATCTTCTTTTGAGCTAACCTTCTGAGTGTGGTAAAACAATGAAAAGAAACGGACCATGTTTATTTTGCATCGAAGGGCTGTCTAAAGGCATCTCAAGGCAAAGCTAGGCATTATATCAATTTTTGTTATGTAAAATGGCAGCTATGGCAAAGCCTGCATAGCCTCAGGGGGTGGTAAGAGGAAGTTTCTGTCTCTCTGTCTGTCTGTCTCCCACTTCTGTGATCCCACCAAAACTCCCTGAAGCTGATATTTCATTTCAAGTGGCTTTCTGCATTTCACTTGAAATGCAAACAGCACAGATTTTATCTGAACCATGAAAGGGGGGCGGGAGAGAGATAGGGTGTCAAACTGCCTCTCCCCCACCTCCATGGTCCTGTGGCTGCTCAGGTTTCCCTACAAACACACCCCAAAACACACTTTAACATGCAATTCACACCACATCTTATTAGGCCCTCAATTTCACTGCAAGGAGCATGCTCACAGGAACACATAAGGAATAATTACCAGGAGAATGTCACCTTGTAACATGAGCTACATGTTAAGACCAGAAAATGATGATGATGATGCAAACATGGCTGTCTAAACAACAACATCAACAACAATGCCAGGGTGGAGTGTGTTTGTGTGAATCTAGATCAGAGCAGTGGCATGGTTAGGATGGGAGCTTTCGTGCTGTGTCCGCATCATGGTCCTATCAGAACTGGGCCTCCTGCACCTGCTATTTGCAGTGGGGAAAAGTCCCCCTTGGTGCCAATGGGCGCTTTCCTCCCACTGCAAATGATGAGGGACCAGGTTTTATTATCTCTTTATTAAATTTGTATGTTCCCCTTCATCTAAAGATCGTAAGGTGGTTCTGATCGAGATCAAAATAGGGGGGAAAGGATTAAAGCCAACACCCCCACCATGACCTCAGTCTGGCTCCACACAAATCATTTACTTATTTTAAAAGTCACACAAGGGCTGAAGACATGAATAACATCATAACTAGTTTGGTTCCAAGCTGTTGGTAATATTCCAAATCCTTCACTTAACCGAGTTGGAAGCCGAGAGATGCAATTCCACCTAGATGTCTTGCCAGGGCTTGTCCCAGGGAGAAGTTCCCAACAGGATTTTAAATAGATCATCTCAGTGTTTCTTCTCCGTGCAGCCTACCTTAGAAAACTAGGAAAGTCACTGGAAATTAAGCTCTCAAAAAAGTTAAGAAATTGCACCTCTGGGCACCCTCCCCGTTCTATATAATCTTCTGTAGGGTTTTGAAATATACAGAGGAGAAACAACCTCAACTTCAACTTGTCCCCTCCAAGCCCCAGAGGCTACGTAAGGGAAGGATTTCTAGGCAACACTTCCATGACTCAAATACACCAGCTACTCCAAGAGCAAGGAACTGCTTTCTTCTATTTAGGAAGATCTGAATAACGTTGTGGGAGAACCCCTGGTCAAAATGAGAAGCAGAAATTATGGAGTAGGGGCTAGGAACAGAAGAAGATGGTCTCCATGTTGGCACTCTGTGGCTTAAGTCACTGTCCTAGAAGACTTAATGGACACACCAATCAAAATGCCAAACTTCGGAAACTTTATTGCCTCTTAAGCAAAAGCAAAACAGCAACAGGAAATGCTTGATGCCACCCAGATATAAGTAAGCCCAGTGCCCTCTTGCGACATTCACTGGGGTGGAAGAGAAGGGTGGAGAAAGAAGCTTGTCAAGAGAGATAAAGGTTAGTTTTCCCATTTGTCCACTACCATTTATTAGTTTTTCAGGACTACACTGAAAGCCTGTGAAGGCACACAAAAGGCTTCGGATGGATTCAGATGAACTTTTTGCCACACATCTGTACCAGGTGTGCAGTTTTTTTAAAAAAATCCATGCCACTTGACAGGATGATACAGGCAACCATTTTCCACATGGCTACTGACACAGTGTGGTGCATTTATCATGGATAATGTTCACTTCTATCCACCTGGTGTGTGTTTAGTCACACAATTCTGGGCAGAAGAAAACGTTCATATACATGCGTACAGACGCTGGCTCAGCCAAAATGGATTTGGAATTGGCAGTGTGGCTTCTCAACTAGAACACACAAACATGTACAGGCATATAGCAGAAAGAGAAGAGAGCAAAAAATATTAGGTTGTATCCAATTAAACTATACCAAGAACAGACTCACTGAAATTAATAGATCTAAGATAGTAATGTCCATTAACTTAAGTGGGTTTACTCTGATTACGGCTAACGTCAGATACAACCCATTTATATGTATATGGATTTAAAGGTGGTTATTTAAAAAGCAGCTGGCACAGATTTGTGAAAGATAGATCCTATTAACCCACAATAGCTGTACACCTCTGCTGGAAGGCAATGGGTGGGGATCTGGTCCCACACAGCAATTCATCTAAGCCATCTTCATCTAAGTCAGCAAACTTTTCCAGCAAGAGGCCAGACCACTGTCCCTCAGACCTTGTGGGGGGCCGGACTATTTTTTTTTTTAATGAATGAATTCCTATGACCCACAAATAACCCAGAAATGCATTTTAAATAAAAGGGCACATTCTACTCATGTAAAAACACACTGATTCCCAGACCGTCTGCAGGCCAGACTGAGAAGGCAATTGGCCGGATCCAGCCCCCGGGCCTTAGTTTGCCTACCCATGATCTAAGCAACACAAAAGCAACCTGACATCACTCGGCACATGAGACCCAACTGCTGCTCCTAAATCCTGTCTCCTCCCTCTTCTGCCCTAAGATAATAAAAAAAGCTCCACCGGAAGACTTTGCAGATTATATTCCCTACCCAAAAGGTATAGCTTCAGGTCAAAAATTAAAACAGGTGGTTATGAAATGGAACATAGTCCATCACTTTATGCCTAGGAATTCTTGGGAGACAAGTGACCCACCCTGATGACTAAAGAGGAAAAGGCCTGTGTGTCTGGCAGGATAGTTAAACATACTGTACACCGGAGGCTACTGAACAGATTAAAATGAAACAACCAAAACCCAAAGCCAAGTAATGAAACACAGTTACAATTATAAAATAAATTACTTTTAAGTACAATCATCCCACTGCCTCTAGCCAGAAATCTGCAGTGTTGGGAATAGGTTTGCTTCTCACTGAGGAACTGAGGCAGAATACTGTCTACGTGTTTTTCCTGATATCGCCATATCTAAATGAGCTAAAGAAGATAATGACTATGACTATGACTTCTTCCGCTCCTCCTCTTTTAAATAAAAGTTAACCATTCAATGAAGGAACTCAGAGCTCATATCCATGAAAGAGTTGTCCCCTCCTCCAATGACTTAGCAAGTATTAACAGAATATTTAATACAAAATGAGTCATGTCAAATTACGAGCTATGTTCCAACGAGTCGATTAAAGCAAATTAAAGAGACAGTTCTGAAACACCTAAAGGAAACCTTTATGCTTACTTGGTTGCTTGTGTTAATGCAATAAAATTTCTTTTTTTTAATGGTGTAACTGACTTGGTAGTTAAGACAAGAGATGTATTATATTGGTGGATATGGGAGGGGCACTCCTGTTTATTTTTTATTTTTATTTTAACACAGCAAGTTGTTTGACATGGTCCCGCATAATATCTTATATATAAACTAGGGAGAGCGAACACAGAATGAGTTCACTATTGGCTGGAAAACTGCAACCCTAGAGCAATTATGAATGAAGCTCTTGGCTCTCAAATTGTTCAGCATTTTTTAAAATAGCAGGGATGGTATCCATGCTATTATCACAGAAATGACACAACTATGGAAAATAGGACTGGAATGAAAAGCGGTCCTTTAAAAATTGAAGAACTGGGCCAAATATATACACACATGATTAAAGCAGAGATAAAAATGTAAAGTACCAGTTCAAAACTGTGGTTTTTTTCAGATCTCGAAAATGGAGCTCAACCTTTTAGACGGGAGGGAAGGCCTGGCAGTATGTATTGCTTCAAGAAGGATCTCTCAGACTTTGATATGCTCCTAGTCTAGTGTCCTGATTGTCTTAGAAATCCTTCAAGAGCAGACCTGCCCCATGCCCATTTGTGGTTTGCAGCTAGCAACCTTGCATCTCCCTGCCTGCCTACCCCCACCCCACCCAAATGCCTCTATACCTATTCTTCCTTGCCTGTAGTCTGGGAATTACATCCTTGGGCACTTTGACACAGGTTCACCCAAAGAAAATATTCACCAGCAGCTCCATGATGTTGCAAAATAGATGAACAATTCCAGTATTGCAAGCCTAACTGGACTAGATAACCAAGACCCATTACTGGATTTTCCATCTCTACATCAGGAGTGGGGAACCCATGGCTCTCCAGATATGGCTAGACTACAACTCCCATAATCCTGAGTACTACTGGCCTTGCTGACTGAAGCCAATGAGAGTTGGAATCCAGTAACATACGGAGGGTTCCTGCTTTACATGTTAGCAAAAGGCAGTTGAGAATGTGGGGATTCAAACTGGGACTGTGGTGCAGGTGTATGGTTGTGAATGCTTTTCCTCAGTACTGTTTTTCAGATTAAAATGCTTCCCACCCATCCGCAGCTGGAAACTTACATATCCAGCCTGGCCTAGATCAAAAAAACATATTAAGCAAGCAAGGAGCCCAGTTACACAATGAAGACTCAATGCTTCTTCCAAGGGGACACAGCAACATCTCCCTACAGCCTGAGATCTTAAGTTAAACATATTCAAAATTCCTGCAGCTTATGAAACTTTTCCTAGACTGTAACACTTCAGCCTGTATGATTAAATTTATTGCAAATAATTAAAAACACTCCCTGTATGTAGAAAACCAGCCTGTCAGGAAGTCTAACCAGAGCCATTCTCACTGACATATTAGTTTTCTATGTGAAGGGATGGAACGTTTCACTCACAAACAGTCAAGAGATACGTTTTCCGCCTCTTCAAGCAAGGCAGAACAACACCCATCCGGTGGTGTCCTAGAACCCACTTGGGCAATCCAGTTCTCCCTTCCTTTCCTTGCATGCTCTTGAAGTAGCACCCACCCAAGAAAAGCTTTACCATTTGATTTGGTGGGTTGCTGAAACTGGCCTCAAGATCTCCCTCAGAAACCTCCTTAAAGTCTCAAGTCTCCACAGTAAAGCTTAAGAAGGAAAATTGCAACCAGTGACTAATATACTGTTTAAGAAGGTCTTGTCGTCCCTGTCAATTCTGCGGTGGTAACTTGACTGAAGGGCATCAGGATGGAAGCACGGGAACCTAGAACACTACTTGATCTCTCGGCTGTGAGATACCACCCCTAAATTCTGTACACCTTCAGGACAAGTATAGAATTGGCGCTTTGAGATAAAGGAATTAAAGCAGGCTTCCTCAAACTCGTCCCTCCAGATGTTTTTGGCCTACAACTCCCATGATCCCTAGCTAGCAGGACCACTGGTCAGGGATGATGGGAATTGTAGTCTCAAAACATCTGGCGGGCCGAGTTTGAGGAAGTCTGAACTAAAAGCATGAACACCCTACACAAGAATAGAAGGCCCATTTCCTTATCCTGCCCATGCATTCTGCAGATAGTTGCTTATACTGTACAGGACAAGATTAGTCATGCCTTCTATGGTAAATGGTTACCAAAGAAAGTTTCTGTTTACATAGAGAAGAACCTCCTCTATTGAGTAAAATGGAGTTGGCACTAACATGCAAACTTTAGGCAGGTTAGGCCGCAGTCGAAGCACCACTGACTCACACTGTGGGGCATCACGTTTTAAGGAACCAGATCACACCACAGCAACAAAGACGGCAAAATGATTTAGATGGCAGACTTGTAAGGACGGGAACTGGGACCAAAGGTCAAGCAAATTAAAGAAGAGCAAGATCTACGTAGGGATAGCAGTCCTCAACTATGTTTAAAGCCTCTGACATTTTTTTAAAAAAGATAAGAGGATAATCCTTCCATACAGAGGGAAGGAAGTGGGGGTAGATTTTTTTAAAAGACACTTTGAGATAGAGTGAAGATAGCTATTCAGACAATCTTAACTGTTAGCATAGACCTAGGCCCTGAAAAGGGGGGGAGGGGGGTCTTTAAAACCACATTCCTTTGAAGGAAAAGAAATAAATAACCACGTGTACTTGGCTGTAGGCAGCCCAAGAGCAGAAGGCGAAAGTCTGTCAGGAGAACCAAAGCCAGGCCAGAATGGTACAGGGCCGGGAGCAGCCTTCGCCAACTTGGTGCCCTTCAGAGGCATCAGTTTGGGGGAAGGTCTTCATCAAGGAAGCACAGGAAGTTCATGCAGAAGCAGATCTGAGGATTAGCAAAAAGCCCAAACTGAGAAATCTCCCACCTGGGACAAGAGAAGACCAGTATCAGAAGCTCCACCAGCACATGGCACATTTTGAGACTGACCTGGGTCCAACTCATGTTTGAGTGGGGATTTGAACTCTGATCTCCCAGGTCCTAGTCTGATACTCTAACCACTACACCACACTGGCTTCCTAGAGTACTTCTGCTATAGGGCAGTGGCATAAAATAAAGTAGGTAAATAAATATGGGGAAAGCCAAATGTCCCTTAGAGACGGATCTGAAATATTTTCCTTGGAACTTTAATTTGTTTCATTCTGAATTGTTTTATCTGATGTTTTAACATGTTGTATACTGCTTTGATATTTTTTCCTTTAAAATATAAAGTGATATAGAAATAAAAATTATTATCATTAATAATGATGATGATGATAGTTGCCACAACAGAATGTCTAGGCACCATTTTTATGGGAGACAACAACAATAACCCCCATAAAAAATGGCACCTAGACATTCTGTTGTGGTGACCATAACCAAGGTTTAGGGTTCTATTTGGCGATTAGCTTATATATGTGAGTTTCTAATACAGTCAAACCTTGGTTCCTGAACGGCTCCATTTTGGAACATTTCAGCTCCTGAACGCCAAAAACCCGGAAGTAAATGCTCCAGTTTTCAAACTTTTTTTGGAAGCTGAACGTCCGATGCAGCTTCCGCTGGAGTGCTAGAAGCTCCTGCAAGCAAACTGAAGCCGCGCCTCGGTTGTCGAACATTTCAGAAGCTGAATGGGCTTCCGGAACGGATTACGTTCGACAACCAAGGTTTGACTGTACTGGGGAAGACCCAAACCAGACGGCTGGCAGATGGGTCAGGAGACTGGGAGACTGCAAGAGTGTGAGGCAAACTGGGAAATTAGAGGACAAGCAAGGAGAGCTATCTAGACAGGAGTGCGGAGCAAGGAAGTAACATAGAAAAGTCCAAAGTCTGGAACGTTGCCCAGGCAAATATGCATATTCCGCCTAAAAGCATTTCTAGCCAGGTCAGGCTTGAAGGAACAAATGGGCCTGTCTAGGAAGAAATTGTAAAGCTGCTTGGGGGTTCCTGAAAACAGTTCTGTACCTTCCTCCTCTGCTTGACTAGTTTTCAACAGGTGGAGAGAGACCCACAAGTAGATCACACCTCAGCCTACAATTATACTCTTTAAGATATTTTGAGAGAAAGAGAGAGCAGTTTATCTCACTCACAATGTGTGTGTGTGTGTGTGTGTGTGTGTGTGTGTTAACATGGATTCCACAACTGGTCGAGGCCTTTGGGCACTTAGCAAGTGATGATCAGACCAATTCAGAAAAAAAGGTTGGCTGTACTTAAGACCCACTGAAATAAAATAGATTTAAATCAGCCGCAGCTCATTTATTCCTTTAGATTTCAATGGCACTCCCGAGGATGAATAGCTTTCTCTGAACTGGAACTTCAGTTCTGTTTACTTATCTAAAATAACAGACATTTGACTAGCAAGGAGCTGCACATTTTTGTAATGGTCCAGGACCCCATAATCTCTCCTCAAATTAGTGGTTTTTCTATTTCACGAAGTTATGAACTTCTAATTGCCAGGAAACAGGAAATGATCTAAAATAAAGCTATAACCTATTCTCTCTCTTACTAATTCTGGGTGACCAACTGACAAGAGTTGATACTGAACTATCAAACTGATAGTAGCCTCAGTGCAATGAAAGCAATCTCAGCAGGAGGGTGAAGGTTCTGTTTTCTCCATTATCAACAAGCACACACACATATACCCACAAAATGGGGAGAAAGAACTAGGTCCAGCAACTTCCAAGCGGGCCTGGCCTGGGACATTTTGGTGCCCGAGACAGAAAACAGAAATGGCAGCAGCTTCTTTGGGGCACAATCCACTCGGACCGTCTCTTGCACAAGATCCACTGAAATGTGTGGAAACTTTTGCCCAGCTACTACTGATTTCAATAGAGCTTCCATGGAATTCCCGGGTGGATTATGCCCAAGGACCAGAACTTTCCGGCGCTACTGTTCTTAACTATAGGCAAAGCCTGTTGCTTGAGGAAGCAGCCCCTGCATCTAAGATCTTCTCTCCCCCACTAGTATTATCCCCAGAAGAAAAGGCTGAAGCCTACAAACTTGGGTTTCACTCACCCCTGTGGAAGGGAAGCCCGTGCAAACACTTCCTTGCTTTCCAGGTCCCTCTGAAGCTCCTAAGAACCCGCGGAAGAAGTCAAAATTCCTCCTGCTGCCTCTATTCCTAGCAACGGCCAGTCCAAACAGTTTCAAACAGCACTGCCCAAACAGGAACCTACCTGCCTCTTTAAGGTGGCGAAATCTAGAAGTGGAACACTGGCTATGGAGCAATTTGTGTGTGTGGCTGGGGAAAGCAGGAGGGGGAATCTAGTTGTGAGCTAGATCAGAGTCCGAAATTATGTCTAGGTCAGTGAGGAATGAGGGGAACATCTGAGTGCAAAGAACTGCACACCTGGAACAATAGTTGTCGGCTTATCCCAAATGTTGGTGTTTGTATAGTTCCCACGGGAGGCGGGGGAGAATAACATGGATTAGATTGTATATTTTATTAGGAGAACCAGTATTTTTTTAAAAAAATGGTTCACACAAGTTTAGAATTTTACAAGTCTGTCCACCAAACTGGTTTAATGATCATTATGTGTGACAAAGTGTTTGGTGAAGCCCAGAAGTTCACACACCATCATTAAACTGAGGGTACTAAACTGATAGAAGGCATACAAATATTTAAAATGAATGCACAGGTCTGGGGTGTGTGTGTTCAAATAAATAGATGTTACTACTTCAGGCTAATCATTATGATTCCGTTCCTCTGTTCCTCAGGCTGTAAACTAGGAGTAGCCACTGCTCTGTTCCTTGTGATGTCTACTCGAAGGCAGCGCATGACATGATATAGCCTCACCACGTAGCCACACCGTGCGCTTCCTGCCATGACAGTTAATGATGCGAGGTGAAGTTGGGGTAATGCACAGCACCATGCGATCACATCATGGATCTTATTCAATGGCACATTACAAGGAACAGCTGTGGAGCAGAACCCCTCTGTCCTTTTGCACTATTAAATGTTCATGTCTATTCTTTGTTCAGACAGATAACTCTTTTGCAAAGAGTTATTAAAACTTCTAGTGCCAGGCACAACAGGATACACCAGTGCAACATGTGGGAGAGAGAAGACCCTGAATCAATACAGCACTTGGGATCTAACGCAGTTGGAACCTCAGTCTGTCTTGTGTAATTCACTTTCTCTTAGGGCTGAACTATGCGCAATGGTGGCACAACCAGGTGCTAGAACAGGGACAGCCAATGTGGAGCCCATCATCCCCAACCACAGGTCATGCTGGCTGGGGGGTGGGAGTTGGAGCTGAAAAACAACATCCAGAGAGGGGGCTCCCGGGTGACTGCCCCTGTGCTAGAAGATTGGCCATGCTGAATTCATAGAAAGCAAAGCAGGAAATTTACAGTGCACAGGCAGCAAGCAGGTGTTGAAACTTTCCCTCACCTGACATTTCCCTCTCCTCCCTATCCCCCACTCACCCAGGGGGCTTTAGTTCCAGTTTCAGAGCCCCACTGAAAGGAAAAATAGCTGAGGGACGAGGCTGTGTGAGAAAAGCAGTTCCCCAGCTTAAATCCCAGCACATTTTAGATGACTTCAACAGCAACCCATATTCTAACGCATGAGTTTATGGCCATCAGATGCAGTTAGTCCACCATCTATAAAATGGAGGCAACTATTCTCTGCTTCAGAAAACTATTGTGAAGGTGGAACAAAGCACTGTAAAGCATTTTACACATTAGAAATGATATGTCCATGGATATATAACTCCTCTGAAAATCTTTAATAAGGGGACCTATTAAAGCAATTTTCTTGGGACTATCACAGTTGTCACCCACAGATCGGAAAACCATCATCTCCGTAATGCCCTTTAACAGGTTTCCTTCAGCATATAACAAACCCTCTCAAGTTCAGGCTTTCCTCACACAGTATGATCAGTCCCTCCCCTGCGCTGGAGCCATTTCCAGCCATTAATGGACCAATCGCTGCAGAATCTAGCTAAACGAAAATGCAGCACTTTTTAGCAACCCATGGGAAAGAGTTCCAGTGTTTAACGGCACCTGACATGATTCTAAATGCACCCCCCTTTCACGTGTGCTTTGCCCTTCCACGCAATCTGTAGCTGTACGCACAGATAATAGAGTTTACAGGCAAAACGGAGCCTTCCACCTTAACCCGGCCAGTGACCTCACCTGTAGGGCTCAGCCCTGCTAGCTCTGACTCGCCTGCTGCACTTCCGGAGCCTGCCTACCTGCCGCACCCGAGTCAGGAGTGAGCCTCCAGGCTGCTCCATGTACCTTCTGGGAGGGGCAGGGTGCCATTTGAGCCCAGGTTGAGTAGGGCTTAGCCTCAGCTGCAGAGTTCACTGACTTCTGGAGCAGCCCAAGGTGAGTGCCTTGCGCTGGCAGCTGAGTAACTACACTCTGCTCCACGCACCCAGGAAGGTTTCCAAGAAGAAAACAGGTATTCTAAGCAGGCTTTAGCCTTTATCCCCAACTGACGCTTAAATCCATCTAACTCAGTGGTGTCCAAACTTTTTTCAAAGACGGACAGATTTGATGAAGTGAAGGGCTGTGAGGGCCGACCAAAGGGCCAACCAAAGTTGTTGACCTTTTTTTGTTGTTCAGTTTTTTTTAGGATTTTACCCCCAGGAAATAAACTGCTAAGGGGGCCAGATTAAACCGACCGGCGGGCTAGATTAGGCCCCCAAAACAGACTTTGGACATACCTGATCTAACTGCATTACTCTAAGTCATCCTAAGCCAATCCTTTGTTACCCACAACTCTCCCTTTGTTCTCTCTTCCACTTTCAAAATTTAGGATGTAAGCTCCTTGGGGACAGAGACCTTCCATTCCTCTCTATGTAAAGTGACATGGGCACTGACCGGGCTATATGATAATGAAAGTTAAGAACTGTTAGCAGGGAGCGGAGGGAAGGAGAAAGTCGCCATGTTCTTTCCACACAAATCTGAGCTCTGGCGATGTGGGGCAGCTGGTCAAAAGCCAAATGGCAAACCCACGCCCCTTCCTACTCTCCCCTTGCCCCATGGAAAGAGAAAACCCATCAAGCTCTCTATTCCCCAGGGGGTTACCTGTTCCACAAATGTGCTGACGCCATCTGCACTGTGGAGTGAAAGGAACAGATGGCACAGGGGTCCCTTCTGCATCAGGGTCCCGACCCCCACCAACCCCCCCACTGCTATTCCTGCCAGAGGCTCTGCTTGCAGGTCCCACAGGGCTTTAAAGATCCTCCCCCTCCCCAAAACTCACAGCCCACCCCTGTAATGCAAGCCAGGCTGGGTCAAATGGATTAATGAGTCTCAAAGCAGGGATTAGACACTGATATGGATAAGGCAAAGGTGGGGACTGAGATATGGAGGTGGGGGTGTCAAGAGAACCCAGAAGCCTGCACAGAGGGAGGGGGGTCACAGGGGGTTGCGAGGAAAATCCCTGACCACTTATGTACGAAAGTGCTTGGGACACAATTAAAGCTCCGTTTTCCATTAACAAAACTGGAGGCTGGAAGGGCTTTTAAAAACCATTAAGCCTGTGTGTGTGTGTGTGTGTGTGTGTGTGTGTAAGAAACCCTTTTGTAGTATCTTTAACGTTTCCCATGGAGAGATGGACTTGACAGAGAAGTGCCATTCCCAGCCTCTCTAGGGCTGCGAAGGCTTTGAGGCTTTTCAGAAGCAGACAGCCTCGCTGCCAATCCAAGGCCACTTGTGTCTGGCAGTATTTGTGTCAAATCTGTCCAGGAGTCACCTACATAAGGCTGTCACCTGCGGGGGGTGGGGGAGAGGAAAAGAGCGAAAGCCTGCCACACAAAGGATTCTGGGTAAAATAAAAATGCAAATCGCAGCCTTTGCTGGCGAAAGCAGGTTCCCAGCGCCGCCGCCCCCCCTTGACGAATTAATCCCTTCCTACAAATTGCAGCAATCACAGTGGGGGGATAAAACAGCTCCAAGTCTACCTTTATATGCACACAGATGCACACACACATAGCAGTGCTCCTTAGTGGGAGTATTTGAAGAAACCTGTGAAGAGAACATCCTTTGCAGTCTCTCATACTGTTCTTCCTGGCTTTCACTCTGGCATTCTCAGGGTCAATTAACTTTGTGCCCCACTGTTTCCGTCAGTGGGGTGGCACCATAATGCACACCCTCCGTCTTTCTGCCAGCCAGACTTTCTGCCAGGGGCAGGAAGCAAATGCGCTACAGACCTGACTTAAAACAGTTAAGGCAGAGCACAGTCATGGGTTGAGGTGTGTGGGATTTGGGGCCTGCAGTGTTGGCAGGAAGATGAAGGAGGGGCTACGGCTAGACAGGAACAAGGATTGTGGGAATAGCAGGGGTCAGCAACCTTTTTCAGCCGTGGGCTGGTCTACCATCCCTCAGATCATGTGGGGGGCCGGACTATTTTTTTTTTGGGGGGGGGGGGAATGAACGAATTCCTATGCCCCACAAATAACCCAGAGATGCATGTTAAATAAAAGCACACATTCTACTCATGTAAAAACACACTGATTTCTGGACTGTCCACGGGCCAGATTGCGAAGGCGATTGGGCCACATGTTCAACCTTCAGTTCTGATTTCAGTACCAGTACCGGGAGATTTGTTAGTACTGTAATAATAAAGGAAGCTTAGCTGCTTTGCCCTTGTCACAGAGTGACTAGCACCTGTCCCCAAACTCTTAGGATTAAGGAAAACTGGTTCAAATCAGGTTTGACCCTCATAGCCCCCTTTTCCCTGCAGAAATTAAGCACTGAGAGATATATGCATTTTATTTACGAAGGGACTCCTTGACTCACACGCCCTTTCTGTTCTCTCTGATTCACCACTTGCATAAAGCCGTGCCTTCATCCTCCGGGAGGGAACGTAATCAACACACCGTCGCTAACATGGATTAGAACTCCTACACACCATCCATAAGCCTGCAATAAAACGGGGTGGGGGTCCACTACAGAACCTTCCAGAAAGCAAGTATAAGAGGAGAAGTTTGGAGGGCAATGTTGCCATCAGGGCAAAGTGCGTCTAGGGTCCCACCCAGCAGGATGCGCAGGAAGGCTCCCAACTGCAGCAAGACTGCGTCTCCATGGCTGTGTGCGCAGCACACATTTCACACACGTTTCTTACCACCACCAAGAACCCTGGGAACTGTAGTTTATTGAGGGTGTTAGGATTTCTAGCTCTGTGAGGAATTAACTACCATTCCCAGGATTCTTTGAGGGGAGCAATATACTGTACTTTAAAAGTTTGGTTGTGCACACAGCCAGTATAGTGGTACCTCGGGTTACATACGCTTCAGGTTACATACGCTTCAGGTTACATACGCTTCAGGTTACAGACGCTTCAGGTTACAGACTCCGCTAACCCAGAAATAGGACCTAGGGTTAAGAACTTTGCTTCAGGATAAGAACAGAAATTGTGTGGCGGCAGCAGGAGGCCCCATTAGCTAAAGTGGTGCTTCAGGCTAAGAACAGTTTCAGAACGGACCTCCGGAACGAATTAAGTTCTTAACCCGAGGTACCACTGTATCTTGAAGTGAAGTAGAGGCAGCGACCATTTAAGGCCCGTCCAATGTGTGCAACTGCACATACGCTCATCACACCAAACCCAAAAACATTGCAAAAAGGGGTAGAACGGGGCATTTGCAGGATTTTTCAATGGTGTTTCAAATATATGCGAATTCATTTAACACGTGGTGCCTTGGAACGTAACCTCCATGTAAATTCGGAGTTGCCTGTAATGCACATTATCATCAAGAGGAAGACCCTTTAAAACCATTAAATCCAGAACCTAAACTTATCTAACTGCACTTCTGCTTAAGAAATAAATAATCCTTATTAACTGAATTAGAATGTGCAGGTTCAACGTGACAGAATCTATCCCCCGCCCAGCCCTGCCAACAGAGCCTACCTGACAACCTCTGCATGACAACCCTGTAAATGTCCACGCCTGATGTTACAAAGCTGTTGCTTATCTATTTCCTAAGCCCATCACTGGCACTGAAAAACCAGACAAATTACTGCCACGATTAGCCGCCACATTAGCCAGAAGGGAAGGCAATCCAGGACCCAGAGGAAAGTGTTTAGCTGGCTCAGAAATAAAGAGGGTTAGGAGGCTTTTTTCAAGACTCAGCATCAGGCCTTGGCAATCTCCTCCTTTGCTTAAAAATCTGAGCTGGTTGCAGTCTACCTCCCGACTCCACCCTACAAGATTCTCTTTCTCTCTCTCTCTCAAACTGTGTCCAGCTTGCAGCAAATTAAAGACCTGCTTGTAAAAATTACAGGGCACCAATTCCAAGCAAGAACCAGAGGCATGATGGCAGTTTGTCTGTCGAGCATCCACTCCGCAGAATGCATGCTGCATGCATGTCCTCGAATCTGGTGAAAGGAAAGTGGGTCTTTCCAAAAAAGTTTAGAAGCAGGCAAGCCCACCAAGTCTGGCAAGGAGTGGTGGCCATACGGAAGGCTTTCCAGAAGCCCCCACCCCAAAACAAGTTTTGAGTACGTGCTGACCCCCAGTGTTCCATCTCCAGACAAAATACTAAATAGAATCTGAGCACATAAAAACAACCTGGGAATATGTCCAGTATAAGCAGTGCGTGGTGGGGGTAAACAGAGATCCGTATCAGCTTCATTATACCCGCTCCCTTGCACAGGGAAGGCCAACTCAAAGAAGAAACCCTGTATAGGGGCTGGAAGGAGCCGTTGGTGTGATTCAGAATTCAGGGTGTCCATTCCACCAACAGCTCCAGCCCCAGGGCCATCGGAAGCCTCTGTGCACATGATGGGCCCATATGGAACATATTAAGGGTTCTGCAAAAGGAAAAAAAGTTGGAGGGAGGGAAGAGAAGCCAAATGTGGGTGGTGCAGCAGGATGTATCCTGCCCTCACCCTGCTCTGTTGGACTGTTGGGGGGGGGTTAACCCTTTGCGTTTCACATAAGAGGAAGAAGGGGGCGGGGAGTGTCATCAAAGGCCGGAGGCGGAGGCTCGAAAAACAGGAGCAGTTAAGAAACTGCAGGATTGCCAGCTTCTTAGTTGACTGAACTTCAGGAGCGCTGGCCTGGCATTTTGAGCAGGCCGTATTTCTGGCCTTATCAGTTTCTATCCAAATGCGATTTTGGTTTTAAACGCAGTGTAAGGTAGTCTTTATGTGAGTATATTGTACAGTGGTACCTCGAGTTACATACGCTTCAGGTTACATTCGCTTCAGGTTACAGACTCCGCTAATCCAGAAATAGTACCTCAGGTTAAGAACTTTGCTTCAGGATGAGAACAGAAACTGCGCGGCAGCAGCAGGAGGCCCCATTATCTAAAGTGGTGCTTCAGGTTAAGAACAGTTTCAGGTTAAGAATGGACCTCCGGAACAAATTAAGTACGTAACCAGAGGTACCACTGTATTCAATTATAGGGTATCAGAGTTTTTAGGGGCTGACCAGGCTGGGATAGCAGGCTTGTGGGTTTTTGAATGTCTGATGTAGATTTTTTCAATTTGATTGTTCTGTATGGGACAATGACAATAAAAATTATCGTATCGTAACCGGGTACGCTCTCTCCCCCTTCAGTTATTACAAAACAGGAGCCCCACATTTCAGGAACTGCTATTCCTGATCACACCTCCAAGAGACGCAAGAAGTGGCTGGTGCAATCTTGAGGATACACGGGTCAAGTAACAAGGCTGCTTTAATGGACGTCTGCACATTTTTTTGGAGTAATATCAGCAGGCTTCTGCCCTGAAGAGCTTACAACACACATTATGATTGGGGGTGAGGGGGCAGAACCACAGAGGAGGGAAAACATAGGAGAGGAACTGAGTATGCCACAATCCTATTATTGGAGTTGCACCAGTTGAGGGGGCTTTAGGATTTGGCAGAAGCCCCAGACCAGGTACGCTGCTATCGTGAGCACTGACTGAGCACACAGGCAACACTTCTCACTCTTCTACCTGCATCCAGGTGCAGGGACTATGAACTGCTCTCTTCATATCACCCCTTGCTCCCACAAGCACAGCCATCCCACACCATGGTTTGTGCAGACCAAGACCCAACCTATTACCACAGCCATGAGCACTGGGTTTCCAACTGCTCCTCTGTAGCATTGCCAACCAGCGCAAGAGCCCAGCCCAGGTGACTGGTTGGCAGTCTTTGTGGGTTACACTCCATCCCTGCTGGTGCCGTTCAGTAAAGATCGCCATCAATACTCCACATATTGTTTCTGTATTTGGCGTGGGTTAGTGAGCAGGGTTCCCTCTCCTTCAGACTGGTGGTACATGGCATCAGGATGGGACCCTTGGAGGTAGGGAAACGAATACAGTGGTACCTCAGGTTACAGACGCTTCAGGTTACATACGCTTCAGGTTACAGACTCCACTAACCCAGAAATAGTATGTTGGGTTAAGAACTTTGCTTCAGGATGAGAACAGAAATTGCATGGCAGCAGCGGGAGGCCCCATTAGCTAAAGTGGTGCTTCAGGTTAAGAACAGTCTCAGGTTAAGAATGGACCTTCAGAACAAATTAAGTTCTTAACCCAAGGTACCACTGTACTGCATTTGCTGTCTCTGGTTGTGGGGGTCGGCCTCTGAGGGGTGCTTCTGACAGAGTGTATGAAGGGGTAAGTAGCCGTGTTGGGTGCTGGCAAGCAAGACTGGCTTCTCAGCCAAACTGCTGGAGGAGAGACGGTCCCATGGGCTGCACAGGTGGGAGACTGGCTGGGTCTTTGAGTCTGCACACTTGTAGGCACTGTGGTATGTGAGACTTAGGACCCCACCCTGCAGGGCACCTGAAGTCTTTTGGAAGCTGCACACTGGCTGCCTGTGCTGCTGGGGTTCATCATCTGCGGCCACCGTGGCATTGCTTCGTGCGCTAAGGGGACGTGGTATCACTGTGGACGCATACCCAGGTTGACCAGCATGGGCCAGTTCCTTCCATCATGGGCAATGTGGGACTGGCAGGCAATGGCAGCATTGCCAAAGAGAAGGACTGGAGTTTTGCAGAATTTAAAAAACGTTTCTTTCAACTGTGTTTAACCCTTTATCATACAATCATAGCATTGGAAGGGACCTCAAGAGTCCAACCCCTTGCAATGCAGGAATCTCAACTAGAGCTTCCATGACAGATGGCCATCCCACTTCTGCTTAGAAACCTCCAAGGAAGGAGAGTCCACCACCTTCTGAGGGAGACTGTTCCACTGTCAAACAGCTCTTACTGTCAAAACGTTTCCTCCTGGAGTGGGCTGAGCATGAATTAGAGACAAGAGCTGTTCTGCCCACATGGTGGTGGAGTATAGAATTCCTCTGCCCAGGGCTTCATCTCAGTTGGGAGTGAGAACTAAAGGACTGACTGGTGGGAGCTGCGTCACTTCTTACTCTTCCTCCCATGGTTGCCAGTTCCTGTCCCTAAAGATCATCTCCCACCAACTCACATCATGCACTCCTTCCATTTGTCTAGTCCAAGGATGGCTAACATTTTTGGAGGGCCATAATGACCCATGCTCAACGCTCTGAGGGCCATATGTCAAAGTGAGCTGTGTGAAAGTGAACGTGGACAATTTTTAATTTTTGCGTTTTTAAAAAAGGACTAGTCCTTCCCCTAGAATATCTGAAGTATTTTAACTTCAACCTTGGAAACAATTATGCACAAGCAATCATTCTAATGTGTCCACCCACCCCCAATTAGTTCCTGTTTTCCCTTCATCATGTATTTGCAAACTGCAGAGCTATGGGCAGGGCTTGTCTTTTGATTTCACTCTTGCGGCACCAAGCTATTTTTAGATCCCAATTAAATAATATTTATTATGCATGTGAATCTTCTTCATCAGCATGATTTCTTCTGGCTAAAGAATTTGGGTTTTTTCGTTGCAGGGTTTGGAGGCCACAATGTACATAACTGGAGCCTTCTCCAGCCTTCAAAGCAGGCATAGGCAAACTTGGCCCTCCAGATGTTTTTTTAAGACTACAATTCCCATCATCCCTGACCACTGGTCCTGTTAGCTAGGGATGATGGGAGTTGTAGTCCCAAAACTTCTGGAGGGCCGAGTTTGCCTATGCCTGCTTTGAAGACATCTGCCATACCTTTGCATGTGTGCACAGACCCCTGCACACAGGCTTACATGGCAATATGGCAATGCACCACATACATTACTCACAATGCCCCCACCCCCCAAATTTAAGTGGGGAACTTAAATAAAGGTTCCTGGCTGCTGCCTGAGGATGCTCAGTGCAGGCACCGGCCCTATACTTATTTGCATATCTACCCTGACAGAACAGACTCAGGGACATGTTAATGATTAAAATTGTCTGACGCTGTATAGTTAAATATGACTTTTGTTAAGAAGCACTTCCTTTGGGCCTCACGCTAATATTCCAATAGAATGCACTTGGAAAGGGTAGGGGTCACACCTGGGCAAACTCCTCCCCCCCAAACCTCGGCAACAGCATCAAGCGACAAGACAGCGATCCCAGCAGTGCCAGTGAAATGTCACAATGACGCAGCGTTGGCACAGCAGTTCGTACGCCCCATCCTAAATTATTTTACTTGCTGGCACAGCAAGTCTTGGGATCCGGTTGTTAGCATACGGCCCTCAACGCCCTTCCCCTCCCATCCGAGAGCCCTTTCCCGTCTCAGGCCCAGGCTTCCCCTCCCCGCACAGAGCCTGGCAGCTGTTGCTGACACAGTGAACTACAGGCCCAGAGCTCCCCAGCCCGGCCCCTTTCTAAAGATAGCTCTTCTCACCCAGATGGATGGAAAAAAATGGTGGGGCCGGCTCAGTAAGACTGCAAGCAAGGAAAGAGAGCAGGAATCTTCCAGAGGTGCCCCTGGTTTTGGACCAGAGGGGTCTCTGCTGCCGCAGACACGGCCTCAAGACGTTTCCATGCCCACGGCACAAGGGGACCCTTTCTCGCTAGCCAACCCTGAGGCACAGTCCAGCTGGAAGCCAGTTCTCCTATGCAAGCGCTGCTGAGCCCTGATTCATTTCCGAGGGTTGCATGGGAGAACTTCCCACCAGAGTAAGCTCCACAGGTCCAATATGCCTGGTTCCCATTCTGCCACCCTTAAAGGTAAAGGGACCCCTGACCATTAGGTCCAGTCATGGCCGACTCTGGGGTTGCAGCGCTCATCTCGCTTTATTGGCCGAGGGAGCCGGCGTACAGCTTCCGGGTCATGTGGCCAGCATGACTAAGCCGCTTCTGGCGAACCAGAGCAGGCCACAGAAACGCCGTTTACCTTCCCACCGGAGCGGTACCTATTTATCTACTTGCACTTTGACGTGCTTTTGAACTGCTAGGTTGGCAGGAACTGGGACTGAGAAACGGGAGCTCACCCTGTTGCGGGGCTTCGAACTGCCAACATTCTGATCGGCAAGTCCTAGGCTCTGTGGTTTAACCCACAGCGCCACCCTTTCTGCCACCCTTAGTAATGCAGAAAACCTCTTTGTATAGTGAAGCCACTCATTTTACCTCTGCAGCAGCCTCATGATGGGCCCTGTGCTTCACTCTCCCAAATTTGAGCCTCATGGTTCCCTAGTTCCAAATCCTAATTTTCTCCATAATCCTCTTTTGGTTATGTCAGGAAGGTGCACCATGCAGGCAGCTGGGGAAGGAAGCATGAACCCCTGCCCCATGTTTTGAGACTCAAATAGAACAAGAGACAAAACATGAGTTCCCAGTCTGCACCTACCAGTAACACAGTCTAGGACAGGGGTCTGCAACCCGCGGCTCCGGAGCCGCATGTGGCTCTTTTACACCTTTGCCGCGGATCCGGGGCGGATACTAGCGAGGGGAGGAGGCGCATTGTGTGCCCCGACACTCCCCACTGTGGCTGGCACTGTACTGGCTGTGACGTCGCATGGGGCGGTGCGTGCATTAGTCACGCACTGTCCCAACGTCACCTTCCTGCCCGCTGTCAGATCGGAGGGCAGCGGCGTGCATGCTTTAAATGTCGCAATGGTTTTGCGGCTCCCAGTTGTTGTTTTTCTTCGGAAACGGGTCCAAGTGGCTCTTTTTGTCTTAAAGGTTGCAGACCCCTGGTCTAGGACCTGCCCATGTCAATTAGACAGTGCTAGAGAAGTGAGGGGACACTTCAAAGAGTGCCCCCCCCCAACAAGGCTGCAAGGCAAGAATTAAAGTCCATGGATTAATCTGTGGGACAATCCAGTGAGGACACTCTTGTTTGTTTGTCAAGGTTCTTTTGAGTTTGGTCCATTACTGTAATAAAAGAAATAGGACCTTTGTTGCTAACAATGAACAGTAAGCTTTGCAGCAAAACCCAACTCACGTATAATCAGAAATAAGTAATTCTGTAAATTCCCAGGCAAGCGTCCATAGGAGTGCGGCCTTGCCCATTTTCTGAAATTGTAAGTGACCTCACACTTCTTTAAATATATCAAAAGGCACGTGGAGGTTTTGCAATAGGCATACTGATTTAAATAAATTGGCATGATAGTTGTTGTCACAAACGCAAACTTCTTTATAAAGTCAACAGCCCTGCCTTTAAGTTTGTGCTTCCTTTCCTGGGGTCCTTTCCCATGGCTCCCCCCACCCATTAATACAGTTGCTCAAAAGAGAAAGCACTGACAAATGAAGTGCTGAGTTAAGCTAACCTGAATCTCGGTTTCCTTTGACTCACTGCAACTGCAGGCTGTGCTCTTTTTCAGAACCACTGTGCTCCCCTGTCCCAGAGCCAAAGAGGCCTGGCTCCCGGTCTCCCTGGACCACATGTGTCTCCTACAGCAGGGGTTAGAGGGGCCGGGCCTTCTTCTCCCCATCCTGAGCAGGGCTCTGTGTCCCCCAGATAGTCCCCCTGCGGCTTTCCCTGGAGCCAGGATGTGGCTTTGCTTTTATGTCAACCCAGCAGCGTTCCTCGAGGCTTTGTAATGAAGGAAGATGGGGGAGGGAGAGCAGAACCGTTCCTAGGGGCGGAATAAGCAGGCAGGAGACAAGGATGGGCAGCACCTGGTGCAAGCGAGCTCAAGTTTCTCCTGCAACCACAGCACACTGGGGTAAAGAGCACCTAAACATTATGTTTTAACACATCTGATCCCCCAGTCCTAAATCCTGCCACTTCACTTCCAGGCTCCAGTCGCCCAGCCCTCCTCCTCCTCCTCCAACCACAGGATTCCTGTCCCTTCTCAAAACCCCGAGTCAGCTCCTGTATCCTTCTGCTCCGACCTCTCGGGCTGAAGAGAGCTGGGGAAGGGAGCCCAAAGGAGGGAGAGAGAGACTGTATGCACAACTACAGTGGTACCTCAGGTTACATACGCTTCAGGTTACAGACTCCGCTAACCCAGAAATAGTACCTCGGGTTAAGAACTTTGCTTCAGGATGAGAACAGAAATTGGGCTCCGGCGGCACGGCAGCAGCAGGAGGCCCCATTAGCTAAAGTGGTGCTTCAGGTTAAGAACAGTTTTAGGTTAAGAACGGACCTCCGGAACGAATTAAGTTCTTGAGGTACCTGAGGTACCACTGCACTAGGTTCTGCTTTTGCCTAAAAGAAGCCAGGATTTCCAAGAGGCTTCTTTTCAAGCACAGCATTTTGTTTTCAAGCCGCGCAAGTCAGCCAACTCCTATTGGAAGCAACAAACCAAGGCTTCCTTTGTGGATGAAAATCTGGATTGCAAGATGGAAGCACAACTCTCTCTCTCTCTCTCTCTCTCTCTCTCTCTCACACACACACACACACGTAGGCACTGTCTTTAAGAATAGCTGGGTTTCCAGCTGAAGTGTTCAGACCCGTCTGAGTTTCTTTAGCCTTCCTGCGTGCTGGAGGAGTGTAAAATACAGTGCTAGACAGCCAGGCATAAGAAAAGAAAAACAAAGCAAACCAGAAGTGGCTCACACCTCCCCAGCACAAACCTTCACTCCCTTTATTCACACCCCTGTTATACCTCTTCATGGCACTGCCACTCAACAATCCAGGCCTGGATCATGAAGGCAAGCCAGAAAGACCATCTTTTCAGTTTTGCCTTATTGCTTCCTTCCCACTTTTTGCTCAAGGGAGAAGTGGGTGAGTCCAGGGTATTAGAGAAGGGAAGGCTGGGAGCTAGGATTCCTGGGTTCTCTCCCCAGGACAGAGAGGGCAGTATAGAATAGCAGATAAATCACATTTTAAAGGGGAAACATTGCAGGGAGGAGAATATGATGTACAGGTGCCATTGCAACAACAATGATAAATGCACACAAGTAAACTCCTGCCGCTGGATTAGCTAACAAAGCAAAATAATTGGTTGGGGAGGGGAGAGGAAACGGTGCTTCAAAAAACTGAATGGGTTGTACACATGAAAGGCTTGTGTCTGTATAGTTTCGCTACACTGTGGCAGCACCCAAGGCTGCTGGAGTCCCACTCTGGCCTCAGGCACAAAGCAAAAAAAAAAGGGAAAACAACAGAAAGCTTACCCAAATCTGAATCAACAAAGGAAAGGGGTGGGGAAGGGAAGGGCTTGCCCTGCGTCTGGGGTCACAGAAAAGAATCCACTGTTACATTTCATTCCCCCACCCACCCCCATTACAGCAAAGGCCAGGAGACCATTATCCAGCCCCCAGGGCAACCTGCTCTAGCTACTGGGAAGCCCCACCTTCCTATTAAAGAGTGATGCCCAAAGCCATTAAGGAAATTGGCAATATAATAACTGGCATTTCTGAAGAGCCAGGCCTAGTACCCAAAGGCTGATGTGGATGCTGAGGACAGAGACCCAGTTCTTCAACCTCATTTCAAGGAAGGATAATTCTTCCTATTTTTTGTAATAATCCCCCCTCCCCAATCGCCTCTCTCAGGCCTCAGAATGTTTCTAATAATACCAAACTTGTAAGGGTGACTCAAATGCTTCAGTCTCTTGTGTGAGATTCTTCACAGTGGGAAGGGGGTGGGGGAGAGAAAGAAGAGGAAAGAGACACACATCTCTCCCCCCCCCAACCCCCTTGCACATTTCACACTTACATCTTGACAGGATGCAATTTGCAAATCAGACCCAGAGAAAATGACACCAAATCCTGGCTCCAAACTTAATTCCACCTATGAATGTATGAGTTGTCATGAGATACAGCTGATCTTTTCTGTATCAATCCTGTTAAATTTTCTCTAAGCCTTTGTGTGAGCTTGTGGCAAGGAGTTCCACTGGTGCAGTTCAAGTAGGCCAAGTCCTTTATCTGCCAGATTCAGAGTGGGGCAAGCTGTCTTGCAGAAGAGTTATAATCAACAAGCTGAACAGCTACTCCCAAGAAAGGGGTAGAAAATTGTGTGGTCTAGGATGAGGAGGACACCCCAGAGTCGTTTGTGACTGGGCTTAACTGTCAGGGGTCCTTTACCTTATTACATCTTGCAAAGCAAGAAGACTCTGAGAAAGATTGGAGAGATGCTTGGGGAAGAATGAGAGTGCAAGCTGCAAAACTAATGCTCTTGCAACCCTCCCCCCTTCCCTTTTCTGAACCTCCCCCATTGCAATTTAACTGCATACCTCTTTGTTTCAAAAGCTGCCTTCTTGGTCTTTTATCAGGTTTGGGAATTTGCAAAGGAAAAGAAATCAAAATGGCAGGGTTGAAACAAAATCAGGGCCAACTACAAGAACTGTGGGAGAGAAGGAGCGATGGGGCAGAGGCAGCTCTAGAGAAGAGAGGGCGGCTGCACTATCGCTGTAAGCTCTTCGGGGCAGAGAGCTACAGAGTTGGCAGCCTAATCCCTCCTGTGCTCCAGGACCTCCAGGCACGTTTCGGAGGAGAGTGCAGATGAAAGAAAAGAGGCCCGTTGCCCATTCTTATTTTTAACACCTCCAGCGACCCGAAACTGTTGCAAACTATGGACTTAAAAAAACATATATTAATCCACATTTGGTAGAGCTCTTTTATGCCGATCTACTACGTTGGCGCGCACCACTCCCCAGATTCCCACCAGACACCACACACATCATTTCCTAGAGAGAAAACTGCCATTTCGGAATACTGCTCTAGCCACTGGCCTCCACTCCCCCGAATGCGGAGCCAGATGCTCCTGGCGCAAGCGCTTCTTTGATCTAACCATTGCGCACGACTTCCCTTGCTCAAGGTGCAAACCGAAAGCAGAAATCCACCTCCGCTCCAGCGTTGACGGCAGAACGAAGGCTCTCCCATTGACCAGCCAAAGACAGAAAACGAGGCGCCCCCCCCCGCCCCCCAATCCCTTCTCCCTTACCGGCTCGAATCTGGGGAGAGGAAGCTGCTCCCGCCTCGATGTGGTACGAAAACCTCATGGCTTTGAACTGCTGGGAATAAGATCCACTGGGTTCCGGGCAGGGCATCCCCATCACGCTGGCCCGCTGCATGATCGCACGGCACCCCCCGCGCCCGCTCCTTCAGTCCCCCCCAAAATCCCTCCGAGGCCGCCCCCCAAACGCCAGGCTGCCGAGAGTCCCCATCAAACGGGCCGATCCCCTTCAAGGAAAAAGAGAGTGGATCCGAATGCAGCTCAATCGACCGAATAGATCCACGCTCGAGCAAAGAAAGGGAAGGCGGGTGGGGGAGAGCGAGCGATGGATCCAGCCTGGATTGGCTGCGCGCGTGCGTTCCCCCCCCTCAAAGACAGATCCTTGCAACAAGTCAGCGCAGCTCTTGCAAGAAGCATCGCCTTGGCCAGGAATGTATCAGAAAGCGAGCTGGGAAGCTTTTCCACGTTGGAGCGTCTGCTCCCATTCCCCCTTCGCTTCCTCCTCCTCCCCTCCCTCTCCTCTCCGCACAGACTCCTTTGCTCAGTGGGTTGGCTCTTTTCGTACTGCAGCGCCAGGCGCTGAGAGCAGATTGCTTGCAAGGAGATTTCAAACCCTCCTCTTCAGTCTCTTGGGCTGTTTGTGTGTGCGCTTTCTTTTTTTGTTTTAAAAAATTGGATTGAAGTGGGATTTCGTTAGCAGCCACACACAGACATGGAAGTCGATTGGCTCTTGCTTCCCGGGCTGGAGGATTCTCTCCACTCCCCCCCCCTCTCTCCAGGATATTGACAAAAAAAAAGGCTGAAAAAAGGGGGTGTTGGCAATTTATTTCCTCGCACTTGGGAGGGTTCCACTAACAGCTGTTGTTTGAAAAATCAGCTCGTTTTGAAGTCTGCTTTGAGGTTTTTCCCTCTTCCCCCTCCTACACTCCAAGAAGGTTTCCACGGTTTGGGGGAAGTCTCAAGTCAGCCTTTGATCTTTCTCTGCGTTCAAACGAACTGCACATTTTGGGATCAAGTATCCCCCCCAAAAAATATTGATTCCCCCTCCTCTTCCTGAACCCTGATTTCTTAGCCTTTAAGGTGTCCGTCTAGTTCCAGCACCACGCTGCCCCCTGAAGACTTGCCCTCCCCCTCTACAATAATCTTTTTAGAAAACATTTGAAGCCAGTTTGTGGTTTCAGAGATCTCTAGATTTCCTGGTCAACCCTGAAACCTTAGAGTTAGTTCCCTCCCTCCTTCTCCCCCTCCCCACATTAAAAATGTGGTTACACATTTTTAATAGCATCACAAACTTTTCTTTCTAGTAAGGTTCAAACAGACAGCAAACGTTTATTTTCCAAGACATTTCAGCTGCTTCCTTCACAAGAGTCAAGCTTCTTGGAAATTCTGGCTCTCAAGTTTTCTAAGGAAAATTAACAATTTAGAAGAGTTCCAAGTCCGTTGTAAACTCTGAACCGTCTTCAAGCGGCTGCATCCCACTTTTTAAAACTAATAATAATAAAAATAGCATGGTCTGGATTTTTGTGGCTTCACAGCCAAATTCAGTTGTGCTTTCCTTTTTTTAGCTGCTTTTGAAAGTAAACTGGCTTCTCTGGATGGAGGAATAAAGGACAAATATAGGCCAAAAACAAACAAAAGAGAAAAAGCGCCCCCCCTTCAATGTCTGAACCCTCACAGAACTAAACAGTTGTTAACTCTACTCCATGTATGGGGGGGGAGCCCTCTCAGATAATATGCTTGCAAACCACAGCAGCTGTGGACAATCTAAGTGATTTAAAGACACAGAGCCCTGCTTTTGCCAAGTCAGGAGGTGCACTGGCAGGGCAAGACGGCAATGCCCTTTCCATGCCAATGTGTTGAAAGCAGAGGTGCCCAGTCTGCTTGCTCTGCTTGCTTGTTGCAATCTTTGGAACCAGCCTTTCAGAACTCCTCACCTCCTCTATGCAAGCTGTGAAATTTATTTTGCTACCTTGGCAGCCAAATGCCACCTTTCCTGACTATTTTTGTAAAGCGAGAAGGATTCAGTAGCAGATCTGGTCTGGTTGCTCGCACCTGTCCAGGGCCGTGGGGGGGGGGGGGCTAGCCAGTTTTTTTGCCCCCAGTGAAGCCCCACTGAGGCTCCCAGCCATGGCAGTTGCCCCCTCCCCATCCACAAATATTATTGAAAAGCATTGAACGTACTCAATTATCTGAGGTTCCGCCCCCCCCCAGTAGAAGCCTGCCCCCCAGCAATGTCATATTTATGGGGATTTCCTTTAAAAAACTCAATAATTTTGGCTGCCCCCCCACAAAAATCCTGGCTATGCCCATTTATCCCAGCCTGTGTGTGTGTACACAAATGGACATGGGTTTGGTGCCAAACTGGGTTTTTGACCCGGGTGAAATAAAGCCTAGTTAGCCCTAAACGGCCTCGGCCCAGTAGACCTGAAGGAGCGTCTCCACCCCCATTGGTCTGCCCGGACACTGAGGTCCAGCGACGAGGGCCTTCTGGCGGTTCCCTTGCTGCGAGAAGCAAAGCTACAGGGAACCAGGCAGAGGGCTTTCTCGGTAGTGGCGCCCGCCCTGTGGAACGCCCTCCCATCAGATGTCAAGGAAATAAACAACTATCTGACTTTTAGAAGACATCTTAAGGCAGTCCTGTTCAGGGAAGTTTTTAATGTGTGATATTTTAGTGTATTTTTGGTTTCTATGCAAGCCGCCCAGAGTGGCTGGGAAACCCAGCCAGATGGGCGGGGTACAAATAAATTATTATTATTATTATTATTATTATTATTATTATTATTATTATTATTATTATTCCAGCTATCCCTTGTGTTTCCCTACCCCCACTGCTGAACTGCACTGATCCCTTTGCTCCCTCAGCCCTCTTTTGAGCTCACTGGTGCCTCACCCCACTGGATACTACTGTTAAGAGCAGGGGGTGGCGGTGAGGGGAATCCGTGGCTAGAACAAGGGATGGGGGACCTCAGGCCCTGGGGCATGAAGGAGGCTCTGCAGGCCTCTCTTATCTGGCCACACCCACCTGCCAGGGGGCCATGCGTCTCTGCCACCTCCCTCCATGCCCTCTCTGAGTACTTTTGCCTGTCTGGAATGTGCCCTTGAACTCTGATAGTTTCTGGTGGAGGGTGGTGAGGGGTGTAAGAAATCTCCTTTTGTGTGGCTGGAATGTTGCCTCCCGTGCAAAGGCATGAAGAAGCCGCCACTCTTGCCTCTGACCCTACCCACTCCTTGCCTCTGTCCGCACCCACCATTGGCAGAAGGTTGCCCACGGGAGTACGTGGCCTCAGGTTGGAAAATCCCTGCGCTAGAGAGAGCCTGAACCCCTTATCCCTCACCCCTTGGGACCCAGCCCTCCAGCCCACTAGCACTTCCATCCAAGACGCAACAAGTTGCTGGGTCGTAATGCTTGTTAATGAAGCCCAGCTCCAAATACAAGGCTCGCCAGGACAAGTCATTGGGACTCAGCCTAAATTACAGCACAGAGTTGTCCTTCTCCTCCTCATTTTATTTGTATGTCGCCTTTCCATAGTTAAAGCAACGACTCTCAGGCTGCCAATCAGTTTCTGGGCCCAATTCAAAGTCCTGGTTTTGACGTACGAAACCTTAAACAGCTCAGGACGGTGTAGTGTAGTGGTTAAGAGCGGTGGACTCGTAATCTGGTGAACCGGGTTCGCTTCCCTGCTCCTCCACATGCAGCTGCTGGGTTACCTTGGGCCGGTCACACTTCTCTGAAGTCTCTCAGCCCCACTCACCTCACTGAGTGTTTGTTGTGGGGGAGGAAGGGAAAGGAGAATGTTAGCCGCTTTGAGACTCCTTAAGGGGAGTGAAAGGCGGGATTTCAAATCCAAACCCTTCTTCTTCTTCTTCGGTAAAGGTAAAGGGACCCCTGACCCGTCACGGACGACTCTGGGGTTGCGGCGCTCATCTCGCTTTATTGGCCGAGGGAACCGGCATACAGCTTCTGGGTCATGCGGCCAGCATGACTAAGCCGCTTCTGGTGAACTAGAGCAGCACACAGAAACGCCGTTTACCTTCCCGCCGGAGTGGAACCTATTTATCTACTTACACTTTGACATGCTTTCGAACTGCTAGGTTGGCAGGAGCAGGGACCGAGCAATGGGAGCTCACCCCGTCGCGGGGATTCGAACCTCTGACCTTCTGATGGGCAAATCCTAGGCTCTGTGGTTTAACCCACAGCGCCACCGGCGTCCCTTCTTCTTCTTCTACCTCTCCCCAAATGAACTCACCTGGAGCCCGAGATCATCCTCTGAGGCCCTCCTTCATGTGCCTCTTCCAGGAGAGCTCTGGAGGGTGGCAACGCAAGAAGGGGCCTTTTCTGCAGTGGCTCCCCGCTTGTGGAATGCGTTCCCCAGACCAAAGGCCCATCCCTTCCAGCATCCTGTTCTCCCATTGGCCAACCAGATGCCTGTGGGGAACCAGGGAGCAGAACCTGAGCACAAGAGTCTTAGAATCATAGAATCATAGAGTTGGAAGAGACCACAAGGGCCATCGAGTCTTCTCCCTTCCTGTAGTTTCCAGCAACTTGTACTCAGAAGCACTGCTGCCTCCATCATGGCAAGAAGTGCTTGAGAGCCCTCTCCTCCGTGACTGAACCTCCAAGCAGAACAAAGCCTTTATATAAGCGAAGCAGAGTTTGACGAGTGGCAAAAACAAGGGGTTATCATGCACCACTTCCATTACAATACATGGTCGATGGGTTACACCTGGCTTGGGGAGTGACAGATAGGGCAGGTCTGTGTTAACTACGAGGTCTGAATCAAACTTGCTGCTATGGTATGCTTGGCTGTTGCAAATCCATTTACCCCTGGCCGCCAGCCATGTTCTTCCTGTCCCAAAATCAGAGATGACGGGCCTTAGAATCTCTTCCCAGAGATCTGATTTTCAGCTCTTTCCTCCCCAACTCTCGCTCATCAGATCACGCTTCACACTCAGAAAAATGGACAAAACTCAGATTGCGGCATGCTAAGTTTGAATGGATCTTCAAAGGCAACTTTTCCTGACGGGTCTGGATTTTTCTTTGCTGGGTCCCTTCTCTGGATCTGGGCTGCTGAATGAAATTCCAGCTGGGGAGTGGAATCCTGGCTATTTCCTGTTCTCTCTATACGTACTTAAAATCTTCCTAGGGTCCTGTGTTTCCTATGGCCTCTATACTTTGACAACAGCACAAGGAAGACTAAGAAAGAAAAAGAACCGCAGCCACCCATTTAGATATCACAACTGCACATAGGTAAGAAGCAAGGGAGACGCATGACACATTAGAAATCAGCCTGAGAGCCATAGATCAAAATTTCCATATGGCCTCAGATAACCCCTCAACCTATATTTCTATTTTCTTCCTGCATTCCAAATAGCACGCCTTCCAGCTGTAAATATTTAATAGCTACTTTTGCATTATGTATACAGATTACTGATGCAGACTAAATTTGGTTGCAATCCTGCACTGTGTGTGTGTGTGTGTGTGTGTGTGTAAATATATGTAAAAATAACTGTTGTTTTAATAGGCTGGCCACAATCCAGATCTAATTGTGTGTAGTCCAATTATTCT